AGAGCAAACTTTTTCAACGAGAGTTTCAACCCAGCGTCATCGACGGCTTCAAACGAGATGTTGCACCTAGATACAAATCAGGAGACTATTGATAAACGAAGCAGTAGCAAGAAGACTTGTGCCTCTTCCATGTCGGTGATTGCTGGCTTACGATCAATCGAGACGCAATAAGCTCACCATTCTCCCATGCTCGAAAGTTTTGATTCCGAGTTTACGACGTTGATTTAGACGTGCTGAAGTCTTCTTAACGTTCAGCAAAGTCTCGATGCTTCGGAGGTACCAGCAAGTAGCCAACTGCAATCGATGTTGCAAAATCTTGATCCCGTCGGTGCACAAATTTCGGGCCACATCAGCTATGCATTACTTTCAACTGTCTCTGCGATATCAACACTTGTAGTGACCACGCTACTAAAGCTGCTTGAGATATGTGATCTATTCAGTCAAAGCAACTTCAACAGAATCCAGACATTGAATCAAGCCCGACTTTTCGAATGTATAGATTTCAATATTACCCAAGCTCGTATGGCTCTGAAACAGTTCGAGATCTTCCACCCGCTGCTGACAAATGTTAACCGACAGGTACTGAAAAATGCGTCTAGTCTGCATCAGAAGATCAAAAGTGCTCTGGAGGAGCTACCGACGGGACTGGGAGGGAAATGAGCACAACTGCAATTCGAGTTTCCATTGATTATCCCCTAATTGTGTTTTCGCACGGGTTTTTTGTATTTGTGCTGGCAAAGATTGACGCGCAAAGCTCGAGGCACAAGTAAATTAGCACCTATGTTTAGATCAGTTGACTTAAGGATAGTCAATTACAGTGACATGATCGAGGCTGGTCCGCACTCGGCTCTAAAGGGCCCTATGAATTGGAATCTGGCCGATATCGACAATAAACCCAACACGACGATCGTTTATATCTCCATAGTATCTCATAGTCAATGCTGAAGGCTTCACGCTGCACTGTTTTTCCGAACTTTGGTCGCGAGGCTTCACAATTAGCCTCACGCGAGTCAATATTCCAGACCAATATGCTCACTCCCCTGATGTGCTCTCAACTCTGCCTTGATATCCTTGGAATCACTGCAAAGGATTTCGGCATGAGCATGAAGTTGCGAGAGCAAAGTATTTCAATAAACCTCCCAGAAACGATCTTCTTGGTATCGCGGTGGATGTACAGAATCCTCACCATCCCCGCTGGAGGCAGTTCCTCTCTATCCACCAGCAACCTTGGGTGGCTCATCATAATGTCACGAACACCGTATTATTTCCCGGAGCCGGCATGCTCATAATGGTACTCGAGGCTGCATACGAGATGGCAGACAGAGATAAGAAAGTGAAGCGCAATGAGTACCGCGATGTAAAATTTGATCATCGTCTGGTCATTACTGACGATTATGACCAAGGTGTCGAGACTTCACTCGAGTTTCAGCCACCCCTTGAAATTTTGCTGAATTCTCTGATGGTCCAACCACTGGGCTTAGGCGTGCCTGTACCTGGAGCAATACTAGGGTCTTTCGTATTAATATCAACTAAGAGGTAAATCGGCATTTTGGTCTCTATTCGACGTATAATTACATGCTTGCCTCCTTGAACTCTAATAACATTGATATCTTTAGCTTCTATCCTTAGAAAAACTTGTCGGGAGTCATCTAAGTAGTTAGTATAATCCTTCCCTCTATTTTACTTTGTAGGCCACCATGAACAGAGCTTTTATTATGAATTATCCTTTTAGAACTGGCTATATAACAACTCTGTGCCTTGAGTAAAGTCGGACTGAAGATTTATCGCTCCTCATTTCAAGCATTTAATACTTTCCGGGGTGTAGTGTGTCTAATTAAATGTCAAAGTGAAGCACTACGGTCGGCTGTTGATATGTCTGGTGCACAGCTCTCAAAGATGGGAGTGTTATGCCGTGGTCGCCTCCTAGTGTTATAAGGAAAACTTTTCTTGCAAGACCTGGCAAATATCTAGATAGCAGCTCGTTGTAGGCCCGAGTCATCTGTCTTCAGGCTAAAGCATTGTCGAATGGATTGACGGGACCCCCATGGTTTTCTCTCATTGCTTCTGGACTAGCATCACTCATAGTTCCAGTCGGTAGTGTAGCAAAAGGACAGCCCCACCCTGCCCACCGATCTTCGATCTTATGGGACGTGATAGAATCTAGAAATTCACTATGTATTGCTTCATAGCCTACTCCAAAAAGAGACGCCAATTGGCAAAGTACAGCTTCAGCGAACTTCGTTGGCCATGGCATCCTATTGCCGGCCCGACGTAGCACAGAGACAGCACGTCAGTGTATTATGGCCCTGGACATTCACCGAAGTATCGTGAGAATGATATATTGGTCCAAGGAAGCTTTGAGTCAGACCATAAGCACCCGTTCGTCGCCAAAATGGGGTTTTGGAAATACATAGAAACTCTATGAAACAGCCATAATGCGCACTTTTTATATAAATCTGCTTTGGACGAGGTAGAATGGGATGAACGTAACGTCTTTTAAGGCTGGACTTGGAATGCTCGCAAAAGTTTTTTTGAGCTTGAAACTCTTGACAAAGTGATGTTATACCACGGTATCTCAGTCTCGCTAGCACGGAGCACCTGAGGCTTTTGCAAAAGTAGAAACTGGTGGCGTTTTAGTTCTGATTATATTTACCTATGTCGCGGCACGTTTCACGAGAGCAAATAACATCCTATGTTCATGCAAATCATTCTATTTATCATGGTAGTCAATTTCGGCACTGTCTATTACCCACTGGTAGGGCTCTTTATCCGTTGCTTATTCTATCCGACATTCTTTTATATTTCCTCGCACCAAAGGATGCCTTACTCGCTAGATAATGGGCATGTACTCGTAACTGGTGGCAGTCGAGGCCTTGGGGCACTCATTTGCGAGAAGTTTGCTGCTGAGGGTGCAGATATCATGATCAATTATGTCTCCAACAAGGTCAAGGCGGAGGGGGTGACTAAGGAGGTTGGATGTGCATGGTTTCAAGACGCATATTACACAAGGGGTACGACGTAGTCTACTAAGTCAGTCTTAGCTATATTAGACCGGCTGATGAATATAGGACGCCAGGATCCCCGAAGACAGAAACCCTCAGAGAGCTTGGTAATTTAAATATCATCAATGCTGGATAGACGAATCCCAGTGAGTTCAAAGATTTTCATGCGCTCAGTTTCGATGAATGTAACAAGTTAAGCACGCCTTTGGAACCTTCGTAAAGGAAAGCACACTGATAAATATATACTGTTGGGCGGTGAATACTCTCTCATCTCTAGCTTATACTGGTTGCTGGACCACTCATAAAGAAAATCCAGAAGAAGGCGTTTATCTAACAACTTCATCAATTGCAGTAAGTCTACCAGTAGAGACTTGCGAGTTGACAAAGAAGCAGTATGGCGTTCCGCACTCGGCCATTAAATTTATGGCCGCCACGCAAAGCCTCAAGTTGAGGATAAATACAATTCTTTCAAGTCAACTGTTGTCAGAATGGGTGATAAATAACCTACATGGAAACTTCGCCTCCTTTGGTATATTCCAACTCATCGTAAATTGGGTTCTTACATTAAGTGAAGAAAAACATGCCCAATGATTAAGTGTTGATTAGTCTAACTACCCAGATAGAAGCTCCACCGTGATTTACCATCAACAACCGTCTTTATTAGTAGTCTTATTCATATTTACCTAGCAGAATATTGAACGTCATCTTTGAGAATCAATCTGAGAAACCATTCTGTACTTGGCATAGCTCTTACCGGAACTCGCGGTATAAATCTTCCTTCAATCTTAGTTAGAATTGAGAAGATCAGCGCGATTGCGAGAGCCGAACTGGATCATTAATTGGTTAAAAAAAAAGTCTAATTTTTGATCATGTCTGCTCCAATCTATCGACAGTCATCACGTATTTTTCGGTGTGAATCTCACCGCGACTGTCGAAACATTCACAATAGAGATGTATATTACAGTATGAATAATATCAATAATAAATTAATACTTTATACATAGCGTTGAGAGGGGAGCTACCTTGAAAATTCGCTGCAGCGGTTGCTTGACCACTCTCTCTCGTCAATATTACGGTCAGCACTAGCCATGGTCGTCATCATCATTGTTTAATTGTTCCGTCAGGGAGCAAGTTTGTAGGTATTACAAATCAGAAGGCAAAGAGTGTGGAAAGTGTCGCAACGATAAATCTCCGAGTTAATTGAAAATGAAATGAGTGTGTTTTGACAAGCTGACAAGTTGTGTGAAAGACAGAAAGTGAGATGACAAGGGGCATAAATCCTCTTTCAAAGAAATTCTCCGTATTGACAATCAATGCATGCGGCACCACTTCTAATCCTGGAAGCGCACTTATAATCTGCTACCCAATGATACGTACTTTTTTCCTGAGACACACCTCCTAGTCATCCTGTGCACTAGTCAATGTTACCCGAGCTATTTCCGTGACATTACCCCGAATACAGTAGAGCAGAGACCCACAGACATTGCACACTAGGACAATCAAAGGTTAGGGTATGCTACTAAGCTTTTCAGAAAAGCTTGGTTACCACGAGCTGTGTCATTATTGGCTATGGTACTGTCAAATGGAACAGTGCCCTATCTATTCCCTTTTTCCACGCTTTTCCTTTATTGGGTGACTTTTCTTCGTTTTTCCACGCGGGAAGTCGGATGACAAATGAATGACACGCGGTCTGTTGTGGTCTCTGAGTGCTCCGTCGAAAATTTCAGAAAGACGAAAGAAATAAAGAATGAATATATCGAAGAAGGGGCTCGGAGTCTAGTCTTCCCAGTGCTGACACTTTTCATATCGTGAATCCTATTTCTTTGCTCTTCGCACTTTCCCTTGCACTCGCAAGCCGCGGGTTGAACGGCGCCTGCAGGTCTTGTGACTAAGGCTCACCGCAACCACACCGTGAACGCTTCAAAACTGCGCATTCGCTCCACTCGGTGCTGAACGAGGAGCACAGTACAAAGCGAATGGCCAGTTTCCATTATTGCCATGACCAGAGACAAAGTCTTGCCATTTTCAGACCCGTCCAGTGCATCGATCGGCGGCGACGACAAACCATGTCCAAGTCTGCTTCATAGCCTATTGCGACATCTACCGGGCCAGCGCCGATCGATCCAGGATCCTGCAGAGACAAATACAAACATAAACATCAATACTCACGAACGCGTAACCTGGGATCGCTCAACGTCGGCACCGCCAGCGGGTAGGAGGTATGACTGGCATCAATCGCCATGGCTGGCCTCTATAATATCCATGCTTCTGATGCGGAGGGTTAGGCGGTCCGTACTGGGATGCGCTGCCGTTTTCATGCTCGTCTACATGGCAGCGGAGTATTATATGTTGGCGCCGACTATCCAGGAATACCCGATGATTATTGAGCCGCTGGATCTGAATATTCTCGGTGCATTAAGCGATTGGGCCGTGCCCAACAAGCGGCCTGAGTTTACGGATTTTCTAACCATGGAAACCCTAGATCCTGCTCTATTGCCAGACCACAAGCCAAATCGCTTTTCGTTTCGCCATCGGCGATTGATTTTTATTGGTGACGTGCACGGCTGCTTTGAGGAGCGTAAGTGCAGATTCTCACCTAATTCATATGCCCCAGACCCCCTCCCGCTGACTTCGTCTTCCGCCCTCTGTTGTAGTTGAAGAGCTCCTGGACAAGATCTCTTTGGCCGGTGGAGATCACTTAATATTTACTGGTGACATGATCGGCAAAGGCCCCGAGAGCGGCAAAGTCGTTGACCTTGCACAAGAGCTGGGGGCGTCGTGCGTCCGAGGAAACCACGAAGATCGCATCTTACTTGTCCGATTAGATTTAAAGTCTCGCGACATTCTCGATTCTGAATCTGTGAACGAATATGATCTACCGCAGTATGATCATCACGATCGCCAATTATCCAGGTCTCTGACCGATGACCAGGCAGCATGGTTACAAGCGTGTCCTGTAATCCTCAAAATCGGACATTTAAAGGATATGGGTGATATTGTGGTTGTTCACGACGGGCTGTCTCCTGGTGTGCCTCTCGCGGGACAGGAATTGACAAGCGTAATGTCAATGCCAACCAAGGTTAAGAAAGGCGTCCCATGGTTTAAAGTTAGTCTCTTTTCTCCTTCTCTTTCGCTCTCCCCATCGATGACGGATAATTTCAGATATTAACAGTCATGGTAGATATACAACCAATTTAACATGCTCCTCACATTAGGCCCCATAGAGCCAGCGCCTTCGTACACCGAACTGACGACAGTGATTTACGGTGGCCAATCGTTTGATATGCGGCAATTTACTAGAGGACTGAACTCAGGATGCGTCGAGGGTGGTGAATTAAGTGCACTGATTATTGAAGATGGCGGGAATAGTAGGGTGGTGCAGGTGAAGTGTAAGGAGTATGTTGAACCTTAATCTTGTATTTGAAAAATATTCCCTGATGGGGACAACCTTCGATAAGTCTTATGCAATCAACAGTATTTCTATTTTAGCACGTATCGAAAGATAAAGTCGATAGGGGAAAAAATGAGCGTTCGAATGTTATTGTTAGTCGATTTTTATTTGCAACTCTTCCTGCCACCCTGTTTTGTCCCTTCAGATGCCCTTTTTCAAAAGTTTTATAACCCTAATCCTTACTGTCCTTGGAAGGACTTGGTTTCTGTTAAATCAAGTTCATGCTCCAGTTACCAGTCTTGAAGGTACCTATTTTGGGATCTAGAACAAAGAATCAATTGTAATAGTAGTAGTAGTATACATAAATTTCCCATTAATTCCCTAGTAGGTGCATTGCTTATTTCCTTGCCCTTATCTTCCAACATCTGAATTCATGTCTCTCTTAGATACAGGTTTAGGTTTTGACATCTATAGCTTTCAATCTATTAAAGTGATGACTAGAATAAACCTCTTAGTAAAAGTTTAATAACAATATCCAACCGTTCCAGGATTTTATACGTAACCAAGACCATCTCCAAATTCAATATTAGTGCCTTCAAGTGGTACATTTCCACTACGACTAGAGGTTGATCTTACGGATCTTAGCTACTCATCAAGGGACCCAACGTGGTTAGCTCTCAATGATAGTAGTATATGAAAGATTAATTATGGGCTGAGGCCCAGGCGGACTTCCACATCGTGGACCTGTATTATAAAAGGTTCCAGCATCAAATTGAGTCTTTCCTGCTCGGAAAAATATCTTTTTACAAACATTGAGAGTAGTATGGGTTCAACACTTGACAAGTGTAAGGTGAAACGCAAGTCGTAGGACCAGMCCAGCCGATACCTCCGCATTGTCCCCAGTGTGCAGCACTTGTGCCTGAGGTAGTGGTTGTGGTAGTTGTTGGCGTAGTACTTGAGGTAGTAGTGGGCGTTGTGGTGGTTATTAGGGTACTGGAAGTTGAGGATGAAGAACTAGTGCCAGATTGCAAGCCAGCAAGAATACCATAGTATGCGGGCTTCTTGTTGTAGCTTGAGTCCCATGGACAGGCATCACCCTGGCCAGAAAAGGTACCAGGAACCCACGAGTACTTGTCTGTATAGTCCCATAGAGTGATACCGACACAACCTTTAGTCTGGACGCAGGCAGTAGTGGTGGTCTGATAGTCGGTGGACTGCTGAGTTTCAAGAGCGGTGGTTTCTGGGAGAGTCATACGGATGTCGAGCTCAGTGATGGCAACATTAACACCAAGAGCTGTGAATGAAGCCATATTTGCTTTCTGAGTGGCAAGACTAGGCGTTGATCCCACAATGAAGTGAGACTGAAGACCCACACCATCGATACGACCGCCGGCAGCCTGAATCAATTTTACAATGCCCTGAGCACCAGTTGCTTTTGCCCCAGCGTATTCGATGTTGTAATCGTTGTAGTACAGCTTGGCATTAGGGTCAGCTGCTGCAGCGGCAGCAAACGCAATCGGGATGTATGCCTCGCCGATGTATTGGTAGAAAACATTTTGACGATATGTGCCGTCTTCGTTCAAGGCTATATACTCCACTTAGCTCGACGTGACTATACAGAATGAAGATGACAGACTTGTAAGGGTTGGGAAAGGGAGCCTAAAAATAACGTGACATACCTTCGTTCACAACATCCCAAGCATAACACTGCCCCTTGTAATGCGTAACTACCCCATTGATATGCTCCTTCAGGGCAGCGATGAGGGTAGCGTTTGTCCATGAACCCGAAGTGACTAAAAAAACACGGAATCAGTCTACTAACGTGGATATCAGGTGACAAAAAGAGGTGATATGCGTGCTTACTGTACGATGGCAATTGGTTGTACCAGACCAGGTTGTGACATCTCAAGTAGTCATTATTTGACTTGGCCAGGCTCGCGATTTGGTCACCTTGCGTGAAAGTATAGGAACCCTGGGACGGCTCCGTGGGTTGCCACTAAATTGTCATCGCTTAGCTTAATGTATACGGTAGTTAAATTCCGTCACTAACTTTCATTGCATTTGCTGGTGTGATTTGACCGAAATCTGCGGTCTCAAGGTTGGCAATATATTGAGAGTCGCTCAAGTCTGGATTGTCAACAGCAGTACCAAAGTACAACAAACCAGCTGCTTTTGCGGCGGTATTCAATTGAGCCTGGGCAACGTGGCCCGCCGCAAGGGCTAGTAGAATAGACTTTACTAGAGTCATTTTCGTGTCTTTCGGGATATGTGCTTTATGTTATTCTGCAACCAGAAATTACAGGCATACAATAGCCACGTTCCAAACCGGACTCAATGCATTCTTATATGCATAATCAGAATGTACGATCTCGCTCCTATGTGTGAAGCTATTTAGCCTGAATCGAATCTCGCTGCTGCAAACATAATAATTTCCGTGTTTCATCTAAAATGCTTTCATCATGATGGTCAAATGACAGATTAGCCGACAGTTTCGGCTAAAGCCTCCCTTCATAGCAACTGAAGATATGAAAAAGCATACACCGAGACTCCCCTGTTGATCATTACTGTCATTGTGCATAGCATCAAATCGTCGGCAGTAGGCTAGTCCTAGACTCCTTGTCGGAAGAGCCGCAACTTAATTACCTACAGAACTGTTCCGTTTTGTTTTGAATAAAGAAAAGGTGTGGTCTAATATGATCAATATCACCGTTCACGACTACTTGAGTTGAGAATGAACTACAGAAAAGCCAGGCCTCCAGTAACATTCGGAAAAGTTAGGACTGCTCACGGTTGACGGAGCTACGGCGATTGTAAGTTTAAGCATAAAGAGTAGCTCCACGCAACCCGATATTCCCCTTGACTAGCTGAAAGACCTAATTGGCCTATACAAATTAAATTTCGCTTACGGCCACGACTTAGCACCAATTAAATGATGCGTCTTTCTTGATTTCAGGTCCACTTGAACTAAACTGTCACATGGTCGTTTCATGCACCGGTTCATATCGACATAGATTGCCTCTGGGGGTAGATCTCGAGCGGAGGTTCTGCTTGCCATAACGAAAATGCGGGGCAGAACTCGTTTTAAGTACTTACCACCAGAGTGAATTGGATGTTTTCAGAGACTAATTGAACCCTCTACAAAAAGCATCCGTATTGATAATACCACCCCAGATTAGCCTAAGTCGACACCAATTTTCTTATTTATTCCTGCTCTTTCCCCGCACATACTGATCTTCAGGACGACGTTCCGCAATATTTATTCACGAAGTCATCAAATTCCCGGTAAAACAATATGTGTTTGTATAGTATGCTACTAGATATACCAAGACCAATTGTTTGCCGAATTCATTGATCAACTAGCTAGATTAGTTTTGGATATAAATGGGCTAACCTGTAAAGTCTTCGCCAGCTTGATCTTTTAACCCTAAAGTACCTGTGGTTGGATACCTAAATTATATTATTAGGCACTCCCGTGACAGACTAGTGCAGACTGGAGGTCAATTTTCTTGCATTAAAAATTATTACATTGGCTGGAACACCGATCTTCCCTTAATTCGGATATTAGGAGACAGTAACCCTATTAAAGCCGTTTGTAACAAATCTTACGATCCTCCATGCTGTCCCCTGTCTAAAAAGAAGTCCTTCCGCCGGGATCAGTTGCAAACTTACAAGACAGTATTGCCTGCTTCAAGGCGCGTTCAATGCTATCGAACTAAGACACTGACATGAGTTTGCCGTCACTGCCATGAGGCAGAGCAACGGAGAAATCCGAGTCATCCGACCATCACAGGCTGTACAGTTGAGCGAGGTGTTTGGAAAAAAAGAACTCGCCTGTCCGCCAAAAGTGAAAATTGGAACGCGGCATTCAGTTCTACCTGCGTAACTAATATCCAGTATCGAGAGTTCGAGGTATGTGAGTACACTCCTAGTATCCACCAACTATAGCCTCCACAGGGTAAAGCGAGGCGTTGGAAAGTACTAGAGCGGATGAAAAGTCATCGGCCTTGCAAAGCCCTTTGAACTTAAAGTTCAATCAAAACTGAGCAAGGAGCCCAGAAGGTTTCTTGGAAGTGATCATGACTGATGCGATCCAGCGAAAATCACAACGGAATCTCTCAGTAATATCTCCCCCTGATAGTCATCGACAGACAACAGACCTATCAATTTCCAAATACTATTTGTCTACTGTGGCTTAACTGCGAATCACAGTGTTACTTATTTTGATGCCATCGATACTAGTGTGAGTAAACCTCGTTGTATGCCCCAGATCCATCTTGTCCTGCTGACTATCATGATATGAGGCTTACCTCTATTTGGAAATTTCGGTAGAATTCTAGCCATCGAGTACTGCTAGTGCCTTGAATCAGGTTACTGGCTCAGATTTATATGGAGCTTTGGCTCTTATTGAAGCTAGGGCCCTTGCCCCTCGCTATGTTTTCAGGTCTAGCCACTATTTGTCCATTCTCGTCGGTGTGTTAACTGAATGTCTATAACTGGTCAGATGAACATGGGTTACCTTACCCTGATCGGTCTTCGCAAAATTCACTTCAACCGAGTTATACGCCAGACTGTGGCGCCAACGGAGTCGACACCAATGACCTTGATTTCAACCCTGATATGTTAAAACATGTTAATTGGACAATTAACTCGAATATATGTAGCCGGAAGGGTTCTACTTACTTTGGCAAAATCTGCTTGACAAAATCTGAGGAATCTGCTTCATGCGTGGTGTTCAGCACCGAAAAATAGAATTGAGCCCACAACCCCAAACCAAGTGCCACGAAGACCACACGACGTCCGAATATTTAGGGTTATTTGCAGAGCACATTTCAGCCAAACGATGGAGATCCTCTTGACCGACCCGAGGTACTGGTACATAATGGAAGCAAGCAGCGAGTAGAATCACGAAGAGAGCAACAGAAAGATATACCCACTGCACATATATGACTTGAGCGATATTATGCTCATCGGGAAGCAGAAAACTTTCAGCAATTACTCGCGAAAGTGCACTTCCCACACTTTGAAACCCTTGCGCAGTCAATAGGGAAATTTCAGAATACTCGAGTGGCCACAAAGAGCGAGATATAGATTTGCTATAGCCTCCAACATGCCTAATCCAGACAGAACAAGGAAATTTGAAACCACGGTCATTGGAAATGACACTGAAATAGAAGCAGGCCAGAAGAGTAAAGCCCCCGTAGCATATATGTACAGCGCTGAGATGAATGCAGTATCAAAGCCAAGTTTCTTCAAGACGAGTCGGCCCACCAGAACTTGAACAGCGAGATAGCCTAGCCAGTATAGTCCCTAGCCAATATGTGCGTCCCATGGACCAAAACGGGCAATCCCAAACTTCAATCTAAGAGTGGTTACTAGTCCATATGATGGCCCCCATAGGAAGAAATATGTTGTAATAAAGATGTTTGGGGGATCGATTTCTTGTTGGTAAATGTGAGCATTCTTCTAGGCCTCAGATTCAAGAGATTAAGAAGTTTTGATATTGGTTGGATATCGTTTCTGGGGTCCTAATTCTCGTTTCTTGGTGAGTACTGTCATCATTTCACCCTCAGGCTCTCGCAACCTGCTGTGCTGCTATCTTCTACAGAGTGGTCAGTATGAGCATGGTCCCCTGTAACCCCTCCTTGAATTAAATTCGGGCTGATCTGAGCGGCAAGAGGCTTGAGGCTTGGAACGCAAGCGCATTAACGTAAATTTCACTTCAACAACCGCCCACGTTGTGGAATACGCAGCATACCCTGTAAACTCAGCTGGACTTTGTACATGAAAGCAAAGCTGATGGCTGAGTATATCTTGAATGCAAGCTTACAGGTATAAACCTCGTGTGAGATATCTTCTGTGTGATACGAGTGAAGTGCTTCCAGTCGAACTCTCGCTGAATTCTGAAGGAAGGCGACCCGAACAATGTCCGTCACTATTACCAAGATACTAGCCCCAAGAGTAAGCACCAAGATTGTTCGTTGTCTGAATGGAAGACAAATTCTGGTCAAAAGCAAAATTGGTATGAAAATAAGGGCGATATCCGTAGCTATTTCGTAAGGCGACGTAGATATAGCTGATATAAACTTATTGGTACACTCTTTTTTCGTGTGTTTCTTCAATTGAAACACCGCAGATACCGGCTTACACTGGAAGATGGTAGCTATCATTAGCCCCAGGCCTACAGCACTCACTATAATTAAAAGGACATAGTTTGCCCTATAGAACACTTTTTTATCTTGTGTGAGTGTAAAATGAAATGTCAAGATCGAGCTTTTGGTAGCCAATGAGGATAAATTTTAGCCCCTTTTTTCAGCAAGTGATCATCCTTTTGGTACCGTAGTAAGATCAGAGGGAGTCACATAAAGGGCATGAAAGGCCCAAATAGATTTGTTAATCAAAGCTAGGTTGTCATGTCGAATTTTGTATTCATGAAGCCCATAGCCCTTGTCCAGAGCGAAGAAGAGCGAGGCCACCAATCCGCAATCTAAGATCTATTTAACTGAATCAGCATTGATCCGGAAAGCAGTTCTATTTTATTGTAACTTGAACGCGGCTAGGGTTGCATTATTTTGACGTGTTGAAACCTACCCATGCTAGAATCATTAAATTACCAGGCAGCAGAAGTCTCCTGACAACGAAAAGTGCTGAAATCACACAAAGGGCTACAAAAAAAACAAGCAAACACCACGAAGAGTACGGATACTGCAAGAACAGTGCCTCGCCGATCATCCATTATTTAAAGGAGCGAAGTCCATCATAATCCTCAAGATAAGAAGCATTATTTATCTCCGAGTATGAACCTATACTCCGAGACAAACAGCTTCTAAAACGCCCTCGCAATGACGTGGTAGTGAGGGAGGACGGAAGTCATCAATTGGGGCGACCATTAGGATGAATGACGATTACACAAACTTTAGGGGGTAAATTTGACATCAGATAGGGATATACGAGGATTTATCTGGCTCAACCATCAGCTACCTGTATAAATCTTTGAATTAAACAGTCTATATACGATCGCCAATAAGTGCGGACATAATGAAAGCTAGTATTGCCCCGTCTTTCTTCTTCTACTTTCTATTTCTGTCAGCTGCAACTCCGGCTAACAATCCCTCTCATTACTATGAATCATATGGACTATACGAATGGGTGAGAGCTTTCTACGCCTGCCGCATTGTAAGCAGTAAATGAATCCTTGAAGACATCGTTATCTATCAAGCGTATTCCTCTGTAGAATAGCCGGATACATCCCCGTTCGTAATGAGATCGCTTTATAGAGAGAACTGAACTCTTCTTAAACGACTATCTACAGGAGACAGTTGGTTGAGGGTTTGAGTCCCGATTCTAATTTAATTTACCATGCCTTTGGCTGTGAAAGAAAACCGCTAAGATCAGTAACGACTTATGATATTTTCCAAGGCCATAGTCTAGGCACAATGCTCGCATCTTCAAGTCAATAAGCACAGTTGGTGTTTACTATGACTTCCAGAGCGCACAGAGCTTTCTAAAACGAAATAACAATTGATTCAATGACGAAGCATAAGGCCCCAGTATCATCCACTTGTTAAATCATGCAATATCGCCACCGTGAATGTCACCCTTGATGAAGTTTCCCAGCTGAAGCAACAGTACTCAACAACCTAAAGCACGGCTTCGGTCTGAATGGTGCCGACTTTCTCCGAGTCATGGTTTGCAGGAGCGTCCATTGCGTCAGCTAATTGACGAACCTTCTCCGAAGCACCAGCGCCTCCAATGATAGCTCCATCGCCATCAAAATATTTAACGATTTCTTCCAAAGGAGTCTCCTTGGTTTCGATGTAGAACTTCCAGACTACGACAAGTTCAACCACCAGCCACACACAATATACGATGTAGTACTTCCACTTGATGTGTGCAATGGCGATTGGGTTCACGTATTGGTTGAACCACAAGCTCAGGTCGACGCAGAAGAACATCAGAGTGAGACCCTTGGCACGGAGATGGTAGGGAAGGATCTCGGACGAGTATGACACAAGCATACCGCTGAAGCCAATGTTGTAGGCTATGTAATACAGGAATATGAAAGCGATGACGGCATTCGCGGCTGTTTGGTTCGTTCCGCCGTTGTCGGCTGATAATTGGAAACGAGCCAGAGCGATGGTTGTGGAGGCAAAACAAGCGATCATACCGACGCAAGAGGACAGGAAGAGCTTGCGTCGACCAAATTTATCAACAAAGAAGCAGATACCAGTAGCGGAGACGACGTTGACAGCACTGAGGATCAGGTTGATGGTCAAGACGGTGTTACTATCAGTGATGCCGATCAGTGCAAGAACCTAAAATTGTCAGTTGTTTTTGCTTACGCCCCAATGAGAAGGAATAGCGGCACATACCTTAGGCAAGAAATAAGACACAATGCCGTTGCCGGACCACTGCGAAAAGAAGCCAATGGAGATCAAGATGATTGAACGGTGACGGTTCCCGGGGGTAGACCACAGTTCAGACCAAGAGTTATTTTCAAGCTGCTTCTCAAGCTCGATAGTTTGCTTGATCTCGTCAAATTCAACATTCACCAACTCATCATCTTCATCTCCTTGAGCGTGCACATATGCCAGGACTTTCTTCGCCTTGGCAAATTTGCCTTTCGAGATGAGCCAACGAGGCGACTCCGGAACAGTCCTTTAGGTAACACTGTCAATCTATCTGGCTATCATGATTTATAGTTGGTATCTTACCATATAAAAACGAGCTGGCAAATCGACGGTATGCCCTGCAAAAGACAGGGTACACGCCACGACCAATCACTGTGTTGGATGCGGTTCGTTCCTACATTACCATTAGCACGTTATAAAATCTAGTTAGCTATATAGACACTTACCCAGGGCAACACAGGCGCCAATCAAACTTCCAACATACCAAAGAGAGTTGTAAATAGTAGTATAGACAGCTCGATGTTGTGGATGAACCAGTTCCGCCACCAAAAGAGGCGAGCATTCCTAAAGAGACAGTCAGCCCCAAGAAGCCCGGGTCGTAAGGCCAGTGCGACTTACCTGTGCAATACCGAGACCAAATCCGAGAATGATCCGACCAACGACAAATAGCGCGATACGATAACCAATGGATACCATTGCCACACCACAAATCATAATCACACATCCGAGTACCACACCCGCACGTCTTCCTAGGATATCAGCAACGTAGGGAACAACTGGGATTGCAAGCATCGATCCGATTGACATCGCCGCAGCTAGTAGACCAAGAGTACTAGAGTTAGGGTTGTTGTATGCTGCATATTGTCAGTCTAATTGTGTTGTTTTTTTCGGGAATGAAGATTCTTACACTCATTCCAACTGGTCATCGCTTCCAGACCATTCATCAAAGAGCCATCATAACCTGATAGAACATTCCACTTAGTAGCTATCTTCGAGTATTATGAGCTAGACTTCTTACCGTTTGTAGCTGATGTGATCATGGCAGCCCACAAGGTGAGATACACAAATCGCATTCCTTTCATTTTCCACCATGACACTTTGGGCCACTCGCGACCAGCGAGTTCAAAGGTATCTTTTCCCATTGTGACTTGCAGGCCGAGTGTTTTCAAGATGTAACAGGACTCTGCGTTGGAACTGGATTATGTGATCGCAATATTAATCTTAAAGATGTTCAAGAAAGACAAATAAAGCTCGAAGCTCAAGGTCACGCTCCTATTTGAAGTCCGGGGTCTGGCATTGCGGGGAAACTATTCTATCTTCAATATAACCGGTCAGCAGAGACAAGTCTGGAATTCTTGGTGAATACTTATCTCCTGTAAATCAATTGGCCAATGGTAGTACACCGTTAAATGGCTAGACCTCGGGGCTGGATAAAGCAGTAAGCCACGCGGGCAAGAAAACAACAAATGAATGGCGGTGGTTTCTCCCGAGGCCTAAAATTCAGCCTAATACCACGTTCGCCACGAAATTGAAGCGGCGGGAGAGAAAGTAAGGAACCGGGGTAGGAATAGTCTCCAGATTAATGGGGAACCGAGACCGTTGCGCGGAGTATCGGAAAACCAAACTATTCGTTAGCTCCTCGTCCGTGTTGGGTTTGCAAAAAGACATCGTAAAGCGTGACCATATTCTCGGCAGAATTCATTGTTCCCATCGTAGTCTATTTAGATAGGCTATAATCAAAGTCATTGTTGTGGATGGGCGTAAGGGACAGAATTGCTTAGTCTGGTTAATGAGGCTCTCACTCTCTAGAAAGATACACATAGATTCCCCACAATGCGGCTAAGATATTTAACGGTTCGGGAGGTGGGGAGTGGGCTTCTGTATAGTGAACAGTGGTCGAGCTCGAAGTACTGGAAAAATAGTTATACTCTTCGCACGGACGAGTAAGTCTTGAAACAAATTCATTTACCATGCTTCTTTTGCATTTCAGCCAATGCGCCTGTGATCAAATAACACCTCCTAATACCTTCGTCAACACTGCTAATGACCCCCATCGCGTTTCTGGAGTTGTATTCACTGCTTTCAGGTTTATAATCTTGTAACTACCTATCTAATAGGCTAAATAACTTTGACACGGAGCCTGTAGCAATAAACTTATTTTCGTATAGTTCAGCCCGCAGCGTGCTCTACTTGATGTTTCTCACTATGAAAGGGTCCAGGTCAGCACTTTATCCGCAAGCCAATGAGATTTCTACGAGCAGCACCATCAAGCCGAATCGAAATTCCATTGCAGCCTTGCATGGCATACATACACGTGGCTGTGGCACCGATTGTGTCCTATAGCCGTAGCAGATCTCCTGCGCGTCAAGCATGACTACCTTCTCCATAGATGTGTATTGCAATTGTCACGTGGAAGACGAGACGGCAACTTTTAGCCTTGCGCGATACGGCTTGGAAATTCATAGCCAATAACTTGAACGCGGAAAAATACTTGTCGTAGGAACACTAATAATGACTAAATTTCATACCGAGATGATAACAGCGAGCGGGAAGTGCACTTTTACAGAGTAAGAAGCGCCTTTCTCAAGCTACGTGGGCATTTAGGCTAGCTCTCCTAACCGTGGGTTTGCCTATGCGTCAAGGTGAGGTTTCATTTTAGGCACTTCGTTGACACGTAGCGCGGCAGAGCAAACTCCAGAACCACTTTTATATACGCGCTTTTTGCCTGTATTCAAGCGTAAATTTTGAATATTTCGTGATAGATAGGCTTCCGGGTTTAATATAATTTGAAATTCAAAAGATACGCGGCATATCATCGAGTTATGGTGCATGTGCTGCTCGATGAGAAGATTGATCAGCCGACCGGATATACACAGTATGATTGGTTGATCTTGGGTGCGGTTGCTGACTCGGTTAGATCCTCCAATCACAAACTTGTATTCTTCGAAATTACCTGACACGGCTTACACGGACCTGGGGCGCGCAAAACTGTAATTTTACAAATATTTACCATACCGGTGATTTCTTTTAGATTAAGTCGCCGGTCATCGACAATAATAAGGAAGCTCCCACATCCAAAATTATGTGACGGCAACACTGCATACGATGACATTTCAATCGTTTAGGACTGAGATCTACCATAAAAAGTAGTCAGACTCACAGCTGTTGACGAGCGGCATTCAGGTGTTGCGATAAGCGGTACCTGCGACGACGATACGGTGAGCACCGTGACAGCATGCCGCGTCCAGAATTGGTTCAAGAAGTGGAAGACAAAACTGAAAAGCCAAATAAGTCATAGAGGGAACGACTCCTAGAGAATAGCATAACCATAAAACGTACAACTAGAATAATTGAGTGGGTACATACCTCCTCGCGTTTTGGCATGTATGACCACGGTAGTTGACCACGGGAGTGAACGTTTCCGCACGTGACGAGATACAAAATTTGCATTTCAAATTCTTGATTTTTTCTTTCTGCACCTTTAGAAATAGTAAAAGCAGGAGATATCAACTTATCGAAGTGACTGGGCAGACTTTATTGTGGAGCTCTAGAGTCCCTCGGAGTCTATTTCCGCCGACCGTAGTGTCTCGGTAACCGCATGCCAAAGAGCCCTGTGAATGGCTTCCACAGGGGCCGATGAGGAGCGCCATGTTCCCGTGGTGTGGAAGCTAATTTCGGGTACGTGTACGAGACTCGACTTAGACTCCCGGTCTATCTTGATGATATTGAAAGGCGCTCTACCACCGACGATAGTGATTGCCATGTATGTCAAAGTCATCAATTCAACACGGATTTAGCTAATATCTTTTAGATCTCAAAGTAATGCAATCGCAGACATAACCTTGACGGTGGGCTATCTGGCTGCCCTCATGTCCGTGACATCACAATGTCTCATGCCTCGTGCCAAGTTTATCAAGATCATGCTGTTCAATCTTTTGGCGGTGTGTATCGCTGCATCGCTGTGTTGCTTGGCCAATTATTCTGCTGTCAAGGCGAGGCAGCACAGTACCCCTAGTGATGCTTCCGAGAGCGCAAGGAATGGATACAACAGCGATGCATGTGCGGTTGCAGCAGTGTGGCTTTTTGTCCTGATTTGGTTCGTACATAGTTTTGTGTTGTGTGTGCGACACTAAGGCTAACTCTGGTTGACTCCAGGCCCGCGAATGCAATCCGTGCCTGGCGACCTATGGAGCTGCAGGACCCAATGGTATCATTTTCCATTTTCTCAAGCGTCACTATCACCCGCATTGGCACCTTCGTCACCACTTCTGAAGGCCTTGAATTCATTTCTAGACTTTTAAAAACCTTTCTTATCGGGTTTGCAATCGCTTCGGCTGTGTCATTGCTTATTCTGCCCATAACCAGCAGAAGTTATGTCTTTCAAGACATGAGGGAGTATGCATCACAGGTACAACATGTTCTACAATTTCAGATTGGTTTCCTGAAAGGGAGTTCCGCATCCACGGTGTGGGTAGGGCAGGGACTTCTGAGTCGAACCCGGACCGCGTTGAGAACAGAGGATAATGGGAATGTCAGTGGAAACGGCGTGTCTCCAGGCTTACGCGAAATCAAAGGAGCCTTAAACCTATCCATGAACAAGCTCAATGCCTTGCATAGCAAATTGCATTCCGATTTGTTCTATTCTAAAGACGAGATTGCCTGGGGCAAATTAGCCGCGGATGATCTTACCAAGGCCGCTGCCTTGTTTAGGGACATACTGCTGGCGCTGTCCGGCATGTCAATGTTACCAGACATACTTGAAATGATAGTTCAAGAAGAAATGTCCAACGAAGTCAGGGAAACATTTGATAACGAAACTCTTTCAAAGCATGCCGAGGTACAAAAAAGCGTGATGATGCTTCACAAACAACTTGTGGATACCCTCCATTTGAGCTCGGCAGGTATGCAATATTTTCTCCTCACATTCGAGCTTATATCTGCGAAGCAGTTCAATACGAGAGAAACCGAGAACTCGAACACGAGAGATGAAGAATCGAGTGGAGAGTATCCGAATCCACTTCAAACCAATTTTGTAACCGAATATGAGCGAGTGCTACAGAATCTCTACAACCAACAAAGAAATGTCCCGGAAGAATTGTCGTCTATCAGGGCCTTTTCAGATAATGGAGATCCCGATGGAAATCTAAATGCAGAGTTCCTAACATCACATACTGATGTGCGGCAAGACTTCTTCCTGCTTCTCTACATGGGGCAAATGCAAAGAATACTCCTAAATTCGATCTTCGAACTCGTCATATTTGCGGATAGCAAAGTAAAGGACGGAACAATGAAATCTAATCGATTAATATTCCCTAGAGAGGAATCAGTTCGAAATTGGTTTTCTCTGAAGACGGAGCAGAAGGAATCAGAAAGTGGTATTACGGGGCAAACGAATCGGCCAAACGATAGCTCCTCTACGAGGGGCGCAAAACAGGAAAATTCAATTTCTTGTTCAGACCCCGAACATCTGCTACCAGTCAATACCTGGGAGAAAGCAAGTAACCTTTTACGATACATTCCGCAAACGATTCAATCGGAATTGAGCGTCTTTGGCTTTCGCGTCGCCGCTGCCTCATTTTGTGTCGCCATCCTAGCGTTCCTTCGCCAAACTCAGGAATTCTTCTTCCACGGACGATGTATTTGGGCAATGATTGTTATTGTCATTGGAATGTCTCCTACAAGCGGACAAACTTTGTTTGGTTTCATGGCGAGAATTATTGCCACGACTGTCTCCATGATACTAAGCTTGATTGTTTGGTATATTGTTGATGAAAAGACTCCTGGAATAATTGTTTTTTTATATTTTGCGAATGTGTTTGAGGTAAGACTTGATTCCAGTCAAACTCTCCATTCTTCTGACTTTCTTTGTTGATGATAGTATTATTTTTACGTCAAAAAACCACAATACTTCGGACCCATTGTGATCTCTATTGTGACCCTGAATGTCATAGTTGGGTATGAGCTTCAGGTTGGTATCCATCATTCTCTATCTAGTCCATATTGACTAACACGCTGAGCGACAGGTTCGCAAGCTTGGAGTTGAAGTGGCCACTTCAAATGATCAACCGTATTACCCCATATACATATTTGGTCCGTACAAATTGGCGGCTGTTGCGGCTGGCTGTGCTATTTCCTTCTTCTGGGTCATATTTCCATATCCTATAACAGCCAAATCCAAGCTACGAAAACTGCTTGGGCATGGCCTTTTTATTCTTGCTCAATTCTACGGCGCTATGCATGAATCAATTGAAATATGGATGAGAAGTGGGTTACCCGATGGCCGCAACAACGCCGCGAACGCCTCTCGCAGACTCTCTGTGGTGCGTCGCAAGCTCTTCAAAGAGGAGATGGTACTTTTGAATACACTACGTATGCATAGCCATTTCACTAAATTCGAGCCACCAATTGGAGGAAAATTTCCCAGGGAAACGTACGACAATATTATCTCTAAGGCGCAGCGTCTCCTCACCAGCATGTCCTTGATGGTTACGACTACCCGAAATCTCGAAAGACTATACCCGAGCAACAAACCAGAATTGTCTACATCTTCAACAGCTGAAACACCTGCAGCAGATACTTCGGATGAACAATGGATGTCTCATCTTGCCAAAATTGCGTTCAAATCGCCTGACTTCAAGTCTCACATTACCTCGTCCCTTCTATGCCACCTTTCCGCATCGATCATGAATGCCCAACCACTTCCTCCATACATGCGTACCCCAGAATCATTCCCTCTAGCCCGGCGAATGCAAAAGATTGATAAGGAGCTTCTCAACATTCGTCATGTGCAGGATCCTGCCTTCTCGGCTTTTGTGTCGCTAGAAGTGCTGCGGTCAGTTCTTACGTGGACTTTGAAAGATTTATTGAAGTGAGTTGCATTTATAATTTCTATGGTTTTTTACATTTTTTAACATTTCATGGTCAATTTAGGGATGTGAAGACATTGGTGGGTGAGCTGAGTTTCGCATTTGACGTCGAGCAGCCGGAGTCAGCGCATTTATTGTCCGACGAAGCATAAGCTTCCGAATCCAGGTATGTTATGATTGGGTATTTTTTTCCCTTTCAACTTTCGAGAAGTCCAAAATAAAACATCCCTAGTAGAGTTATATGTTTGATCCATGCCGTCCAACCCCCGCGGCAAATAAAGCTGCCCCATGAACGCCCTCCTGCATTATAACACTCTCTCCGTTCCTGAATTCATTCTTCAATGCATCTTCAAATGAAGTGGCGTCGTAGGCAGCATAATAACATGACGCCCGATCAACGTTCATGCAGATTTGCGGAAACGCAAGAAGCTGACTTGCAATTTTGGTCGCTTCAGCCAATGCCTCACCCTTACCAACTATCCTGTTCACAAGCCCCATCTGCAAACCCTCCTGTGCTGTGACAGCTCGCCCTGTCAAGATCATATCCAGCGCTCGACCCAAGCCAACGATGGCCTGCAACCTCACGGTGCCACCGTCAATTAGTGGTACGCCAAACCGTCGACAGAAAACTCCGAAAATAGCGTTGTCCTCAGCGACACGAATATCCGCGATGAGACTCAGTTCCAGCCCACCTGCAACTGCATACCCTGCTACAGCGCTAATCAGAGGTTTGCGCACCTGGAGACGAGAGGGTCCAATGGGGCCTGCATTTCGGCCTTGAACGCGGTCGGCTTCAACATTAAATCTGGGTCCTTTGTATTGCCTTTCTCCGTCCTCGCTACCTTGAGTAGCAGAAGTCGATGCTTTGGCTACTTCGTGCAGATCGAAGCCAGCGCAGAAAGTTCCTCCGGTGCCATATAAGATACCAACTTTCTGGGTCTCATCATTTTCAAAATCTAGAATGGCATGATAAAGCTTCTCGGCTGTTGAATGATCGATTGCATTGCGCCTGTGTGGGCGGTTGAGGGTAATGGTTGTGATACCTTCCTGGGTTTTCGAAACTTCGACAGAGTTCTCGCTTGACGACATCCTGTATTCTTTTTGATCACGATAATTCTAATTCTGGTTATGAAAGTATAGAGGAAGTGATTGATTGAGCACTGAATTTTTAGGTGTAGGAGTTGTCTGCCTATTTCTTCGTGATATTGACCAATAGTTGCGTCCCATATATGCGAAAGCCATAAAAATACAGTTTCTGATAAGTAATCATCAAAGCCATCTTACCATTCGAAGCTACAAGGCCTCGATCTCGGCAAATGGTGATTGTAACTGGACATGTGATGTAAAGTGAGGGGTAATCGACGACGGCTATTTACTATGAAATGCCAGAGCCTATAGAACATCTCCTAGATGACTCAGATCTCTCACGCTTGATCGTACCTGAAACAGAACTGCCTCTCCAGCACTGTCTAGCGTAGAGCTGTTCTTAGGCTTACTGTATGACGTTCCCGGGAACTCATTAATTAAATAAAAGAACAGATCATCTTTGCCAAGTTCTAGACCATTGTTCAAAACTTTTCCGAAAAACTGCACTTGACACTTTTTAACCCAAAATTACATCAGAATATCGTACAAATTCTACTCCTAGTCTATAACCCTCTCCGGAAAGCTAAAATCAATCCCACTTCCTCAGTCTCCAGGCATCTTCAGCAGTAAGGAGACGTTCCTTCACGCCCTCAAGATCACGACAATCGATCATCACATCGCCTTCTCCGACCGTCCCCCACATCTTTGGAGCTCCAGCAAATTCCCAGAACTTCACCATAAGGCCTAGCTCAGTCCCCCACATTCCATGTAGCTCTTCGAACTGCTCGAATGGAACTGATAGAACTTGGAGTTTCCCCTTTCCTGCAATCTCTGCCCATCGGGAGAAATAGTCCTGTATCTGATACTTGCCAGTCGTTACGTGAACATATCGACCCCCCTTGGATCCGCTCGCTGTTCGGGGGTATGGATTCTGCAAAAGTCCGCTAACGGTAACGCCGATATTACTCACTGAGCCCAGTGAGGGAAGGTAGGACAAAGGACTTGCTGGGAGGACCAGCAACCATCTTGAAGCTGGTTTCTGTTTTGACATAATATTTAGCTCACCGACACAACCCCTGTGTATCATCAGGAAAGCAGGAAGGTGGTAATCTTACAGAATAGACTGGAGTAAAAGGCGGATAGCCAAAATTTGATGGATAGAACCCAGTCAAAAGGAAGATAGTCTTTGCGTTCAAGACCGGGTCGTTCTTGATATATTCATCAATGGCTCCTTTCGCATCGAAATGTGGAACCTCCACCTCCCCATTTGTTAACTTGCTCGCAGCAGGTAAGGTGCTCCAAAAATAATTTTCGAGAGTGGGAATCTTCGCAGCGACACGGGCCAACCTCACACCTCGATCGTACTCAATTTCTTTGGACTTTTCAGGCCCTATCCCAGTACCAAAGGGCTCGTAGAAATCTGTAACGGCGAAAACGGCGTGTGCGCCGACGAAAGCTTTGACGAGGCTATCTTCATCATCTAGGTCTGCGGTTACCATTTCAATGCCTCGCTCGACTAGTCTCCTAGCATTTTCGCTGTTCGTATTTCGGGTAACGCCTCGGATTTTCCATTCGGGGTTCGCAGACAAGGCATCAATAACCCCTAAGCCTTGTAGGCCAGTTGCACCGGTAACAACAATGAGCTTGGACATTTTGGGGATTTAAGCTTGAAGATCTCCGTTCCGGATAGTGACTTTTCCAGATTCAAGGGTTGTTGTGAAGAAAGTTCTGGATCTTACATTCATTGTAATACTGGTAGGTACGGGTTTATATACCTTCAATTGAGATCGATAATCTCGTTTATCGTATTCCATCATCATCTTGCATCTAGCATTAGAAATTATGGTTTGAACACTTCCTAGTGTCGGCGGATTCTCTGATTACTTTCTGCAAGCCAAATGCCCGCAAAGCCCGCAAATACCCGCAAGAATACCCGCAAAGCCGGAGCAGATCGAAACGAGTTATGCTTACTTCTATCGCTTACCATTCGTCTTTCGCAGATTACTATTCGTTGCTCCATGTACTTATCCTACCTATGTAAGTTTTAATTATAAGCTAAACATGCGTTGCTTGTCTGTCTTTGACAATCTGGTCCTGAAATCTGTAGAAGACGTCATTACAACTATCCCCTGTTCTTCGGTGATGAGATTGTATACATTCGTAAGCGTCTAGAGATTACAAATCAGTGGTAGCTACAGAAAGTAAATACGTAGGTGCCAGGAAGCCTGAACGATGAGTAATAGGATCATATATATTCTAAGGTTGTTCAAAGCATTTCCAGATGACATCTGAGAGTAGATTCTCTTTTTATTCAAAAATTCGACCTACTCGTGAATTTTACACCACAATATCATACAATCATTATGGAAAATCTCAAATTGATACTGGTTATCGGAGGAACCGGTGCGCAAGGCAGTCCTGTTGTCAATGGTCAGTCTGAGCCAGGTGGCATTGAAACAAACCTCACCCGTTCTAAAATGATATACAGCCCTCTCGAACAGCGGCCGGTACAGCGTCCGAGTACTGACTCGAAATCCAACTTCGGATCAAGCTATAAAGCTAGCTGCCCTACCGAATGTCACGCTTGTGCAAGGCTCCCAGGACAGTCAGAAGGATCTTCACGCTGCTTTTACTGGCGTTTACGGCGCGTGGGTAAACCTTGATGGTTTCACGATTGGCGAAAAAAATGAATTATTCTATGGTATTCGAGCATACGAGATAGCTAGGCATCACGGTGTCAAGCATTACGTCTTTGCTAATACCGACTATGCTTTTCGGAAGGGTGGTTGGGATGAGCAGTATCATTGGGGACATAACGATGCCAAGGGCCGCGTTGGCGATCTGATCCTCAGCCATGGACAGTCCACTATGAAGACATCACTCTTGACAACGGGACCGTACATGGATATGCTACACGATGGAATGTTTGTTCCTGAGGAGCAGGCCGATGGTTCGTTTGTCTGGGCGAACCCCGCGGGTAAGTTATTTTCTATTTCGTGTAAAATGACTTTTTTTGTCAACTGGAAGAATGTTAATTAGTTTCACTCTATAGCGGACGGCAAGATCCCTTTGATTGCCCTCGATGATGTTGGGGTTTATAGTCTATGGATATTCGACAATCCATCAGAGTCCGCAGGCCTCGACCTGGAGGTTGCGACAGATCAAGTCAGCTTCGCTGAAATTGTGGCAACTTTTACAAGAGTAACGGGTAAGAAAGGCATACATAAGCGCATGCCCCTTGCGGAGTATCTAGAGAAAGCAGAGCCATATCCAGGAGCTTATTCAAATTGGGCGGTCAACCCCAATGTTCCTCGTGATGAGTCATTCATGACATGGAGGGAGAATTTCTCGGCTTGGTGGCGCTATTGGAGTGAGGGCAAGGGCGCAACCCGTGATATGGCATTCCTTGACCGTATCCATAGCTCTCGTATTCCGAATTTGGAAGCGTGGATGAGAGCAAAGAACTACGATGGGCGGCCACGTTCGGTTCTCAAAGATCTGCACGATGTTAGACACGCGACATTGGCAGGGAAATGAATTCCATATGGAACCTGCTGATTTCTGACGCCTTAAAGTTCACAGCATAAGGTTTCGTTATTTTAGATATTAATCCAAGTCGCTCACGATTTATTTTAGTCATATTGCTTATTCTGTAGTTTAGCGACTCTTAAGAGTTCTTATCAGTGAGTGCTTGTCAAGACTTTCGGAGCTTCGAAATGAGGCGTTTTCTTACTGTGTATATAACCACACTACCAACAGGGTTTGATAGTTCACAAAACTATTATAGTAAATAATACTTGGTTGTGCATGAGTAAGGAAACTCCCTAAAATTCCCATGTAATACACGTACAACCCCGGCGGTCCAAGAGATCTCACTACGGGCAAGAACATATTGGCAAAGCAAGAAATTATATTATTTGACTAACAATAAGTCTGTGAATCCATTAATTTATCGAGACTACTCATCCCTCCTTGAAATATTGCTGCCCACGATCGCGAATCTTTTTCACAAGACCCTTGTCACTAAGCCCAGCAGGTCCCGTCATGGTAGAATCGAACACCTTCCGAGGTCCTATGGCATTGAGCAACCACACGATGAAAGCGTTTGTTCCCTTCCAGATATAGCTAACACTATTGTCACCTAGAACCTTGGCAACAACCTGCTTGGCAAACACATCAGGTGTGATAGAAGATTTAGCGCTGTGATCCGTCCTCTCCTTGACCTTGCTCTCCACGTCAGCGTAGAGACTCTGAGGCCCAAAGTTGACGTTATCTGCAGAGCGAAGATTGGTTGAGACTTCGCCCATGAAGAGTGTGACAACTCGAATTCCAAAAGGGCTGAGTTCTAATCGTAGTGTATCAGAGTATGCTGACACGGCGGCCTTGGTTGCGTTGTATGCAGATGCGAACGGAAAAGGGAGTCGGGCGAGTATTGAAGCGACGTTGACGATTGTGGGAGTGGAGTTGGAATTGTGGGCAGCTGCAATGAGGAGAGGTGTGAACGCTGTGACGACGTCAAATAGACCGAATACGTTGGTGTCGAACATTCTTCGGACTTTTTCGGGATCAGCTTCTAATGCCGGAGCCTCGTACACTGTGGCAGGTTTTAGTATTTGTTGAGATGGAACAAATTCATGCGATGCCGCCATCTTCCCCAATGGGCTTGAAGACTTACTAGATCCAGCATTATTGTATAGATAGTCTAGAGTACCACCAGTACGTTTGGAAATTTCGTTCTTTAGGGCTGTAATACTCTCCGACACGGTAACATCCAGGGCTAGAGTTTCGATTCCATTTTCTGACAGATTGCTCATCGATTCAACAGAGCGAGCAGTTGCAAAGACTCGTAAACCTCTCGACGCAAATTCTAATGCCAGCGCATTTCCAGCTCCACCTTCCGAGCAGCTAGGAAAGTCAGTACAAGGTTAGATTGAAGGTATACAGGCTAATTGACGTACCCTGTAATAAGAATGGACGGCTTCTTGCTCGCGGACATTGTTGTATCTTGATAGCTTGGGTATTTGACACGAACTCAGTCGAGTAGGGTATATGCTATAATTGTTGCGAATGAATTGTTTTGCAGTACTCACGAAAGGAGGGAATTATTCTGTTTTTAAGTCCAGGCGATGGTGATTAGTAAGAAGCAACGCCGCAACGCTAACGGAGGCGACCGCTAAAAGTCCGCAATGTCCGCTATGACACGTACATCTGTCGGCAGGCTGATTTGTAACTAAAGCTAAGACTGTAGATGCCTCAAAATTATCAATTCATTTCAGGGCTTCTGTATTACAAATTATATAAAAAAGGAATATGCACTAGGTATAGAAAGCGCCAATCATTTTGAGTGGACGACACATACAAGCAATCGGAGTCTGAAAGATGCAGATCGATGTTACTTCTACCTCATTCTACTGATTGGTAAGTCGGGGCACAGATGGAATATTTGTAAGCTTGATTATTCATTTGAGTATATCCGAATGTCTTTCAACAGAGCTTAGTTTCGATTATATGATCATTTACTTTGTTAAATTGTTTACTCTGACATTTGCGACCGTGCCGTGCCAGGCCTAATTGACTCGTGCGGGTAGCCTGTAACCGGATTGCATCGCGAAATATAGTGACAAGAAGAAAATGCTTATATCCAAATTATATTTCAGCTCAAACTAAGTATACTGAGTCTATTACTCAAGTCACTATCTCTCACTATATTGTATGTCATCTCCTTGGGCAATATTGGGACCAGCCGAGCCTCTGGCCATGAAACTACTACCGGCGCACGAGACTCGTACTTATATCGCATCCACAGCCAACAAGGCCTCTTTTGCGTCCAAAATAGTTTGGTAGATACCTTCGTTTGATGTTAGACATCCACTACTTGGATTTTTTTCATGCAATTATGTTTTGTCAAGTAACTTACAAGCGAGTGGCCAACGGCTTCGTATATGCTCGAGTAACCAAGTCAAGGTGGCTTTAGCGCTGATAATCTCTGCCGAGGGGTTGCCTTGTCCAATTTTCATAAGCACCAAAAGGCCTTGGTAAACGACACCAGCAAGAAAGAAGGTACATTGGCCCTGCAGTAGGTCTACCATATTAGATCCTTGTTGAAGTGCTAGTGAAATTCGGCAAAGCGTATCGATGGCACTCCGTGTCTCGTCAAACATATGTGTCTGCACCTCCTGCGCAGATTTCACACCCAGCTGCTCCCAAATATGTTGTTGAAGGAGGAATAAGCCACTACTTCCACGGTCAGAATCTCTCTGCCGGCGGGAAAAATGCCTGTAATAATGCTTACCTGTAAGAGACTAGGCTTTGACAGCAGAAGGATAACCTCCGAGCTGTAATTTCCATCTCATTTGCACGCACCAAAGCTTCGATGGTGCGACAAAGCTGTACTATATCTGCTGGTAAGCTACCTCCATTGAGATAGTCAGGAATGACAGAGAGAGATCTGATATTGTCGAGAATTTGACTGATAAGGTATGTTGCTTGAGCTAGCCTGCCGAAGTGTCCGATTTTGAAAACATAGCCTTGGGAAATGGTGACAGCGTCCTCTGGTTGCGACGTCTGGGCATATCTTCACGTTAGATAATGATTGCATATCTTTGTGTAGAAAAGGAAGAGTAGAAGGGAGCCTTACCGCGTCGGCGAATCGTTCATCATCCACGGGAAGAAAATCTTCAAATGTTGGATCTGCCGTCGCCAGGATGCGAGAGGGATTCGACAAGTTCAGGAATCTATATATGAAGAAAATATCAGCCCTGACGAGTACTAAACTGTCATATGGAAGCAGAAAATTATTCTTCATCACGAGGGTAATGACAGACCGGTCCAAGATCAAGACGCCCCACCAAGCCCTACGCTTCTCCTCGATCTCCATCCATGACACCGCACGATTATGATCGCCGCCCATTCTGTCTCGATTGATTTTGTCTAAACCCAAAGCAACACCATAACGGGCACATGCGCCAACTGTCAAATATGCCCCAGGGTAGATGGCATCGCCAATCTCAAAAATTGCAATCAATATACCTGCCTGCAGGACTTGAATACATAAGCCTTCTGTACTCTCCACTTCCGAGTAGAATTTCTTAGTCAATCGATACAAAGAGGTCCGCTCTTCATCACCATTTTCACGGACCTCTAAGCAGCACAGCTTTATGCAAAGAGCTAGCAAGCTGGTTGGGCGTCGTAGGGGAGATAGCGGATTAAGTACAGCGTTGAAATAGCTCTTCCGACTGATGATAGGCATCCAAGTGATCTGAAAGAATTGGAGAGCCGTCTCACGCAGTTCTTGTCTATCACCTAGGCTCAGTATAACATCTTCGGGAATTTCCAAATTCGGGCGCGGAATTTCTAGAGAAACTTCCCGAAAGAGATCGGGTGCTAGGAAACCGATGGCAATATTCACAGTAACAGACGATGCCGAAGGCGCAGCGACTAGATGACTAGAGATTATACCATTCTTTGTCGAAGTGGGTCTCGTGATGATCGAATTGGACTCGTTGGCAGATTCTGCACGATACGGACTGTGTGGAGGGGAAGCGGAACGCTGGCCACGTCGTTGAGGATAAGTGCATTTCCATCCTTTCCGGGTGCAGAGCTCGCATGAAGGCAGGTTCTTGTCGCACCGGCGCTTACCACGACGACATAAAAAGCACGAATGAAGAGCTTTTGAAGTCATGGTTAGCTAGAGAACGGGCTGGTGATGATGGATATGACAGTCTTCGTCTCCAGCTATGCGGGGTTTGCGGAGGTTTGCGGGTGTCGGGGAATCTTGATTCGAAAAACGACTGGATGGCATTTTCTAGCCAGCAGTTTAGTCAGCAGCCACATTGTTTTTAATTTTGGATTACTAGTATATTTTACCGCATACTGTGGGCTTCATTGAAATGTTCATACCATGAAATACTAATTTTAGCATACATGTTTAACACTGCATCCGCTAGTCTACAATAGCAAGGCGTATCTCTCTCGCCGATACCTACCTAGGTATATACTTCATTCTATCCTCGCAATGTAATACACTCTCAGTATTTGAATTTGAAGTCCAATCTCTTGTTTCCGTCCAATTCACGCGCTGCCTGGTCATTTTGGTATATTATCTTTTCCTCCTCAGACATGCCGGACCACACTTTCTCTTTCTGCCGATTCAGATAGCGTAGATATTCTCGCTGGACAACGAATGTCACAAGAGAAAGAGCGCAAATAGAGATGAGGACCTTATTGCCCCTGTAATAATATGGCGAATCATCACTTCGGTAGATTTCTATAATTTCTATCAGTCAGTATGCTTTTATGAAACTCTTTTTAGATGAGGAAGGGTCAACCTACGCGACGAAATGACCGATCCAATCTGAACAATCACATTATACGTAGCAGTCGTTATAGCCCTCTTTTTCACATCAAACGTGTTCTCCGAGATCCACGCAGCAACGATTGGGTGGAAATAAGGATATCCTGATATCATCGTAGTGATTGCAAAACGGCCCCAGTTGTCACCATGCGCTGGCAAGGCTAAGAGCGCAGCCAGCAAAGGTAGAGACCAGAATTCTCCGATCAAACAATGGAAAGTGCGTTCGTCGAACCACTCACTGCTCTTGGCTAACAACAGCATCAGAATGATCTGCAATACGGCAGATGGGATTGATAGCATATTTGAGTCGAAAGTTGAAAAGCCTATTCTTTTTAGGGTGAGCGAGAGGTATCCCTGGACTGGACTTTGCGGGATGTAGGCTACGAGGCCAATGAAATAAAGCCCCCACATCGATCTGTCGCTCAATGCATTGCGAATATCCTTGAGGGTCGCGGGCTCGCTAATCTCGGTAAGACCTTTGGACGGATCGTCACGGAGGAGTCGCTAGCTGGTTTAGTGTGACTATTCTATAGACTTCAGCGAAATGGATTGACTTACATTGATCATGATTACCTCCTGGCGCTCAGTGTACCATGACTTCGGGTACAAAATGCTTTTCGTATTCGTCGGAGAGCGTGGCAAGTAAAGCAGACTCTTTGGGATTCATTAGTCTATCGATGTGGTACTGGTGGCTGAAGAGTATGTTACTCACGATAATTCCTATTCCGAGAGTAAGGAGGCCCTCGATCAGAAATAGATAAAACCAGCCAGCCCTTCCATTTACACCTCGCATCTGGAGAATACCTGCGGCAAGGAGGGAAGAAATGACTCGTGCAACCTAGACATATTTTAGATGAAGGTCACGATATAGTAGTGAACAGAAGCTGCAACGACTTACATTCAGTGTGGACCAGAAAAAAGCCAATCGTACTGACAGTTCATGCGCCTTGTAGAAATAAGTGGCAAACAGGATCGTTCCAGGGATGAAACCTCCCTCGAAAGCGCCAATGAGCGCACGAGTGACATAGAAAGAAGCACGGCTAGTCATGAAGGCTTGGGCCCAGGATACCATACTCCAGGCAATCATCATAGTCGGCAGCACAATACGAAATCCGTATCGCTTGATGATTAGTTGAACTGGAAATTCGGCGGACAAAAAGCAGATTAATTGAATGGTCGTTCCCTGATATCTGATTAATACACTGTCTATACCAAATCAGTAAAGCAGGCGATTAGCTTACATTGTTATAGTCGTTCGTAGTCATTTTCAGATCTGCGAGAAGGTTGTCCGTCAAAGCGTTCGAGAGGTTGCCTCGATCTAGCTGCAGCCCAAGGAACTAAAAGACATCATAAGCATTTAAATGAGGAACTGAGAGCGAAATCGTGACGAACCATGATACAGACCCAGCTGAGAAAGAACAAGTCTGTTTTCCATACCACCGCTCTCTCCTCCTTTGGAGTCCATGTTGCCCTCGGGTCAAAGCGATGAAAGCCTTCGTATGAAGGATGCGGCGCAATGACCTCGGAGAGATCCTCAGTTATCACGGGCTTCACAGGATCATCTCCATGATGTTTTGCGTTGAAATCAACGGATTTATCAGCGCCCACAGTTTCAATGTCGGTCTCCATTGTAGCGGTCGGACCACGTTTGAAGTGAAAGACCGATGAAGTAGTACAATGTCATTTTAGCAACAAAATAATTGATTCGACCCAGCTGTAAGGTTATTTATATTCAATTTGATATACCTACCACCGGGCCATTGCCTGTTTTGATCCGAAGTTGATATTTTCAACATGTGCGTTGCTAATCGCTTTCAACATCAACACCAAGATGTCGCAATCCCAGCGAGAATGGCGTTGAGCACTAGCGCAAGAATCTATAACTTTAAAATAAACGGTAAATCGTAAATTGGACATGGAGCCTAGAACGTTACACAATGATAACCCTCTCTCTACGTACTTTACTACATGTTCTTCTTCCCCGCACATTATTCGAAGTAGGACATCACGGATTATGCGATCTTTGAGCAAGAACTAAGGTGCATCAGTCCCGGTTATTGGAGGGCTACTTGAGTAGTAGATTTGACAGAGTAATGAAATAATTGAATGGAGTAATAATGATCCACATGCCCCGCCTTCTCATATTGGACCACAGGCTTGTCATCCGAGAATTTTCCCGAGATAGCTTCCGGACTCGTTTAGCTTCGGAGGTACGGACTTCGGAGGTACGGAGGACATTTACGGTTAAGGGATAGCTAAAAGTTAGTTCTGCGGCTTATTGAGTTGACTTCCTTCTGGGGTTAGTAGATCTGTTGCTTGGGACTCTAATGACCATTCCTTCATCTTTCACCAATTGTCTACGAGAGAATCAACATCAAAAATCATAAAGAAAGAACCGAGACTGAGGACAAAGATGCCTGCTATACATCCAATTGATAGACCTAACATCCGAGGTGGTCACGACCAAGCTCGACCGACTATCAGTGAACCACTTAAATATTCCGGGTCTCTTGACAATATTAAATATAGGGACCTGACACCAGTCATTGGTCGAGAATACACAGGTATACAAATCGCGCAAGTTTTGGATTCAGAAGATCGTGACCGCCTGATTCAGGACATCGCGACAATAGGTAAATGACACTGTCCTAATATTGAATGCGAGTATGAGCTAATCTCTTTCAATATATATAGTTTCTCAAAGGGGTGTGGTGTTTCTACGAAGTCAAGATGTGACGCACCTTCAAATGAAAGATTTCTGCGAAAGACTTTCTACTCTTGCCGGATGTGTAAGTGGCCTATATTATCACCTATTAAATACAAAATCAGTATCATTGACAACAAGACGATGCGGAACAGCCTCAGAGTTCTTCGCTGCATATCCATCCTTTAACAGAGGAGGGAAGCGAGCTAGGCGACCAAATCAGCCTCATTAGCAGTGAGAAGCAGAAGAAAGGTGGTGGTCTTACTCATCAATTGAGTGATACATCTCGTTTTGCCTCTGTCGGGTGGCATGCCGATATAACATTTGAAAATGTCCCATCCGATTATGCCATACTCAAGATCCACACTTTGCCTGAGACAGGAGGGGACACCCTCTGGGCGTCCGGGTACGAGATTTATGATCGCCTATCTCCGTCAATGGCACAGTTCTTGGAGGGACTTACCGCTACACACGATGCGACATTCTTCCACGACGAAGCTAGGCGACTTGGGAATCCGTTGCGAGAGGGTATCCGAGGCTCTCCGTTGAATGCCGGATCATCTCTTACTGCAGTTCACCCTGTGATTCGTACTAATCGTAAGTCCTTGGTTGTGCCGTTCAAATTATGACCAACCTTTCTAATTGCACCATAGCCGTAACTGGTTGGAAATCAGTCTTTGTGAATAAAGGCTTTACCAAGCGCATAAACGGCGTCACCAAAGATGAGTCGGATGTACTATTGCAATATCTTTTCAACGTGAGTTTACGTACATCAAGGAACTGAGACGGCAATACTAATTTGTTATGTAGCTCCTTACTCAGAACCATGATGCCCAAGTTCGCTACAAATGGAATAAGAACGACGTTGCTATATGGGATAACCGGTCTAATTGGCATTGTGCCACCTACGATTACGATGATACTAGAATTGGTGATCGAGTATGTAGTCTTGGTGAAGCGCCGTATCTGGATTTGAATTCCCAGTCAAGGCGACAGGCTTTGGCTGAGAAATCCTAATCTCAACAACCTTAGGATTTTGTAGTATAATGAAATACCTTCTGCTATGGCCTCATCTTATTACTTGATCGAATTACTGAAGGGTCTACACATTTCGTGCATAAATTGCTGAATCGATTTGTTATTTGCATGCTGGCAAGAGCCATCGTGGGTTTTCCATCGACCACCCCGTAGCCAAATATGTCGGTGGATAGGTATGCATCCATCACAATCTTGAAACACTACCTAGGTAAATATGTAGTTAGCATCTTGTCGGCGATTCTATATGAATTTGGATGAATTTTGAAATTAATTCAAATTTTTAATCCACTGAGAACCTTGGAATCAAGGTCAACCAAAAAAGTGCAAGTATCAGTGCGCCTCTTCCCCCGATATTATTCCCGAGCCCCTCCTCTCCCCGCTCGACGAATAATAATTTTTCTTATGAGATACGTGGTTTTGTTCAAAGTCACCTCGTTAGCGACTTAATATTTTATTAAGATTCGTGCAAAGAATATAGTCCATTTCCATCACATATTATTACAGACATTCGCTTTCCGTCGTCCCTCCCAAAAACAACACAATGGCTTGGCCCAACAAGAATAAAGATATGCTTTATCGTCGAGTCGGTAACTCAGGATTACATGTCTCGGCGATTGGCTTAGGAGGATGGGTTACGTGAGTTCTCTCCTTCGATTTTAGAGAATTAGGACTGATTGAAAGCGCAAAGATTCGGTGGACATGTTGGAAAAGGTACAAGAATAGCTGGGAGATTCGCGCCGGGCAACGAACTGAATACTAATGAACGATATTCTTAGAGGAGACGATGCGATGTATGAAACAGGCATACGAATGCGGTGTTAATTTTTTCGATACCGCGGAGAGGTAAAATTTCTTTGCTCAATCAGATGACTGTAGTTAACGGTATGTTGCAATACTAGCTATGCCAATGGCGAGTCTGAAGTCGCAATGGGAGAGGCCATTCAATCCCTTGGATGGAAAAGAAGTGATTTTGTCATTAGCACCAAGGTCGGTAATGAACAACATACAAGCGTACAAAATGGTCACTAAGACACTCGAGCAGCTGAATTGGGGTATGGCAAATGGCGAGATTCTGATCAACAACCATGGTCTTTCACGGAAACATATCATTGAAGGCACACGCGCTTCTCTAAACCGTCTGCAGTTGGAGTATGTCGATATAATATACGCACATAGGCCTGATCGTCTTACTCCAATGGAAGAGACAGTTCGTGCCTTTCACTACGTGATTGAGAGGGGATGGGCTTTCTATTGGGGTACTTCCGAATGGTCTGCGGACGAAATACAAGAGGCATGCGGAATAGCAAAGAGTCTGGGATTGATAGCTCCAATCGTTGAACAGCCGCTGTACAACTTGCTGGATCGAAAGAAAGTGGAGGGTGAATTCCAGCGATTGTATTCTCGCTGCGGATTGGGTCTGACGACATTCTCTCCGTTGAAGATGGGACTGCTGAGTGGAAAATACAACTCTCACCCCACAGCGCCGCCGCCAGGATCCAGATTTGCAGACAGCAATGACAAATATGTCAAAAGCGTTCGCGAAGAAAGCTATGGAAACGAGGAGTGGACCTCTACTATTCAGAAAGTAACCAAGTTGCAGGTACGTGAATTCCTACTCCAAATAACAGACCAAAACTAACGAGAGAAACTATGCAGGATTTATCCGATCGATTGGGCTTCAAGCTTTCCCAATTGGCTTTGGCATGGTGTTTAAAGAATTCCAACGTGTCGTCCGTCATAACTGGCGCCTCACGTCCTGAGCAAATTGTCGACAATGTCGCGAGTTTGAAATTGCTTCCCAAGCTCACAGAGGAAATCATGGAGCAGATAGACGCAATCTTAGAAAACAAGCCGCCATTAGATCCTATCCGACAGGACTAATTGCTTTATCAGTTTCCATGTTACACTGAATAGATGAATGGTGTTTGTATAGTGGTACTTTTGTAATTTATATCTGATTGACCAAAGAGGGTTTACTGTCCATTGAATTACCATAGGATGTAAGTAATAGCGGCATAGGAGATTGCTGATAGACAGACTCAGCATGATCTCGAATGTGCCGGACTAGGTGACATGCTGATAGGGCCGTTAAGAGCCGCAAATCTATGCAACCCGCTCAACCCATCTTGTGGACTCAGATTACGAAGGAAAAGAATCAAACTCCATGACAATAATGCCAGAAGTTTGAAAATCGCTCAATTCAGAAGAGCGCTTCTCCAGGACTATCGTTGCCAAGCTCATAATGGTCTGGCGTGAAAGGAGTCAATGTGGAAACTGATCCTTCATTACTGCCCACGAGTAAAGAAATGACGGGATTCAGCGCCGACTCGGATATTTCTTGCGACGAGCGCATGGTATCTTGGCCTATGTACTGGTCAAATATGACTGGAAGCCTCCCCAGCGAATCGATGTCAATACTGGGAATGTTGTCGCGGTGTTGATCAGAATAGTCATCATTGGCGGATCCTAAAAGTAGACTTGTTTCCATAGATGATAAAGCATCATCAAAGGTTGGCAAGGATAAAAGAGTCGGTCTCTGGTAAAATTTGTCGTCGTCTCCATCAAGCGAATTTTGGGGTTGTTCATTGTTTTTATTGTCGAGAAGAGACCTGTTTGATAGTGGCGGGCAATATCCCGTTCTAGCATGCACCTCTGCTGTCTTTTGGCACAGTAACTCTATAAGACTTTTCGCAGCTTTGTGTCGAAACGAGGACATCAAAGAATCTAGATGCGTTAAGATGCGGCTTGGTGATAGATCGTTTGTCCAATTTGGTAAACCGATAGGGAGCGTTGCCAAATGTGATATTGAATCAACAACCGAACTTGCAATTTCTACGATTTTCAATTGCTGGTCATAATGTTAGGCACGTTTCACTCTGAGGACTTTGAAATAAGCTTACTATTGTTAGACCATGGGCTTCAATGGCCGATGTAGGTAGCCTGACAACAGTGTTTAGAAAATCCGACGCCGCACTAAGAGGGAACGCAACAGATACAGCATTGCTTGACGAGGATGATGGCGAATGAAGCTTCCACAGAATCATTTTCATCCAATGTCGCGTTACATATATATCCACTTTCTGCACGTCTGAAATAGGGACCTGTTCCTTGGCCACTTCATGCAGTTTTCGATGGAGGGTCTCTACAGTTTGAGAATCAAGAATAGCAGTAGCTCTAACCATGGATGAAAAATCAGTATTATCACCATCTCCTATAACAGCGAAGAGTCCAGCCTGCTCAAACGTCCAGAAGAGATTTATGAGCTGAATGAATGCTGGGAGCACCGATTGCCCATCATACCAGCTCGTTGACGGAAGTGAAATATTTGTCTTTATAATCACAGGCATTTTATGGAGGAGACAGACGCCTCGTTCTGTAACGAACAAGAGCCACAGTATCCACCGACGGAGATCGATTTCTTCTGTAACACGATCTGTATATGATCTTTCCTGGTGCAGCGACATGAGTTGGGCTATCGAAATCGATTCACGCAAATATAGCAATGACTCAGCGCATCCTGGTTGTTGATTCTCGTGATAAATGTGTAAAAAGAACAATATTCGGATAGTGTTCAGATTAAGCCGGCTCTTGTACCGTATGATATTACACGCTTTCTCACACTCGTACACCATATCACTCGCTCGAGGTATGCATGTGTATTCGCCTTCTTTCTGGTCGAGTCTTAGCTGAGCGACTGTCGCGGCGACAATTGATGTGGCTAGGGCATAGGCTTCTAGGTAATCATGGCTATCTTGATCCCCCTGTTGCAGATCGGCGATCAATTCATCAGTGTTGACGATGGGCCATACGGGAAACATCTTCAAGTGGTATATGTACAGTTGCGGTGCGAGGGTACCGACCGGGATGCGGTTCCACGTCCTGTACAATACTGGCAATTAGAGATCGACACTGATAAAAACAAAAGGTGCATGCATCGATATACCTATGGCTTATTGACACAGCCTGAGCCGGATCATTCTCCAAGCCAAAAGCACCATTGTCATCAACAGACTGATGTCGCTCCTGTCGCTGTATTCTCTCTATGATATTCCTCGTCGTCTCGCGCATGCGACGTGGTCCTCGCGTCTGCACGGTGCGAGAAAATGTACACGCGATCTTTGTATTGGCGCAAGACAGGCAGGGCTGGCCCCCGTCGCATTTAACTTTGCGAATCTGACATCCGTCGCAAGCTCGCTTCGTGCGAGCTATTCGACTTCTCGGAGACGAAGACATCGTTTGCACTTTCTAGACATATCGACCTAGTCTGACTGTATACTCGTAATCGAGCCGATTGCTAGAGCTCGATTTGAGTTCGTCGCGGATTATTCACAGTAGAGAATTAAACCGAGGAAGACGTTGGAGGCGTTGAACGAGAAGAAGAGCAGCAATAACGACTTTACCCCACTCAATGTCGCCATTTCCGATGGTCACCCAGGTCCAATGGGCGTGTGAGGATTCGTGTAAATCATATTAGCGCCAAAGCACAGATTTATTAATAAAAACCTATGAGAAGGTTCTTAACCCTAGTGCGTAGGGATTTTCGAGAATCTCACCAGCTCTAGCCAGGTGGTGTTGGTTGCTTCAACCCTAATTAACCTGATCGACCTCCTCCCAAAATACGCACATAATTACAGAGACAATATGTCCGTTTTGCCTATAGGCATTTCAAAATATCACTATGCAAGGAAGTCTTTGAATCTGCGATCTTGACATGAAAAAAGTTGTCGGGGTTAGAGCTCGCTAACTCCGAACACATGTGCAATGCCATCAGGAGAATGTCTTATTGCCGTTACGGCCGCCATGCCTCGATCTGACACGCCGACTAAGATGTTTGCTTAGTGTTACTATCGAGATAACCTGGTACGATCATCTAACGAAACCATAAGGAGATATGAATTCAGTCTAGAGAAGACCTCATCAGGCCTCTTGATGCCTCGTATACCTGATGTTTTGTCCCCAACTACGGAAATAATGAGGACTCTATTCGGCTTCATCAAGGTCAAACGGAATCATCGACGCCTATTTCCGGAGTTGTCTGAATGACAAGTCGTACTACGTTTGAAAATTTTGTAGTATAAGAGTAGCACTGAGGTATATGAATGGATATCTCGGCATTCACTATTAAGCTTCATTGCTGTGGTACGAGTAAGAGTCAGTTTTTCCTAAAAAGAAAGTTTTGTCAAGATGCCACGAATCCTTGTACTTGGTGCCACGGGATATCTGGGTAATCGTATTGCGAATTTGCTCGTTCAAAGCGGCCAGCACTCGGTTTACGGTGTGGCTAGATCCTCAGAGAAGGCCGTACAATTGGCAAGAGATGAGATCACCCCCGTACTTTGTCTCGATCCGGTGAACAACCCAGAGCAGTATCTATATGTGATTCGTTCAGCATCCATCGACATTGTTATCGACTGCGCCCAAGCACTGCAGCAAGCTCACAGTTTTCTCGAGAACATCAAAAAAGTCGGCCAAGAACGCTTGGATGCTTACCAAACTCGCGGCACAAGTGGCCCCAAGTTGGGATTCATTTACTGCTCTGGAGTCTGGGTGCATGGTTCATCGGACAAGGCCGTCACTGATCTTGACCTCGTAGGCTCAGACACAGCAACCCCACCACCGGAGCTTGTCGCATGGAGAGTCGACCTGGAGAACGCGGTTCTTGCTTCAAATAACGTGCTAGATGTTATGGTGTTACGGCCTGCGCTTGTATACGGACGTCAGCCGGCAGTCTGGTCATCTTTCATTGCACCGGTTTATGAAGCCATAAAAAACAAAACAACGGAATCTATTCACGTCCCGCTAGACCCCAAGTCAAGACCTGGTCTGATACATGTCGACGATTCAGCTACAGCATTCGTCAGCGCAGTCGAAAAGTTGCCTCTTATTTCTGGGTCTGGCGTATATCCCGTTTTTGATCTCGTTACCAGCCAGGAAAGCATGTGCGAGATCTTTCAGGCATTAGCTACTTGTTGGGGATTTCAGGGTGAGGTACGATTGGTCGGACACGGTGATGATATTGTTCGAAAGGCTGTAAGTACTACATTCCGTGGTAGCTCGGCTCGTGCAGAGCAATTGCTTGGATGGCAGCCAAAGAGACTAGGTGGATTTGTGAAAGATATGGAGATTTATGCTGCTGCATTTTCAGCACACTTCAGTAGCCATACTTGATTTCTCATATTTGTCCCATTGTTTGGGAGTATTTTTTGTCAATATAGGTTCCGAGGCATGTGTTGACTTTTGGTTGACCATGTTGTTTGGGATCTAGTGAAAAGTGTCTGTTCTACCATTTTATGAAATAGACTGAGTGATCTCCGATTAGGTTAAAAACAATGCTTACAGTATGCTAATTGTTTGATACATTTAACATCAAAATGATAAGAAGCTGTCGGAAGTGAAAACTCATGACGATAGATGGAAATCAATGCCCGCCAAAGCTTCGAGGTCATCAACCTAGTCGGTCAGTTCAGAATATGACCTGGCAAACGAGATGGATTTTGAAGACTTACATTAAGCCTATCCACTCCTGCATCTACCAACTCTTGCCACAAGTCAGTGCTAGGAATGTCCCCTAAAGATATATTAGTTCGCAAGTCATGCCTATAAATGAGATGGAACATACAATATCGAACAAGGAATCCTTTCGCATGGCCTGCATCCAATTGTTCCGTTAGCTTCTCTTGGTTTGAAGACGATAGAGGCGCCGATCCCGAGCTAGTGATGGCGCTATCAAAATCGGCACTTGAATAGTATGTATTGGAAGTATCATATCCATCCAGTGACTCATTTACACGACTATCCATAAACATGTCATGGTTAGGATTGGCTGTGATATTTGTTGCTTGGGCCCAGGGTGCATTTCCGCTGGTGACAATGGTGACAGGGCGTGATGCAAATTCAGACCCATCCCAGTAGCTCAGATAGCCCGCATCCCTAAGGGGCTGCAACGCAGTGTAGACTGCGTCCCAGGTCGTGGTACCGTCGCTCTTGAAGTCCACAAGAAGCACGAGGGACTGGTTTCTTCTCTGAGGATAGACACCGTTTCCGTTACCACCGTCAGAATTTTGCGCATCTAGCAGCGCAATAAGCGGATTGATATACAAATCTTGGATTGTCGGTCCACTGTCTCCTGGGTCGGTGTGTGCGACGCGTAGATTGCCATTATGCAACCACACGTCGGCTTCAACGCTCATGCAACCAGCACTGAGTGCATCGTATAAGGGAATATCTCTTGTGTAGTCATTATGGCTATGACAAGGCAAGGGTATCACGTCGGATGTGAAGGTTAGTGGAAACGGACTTAGAGCCACATTGCCGCTGCCACCTAACGCTGATAACGCTCCGCTCGTATACAGTTTATCGACGGCATCCTGAGCGGGTGGGACGTTTTCTCCTAGGGCATGGTAGGAGATAGCGTCAGAGCCAACCTGCCAGGTACCCCCCTTGGTATCAGAATGCTCACTGCCCCAACACTTAGAATTGTCGTTTGATAGTTTCTGTAGATAGGAAGTGCAGTTTTTTACTAGCCTTTTGGTAAGCACAGTACTTGCTATATCATGTTGTACATATACTTACAATCAACCGTGTGCGAGGCGGAATTTTGCTTGTTGTGCACTTCAAAATAGACATAACCTGGAATCCCGTTTGTGGAAGGATTACCTCCACCGTCTAGAAAAACGTGAGTTGCTAACGAGAGATAGCCCCCAGCTGGTACGGTCTGTCCGCTAGCCTGTTCGCAGAATTCGGTAACAGCAGTTAAATAGCCTCGCCTCGGGATCTCACCATTGTTTGAACTCACATCATCCCGTGCCATCCAAGCACTGCCGCAACTCGAGATGTAGTCCGATGAACGTTTCTCGTGCGGCGCCGCTTGGCAAAGGGATAAGAAGGAGAGAGCACCGAGTGTGACCAGAATTTGCTGCATCTTGCTGATACCTATGTTTACTTTGGCTTGTATAAACACGAAAGAAGGAAACTCTATAAAAAAAGAATCAAAGTAGCGGGCATGACGGTTCCTGCAGGAAATTCAGGAACCTTGTTTTTCCCAACAGTAAGTCACCATGAGCTTTACTCATTGCGGGGGTGATCTCCATTGAATCGCAGGGTATGATCATATGGCAACTTAAGGTTCCATCGAGCTACAGCATGTTAGCGTTGTGAGCGACTCTACTGGACACGTGGGTCTAAGTAATGATTGGGACGGCCGGTTGATGCTTAAAAATATCGTGGGGGCCATTCGAAGTGTCTAAATGCTAAGTTACTGCAAAGTAGATTTTATGTTTGGATGTAACTGTCCTGAGAATTGAGGACATAAAAACTTGGAGACGGGGCTCCCAGCAGGCATTACAGTCATCGAACATGGTTTCCCGGGTGTAAGTACCAATCATGACCTGGAATGTCGCTCACTTGGAGCCGTTTAATACGCGCAACGTAGAGCTTAAATAGGAAGGCACAGCATTAGGTTCACCTACCGTTGCTGGTAAATAAATGCGATGTTGTATAATTCGACAGACAGTGCGGTTCGAGTGTATCAGCGCGATAAATCACCAAGAAATAATAAGATGCGAGGGAAATAGCTTCCTATTATCATGCGACAGAGGCGTTCTTATCGTTATCCAACCCCCTGAATATACAGGGTTCAATTGGACACATAGGCTCGGATGCGTCGCGGCTAGCTGCTACAAACAAAGAGAAAGATAAGACTTCTCTATTTAGCTGGTATTTTATTTTTGATTATAAATGTGATGCAGTAAGCGGCATATCTAACACTGTTAGTGCATAATTTTCATTTTCTTTTTGTGTCCCTAATTTTCATCCATCATATCTTCAAAATTGGGTATTCCTCTGACTTTGCTATTGAATCCAACTGTTATATTCGATGCAGGGCATGAAACATACGGCTCSTGAATCACCAAACTGTTCGCAAAATGGGCGAATTGTGTTCTTTTCTCTGTTACGCGAGAAGCCCGCAGAAGATGCAGTCGCCCCCCCTCCCGATGGAGGATTGCAAGCTTGGACGCAGGTTTTGATGGCCCATCTGATTCTCTTCTGTACCTGGGGCTTCATCAACTCTTTCGGCTTCTTCCAAGCCTACTACGAGGAAACAATGAGTGTTGACGCTACTCAAATTTCTTGGGTTGCGTCTGTCCAGGTATTTCTACTCAGCTTCATCGGAAGCTTTTCTGGTCGCTTGATGGACGCTGGGTACTATCGCTATTGTCTGGTCGGTGGATTTACCTTTCAGATCGTAGGGATCTTCATGGTGTCACTGTGTAGCAAATATTGGCAGGKGTTCTTAGCCCAGGGTATCTGTTGTGGAATCGGAGACGGACTTCTCTTCTGTCCTACGACCGCTTTGATAGCCACCTACTTTGTGAAGAAACGCTCCTCTGCGCTGGGTATCGTTCTATCCGGCTCTAGCACCGGTGGTCTGATATTACCCATCATGGTCCAGCAGCTCCTCCCAAGAATAGGATTTGCCTGGACGGTACGCTGCATGGGTTTTGTTGTTCTTTTCTGCTTCATAGTATGTTTGGCATTGGCACGTACGAGATTGCCGAAACGAGTAAGTGGCCGGCTTGTCGAGCTCAGCGCCTTCCATGAATGGTCATACTCGTTGTTTGTCATTGGTGTTTTTCTTACCCTCTGGGCTGTGTATTTCAGTTACTTCTACGTGAGTTGCCTTTCCATCCCTGGCTAACGTCGGTATCTAATATATCCTCGTTAGATTGACTCCTTTGCTCTCGATGTCATCGGAACTTCCAGGTCCGATTCACTCACCATGTTGTACATCATTAATGGCATGGGAATACCAGGTCGTATCATTCCTGCATTGATTGCGGATCGGTATTTTGGTATTCTCAACACTTATCTCGTACTTGGGATCATTGCAGGGATCTTGCTTTTCTGCTGGATGGCAGTGAAGACCTATGCGGGGATGATTGCCTTCGTTGTTTGCTATGGCTTGGTTGGCGGAGGCGTGCAGGGGRCTGCCTTGTCGTCTTTACCCACTTTGACCACGGATCTCAGCAAGATGGGCGTTCGTAGTGGCATGATCTTGTCTATAGTCGCCTTTGCCTGCCTGACGGGACCTCCCTTAGCCGGGGCACTTATTCAATGCGACAATGGATCATATACCTACGCCTGTATTTGGGGCGGAACATCGTTAATCTTGGGGTCATTCTTTGTGATGGCTGCTCGTTTAGTGATGTTGAAAGCTCCTTGAAAAGGTATTCTAGCGCAGAGACTCTACACCCTTATTTTTACCACCATGCCTTCACCGATGTAATTTCCAACAAGCGGAAGAGTACACGTTATACATGCAGCAAACACCAATTTCTGCTTTATACCAATTAATACATGGACAGCAACTAAATCAAACATCTAATACCTACAAAGTAGTGGGTTATATCTTGCACACTTCCGTTCCTTCAAATATCGTCGTATAGCCTAATAACCAACACGTTCTTGATGATCATAGAATTTGTATTGCTATGGGCGAGATTAACGGGCTTATGCTCTTCTTGCCAATTGTATTTGGATAGTTACCAAGTACGTACGCCATCACCGCGCCACTCGGAGTGCCAATAACTGCGTAGAACTCTGGAGCCACCCAGTGAGTCCACGATCATCGAGCTTGTCAGTCAATTATTGCGTTTCTTTAATTTACTCCACCGGAATGAATCAAAAAAAAAAAATCCCAAACACAGTTATTGGAATACTTAGGGCAAGTAATGCAACATTTCTGGGCAAACTGATCGACAGCCTTAGGGCAGTAAAATGAAACTGCTTGAGAAAGTAAACGACGACATTATCATACTGCAAGTTGAATTGCGAGAAAGCTTACTTGCACAACGTGTCATCTAGCAGTCAAGTTATATTTTTGTATCCATTGTGATGTGGTATATACTGTTTGACCTATGAATATAATTTCCATCTACGCCTTTCAAACCACCCCCTAGACAGTGGAATCATAGATTTACTATGTGTCACGTAGCGACAAGAAAAGCAATACAATAGTCTCGCGTTTCAATTATGTCCAAGGGACCATATAGGATCAATCGCTATGATTCGTGATAATAGTCAAATAGAGCGTGAACTTTGTGATCAGCTTTGAGGAAAAGGTCATGAAATCTACTCGATGATACGAAAAAACAAGTATACCAGACATAAATAGTTGTACTTGAAGCTCATATGACCGTAGATAGCTATTGCTAGCTAGACTCTCTTTCTTCATCTACTTATCCGTAACATTTTGTCAATCCGTTGGTATGTCTATTCTCCAAGCTAGCAGCAGGACGGCAGGCCCCTAGTTGAATCGTCTCCTCGGCAAAATTCATCAGATGCAATTCATCATTCGAGAGACTATCAGCCCGGGCTATCCGCATTTAAAGACCCTTCAGGACAGTAGAGTACTAGAAAAGGAACTATAAAGATACCAATGAGAGTTCCACAGGCGCTAGATCTCTCTTCCTACATGTTCCTAATTGCCGATGAGAATTGCGAGATGTGGACCGCGTAAAGAAACGGCCACAGTCCTTGCACTGATGCCTTTTCGCAATGCCTCCCTTTTCGCGGAGATGTCGGCGATAATTGCCCGTGGATGAAAATCCTCGACCACCACAATTATGATTCCAGCATCTGATTTCAGACTCATATTCATCTGATCTATCTTTCGCACGTTCCTGTGGTTCTATTTCCTTTGATTGCTGTTACATTCGGAGAAGATCCGTGCCTAGTGGTGTCTACAATGTTGGTGTTTGGGTAGGATATGAACACAACAAATAGCTCGTTGTGATCAGTTGCGATAATGAAGGCCAGAGGAAAGAATTGCGTGGCGTATATAACAGTGGTGGATCAGTTTCGGAACACAATATGGCATCAGGATTGGAATCCATATCAATACTTGAACGTCGTTCAGACTCCACTGTTTCGAGCGTATAGAGGTCGTGCGATTTCCTTTTGCTGGCTCGGGGTCTTGTCTATATAGAGTTTTAATTGCAATATTCGTATATATTTGGAAGAGTGACGATAATCCTTAGTTGCCTAAGAGGACAATATAGAGCTTTAATCACGGGAGACACTTGTAAAAGATCAGATCAGTTTGACAACGTGCTTGACTTAGATATAGCCAGGCTGAATTTCACCGTTCATCAATTAAAGCCACAAAATAGAAATGATCAACTATCCAGAAGAATATTCCGGAGCACTTTGTGGAACCTGGGATAATATAAATGACTATACTTTATGTGTCATGGCGTTGGAGCAAGTGATTGGCCGTATATTCAACGTCGAAGGCATTGCTTCTATTTTGTAAGATTGTTTTGTCCTTTAGGCCGATAGTATTTATACGATCTGAACCTTGTTGGATTCACAGTCTGTCTATGACTACATTTTTTGCCCCCAATTCGTTACTTCTTCCGGCTTTTCTTCACGAAGCATAATATTCTATTATTCTTGTCGGCCTTTTATCTCATTACCAGTGCCCTCCACAGTCTCAGACCAAGGCAATTGACTATACCGGTTAGAGTAGGAAATATGGTACAAGGTTTGCGTAGTATTGCAGCTCGTTTCATTGAAATCATGGTACGGTCTTAATCCGAAACGCCCTTCATGTATCCGAGGTTTGTTCTAATGTAATCCTAGGCTACTTCCACGGCGTGTCTGTCATGCGCTAGTAGGGATTTGTCTGTCTGAGTGTTTGTTATTGCTGTAATATCCGCAAGAGTGGGTGTGACCTGAATAGTGCTAGGCAGAAATCTCTCCTCGCTAGGAGGGTTCGAATGATCCGGCTGTCAAAAGGGGAACTTGGTTTCAGTTTGACTGCATGAACGGAAGTGAGGTTCCGGTACAGCCGAGATTGAATTGAACTCATATATGCGAGAAAGTTTACGCCGCTTCGCTGGTCGGAATTGATAGCTGATACACCAGTGACAAGAGCACGAGATTTTCCTGTTGAAGTGTGGGAATGGCAGTCGTAGTTGACAATTCATATAAATCAACTTGTAGGCCTCGGATCAACGTTGAACATATCTTGAAGTAGGAATCTGTTGTACAAAGAGGCCGATCATGCATTAGATGGGAAGAACTCAACGAATACGCTAGGTATGCCGCTAGGTACCAGCGACTAAGAAATCAATAAAAACATCCCGGAACGTCTTCCTGCAGCTGAGGTTATCAATGCAAGGTCATGCCTCCGAGCAGTGCCACCTCTGACATTCGGTTGATGAAGCGTTTGCGCGATAATTCCCGAGAGAAACAACTGACCCATGAGCGTCTACATGACAATATCCAATGCTATGAGGAGAATCCCTCTCACTCGGCCCAACGCTCAGATTAGAATGTTTCGAGTATTTCCGATTGCGGGGCCTAAAGCGCTGTGCCACAATTGTGCCCTCCTTCCCTTGATTTCAGGTGCAATACTCGCCGTAGTCTCCACCACCTGCCACCATTCCTAACAGCGCCGCATTTGTTTCTTTAATTAGATAATCTCATTTTTAGGGATCAGCCACTGGGAGTCAGTCTCGAGTGCTTTTGTATCAAAAACTTATGTGGTCCCGGAAGCAGCAAGCAGCACGACGTATCATACCAAGTATAATAATGAATGGAGAAACGGGACACGGTTTGATGACATACGAGCTACATTTCAATCCATCCCAATAAAGTGAATCACTGTATAGTGCTGGCGATATATTAGATCAGTAAATTTCCTTGTATAGTCTCCCTCTTACTAGGTAAAGAAATTATCGTCTGAATGGCCGCACGACTACTTCAGTAAATAGGGATTAGAGAATTTCTATGTTTATAATGTACATAAAAAGGTGCAACAATTAGAGATTATCCTCCTCTCTATTCACTATCATCTTTGGCCCGTTCATATCGAGAATGCTCCAGTTGGATTGTAACTTGCCGCTCGGTATATGTTTGTGACGCCCCTAACTCTTGGAGCTACAGCGAACAGTCAGTTACCAAGATCTTTAATACCTAGGTATCTAGGTAAGGACACATGATAGACGAAAAACACTTCACCTTTGTTGCAATGAGAGCGAATTTCTTTCTTTCCCAATAGTCATAGGCCTCATGAAGCAGCTTGATCTGAAGCCCTAATGTTAGAACTAACAAGTGAGTCATTATCATAAGCAGCACACTGACATCTGAATCTCTCCATGCCCCTGCCCGTTTTCGGCGGCGGAGCATGCGCATTTGGAGACTCGCATTGCTGAGAACCTTTCCAAATCGCTGAAAAAATAATCTGGAGATTTCCTTCCAAGGCACATTCTGTGATCGGAGGCTCTGGATGAAACTATTCTCCTCCTCTTTTTGTAGAATTGATTTGTGTTTGATTTGATCTTGCGTGGTTTGCCGCCTGGCTTTATTCGTTCTCGGTTGAGGCTGTATGCTCTTAGTGTGTATATTGAATTTTGTTGGCGGTAGTAGATAAGGGGATACGTGTCCTGGATCCAATATGTTGCTGAGCATAATCGGGCCATCCAACTCAAATCCATTATTTGGATCTGCAGTAAGATCAGGTAGCAGAAATGGGGCATGATGCGTGGCGACCCTGCTTGATCTATCATCTATCACGTTGTCTAATAAATTTTGATTAACTTGGCCATAATCCAAGCACTTCTAAGTTTGCGGATCTTACCTTTACTACCTTCCAAACACATCAACGGATAATTGTGGGCTATCATGTTGATATGTGTAAAATTGTTATTGTACTGCTAGCAGCAATAGTTAGAACGCATCAAGCGGTGGCAACAATTGTAGAGCTGCATACAAATTGAGTATTCTGGTTCCAGATATCTCCCATTACCCCCAACTCTCCGATACTTTCAATATGAGTCGTCATGGTTGTACTTGATTAAAGAATATCGATCGTGACAATCAACACAAATTGACATTAAAACAGATTCGCGCAGAATTCCACGCGCTTAAACTAGGGGATGATGTTCTTCTTAAATTTGGCTTCGCTTAGATCAAAGAACCAGAATGAGCTGTAGTACTCAGATCATAAGTAGCTACCACCATCGCACCATTGTCGCAAAAAATCTCTAATGCGGCACTATGGATCATGTACCCATGTCGAGGACCACTTAAAAGCAATTTGTGTGCCACCCCTGAAGGTTGACGGTCACATTGAGAATGCTTGTCTAGAGCCTGAAAGTCATCTTTACACAATTCGAGTCAAGACTGCATATCCAATCTAGATACACGATGCTCGGTTTGTGAACGTATACCTTTAGCCTGACAAAGAAGAACTAATCCATGGAGCGTACGATAGATCTAGACAAATCAAAGAATCTGCGGCGTCAACTGATCCGTATATAAAATTCAGGAAAGACCTAGACTAAAAATTCAGTCTACGGGCTACAGTTAGAGACTTCAAGAATCACCAAGCGCCGCGTTATGCCATGTGGGTTCTGGAGGGGAGCCTCAAACATGAGATCGACAACGTGACGGAGGGTTTCGACACACTGGATCAAATGACAGACAATAAGCAAAACTAGTAGGCTTCAGCCCCCATTTCTGATCTTACGGCATCTATATCGGTATTGCGTTGTGCTTACATTACCTAACAAGTGTTAGTCCGTGCCGTGAACTCGACAAGGTCTTAAGCAAACAAGCAAGATTGATTGGATGAAGAAGTTGAGCAGCTTGGCATTTCCTGTGTACCCTTGCATTTTTTCAAAGATAGAGGGGATACCTTCAAAAATACACGAGGTATTACGCCGAAGCTGTGATCCCTTCTTATTGCAAGTTCTTAGAATCTCGGCTGCAAGGGTACCCTTGATTCCCTTGTAGTTTCTAGAAATTGTCGGCCGTGTCTTATTCGCCGTGAGTCTATATTGCAATCAATGACGGCTGATAAAATACGATAAACAAGAGTTGTATAAATAAACTGGACGTTAAACAATTTTACTAAATGCTTTGAAGCAGAGAATTATGTGATATCTATTATTTACTTTCTTTTGCAGAGTCTATGCGGAGCTATCGATTATGTGAGTTTCAAGTAACTTACACCCTGTCAGTATACTTATCAGCTACTTATGCTTACTCGATTAAAGAAATGTCTCTGAATCTACTTGAATCAAGAAACCACAAGAATCAAGAAATCTAGCTGCCTAAACAGCATAAACTATTATACGGTCGTACCGCGCTTACAACGGATACCTTGCACATTTCTGAGTAAACTACCCTCGTTACTGATGTTTCATTGATTGCCTAGAGTATAGTCATTAACCACGCCGGGCATTTGACGGCACCTTGACTTAAATGGCAGCCTTGATATTATCGTCCATTAAAGATCGAATCATACCGGGGTTTTGACGAGGCAAGTTCCATCAAATGCATGGATAGCATTGCGAGGAACTTTGGTAAGCTGCGATGGAAATACCAACTCGAATCCCTAGATAATCACCCTTAGTAGATTGAATGAGCCCAACGCACCGTAAAGAGAGGCTATTCTGAGGTTTTACAGAGTGCGGTCAAAGAGTACAGGCACCATGATACCAAAAATTAAGTATAACGAAGCCGTACTTTCTTGCAACTCGAAGGACGTCTGAAACTTTGGAAACACAAATACAGACTTATAGCAATTTCAATGTTATGACAAAAGCGTCTGGTTCTGGAAATCAAAGCTCCATACAATGGTTGATGCTGAAGCGGACTGGGAGAAATGGCGCCATTCTCTCGACTGCGATCTTCCTCACCCTTTCGTCCCTGCCTGACTTGTACCGATCGATATCTCTTCCAATTCACCCACGACCGCCAACGTGATCGAACGCTATAGACCTGAAACAGTTGAGTATCTCTATTTTATAAAGTCCCTCTTAGACCCGAAAATTACCTTTGAGCTTAAGGATTTATAGTCGCATCATACATTTTCCTTGATGGGACTAAATGACTTCTGTGATAAGGTCGGTGGGACGCATGCAATTGTGGATCCAGGAGAGAAGCCCGGTTGGGAACCAAGGCCAAGGCAGAGAGGTCCGTGTTGACAGCACTATGGACAATGGTTTAAAATGATAAAGAGCGATTCGTCACATGAAATGCGCTTTTTTACCCGATTTATGTAGACGAATGGCTTGACCGTCGCCGATACTGTCGAGGGACTGTTAGGGCTATTCAAAATCTCTCTTATCCAGCGGTTAATTACTCGGAACTTCACTACCTTCATCTGCGATGTATGTCATTTTGAATCATATGTATGCTTTTGAAATAGAAGACAGACAAACCGAGGGGCTTTTATGGAAGGTTGCTATCTCATTGCTGGTAGTCTTGTAGTTCTTCAAGAACAGCATATGTGTGATTTCATTCATTTTTCATTCATTAAACCTCTAGCACAATGAAAAGCTTCAAAAATTGTAAAAAGTCTGTCAAGGTTTCATACAAGGAAAAATATCGAAATACAAAAGAAATCAACAATAGGAAAACTGACATTAATTGCGACTCAAAGCTTACTATCTCAGTTTCTTGGCTTCGAGACAGATCGTCGGGTTTTCTCATTCCATGAACACTTGTGACTGAGATGACATTTGTACCTGCCATCTACCGTGCAATGCAACAAGCTTCGTCTCATCATTCCTGTACCGTTTTGCGTTCTGTTTGGCCTTTGCCACCTCCTCTTTGTGGGTGTGTACGCCTCGTTCTTCATATGCTTGCGGGTATTTGTGATTGAAGCCTGTGCGAGCTTGTGAGGTTCTGAAAAAAAGTAATGTCAGAATCAAGCAGATAATATACGACGTAAACATTCCCTTACGCGTTGGACACAGTCCGACCCGCTATCGCATATGATATTCCGTCCTCTATAGCTCGTCCATGATCTTGAGTAGGAGCATAATTCCGACCAACTTGCGTTTGATTCGCCTTTTTGACCCCGGCACGGTTGACTTTATTACTGTCCTCTAATACTTTATACTCGTTGTATTCTGCGGACATCTTGTTTGTCTAGGGAATTGGACGTACTTCGTATGGAGTGGAGTATTGGTGTTTTTGGACAGGTTGTTGAAATGTATGAGCACGATGACAGTACTCTTGACGGAACGTAACTTCGTCTATTCTTTTACCGGATTGCCATAGTTCTTTTGTCTGTCTGGTGTTCCATATCTCCTCCTGAGAAGGTCCCTTCTCGAAGTGTGGGCCATGATAACTTGGAGCTGGAGCTGGGGCATAGCGACGGCCCGATTCAGGATATCGTACTTCGTAAAGTGGTTCTGTCATTGTTTGGGACAGTTTCTTCCTGTCATATTGACTCGAGGTATGGATGTTTGCATTGGGGTGAAGTGCTATCTGTGCAGCGTAGGCAGGGGTTTGCTCCACCTGACGATTTCTGCCAAAGAGACCCATGGCGACTTGGGAAAACGAGCAATATAGTGCTTAGAAATAAGAAGAAGGTTATATACTGGATATTTTGAATCAGTAAGAGTGTTTTTGTTTTTCAATGGCATCAATAGACTCTTTTTATTTTAAGCAAACCCTGATAAAAGACCGCGCAGGAATAGGAACACACTATATAGGTAAACATCAGAGGTGGGTAGGGACATTTTCGTGACATTTCAAAATTCGGCATATTGTTAACGCTGATTTACGCGCCTAAACTATGCGAAGACTGAAACGTATCGAAGTTGCTATCTATACGAGAATCGTTTCCAGCGGAAACGCACATGCACGAGCTCAGGCAGGCTAAAATAGGTACGCGCTGCGAGGTACCCATTAACTTATCAAAGTGACCTATTGTGTTTCCGTAAAGATACATAGGTATTACTGGTATGTGGCTCCCTGTAGGAAATGTATGGTCTAGTTAAGGCCAACTATCGCGTATTCGCCAACTACCAGGAGTAAATGAGAGAAATTAAATACTGGCATTATGCTGAATGTGTTGAGAAGTAGTCAATTTTACAGTTGGACAAGAAATTTTGATTGTTATAAGCGGCCTCGGAGCCTGTAGAGTGTCACAGAGTGTATGTTTCATAGATCAAGCGTGGGCGCTTAAATGTGCCAGACGTTTCTGTTTTTAGATTCCTATCGGAAAGTGGTATTTTCCGGCCCGAAGTGGTATCAATGGCTTCAACGCCCTTTCCTGTTTACAATTCAATTCTTTTTTATCCGACCAAAGGCATCTTGCTTTCTGACAAGCAATTTACATAATATTTAAAATGACAAAGTTGTGACTTTGAGAAATGCAGGTCTTGCCCATTTCCTCGTCCAAGCCGACACTCGAAGGTCTTCCCAACGAGTTGATAATTCTCATTCTATTCTACATACCGGATCAGGCTTCTCTCAAGTCAGTCGTCTGTTCATCCCCAGTATTCCATCAGGCATATCTTGCAGTACGACAGCCAATACTGTGCAGTATTCTGAAGACTCAGTTCGATTCTATTCTTGATTTCTCAGAGGCCATAACCGCCGTAAGGTCCGAGGGTCTCTCATTTCATAGTCATAAAGAAGAAGCCATTTGCTTGTTAGATAAGTGGCGTCGCCAAGAAGAGATTGCTAGCATTGCGTCTATCAAGTCAAATCAATCAGTTCCATTGCATACTTTAGATGAGATCATCAAAGTATTTCGACTCTACCAGGAGCTGAATTACTTCCTGGACGATTATGCACAGAACGCGCCTCGTCCCTCCTGGATAAAGCCTACTGAATGGCACGCGGGAAAGTTGCCTCTCGTGTTATCCTTGGTCGAAAAGCGTCGCTTCTTGAGAGCTCTATGCCGACTGCAAATTTTCGCCAATGTCTTAGGGTACCCTGAAAGGGGTTTTGATCTTTCGACCAAAGATGAATACTGGAACGACGATGCTGATACGGAAATTGAAAACGAAGCATATTCCCTATTCTATGGTACACTCCCTCTTTGGGAAATCGAGGAGATGGGATGTGTATGGTCGTACCTCATGACAAAATACGGGCCCATTTCTGAAGAAATTTCGAAAGATTTACGCAGGCTTGTGAATGACACCGGGTGCTTCCTGTTCCGGCAGATCCTTCCCGAATACCAACGTCCACCAGACGGCTGCCATCTAGAAATAGTCAGCCAACTCGATCGCTTCAATCTCTATTTTGACAAATTGGCCTCGATCGGGCCAAACTTCCTTTATCGCGTGCTTCATGCAGAACATTTGCTCCAGCGCAATATGATCATGGCAAATGCCAGAGATCCATCAGAATTACCCTTCATAGGCTCCGGTCTTGGGATCAACTGGACTAATAGGTTTCCATTCATTTATCCGGCAGACCGCCACGAGCCGCCGAACTTTCAACAACTGTGGTCCATATTGCCCGCGGTTGAGCAACCCAATCTTGGCTGGAAAAGAGCATGGCTACTCCCAGGAATAACAGAAGGAGAAGGACTAGAGGATGTTCTTTTCTATGATCGTCCGAGTGAAAAAGACTGGGATTGGGGATATGCTATATGGGACGCCGAGCGACTAGAAAAGTGGAAAGCTCCTTTATTAGACGAAGAGTTGCCAGTACAACGCCCAACATGGCCCAGAAGCCCTATATGACCGGTCACTGAATTATTCTGCCTCGGGAATATCATTCACTAGGTCCACGAGATCCTTGGTGATAATATCATATTCTTCGTGACTCATTGCGTCTCAGTGAACAGTTTACCTTGCTTAATGTCTCATTTACATTTTTCGTATTGTCTAGTGTAATTTCCTAGATACATTCTTTTTAGGAAAAACTCTCCACTAAAACTCCATAGTCCCATTTAGCGTTCGCACAATGTTCCGCGAAGTAGCCACAGAAAACATTAAGACATTCGCGTTCACCTCATATCGTTCAGCACTCAATCAGTCCGAGTTTGATCTCACGATCAGCAACTCCTGACAATCAAATCGTATGTAAGCATCATCAGTGATGAGACTTAAGCGTTAGTTCCTTTCTTCTTTGCGGCAGCCTTCTTTGCAGCAATCTGAGCTTCGGTATGGTGAGCCTCTCGCTTATCCACCCAAGAACCAAACTCGTCCTCAGTAGTATCCCAAGGACCAAATTCATCCGCCTCCTGAGGTGAAGCTTCACGCTTAGGTTTGCCTGCTTTCTTAGCCGCTGCGGCCTTTTTGGCTGCGATTTGAGCTTCAGTGTGATGGGGTTCTCTCTTGTCTACCCAGGAACCGAATTCATCCTCAGTGGTGTCCCAGGGTCCAAACTCGTCAGCTTCCTGTGGGGAGGCTTCACGCTTGTGGTTAGCTGCTTTCTTGGCCGCAGCAGCCTCTTTAGCAGCAATCTGGGCTTCAGTATGGTGCGCCTCGCGCTTGTTGTGTGCATTCTTCTTAGCTGCTGCTGCCTCCTTGGCGGCGATCTGGGCTTCAGTGTGATGGGCTTCCCGTTTATCAACCCATGAGCCAAATTCATCCTCGGTGGTGTCCCAGGGTCCAAACTCGTCAGCTTCTTGTGGTTCCGGTTCACGTTTAGGTTTGGTATTGGCTGCCTTTTTCGCGGCTGCTGCTTCCTTGGCTGCTATCTGAGCTTCAGTGTGATGTGCCTCTCGCTTGTTGGTTTTTGAATTTTTCTTAGCAGCAGCAGCCTCTTTGGCAGCAATCTGAGCTTCGGTGTGATGAGGGTCTCTCTTGTCTACCCAAGATCCGAACTCATCCTCGGTAGTATCCCAAGGACCAAACTCGTCAGCTTCCTGCGGCTCACGTTTCGCATTTGCTGCGTCCTTGTCTTTTGCACCCTTATGGTGATGGGTTTTGGTGGTGGCCGTGGAGTTTGTGGCTTTTCCCTTGGCAGCAGCCTCTTTGGCGGCGATCTGAGCCTCAGTGTGATGAGGGTCACGTTTGCCGTTCTTCGAGGCTTTAGCAGCAGCAGCTTCTTTAGCCGCAATTTGGGCTTCAGTATGGTGAGGGTCACGTTTTCCGTTCTTCGCATTTTTCGCGGCTGCTGCTTCCTTGGCTGCGATCTGGGCTTCGGTGTGGTGACGGGCGTCGATGGAGGACACAAGTTGGGCCCATCTGCTGGCTAGTGTGGAGGGAGAGCCCTGCATCAATGTGTATCAGAATATTTCTTGAGCAATCATTCATACCAAAGTACTAGCTTACCACATATTTTTTCTCAAGATCACGAGCCTCAACACCAGGTTGAAAGCCCTGAACAAGTTGACTAGAAGCCAAGAGGCTCAAGAAAACAGCTTGAGACACGGGGAAGCGCATATTGAATATGGAGCATAAAATAATAATAAACGACAACGAAACGATAGAATATGCCAAGAGAATGGATTGAATAGAAATTCAAGAACTGACCAGCAGTTGAGAAAGAATAATTGAAAGGGAATAGAAGTGATGAGATGGGTAAGATGGATAAGATAAAGTTCAAATATCTACACCACCATCAGCTCTCTTATATAGATTTTGCAATTTTGATGCCAAGACACATCTTTAATGCTTTTCCGCGAAGCTCCCATATTGCTGTCATTATTGTTGTTGTTCCTGTCTCACAGCTTGACATCCGAGACAACAATCAAGACTAAGCAAACCGCGTGCCGGTATCTCTCTCATAACGTCAGTCTTGGCTGTAACGCAGTTTGAATAGTGCATAGACAGAAAGGGCATAGAGAAGCGATCGTTATTTAGCATAGTAACGTGTATTATAGCTATTAGTGCGAATATCCCATCATGCTGCAGTTCGGGTTTCATCTTCCTAGATAGCGTAGGTTTAAGGTAAGTAACATGTAAAGCCTAGGCTCGAGATTGATTAGATTTTATGCAATGATTGGTGGATATCGTTTGTATCAAGAAATCCTCCCAGTCGATCGTGGGATATCATTGAAGACTGAGCGTGAGGAGGCGGCTCGTCAGGGTTAGCGATGTGCTACCCGAATGGTGTCAAACGCGGCTCAAGTCCACAACTACCAGGAGTTCGGGGCTATAGTAAATCTCCCCGAGCTTGTGAGACGATACTCGTCGCAAACCATGGCCAGCCAATTTGCTCTACTTGCCAGGTCCGCGAACCAGGTTTGAGTCGTTAGACGTCGTGTGTAATATAGTTCAAATCAAACATTTACTTGAGGGTTGGAAATTTACTTATCTTCGGTTCTTCATTGTTTGTTGAATGAGCTTTGCTTTTCCGATTCATTCCAGTTCGATACCACAACATTCCTTCACAATATTCACAGCGCATCACAAGATCAATTGCAATGGCTTTTAAGTATACTTCAATGACCAGAGATCCTGAGCGATCGCCTCTATACACCGCATTCAACCGGACAGAAAAACTCGATGACTTGGAAGACTCTTACGTTCCATTGCCAGACACCACAAAGTACACTGATTCCGATACTCGAATATTTGGCGCAACGATCAGATCATATGGAATTTGGATCGTACACCTAACGCTACTATTGACTTCTTTTACGTTATTCATGTTCGGTACAAGTTCACGAAGTAACTCGACTTTGGACCATGTCCAAAGGTTCTCAGCATGGTGTAAGTCTCATATTTCAGCAAAAGATACGACTTACATGATACACTAACAATCTTTCAGCGCCTGCTGATGTGTCTGTCAAATACAATGATGTCAAATACAACTTTACAAAATCCGCACAAAAGTTTGTTGGATATGGTCCAGAAATTGACACGGCTTGGAGAGAAATCTCTTACGACGGTGCGTCTTGATGCATTAGAATTTTATTGATTCCAACTAACACTTAGAAGTCGGTGACCAATGGATTCCAAAATCTGATCTGGCAAAATTGGGCATGCCAGAATACTCTCTCAAAGTCGACCACCCTGTGACAGGTGAGGAGGGATACCGTGTCGGCATGGAAGTCTTTCATCATCTGCATTGTCTCAATCTACTCAGAAAAGTCACATATAAAGAGTACTATGAGCCGTTGGGTGGAGAGTTTGCTGCTGGTCCTGAAGCTTTACAGCATCATACAGGTGAGCCCGCCTCCATTGCCGACTGCGGTAACTATTTCTAGCTTGCTAATGAAATGACGTTCAGACCATTGTTTGGAAGTCCTCAGAATGAACATTCAATGTACGGCTGATATTGGACTTTTCACTCTTTACATGGTCGAGGGAGACCCTCAAGCGTGGCCAGAACTCAATTCGAGACATGTGTGCAGAGATTTTGAGCAAATCAGAGAGTGGGCACTGGAAAATTCAGTGGGAAATATGGAGGTTCTCGCTTGATTAATCGCTGTTCTAAAGCTCTTTTATCAGATCAAAAGTAGCTGCCAATTCGTCTCATTTCTAATTCTAATATTCATTATAAACTATACGTCAGTAAGCTCCGACCATTTCTATCACCAACTTCATTTACCTGGGAAAGCCGTAGAAGCTCATGCTTAATGGAAGCAGGCAAAGCACTAACCAGTTGTTGCCCGGTGCTAAGTTCATAGCAGGCTCAAACGCTACAGTTTCAGACTACCCCAGGAGTTCCGGGCGCTTAATATGCAGCGTTTCGGATCAGCCTCGGTAATATTAAAGACCATTTCACCCTCTTTGTATAGCTATATTACATGCTATTATCCAAGTAGCAGTCTTATTTTAATAAAGATCTTAGCCGAAAATTGTCCATGGTGGTACATTTCCCCTTTCATTTCACCTAAATTCAACACCAATGTCTCGGATACAGTCCAACCCGAATACACGGGGTTCAAACAATTGCGAGTTTCATGTATGCGACGAGCTTCCGACTGACACTTGCTATGATTATTATTCATATCATCACATACCAGACGAAGTACTCATATATCTTCGCAGAGAGTACTATATCCACGGATACCCCCCTGACCTCTAGATCGCTAGGACGTCAATTTCGATATCTTTTCGAGGAAACATCATTATTGTTCTCGACTCAACACCTTTCATCCGCTCTCATCGAAATTTGTAGAGAACCCAAAGTTACCACATCTTCCACGTTCTCCAAAGATTTAATATGCCGTCATCAAAAACAGAGGATGTCTCGTACCGCATCTTATTCGACCGAGAGCAAGAGGAAGAGGACATTGAAGGGACGGCATCTCCAGCTACGAGAGTCGGCTCGATAGAGTCATTCGGGAAATCATTTCATATACATCAACAGCATCACACACCACCATACATTGAAACCAGACGATCGAGCACAGAAAATTTATTAACGTGGATTCGTTGGTTGCTTATTCTATCACTACAACTTCTCATCATGGTATTCTTGATACGTCCGGTGCCAGAAAAGAGCGACAATTGCGTACTGTCGGGCAAGGAAGGATTTGTCGAAACGGGTGATGATATCAACGGACTTTATAAAACCTGTACGGGCTGCCCAGGTGTTGTTCACTTACCCCTTGTTGTGCAAAAAGCTTACAATCAGTATCGCAGTATCTCATACATATACGTACCTCAAGCCGGAGGAGGATAAATACGTCCCAAATATGACATCGAACGATAACAGAATGGAAGTTCGAAAAAACTGGGATCTATTAATGCCATGTTCGTCTATCACTTCCTATCTATTACTTCTGCAGGCCTCACTTTGCTGACTGCGTCCGTTTCCAATAGTGGGTAGTGGAAGTATTCTGGTTCCGAATTACAAGGAACATCCTCTCCTTGGGGATCCCATAAGCGACGATCCCATCAGATCCGGACCTATCTTTGAAGCATCTTGGACACATGCGTTACACTGTGTAAGTTTATCACATTTTACATGTCTATACAAGAAGTTCATGGTCTGATATTGGTTCAGCTATACTATACAGTTGACAGTTACCACCAGCTTATCGTGAATGGACCAAGTGACACAGACAATCCCTATCATGCTGCTCACTGCTTCGAATATCTCCGAAACAACATTCTGTGCAATCTCGACATGACACTTGAAGGGTCCATGTCCACTCCAAGCGACAAGGAACGAGGGCAACCCCACGTGTGCAGGAATCGTGCCGAAGCCATTGAATGGATTGAAAAGAGAAGAACGGATGACTTGCAAGATATTGTTGGTCCTTAGTTGGCTGGTCCGATGAATGGAATACGATTCGATTTGATAGCGTTATTGTTAACCTGGTATATTTAAGCTTGACACGTAAGCCGTCAAGCCAACGGAGTTTTCGAATACATTACATCCGTCCTCACAGTATACTTTGTCCCTCCGTATACTGAATCTCCACCGTGCCACATGTTGTTTTGCTGGAACACCAACACCCGGCCCGTCTTAGACCAAACCCTAACCGCTTGATCGGGCAGCTCCCACGATGCCATAAAACTCGTCGCACCACCAAGTAATTTATCCTGATCAGCTCCTTTACCATCTTCTGACTTGATATCCTTGCCCTTCAGCTCGTTTTTCTGCCTCTTCGCAAATTCTTTTAAATCTTGTCCTTCTTCTCCCTCGCCGCTCAGGTACAGCTGGATGGTGTAGAATGAAATTTCGCTCCCATCCGGTGTTCGATAATTGCCGTCGCAATGAGGACGAAAGTATTCCCCTCCGATATACTTTAAAAATCGCAGCCGCTCGTTCAGTCGCGTAAGATTGAAGATATTCTTCCTCCCCGCCAAACCCGTGACGCCAAGCTTGTTCTGTAAAGTGACCATATCCCAACTTTCGAAAAACGGCTTGAGTCGCGCCAGAAGCCTGTCTGCGATGTCTGGAGAATCGAAGATGATGCGACCGCAGTTACGGTAGTCGGTGGCCATGGCTTGCTTGCCGTTGCCGATGTTGATCATTGCACGTTCCCATTTTCCATCTTCCGTCGACTGCTCAGCTAGACCTAAAAGTTCTTGGCACTCGTCTTCGGTCATGAAATTATCGATGACCGCTGCGAAGGACTTTTTGTATTCTGGAATCGGTGGAGTTGTAGCAGTAAAGTCGATGATGGTGCTTGTTACATTGTGCGGAGCTTGTGGCGAGAGGAATTCTGGCCGAATGTCGACAGACATTGCTGATATGCTTTCTGGGTATGTTCCTTCTGGTTCCTTTGTTGTATCTGGGACTTACTTGAAATTATTCGTGAGAAGATAATGAAAGAATTTGTAGATATTATCAGTATTTGAGGAGTCTGCCAGGACGTCTGCCTAAATGCTCAGACCATACGTGTAAAGTTAATCAGATACCAAACAAAGCCCGTTGACTCAGCCTCACAAGCTGTCGCAAAACAAAAAGCATCGCACTGAGGAAAATATGTTGTCCGAAACACCTCCCACACAGATCTCATGACATATATCCATGAGCTTCGTGGTTCTTTTGTATGATATCGACTTTTTGATACGCTAGGGAGCAACACCAAACGAAGGACGCGACACACACGACGGAAAACAGACATAAGCAATGCAAAGCGCGCACCAAGCATGGAATTTATTATGTAATTGCCAGTCCCGACCAATCAAAGGAAGGGTTCTTGATTAGTCATTCAAGATTCAATCTGAATCTGGCCAATCACATCCAAATTTCTCAGATCCTCCGAATTGTGTATATATTGCCTCATTCTGAAGAGCTTGTTGCCATTTATAGAGACTGCGCAAAAGCTAGTCAGTAAGTAATAACGATCACGATTGATTGATCGACTTTCTTCACCCAGATAACGAAGTTGATGAGCACGTCGCTTCAGATAAGTGGATCCCAAATTGCTTACCTAACTATCATTTGACCAATCGGATACAGAGAGTAGGCTGACTAAGAAGACATTTCCTTTTCCGAGCCAATCGGATCAGAGGCTTATACTTGCACTCGATGCTAACGAAAATATATATTTTCCCCAACGGACGACACAACACCTTCAACCTGGGCACAACATCACAAATATTCGTCGCGTCATGATAGAGCAAGTCTGGAAATTATCTTTAGAATAATCAACCAAAACCACTAAATTATCCAATTGACGCGTAGTTTAGTTACTATGCGCGTCTGAAATCCAATTCTCAAAAGCGCTGCCTGGGATTCAAGATGATACGGAAGCTCCATTGCATTGAAGATCCTTTGACGCGTACAATAGCAGCTAGTAGGTATCTGGGTACAAGTTATTGAAATTTTGGTCCACTACGTCCTGAGATCTTCAAGAGTTGGCTTAAGAACCAAAATAAAAAAAAAAAAAAGTTTCGCTGCTTTCAACAAAGTCGCGATGATAGTGCTTGTCAGCCAAGTCCAGCTGGACACAATCTACTTCCTATTACTTAGGATCCTTTTGAAGGGTATATGATGGTATGTATAGCAACTCTACTTATTGCATGAGACTGACAGGTGTCTTTTTGATAGACATGATCATTGTCTTTAGGGCTTCGTATGATGAACGTCTACTGACTCGACACCCATCATTTACACATAAAACACGCGCGAAATTAAACTTGTCACCAAGGATGAACTGAAAAATCAAATAAGTTGTAGATTGCCTGAAAATAATCCTGAAACATTACAAAAGACTAATCAATAAGTGGTAGAATGTGCCTATCATCCTTGAATCCAATCGAATTCGTTCCCCTTAAGACGAGATAAACATACTGCATCGGACTAAGGGCGGATTTAGAACGAACAAGTGATACTATAGCCCGACACATCGACCGGAATAGCGGCATTCGGATTTCCATCTAGATCAATATATGTGTGCTCCGGAGTGAAGTAGTCAATAACATTGTTGGCCGATTGAAAGATGGTGCACTCGAATCCCTGAGGAAAAGCGATGAGTTGGCTGGACGTGGCAAGAATCTTTCCATTCGATGCAAGAGAGCTGGTGCCGAAGAGGCTTTGGAAAGTCTCAACAGATCCGTCGATTGGAACTGTAGCGGCGGATTGAGCACCGGACTGGTCGTTGATGATTGTGAATGTGATCTTGTTGGGKTTTTGASGAGCCACGAAACTACTTGGCATAGCAGCCACCGAGGTGGCGAGGAGAGCGAGAGATGAGATGACGGAGAAGATCATTTTGAGTTTGAAGATAGTATCGAAGCTTGCTTTTTGATTTATATCGTAGACTGTCTGTGGTCGTTGTGTTCTGAGATGATGAGATCCATCGACATCTGGGGATGTCGAGGCTTTTTATAACTTTCCTTCCATCGTGGCAAGTTCAAAAATCCAACCCAGGCAATTTAAAACCTGTCCATCAGCTGACAGAGCATGTCTGAGTTCAATAATGCAGTGAAAGTCTCGATAGCCTCGTAGGAAACTCCGTCCGATGCACTAAGAGAGATCAACCATCCATGACGTCTTGCCGATTCGTCCGAATTGCACCTGCTGCCATCTTATTGAATTCCAAATATAGAAAAGAAATAGACTCAGCCCTTTCGGATCAGGTGAACATCGTATGAGAAATTTTGGGCCGCAACAAAGAGTATTAGTACATTGCCTCATAGACAGATTGTTTTAGAACAATCTATATCTGATCATCGTTCTATGCAGTCTTGGCGTGAGAGCAATGAATCGCACAAATTATACAATAGTCAGAATACGAGAATTTGTAACGTGATCAGCTCAAAGCCACGTTCGCTGCTTTTCGCCAAACAGATCTAAGACAACTGGGTATATCCTCAATGAATATGGAATATGCGGGACGTAAACTCCGGATACGCTCAGCCCCCGATGGGACTTAGATGAACCAAGACAATTTTCGATTTAAGTTTGGAAAGTCAAAGCTACCGGAACTTGACCTCTTATCAGGGTCCAAAATTTCAGGCGGACTGTGCTGAAATGCATGAGATCGGAGTCTAATGATTTTAAAAACGTGGATCCCATGACACCTGATTCTCCGGGGTAAATTCACCCAATCGGCGTTTACATAAGGGCAATTTATTCAGCTTCAGCCCTATCATCTTGATCTATACATCATAGATACTTTCCCCCACTTTACGGTCAATTGCGTACTGAAATTTATCCGTAATTCTTGCTGTGTAGGAAGCAATATGGAAATCTTTCTCGTTTACGAGTACGTATTTTGAATCTCGTATTCAGCAAGCTGGAATGTGGCACTGCCTCCAAAGTAGGGGGCGTAAGCCTCGTTTTTTTGCACCGCTGTTTGTGCCTTCTATTCTTTTACCATACTCGGGCCTAGGGTGACGTGTCCCTTTTTAAAACTTCTCGGGACTTGATTAATCTGCTGTTGATGCCCATTAATATACTTGTGAAAGCGTGGAAATTTTTACGTAAATGGTAGTTAGTTATGCTAAACAAAATGTTTAATTCCAAACGAGCGAGTGTTTTAATCAAAGTGCAGTAGGAAGACGTGATCTCATTAAAAGATCTATATTTAGATGAGTTCAACGGAGCTACAGGAGGAATTCACCCTTGGTCTTGGCTAGTTGTTCGTCATAGTAAGGCTGGAATGCCAACCATCCTTTCTCTGGTCCTCCAACCTGTTGTGCTGCATATTCTGCCTCTTTTTCATCGATGATTATCTTCTTGTAACCGGCTGCTGACGCGGCATCGGCCAGAAGCTGAGCATGGCAAGTCTTATCAAGACTGATAAACCAAAATGCCGCTTCGTCAACACTTCCACCGACAGTAAGCAGACCATGGTTCTGAAGAATAGCGGCCTTTCCATTTCCCAAGGCCTTGACGATACGCTTGCCTTCCTCGCTATCCAAAACAACACCCTTGAAGTCTCTGTAAACACCATGGCTCTTATAGAAACGTAGAGCGTCTTGTGTGATCATGTCCAGCTCCCTACCAAAGCAAGAAAATGCCTTGCCGGCGACACTGTGGGCATGACAGGCGGCATGCACATCGGGACGGGCTTTGTGAATTTCGGAATGAATAGCAAATGCTGGGGCGTTGATAGGCTCATCTCCCTCGACTACCAGTCCGTCCTCGTCCACTAAGATTAGATCGGACACTTTGATTAGCGAAAAATGGGCTGAGAGGGGGTTGATCCCTAATGAAGTCAGTAAATCCCTTCAGAGTCACTAGCGTTATAACTACAGAAACTTGTACAAGTAAATGGAGAAAACCTACAGAAATGATCAGTGAGAATAGGGTCGCGAACTGAGATATGCCCGGCAACACCCTCATCAAATCCACGGTCTGCGAAGACACGGAACGCAGCAGCCAAATGCTGCTTGCGGTACAGTCGTTCGTCCTCCAGGTTTTCAAATTTTGGGTAACTTCTGATCTTCAAGTTTCGGCCATCCTTTGTTTTTCCGAGTACCTGTAATTGAGCCGGCTTGTTGGTTCTGTTGCTGGCGTCGACTGACTTTGTCGGCGCCGGAACGGGCACAATGTCTGGGGTTAAAGACGGAGCCATGGTTTGTTCAAAGCGGATGTAGTTAGCTCAGTATTTTATCAAGAAGCTTATCATGAAGATTGCTACCTAGGATGTGAAAATTTATTTCTTCGACAATGAGTCCGTCCTGGTAGGTGAATATTGAAGAGGCATCTTGCCCCTCAACTCGGATTTATGTCCGAAACTAAAAGTACTTGCCGCCTATTGGGTGGTGATGTGAGATAGACTAATTTTCCCCATGAATCAAGTCTCGGCATCAACAGAAAAATGCGGAGTACAAATAGCAGCACAGGGATTGTGGCTGATTCGAGAACCCGACTAGAGTTTCCGATATGTTCGCCTTATGTCAATTGGCATGTGTCTTTCCAATCTCATATATCAGTTTACGAATCATTGGGGTATATGTTGGACATGAAATTTGAATCGCCTGATTCAAATTCATTGGTTGTTTCCTGGGAAGTCCAGAATTGTGTATATTGGGCCATGTATACTAGAGCTATTGCATCTTGAAGCAGCATTTGCGATCGATTTTTGGCCCACAGGTTGATGCCATTTTAGAAATATTCACAGAGGCCACTGGCCTCGCCTAATTCGTATCTAGGTGGCAAATAATCCTTACGAAGATGCATAAGAGCTTGATTCTTTGATATTATATATGGCATTGATGTTCCAATTTCAACCATGCTGTACAATGTTATTTCGTGCGAGTTGCTGTCTCAAAAGATTGCAAATGCATTAGGGGGACTTGCAACGCCGCCGATTACCTACATTCAGAGCGATTAGCATTAAAATTCACGGAGGACAATGAAGTCAATCTCACCTTCAGAGGCATACTGGACAGGAAGAAGGTGTATCTTCCAGTAACTTTGCAGTGCTTTGAGAGTGCCTCCAAGTCGAACAATTCGCCAATGGGGCAACCCCAACCAGCCAGTACCCATTCATGTAAATTATAGTTAGGGTCTGCATGTGCACCACGGATTGGCGCTCTTTCAAAGCTTGGTGCGTCTCCTGCTACCGCACCAAACTGATGCTGCCACAACCAGCGGAGGGTCTTCTCTGAGGCATCGACTCCGATGAAGTCAGGAGAGGATCGATGTGCTAGATCCTTCCTCTGACTGTCGTTCAGCTTGTTGTAAGCGGCGGTAAATCCACTGCGAATGAACAAGATATCGCCCTGTTGAAATTGTATCGAAAAATAGTCCACTATAGATTGAAGCGTTTCAACACTGATCGATGTCGAGGAGAGGGCCTCAATGCTAATGCTCTTGGATGCTGCCCACTCCACGTAATCAAGTAGAACACCGCGGCCTGTTATCCCACCGGCTTCGGCAACGGCTAGAAAGTGAATCATTGATCAGTAACAAGCTTCTGGTTTGACTACGTCGAGCGGGGGATTACTGCAAAAAAAGAGCATACCATGTAGTCCAATGACATCGGAAGATTCAATCTGTTCTTGTGTTCTATTATTGTAGAATCGCTTGAATTTTTGATGGGCTGGGTTCAGAAAAGCCCTGGCATCAGCTGGCTAATCCCATTCTTTTAGATAGGCAAATGGCTTGCGTTAATCATACCGTAATGCCGGAAACCATCCCATTGAGTCGAGCCCTGTGTATTGAAGTGCAAGATGTCATCGTTGATACAGTTCGGAGCCCTATGAACAATTTCTTGTTGAAATGGATTCCTTCCAAAGCTCGGATACGATGGCATGCTCAAAGGCCAGTCTAGAGAGATCCGTACACCTGTCTTGATCTCCTGCGCTGCCTTGACAATCACGCCCGGCGTTATCAAATTCAACGTTCCCAGCTCATCATCTTTTCCAAAGCGACCCCAAGCATTTCCAGGCGGGCCTTGTGGGTCCAATGGAAGTTGCTCAAATTCAATTATGCCTGCAGAACTCATAATAGAGGAACAGACAGAGCACCGTATGAGTTTTCTTGAAGTGACAGCTAATTTGGTATACCGAAGTAAAGAAAATCGGGAAACTTCTAAATTCGCTTCAAATTATCTCGGGGTAATGCGGATAAAGCTTGCTTGCTTGTCGTTCTGGACACTTTTCCGAGCCTTTTGCCGCTTCCGTATTTTCCGCATATGAGATATCCGATGGCTTCGCTCAATACGATTTATCAATTCTTCTATATAGAATACCAGTCCACGTGGAAGTAGGCTATATACATTTTCCGCATCCCAACTATGGCACCGGCGCAATGCCGGTAAGAAAACGTGATCCAAGCCTGTCAAGCAATTGAAATGAAAGCGTACACAAACTGCGTACCATTAAGCAAATTGTTTGACATGCTATGGCAATTTGAAGCCACCTGGCACAAGTTTCTGGAAAACACCTGTGGGATCATAGCGCGAACTAACTTCCTTCAAAGACTCTATCGATGACTGACCATAGCTGGAGAAGACATCCTGAATGCCACCTGCGTAGTTCCACATTCTATTCGGTAAAAAAGTTAGCAATACTCGTACGTTATGCTGTCAAACCTTTAAGGTGGGGACTGTAAAAATACTGACATGTATCGGTGTAGAAGTCCTCGAGACTTGGAACCTTCCTGAAGAGAAGTGAAAAGGGAATTAAAAGAGTTGACGATTGTCTCGTTGTATGTATTCAAGGATATGCCAAAGTAGAGGACTGTTACAACGGGTGGTGTTTGTTAGTAGTGGCTCTCTCTTTGCGGTCCTTGAAAGTTAGGTATATAATTTGGGTAGGCTCACTGCTGAGGACATCTTTTGTGCCTGCAAGGCCGAGGGAATTGGAACCTTTTTCTACACCAGCATTCATCATTCTTGGGGTGAGGGGCATATTGCAATGGAGTAGGGTCAATCCATCTACGTTTCCGAATGACCGTCCCCATTCTAGGAACGAGTACCACGCAATACCGTATTCTTCTCGGTCTGCATATATGGTGTACGTAAGCTGTTCCTGGCTAGATTTAGCGTTAGTATAGACGAGATACTCATGGAGGAACCGATGATTGAATCTGCAAGTCGAATACTTACTACTGACCATCGCCTAGACCAGCGTCGAATTCTAGAGCCAGAGATGAATAGTTGGCCTGACGAATTGTATCGGAAGATGCCGTCAGGTCATACCATCCCTTCATGATAGGTGGCAGAACACTGCTATTATGGTCATTGTAGTACAAAGGGGTCAGAGTAATTACCTCATCAGTGGTACCAATATACATAACAGCAGGAAGAGCATGTGTCTTTACATCGAGAACAGCCTGCCTGACGCTGTAATCGTACGTTACGTCTAGCCATTGTTCGGTCTGGTTTTCAAGAGTCTGAATTTCGCCGCCTACCACGAGCCCACCTTCATAAAGAAGTAGGTCATAACGTGTGACAACGGCAAAGTTGTTACCACCACCCTTGAGCGAACGGAATAGATCGGGAGCGTTTGCTTGAGAAACGTCGACGAGAGTTCCATTGGCAAGGACAACTTCGTATGTTTTGACATTGTCCACCGCAAATCCATTCTCGTTACTCAGGAATGAGAAGCCTGCACCAAGAGCAAGACCGGTACCAACAGGGTAAAATCGACCGCACATAGGTACGACGTCAAATTTGTCGCAATAGGTATAGACATCGCCCCATACCGCACCCGGCTGGACGGAAACATACGGAGTATCAACATTGGTGTGTACGCTGATATTCTTCATATTTGAGAAGGAGATAAGAATGCCGTCGTTAATGTTTGCGGCTCCAGCAACAGCAGAGTGGCCACCGCCGCGAATAGCAAACTGACAGTCGTTGGCTACAAACAATTTGACTGCATCGGCAACATCTTGCGAGACTGTGGGTTGAAATATACAGCTAGGTGATAGCCATTCGGTGGTAGCTAGATGAGACAACTAGAAGTCAGTGTGCTGTTTTAATGGCGCTTTCCCAAAGTTGGAATACAAATGCTTCGGGGAGCGACATACACCAGAACATCTGATCATTGGTGGTGTAAGCGGAAGTTCCGTTTGCTGCGACTTTGTCTGGGAAGGCTTGAGTCAAAAGATTGCACTCCGTCGTACCCTGTTAATAATCTAACTCCAATCGGCTGGGATTGGGGTCACTTACACATTGTGCTCCTCTAACAATGGTGGTGTCAGTGTATGCATTTGCAAGACCAGGCAGGCACGAAAAAGATAGGGTGGCCACAGAAAGTGACCGAAACGAAAGTGCCATTGTACAAGAAGTGACGTTCCCAGAAACAATCAATTCCAATGCGATTCTCTGCGGGCGTGACGTGTCTATTCTCTTATTCTCTCGGCCATGATGGGCAGCTCACTGATGACACTATATAGTCGAACCAGCAACCAGGGACCTTAAGCAGGTACAATTTTCCACTCTGCAAAACAAAACATTCTAGAACCATAGCATGATCAATACAATCACTATGCTAGGGTCCATAAATTATGGCTACTCATGACCCCTGTCAACAACGTGCTCCCCGGTCCGAGACGCCGAGTTGCGGGGCAGCTGAAAATAATAATATCAACGATCATCCATTCAAGATGGAAAGTTTCTATTACAGCTTGGGGAACATAAAAAGCAAGTAATACTTAAGTCTGGATCAGCCCAAAGAGGGGACTCATTTCGCCGAACCGAACTACATACGCACTTACGAAGGAATTTCCGGTCAGCAGAGACAATCCAGCACCTAGGCTCGGAGAAGACTCCGCGCTCACGGCGATCATCTAGGTAGAATATTTTATAGTTTGTCAAAACGAGATCTTAGATACTGTTTGTTGTAAAATATCTATTACTTATTTGAAATCATTATGCATTCATTACCTTAGCAGTCTACTCAATATAAATGTAGAGAATGAAGTCTAGGAGCAAGGATTAAATAGATAGCTAGGTATAGCCTTGAAAATATACACTAACTTCCCAACACCTACGCAGTTTAGTCTAACTCTTCAGCCTATATTTTACTTATCTTATGTTTCATATATTACCCGATCTCTTCTTGTTCCGACAAGGTGATTTGAGCTTTTAATTTTCTGATTGCCATATACAAGAAGTGTCTTTGCCAACGGGCTCGGATTTCCGTGTCCGTCAGGTATAATCTATCAATAACCCGAGTTTCGACCTAGAAACATGAAAGTCCTTTTGGGCATAAATGTCGAAACTCTCATGCCGCGGCGAGAGCGCAGGTCCTCTGGCCATGATGCCTCCTCATATTCTTGGTTCTCTCAAGACCGTGTACTTCATGATCACTCGCGCTCTCGCTTCTTTCAGTCCAGCTATCTGCAACACCTGAGGCTGGTGGTAAAGTTTCTACATTCGATGGGAGTTGGGCGAGCCGAAACAAAGTTTTTTTGGCTAAATGCCAATCGTGCTGCGGAGGATGACATTGGCTATTGGAAGGATGCGAACGCGACTAAACCGAGACCCGAGCCACACGGATACGGTAAGTCTAGTCTTTAATTTTGGAGTCTGAGTTTGATTGGCTAAGCAATTATCTGGAAGTATATTTTGGTGTAATGCTGGACTGGGATTGGCCAGTGTGCCTAATTTCTGGAAAGTCTTTCATGCAGGAGAATGCACGGTTCACCGAACAGAGATAGCTGAGTTAGTAGAGAAAAAGTACATCACTCTCGCGAACAGCATCAAGATTGAGAGTGATGGCCTCATCTCTTACACCGCTAGACCGCCCAGCTATACAGTTTTGAGGATTCGCTTTGAGACAAAGCCGAGTTGCCCCCACAGACTGAGGTTATACAGCCGTCTGATCCCTCCAAATTTGACCGCCCAAGGAGAACGTTCAACTTTCTTTCTTGGTTAGATACGCTCTGTTTATACGCCACTGATAGCTAATGTGCAGGCGTCATGGGGAATAGCATACATGCTGGGCATGATTGATGTGCCAGATAAAGAGGACATGGAAGCCGACATTGCCACCTGGACTGCATGGACCAGAAAGCGATACTTGGAACAAGGGCGCAAACACGTCTGTTCTATTTATGACTATCTCGCTATGCATATATATTCAAAAAGAAAGAAGTGATTTTACTGGCTGATTTTTTTACTGGCTGATATACAGTAAATTGATACGCTTCGCCTAAATTTCGGTCATAACACGCGCTGCGAGGGCAACTCTGTATTAAAGATGTTTGTACCACGTCGCCCTTCGAATTATGATGGTTTGACAAAAGAGGTTTTGCAGGCGCAAAGAAAAAAGGATGCCCTGGAAGATAGTGATGACGACGAAGAAAGTATGATTTCTTCATATTGATCATTTGAGGAAACTACCTAGGCGCAGCTAAAATAGGTACACATTACAAAGCTTCTGAATTACCTGTCAAGTCTTGAATTCGAGGTATCAATGATAAACCTACAGATGATCTTGACTCCCATCTGATCTTGATCATTAGCTTCATCTTGATTCATCTGATAGAAGAAAATAATCGGTTCAGAATCTAATTAACCTGTCAAAAGAAGAGCGCGGGAGTTGTGGGTTCTAATTTCATGATCTAAACTATATGCTCGACAATCTATTTTCCTAACTCCACAATACATTGACTTACAACATTCAAAATCTTGAAACTTATCATTTCCCAATAGAATCGATAAGATGAATGACAGTGAGCTATCAAGTTGAGATCATAGCTCAAGAAACGAGGTCGGTATCCTGAGCAGCTGAAGGCGCTGCCTCGTCTGTTTCTTCGAGAAGATGATATCCGTTCACCGATGCGACAACGTCCTGCGAAAAATCCGAGTCAAAATAATATCGCGCTTTAGATGAATCGATACTTACATATATGCTATCTGGCTCTAATAGCCGCGATGACCAATTCGATAGGATTATAGCCAGCATAAAAGGAACCAAGTAATCAAATCTTTCGGTAATTTCAACAAGAACCACAATCAACGTAACTGGAAGTCGGGTAACACCACATACAAAAGAACCAGCGCCAATCAATGCATAAGTACCTGGACTGATACATGATGAGCCCTGGATACCTATTTCATTTGCGCATTCGGCGACGAGCATTGGGAGTCCCCTCAGGGAAAACGTATCTACAAATAGTTGAAATACGTGCCCAACAATCTTGCCAAAAAGAGCCCCGAGAACCATTGTGGGAACGTATATTCCAGCTGGAACTTTCAGTCCGAATGTAAGGACAGTGAAAACCCCTTTGATGATAAAAGCAGCCGCCAACGACCGTATGTGTGCTGGGATACCGTCTAACGATGGACAATTGTCATGAAGGTGTTGGTCTGTGTGAAATTTTTGACACGGTGTCGTCAATATTGCCAGTGCTTCTGCAGCGCTCAGCTTAGTGAATCGATTGGTATCAGTAATAAGACCGGTGAGGACAGCTAGTAAAGCAGTTTCAAACATCGGATGGCGGGACAAAATGGGGATCTTTCGAGCGGCTAATAATCGAAAACGCGCGGATTTGACAAACAGAGAGCCTAAGATGCCCCCGCTTAAACCAATACATGCGTAAATCGGGATCTCGAGAGTCTTCCACGTGACCATACTATGAACGTGAAACATGACGATTGCCTTCAGACCATAGGGGTCCAGATACTTGAGGAATGTTGCTGCAGTCTAGCTCTCATGTGTTAGTTATGTGTGTTTTCCGTAGCGAAGGAACTTCTCCTGGATGCTTACTATGCAACAAAAAAGGGTTGAAGTAAACCTTCCCGATGAGGGCTCGAGGAGTCTTGTTGTTTGTTAATACTTGGGTATCATGATGGAAGTCAAATGAACGTACGGCAGCTCTTCAAGTACAAATATTAGCCCCGAAATTGGTGCACCAAAGGCAACACAGAAGCCTGCTGCAGCCCCTGCGTTGTACAACAGCTCAGACTGCGCGCCACACAATTCGAACACATCGCCAATAGTACTGCTGATACCCGCTGCAATATGTATATATGGGCCCTCCTTGCCGAGACAAAGACCAGAGGAAGCACTCAGTATAATACCAACGATTTTGCTTAAAGTTGTATAGAGATCAAAGTAGCCTGGTAGTTGAATTCCTTTCGAACGCAATTTTAGTTCAGCCACACCACTTCCTGAGACAGGATAAAGTATTGTGGATTTTGTTTTGATCTTATAAAAATTATCCATTAGCTGTTTCGGTTGACAAGAAAGTGCTGCAAGCATTAAATCATACGTACACCATTGATCTGCGAATGCCTTGACAGAGTGATCATGGCTGAGGTGGTTGCAAATACAGCTCCAAGCAAAGTCCAGGAAACCCAGCCAAATAACATGCGGCTGCGACGGTCAGATATATGGAAAGCGTCAGACCATTGTATCCATGACATGCAATCCGAGTCTATTCAAGTAAATTAAATCTTCAGAAATGCAAGATTGTTATTTTCAGTCTACTTACTATAAGAGCAGCATCTTTGACGGTTCCACATAAGATTCGCTGTATGACATGTGAGCATCACTTCTAACATTGGTATTTGTATAAAAAGGCGGACTTTGAAGCATAGATAGAATACATACTTTTACAGTATCCATCTTTAAGATCAAAAAGAAAAGGATCAACAACTGCAACAACGTATCCCATCAGACCGATGAGCAGACCCGTAAGAAGAAGCAAAGGCCATATTTCAAATCCTGCAACGACTTCTGTATTTATCGTTAATTACTATAGATTCAAGAATTCACAGTGTTGAATATGCATACTAGGTGACAGATCATAGGTGCTGCCATGTTCCAGGGTTCCATCAATCAGAAAATCACCATCTCGTGACGTCCTGTCGAGATAACTTTCATTACCAAGGGTACCGTAGCTTCTGCAATCGGTTGATCTGGTTCCTTGAGAACGACTCAAGGAGGACACTGTTTCAGGATGTGGAGATTGCATCGCATCAGTCATGGAGGCACGAAGGCTCCAACCCCGATATGTTTTGACTTCTCCACGTCATGATAAAACTTCTTTTATGTCTTCTGGACATCTGCAACTACTCTTTTACAAAATTTGGCTCATATTCGGCACGAAGAATGGCGATCTTCCAACCGTAGTCGGAGTCTCGGACCTGCAGTTGTTATATCCGGCGTTCCACACTGGCCGACGGCCCTTGTTTTTGTTATCAAGCTGATTGGCAGCAGCTTTCTTTGTTGCAGGGAATATTGATCAATGACTCATATGAGTAGCGTCGATCTCATTGGGGCCCGTGGCAGGGATCGGCCGACGAGTCCCGTAGGTGCATGACACCGGGGGTATCAGAGCCTGTCACATATGATAGTTAGCTTGGCCAAGGCCGCTAATGCATGGTAAGCTGTTTGCATTGAACCCTTGCTAGCCTTATGTCTGTAAATCGTACGTAGCACAAGTTATGTAGTCAACCATCATATGCTAACACATTGTTTAGTAATGTTTTCCTTTTTAGGCAGTACGCACAAATTTGCATTGTTTGCAGATAAGGCAAACAACATTTCAATCCTTGCCTTATCAACTCGAAAGGCCGTGAAGCTCAATGAAATTTTATTCTCCAAATTAGTTGTTCACTCTAATGATTGTTGATCGTTCCAAACAAATCAAGATGGCATCGGGGAGCTCTGAGATTTTCAACCATGCGGACAGCGTTCCAGCTGTGCAAGCTTCGACTCACGGCGAAAAAAGCGAGCAACTGGCCGCTGCATTGGAGGAAAAAGAGCCGTCACCAAGAAGTGTTCATGGTATTCGCGTATGATTCAGAAGCCCATCTAGTGCGAGCTACTCAAGAGCTAATCCAGCGTTCAGTGGGGATTGGCTGTTTCTGCCATTCTATCATCGACGTTTCTATTTGCCCTAGACAACACAGTAGTACGTTGAAACAACGATCGATTTCGATTGTCCTAGATCTTGTTCGTCCAGATACTGAATCGATTCCTGAATAGGTTGCCGACGTCCAACCTGCGATCTTGAATACATTTGGCAAAATCGAGGATCTTCCCTGGCTTGGTGTAGCCTTCGCGCTTGGTGGTATCGCAATTTTACCCTGGTAACTCGATGCTCCCACTTGCGGATCACTTGCCGATGACGATCCATCCAGGACTGACAAGTCATAGGGGCAAAGCGTATACCGTATTCAATATCAAGTGGTTATATATCACGACTATAGTTTTGTTTGAAGCAGGCAGCGCGCTATGCGGAGGCGCGCCGAATATGAATGCTTTGATTGTTGGAAGAGCGATTGCGTAAGTAGTATATGACAACTATGGTCACTGCTCATCAAGTCATAATGCTTATCAAATTTTTAGGGGCCTTGGGGGATCTGGTATGTATTCCGGGTGCTTGACATACTTGTCTGTCACAACTAGTACTCGTGAACGACCGTTATATATGGCCCTCGTTCTTCTTGCCTGGGGCCTGGGTACAGTTCTTGGACCTGTTATTGGTGGTGCCTTCGCTGACAGCAGTGCAACATGGCGATGGGTAGGTGATATCCTGTCTTCTTCAAGATTCGAATCAAGGTCTAACATAACATGAAGTCTTTTTACATAAATCTAGTCATCGGCGCCGTTTTCTCACCCATCTATTTTTTGATGTTACCACAAATCGACTTTGGGGGAAATTTGTCACTCGCCCAAAAGCTAGCCAAGATGGATTGGGTTGGCATGGTGGTTTTCTTTGCCGGCGCTACATGTTTGACTATGGCCATTAGCTTTGGCGGCACTACCTATGCCTGGGACTCGGGCTCTGAAATTGCCTTCTGGGTGGTTTCTGGAGTGTTGTTAATTGTGATGATATTGATAACGGTACGACCCATCTTAGTGTCGAAGACAGATCGCCTATACCCTGGTCACTTTGTTCGCAAACCCGAACTTGTCAACCTGCAATTGCAACTCTTCCTCGTTACAGGCGTGATGATGGGGACTGCATATTACATACCATTATACTTTCAATTTGCTCGCGAAGATTCAGCGCTGAGAGCCGCCGTTCGTCTCCTGCCATTTATCGCAATGGCAGTCAGCTTTTGTGTCATTAGTGGAGCACTAATGCCAAAATTTGGCTACTATATGCCTTGGTACACATGGGGCAGTGCCCTGGTGGTGATTGGATCTGCACTCATGTATACAGTGGATGCAAACACGTCGCCGTCGCATGTGTATGGATACACCGTTCTTCTCGGCATTGGGGCTGGATCTTATCTACAGGCAGGTTATGCCATTGTTCAGATGTTGGTTCCACAAGAGGAAGTCGGCAATGCCGTTGGATTCATGAGCGTTTCTCAGGATCTGGGCATCGTCTTTATCCTCGCTTTAGCCGGCACAGTATACCAAAATCTAGCGTTGAAAAGACTCACGCCTCTTCTTGCCGGTCGCCCCGCTTCAGACGTGATGCAGGTGATTGCTGGTACCAGTAATTCTGTCTTCAAGTCGCTCGATCCAGACCTCCAAAGAAAAGTTGTAGGCGAAATCACCCGATCTCTGAGTGCGGTTTGGGCAGTTTTGATAGGCGTGGGAGCCTTGTGTTTTATTCTCTCCCTTTTCTTGAAAGTGAGTCTGATCCCTCCTTGTGTTTACTCGTGTAATAACATAGGCTGACTTTTCATACCTTACAGAGACAAAGAGCCTGGCCTTAGACTGCCTAGAGTCAAGGTTGTTGCAAACAGTGCGACTTCCCGTCTTCACAAATTCAAAATTGTTCCGTCATCCCACACTCCATGTAGGTTTAAACATGCTTCATCGTTTTACAGCATCGATCCAGAGAACGCGCTAAGAAAACTTATAAGGCATCCTTTGCTATTCTGTCGAAGCTGTTGGTATCATTTCTACCTGAACATTTTTAATTATTATGTCGGTCATAAAACAGTTTTTGGTCACAGAGATTGCTATATTTGTATTATTATCTTAGCCAGCATAATAATTCAGTATACATCAATAATGAAACTGCCAGCTCCCTAGTATCTCTCAGCTTGCGGACAACTCGGCTGCTTGTATGCTTTAGTGCTCTGCAATCATTTCGTTACTTGAGGTATATGGACCCATAACAACGACTAAATTTGCATCTATTTTAAGTCAGATATGTATGTTGGCCGCTGTCTAGATCTATAATGCATGGTTTGGATAGTATCATTCAATTCGGGGTATCAAACCGGATAAAAATATTACGATCGATATGTAAAATGTGTATTTGTATAAGCAAGCTATATAGAACGCGCATACTTGCTATTGTTTCCAGCAAACACTGGACGAGACATTTAAAACTTATACTGTCTTGTTGGATAAGCCTCAAAGCGGTTGTAGTAGGATTGCGATGGCCCGTAGTGAAAAACGAGTGAGTTTAAGACCAGGTTTCCTCTTTCGCATCTGACCATTTAGTCCATATCGCAGCTTGGGATGACCTCAGAGATGCGCGACTCGACCGTAATAGAGAAGGGATTCTGAGTAATGACAAAACGGCCGTTGCCGACAAACGTCTTGTTCTCGAGGTGCTTGTACTTGGGATTTCCAGTCCGGAAAGTGTGGACGGTCGCTGATATTGATGTCATTAGTCTTCGGTGCTTGTACCGTGGCAGATCCACGTAATCACTATGAGAGGTTGTACTCACAAGAAATACCAAAAGGAAATGTCTTTGCATTGGGGTCCTTTTCGAACATGTCCAGAATGGGCTGGCTAGCTCTTGCGACGCCAGTATAACCACAGTCAAGAACCTGCGCGTTCGCTATTAGATCTCACCTAATTTCACAGAATGGTATTGATTGTGACCGAGACTTACGACGCCATCATCGGTTCTAACATGATCATATTAGTCTGTAACACTCCAACATATGACAAGATATAATCAACGCTCACCTGGCTAATAGTTTCAGCTCAGGGCGAGCGTGCCCTCCATCAGGATCGAATACAAGCCAATCAGATCCATATTCGACATTGGCCTCGACTGGGTGGTCGTATCCCTCGGCGGTTGTTAGGGTGCCGGAACCGGTCTCCTACTTCAGGTCAGCAAAAACCATGGAGTAGTATATTTGGATATGGGAAAGGTACCCAGTGAATCAGATTGCTCCCGCTCAGAATTGTACCTGAGTAAAGGTTGAATTAATCATGGTTCCCCCCTTCCTCTCGCTATCGATTAAAATGTTCACTCACCGACAGGTCTTCCGGTAGTCACTTTAACCTATTGCATATTAATCATCCCATCTCCTGATTAAATCTCATAACCTGCGGGCTTACCTTGAGAATATAGGCAGGTTTCAATCTCGGGTAACCTGAGAGATTCTTGATCTCCGGCTCCGTTGACAACGGCGAGAGGTTGGTGAAAACTGGTGCAGCCATTTTTGTGAAAGTAATTAGATGTCGGTAAGAATATGATTTCTTGGTTGTTTTTCTTGTTCGTGAGTAGGAAAAATGCGAATTGAGACCTTTTGAAGAGAAGAAACATATCTCGTTTTATAGACGAGCAATCGAAGCTTTCGTCTGCTAATACTGCTTCTACGCCGCCATACATCTTGTCTCTAAACCAAACAATCTTGCGATATTGGAATGGATGAAGCCAGAGTATACTGACGCGGACATCTGGGGCTATGGACTAGGGGTCGGGCTAAACGGCCGACGGGGAAGAATATCGTCGGAGATATCGCTTCTGTAAACACGGAGCACTTTGCCGATTAATAACTCTGTAAGTTTCTTTTTTCAACAATAAATAAAAGAAGTAAAAAACCGGAGCTGGGTCTTTTTTTATTTGTGATGTGGTTTGTGAGGATTTCTCGTTTTACTCAGTAGTGTCGACATTCCGTTATTCTTTCTTTTTCTCCAATAGTACTATCGTTACTGGTGACAAGTTTCAAAATGATTTTTAGCCTATTCGTCTTCCTACTTAATTTTCTCCTATATTCGGGCACTTTTAGTGCGCCTTTGGATACATCCAATTGTGCTGTGGATAAAGAGTCATGCTCTTGTCCTTCGGACACGTCATTTTATGAGTGCACCACCACAGCTGTGATTGGGGCTGCATTGGAAGATGTCCAGGCTCTCACGGGTGACTGTAAGTCGAGGTTGTAATACTTTTATGAATTTCAAGTTTCGCCAACACATAATCAAATTTAGTTTTTCATACGGAATGGATGGGCGTTGCGCCAATAAGTACCAACGGCGATAATAATGTGCTTGGTTCTACACGCACATTGAACGTCCCAACACAAAAAGGAACATATGAGTTCACCGAGGAGGTTCACTTTCCTTTTTATCCGTTTAACATATGATACCTCTCTAATATATTGGGATAGCTACTCAAACTCGATCATAAAGGCGATGGCTCTTACACGTTAATGTTTAAGCAACAGAACGGTCAGTCAAATCCTTGGGCAAACTTTACAAGCTAGTATCGGCCATCTCATTCTTACTGCGTCTATAGTTCCTGTTCGGTACGACAGAGAACATGGGCCGGGGTCTTTCTCTGGTTTCTGGGTCACTCGCAGTACGCATTATGACGGCCCTTTCCGAACGAGGATAAATTGGAATGTGTACGCTTGTTTGACTGGAACTGTGGGTATGTGTATCGAATCAATTCTAAAGGTATTTCTCCAAGCAAAAACCTAAGCTAATATTGTACAGGATTTCCGGAGTTCCATAGGTTGGCACTCAATAACGCAACGGCAACGCTTCAAATGATGGGAAAAATCAAAGGCGTCAGCGAGCCCCCACATTCGGATTGTCAACCGTCGGGAAGTTTTATGCAGACGTCTGTTGCCGAGCAATTTCTCGACAAGACAACCGAGGTACTACATGGACTGCGTATTCAGATCGATTTGTAGGGCCTGGCGTAGGTGTACAGGGCCAGAACTGAGTATAAAGTCAACGGCTGGCCATAAGTCGCAGAATAGAGAGACTTGGGTCAGTGGACATTAGTTTGAATCCATTGATTTATTTATCAATGTCACTGACCTTTTTTTTCCGTCACCTTTATGACTTTCCGCTTGTATCCTTACTTTCTTGATTGTAATTGCATGAACAGAATTCTCTTTCTCGCAAGTGGACTGCAAAATACTTTCTCTAGTAAGCCCTTAAAAGAACAGACTTCACAATTTGGGTGTTTCAAGTAAAATTCCTCTTGTTGATATGATGCAACCTACGGTCATCCATTTCTAATTCGGATCTACTTAAAGTTCATGCTTTTCTCCTCAGATGACATTACCATTTCCGATTGAGTACCCAATAACTGCCCACATTATTTTGATGAATATCATTATGAAGTGATGTTAAATTATCTGCTTTATCCAATTTGAGTAAAGGTTACCCCATTTATTTCGGCTTCCCTTTCAACATTGATCGCACGAATACGTTCATTAGAAGCGATTTATCAGCACCACTATAACAATACTCCCGAATTATAACACACTATATCTTGTCCCGATCGAGAATTTCAGTATTCATTATGTTGGCTTAGGCATGTGTATCGATTTTTCTTTTTTCCCGAAGAACAACATTCTATTTCGTTGATGTGGCAGGGGGTCCCATAAAACCTTCAATTGAGCAGAAATATTTCTTGGCAGTTGCAGATATTGCAATTGAAACCGGATAAGTTGGTGTTAGTGTCGTAAACTAAACCTTTAACGATAATAACAAAATATGCACAAGGGCCTGGCTGCGAGAAGTGTCTGATCTACTTTCGGCACAACAGCCAATGTCGGACGACTCTCAGCGCTATCACCATGGATTCGATATTTTGTCGGACCACTTTCCCACCGAACCTTACACTAAACATAATCTTAACTATATCGTCAGCCCTAAGCTAACTTTCTTAAGGATCGGTTTGTTAGTTCTAAACTAATGCATAACTAAATTCTCCACCTATGCTGTACCGTATTTACAGTATGTATTTCAGCGCTAAGGAAAATACACATCAAATACACGAGACGACGGCTATAGCCGCATCAGTGATTATATTACCTATGCAATAGCGGGGAGCAACGGAAATGGGAGAAGATAAAGTTAGGGCTTTCGCTTTTGATGACGGGGAGGAACGGGATACTAGAGTTAGGGCACTCCGCCCCTAGATCCCGAGGCGACGGGGAGGAACGGGTAGTCGGTGCGGCTAATTACAGGGCTATCCACCCTCGGGCCTCCGTGCCACCTCGCGCGACGGTGCGTGTATAGTTCATCAGGGGGGATGAGAATGGAATCATCGGACCTTTAGCCATGACCCGTCGTACGTACACCCTAAACAGTCATATTTCCGGTATCTAAGCTGCAATTAATGCAGCATTGAAGGCGTAGTATGAAATTATTGCCATTTTCACGATCTCTTGACCGCTCATCTGTCGTTAGGTTCTTGGACTGTCTTGAATTGTATCAACCTTCAAGATCTCAAAGTCCAAAATGCCCACAAATGAGACAACTCGCCTCTTACATCGGTTCCCAGAGGTAGAGAGACAGCTCCCAGAGGTGGAGCGACACCAAGTAGAAAATGGCTCAAACGTGACCAGTATTCTTCGAGCAATACGGCCAGGATTTAACAAAAAATACAATTTTTGGCTATGTACAGCATCTTCACAATTTTCAAGAAAAGCCACTTGCTGACGAGTTGGTGGAAACAGTCTCTATTTTCGGCTTTTGCATGGGCTTCTTCTGTTTTGCACGCTTCAAGTATCTATCTGAACGCGTTCTGGCAGCTGAACTTACCCCCGGAGATTGGTACTGGTTCCATAATGGCATGATACACATTGGGTTTATGCTGCACCTTGCTACTATGCTACCGGCTGGCTTGTTGATGATACTGCAATTCATCCCTCGCATCCGATACAAGGCCATACTTTTCCATCGTCTGAATGGCTATGTTGTGCTTACATTGTCACTTATCGGAAATGCGACAGCCCTAATTATTGCTCGCCATGCTTTCGGCGGTGATATGGGATCACAAACCTGCACCGGATTTCTCGCCCTTGCGTCGACTATCGCCATGTCAATGGCATGGTGGAATGTCCGTTGTTTACAGATTGATTTACACCGAGAATGGATGCTTCGCGCTATGTTCTGGATGGGATCCATTGTCAGCACGCGTATTATCATGCCGCTCATGGCCATAATCCAGACGGCACTAGGCGGATATTTCTTTGCATGGCCTTGTGATGAGATTAAGTTCATCCTCAAAGATCGTCCAGACTTAATGGAGTCGCAATATCCACAGTGCCTCACTCCCAATGGCACAACGAACGGGTGGGTTGCTGTGGAGGGTGATCTGGATTTTTCAAATCCAGCAGGATTGGGCGCAGTTTTTGACACTAATTTTGGAGCAGCGGTAAGTTACTTCCTTCTAATTTAGTTCACTCCAACCGTTTAAGAGTATCTGTAGCTAATCTGAGTGCGATTAGTTGTGGCTAGCCTTGATGCTTCATATGATAGGCGTGGAAATCTATTTAGCTTTGACGCCAGTGGAGAGAGAGCGGCTTCGTAAAGTAAGCTACGAACGACAACTTGCCGCTGGATATAAAAACCCGGGGAACTGCGGTACCACGATTTCTCGATGGGGTGATATTGGTTCCAATGAAACTGCTTGATCGAGAACATTCCAAGAAAGGAGGGCTTTTCTGGACCGACGGTTGACTTCTTTTTTTCTTTCTTTCTCTCGGTTTTTCTCTTTTTAACTTTCACTTTTCATGTATTTACTCCACTTATTTTTATCGCATCGTATATAGTATAGCAAGAGTATACTGAATTCTCCTTTTTCGCAAATTTTAGACATATCATTGTTCTTGCTTGACTTTCTGGTACAAATCCAGGAACATAACATTAGGTCACCTTGCTCAATGAACAGAATCTACTTGAAAGAATAGGACCCTTTCTAGCATTACTTTTCGTTCTACCGTTCAACATATTCACACCACCACCACTGATTGTACGCAACTAACACTGCAGCGAATACAACTAAATTCAGTGAACCCTGTACCGTATTAAACCATAATCAAAGTTCAAATTCATTCTGGTAAGTCGCTCGCGGGTTTGATGTCCAAGGCAAAGAAATCTGTTGTAGCTGCTCTCTAATACCGGCAATTGTCTCATCCCACGATCCCGAGTCGTCATCTAATCCAATCATAGTCTCGTACAGTAATTCCAAGGTACTATAAAGACGTCTCTGTCTTTTTCCTGGGATACTGTTATCCAGTAGTTGACTCAAAACTCGACCAGCACATGTAAGAGACCAAAGAACAAATGTATTTGTTTGTTTCAGTATGTTGATCTGTATTCATGTTAGCAAATTTTTTAGAACGATTGACTCCTGAGGACCTCACATTGTAGGCATCTTTCGAGTGCATCCGGTGCAGAACCGAAACCATTTGGACCGCAGCAGTCTCGCACCGACGATCAGTGTCCTCCCTTAAAGATTCTGGCGCCGAGGTCCTGACAGACATTTCGGCGGCGGTATTGTGGAGATAGATATTGACCGCATAGAAATTCAAATAGACAATCAATGCAGACGCATCACCTGGTAGAGTAGTATTGTTCTGCAGCGGCTGTTGTTGCTGGTGCATTGTCTGTAATCGTTCTTGCTGCTGAACTTGCAGCTGCTGAAAAAGACAATGAGACACAATCTGAAGCTTTTTGTCGATAGCGAAATGTTGCACCCAAAATGGATACCGGTTACCCCCCTCCATTTCTAGGGAGCCGAATGTCGGGGATGAAAATTTTCTATGTTCTTGTTCTTCTTGTCTCTGAGAGATCCGGCCGTGACGATTGCATATCGCTCCCAGTCCACATACAATGACTAGTCCAGCGAACGCAGAAACTGGAGGTAATGGTTTATCAGCGCTGCAGCACAACGCATCGCTCAAGCGTATCACTTTGTCCACCGTGTGAAATTCGGGGGATGTAGCGGTCGAAGGAAGAGAAGTATAAATCTTTTAGAATGCCGATCAATATTTGAATAGATATTCGAAGGCATCAGGGGAAAGGAATACTCACATCATCTATTGAAAAGCTGATAGCCGATTTCGTGCGGTTACAAGCCCATAAATCCAAAATATACGCCACCCAAAAGGTCCGTCTCCTCTCTTCAACCTCAGCTAGTGTTGTCGGTTTTTGCATCTGGAGTCGGAATGCGGAGTCTGCAACACTCTTACTCGGTGATACCTCCTTGTCTATCTCATGCAGCTTCATTAGTCTGGCTAGCCGCAAGGCTCGCCCTAGACTCATCCAACCCCTTGCAAATCCTTGCTTTTTAAACTCATGATAGGTAATCAATATCATGGCTTGTAGAGCATGAATACTTAGAAAGTGGGAGCCTGGGTACTGACGCTCAGCATCCTCCAAACATCGTCTTGCGTGATAGTGGCATGCGGAGACAAGTTCATCGCTTTCCTTGTTAATTCCAGCACCGACCATGGCGATTGCATAGATCAGACTCTGAAATTCTGGAGACTGACTAGAGGCATCCTCTAAGACTGCAATGGAGCGACTACGATCAATCATAGGTAATAGTGGATGTAGATTCTCAAAGTACTGCCGGTGTCTGCGACCACATCAGTGAGCCCGAGAGTCTTGACGTAGGTAATTATTTTTGTTACTCACGGTTCAATCAGCCTTTCCCTTGATATAGGTAGATTCCAGTCTGGATGCATGGGAGGATAAGACAGGACGTTGCTATCAAGGCTGGATACTATCAGATCCGGAGAAGAAGAAACTCCATCAGGAAGAAGAATATGATCACGGTCATGTTCACTTCCTGTTTGGCTTTATTGTTTCCATTAATCTCTTCGTCAGTTTTCATTTATCTTTGATCAATCGAAACTATGGGGAAGGAAAAGATCCAAGGACCAAACCTACAAGTCGTCCAATGTCTGTTTCATCACGTCACAGCTAATGTCTATGCTCCCTAAAGATGACGGGTCAAACGCCACATTTGCGCTCGATACTTCTGCGTAGCTTATTTCCGGTATTTCTGAAAACTGTGCCATATTGTGACTTGTATCCATCCAGTTTAAAGAAGGATAATTGTTGAGATCCATAAGTGGACTGGGATAAGCCATCGTACCGCTATTTGCGAGAGCTAATCGTGCTTCTGCTTGAGCTGATAACAGCATTACGAGAAATCTTAGTCAAAGATTTGGTAGAGTAAAGGGCTTCCTTTCTTCCAGACGACAGGCATGTACATACCTATTCGTGAGTCAAGTTTCATTAATGCCTTTGGTACATCAATAGAGCTCTTGGAGGAGGGTGTGTAATTGCATTTGTGTCGAAGACGGAGGCATCGGCCGCACTGTGGATAGCTACGGTCACATCTCACCTTGCGTTCTCGACAAACGTCGCAGGCAGTTCGTCGAGATTGGCTGGCGCGGGCATCCTCGTCGTCGTTATTGCCAGCAACGGCGGCATTAGGACTAGAATTCTTCGAGCTGGGGTTCTTTGGCTCCATCAGAGAGATTTATGCACTAGCTGGGAAAACAATATCTTTCCAAGATTCTGGGAAATGACGCTCAGATGTAGAGAGAGGCTTTATGATATATGTAGAATAATGAGATTTATTCTTTCAGCTACCCATTTGACATCTATAACCAGGAGCAGCTTACGGCAGTAATTCAAAGCAGATAAGAGGATACTCTGTGCATTTATCTTTTCAGCTCCATATGCTGCGGTGCGTAGAAGGACATCTTTACCGTGACATGCATAAAATCTCTGTGTGGGCTGAATATCTCGTTAAGCACCAAATGCGTTTCGTCCGACTGCTCCCGCCATCAGTCATTGCACACCTTGTTATCAATTAGCCCCCAACATGCAAGAGAGAGCTTGGATATACGTAAATTACTGAAGAGATTGAAACAAATACGATATGTGGCAAGACCAAGACTTGGCTTCATGGCGTTTTTAGAGTAGGTTAAGCCGAGTATTGCAGTGCTTTAGCTCTCGTCTCAAGACTGAAAATTTTATGACGATCTATACCACACAATTTGCATAACTCCTATTGAATAGTTCCAATACTATATAGTACCAAAACTCCTTTCCATAAGCAGTATACAAAAATTGCGTTAAGTCGTTGTACATCATGCTATTGGAAGTTTTGTATTGCGACAGGGGTGTACGGTACCACGCTAGTCATCAGGCTCTATACATAACAGCTAGCACTCGTATGAGAATAGTATGCAGGCGCCCCTCGGGTGATGTGACGATTAGTGACTTTCTAGCTGATAAATCATTCGTAAGATTGACATGACCCCTGCTTTACGTGATTTGCAACGGCAGGACCCGAGTGTGAATACTATCTACTCTGTCTGATATTTGCACCGCAAGCCAACGTGTTTCTTCATACATGACGATTTGATCGTAGACCCTGGACACACATTTTGACATTCGAGTTCACCATTGTGATTTCAATAGTGGATGGAAAGAGGCTGGGACCCAGATGGGCATGAAAGAACCGAGATTCTCAGACAAAATAATGGCTCSACCGTTGGATATAGGTTGGTTTATTTTCCTAATTAGGACCATGCTTGCAAAGCTAACACCGAGTACATGCCACTTTGCCAATTATTTCAGAGCGAAAAGCGGGGTTCTGCAGGATGATGTCTTTTCATGTTAGCTTTAATCGAATCATTCTTGCCCAGACCGGCCACCACCATAGCCATTAATAATCAAATCAGTCTTGGCTAGTGATATGAAGTGTCTTGTACGTGCAAGATACACATCTTCATACAAGAACGGGGAAAGACAATAAGCATTCAAAGATCCCCCATCCAATAGAACCAGGACTACAGGCTAGTATGATGAGATTTCAACGTCATTTATGGTTATCCCATCGGAGCTATTTCATAACTCTGTGTCCGGTCCATGAGATGCATACAGTATTGGGAGCCTAGCTTAAAGTTCTGTTTGGGGGTGTTGGTGTTTGGACACATGCAGCTTTTAATCCGACACGGTATTGACCGGGATAGGTGATCAAAACTCGCTTATTCTTCTGTATCATCCCATTTTTGTATAAATTACCGAAACTTACATTTAATGTGATTTGTTCGATTATCGACTAGCATGCATGCAACAGTACTGCATACAGAGAATCAACAAGTGATTTCCAACAATTATAAGCTTTCATCTGTATGGCTCCCTTAAGTGGAAGCTTGCCGGGATTATGAAACGGTCTGCACGTTTAACCCTAAATAAATTCTATCCGATACTTTGTATTTGCCTCATACAAGTACTCTAATAAAATGTACATTTAGGTCCGTAGGGAACGTTGCAAATATCAAGCAAACAGGGAAAGATTACGACTACGACCGGTAAAAGCGATTTAGACAGCTTGATAGGTGCGCGCTTTGAGCGCTTTGCAGCAACCCACACCTTGCAACTGACACGACCGTCTTGTCCGGACTCATATCTTTGCTTAATGTTTGCCTAAATTGCAACCTGTCTCTAGCGCTCATATAGTTTTTCACAGTCAGCATCCAGATAGTCTACAATGAAACCCTGTTACCACGCAGTTTGGGACATGTGCGATGCTGCGCAGGCTCCCCACCTCCTGCAAATCTCCTCGTATTCGCATTTTCTGTTCCTGGTATGTTCCTTGTCTGTGAATCTTTGTTATGCAATTCATGATGTGTTGGAACATCCTTTCAATCTCACTGTATCTATCACGATCATACTCAAGCTACATCGTACCTGCCTAGATCGTGTAGTATATGTGCGGCTTCTAGACTAATTCGTTGCACCATCCAGATGTAAAAATAGATACATGTCTTTGTCGCTCTGTTTTACAATAAAATATCTTTCTATATACAGTTAGCATTGCTTTTCCCGTACGATCATGGGAGGCAGCCATTGCATGTTATTAGTATGGCCTATATTAACCATGAGATGATTTGAAAAACAGTTATGATAATGAAATTATTATCCCACCTTGTTCAGCTCCGTTCTATAGGCTCGTAGGATCAGTTGAATTGTTCCCTACTTCATGACGCGGGCGCTGTAGAGTTAACATTAATCTACAGCTACGTATTAGGGATTTTATCTTTACGCCGGATGCTTTTGATTTGATCTTGGAGAGTTGTATAAGCAGGCTAATGTATAATCCAATATTTATTGCCTTTCATTTGTTTTTCCTACCATCTTCGAAGGACAGAAGAACTCTGCTAATTAAGTTGCAATATCTGTCGTGACAGCCAAGTCCTTCCATGCCTCCAAAGCCTTCTTACTCTCTTCCAGCAGTCCTTCAATCATAGCAATGGCATCAGATCCAATGGTCAATCTGACAGGTAGCTTTCTGCCAGAGCAACGGCCTGTCCCAGTCAAGGCTTCAACAATCAAATGTGCTCCCTTAGCTGGGTCACCAGGCTGGTGGTGATTATACATAGAGAACATGTCCTTTTAAGGCTTGATGATCGGAACATAGTCTTCAATGGAGTTCTTGGGGGACACCTTGTGTCCACCAGACAAGAAATCAGTACGAAAGTAGCCTGGCTCGACGACCGTGACTGTAATACCCAGCGGCTCGCATTCGGCACGAAGAGCCTCCGAAATGCCTGCAATGGCAAACTTTGTTGCACAGTAATAACCACAGTTTATGCCACCCTGCCATCCAGCGATTGAGCCCATGTTGGCAATAACACCGGATTTCTGGCCACGCATGTAAGGGAGAACGGCTCGACTGACAGCAATCTGACCGAAAACATTTGTATCGAAATGAGCTCTAGCCTCTTCGTCACTTTTAATTCAGTTAATGATTTGATATGTACCATCAGAAGCAGCTGTATAATAATGATGTGAATGGTCGGCATCAATATACCTCACTTCTTCAATGCCACCCTCCAGAATATACCCAGCGTTGTTCACAAGAATGTCTATGGTGCCATATTTTTTCACGGCCTCAGCAACCACAGCTTCGATATTGTGCTTAGGAGCGTTAACATCTAGTGACACGGTGAATATTCCGGCCTTTCGCAAATCTTCCAATTTCGCTGCATCACGAGAAGTTGCCACGACATTGTCACCCAAGCCGTGGGCAGCCTGTGCAATCGCTTTCCCAAAACCGGAGGAGCATCCAGTAATGAACCAGGTTCGTGCCATTTCCAATTAATTCAGGCAGTATAAAAAGTCAGAGATAGACACCAAGAGATGAATAACAAGCGCTTGGAGAGGGGGGGGAGGAACGAAAATAAAACCAAACAAGAGATTAGAGAGAAAAGTGACGGAGAAATAGGATGGCTGAGAGAAGACAACTGAAGTTAAGGGAGGCGTAGCCCTAAAACTCAAACCCCAAAAAGGCGACAAAGTAAGGGTCTGGAGAACAAAGAAAGACCCCTGTCAATCACATTGTTCCACTACGCTCTGCGGCCGAAGTCACCGGCAAGCGGGCCGAAATGGCGACGCAGCGGCCAAACGGACCGGGGGCTGACTGCCTACTTTTAATATGTGATCTGCCTGCTGTACTGGGTAAATCATGAGTTTACATGTGTAGATTGTGAAGAAGCAGTAGAATTAAAGTTCCGTAAAAACATTTAGTGCAGGACGTAGATTCCTTGCTCAACCGGTCACGCCTTCTTCTAGGCGTGGACTTACAAAACCGTTGAAAACATCGCAGCGACATACAGACTGGCAGCAAGATCACGAAAATGACGACGGAGAAGAATGGATTCAGGGTGATCGTTGCCGGTGGTGGTATTGCTGGACTTGCCATGTCTCATGCCCTGCAATTAGCAGGAATTGATCACGTTGTTTTGGAGGGTTATTCGGATGTTCGATCACATGTCGGGGCAAGTATTGGGCTATGGCCGAATGGTATTCGGGTCCTTGAACAGATGGGATGCTGGAAGGATATCAAGGGTAATTGTGCGCCAATGCAGGATAGTTATAATCATCTACCAAATGGCAAGATCATAAGTGTCAGCCGACTGGCAGATATGATCAAAGTTCGGTAGGAAAGCCTGGAACCCCCCTTCTGTATGAATCTGTTGAAACTCATCTTGTTTTGTTACTTCAGTCATGGATACGACTTCGTTGTTCTCGAGCGCCAATTAGTTGTATCGTCCTTGTACGACAATCTTCCTGACAAGTCCAAGATACTGGTGAATAAACGGGTGTCGACGGTCACGGAGACAGATCAAAGTGTTAAGGTCCAAGTTGAAGATGGATCCACTTATGAGGGCGATATAGTTGTTGGTTGCGATGGAGTCAATAGCACGGTCCGAGAATTTATGTGGGCCAATGCGAACAAGGCAGTTCCGGGATTGATTCCAGCAACAGAGAAGAGATGTGAGTACATGGATGACTATAGAGTTGAAAATGTTGATGATTAGGTATTAATGTCATATTTAGCCCTCGCTACTACATACGCGTGTCTCATAGGTTTTGGTCCCGAAATGCCTGGTATGGGATGTGGTGACTGCCATACCGTTCATAACCGCGGATTCTCTTTCTTGATTATCACACAGCCAAGAAGGACTTTCTTCTTTGTATTCATCAAGTTACCAAAGGTCATGCATTGGCCCGAAAGAGCACGATTTACTGCCGAAGATGCTGAAAGAGAGGCGTCCAAGTTATTTGATCTTCCTATCAGCCAGACAGTTCTTTTCGGAGAATTATGGCAAAAAAGAATTCGTGGCCAACTTATTGCTCTCGAAGAGGTTGTATTTGACCATTGGCATCATGGTCGGATTGCTATCCTGGGTGATTCAGCACACAAGGTACCACCGCTTTCATGTCTATCGAATCAACCCTCTGCTAACTTTCGACACAGCTGACAATCAATCTTGCATTTGGCGGAAACTCTGCCTTAGAAAGCACCGCAGCACTCGTGAACGGTCTCAATCGAGAGCTCAAGGCCCACCCCAACCGAAGGCTGAGCAAGGATACAATTTCAAGGATTTTTGAGGAGTATCAAGAATTACGGAAGCCTCGAATGAAAAAGGTCTTGAACTTAGCATACCAAATGACGCGTCTACAAGCCTGGGACGGACGGTTAATGAAGTTCATTCAGCGATATATAGTTCCTTTAATGGGTGACGATCGTGTAGCTGACCATTTTGCCGGTCTTGTCAAGGGAGGGGTCAAGCTTGACTTTGTCCCTCTACACAACCCTCCTGTCGGTACAGTGCCATGGGATGATGATCTCTCACAAAAGGGCTCTCTTAGCGCTTCCAAACGCTCTTCAACATTTGGCTTCTGGGCAATTGGCCTCATTCTCAGCCTGAACCTTTCTTACTACGTCGTTTCATTGTTTCGAAACCAGAATGGAGTTTTGTCTTTGTGAAGAGGGAAGAATTCTTTGTGTCTGTTGTAAATTATTGCTCAACACACAATTGAACCGTCTGAGATACAATGTGCCGTCCTATTTCTCACTTTCTCTGATGTTTCGTGACAACTAGGTTTGTTACAATTGAAGAGATGATCAATGTTCAGTCCGACTTAGACCTCTGCAAGTCCCATGTAACCACGCCCGTGTGCAACCCTTATCCTAAACGATTACTAAAAATACAGTATAACTAACTAAATGACTACTCAGTCCCATAGAAATCAGTCCCATCGGACTTGCAGATATCTAGTGTCTAGTTAAACTAGACTATCTTACTTATTCATTGGTTAGGCTGATTGCCCTTTCGTTATCAGCATACTATTTAACCGCCATTAAGTGGCGAGTTCTCTCTGATCTAGACGTTTACGAAACATCAGTTTGCGACACAATAGCAATTATAATCATACTGGAAAAAGGCTGAGTAGGCTTGAAGGTCCGCTAATGAAGGTTAAAGCTATTCCAAAGCGCTGTACGTTGAACCATACCCTGACACCTCGTCCAGTAAGTTCCTAAGAAATTGAGTGCGAACGCGTATTATATCGTATCCATCTAAGCATAATAGAAAGAAAATATCTAACATCTGCATACCATACATAACATGGCGCAGGATTGTACATTGCTATTTTCATTTATCTCCACAATCTCCATCAACTGCTAGTTATCATACTTTGCAGTTTCAGTCTCGCACCAACTCCAAAACGCAGCAGCAATTCCAGATCCGCCTTCTTCTCGGCTTCTCATGGCCTCGAGCAGATCCTTTCTAGGGACAGAGATTCTTCCCCATGGGATGATATAAGATCCGGTTTGTTCGGCTTTTATCTCGGGTGACAGTCCCGCGAACAGTTCCGTGTAAGCTCCAAACCTAGGATGATGCAGCATCCATGACTGTCAATGGCTGTTAGTTCCACAATATTGATTTGATGAAAGGTAAAACTCACAATTGAAGCTTCAGCGACTCGAGAAATATGTCGCTGCAGGGGACTCTTCAGATTTCCCGGATTGAACGCCACGTGAATTACATCACGGTGTTTATCTCTCTTAGCGAATTCAGATGCCAAGAACATGTTCCCAACTTTGCTCTGTGCGTACTTGTCTCGCTGACTCCCGGCCTTTTTGGACCATGTGATATTTTCCATATCAATCCCACCAGACGGGGCCCCCAAATCGATCACCAATGACCCAGCCCAAGCAACTCTGACTGACCCCTTAGGTGCTGTTTCGGCCGTTCGAGTGAGAATAGGGAGTAGTTTCTGAGTGAACAGAAAATGACCTAGGCAATTTGTGCCAAGCTGTAGCTCATAGCCCTGTTTAAATTTCACTGTCAGACCCGGAGTCAATATTAAAGAGATGCGAGAGGACTCGCCTGTTGTGTCTTGCTTCCCACTGGTGGCACCATAACACCGGCATTATTCCAGAGAACATCCAGCCGGGTCTCTTTGGCCATGAATTCGTCGGCAGAGGCTTTGATCCCAGTCAGATCATCCAAGTCCAGGTAAAGAAATTCGACCCGGCCTGTAGACCCTGGATGCTCCGCTCGGCACCACGCGATAGTGTCTTGAGCCTTTGCCTTGGACCGTGCGGCGATGTAGACAATTCCGTTGTTGGAGAACAACAAATTGACGAGTTCGCGACCGACGCCAGAAGCTCCGCCAGTCACGATGAAAACCTGCATAAAAATCAACCAGCGCCTACAACTTGAGTTGTTTGACTATGACCGACTTTGCTTACCTTTCCTGAAAGATCTCCGCATTCTTTTTCAGTGAAGACTGGCGAGGGAGGGAAGAATTGGCTCCAGGTTGTACCCATGATAAAGATCCGCCGATAGTAATTGTCCGAAGGTAACGATCCATTTCCCAGCTGGAGAAGGACGGGCAGAACTTACTTCTTTATAGTAATGTGAAGCCTAAAAAGCGTTCATGAAGAATGCGGCAGTGGGGCCGCATGCGGGCCCCACTGCCGCTGGAATGACGAACTTCAGTATTGGATGTCGGGATATGAACAACGGCCGAAATAGTGATGGGTTCGAATAGAAAGACAGATAGTGCCCATGAAACCGGAAGGATGATGGATTTATCGATAGGATATCTGATAGAATGGAGAATGAGAATGTCAAGAGCCTCGTCGTTAGTCTCACCAGGTAATTGCCTGAAGAGGCTAGACAGTATGCAGTCACATGAACCAATCCGAGCTAACCTAGATAATGTAGTGAGCTTCGTAGCATACATAGAGCGTACTTCTGCTGTGCATTCCTGGAAGTTAGCACTGAAGACGAATTGGGAGAAAACAATGCTAACAGATCGTCGCTGAGAACTAACAAATATAAAACGAGGCATAGAGCCCGAACATGTTATGCCAAAGTTTTGTAGTCTTTGGTCCACGAAATTGATTCAATTCGACTTAAATTCGAAGCTACGTACAATCACCGAAGTCCCACCTATCGAGATGTTGTTAAATGAAGTCGACGCATGGACTCAACAGCTTTGAAAATCACACCTCACCTTCTGGAACAGATGTTTCGTACGCGACATCAGACGGTAAATCAGACCAAACCCAGAAGCCCAACGAGAGTCAGAAGACAGCATGGTCAAGAAAGATAATATGCCTCGACGGAGAAGAGCACGGTTTCGAAGAGTGCCCATAGGCAAACCCGGGAAAAACATACTATCGATTGGAAACCGGACCCCGAGATACAGAGCAAATTCGATCGTTTAATGGAACTAGGGATGACCCTAGGGTTAAAAAGCTGAAATCCGTAACACAATGACTTTTTGAAAAGGGTGACAACGAACCGAAATCCAATTCTTCAACCAACACCAACAGAAATAGTGGTAAAACTGAACAAGTGAACTTTGCAAGTTTACCCATGACCATGTCAAAAACTGGGGACGACTCCATGAAGAACAACTGGATCCCGGACACCGTATCAACCATACACATTACCAACAACCGAGCTGGGATCACAAACCTAGGATCAGAAGAACGGCGTTGTAATACGAAGGTGTAAAGTATATGACCTGGCGAAGCGACCTTGTTTTCAACTGACCCTGTTGATAATGCGGTTGAACGAAAAGAATCCAGGCTCTCAGAGGTCAGGTACGTTGAAGGCATGCATACAAATATCCCCATTCGCTGGAAAACTAAAAAAGCATGGAATCGTGTATAACGGCATGACCGACCGGTTGTACAGTAAACGTACAAAGAAGAATTTGCACAAGGTCAAAAGACTGCCAAACTGTTCTATATTGAATGCCACCCCAATTCAAATCCTAGAAACTGCCTGCCAAATGAATAAGCCATGAGTTCATTCGATAGGAATACGCTGAAGAAAGAGCTAGCGCGGATATCGAGCCTGGGGTTACCGTAAGCTAAGAGGCGACGGAAAAACAACTTATCCGCGTCTCCAGCCTCGTCAATTTTTGAATCACGACCGCTCATTCGTTCACATTAATTGTATGTTGCACCTCACACGCCTAGCAACGAGAAAGTTACACCAGTCTGATCGGGAATGGACCGGGTTGCCGCACCCTCCGCTGAACTAGCCGCCAAGGCCTGCGATCGATGCAAAGAGAAGAAACGTCGGTGCGACAAGGGTCTACCGAGCTGTTCACTATGTTCGAGGCAAGCGGGCCCGAGATCCAGCCAAACCTTCTAACCTAGTTTGCTGATTCTCACATGTCTTATTAGACTGGTTCAGACATGCAATTACTCTGAGCGCTCAGAAACTCCGTATGAAGACGAGATAAGACGTCTTCGCTCTAGAGTTCAAGATCTTGAGCAGATTGTTGAAAAGTCCTCATCTAAGTCAACTTTGTCTCCAGAGGAAAACCTTGGTCAAATTGCTGTGGAAAGCCAGCAATCTCCTCACTTTTATACCCAAGCGATTTTCTTAGATCACGAGATCGCGCAACACCTAAGGTATTCGGCGACCACTCAGGACTTTGCTATCCCTGAGTACATTTCAAATTTCTTGGGCGATCACAATCAATTGGATGATCTTGTCTCAACCTATCTGGGGAGCATTCATAAGTGGATGCCGATTTTTAGCAGATTGAAGCTGACTAGAATGCGATTCACTCAGCCACAGCTAGCAGATCAAGCATTGCTGCTACTCTGCATGGAGCTACTGTGCCATACTCCGACCTCGGCAAGAGCAGATACATCACCAATTTATGTTGCTGCGAAGCAATTTCAATCCAATCTACAAACTGCAGGATTCTTATCTCTGAGGACGCTGCAAGCCGGCCTTCTCCTCTCTGTCTACGAGATTGGCCATGCAATTTATCCAGCCGCATACGTGTCTGTTGGGACTTGTGCTCGCCAGGGGGTTGCACTCGGTGCTCACCGTCATTCCGCCTCGCAAACGCCTCAAAACACCTATAAATGGATAGATTGGGAGGAGAAGCAGAGGGTTTGGTGGCTTGTTTTGATACTTGACCGGTATCTATTTTTGATATTCTACCTAAGATTTTAAGTAACTAACTTTAGGTTTCTAAGGTTTGTTACTATCGGACTAGATGAGCGGCCCTTATGCACAGAGGAACCAAGCGCAATGTCATATATTCCTGCGGATGATACAGCTTGGGATAATGGGGTGAGCCCGGGGCGCAAGTTCTTCGCGAATTTTTTGGAAAGCTAATCTAGTAACAGGATATCAGACCTCCAGAGCGGGTGCTCGCCTCAACGCCACCTGATGTCAAGGTCAGCCGGTTCGCAAGATTGGCACAATCAGCCAATTTACTTGGACGTACAATACGACACTGTGCCGATGAAAACCATGATGTTCAATTCGCAGCGACCAATTTCAACCTAATTTGCGGAGCGATTCATTCACTCCTGGAGCTCATTTTGTCCGAATCTGTAGGCGTAGACTTGGATTATACCTCTCTCGGACTCTGCTTCAGGTGATATCATCACATCCTTGATAGCTCCGATCTTGTGGCTTACCATATCCCAGTGCTCTGACGAAGATCGCCGGCCATCATACATGCGACTCATTTTTCCAACATCCTGCTGAATGGAGCCCAGAGTCGGCTAACCTTATTCGTGAAACCACTCAACGTGCCCTTCAAACAATAAAGGACACTACCGCTCGCCTCATTGAATTCGCTTCGGTTCTCGAGGAAGCTACAAACATAGGTATGGAATCTATTTCCCCCCTTGTTCTACATTGTCTATATTACTGCGCGATCACATCGGCATGGCTGGCTGGCGAGTCCGCCGATGAGTTATACATCAAGGGACTGTTAAGTTGTAAAAGAGTTCTCGAAGCGATCGATAATAGATGGAAGCTTGCAGGTAAGTGAAGAGGTCCAATTCGGTTTGTCTTGGAAATTGACGAATAATACAGGAGCATATCTGAAGCTTATCCAGATGGTGGAAAACGACTTGACGAGGAGTAACATGATTTGAATCAAAGACGAAGTGTATTAGGCAGGATTTTGCTTATAAGTTCATATTCTCATCTGCAATAATATACTAGAAATATCGTATAAGTTTTCTTATCAGAAATATACCTAGATAATGAAGTCTTAGTATTTTCTTATAGATTAGATGAGTAATATCCTTAACTTTATACTTATAATATATTCAATTGGCTTCTGTTTTCTAATTCTAAATATGGATTATTCACTAAAAAGATATTATAATCTATAACTCTTTGTATACTATTCGTAATTAATGGATTTGTCATAACATATCCTATACGTTTACCTATAATGGTCACTTGATATCGCATCATCTGATATGAAATGAATCTTGAACTTACTCAAGTACTGAAGAACACGTATATCATTTTGTCCTTTTTCATCATCAGCACGGGGTTAGAATGAGCTTATTCAGCAGTAGAACCATTTAGACCATTTAAGGAGACCGATAAAATAACTTAGCAGAACCAAGGTGGCAAGATAGTCCATCAAAATACAGCCTTTCCTGTTGATGTGACTTAAAATAACTGCCCTTGCGAGTAGAATGCCCATCAATTCAGAGCATAGGACAGGGAGCACTTCGTTCCCTTGTTTCAATGTTCAATTATTGCCTATTGTAGGTGCATGTGCGTAGGGGGATTGGATTTCCATGGTAGTTGATTAGAGTGAATATTATTCACAAGCAACAACATCTCAATCTCCTACTTAGTCGATTGTTTGGTGATACGGGCCGAAATTATTATCCCAGCTTGCAGGGAAGGCCATAATAGGATACACAAGTCACTCGTTATCTGAAACCACCGGCCGGGATACCGATGGAATACTTCGTGGTCTTCTTCAGCTGAAAAAGTTAATACTGCTCATAAAGCTCTAAGAAAATGCTCAATGTGAAGAATTATCAAATAAACAGTATTGAGTACCGAGAATAATCTGTGAGATCTGCAAACTGCGAGACATACACCTTGACTCGTTCTACTAAATACTTACTGTTACCTGTGGGCTTGAGTCGGTGCGGTTAAAGCAAGATGGGTATCTCTTGGTATGCACCGACTGTATCGGCTGAACTCCGAAAGAAAAAGTATCAGCGTGCCTGAACAACCTCTCTGGCAATCTCCAATAAAGTCTTTCGCTCTTGAGTCAAAAAGCCACCAGCGTTCCAATCAAGACCAGTTTCAAGATACCCAGCCCCGCAGGCCTTCGACGCTTCATTGGTCGATGCGAAATTGAGCAAGACGACCGGAAGCACAAATATTTCTCTCTCTAGTCCCTGATCGATAGCCAATGTCAACTTCTTCTGGATGAATTCACTAGATACATAGGTTGCAGAAAACTTGGTATCCGTCGCCACCTCCAAAGCTTGCAGGATGTGTCGACCGGTATAACGCATCTCCGCAATATGAATTCGTTTATTCCTCGTCAGTTCCTCTGGCATCCTTAGTGCCGCAACCACACTTGCTGCGATAAAGTCACTGGAGCAACCAGTAGCTGGAACATCACCTCCATCAAACAATATACCTGAATATTTGTCAAGATCATAATTCCCATGATGGCCCTTCATGGCAAAATCAAGGAACATCCCTGAGACGATTGTTGTCGACGAGATGGCCGTTTCGTCGTCGGATACCTGAGCGAGTGCATCAAAAAGCCTCGCATGTTGCACACGTGGATGAGCCTCGCCCATGAGAGCCACTGCAGCCGGATGTAGTACATCTAATGTGTATTCAGACGGAAACATCCTTCTCGCTCCAGCGGCTCTACCAGCTTCCAGGAGTAGGCGATCCAAACGGATGGCCGTTACCGAGTCGAGTGCTGAAACAATCACGTCAACGTCTCGAAGAGCCGACACGAGAATCTCATGGTTCTCATAGTCGACTACTTTGACGCGAACGTTAGCTTCATGACCGGCCATGTCGTACTTGGACTGGTGTAAATCACGCTGTTGACGTTGCAAAACAGTGATCCGAAATTCTGCGGGAGATGCTAATAGATGACGCAGAATTTTTTGACCCAACTGGCCTGAAGCCCCTACCAGGGCAACATTCTTAAAGGTCATTTTTTGTGGGTAGCTCTTGCCTTGATATTCAGAATTCGACGAAGGGCATAAGTAGCCTTTTGTTACTAGTAGATTGTCTGGTGAAGAAAGCAGCGTGCTACATGTTTCAAGCTTCGCTACTAGACGGGACCCCAAAGATGTATTTATATTGATGATCAGTTGACTCTATATGGCAAGTCTACGAGTATCGATCAATTGGATTATGCGAAATATTGGTGATGAATACAATTACTTAAAGCGGCAATGTACCTTCGTACGTTTTTTAATGTTTGCACTTCTTGCCGCTTTAGGCCGCCAGCTTAAATAAGCGAACGAGGTTGATACTTAAAGCAGCAACCAAGACACGGAAGATTGTGACTAGAAAAGTCTTCGTCAATAAAGTATTTGCAAGAAACTACTAGCTGTAAATGAACGCAGAAAATTGGGCATTTTCATATGTACAAGCTGTTGCCCCATCAAGTCATTCAACCCTGAGAGTTCCCTGAGAGATCCCTTCACCTAAAATATCATGACATAAAGATAATCATTCAGAAAGGGAGAAATACGGTCGCATAAGTGGATAATGCGTTCGATACAGTGCAATTAGCAGACTGGGTCAGCAGAGCCAGTAGCACCGCAGTAAACTCCGCTACCTGCCTGGACGCAAACTTGCCCAGAGGCACAGGACTCGATAACCCAGGCACCGTTGTCGCAGATACCGAAGCTGCTACCAGTGCAAGCATACGCTCCGTTGGTGGAGCAAGAGCCTCCCGAGACGGGGCAGGTGGTGCTTGGAGCAGTTGAAGTAGTGGTGGAAGATTTGGTCGTAGTGGTCGATGTTTTGGAAGTGGTGGTTGTGATGAGAGTGGTTGTAGTTGAAGTGGACGATTTTGTTGTGGAGGTCGCCTTGGAGGTAGTGCTGGTAGTGGTCGTGGTGGGAGTTGTTGTTCCAGAAGGCAGGTAAGAGTAGACTCCAGACAAGAATCCAGAGTTAGCCCAGACCTGGCTGGCATCCCAGACCATGATACCACCGAAGGAGGTCCAGCCAGAAGAAACAACAAAGTCAATGACTTCACCGATAGTAGCAGGTGGTTCATAACCGCTACCAGCGCCAGTGTTACCAGGGACACCAATGTAGCATCGGACGTTAGGGTTCAAGGAAACGGTCTTGGCCCAGTTGTCCCAGACATTAAAGTTGAAGTTCCACTGTGTTGTCGCACCTGGAACGTAGCTATTGACACCGCAGCCATTGTTGTAATATTGAATGAAAATAGCATCAAAGTAAACGGTACCAGCCAGCATCGGGCCATCAGCATAGTCGGGGTAGACGCACTGAGGAGCAGCCGTCATGTAATAAGTCTTTGACTTATCTTGCGAATATAGGCTGCGGAGCTGGTTGGCATAGGCGGGCATATTGCTCATGCCCAGGTTCTCAAAGTCAAAGTCGAAGCCATCAATAACAGCAGTGCCAAATGGACGAAGGACAGAGCTGTTGGAAGATACGGGGCCGAAAACTTCCCACATCAAGTTTGCTGCAGCAATCGCTTCAGCTTCAGTGGAAAATCCGCCCTCGTTGTAGGTGCCACCTCCGGTAGAGAGCAGGATAGTCTTTCCAAGCCCCTGGCAAGTGACAATATCATTTCTATTTTCATGTTAGAGATTGCGTCAAGGAAACTTCATTTTTATAAGAAGGCGTTTGATTTCACTCACGCAATTTGCGGGCAGTCAAGTAGCTGAGTTCCAGCAAAGGTTGTGCAGTTATCTCCAGCATTGGCAAAGTTGGTCTCAGGATAACCACCATCGCCGTTAAACCTGGTAACGAAAGAAAGGATCAAGGTCTAGTTATCTCATCAGTTCTGAAATTGCAGGAATTTTGTGAACCAACAGGGCATAGTCTTACATCAACCTGAGGTCCATCTGTACACGACAGTAATTAGCATGTAGTTTAGCGCACAATTTATTGATTTACAGATTGGTGTCTGACTTACTCTCACAATAGTAACTTAATCTTTCTTGACCACCACTTGCTTCGACCAAGTTAATGGAGTTTTGGCCTAGAAAAGTTTCGTGTTAGTAATACCGTATCATATTTTGGTCAAGTCAAGTATTTACCCCAGTACACAGCGATGTTTTGAGCGCTGTTCAAGTTGATACCAGCTTGGACGCCCTTAAAAGCTGCCAAGAAAGCAGAAGCGTAGAGAATGTAGTTCATCATGATGAAGGAAAGTGTTTCTCCCAGCTATGCGCTAAAAGAGAACAAAAAAGGAATGTATGTAGAAAAGTAGACCAGTACTTCTCAAGTGGAAAGGAGAGACGAGTGAAGGGAGTCCAAGGCCTGGCGATTCTTGAGAAAGGAGAGAAAAGCACGGTTCTAATCGGTCATGATGAAGTTTAAGTACTCGTGGGAATTCCCATCAATTCGAGGCTAGATACCGAAAGCGGTAGGAGATGTCGCTGTTCAAGGTTACACTAGGTTGTCATTCACAAGACCCTCCGCACAGTCTACGGAGAAGGTAACTCTTAGATAACCTAGATAGGAATCGATAAATGTGTTCTGAACACACTAAATCAAACAAAATTAAGTCTGAAATAAAGCCAGATCCTCGGGTGAGGGGATGTCAGAAAGCGATAGTTCACACCATGGGTACAATAATGTAACACTCTTCTCAATCAATGCATCGAATACTAGAAAGCTACCTCGTGCAATGTGTTTGGTGATATCTCCAATCCTAGTGACAGATGCATGGAAGGTCATCTGCCCTAGTCGGACGCCGCAAGCCACAGTTGCTACCCATAGAGTGATATAATTTATGCGGTCCAGTAAGAGACAAGCAAAAGCTGCGCCCCGTCGAACAGAACGTTGTTCCTGAGAGTTGTAGGAAATAAGCTATTAATTAAGGATGACTCGGTGGATCATGATGGGTTAACCCGCAAATTCTACTCCATAAAGTACAATTATCGAGTATTGCTTGTTGGCTAGACGTCGCACACGAATCAAACAACGACGATAAGTCAGTAAAGTCTCGAATTCAGAATAAGATCGTCAACATCTTAAACTTCTTCCAAAAATGATTTTCACGCGAAGATTACGAACAGATTCCAGTTCCTTGACGCAGGTCCCGTGCAGTCGCGTGTTAGATCATGCAGAAGTAGCTGCCAATCATATTACTTTAATGGCCCCTTATTGATCCCTTGACAGCGACCATGCAGTCAGCGAGATATGCGGCAAGAGTAGCATTTGCTGGTCATTTGCACTCCAGGACAAGCTAGACCGTGTTAGTGGCCTGCAGAAAAGTCACTGTAGCATTGGTCTTGTAACCTCCGTCTAGCCCTATCTTCCGCCCACGGCCCACCCGCGGACTGGGCGCTCTCGAAGTGTTTGTGTAATTGTCACTATTTGAGTACCACATGGGTATTTGGTCTTTATCATGGTGCCCCTGATTATTGATGCTAGTTGATTGGTGGTTTTGTCGACTATGGATGCCGGTCAAAACCAATCAATTTTCACAGATAAGGTAAAAGCCGAATATGTCGAGCAATCGTCGCCATATCTGAATTACAAAATTTCGTTCAATAATCATTCGTGTCTGATTTTCGTTCTTCATAGACATTTGAAATTATGTTTCTCATTATTTTCTACTATTGTCAGTATGCAAGACCCCGATGTAATTATCTCTAAAATAAGTCTCCTCCACAGTCATCCCGCAAATGTGACGCTGTAGTCTTGGCTAATCCTGAAAGGCATCGGATTTGGGAGTTGAGGTTAAATTACTGAGATCGATAACTTCTTTATTCTGTAAAACTTTGTAGTGTGGTTGATCTAAGAACTCGATATCACCATTTGACTGGCTTGATACTACTCAATTTCAGACTGGGAAGGAGATTTGTTCGTAACCACCGTGAAAATTTAGCTAGAGGTTACATATTTCCATTATCGTCAACCAGTCCCCGGCCTTGATCATCCTCAGTGCTCGAGGCTTCACTCCGCCAACACGACAAATTCATGAATCGAACTTGAGCTTCCTACCTAAGTACTCGAGTATCGCACAATTGAGGTCTCATTCCTTCCAGCTACAACGTATTCCGGGCAACGTCTCGTGTAACATCGCACGTGTTGCGATCATGCAGCCACGAAATCTTCAGAAAGTAGGGTTACTCGATGGATATCTTTCAATTTGAAGATAAGAGTCTCGACTGTACTGTAGCACAACAATTTGCTGAGGTTTATCTGAGCGCCTTGGAAATTATGTTCACCTTGTAAGCCACCAGCAGTGCATGTAACGCATCCATCAACATATAACCGCGTAGCTCGCGATGCATGTGTTATCTCTACTACTCTGTGATGGCTACACTCACCTCTTCCAAGGACGCATTAAGATAAATTGAGGCTTTCGAAATGTGTGAGCAGAAATGTGCAAATGTCGCGTCGTCCCAATCGAGGCGTGTCGTCTTTTGATTTACTGCATGAGTTATGTACAAGCGTTTTCATGGCATGTAATTATCTGGTACAAGGTACGAGTCAATTCATTTACACAATCACTTATCAGAGTATGAAGTTGCTCCACAAAAGGAAGTCAACCCTAAACGATCCGGTCGCAAGCCGTGACGCACTCATTACAGTGTAAGTAACGTGCTTTTATCATCTGACCAATGAAAAAAGATTAAAAGCGATGAGATACAGAAATTATTGGGTAGCTGTGCCAGACCGATACACGTATTGTAATAAATCGACCAATGGAAGTGCTCCATCCTGAAGCCAGTAAAATAATGTTAACACATTTTAATCGTGATGCTTGTTCCATAGTCCTCAAAAGTAACGTTTTAGGTTTCATCTGCATGTTCTATCGCCTGCGCATTGACAAGCTATACGAATTACGGCTTAGCAGGTGCCCTCTTTGATTGAATCGGCTGGAACACTCTACATAGTATACACTGAATCTGGGGTAAACGCGATTCATGGAGAATAGTTAGCGTGCTAGATACGGCCGTAATTTTGTGAATTTGAGAGAACTCGGCAACAATCCTTACGTAAAGTATGGCTATGCTGACCGTTATTGCATCGCATCGACGAATCAAACATTACGTTGTTCAATTCTACCTCAAAAATCGTTTTCATTTTAAGCCGCAGAAAGAAATATTTAGATTACGCGGCTGAACAACTTCGTTCACGTACGGCCGAAAGCTCTCGGGCGTGGGCTAGACGCCTTGGTTCAGGATCGCATGACGTCGGGTTCTGCCTTTTTGTACTCCTTGACTCAACCATGCAAATATGGATGCCTTGTCGTGGTACTTAGGATTGTCAGATATTGGGATTATAAGTTGACGACTTGATAACATGATTACAGACTGTTTGAAAATTTGTGCAGATAATCATTCACTGCGTCAATTTGGTACCTGATCCGTCTACCCCGCAATAGACTTCCAGCAATATGACCAAAACAGCCCATTATAATGACTGGCCTAATACCCAAGGGGTAGGCAAGCTCACAGAGTTTTGTTTGATTCAATACTAATCCATCTAATAGTTTGACGTTCGCTACCAAGAATTGGAACCGACTGAGTTAGAAGTCGTTGGTACCATTCCTGCGTATTGCGCAGGCGTGCTATTTCGCAACGGCTTGGGCCCACGCGAAGTCGAAACCGACAAGAAAACCACCTACAAACTCAATCACTGGTTTGACTGTTTCTCGCAAGTACACCGATTCCAGATCCATGCACCTACGACCGAACATTCTAATGTCCGAGTCACGCACAATTCGCGTTTGACGTGTGACGGCGTCGTTCAAAGGATCAAGAAATCCGGCTACAGAGGCGAAATCACATTCGGCGCCAAATATGATCCATGCATGTCGGTTTTTCAAAAAGTGCAATCATTCTTTAATCCCAGTCCGAAAGATTCCGCCGATGGAGTCGATGTCTGCGTGTCTTTGTCAGTTAATTTCCCGGGTCTTTCGCCCACGGGTAGCAAACGCGAGAAACCGTTCGAAAAGTCTGGCTTGCAAACTCTGTGCAACAAAACAGACAATTCTGTACTCCAGATGCTCGATCCGACAACTTTAGAGCCGATTGGTATCGCTGAACAGACTGCCTTGCACCCGTCTCTGAAAGGTCAATTAAGTGCAGCACATGCGAAAACCGATCCAGTCACCGGAGAGGTTTTCAACTATAATCTAGAACTAGGCACAAACGTATATCGCGTTTTCACGGTGTCGCCTTCAACGGGTAAAACACACATTCTTGCGACCTTCAAGCACCCTCCCGCGTACATTCATTCATTCTTTATAAGCGAGAACTACGTTATCCTATGCGTATGGTCTTCACATTTTCGAAAGGGCGGCCTGCCGATGCTACTAAACCACAATTTCGTTGATACACTGGCCGACTACAAGACCTCGTCCGGGGCAACTTGGTTTGTCATCGATCGCAAACCAGGTGGATCTGGAATAGTCGCCACTTACGAATCAGATTCATTCTTCAGCTTCCACAGCATCAACGCTTATGAGGAGCCATCGCCCACCGATCCGTCAAAGACTGATGTTGTGGCAGATCTCTTGGCCTATGATAGTCTTGACGTCTTGAAACGGTTCTATGTTGACAACCTTCTTTCGGATTCTCCAACAGCAAAGTCCCTTACGGAGTCGTCTAATTTCGACACCTACGCAGGCTTCCGACGTTTCCGTCTGGCGCATTTGCCAAAAACACCAAATTCAAGACCTCTAAAGGCAACAGTTGACATTTCGATGGATAAAAAGCTTTGGCCTGAGTTGCCATCTATTAATCCTCGTTTCAAATTACGCAAGCACCGATTCGTCTATGGAGTGAGGAGTGCTGGGAAAAGCACCTTTATTGATGGGCTCGTCAAGATTGATGTCGACACGAAAAGTACGGTGTCTTGGAGCGAGCATGGCCAGACGCCTGGTGAGCCGATTTTCGTACCAGATCCTAGTTCCGATGATGAAGATGCGGGATCATTGCTGAGTGTCGTTTTGGATGGTATTGCTGGGAAGAGTTACCTCTTAGTCCTTGACGCAAAGACGATGACTGAAGTTGGACGGGCGAAAGTCGACAGTGTTGTTGGATTTGGGTTTCATGGAACGCATGTCGCTGAAGCAAATCTCTAATTGAGTGCACGTTGCGATTATTGTAATCACAGGCAGCGATGAGTCTGCACTCATCGGAACGTCTACTGGAACTTGAGCTCTGCATCATAGCAATTGATAATGTTAACTCATGATTCAAGAACAGTCTTTTACTGTCTTTTACTTTTCTTCTTCATCAAGATCAACCAATAGTTCAAGCAGATTGATCGCAAGACGAGTTAGGGCTATCATGCTCTAAACCCTAAGTTTCTCAAGGTAGTTCCGCATCTATGATACCCTCGAAGTATTTTCAGTTGGAGGTCAATGTTTGCGATTCTTCTCTCATAATAATGGTGATTTTGAATTTATTGAATTTGAATACCGTCTCCATTTTCGACCAGGTTCTATAATACGCAAAATTAAGTAAAAATTGGGCATTGATCGATGTTGAATTACTAAGCGGCGCTTATGGATTTTTCCGCGTGGGGCATCATGTTCATCTATCGAAACAGAAAGACCATGTTGGTAGATAAACAGACCAACTGCTGTCCTCAAGGAGTGATACAAGAAAATTTTTTACATTCGTTGAGACTGCTGTACTATCCATCTACAGTTATTGTTCTGTGTTGGTAAGTCAAAGAACTTGTTCGGACAATTGACGGTGACGTCATATAGGTGCTAGACTGACCCCGATCTAGCAAAAGACGTTTCTATCAAAGAGTGTCTTGCAGTTTCACTCTTTAATTTAAAAGAATTACCTATAGCGATATCCAAATAAAATGTCATCCGAAATCATCTGGCCCAAGCCGTACCTCCCCGGTACCACCGACAACTACGTCTCCAACGAGATCTTCGTCAAAGGCCTCACAGCCGAACAGATCTGGCAGAATCTCGCCGATATCACAAAATGGGAGAAGTACTACGAGAATGTCGGCCAGATCACACCTCCTCTATCCGGTCCGTGGTTGAAAAAGTCGGATAAATTCAGCTTCTCGACTTTTGGGTTCCCACCGCTACAATCCGAGGTCTGGGAATCTGTTGCGCCAACTGCGACTACACCTGGTCGTTTGGCGTGGCGTGCGTGGCAGGAAGGCGATGAGGAGACTGCGTTGGATGTGTATCATGCGTGGATTGTTGAGAACATGGAATGGGGTGTTGTGCGTGTTCTTACGCAGGAATCTCAGATTGGAAAGCCGGCTGCTCAATTGGCCGCTACTCAGCCGAACCCGATGTTGCTGGGACATCAGGACTGGCTCGATGGCCTTGCAAAATTCACCAAGGGAGAGCAAAAATAAATGAGGCTAGGGGTTCTGCTACACTGAATTGAACTAGATTGTGAGTTGTGCAGTTTCGTGCCTGATACTGACCTTTCTTGTATTAATGTATCGCATATTCTACTCTTCTGATCCTTTGTTTGGGTTCTGGAGGCATGAGCTTACACATGTATCAGACAAAGGGTTATTAGCGTCTTATTTGCCTAAGCGGGGATAACGGGTAAAGAATTATCCCTCAGTGTGTTAGATGCCATACAAATGCACCGTCGTGAGATGACATACAAATGCACCGTCGTGAGATGAAGTAGAATGCTTCCTTCATTTCACGTTCGATCGATCGTAAGAGATTGTCTTTTTTTTTGTTTTTTGTTTTCAGTATTTCCCGATTATTCCGCGTCCCGTAGAGTATGCATAAAAATATTTAATCAGAAGAACAGTTAGAATGGTAAGCTCAATTGGAGGGAGAGGGTGAATGATTCAATTACATGAGGCGGTCATGTATGTTGCCCTCATCAAATGCAGTAAAAATATCGTCCAAATCAAGGCCATTACCGTGCCAAAAAAGTGAGTTCCCGGTAGGCGAAAGCCAATTTGTATCGGGATTCAAGCCAGCATACAAATTATGTTCCTCTAGTGCGGTGGTCAAAGGGACCGATTCTGCTCCGTATAGCATCGATGTGTTTTCTATCCCAAAAACAGGCTCAATGCCTGCCGCTTGGTTAACAGTAAGTTGTTGAGACAGTGCAGAATCTATAGTGACATCGTCGGGCTGGAGTACTTGGAGAACCTCTTCCATGGTCATAGTACTCTCTGCGTTCGGTTGTTTGGTCATTGACAACAGGTTCTGTGCTGCCGAAACTTGCATGCCAAATTGATTATATGAACCGGGGCTTTCATCTTCCTGATGCCAGGTGGTTGGTGTACGATTGGCTAGAAGATGCTTCTTGATGGATGATACTTGATATGCGATCAACTCATGATTGGACATGTCAACATTAAATGGTCGACCGGCGATAAAAGCTTCCAAACGATGGAGAGCCGGATGAAAGAGGTCTTCTAACTCAAGCACCATTTGTCTAATTTGAGGCCATCGGTGTACCATCTTACTCAAAACGACAGGTATGGTTTGCATCACCCTTGATATTTCCATGGCGAGAGCAAAGTCCAGGAAACTTTCTTGACGTTTTTTCAACATATCGAGGCCAGTATGCGTCGACTCCACTAGAACTATTCCGATTTCAAAGAAATGCCAGCAGCAATGGTTCCAATAGAAAAAGCTTCCCTGACGTGATAGTCTGCTAAAGTGAGAAGCAATGGACAGTCCAGCAGCGATGCACTCGCGTCGCATAGCATTCGTAGGGAGAGGCATTCTTGGAGTAATTCGATTAAGCCGCAGACGTTGGAAGTTGCACATGATATACCGAAACTCAATCCTTGATGCAAAGTGGCGAGAGTCCAGTCTGTCTTGCCACGAATCGATCCGAGCTCGAGTTTCGTCAAGCCATTGTGGTGTAGCAATGCGAGCGTCACCGCACGTGTCAAACTGGAACAATCCGAGAGTGATCTCCGCCTCCAACTGCCGAAAAGTATATAAAAAATTCGCTATAGCAACTCTATCTCCATCTTTGTTTTCAAGTCCCTCAACAGTGGGATAATGGACGGAAACATTGATGTCGATGACGGTTGAAGGTTGACTTCTCAGCATATTCATTTGGGCATCGAATACATAGCATGTCCAAAATATCCTTCGTTGAGATTCTAAAGTGATACAACTGCGGATGCTCTCCGGAGGTGGTTCTTTGTGCAAGCCAAGTTGTACACAAAGCGTCATCGCAGCTCGAGAACACATCCTCGAATTAACGACCGATGGGTTGGCGAAACTATAGTGACATAGCAGCATGATAGCCTGGAGTTGTATCAGCGTGCTTTCTTTGAAGACAACATCCAAATTTGTAATTGCAGTTTCCCAGAACTCGTCCGCCGCTTTTGTTGCTCTTTCTTGATCGTGCCGAATCAGGGTATGTGCCTATTGGCGTTAGCTCAGCGATAACAAGGGACCGGGGTATTGATGCTTACACTGATGGAAAGGGCCATGCACACGACAAACAGATCAAACGGGCTAGCTGTTCTTTCATAGACTCTGTTGCATTGCTCTATAAGATCTGACTCGTCCACGATAGGATACTGCGCAAGATAGAACTCGGCATAATGGCGTAACATTATGTCGACCACATTCCGGGGAATAGATGCTATGTCTCTCTCTTGAGCAATGGCATTGTCCTTGGATGGAGGAATTTCAGAGACAGTCTGGGTGGGAACCAGTGTAGGCAGGAGTGAGGGCGATATATATGGGACTGATCGCCATGGCGCGGTGTCATACTCCGCGTCGTACGAACGATCATAGCCATGGTTCAAAGTAGCGGACTGTAACAGCTGGGCTCGGTACTCTACAAAAAAAGCAGGCACTTGAGCTGGGTTCTCATGTTCAAAATCTTCGTCTCCCACGGATCGCCCTTGCAATGAAGCCAATTCAAGCTCCAATTGGGCTATCTTATTTTCCAGAAAGGTGACACGACTGCGCGGCTGTTCCTCTCCAGTAATGGTGTCATATCCCAGACAGTCAACGCCTGCAGAAGCGCATGTACCACAACTAGGGTACACAAAGTCACATTTGATTTTGCGTCTGCGACATCTCGCACAGGCTCGACTAGCTCGAGGATTGCGACCGGAGACCCTCCGAGATCTCATCTTACATAACGCATGGGATTCTATTTTGCTTTGTCGGTTGGTAGGATAGCGCGCATTCCACAAGTCCAATATTGCTGTCGTATTCCCATCAGGTATCCTTTAATGACCGATATTTCCAAGGGGTTGGTCGTTGAGGCTATCTAGAGATTTGGAAAACACACATAACTGGCCAATCGGAGACAACTGTGCCAGGATCGGTGTGGGGTGCAGTCGACTCGGAGGAAACTCCGACCGCGGCAGATAGAGAAGCGCTAAGCTATCCCTATCGACTAGCTCGTATGTACTCGTAATAGGACTTAATATTCTCCATACAAGGAACTATGGGTCTCTGCACACCGGATAAAAGATCCCCAGATGTGGTATCGTCGAGGTAAGCGTTATTTTTTGACGTTCTACCTTGTATCCAATATCGACGGACGATAAAAATTGACAGGTGTCCATGAGTCCGAGCTACCTTCGGCTTCATGGTATTCGGCCTGTCCCTCGAAATGGCTGTCCCTTCACAAACATGCATTCGTTGCCGTAGTCGGAGAATGAGATGTGACCTACGACTCCCCAAGTGCGGTTCTTGTTTACATGCAGAGGTTGAATGTTTGACTGTAGACCCTGGCCTCGAAGAAAGCGTTCCGCGCAGGTATGCTCATCGAACATCTTTACCAACATCAAATGCCAATCATTAACTCATTGTGTATCCGTGCAGTTATATATATTCTCTTCAACAACGAGTCGAGGAGCTAGAAAGGCAGATACAAATTCAGAAGGATAAAAGTCACACTCCGCTTAGATCCGCAGCAGACTCAATACTTCGACCACTAACACCGGAACATGACTATATCGGATTAGGAACATCACTGTCCTTGTTTGATCAGCTTTGTCGAGTGCCTGTACTCTTTCCCGTGGGATCGTCTTCGCTTGCAACACTCATCAATCCAGATAACGCACACATCTCAGAAATCTCGGCACGGGTTGCAACGCTACCTGTTGATTGCGATCACTTGTTAACACCATCAGTTCAACGAGAGCTGCTCAGCTGTTTCTTTGAACGAATATCCGCAGAAATACCACCAGTTCTATCTGAACAACATGACAATATGTTCCGACAAGACATGAACCCACTTCTTACATACTCGATAGATCCCAACCCATGGCTCCGTATTATTCTACTTTATATCTACGCTATATCAGCTCGAGTTCTATCTAGAGATCTACACCCAGAGTACGCCTATCTTGAACATGCATGTCAAGTTGACTTGCAAAGAACGCTCCCAATATCATTCAGCAAGTTCCATGCCTTCAAGCCGCATGCTTTTGATCAGGTAACCGTTGCGTGTCTCTCCATCCTATACGAAACGGTCGGTCCTGGTAGGAGTAGAATATCTCTCGATGTATTGAATACATCTCAAATGCTTTTAGCCGTTGCTTCATATGTTTACAAGGAAGATAATCAGAGACTCCAATTGGTAGCACGGCTGGCATTCTTCTTATCCCAAGTTGAAGCGTATGTTCATACTTCTGACAAGCTTTTGGTTTGTATATCCTGTTAATAAATTGCGTTCCAGGTCAATATGCCTCCATTACAGACGCCCTTCAGCTCAATTTAACGCACTCTGCGCATTATCGAACCATGAAATGACTTTCTTAGACATCTCCATGGAACTCTTGCAAAAATTTCAGGGTCATTACGGCAGCAGAACCGAGACTATGATGAATTCTATTCTCTCCAATCACGGTATTATGTCTGATCTTTCACCAATAAACCAAGAATTGGAGGAATCGGCACTTTTGTTGACCCTGAATCAACACCCGATATTTTCTACCGACCTTAGTTGGATCATGAGCAGTGATCCAGAAGCTGCTTGTCCCTGCACTATCGGTCTTTTCAAACGAGTCGCCCAGGCGGCATGTTTGTACCTTCAGCTTATGTCGACAAAGCAGAAAACACAACAAATTGTGCCATCCTTATGGCTTACTACGGAGCGGGTCATGCAAGCGGGTTTTGTGTGGATTCTCTACTTACTTTACATCATGAAGACTTCCTCACAGTCGAGCAAGCGAACTGAAGCCCACAAATCAAGTCCTCTTGAGCCTCTGATACAGTGCAACTTTTTGTTGGTATATTTGACAGAGAAGTGGAGTCCTGGTAGGCCGTATTATGTTGCTTGGGAACTGATCTACATGAAGATAGTTGATGCATTTTCCAAGACTAATCACGCCTGTGAATAACAAACTTGGAAATCTTAACTACGACATGAAAATAAATGTTACGCAATTGTTGCAATGAAAATTTTTCACTATGGACTTTATTCAAACTACTAACAATCTCCGAGTTAAATTGTCACATCCAGGAAACGAATCTGTATTCGTCCTCTTACCCAATTTTTTGTCTCGTCGATGATTTGATATCATTATTCATACAACCCACTTGTGGCTTTTTCGGAACGCGTAATGCATTTCATCACGCTGTCATCAGGCTCTCGACGTTCAAGCTCAATGTTGAACCTCTTAGGAATGGCCGTCTGAACCGAAAGATCCTCATTGAAGTGGATGTAATCGACATTTGGGGGCGCGCTCTTCGAAGCCTTGAAACGAAAATGTATTATCAAACGTACATATGTCGCATAAAGGAGACGATTGGATATCGCGACGGCCGGGCACATTCGAGAGCCAGCACCGTAAGAATATTGATACGGTGGGCCTGGTGACTTGGTACCATGGACTTTATCTTCAAGCCAACGCTCTGGTCGGAATATATGCGCGTCAGGCCCATAACACTTCGGGTCGTGATTGACGCTTTGGCCATTGATATGTACAGTAAGACCGTTGGGTATCTCAATACCACGCCAGTTGAATGACTTTATTGTTTGACGTGGTGTCAGAAATGGAATTGGGACATAATAACGAAGACCTTCCCGTACCAAAGCGACGACGTAAGGGGATTTTTCTTCTAGCACGCATTCATCCCAAGCTGCTTCAACGCTGCCATGATTTGCTATAATGTCTTGATAAGCTCTTTCTTGTGCTTTTTGGCCTTCTTCGGTTGACAGCCATCCGATGCATGCTATACCAGAGGTTGCCAAAGTTTCAAATCCACCAGATACAAAGGAAACATTAATTGACTTTATCTCCGCTTCGGTAAGCTTATCGTTGCTGCTGTCGCTCAAAAGGCCGGCAGAGATGCAATCCGGTTTCCGACCAGCACGAACTCTATCAACGACCTTCTGAAAGAGCTCGTTGAGCCACACATCGCGGATATTACGGTCATGCAACGCCGTTTTGGTTCTCTCGCTTTTGGGCAGATACCGGTAGAATGGGACATAGTCTTGTATATTGTTATTCGTAGACCGGAATCTGCCATTGAAATCAGCAATGAATAATCCTCGGGTACTTTTATTGAACACAGAATTTGGACTTACGAAGAGACAGAATGTGCCACACGTAATATCTTATGCAGCAATGGATCCTCTACACTATTAATCCGAGTACCATAGCACCACATCAACGTAAGATTAAGCGCCTGCCGCTGGAAAAAGATGCGAGGGTCGACTTCCACAGTGGTTTTCTTGCTATATTCAAAAATTCCCTTCACTAGCGCCGTGGTCTCAAGGTCTAACATGGGTGCAGACCGCTGAATAGCAGGACGAGTCATCAACGCGCCGGCTACAGTACGCATACGTTTTGTTGAATTGTTCCATGGCGCAGTACCAATAGTTCCGCCTTGTGTCTTACTCACTATTCCGTGGAAAGTGTAGAAAAGAGGACGATCGATGGTTGCCGAAGCATTTTTCACCATGAATTCCTGTGCAGCTTTGTAGCTGTTGACAACCAGGACTCGTCGATTACCCAGCTTAGCCTGCACAACTTCATGATTGTTCTTGGTGGAATAATCTTCGAAAGCTGTTGGGTGGTCATCACCGAGAAGTTTGAGATGGCCGTAGAAAGGTACTGCATTTGGTAGCTCTGGAATTCCTTTGATCTTGGGCAGATCAGTGGCGTAAGCAACGTTATATAACCACCATGCAGCAGATGACACGATGATCACAAGAGAGAGGGTCTGCCATGTTGCTAGATCAGTCAATTCAATATCGTAAACTCTCGCCATCGTAATTGTAGGTGCGATTCATGCAGGATTACTCGGTGGGCGGATTCTTTCAAGACCTAAGTGCTATATGAATCATTTTTCACGAGTAAAACATGATGAATCAAATAATCTCCATACACACTCAGCCCACATATAATTTCAGTCGTACCTAGATCCTCTGTCATTTTCTCATCCCAAATATTCCCTATCATCATGCAACCCTAAATGAGGGGCGTTATCGTTCACTATTGCCGACGGAGAAACACGGTCCCACTGACGGAGAAAGCCTTTCTCCATATATGCCGGAAGTTGGCAATTGGAAAAAGATCGAGTCAGTCTTATCAAGACCTTCTTAATGGCTAGTTCAAAATCTAATTCGTTTTTGTTACTTAATGACAAGAGTTGAGGTGGGGAGCCGTGTTTGTCTTGTGTCTATCATACGGAATACTTTTTGGTGTTGTCATTCAATCAATCAATACCCCGATACAATAAAAATCAATCGCTTTGCTATAATATACACGTAAAATGGCTGAGTTCAAGGCAGAGAGTCTGTTTTCTATTCCCGGAAGAACTGCCGTTATCACAGGTGGAGGTGAGTACTGCGAAAATCCTATCCTTGTCAGGAGACGGCGTGCGAAATCGACAAACAAGTCAATTGAAACTGATTAAAAACAGGTAGCGGATTGGGTCGCATCTGTGCCAAAACATTCTTCTCTAATGGGGCCAATGTCACGATCATTGATCGTGAAGCTTCCCGACTCGAATCAGTGAAAGAGGAGCTCGAACAAATCCGCAAGCAACTATCAGTCAAAGGCGAAATCAAGACTATATGTGGCGAGCTTGGCGAGAAGTCCTCGCTACAAGTAATCGTTGCAAAAGTACGTGAGACGCATACCGAAATTGATATTGTCGTACACTGTGCTGGAATCCGAAAACAAAACAAGATTGCGTACAATACTGGAGAACCGCTTGAAAAGCTGTTCGCAGCCACAAACTCTTTGCTTTACGAAGATATTGAGCTCTCTTTCAGAATCAATGTCCTATCACAATATTTCTTGACTTCGGGTTTGGTTGACTACTTGGGCGCAGCGGCCAAAAAGGGTGGCGGCAGGGGATGTGTCATCTGCTTCAGCAGCGTGGCCAGCAAACATAATGGTCAATTTGTGCCGGCATACCAAACTACCAAAGCGGCAGTCGATCACTTGGTGAAAATTATGGCAGCCGAGTTCGCCGAATTTTACAGTCAGTGCAACTAATCACTTCCATCTGGATCACATCTAATAGCAGTCAATAGTTCGCGTCAATGCCATCTCTCCGGGTCTTTTCCCATCAGCCCTCAATCCGTCTGACCCCAACCACCCGGAGTCTAATATGCGATTTGCAAAGGATATGCCCGCGCGCCGAGCCGGTACCGAGCAAGAAATGGCTGGTACTGCTTTGTACCTTGCCTCTCCCGCTGGCGCATATATGACTGGTGACAATATGCATGTTGATGGTGGCCGTTTGTTGGTGGCCGCTGCTAAGATATCGAAGTTGTAAATAGAGTGTGAAAATTCATTGAGTACATAGGTAGTAGTTTGCAAACACTAGCCTTTATGTAGATACTTCAATGATATCATGCTCGTTAGATATCTAGACAGTCGTCACTTATATAAATCTTGATGTACTCCAGAACTCTTTACTATGTCGGTTATTACTGGAATATTCCACATGTGAGTTGCCGCAGTCTCATACCATACGGTAAGCTTCCCCGTTCAACTTCCAGATTCTGGCATCCTTCATGACAAAATCAACATCTCTTAATGCCTTCCTATTATCCATGGGGTTTGAACCCAAAGCAATAATATCTGCTCTGCATCCTTCCTCAAACCAGCCGAACTTGAATCCACAAAGATTTCCGCCACAACTTTCCCAACCTCCGACAGTACACATTTCAAGCACTTCCTCAACGGGGATTCCAGCTTCAATCATTAGTTCCATTTCTCGTGCGTTGTCTCCGTGAGGATAAGTGCCCGTATCACCACCACAGGCAAGACGGACACCAATGTCATAAGCGAGCTTGGTCTGCTTCAATATCTCAGAGAAGCGCTTCTTGTGTAGATTTTCACAGACTGCTAGTGTCGGCACGAAGATGGTTCCTTTTTCCTTCATGAGCTGAAATAGTTCCTCGTTCGCGAAATAGCCATGCTCGATAGTGTTGACACCGGCCTTTACAGCCCCCATAGCACCTTCAATTGTACCGGCATGGCAGGCAACGGGGCACTTGGCAAGCTTGGCTTCTTTAACGATCATGTCCATTTCCTCCTGGTGGAACAGTAACACGTCTGGGTTCGGGTCTTCGGGTGGATGCGTCACACTGTGCACATATGGATGTTGTTGAGCTGGTGGGAACCGCATAATTCGACGGCGATAGTCGGCAAAAAACTTGATAACGTCCGCACCTTCGGCAATCCTTCTGCGAACGGCCTTTTGTGCCTCAGCCGGACCATCCACAGGTTCACTACCCTGAGGCAAGCACACCCCATTGCAGGCATTCTCAGTACGCGATTCGTATGAGCCCGTGCTTGCCAAAACCTTCGTAGCTACGAAAAGCCGAGGGCCCGGGATCAAACCACGAGAAATGGTGTCACGTATATTGGCATCCATTGAACCTAGTGATTCACTGCCAAGATCGCGATAAGTTGTGTAACCGGCTAAAAGTGCAATGCGACAGTGGTTGACGGCTCTCACGACCCGCTCGACTACGCTTTCATCCCGTTTTTGCTGCAAGGAAGGGCGTTCGTCATAAGAGTGAAGGAAGATATGGGTATGCGCGTCAACGAAACCAGGCATCACGAATTTCCCTCGTAAATCAACGACATCTTCAGATGCTGTTAAAGATATTTCTTCGTCTGTTTCTCGCCGGTAAGATTTGACGATGTTGCCCGTTTGTCGATCGACGACGATGCTGGTATTGTCCAGGACTTTCTTCTGTTTGGGGTCAAATAGTTGTGAGGTGTGAATAGTATACTGCGACATCTTGAATTATTGCCACGAAAAAGGATTTTCAGATCTGGATAGAGAATGGACCAGAAAGAGAAATCCTGGTGTACAAGTCATTTCAAAAATAATTATTCGTCTCGCACCTGAAATAACTTCTTCAGTTTCTCATCGTGCCCTTCTCCGTTGGGACAGCGGGGCAGAACACAGCTGATAAGAAACGTATCGGAATGAGAAGTTCTTGCGGAGAAGCAACTGGCCATTCAGCATCCATCAACCGGGAAAATTATGGATATTTAGCACGTTGAGATACTTCAAACTAGGACTGGTATGGCAACGGACGAAGCCTTCGCGTTTCTCCGTCTATGGGGCGGCTAGAGCCGAACGAGGCACAGCCAACCCTATGGACACGGCTGAGAAGCCGATTTTTTATGGTGCTGTGCTTTTATCTATTAAGGAGATGATAATGACGGTGTTGGAGAGTAAACAATTAGGCTGGACTGGGATCGGTTCTGATTTTATCTTGCTAGCAGGTGGCAAACAAGTCTTCTCTCTTATCAAAACTCTCTTTCGCTGTCTTGTCATTTTTCATCTGATGCCCCAGCAAATTTGTTCTGCAAACGACTCTCTTGGGTGGATAACCTGCCGGTTGAACCAGTTCCTGTGGTATATCATTTGTTGATAGGCAGGTAACACATGAGATTCTTGTATCTGTTCTCCTTTTCCATTATATAAGTGCCGGTACATCACTCCTCAATTGCCATTTACGACCTTGAGATTGTATTTGTTCGTCAATCAAGGTCATCGATATTATTCCCTTAATCCATACCAACGCATAAACATCATTGCACATAGTCCGAAACCCCTACTAGCTTGAAGTGAAAATGGCAATCGAGACTCCGGGTGCTGTGGACAAGGGCGGGGAAAACGTGGAAAAACTCGCACCCGTCCCATCTCGAGATCGCTCCGATATGGAAGGTCAAGTGAAGTATGAGAGCGGAACTGATGAGGCGTTGAAATTCGTCAGTGGTCATGCCGTACAATATACCCCGGAGGACGAGAAACGAGTTCGCCACAAGATTGACCTTTACATCCTTCCTTGGTAAGACTTTACTAGGCTACATAATCAAAATTACGTTCGTGGGTTGCTGATAATCGATTTTGCAGGATGTGTGGACTGTACATGTTACAATATCTCGACAAAACTTCTCTCTCCTATGCTTCGTCAATGGGTATCAAACCCGATACTCACATGAGTGCCAGTGAATATTCTTGGACCGGATCTATTTTCTATATTGGTTATCTTGTGTTTGAATATCCACATAATCGTCTTATGCAAAGGTTTCCCTTGGGAAAGTACATTTCGATTTCTGTGATCCTTTGGGGTATGATTTTGTCCGCCACGGCAGGGACGTCTAATGCGACTGGTGTTTTGGTGGTGCGATTCTTCCTTGGTGGTTTTGAAGGGGCAGTTACGGCTGGKGAGTAGATTTGTCTACAAGATTGCAGAGATCGATTATTAATTACAATTTTGCATTGTAAAGGATTTGTGTTGGTTACGTCCCAATGGTACCCGATGAAAGACCAAGGTACCCGAAGCGCAATCTGGTTCTCGTTCAATGGCGTATCACAAATTGTCGGCGGTGTGCTTGCTTATGGTGTCTATACTGGTTTTGAAAACGGACATTACAGTTTCCCTGCTTGGAAAGCAATGTTCCTGATCACCGGCCTTCTTACAGCTGTCTACGGCATTTTTATGTTTCTTTTCATGGCCGATTCTCCAGTCACCGCGAGGTGGTTGACGGACACGGAAAAGTACATAGCCATAGAACGCCTTCGAGGAAACCAGCAAGGTATTGGCAGCAGGGTCTTTAAATGGAGCCAGGTCCGGGAAGCATTTACAGACATCCGAGTAAGTTGATTTCGTCCCCAATCCACTTCGTGGTACACAAGTACTAACTCTATTCTCTAGACGTATTTGATCTTCCTCTTCATGGTTACCTGTGATATACCCAATGGTGGAATTACCGTTTTCTTCACCGAGCTCATTGAAAGCTTTGGATTCAACACTCAGAAAACATTCCTCCTCGCCATGCCTGGTGGTCTTGTTGAAGTCATTTCCATCGTTGGACTCTGCTACCTGGCTAAGAGGATTCAAAACCGTATGTTCTGTGCGGTCATCGGGCAGATGTTTGGCCTACTAGGCATGGCTCTTATGATGGGCTTGTCACGTAGCGGTACCACCGCATATCCAGTCGGACAGTTGGTCGGATACTACCTTGATATCGGCAACAGTGCCACTGCCTTGACATTGGTGCTTTCCATCATATCTTCCAACACGGCCGGATATACGAAGAAAACTACGGTCAATGCTATCTCTTTGATCGGATACTGCGTTGGTTTCTTGATTGGGCCTCAGACATACCGTAAGGCACCCGACTATCCTGATGCTAAATGGACCACAATCGCCATGTGGACCACTACTATAGGATGCTGTTTGGCGTTATACTTTGTCAACAAACGCGAAAATGCACGAAGGGACAAGTTGTGTGCTGAGCTTCCACCACAACCGGAAGGTCAAGAATTCTTGGATTTGACCGACAAAGAGAACATGTACTTCAGGTATACTCTGTAAATTCTGTCTCTGCTGCGACAGATTAAAGATGTTTGTTCCAATGACTACTAAGAAGTCATTGGAGTAATGAGACAGCCGGAGAATCTTAGATATGTTAGAGACTTCCCAATGCACAGGTTGTATGGATTTGCCTTTATCAGGTGTGACTACGTAGTTGTAGGTCCATAATTACGAATTGTACGGAGCAACACCCTCTCTATGTCTGGACTCGAATCTGTAATACAATGCCATGTTTGGGTGTTCTAAAAGGCAAGCCTTAGAATTAACGATTAGAAATAAGGTTTCTCTATCATCCGGCTGATACCAAATCAAATACCAACAATCTTTACCTAGCGTTGGCCAATTTAAGAAAAACATTAGGCCCATGGTTTCGCTCTTTTCCGCCTGGATTCCCCTCTTTCAACGCGTATTTCCGAGCCGGGTAATCTTAGAATTTGTTGCAATTCCGTGCAATTGATAAATTCAAAAGACTTTCGAAAATTAATAGACAGGCATGATTTTTTCGTTTTAAATTAATTTTATCCTTTTTTACCTCCATATATCGACTTCAGATTTGACCGTACTCCGAAGGACAATAACATCAAAAGCGATTCGCTCAACGCCAAACATTAACGCCCGAAAATAGAACGCGCGGGATCACGAAAGACGAACAGGAATTGAAGATGCCTGAAAATTACCCAAGACCCTACGTGGAAACTCTGCGACTCCGGGGCCCGTCTTACTATGAGATTGGTCTTCAACATGGCCAACAGGCAAAAGAGCAGATTTACATTAACATCAAAACCTATACGACATTCTTCCAAGAAACGGCTGGTATGAAAACCTGGGAGGACGCAAAGGAGCGCTCGAAGATTTTTATTCCCACTCTTGAAAGACTATACCCGGAGTCATTGGAAGAAATGCGAGGTATTGCAGCAGGTGCCCAACTTGATATGGAAGATATCCTTGCATTGAACGTCCGAAGCGAAATTGGATTAACGAACTATCCCAACACTCCTAAAGAAGCACCTCCTGCAATTACCGACGGTTGCACCTCAATTGTTCAGCGTTCGCAAGATGGATCGACCGTGATTTTGGCGCAGAACTGGGACTGGCTAGAACAATTGCACGATGGAATGGTCATTTTGGACATCGTAACACCTGACGAAAAGACGCGACTTCAATTCATGAATGAAGCTGGATTAGTTGGTAAAATCGGAGTCAATTCTCACGGAGTCGGAATTTGCATGAATGCAATTCGATGCGGTGCGCTTTCTACAGATCGATTGCCAACTCATGTTATGTGCCGGCGCGTTTTGGAATATGCGAAATCCTTCGATGAGGCTGTTGCAATGCTCGACGAGTATGGCGGTGCTTGTTCATTCAACCTCGTTATGGCAGATGTTCAGGGTGAATTTGCTTCCGTTGAAAGTACACCGAATGGACTCTCTATTATAAAACCTTTGACCAAAGGCGATTCCACGAAGGTCTCAGGAAAAGGTACCAATTTTGTGGCCCATACAAACCACGTAATGACACCGCCTACGGAGTTTCCTGGAGGAGCTATCTATGACCGACCTGCACCTAACTCATTCTCACGATTAGAGAGAATGACGGAATTGACACATGAAGATATTAGCCAACAGAAGGAGCTTACCTTGGAATCGGTCATTTGTCGATTGAGAGACCAAAAAGGCACTCCAACTAGCATTTGCCGTGACAAGCCTGCCAATGCGACTGGAATGGAGAAAATGACTACACTTGCCACGGTCTCGATGGTGTTTGATACTGTGGCCAAGAAGGTTACCAAGAGTCAGATTACGATCGGTAGACCCTGTGAAGAGGGTTTGCAGTTAGTAGAATTGACCGTCTAAGTATGAAAATCTTACTAGCGCTTGCATTACGTTCGACGACGCCTGTCGAAAGCAGTCGAGCATAATGTATTTATCCATAGCCCTTGTGAAGTATTATCAGTCATCAATCAATAGATGGAAAGCGTTAACAAGCAGTTACATACATTGGAAAGAACCGTTCCAAGGGATCTGGTGCCCTGCGGTTCATAGAGCATCCTCATGCTTTGGAGTGAAAATGCTTCCTTGGGGAGCAGTCGCGTTATGGCTACCGACAGCATCGATGGCAATACTGTTATAATAGTTAGTTACGAGTAAAGGCTAATTATTCAGCATGCCCTTATGATCTAATTATAGTGTGAAATCCACGTCTTAGCATACGACCAAGAACGAACCCCGTTAATGGGTGATAAATTAGTGGTCATATAACTCTGTCAGTCACATAGACATCTGGTAGCATCGATATTTATGCTTCCAAAGGCAAAGCGCTGTCTACTGCTTTTTTCAACAGAATATCATTGTTGGATCATGTTTGTTGTGCGTGAAATTTAATAATGAAGTTTTTCTTTGGTGAGTCTTTAAGGCTAATCAGATAACTCTAATATTCATATAATAAGACAAACAAATCATAGTAATCTTAGAGCCACAGACTTGCCCACCAACGGCAGCTACCTTACAGTGAGATCCAATTATGACAAACAAGACTCTCATGTACGTTGTGTCTTGGGATCACAGGAGCAATTAACGTTGAATGCTTAGGGCCACTCTATACGCATGCGATTAATCGGTCAAGACAGGCCTGATACGGGCCAGGAGATAATAGATGAAGGCTTGGCTCAGGTTCTCATGAGAACTAGCAGAAATATCAGCAAACATGAAAAACGAGAAGAAATCTTTGAACAGAAAGCCAATGATTAAGATATACAGAAACAATAGCCCACACATGATCCTTGCTTTGTATACAATTAAAATCACTCAATGATGGTAGGAACACACGAGAAGTTTCCTTCACTTTCAACAATAAGCCTCTAAAATGTTGTAGTCCTGTGATCATGTCAGATTGACAATTTTCCTTCACAGAAAGGAAATCTATTCAATATCATATCTCAATGGGGAGCTTCAGAAATTTGAACTTGCTCTCAAAATACAGCCTATATCATATAGACAAAGAAGGTTTGCCTTTTCATTCCATCCTTTTTTTGGGCTATCTCATATATATTCATCTCATTCCTATCCAAATCTTGTTTCTTCAACATCTTCCACATTTCCTACATTTGTTTTTGTCTGCCGCTCATCACCAGCTTCTACCTTAAAGTCAATCAACTTTGCAGGAAACGATATGTCCTCGCTCAGCCAGCAGCCACTTGGAACGGAACACATCAAGATGTGTGACCAGTACTCTGATTCCCAACTCTCACTGATCCTTAAACGTTATCTTGATCCCGGATACATTCTATCACTCCCTGATGCTGTGAGCTTAATCTACCGAATGTTTCCCGAGAAGACCGATGCATCAAGGGGATCAAATATGGATCGTGGTCTCTTTGAAAACGATATCCTACAGATTGCTGCAAAAACTCCCTACAATGATAGAGCACAATCTCGTCTCGCGAAGCTTGTTGGCTATTTGATAAACTCGCAAAAGTTGAGTGATTGGGTGACTGAACCAAAGGTACGTGACTCAATATCATTATAATTGAGGCTGAAAACTGATATGAGGAGTTTCTATAGGGATACACAATCCACAAGCCATGGGAGAACATTCGCATTACCTTGAACAACGGGTATCCCTGTAAGTCTGTCTACATTTCCAGTTTCCTTCAGTCTTCTTTTGCAAGGTGCAGCATGGTTGATATTGATCGTTTTCGTATTTGGCAGGGAAGTCTGAGCGGTATGGCACGGGAAACGCTCAGTTAAATCTGCACGCATTCGTAGCGCGCTTGGCATGTCTCGGGGCACTTTTCCCTATCGATGCCCCTTGGCCAATCTGGACATTGCGCGATGCTCTCGAAGAAGACCATGACGGCCGATGGGATGAGATGTATGTCAGCTCCGCGGCTATGTGGATTATTTGTGCTGGCCAGTGGGTTTTCAACCAGATCGGTTTGTATTCCTGGCCTCAACCCAAAGGTTGGCACGAGGCTATGTGGTCGCGAGGTTCGCTCTACGAGGGCCCTCTTGCTGGGCTAGAGCGGTGGAACTTCTGGCAAGCTCGTTTTGTGGAAGCTGCAAACAATCGTTCGATTTCTGGTGAATGTAAAGGGCATGCTCACAAAGCCAGCGAGCTTATGAAATCTCTTGTACTCAATTCGATGTGATAAAGTTCAAACCTTCACACTATCTCTGTACCTTCAATTCAAAAATTCTATTTCTATGCCAATTTTGAAGTAATCATCAGCGGATTGAATCCAGGTATGTTGTTAAGCCGCTTGAGTCCTTTCTGGCCGTGGATGACGTTTTGGTTCAGTGGACGGTATACATGCATTTAAACATCCTTTGCACTTTTTCGTTGGGATTCATGCAAAACGCACGTTGAGACCTACGAACTTGATTTTTCCTGATGCCCCGGGACTTGCCTGTTCCGTTTCAGTGCTCACCCCGTCGCTGCTTTTACTCCTTGAGTAGAATTGAGCACGCCCCTAAGCGTTGTGATCAGATCAGCGAGCCTTATGATATCATTCCCATTCCCCACCCCCCATTTAGAAATACGGAGCGACCCCGACATGTGCCCCGGACGAAGTCAAACCCCACGGTACATTTGCTACACGTTTTTGAGCAGAAACGGAGAGTACGGAGAACATGGAGAAGGCGACAGGCATCACCCCGCAAATCCAAAGCTAAAACTAAAATATTCACTTGCACCAGGAGGAACAACTTGTACTGACCTGTTTTAAGAGATTAATGGTATAATATACATAGTGAATGCCTAAAAAATGATGTTTTAGCATGAAGCGGCGAAGCTGATAGCTCACATGCTCATGAAGGCGCACTCCATGGAACTTCTTGCGTTGCACAATGAATCCCACCTCCTTGCAATGGAAGCGCATTGATATAGACCTGTACAACCTCCCTTTCTTTTTGGAAGAAGTTCTTCAAGATATCGAGTGCATTTGCATCAGCCTCCACATCGCCGAATTTTGGTACCAACAAGCCACCATTAGGCAGATAATAATTCACATAAGTCGCAACCGGGGACCAATCGCTCGGATACATGACAGCCTTCATATATTTCTCATCTAAGTTCAACAAAGCCATGTCGGGCTCTGGCATATCGATAATTTTGAAATTTCTTCCCCGGGCATCGCACTCGTTTGACAGAATTTCCTTCGTTTCTTCATATACTTCCATCCATACCGTCTCCGCTTTCAGGCCCACAGGGCGACTGATAAACAAAACACCAGGTCTCGCGAATCGTGCAAGTGCATCAATATGACAGTCAGTGCTGTCAGCGTTCCTCACTCCAGGCACCCAAATGATTTTTGAAACGCCCAGACAGCGGCGGAGCTCTTGCTCAATCTCTAGTTTACTCTTTCCTGGATTTCGATTTTCATTGATGATGGAACTCTCCGTTGCTAGTAGCGTCCCCTCGCCATCGATTTCTATAGCGCCTCCTTCCGTGGTTATTCGTGTTTCGATACGATCTACCTTCATATTTTGGAGAAGTTTGCGAGCCAGAGTTGTCGTTGCTTCAGTGGCATGCCGAGCTCCCCATCCATTGAAATTAAAATCAGTTCCAGAGAGCCGACGTCTCTGATTCAGGGTGAATGTAGGCGCGATATCTCTCATCCATAAATTCAGATCATCTCCAGGAATCGGACAAATTCGAATTTCATGCTTTTGGGCAGATGATCTAAGTTCGAATTCTGTCCGTGCTCTGTCAAGCCGCTCTTGGCCGACAGCTAGAGTGACAGGCTCAAATTTAGCGATCGTCCTGGCTATATTGGATACTTCGTTTGTTGCGGCATCCAAAGATGCTGTCGTTTCGAAAGCACAATTATTGAGTCCAGGCCATGCCAGTATGCATCGTGAGTGACGACCCCATTCTGCAGGCCTGAAAAATAACGACGCAGCACGACTTGAGACCATATTATCGATCACTTATCGGTCCAAGTGAAAAATTGTGGACAGAATGGCTTTATTTTGATCAAGATGGTTGCGGTTATGTATCATGAAAGCTGGCTTACCACCAAAGGACCACGTTCTACATAGTACACACGTTCTTAAAAATGCCCTCACCTTCTGACGGGTATCGTAACGCGCTCAATTCATTAAGTATTAACTACTCCGTAATAATAAGATTACCTTGCATAATACCAAGTAACTTATGTAGCGTATAAGATTACGTTATTGAGATTCCTTGTGGTTCACTGCGCTGTTTCTTACGCCATGCGAACGGTGTCTCACTTTAATAGCGCACTACAAGTGTAATTTTGGAACGGTTGTGGTTCTGATTATGCCGGCCAAAAGCGGTTTGCATTAGCATTATGAACCAAATAAAGCAGGCAATTACAGGGATCAAACAAGACTCTGCCATAAAATAGCTCAAATACGTCAGGCGTCTCAAGGACCTAACCCTTCGACGTACGTATGCGAGAATAGTATCCGAGCATCTTGCATTAAATACTTGGCCTTAGAATGAAGTTCCAACATCTAGGGTTATGAAGTTTATCTACGTGATAAGGAGCGATTACACCTGCGCATTTTATGAAGGATACCTGTTATCCCATCATGTGCCTACTTTTGATCATGAGATTCATGTCAACTGGTTTGAGACGCCCAATTTGAAAATGGAATTCTCGAGCTAAATTTGCACTCTCCCCAAAGTGCCACTTTAGCACCAATAATAGAGATAACAACAGATTTAGAATTGTAAGATATGCTTGTAGAAGAAACAGCAAAAGATGACATCATTCAAGACCTGATCACAAATGAAGATGATAAAGTTACAATAACTATTCATCATGGGTGACGGCATTCGTCCAAGTCAGTTTGAATACAAGCCAGTTCTACACGAAAGCTTCGATCATTAGTCTACTTACAGAAAAGCTGCTGATGCCTCGTCCTTGCTTCCTCCTCATTGTGTTAACTTGACATCACTTCTTGGACGAACACCCGCATTTCTCGCCTGTGGACGATTGTCCGATTATGAGAAGTTTTCATGCAGATTCCGATTTCAGGAAAGAGAATCCCAGAAATATTAGCAAAGCTTCCTTTCTCGAGTAGTTATTGGAAGACACTTAATAATCAAAGTAAGATCTTACGGGACATACAATCTACCATTACATTCAAATACCTAGGATTCAAGGAGATTTTGAATGATTATTTTTTACTGAAATTGCTGAAATCGATGAGAAACGAGTGAATATTTACATCCTATACTCTATCATTTGTGTCTTCTCCTAGTTCTAATTATAAATCTAGCTATTTCTTTCCTACAAAATAGTGCTGTTGCCTTGCCCAGCGTGATTCATGGTCATTGGCTTTCTACTTCAATAACCCTGATTACATTGCTAAATTAACCTGCGAGCTGGTTGACTTGCTTCGTAATCTCCATGGTTCTGGTGATTAAAAGTCTGTAAAGGCTGCCATTTTATGCCCGTGAGATAGGTGCAAAATCTCATTTATACTGTATAAAGTACAGTCTCTCGCCGAAAGTTGCTTATTCTCTGATTCCCCTCCAGACCTGCAGCGGCCCGATCAGATTAGCGGCATAATATTAATATAGTATCCCAACCCTAAGACGCAAATTCGTAATCCTTGCGCACAGTCCGGTTGGAGATACTTAATCGACATGACTCGACGACACCCCTAGGCTCCTTAATGTCTGAATTAAGAGAATTCCCATTGCTCGTCACTTTTTTTCTGTGTTTATACTTCTCCCCGCACAAGTCTGACAATGCCATCGGTCCGCAGCTTCCCTAATGCGTAATCTGCAATGTGCACACAGCCCGTTACGCGACCAAATGGCCAGACATTGGATTGCTCGGTTCAATTTATGTGGATGGATATGATTGAGTCGCACWTTTTGCGTGTGTTGCTGCAAATMCCCCGCCAATAGACCGTATACACCATGAGCGCTTCATAGTACGCTTCGTAAGTGAGACCGCCCCAGAAAGGTACACCAACAGACCAGATAACACCCCTCAATTGTACACGCGTGGGCAAAGCAGCGGATGGTTTTGAAAACGTCTTTATTTTTCCTTCTACTGCTTATGAGATTGTTAGTTTCGCCTGCTGAGTAGCAATTGTATAGTCAGTTGCAATTTATTGACGGCGATTTCATAGGCAGCGATAATCACCCGTTGTGTAACAATATACAGGTCATTGATTTGAGTTAACCAAAGGTAACTGGAAAAGGGGATTCAGGGACAGAGAGAGGCTACACGTCGATATTTCCGGTGAGAATAGTGGAAAAGGAGGGTATTTTTGGTCCCGCCTGTCTCCCTGACTGCTGATCAACTCAATCAGCCAAGAGAAAATATCGTGGCGTAGATGGAACGGAGCCCATTTGACATCCTACAAAGGTTGGGTGGTTTCGCTGATTTCCGTTCAAGGGCGTGTCCTATCTTCCTCTGCCTTACGCTATCAGTGACAGCTACAGCAGCTTTTCCCAGGCCTTCAGTCACTGCGCGGGCTTGTGCTACTTCCAACACAAGTACTAATCTAATGTGGTCAAGCTGGTGCCGCAGCAGCGGTGTCAGCCACTGGTCAATCTATACCCATTGTACCGACTTTCCTAGGGTAATTGCAAGATCTGATCGCATCCATCACCTCTCCATTGAAATAATCCGATCGCGAAGCGTTTGATTGCAGTATATCTCTAGCGGTAATTGTCGTGGGAGTTCTTGGCGCAAGAAATTATGCACGCCTGCTCTTCATCTTGTCGCCGTTAGAGTTTGAGTTAGTGTAGAAGGGTCTGCTCAGAGAGATGTACGTTCAAATAAATTGCTTATAATATCTTTCACTTTATATTAACTAGCTTGCTTAATTCTATTACTCACGCCTGTCGTATTAGGTTATAATAGCCTGATATCTGCTTTCATTTCCAAGATACATCTTGTATCTTCCAGACTGCTTCTACAATTTCTTGGTTTTCTCGTCATGGGCCGGTTCATATGATAGACATTGAGCGAAATGATTTACTTGAAGTTATGTTCGGACTGATCATGATATCCAAAGTCGGATAATCAACGATTTTACGGCAGCAAAACGTACTTCGGAGTACTCCGTTCCCACATATGTACCCAGATAACAGATACGATTCGATATTTTTATGTATAGATTAAGGACGCTAACACAAGCGCCGAATAGCGTAAGGAATCTTGACCTTCGTTATGGCGAATCAAGGTGCCAGTAATAATCGAAGTGCTTAACAAGAATGTATATGAACCAGTATCGATTATCTGCCTGTCGCATGATTCTAACCATGTGGATATCTAGTGGGTATCTAAGCCAGGTATCGGTCAAAAGTTCCTCTAGCCAAGCTTCAAAATTTACACAAGAAAACAAATGCAGATAGAAAGCTCTGAATTTGCTATTCATCTCTGTGAATTACTTGCTCTCGACACTTCTCTGGGTATGTACCCAGGTACGTAAATTTTTTATCTGTGGATCCACCCAACCCAAGTGGCAATCGTCTTATCAACAGACTCACCTCATGGTACTACAGAGTAGCATTCTTAGCATAAGTGGGCCTACGAGAGACCCTATAAGCTCTCCTAATTGGCGCAAGACTCCCGTGATGGCGCCGCGAATCCCTTCGCGCCACTTAGTTCGTCTAGGCTAACCCTAAACGAGTTAAGCATGCCGTTCGGTGCTCAAGATAAGCTGGGCCACTAAAATCCCCGCATGAAAAAAGCAAAGAAAAAAGAGGTTTAAAAACAGACGCAAGCCCGAGGTCGTTATCCTCCGAATTCTCGTGGACTCGGCCGGAATCTACTCCAGTGGGATATTCGATCATGGCGTCTCTTTTCCAGCGTGCAAAGGCGGCAGTCAAGCTCCCCATTGAGGAGGAGGATGCAGAGAGATCTCGGTGGATCAATGAAGGTTAGCAAGCTGCTTTTGTCGCGAAGGCACGCGACCCGCGGAGCTGAATTGTTTCTCTTTGCTAGATCTCCTTCCCACGCCGCCAGAACAACAAAGTAAGCACACTGCTCGCTAATCATTATAAACTCGAGCTCATTCATCATTAGCCTGGCGCTGGTGGAACTATGTCACCTTTTACTGGTCCATATCATTCACAAACTGGACTCTGGGATCCGTAAGTGACATTGATTATCCTCGTGAATCAATGTTCTAACCTACTCAAAGTCGATGATCGGTGTTGGCCTCAATTGGTGGCAGGCTATCATTGTGATCTTCGTGTCTCAATTCATCTCGTCCATTGCTATGGCTTTCAATTCTCGATCAGCAGCGGTATACCATATTGGATTTCCCTGCGTTGGCCGAAGTGTCTTTGGCATGTGGGGGAGCTATTACTTTGTCGGTGCTCGAGCGATTTTGGCCATCATTTGGTATGCCGTGCAAAGTAAGTGATTATACCCAGTTTCATCAGGGAAAACAGTGGATGATGCTAATGGTAACACTTCAATTTAGTGTACTCCGGCGCCGAATACATGTACAATATCCTTCGAGCTATTTTCGGACACAACTTCACCGATATCCCCAATCACTTGCCTGAAAGCGCCAGCATCACCACCCCGCTAATGCTAGCCTTTTTCCTCGCCTGGCTGGTTCATCTGCCATTCTGCTATTTCCGGCCCTATCAACTGCGCAAATTTTTCTGGTTCAAGACTATCGTTTCGCTACCGGCAATGTTCGGCTTATTCATTTGGGCTATGGCAAATACGAAGGGTCGTCTGAGTGGAGGACTTTATTCTGCAACTTCTACAAGTTCCAGCACCGTGGCATGGATGATTTTGGCCGGAATCAACAGTGGCATGGGGTATGAAAGTCCAATCGATCGGTAAACGACGCACTCTGACTGTTACACCTAGAAACACCGCTACACTGATTACCAACCAGCCGGATTATGCAAGATGGTCTCGCAGTAGGGGTGCTCCTGTTTGGACTCAATTGGTAAGTGATATATCTATATCTAAAGTGAAATTTCACCGCATCGGCCGAATTCTAATATTGATCTCCAGTTTTCAAACCCTATTGCGGTGACACTCTCTGCCAGTCTTGGTATTTTGTCCACCGCAGCTGTCAACCTGAAATTCGGTACCAGCATCTGGTAAGTACTCGGAAGATATAATAGAAGTCGAGTCGCATCGTTATCATGTGTCTAATAATGAACTAGGAACCAATGGGATATGATGAATCTCATCTTGGACAACTACTGGACATCCAGTGTCAGATTCGCTGTCTTTCTCTGCGCATTCGCCTGGCTAGTCCAGATTGTCGGAGTCAACATCGCAGCAAACATGATTGCCTTTGGTGCCGACTCATCCATGTTATTTCCGTCATACATCAATATGCGTCGAGGTCAATTCATTATCGAAATCCTTGCTTGGGCTGTTTGTCCATGGAAGATCCTTGCATCGGCAGCCAAGTTTACAACTTTCCTCAGTGGATACGGCTTGTTTATGGTATGAAATCATTATGTTCTAGAATCCAATTCCATACGCTAACCTGTATCTAGGCCAGTGTTGTGGCAATTATGGTGTGCGACTGTGCGTTACATTTTCCTCAACCCTATATCAAGCTGCTTACTGACATGACAACCAGATTTCCTCCTCACCAAAGGAAATGTGTTCATACCTTCACTTTACAACGGAACCCCGGCCAACAAGAACTATTACTATACCGGAGGCGTCAACATCCAAGCTGTGATCGCTTATCTCATTGGAATCGCACTTCCTTTCCCTGGCTTCTGCGGCGAGCTAGGAGCAAATGTTTCCACCGCGGCAATGCACATCGTCGATCTTGGCTGGATCTTGTCCTTTGTCACGGCCTTTATCTCGTACTATCTCATCTGTCAGATTTGGCCTACTGCCAATATGCGTTACGTGAAAGAGCATGGCTACGGGTTCGAGCAGACCGCATCGGAGATGTTGATCGACTCCGGCGAATGGGGTGTACAGAACGATAACGTGGTACGAGATGATATTTATGTGGATAAGCATATGTCATAGATGTTATTCACGGATGATATTATGCACGTGTATATAGGCTAGAATATAACGTCAACTAGCAAAGAAGGCCCCATCTGAGTGAGCGTGTTCTTAGCTTTATGTCAAGACTTTTCTAGCCCCATCCTGCCTGTGAGCTCAACTGTATGACGTAGTTTCAACTTTTAGAGACTCTTATATCCTCGATATCTACGGATGGATTGTAATCTGTAATTGCGTATAACATGCAGCTTGAGTCTCTGCCAGATCGGAGAACAGATCAAGCCGTCTCCTGAGTTCTACACTCCATTTCATAGAGACAATACCATTGACTTTGTTTGACAGAGTACCCCTGCCCATATAGGTGGGAATGCTTGTTCTTGGTGTAAGTCGTCCTCAGTAGGAGGGTGGTGGAATGCATACTAGCATCCAGGTACCCCGCAATTCAGAATGGGCTAGCTACCCATCGGAAGTATCTATACCGAGGTGGATAACTTTTTGTAGGCTTTGCGCTTGTCTGGTCTGTATTTGAAAAATCATGGCTAGAGTTTTTAATTGTTCATTCAACATACGGCCCTCCATCAATAATGTCATCCGGAGGGATCCACATGTTTTGATCAGAAGTAAAGTCCCTCCAGGACTAAAAGGGCTGGCATAAATTTCAAAGACAGACAGCATAACGCCGCAGGCAATATATAGATCATTTTGAATCTCACATCGGTGCTTTTCGGATATTCCGGGTGGTCGATATGTGGTTGGTGGAAAATATTGGACTCTGTTTCCATGATCTTCAGATCTCCGCAAAAACATTTAATTGGCAAGTTGGGGTAAATGAGTATTGGATATATCCGGGGAAAAGCTTATTTCCATAACAGCTATGTAACATGGGGAAAGATTGTACATACGTATGTAGATGGCCAAGTATCGATGTATATAAGCATGGTCACCCATCATTCATCGTCAATTCTGTCCTCAAGGAAGCAGTTTGCCTAGACCGAGGTCTCCAAGATGTTGCTTTCAAAGTCTCTCACCGTGTTGGCATTGACGACATTCACAGCTGTGAATGGTTGGCCGTGGAAACGCCACTCCAAGAATAGATTCGATTGGGATCTCGTTGATCATTTGTTCGTTCCCTCAACCCAGGCTTGCTAAACCCTTATCTAATCAATTTTGATAGAATTGCATTCGGAGATTCGTATACCTTCGTACAGGGTACCAATGGCTACCCTACATTCAGTTTCATCGGAGATTACCTGCCTGGCCAGTTCGCTGTAACCCCTTCGGAACTGTGGTCTGATCGTATCGTCCAGAACTTCACTGGAACTGCGGAAGGGGGCCCAAACTGGGTTGAATATTTGACAGGATGTGGTCTCAAGCCGGGTCTGACAGATCCCAAGAGTTGTAAGACGCAATTGTGGGACTTTGCTTTCGCTGGGGCCGACGTTTCTGAAGAATTGTAAGCTTCGCTCTAGATCGCGTTACTAAAATACTATAACACTAAGTCTTGACTACCAGCACGGCTTTACATCACAATTGGACCGTCCCTCTCGTCAATCAGACACAGCAATTCTTGACCTGGATAGAGCCTGAGTTCCGGCGGCACTTAAGAATCACTCAGCAAAATACCTTGGTTGCCATTTGGATCGGAATCAACGATATTGGCGATACAAGCAAACGAAATGTGTCGTTTCCTGACCTCTACGACTCCATCATTTCCACCATATTCACCGAAAGTGTGGAGCCTCTATATGAGGCTGGGTACCAAAACTTCCTCTTCGTGAACCTTCCTCCGCTTGACAGAACGCCGTTGAACGTGGTCAAGGCTGAACCTCTCCCTAATAAGACTATGATAGGATGGTGGGATGATACACTGCAACAGAAAAGCGACGCTTTTGCAGCTCAGTATGAAGACACGAATGTCTTTTTGTATGATGCAAACACTTTTTTGAATCATATTCTGGACAACCCGTTGGAGTATGGCATAAAGAACAGTACTGGCTATTGTCCGGGTTATTTGGATGCAGACGAGGTCACTGATCCCGCGAAATATGGTTGTATTCCGATTGATGAGTATTTCTGGTTTAACACGGGACATATGTGAGTAATTTAAGCATCCTTGATTATGGGTTTACACATATTGACTTGCTTACAGGACAAGCCACGTTCATAGCTTTTTGGGTCCGGATGTAGAGAAGTTTCTTCATGAGCAAAGCAGAAAATAGAAACGCTGGTCAAGTTGTCCGGATTAGATCTTGTGTCTCGTACAATATCTCTATGGTGCACATGTGCGTATAAAAACTTTTATGTCTTCCCAGGTTGTAGTAATCTAACTTTTTGTCCTCGTCCCAGTATTCTCTTCACATTTTCCAATATCATGCCCCTCTTTTCATGTTAATACAATGTTTCCTATGAACCGTTCGTAGCAATAAGAGCCCTGTCCGCAGCAGCAAGAGCTTTATTAACAACACCCCTGAGAACATCTTCACTCTCAATCCCAACACTTATCCTAACCAAGTGCTCAACCACGCCGTATTCTGCTGCCCAATCCAGTTCCGAGTAGTGCGCCAACAGCGTATATGCACAACACAGCGTGAAATTGGTCCCCAGACTAGGTCCCTTGGCTACATCCAACGCATCATGAAACGCAATCGCCGCTTCGGGCGTCACAAAACGTATCGAGACGAGAAACCCGTATCCACCTTTACTCCTTCGAAACTTATCGTAAAGATCCTGCGATGAGCTACCCTTAGGATAGAAGACTTCATCCACTGCCGGGTGGCCTTTGAGCATATTGACGACCATTTCGGTGTTGGCACTTGCTTTTAGGACACGCTCTGTAACATCTCGACTATTCTTTTCCATGATTATGGCATCAAGGCTAAAGTATGGCTCTGGTTTGTTCTTCGCAACAGCAGGTTTTAGTTTGGAGTACCAGGGTGATTTTGGATTCAAAGCAGTTGATCCTCCCATGACATTGCAACCTCCGCTAAACATTTTGGTGAGACTGGAGCATATGACATCGCAGTAGGGGAAAAGAGCGACGTTGATTGATGTAGTAACTGTGTCGTCCACTACTACGACGAATCCGTGCTTTTGGGATAATTTGTACAAGCGTTCTAAATCAGGTGATCGAAGGAGAGGGTTCCCAGGAAACTCGGTATACAGAGCGTCGATAATGAGACCGTGGTCCAAATCTTTTTCCAGGGCATCCAGGTTTTCATTTGTGCCGTTACCATACAAGCTACAATCCATGCTATGGATCTTGCTTAGGACTTTGAACGTATCGACATACAAGAACCTGGAAACCTTGTTAATACTGGAAACCTAGGGATCGGAAGAAGATATACCCGAAAACTGCCACTCGATGAATGCCATCTGGTCTATTGAACAGACTACGTATGGATAGTGAAGTGTTGCTGATAGCGGACATGCCTGTCGGATACAGTGTCACATCATCAACATGGACGGTAAGAGATGGAGACGACACTGAAACCGCAATCCGCTCACGTATCGTAACCGTAGCCTTGTCTCCCTCTTCATACGGTAGCTTTGCAGGCGACTTTTCTGCGTAGACCTGTCTGTTCTGGAGAAACGGCGCATGCTCCAACCAATGAACAGCGGTTCGTGTGGTAATTCCGGCTCCTGTATGTTGCCAGAACGCTTTGCCTTCTGGTGCTCGACTTTCAGGATATGTTACAGCGTATAGCTGTCTATCTGGTGTACTGTCTAAGGGCACATTCCCGTCTTTCACCACGGTGATTTCACCCGAAATTCGTACGCATATGATTTGACTGTCGGGAATGCCGACCTTTGCAAAGTAAGACCGACAAGACTCAGCAGCGCGATATGCTGGTGTCAGGATTGCAAGCTGTGGCTCTGCAAAAGAGATTTCTGTACGTTTGAGTATCTCCGCTGCCAACTCCAAGACTACGCGCGCGATGAAAAATCGAGGATAAGCGGTTCTCAATTTCGCCAGAAATTCTGGATGGCGTTGAGCCCACGCCAATGTGTCCTTCCATGTTGGCAAGTAGACACTAACGCCCTGTCACTTACATTAGCACAATCCGATTTCTATGATCTGTATGAGTAGCATACATAAGGATCGCCCGCAGGCAATGGATCCCCAGCTTGCAGTGTCATTCGGAGTTGCCCTGGTATCAATTGTCCTATGCGTCAGGAACCGGACAGGCGTGATGAGCTACGTTAAAATTTTCAATGTACACATCAATTTTGGTCTAGAAAATTCAATGTGCGGTCTCAGATGCCAGGCTAAATCTAATATGGCATCATTTTGCATGTCTGGCGACTGATGTGTCACACGTGCGAGGCTCCAATTCTCTTCTTTCAGAGTCCCACTTGAAAATACGAATTTAGCCCTCTCTCCAATGTGAATGGTATAGAAATTTGAGAAATTCAGACCGCCCATGCAAGCCACCATATTGCGTCAGATGCAACAAGCCGATCAATCGATCTCTTGCAACAGATCTACGAACGCGTTTCGAGCTATGAATTCTTATCCCGGAGTATAGGATTTGGGATCTTACACACTGCAAGGAATCTGTGATTCTTGAGGATTGAAGAACAGATCAATTGCAAAATGTTCCCAGGGCGTGGACTGAATACGAGCTGAAGCATCCAGGGTTGTCAATACGACGATGAGGTATAGGTCTAGCTTCGCAGGTATGCGCAGGGTTCTACGGCAGCATGTAGCATTGCGTGGCGGGGATTGAATGGTTCGAAGATCTAAAAAGCGTTTAACGAGACATGAATGGATAGATCTGAAAACACTACTGCAGGCGACTTGAGGCTCGCCACTTCCGTAGCGAATGAATTGGCGATGTTGATATGCAAGGACGGGGATCATGTTCCGCACGCCGCTGCTCGGCATCCGAACAAGTTAGACGATTTCTGATCTTATTGTCTTATAAATATACTTAGTCAGGTTTTTTCAATATCGAATTCGGATTAACTATTCACACACGTGTTTCCAAAGTTTGCATGCTATTTGGCCCGCTTAGTGACATAGTTATGGCTCCTGCCCCTGACCCCATCAATTCACCGTCTACAAATTACAGATGAGCCATGCCGGATGTAATCGAAATCATGAGTACGAAATTTTCAATTCTGTGCCAGGTTTGACTAGGCGCCAATAACTTCGGATACCAATCGTGGTATTGAGATGATAGTACTAAAAGACACAAGCCAAAAACTGTCAACACACACACAACTTGAACGACTGAAGTCCACAGCATCGCTTCCACCAAGCCCTTCGGCTCAAGTCCTGCACTCCAAAACTTGACAACCTTCAATCAAGCCTGTCCGAGCAGGTTCAGGAACTGGTTTTCTGTTCTTTCCATACCGTTTCAGCACCGCCATCATATTCACATCAAACAAAGAAATATACAACGGGACATTCTTGGCGGGTAATACCCATTCAAATATGAGTAATTAGCTATACCCCGGAGTCATGGGGGCTGCAATTTGTTTAAGGATCGTTACGCACTCTGCGTCGGGCCAGTTCGTGGAAGATATAGCGGAGTTAATATGTGTCGGCTCTCTTTTGTGGCCGTGGCTGGTAAAAGTCGCTTCTTTGTTAGATGATTGCAGGGCTCAGTTTGTTGTCTTTGATGTTGACCAACACCGGTGGAAGATCTTGCACGACGAGCTTACCGGGGGCAGTATGGTAAACATCATGAAATGCCTGGATATCGTGACCTTCTCTGTCTCCTACATCAACCAGCAGAATCACTTGAGAGTTGTCTTTCACCACGTTATTGAGAACAATCTCATCCACGGGAAAGGTGCTGAACCAGTCTTGGCAGGTCTCTAGCGATCCAGCCATCAAAGCGTTAAAGTTACTCATCATGGCAGGATTTTTCATGAGCCATGAGAACATTCCATCTTCAAGTTTGTGAGAGTGTTGAAATGGACCAGGGGAGCCTTCGAGGTTTCTGAAGCCTGTTGATTTGAGCATTGGGGCATGCTGGCTAATGATTGGGTTGCGGCAGCAAACTTGGTGATGCGTTAGCAATCCCCTTTTGATGATCAAGACCATTGTTATAAAAATTGGCATGCATGAACCAGTAGCCCAAATGAGCGGAGGACCGGTAAGAACTTCCGGGATACTTGTGGAAGCATGGGTCTGTATATCGGTCTTGCGGAATACTCCCAATGCTACCAGGGGCCTCATCATCCATACTAACGATATAGCAAGTCAGTCTAAATGGTAGACATTCAACGACATTTGGAGTTGAATTGAAACAAACCGATCAACAGCTCATCACCACCACAAAATTCAGACAGCTGCTTGGCTGTCTTTGGTTTGCCAACCTTGACCAGATCCGTCATCACGCCCATACAAATCAGAACCATGAACGCTGCCGGGGCGTGAGGCTATCCAAAATATATGTCAATATTCGATATCAACTCATAAAACTTCTAGATTACAGAATTTTATCCCCTGGATTGGCTAAAACGATATGATCATCCTCCAGACTGTGTCCACGGGAGCTTTCAACTGGGCATCGACTCTCATCACGACTTCCATGAGCTTTTTGCGGCTGGGTCTCAATTTGTATGGACTTTGCACAGAGTGCTTGAAGCTCATGACTGAGTTGGTCAATCTTTTGCTTAATTTTCGTCGACGACATTGTTGACAATTTCTGATTGCTGTGAGTGCGACTGGAAATTTGCAAGGGTAATCAAATCGTCATACTTGAGGTACATGGGTAGCTATTTGAGTTGTCTTGTACATGCATAGCCCTACACGAGATTGTAGCTGAGCCAGCTACATCTGAAGCATGAAGAAACCGAGGAATTTCCAGATTAGGGATGGGCTTGATGACATAACTGAGGCTTAAAACTCAGTTGAGGTGTATAATACAGATACAGAACCGGAGTATTTCGAAACGGTATTGACCTTTTCTGCTTCCCGTCTGCCTGCAGTATCAATAGAGTAGCATGTTCGGTAACTGTAATTCTGTTTGTCACTCAGCTGATTATCCCCAGAATAAATTCCCCACCAAGAAACAGCACCAAAAATTCATGATACACCGTCGCTGTGGCTTTCTAACGGCTTTAAATGAGATCATGACGAATTAATCGTCGGCATTGAGCATTGTTATCGTAAGCTCTGTTTAGAATCTCAAAGCTCTAAACTTTTGCATTTTATATCCGTATTGGACTCGGGTTGGGCGCCTGGAGAGTTTCCGACGGTCGAATATGTAATTTCACGGAGACACTACATATTTACAAATCATCATTCTGCCTAGGCACCTGTTCACTTACGTAGGTATGCTACTTATATTGAGGGACCTTTTATGCATTCATTCCATCATACATAGGCAATCGCGAAATGAACTTTGGTATAAGGAAATGGGCTTTCTGGGATCCAGAAATTAATCTTGGCTTCCTTGAGGGTCTTGAGCTTTGCCGGAACACTTGATGATGTAAACAAGATACTTCCACATTTCAAGAATTTCAAAGTGTATGGTAAAAGTACTGTGATTAGCGCATACTGATGAGGGTAAATAGTTGAAAGTTCTATCAGTGGTCGAATCGATGGGAACGCTAATGAGTATAGAAACGCTCTGACATGGCAATTGGGACGAAATACAAAGCAAAGTTGGTATCGATCGCTGGGCATAGAGGTGGTTGTCAGAGTGACGATATACGACAAAGAGGAAACGAAATTGAGATTAATATCAGTAGCGAGTTTACCCAGGTATTGACCGCTTCTTGATCTACATTAGAGAATTCTTTCCGTACACAATTCGAGTCTACGTGTCATTTTTTGGTGACGATATATATCATCTGATCAACACATCGTATAAACAATATATTCTGAGCATCTCAACTTCATCCATTATTTTAGTCCGAAACAACGGAGTGCATTGTACTCCGTAGACGGGGGTTTTCTCACCGATCCGCCGTCCTTTTCAGCTGCATTTCGTCCGTTTGACTTATCATGCATGATAAAAAAAAGTGGCAACCTAGATGTTAAGATGCAGAGTAGCGTAGCATTGAGCGGTTAATCAGTGTCGATACTCGATACGTAGTAAACGCAAAAAGAGGTCCGATCTTCATCAAGTCAACGTAGTAGTAGCAATGTCGAAGTTGATCGATCCAACATCGTTTCTGGAATGTTCGCAGCCAAATAGAGTATGTCGCATGACGTTAGCATCGCAGTGCAATACTTCAAAGTTCGTCCACAGAAGCACAAGCAAGTTTCCACGGATGAAAGGAGTCAAAATGGTTGCCTAACGTGCTAAGACAGAGCATAAAAAAGTCTAAAGTCGACTAAGGATGAGTCAAATTTAACACTTGTTACGGAGTAGTTTAGCGCTTACACGGTTGTGTTATTGTTGGATACGAATGCAATGCGCTACTACGGACTTAGGCGTTAGAAGTCCGGTTTATCCCATTCCATTAATTTAAGAAATCCTGCGACAAGCTGTTCTTCAACGAAGTATTAGTGTACAAGAAGTGAGTCTGACATTCTTCCAATGCGGCGTACTAAATGGGTAACTACGAGCGAACAGTCGGGCTTACTGCCGAATGAGGACCGCCGGAGATAACGACAGTTCAGCTTCGGTCGATTTGGTCCGAGCGTAAATCCAGGCCACATGGAGCTCGCTTATCTAATTTATGCTGCGTTATGTGAGCCACACGCTGCTCTGATTGGCGTTCGGCAAGCTCCAGATCCGAGTGGGTCTTGCGTTTCGGGCGAAAAATTAACCCGATTACGGGTCCGCTAATCCTAAAGTAGAAAGAGCACATCAAAATCTGCCATGCATCGGCCAATCAGCTTGCTTTGACTACGAATTCTCCCTGAATGGTGGGCCAGTTGGCCAGGCCTGCTTTTTATACGATGGTCCGTTTTCGTATTAAAGGACGAGGCTCCCCAGGAAGGTGCCTGGTTGTATACTGTTTGGAAGCAGCAAGTGTTGTCTCTTCTTCACATCGACATGGCCGAAAAACATACGGCAAACACTCTTGACGGTTCGACAGACGTCTCATTGGCAGACGCTCAGAGCCTCACAGAGAGGAACAACATGACTCTGGAAAGCGAGAAACAGGTCGAGGCCGGCCAGCGCGATGTCGCCAGCCGCGACGAACACACAACTGTCCACGAGCCGATCGCAGACGAAAAGGCAGCCGTAGACACTGCCCTCGAAAAGGCAGACAGCGGAGATGTGGCTGACGAAAAGAAAATCGAAAACGAAGAGGACGAGGAAGATCAAACAGAATATCCAGCCAAATGGAGACTGGCACTCATCACAATTGCTTTGTGTTTGTCCGTTTTTTGCATGGCTTTGGTATGACCACTCCCATCTTACGCGGGGTGTACAACATTGACTAACGGCATTGGTTACAGGACAACACCATTATCGCAACTGCCATTCCTCGAATTACAGATCAGTTCAACGCCGTGAACGACGTCGGTTGGTACGGTGCCGCCTATCTGTTGACCACTTGCTGTTTGCAGTTGATCTTCGGTAAACTCTACACCTTCTACTCGATCAAATGGGTCTACCTCACAGCGCTGTTCATCTTTGAGCTCGGTTCATTTGTCTGCGGTATTACTCCCAACTCTGTGGGTTTGATCATGGGTCGTGCAGTTGCCGGTATTGGCGCTGCTGGTATCTTCTCCGGTGCTCTGCTTATCGTCTCACGTACCGTGCCCCTTTCGCAACGCCCGATGTACATGGGTTTGATCGGTGGCATGTGGGGCATTGCCTCTGTCGCTGGACCTCTGTAAGTCATCCCATGTTAAATGTTTTGTCAAGATACTAATGGTCGTAGAATGGGCGGTGCATTCACTGACAAGGTCACCTGGCGTTGGTGCTTCTACATCAACCTTCCCTTCGGCGCCATCACCGGTCTCTTCATCATCTTCTTCTTCCAGCCCCCTGGCGGAAAGAACAAGGCAGCTGCTTTGACATGGAAAGAACAGGTCAAGCTGCTCGATCTCGAGGGAACCTTCTTCTTCATTCCCGGTGTTATCTGCCTTTTGCTTGCCCTGCAATGGGGAGGCACCAAGTACGCCTGGAGTGACGGACGCATCATTGCCCTTTTCGTGCTGTTCGGTGTTTTGATTATTGGCTTTGTGGCCATCCAGATCTGGAAGGGGGAAATGGCTACCGTGCCACCTCGTATCTTCAAAAACCGCAACATCTGGGGTTGTGCGTTGTTTGCTGCCTTCCAGGGTGCTGCTTTCTTCGTCATGGTTTACTACGTAAGTGTCTTATCTGTACCCACAGACTTCATCGATCTAACATGCATAAAGATTCCCATCTGGTTCCAAGCCATCAAGGGCGCCTCGGCTGTTCGATCTGGTATCATGAACCTACCCCTTATTCTCAGTCTTGTTGCCATCTCCATGCTTTCTGGCGGTCTCGTCAGTTACATCGGTTACTACACTCCCTTCATGATCATTTCCTCTATCCTGTGTTCCATTGGTGCGGGTCTCATGACCACATTCAACGTCGACACTCCTCAGCCGCAATGGATTGGTTACCAATTCCTCTTCGGTGCCGGCGTCGGCTTCGGCATGCAGCAGACCATGATTGCCGTGCAGGMTTGCCTGAAGGGTAACGACATTGCGGTCGGAACAGCCATCATCATGTTCTCGCAGACTCTCGGCGGTGCCCTTTTCATTGCTGTTGCCGAAAACGTCTTTGAGAACAGACTCGTCAGCAACGTCGTCGCCGCCAATCTCCCCGGTCTTAATCCCCTCACAGTCCTCAACACCGGCGCCACTCAAATCCAAAAGGTCATTCCCGAAGAGTTCCTCCCTACTGTCCTCAACGCCTACAACGACGCATTGACAAATGCTTACTACGTCTCGGTCGCCATGAGCTGTCTGACAATCGTCGGCGCCCTAAGCATCCAATGGGTATCCATCAAGGGCAAGCGCATCGAAATGACCGCCGCATAAACCCACCCTCTTTCTCATCTTCTTCTGCATTATACACATAATACCCACCACTCTTCTCTAATGTTTACTCATACATAATAGACAAGGTTTCCTCCGCTCATACAGGTTACATTTACTGCATTTTCTTTTCTGTTCATATTTTTTCGCTACTGGATTGGAAAAGCTGGATGCTTTTTGGGAAATACCATTTGCGTTTGTACAAATAGAGAGTTATGAATATAACGGATGACTATTCTCAAGAGTCAACCGTTCGATCTTCACGTAAAAATACTTAAGAAAAAGTGCGAAAAAGTGCCAAGTCCGTGTAAGAAGCGGGGATAGTGATTGCCTCCAACATGCATACTACACTGCAATTTTAGTGTCTGTGAGCCGTTGATTAATGTTATATCGCCACATCAATGACCCACGTCAAGCACTAAATGTCACTAGAATTCACGGGTCTTGGACGCCGTCGAAGAATCAATTCGAAAATACACTTTTGCAAACTTCATTAGGAATTAGAGAACATACTTGACTCGCTTCTCGATTCGAGCGCTTCCTTGTGAATACATCGAAGGGCTAAAGACGTTGCGGATACTATACTGTCAGGTTTGTTCAAGCAATACCAAAGATCCGAGTCTGATATATAGTTTGAATAGTGCTTACGCGTTATGAAAAACGTAGAAAGATGCCAAATATGCAATTGTATTTTTCGGGCGTCGTATACGACGAATAAATGATAATACAAGAAAAACTCCTGAGACAATGATCCTGACCATGCACAGAAGACACGAAGCGAAATGAAGTAATGGTTTTGAAAAGTAGAAGGAATTGTGAAAAGAAGGAAGAATATCTTCAGAGAATTTGTCCAAGTGGACTTTTTATCTTTCCCGGCTCGATTTCGGATGATTTCAGACGAGCTGGTTTAAGACGAGCTGACGCACTGGTAGTAGTAAGGGTTCTGTACCTTGCAGGTTGCGCCGGAGGCACAAGCCGTGGCGCCGGTCCAGTTGATACCGCCGCATTGTCCGTAGAGGGTCTGGACGGCACCGGAGCTACCGGTCGTGGCGGAAGGTGTGGCCCAGATGGTCGAGACTTCAGTGACGGTGGTGTATTGTGTCACCGAGGTGGTGGTGGTTGTAGCGGCGCCGCCCAGGGGGGTTGTTGAGACGGCTGTCGAGGTTGGCTCGACGACTGTGGCGGGGGAGGTTTCGGCGACGACGGTCGAGACTGGCTTGACGGTCGAGGTGGATGAGGTGGATGAGGTGGATGTGGATGAAGTCGTGGAGCTAGCAACCTCCTTCACGGGGCTGGTGGACACAGCAAGCAACGTGGTAGAAGTAGATAAAGTCGAGGTCGAAGAAGTGGAAGACGAAGAAGCAGACGAAGTCGCAACAGTACCCGCAGATCCAGCAGCAGTCGTCATTCCAGCAGGCGTGGTATCGCTATCCGTCTGACCATAGCAGGTGCAAGTTTCCCAATCCGAAGCAGCTTGACCGGGGCAAGTGACAGGCTCAAAGTTGACAACCACATTATCACCAAAGACTTCGCTTTCGGCCATGATATCGAAATGGTAGCTGTATCCGTAGTTGTTTTTAGCGCCGACGGAAGGACACCAGACTTCGTTTCCGTTGTAGGGGCAGAGGTTGGTGACCATAACAATAATACTTTCGCCGGCGACACCTCCTTCACCGCAGCCGTTGCAGGCAGAGGAACCGGTGGATGTCAAGTTGTAGCATTTACCGCAGCCGCCGCCACACCAGGAGGAGTCGTCGGTGTCAAAGAGGGCTTGGGAACCGGCGGCGGTGTAGACGCCAGTTGAGACATCGAGCTGTTTTTCATGTTAACGAGGTTCTGCCATGAAGGACTGCGTCGGTACTTACCTGCCACGAGTCGAGTCCGGAGCTGCTACCACAACCGCAAGCACCTTCCTGTCCATCATAGTAACGCTATCAACTCGTTAGCCTATATCCAACCATCTATTCAACAGTCGTGACTTCATACAGTAGTAGTAGCAAGGTAGGCAGACGCCGAACCCGCCAGCGCCCAGAGAGAAAGATAGAAAGCCTTCATTTTTCCAACCGGTGGTTAAAGATCTCGAAACAAGTAAACAAAGATAGTCTAGAGAAGAGAACGGTAGTAAACGCAAATGAATGAATGGAAGAAGGAACTGTGCCTTCGGAATGTGTAAAAGAACGAATGGATTGGTAGAGAAAATATCTAAATGTTTAACTTTGTGCGAGGGAAGGCGTGGAGTTTTATACTGGTGGCCCTTGACGCCTTAATGGATTTATTATCATACAATTTTACTGCTGAGGATACACCGTCATATCGAATGGCGCCTCAATTTGCTTGTCCGTCTGCAGGTCCGAAGCGAAGCGCCGTCATAATCAATCAGTTTCAACTTTCAAGGCCGTAGGGTGGAGGCATGTGGTCTGTTCAGTGACTCTAAGTGAAGATAATCAAACTGGTACAGTGGCGTATGTCAGATTAGGATAAAGGTGCCGCTTGGTTGGCTGATAGCATGGGTATATTAGCCCGTAATAAGTTTCGTCTAGAACACGTTCGGTTAGACGAGCGAAACATTTTGTTGGGGACATGAGATTTAAGATTACTATGTATGTTCTTGCTGTACGAGGAGGCCGTTTCGTGGTTGTTTGAGCTGGCGGGGTTTTCTTTGGTGCGTAACTTGGATTATTCAAGTATGATTCTGATTTCTTTTAAAGAAAAAGAAAAAGACGATTGTTAGTATGAAACGACGCCCTGAGTGTAGAGAGTAGGGACGTGGTGTTCAGACCAAGCTTTCGGAACATCGGAAATCAGCATTAACACAGACAATATAAACCGTTTCTCAATAAAACAGACAAGTAACCGAGAAGAATTTGCCAATAGCAGTCCACCGATCAGATTGACCGATTGACTTGGTTAGTCGGTTCGCCGCATCCCAGCAAGGCTTAAATTAACACTGTGTCATGATAATTGAAGTACCGATGAATCTCCACTCCGGCGTCATACTTGAGGAATCGCGGGTTCTAATTGCTGGAAAAACTGATATTATCAGCGAAAATATAACATGGCGTCTGTATCGTGCTACTGTGGAAAGCCACTTGGCTTGCCACGAGATTTGAGATGCTCGATAAGTTGGTCGAGTAGATTAACGGACTTGGTTCGGATTCAGCCGCTTGTCAATTCGGAAGAACCACTGATATGAGTTTAGATTAAATCTCTTTATGTTATCAAGAGAACATTCTGGACTCGCTTCTTTTTAATTGATTTAGGCTGTATCGCAAGATTAACATCGAGAAACAACCCCTCAAATGTTCATGTTTTGGAGCAGGGGTCACGTCTTTAAATTACCAGGATGGCAGGGATGTATAAAAGCGTCAATATAGAAGCCTCACGCATACGACTACAGCCAATCTTCAGAATATTATTGCCGCCTAGATTACCCTGCATATGGAATGAATCGTACGTATTTTGTAACAGGCCAGGTTCCAAGTTAGAGTATTGACTAGAATCAAGGTGGTTTGCCGGCCGTCAGCAGATTCTCAAGATAGTCGATGTGATTGCGTACTTAGATACGTTCCCCGTCGATGACCGGAACGTTGCTGGCAATGAAATCCAGCGGAAAGCAAGTACAGTCACACCAAGGGTACAGCGAAGTTCTGCAGGTGAATTCCATGGTACCGTAAATGTCACGTTAATTACGTAGCTTAGTCTCTGGATACGCGGTTTATATCTGGCGCATCTTCGGTCTTCATTTATTCATATCATTACAAACACGGCGGGAAACCTTGGAAATGTGGAACGGAAAATTGATCCGAAGAATTTCTTACTTTCTAAAATCTCTTGATAAAAGAAAAGAATGATTCTAATTGGCTTCTATTAAGGCAAGGGGCAACCTAATTAGGCGATATATTAGTACCCGAGGCTGTGGTATTCGCCGTAAACGTCGCTTCTGGTATTCGATCGGTCGATATAAGCAGTTGGGTAGCGTCTTATCTGTGCATTATAGTTAACCTTGGAACCCTGAGGCAGAGATCACAGCTTACCATCACTGTGGATATAACCCTTGGTGTAACACATCTAGATTAGCGAAAGGACGATTGACTCCTATCTGATAGACATTCAGACACCTCAATATATACATGGAATGGATTACATGAATAGCCTCACAACGGAAACATTACAATTGCTTCAAAATTTGCAATAACACGAGCCTCAAGGTTGATAGCCCATTTGTTGGTTGCTACACATGTTACATACCTACTGCTCCCGCCGATACGCTAACCGCTCTATAATTGAGGGATTGTGGCGTCTAGATCGAGCTCGTAACAAGCATTCTTGAAGAATTTTCTGTCAGGAATCAGGATATATTTCTCTATCATGGCCTGTAAAATTGTGAATCTAAGGAATGGATCATCAAAGAGAAGCCTATTATAGTATAGCACGATCGTGTCTAGAAAGTCAAATTGGACAAAGCCCAATCAGATGTCTCCTAGAATACATCGCAATGTATCTGTATCACGAGTCGTCCTTCAGAAATCGTTCCGAAGGAAATGATTTTCCGGGAAGCTCCTTTTTGCATGTGTTATGCTCGTTCTCCCGGTGACGTTGAGAGATCACAATAGACCTGTGTATTGAGCCTTGACCACGCAGGTCACCTCGATCAAACGTCTCTAAACTTACCTAGAGATAATATACCTAGAAACACAAATTTGAACCTTGTTTCAAATTCCCTGGTTTAATGTCCGTGTGCTGTGTTGCTTCTCGTTTAAACTTCATGATACTAGATCTTTCTCTTCCGTCAATCTCAACAGCCTTGACATCAGGCCAGCCATGGCTCTCGGTAATCTCATAGCCAGGCTTCTCTCGCTATCTTCCTTCATCCTTGCTTTGATAGTCATCTTTGCAGGTACCCAATGTGGAGGGGCCCTAGACAACGTTTATATGATCCTAGTAAGTAATATTGATTTGTTGCGGTATGTTTAGAGATACCACGCATGATTCTGACTTGTTTTTAGCTAGATAATACAAAGCTCAAGTCAAGTTCCCCTCTTAGCTTAGATGGAAAGCCGTTTGCTGTCAACCTCGGGGCATACGACTTTTATACTACACACGTCTTGACCTATTGCGCCGGATTCTACAACGACAACGGCGAAAGAAACACCACTATATGCACAAAGACCACCTTGCCTTTCAGCTTCGATCTCGCAGCCGCATTATTGAATGATCTTGGCCTGAGTCCCGGCGACGGGCAACAGGCTATTGATTGGCCCTTTGCTGTCATTTCGGATTTTATCTGGATCTCGTCGCTTTCAAAGGCAGTCTCCGTTCTTTCTGTATTGAACATTGTCATTATGGGTATTGGTCTTCTGATCGATGGACTCCTCTTTTCACCGGGGAACAATGGCGACTTGTATACAGGGCTCAGCCGAAGTTTCTCCATGGTAGGATTTCTTCCACTTAGATTGACAGGTCATCTAACAAACCATTTTTAGCTGAGCCTTCTGATCATGGTCATCACGGCTGCTATATCAACCTTCATTATCGACGGTTTTGTGGACTTACTCAACCTGCACGGAGTTCTATACGACATAACGGCGGGKGGKGGCCAATTGTTCCTGGCTCTGGCATGGATATCCGTGGCGCTTTGTCTGTTACGCAATCTGCCATTCTTGGCTATGTGGCGGATTTGTCTCGTCAGTAGTCCAAGGAAAGTGTTCGAGGATGATGAAGGAATCAGACTGCTAGATACTTAGTGGTTACTTGGTTATAGGCCTCTGGATTGCCTTGCTCAGAAATGTCGAAAAGCGTGTTAGGAATAATGTGGATGAATGGCGATACTCGAATCCAGGGGAACATGGTGGGTAATTATGGTCTAATGTATTTATTGGGGATAGCACTGGAAGTGAGCGCCCATGCTACGGATATGAGTTTTAACGATCAAGGCGTGAATCACTGTTAGTACTTTTAAGAATTAGATATATAAAACGACATTCAATATTGCAGCAAGAAAGCTGCCAATAGCCAATTGATCATTTGTTTTTATTCGATAAGCATACCCAGTGGTGCCGGTCGGTGATTGCGCAAGCGCAAGAGAAGTAATTGCAGGTATAGTAGTCGCCGTCCTTATTGCAGTTGGTATGGACACCGACGTACCGGCAGAGGGACCAGATGTGATGGTGACTGGGACTACCATCGAAGACGCGTCAGTAAAGGTCTTGGTCGAGATGCCGGTGTTGTGACCAGCTCCTGATCCCCTGATCGTGGTCGTACAGGTCGCCGTAGCTGTATTTTCGAGGTCACAGGACACTAAAGCCGAAATACTATCACGAAGCCCACGGTCAGCAACCTATCCATAACAGTGGGTAAAATCAAAATTCCCATACTCATGGCCAGCGTCAATGATATTGAAAGCAGCAGTGTGAGGGCCCTCAATTGCTGTCATTGCTCCATTGATACCACATTCATCGGCATCAATACTAGAGGGGCAAATTATAGAATAGGTTGTAGTTGATGCGCTCTGTAAATATCTCCGCGTTAGCTTCCAAATATCTTGTCGTAATCCAGATTGCAATCGCGCGTACGCTGTCTATCACCGATCCAACAAGTGCCTGCGACATGATTCCAGGTAAGAACAAGCTGGTCACGGATTGCGCAATGGCACAACCAACAATGGCAGCATATATGAGTACTATCGTAAACATATTGATGGCATGATTTGATTGTAGGCCCCTGAACATGAGGTTTGTTATTTTGCAAGGTCGAGCATCATTCTGGAGCGAGGTGATTTCAGCGGTTTTGTAGGGGCGCGACACTTTTTTCAGATCATCTTGAAGGTATTGACTTGATAGAGACAGCAGTCGGACTTTACCGGACTCCGGCAAACACCTTGCAGAAGCATGCAGCATCACCAGCGATGGCATGCTCGGAGTGTCTGTGCGGAGTATTTGTTAGTCATATCAAATCCCTCTGAATGTTCATAATAGCAGCCGTGGACGACGAGCGAGAAATGAATCGAGCACTGTACATGAACAGCAAGACAAATTGGCCCCAGAATAGCTTTTTCAACAATAACCAGGCTTATGTCGTGTAAAATCACACAGACAGTTGGATTAAGGCTTCGGAATCGCGTCCGGATGCGAAAAGGACAACTCGGCGATCTACTAAGGAGCACGTTACACAAAAGCTGAATGAGTAATCATAGACTCCAATAGCTAAATTTTCAATATTTACGAAAGTCTTTGACGTTGTTCGGAATCTGTTCATATGTCTGGTTTTCCATAAGCGGTTTGCTCTGAGCTGCTATGGCAGAAACGCTGCATTTCTCACACCAGCAAAAGCTCTTCGACCAGACGGCGCATTTCTAAAGGTCTGGTACTATATTCAACTCGCACTTTGATTATCCATGTGAATTTCGAAGTATTTATCTGATCGACTTCATAGTGTGTGCTATATTAAAAAGGATGTTTTAGCAAAGCCTGTTAGGTCTACACAGTCAGATAGATGACACCTCCTGTCAAGATTATAGGATATTAGTCAGCTAGTGTACATGCACGAAGATTACCCTCGTTCGTCCTCACCTATTACAGTAGCTGAGGCAATTAGGCCCATACTTTGGCACGGTGAATCTCTTGAAGACTGGGAGCCGCCGCCGCATTGCTTGGAATATAGAGCATGCCGCCTCCAAGGCCAACGCAAAGGCCTTTAAAAAAAAGCCTGATAATATTCAGTCGACAAGCTTATCATCATAAGCCCGAAAACCTCTAGTAGGCTACCACAAGCAAAACGGGGCGAAGATAGCCATAATTAAACAAAGGGCCTGTTATCAAGCCACTAAAAGGAAGGAGAAATGCGCAGACAGTCGATATCCAGGCTAGTTCAGAGTTGGACTTTTCGGGGAAAAGGACTTGCTCATAATACGTTTGGAATGAACCAAATGCTAGTAGAAGCCCCCTTTTAATTCAAAGATTGGCCGGTTTCGTAATAATGCGAGATAGTCTGGTCTAACTCACCAGGTATTCAAAAATAAAAAATCAAAAAACAACCACAACAACAAATGCGCTGAGGACCTGTATTCACTGTCTTCCCGTAAGGGGTTGCACATCTGACGCCGGCGACACGGATGACATGGTGATCAACAGAACTGCAGACTCATCCACTAACGGTGAAATCACAGTGTTGGTAGAGATTACTCCAGTTTTTTAAGACACATTCCTTTTATCCATTTGGTGAGAGCAAGAGAAAGCTTCAGAGGATATGGATGAGCGAGTATATCTATAGATCTTTATGTATAGTCAGAACCTGCGATGATACCGGAACACTTTTGTGATGCCGAGGATGGAAACGCCTGGACCTGTTGTAAATCAGGCGCTGTGCCCTACAGCGGACGAAAGCACAATTACATCGTAAAATACATATAGTGTTGTATGGTATGGTATGTTATAGTACACGTACCGTATACTCTCCGATGCATTACCGGACCGACCATTCTAGGCAAGGGTATCCCCATTTCTTCGTCTCATTGTGTTGCATTTTTTACCCCTCTATACAGTACGCATATACATAGCTATCATTTTTGGACCATATATCGATCCGTGACAGTCTCATTATGAACGTGATACCGGCGTTGCCGAGTGCCTTTCCTTTTTAACAAGAGCTCAGGGCCAGAAGCAAAAACTGATAACCTGGATAACCATATGCCTATCACCAACCACTTAGACTCACACACATGGCGTCAACCAAATATTTTGCTTCTCAGCCCGCTTTCCCAAATGACTTGCAGCCCATAGCCCAGATAGCGACAGTTTCTCTGCCCAGGTTGGTCGCGGGCGATGCGAGAGAGGCTGAGGCGATGCTTCAGGCTTGTCGCACACTGGGATTCTTTCTGCTAGATCTAACAGGTGATCCGATCGGAGAAACAATGATCGCTGAGGTTGATACTGTGTTTGATATTGTACGCCAGACTATGGAGTTGAGCATGGACGAGAAGAACAAGTTCGCCCATGATCCTCCTCGGGATTTCCGGGGGTGAGGATCGATATTCCCCTTGCATTCTAGAGGTAGGACTAATGATGAGATAGCTACAAAGCACAAGGCGTCATGAAAACCGAAACCGGCGCTCCAGATCGTTGTGAGTTTTACAATGTCTCGCAGGATGATCTGCTCGGTCAAAGCAGCGCACCACGAACCAATCCAGACCCTATTACTGCGCATATCCACCTCCTTCACTCATACCTAGAACATGGTCAGTTTGTTCTAACGCACATCTTACGAGCACTGGAAAGTCAGCTCGAATTACCGCCCGACACATTCCGAGACCTTCAGGCACCCAATCGCGCATCTGGAACCATTCTGCGCCTTATTCGATATGCGCCTAGTATTACCTCGGCGGATATGCGAACTGGTCTGCTCCCGCACACGGATTTTGGCAGCGTTACCTTGTTGGCGAATGTGCTTGGTGGGCTTCAAGTGCTACTACCGGATTCTGATTCCGAGGACGAGACCTCCTGGCAGTGGGTTCGACCTCAACCTGGTTGTCTGATTGTAAATATGGGCGATGCTATGGTCGAGTGGACGGGAGGCGTGCTGAGATCAAATATGCACCGCGTCAATTATGCTCCAGGTGACCAGCGCTACATTGACCGTTGTGCCATCGCCATGCTGGTGAGGCCATACAAAGAGGCTCCCATGAGTCGTCTACAAGGGGGCCGCATTCCAACGTTAGAAGATGATCAATATGAAGAGATCGAGATCACAGATGATAACACTAACTCCGTTGGAAATTTGACTGCGTACGAGTGGGAGCTCAAAAAAGCCATGAGTCTAAAGGAAGGAACTGATTGTGCTCGGAGCCGAGGCAGTAGACAACTTAAGCCCAAGCTGCTGGCAGTTTGATGCTGAGCGTACACATAATATTATATTGAAACAGTTAATATGTCCATGTAGTACTTCCATAGAGTCTTCCAAGGTTGATAGCCAACAGGCTAGCCATCTCTAGCATATCACACTGCAGCGACAAGCCTTACATGATCGATGAAGATACCATCTTTCGAAAATGTCTATTAATACATACATATGTAGGTATTCGATTCGGTAGCGGTGTAGGATGAATCAGTGGCAGAACTACCGAGGTTTGCGAGAACCTTGGGACCCTGGTCAGAATCAGACAAGACCAGAAATTAGGCATCCAGCTGTGGGGTTGGATTATATGAGTGACAAGGGTGGGCGTGGTATGTTCGGTTAGCTCCAACGTATAAACAAAGAAAAGGCTGCGGATACAGCGGCAACCTCAACAGACGACTCCATCCATCCCTCACCACCTGGGTAGCTAGCCAGCGAGCAGTGAAATCCTGTCAATTTGGGCATTCTATCAAGAATGGCTACCGTTGAGGACCAGAGAAGATTAGTCAAAAGTGTATGCCAGCGAATCCGCCAGATGCCATGGGAACCACTCGCCCAAAAACAACACAACTCGGCGCGCGACATTCCAGCGAGAGGAAATATCTGGATCAGTCGACTCAAATTTCCAGCACCTGCTAGCTCTAGTGTGCGCGATGCCTTATATCATGTCATCAATCATCTTAAAAGTGACTATCATAAGATCACTCCAGCAGACGAGACGCCTGTCTTGGATGTCGGGGTCGAGTTCATAGGAGAGCGCAAAGGCGTACCGTCAGATGCTCCCGAACCTGATATCTCGGACGAGGACAAATTACAAGCACTAGAGAAAGAATGTTCCAGTGATATGACGATCCTTTACATTCATGGAGGTGGCCTCTAGTAATGACTTACCTACCCGCCCAGAGATATTTAACCACAGAATACTTATACGTATATTCGCTGTCCTACAGCTTTAGCAGCCCAGCAGAGTTTCGAGCCGCATCTGTGAGACTGGCCAAAATGACCAAGGCTCGCGTCGCATCGATCAGGTACCGTTTGGCGCCAAAAAATTCGTTTCCTGCCCCAATACTCGACACCTTGGTTGCCTACGCCAATTTGATTCACCCGCCACCTGGCGCTACATGGTCTGCCGTGCCTGCAGATCGTATCGTGATCACGGGAAATAGTTCTGGTGCCAACCTCGGATTGGGTTTGATCAAGTTCCTGCTTGAGTGGCAAAAGCTATCAGGGCAGCCGGTTCCCAGTATTGCAGACTTCCATGGTCATGCAATTTCTTTGCCTCTTCCCGCAGGCATGGCTACAGTGAGCGGATGGTGCGATCAATGCGATGCTCTACCCTCGTGGCACAAGAATGGTGAATATGACATCTTGGAAGTTCTTCAGCCAGCATGCATGCCAGGTCATCCGGTCGATAGCATTTGGCCCACCAATCCACCGCGTGAGCACCCTTATTGTGCGGGGGTGACGCTCGATCATGAGCTGGTAAGTCCTGCAGCAGTACGGGACTGGACGGGAGCTCCGCCAATGTTTTTCTTATGCGGGAGTGAGGAGCGTGGGATTGACGGAAATCGAGTCGTTGGCAGCCAGGCGGCAAAATCCGGGGTAATAGTGATCTGGAATGAATATGAGGGCATGCCGCATGATTTTATTCTCATGATGGCCAAACTTCCACAGGCGAAACATGCAATGGCGCTTTGGGCGCGTGCGTGTATCGACTTGATCGCGTCGAAAAGGGAAACTCGGAACCTAGCAAGGCCTTCTGCGATAAAATGGTTGATGCCGGACTGCAAAAAGAAGGTTGATTTGGGTGACCCACGAGATATGTCGCCTTTACCGTTTGAAGAAGTACGAAGGAAGATGAGAGAATACAATGCAACGAGGCCGGTGTGGACGGGAAAGCTGGGAGAACCTCACCTGTAGGCTCTTTCAAGCTTTTAAGCAGAGAAAATCAACGTAGCACAAAAGAATATGGCGGTCTAGGAATAATGAGAGCTGAGTCGACGGTGTCGTTTTGGATCGGAGATCGTTTTATGATGCACTATATGATTGTGAGAGACGCAGAGTTGGAGGGATGATGAGACTACAGTTCAAGAACTTCATCTGCCCCGTTTGGATGATATCGGCTGCCCTCACGGGCCCCTTCAAGAAACCTCCGTTCCAAAGCGACTACAAGCGAAAAGCCACTTATTCCCTCAAACAGAGTCCGCTTATAGTGCTGTCTCTTTCTGTAACGCGAAATGCTGCATTAGTTTAATAATGGTGGTTCGTCAACAATACAGTATATATCGAAACTTCCCGATACGAACATTCGGCGATTTCAATCCATCCGACTCTTAAAAATGTGTACTCTGGACGTCAACGTTCCAAGGTCGTGTTTATCCCCTTTTGGAAGGTACCTAGGTAGGCACCAGCGAATGCTCCAGAATCGAGGTTGATTAGTCCACGTATCAGGACTAAGTGTAGGCAAGTTTAAAGTTCGAGTAATCCAAGAGCCTCTCGCACATGATCGCCCAAACCACAGAGTCTTTCCAGCTCCAGTCCAGTAGATGATAGCTTACAAATTATGACTCACATTGCATCGTATCTGATCCTCGTGGTAAGAAATTGAGTTCTAATATCAACCAAATCGCAGCTATCGGGGATAAGACAGCCAATAATGCGATCCCGAGTCGAGAATCGAGACGTCATGGGAAGTTCTGGCATTCCACGGATTTAAAGCGACGTCGACTAAGCTCCAACCATCGCATTCCAGGCGCTAGATCGTACCAATCAGCGCGCAATACATGTTCCGGAGGCGGAGACTTGGGTTTCGCCGAGTCTTGACCTATCTATTTTCCTACCTGGATAGGTAAGGGATATGCGCGGTTGCAGACTGGGATCGATGTACCACATGGTCGCGCGGTCGAGAAAAATAAACAGACATATAAGTCGAATAGCAGTCTTTGGCTTTATGCTTTTATAAGAAAAAATCATGATTTGACAGTTGAAGAAAAGATGACTATAGCTACCAACCAGTACGAGGCTTCCGGCAGTAGAGAGGGCTCGAGCACATCTACAGTAGCCGACAATCATGCAAATACACTTGACGACAAATACAACGGAAATATGCAGCAATCCCTAGAGAAGGAAAACGAGCAAAAAGATGATCTCGAAAAAGAATCTGGCAAAGATTCGACCGCGGATCAACAGGCCGACCCCGAATACCCTGGACTACTCAAAGCCGTTTTGATTGTCGTCTCGCTCTTCATTACAGTTTTCTTAGTGGCACTAGATCAGACCATTATTGGAACAGCCATCCCCAAAATCACTGATCAGTTTCATTCGGTCCAAGATGTTGGATGGTACGGCAGCGCGTACTTTTTGACGTCTACAGCACTGCAACCGACATATGGCCGTATATACAAAATTCTGAATGTAAGGTGGATTCCTGTATGTCTGTTGAAATATCATTTGTACTCACAGTGATCGTCAGGTAAAATGGGCTTTCCTAGCCGCCATTTTTGTTTTCGAGCTTGGCTCCCTGATATGTGGTGTCGCTCCCAACAGCTCAACTCTGATCGGTGGTAGGGCTATAGCTGGGTGTGGTGTTGCCGGAATCTTCTCTGGAGCATTGATCATTCTCAGTTTCTCTAGTATGTAAACTCGTGTCCAAATAGAACATTCTGTTTACTAATATTGGCTTTCCAAGTTCCCCTTCGGCAACGACCGATGGTATTCGGTCTTTTTGGTGCAGTTTGGGGCGTGGCATCTGTTGTTGGACCCCTACTGGGCGGAGCATTTACTGATCATATTACATGGAGGTGGTGCTTTTACATCAAGTAGGGTCTACCTTATATTCGACAAGTCTAGCTACTGACTTACCACAGTTTACCAATCGGAGGCGTTGCCGCGGTCATTGTCATATTGATCCTTCACCTTCCTGCCAAAAAGAATGACAATAATCAAACTTGGTCACAGAAAATAGTGGAGCTTGATCTCATCGGCGCAGCACTCATCATTCCCGCCGTTGTCTGTCTCTTGCTAGCGCTTCAATGGGGTGGTAACAAATATGCATGGAACAACTCGCGAATAATCGGGCTCTTCATTGGATTTGGTTTGATCGCAATCTTATTTATAATCTCCCAATGGAGGCTTGGCGATCGAGCGACATTACCACCTAGGATTCTCCGAAAGCGGACTGTGTGGTCAGTGTCGGTCTTTGCGGTCTGCTTCGGAGGGGCATTCTTTCTCTTCATGTACTATCTACCAATATACTTCCAATCGGTCAAGAACCACTCGGCCACCAAATCAGGCATCGACTTGCTGCCTATCCTGCTTGCTACGGTGATATCGTCCGTGTTCTTCGGCGGTCTAATCACCGCCGTGGGCTATTACACGCCATTCTTAATACTCAGCACCGCACTTTTCTGTATCGGAAGTGGACTTTTGACGACATACAGTACAAACATATCCACGGCGAGATGGATTGGATATCAAATTCTTGCTGGAAGCGGTGTCGGGGCAGGATTTCAAGTTCCCATGACTGCTGTGCAAACAATCTTATCTCAGGAAGATATACCTATTGGATCTGCAACAGTGATGTTCTTTCAGAATTTGGGGGGTGCTTTGTTCATTTCGGTCGGCCAGTCTGTTTTCCAAAATGGCATTACTAGCTATATGCAATCGCACGTTAAGGATATTGAGCCTAGTGTGATCATTGATGCAGGAGCAACCGCGCTAAGAGAAGTCCTTTCTCAAATGGGAAAACTCAACGAGTTGCCGGCTGTTGTCGAGGCTTATATGACGGGCTTAGTGAATGCTTATCGGGTCAGTCTGGCTTTGACATGCCTTGCGTTCGTTGCCACTCTTTTTGTGGAGTGGAAGAGCGTGAAGGGAAACAAAAAAGAGGGAGCTGAGCCAGCGATGGCTGTTTAGTTATCTTAATCTTTGTCGGATATATTTCTCATCTCACTACCCAGGAAGTTCCAGCTCGTTTGGGGATAAATTGGTCTACGGTGTTCTCAGGCTAGATGCGGGTGCAAATTTATTTTCCACATTGCTTGACTAATCTCTTCTCTTGTACAATAAACAGCTTTATCATATTTTATAGATCAAATTTCCCGTATGACCTGAGTTGCCTCGCCGTTCTTCCATTTTTCATCGTACTCAATCGATTGCTCTGCATCTTCGACAGGAGCCCTTCTTGTCGGAAACTTCTTAGAAAACCAGAGAATAACAGGAATACCAATCAAGTATACACCCCATAAGGCAGCATTGACTTTGTATCCAGACTTGTAGTACGGGGCCTCGTTTGCCGGATAGGCATACAACGGTACCCAGGCATTGAAGGTGTATCCCATAGTGTTTAGCCATCCGAGCAAGATTGCTCTTTCTTCAGCACTATCTCCACAAACTTCGTTGCCCCAGGCGAAGAGCAATGCACCCGTTCCCACAGGTGCGAAGGTCAAGTACCAGGCAAAGTATTTTGCACCGAAGGGCAAGTCCCAGACGGCTAGGAGAGTTCCTCCGATCAAGCCAATTGTGGCACCAGCCATGATGACCGGCCATCGAACGCCGAGAGCATCGGAAGTGATGGCGTATACTAGCGCCATGACTATTTCAATTGCATAGCCGCCGGAGGGGATGACGTTGATTTTGGCTACTGAGTAGATCTCGAGAGACTTCAGCCAGAGGTTCATGTATGATGCAATGTGGAGTGCGAGGACATATGACCTACATCCTTGTCAGTTATTGCGAAGATACATTGTACAAGGGGTATGTTCAACTTACACGTATGGAACAACGAACACGTAGACAGGCCAATGACTCAGGACAGACTTGATTTTACCCCAAGAAATTCCCTTGGGCTCAGCTCTTCCAGCGCGAGCCATGCGCGCTACGGCGGTTTTCTTGTCGACGTCTTTCAGATAGAAAGCTCTCGAATTCGACGGCGCATCAGGAATCAACCAGTACCCACAGACCGCAATAGGTATCGAAATGATGCCGTCAAAAATGAACAGCCATCTCCATCCTTTCAGTCCCGCCGTGCCGTTCATTCCATTGTAGATACCGGCTTGCAAAAATCCACTGAACATCTGCGCAGCGGCCGAGCTCTGTTGGAAAATCACAGATCGTTTACCCAATTCTTGAGGCGTATACCAATTGCCGAGCAGGGTCATCATGCCTGGATAGGCGGAGGCTTCACAAATTCCGACTAGAAATCTAATGGCGTAGATTGTCTTTGCGTTTGGAGCGGCGGCCATGCACATCACCAAACCGCCCCAGATGAGTTCCAGAGTTGGCAGCCATCGAGAAGGGCGAATGCGCATTTGGATGAATTGGGATGGGAGTGTGCCGATGATGTATCCTTCTCCTTAGTTAGCCACAAAACTATTAAATCTGCCATGGAACTGAGCTTAGACACACCGATTGTCCAGAATGTTGTCATCCAATTCAACTGATTGCCGTACAACTTGAGATCGGTCTGCATACCACTGACATATGCATTGCTGATATTTGCTAGAAATTAATCACATCAGCACAATATTCTCTCCGTCGTCGCGACTCCAGGAACAAACAGGCAACTTACTGGAATCCAGGTACATGACAAAATAATAAAAGCATGCCCATATCAGATAGAAAGAGTCCAGTCTTCGAACAAGACGGTGCTCTTCCGGTGGTTTATCGTCCAGCGAATCCCACAGAATACCTAGTATTCTCTTGCCAAAGGAGACTTTCTTCTTTGGCAAGGCATTTTGTGCGATATTCTCATCTCGGTCGACGTTGGTCGAGTTGTCCGGGGATGTAGTCAAACTCATCTTGACAAACTGATGAGGAGTGTTGATGAAGAATAATTTGGGATTGGGATTAGAGACCCGCGGTGAACTACATTTATCAATTATATACCATGCGACTAAAATTCCAGTGCGCAACTAAAATAGCCTGTTTTTGATGCTATACCTAATGGCAGGTAGCCTAGATCACGAAATTTGGCACTACTTTAGCCCACACATAGACCACCAAACTGCCGGTGTCTAAAGCAAAATGGCGTGATCTCTTGACAAACCCACATAAGAAGCTTTCCCATGCTAAGCAGACGGAAGGACGAGCCGAATATTATTAGTCCATTTCAAAAGACCCAGAAGCTACGAGTGGGAAAATGCTTAAAAACTCATGAAAAAAAAAAATCAAATCAAGGCTGATGGCGTGATAGAGGAGGGGCTATTCGTTATCTCGAGTATCTTGAAGAGGGGAAATTTTTTATCTTGAGATGAATCTCCAAATGGGGCAAGAATCTCCTTATTAGGAAACTTTTCGACATACTCCGCTACAAGAATTTGTAGAGATGTCCTCATTGGAGCGCAAGCCTTTGTCAGTCTCCGACGAGTCCAATAAAATAACATTTGGTCCTGAGGAATGGGAGTGAGTGCTTATCGGGTCGGAGCTGCTCCGACACGAAACACCTGATTAGGACGACATCGGCCGTCTGCTGTAATTGCCGATTTCAAGTGTACTAGCAGTCTAGCACCAAGGAAAGAGGCTCCTGGACTTCGTTGGCGGACTCAAACTAGACGCATGTTCTATTACAAGCATCAAAAACCACGTTTGTGACCCGTCGAAGCGGCACACACCGCGGACTTTTCTCCGAAAACGCGTTAACCTCTGCTAAAGCTTTATTCCGGCTGTAAGCTCCACGAGTAAAACCGCGTCTTTGACTTCGTTATTGTTGGGTTTAGTAGTAGGCTATAAACTGGCCGGGAAAGGAAAGTCAAGCAGACTTTATAGATTCGTTTCTGAGCTCGACATTGGTGCGGAAGTATACATGCACACTACCGTATACACTAGCGGATGAGTCGGCTCATATTCGGCTTTGATGGTGAAACAGAAGCTTCAAAATTCAAATTATACTTGGGCTTTGTCTTCAGCAGTCACACGATAATTTGGTCATTGTCAGCCGGTCATGACGGACAATATGGCGAAGGTTAACGGCGAGAACATCAAGGGCATTCGAATATCAATAGGTAACTCTAACCGTACGTACGTTTGGAAAAGGAATCTCTAGCTCACTCAAGTCTAGATCGAGGTGGCACATTCTGCGATGTTATTGCTCAAATCCCTGGTCGCGCAGACCTCGTTTTCAAGCTGTTGTCTGTAGATCCTCAGAACTATCGTGATGCGCCGACGGAGGCCATTCGACGGGTTCTACAGGCCGTGCAAGGGGCGGAGATAGCCCCGGGAGAAAAATTGAATGCATCTGCTGTTGGTATGTATCTATTACACCACTCGTTAGAACCACGAGCATATATCCTGACAGTATACCAGAGTCATGTCGAATCGGAACAACCATCGCCACAAACGCGCTTCTCGAGCACAAGGGGAAACGTTTTGCTCTTCTCACAACCAAAGGTGAAAAGTCCTGCCAACATACACCAGATTTACTGAATCAACTAACGTTCAATAGGCTTTAAAGACTTGAGCGAAATAGGTGATGGCTCTCGCCCAAAACTATTCGACCTGAACATCCGCAAACCAAAAGTATTATTCGATCAAGTTGTAGAAATCGATGAACGAGTGACAATAGAGAACTACGAACTAGATCCATTCCCACAGCCGGAATTAGACGAAACAGATTCAGCGCTCGTGAAGACCAGTAGTGGCGAAGTCATTCGTGTCTTGCAGCCGGTGAATGTTGAGGCTGTTCGTGGCCAGATACAGAAGCTTCGTGATGAAGGGTTTACGTCCCTTGCCGTGTGTTTTATGCACTCGCATATCTTTTCTGGTAAGCATCGACTCCATGAGTGACTTTAAGGATATGTTCTAACGTTATTCAGACCACGAAAAGCTGGTAGGCGACATCGCCGCCGAAGAAGGCTTCGAGTCCATCTCACTTTCTTCCGAAATCAGCCCGCGGATCAAAATGCTTCAACGCACGACAGCAGTCTGCACTGACGCATATCTATCTCCTATCGTTCATACATATGTCGAAGACTTTCTGAGCGGATTTGAAGTGCCTCCTCAGAGAGTGGAGTTTATGTCCTCGGATGGCGGATTGCGTCCTGCACAGAAGTACACCGGAAATGCGGCTTTGCTTAGTGGTCCCGCTGGAGGAGTTGTTGGTGTCGCTAGGTCGTGCTATGATTTCGAGGATCCAAAGGCTTTGATCGGGTTTGATATGGTAAGACATAAAATCTATCATTAAGTTTTTCTGGTTTCAGAAGTTGACTTGATTAGGGCGGCACGAGTACGGATGTCTGTCGCTATGATGGAAAATTCGACCATATCAGCGACACTACCATTTCTGACCGCAAGGTATACACGCCAATGCTGAATCTGAATACCGTCGCAGCAGGTGGAGGATCGAAACTGTTTGTCCGAAATGGCCTGTTGGTAGTCGGTCCTGAGGTATTATTTCATATAACCACGAATAAAGTACCAAACTGACAGCGAAATCAGAGTGCCGGTGCACATCCAGGACCTGCATGCTACAGAAAAGGCGGACCACTCACAATAACAGATGCCAACCTCTTCCTTGGCCGATTAGTTGTATCATCTTTTCCAGCAATCTTTGGCGAAAATGCGAACGAGCCATTGGATACCGACGTGGTGGCAGCAAAGTTCGAAGAATTAACAAAAGAGGTCAATGCAGAGTCTTCTATCGAGTTCACCCCGGAACAAGTTGCGTTGGGCTTCGTGAAAGTAGCGAATGAGGCCATGACGAGACCGATCAGAAACACGACTGAGGCCAGAGGGTTTGCAACCTTTGATCATAATCTCGTCAGTTTTGGAGGTGCTGGAGGACGTATGTATTTTCTGGAAACCTGTGAAGGGACATGCTGACAAAGACAGAGCACGCATGTGCGATTGCTTCAAATCTCGGTATTCGTCGGATTTTGATCCATCGGTTCTCGTCGTTATTGTCAGCTTATGGAATCAGTTTGGCTGAAATCACCTCCGAAGCAAGCGAATCTCTGTCCCTCACATTATCAGCTGAAAACATGCCTCAAATCGAATCACGAGAGCAGGCCATCAAGTCCAAACTTGAAAAGGAGCTACGCAGTCAGGACATTATCGGCGATACCATCGACTATGAGGTCTTTCTGAATCTGCAATACAAAGGGATGGATACCAGTCTAAGCGTCGAAAAGCCGACAGATGGCAGTCAGTACAGCTCAAAATTTACCAGCATGCATCTTCGGGAATTCGCATTTACGACCAATCGTGAGATTATGGTCGATAGTATCCGGGTGAGAGCGACAGCAAAAAATATCAATCAAAAGGAAAGTCTGTCGGTCTCGGGGGAATTGGCGGCTGCAAAGAATTCTGCTACTGTACCGCAATCCAAAAAAAGACAAAGAGTTTTCATCAATGATCAGTGGATATCAACACCAATCTATGATCTGGAAGATATGACCATCGGCTCACAGATTACCGGCCCGGCGATAATAACAGACCAGACACAGACCATCCTGGTTGAACCGGACTATGAATGCCATCTAACAAGCCGCCACCTCATCATTGACAAGGTCGATAATGAACAAGAATCTTCATCGTCACAACTCAGCACTGAAACAATCAATCCGGTCCAGCTCTCCTGCTTCGCGAATCGCTTCATGTCTATCGCCGAACAAATGGGCAACACTCTCCAACGCACCTCGATCAGCACAAGTATCAAGGAACGGCTCGACTTTTCATGCGCTATATTCTCACCCGATGGCGGATTGGTAGCTAATGCGCCGCACATCCCCATTCACCTGGGCAGTATGCAATTCGCAATTCAATATCAGCATCGATTATGGGGCGACAAGCTTAAACCTGGTGACGTGCTTCTCACAAATCACCCTGAAGCCGGCGGAACGCATTTGCCTGATTTGACCGTTGTCACGCCGGCATTTTATGACAATCAGTTGATATTTTATGTTGCATCGCGCGGGCATCATACTGATATTGGAGGAATCGGAATCACGAGTATGATCCCGGACTCCAAAGAGCTATGGCAAGAAGGCATGGCCGTGAAATCTATGAAGATCGTCAGCGAGGGCGTCTTTCTCGAGGATGAAGTGAGAGAGCTGTTCAACAAGGTTGCTGAATACCCCGGTTGCAGCGCCACGCGGCGACTGAACGATAACATCTCGGATATCAAAGCCAAGATCTCGGCTAATCAACGCGGTATCTTACTCATCAAGCGTCTTTGCGAAGAGTTTACGTTACCTGTTGTTCATCTATACATGGGCGGTATACAGCGGAACGCCGAGTTGGCTATCAAGAAACTGTTCCGCGAATTGTATCAGAAGACCGGCGGAAAACCGCTCAAGGCCATCGACTGGTTCGATGATGGCACCCCCGTTCAAGTTGAGATTACTATTGACGGTGAACGCGAGACTGCAGTATTTGATTTCGCAGGCACCGGTCCTCAGACATACGGAAACATGAACATGCCAGTATCCATTACACACTCTGCGATCATCTACGTCCTCCGTTGCATGGTCGATATGGACATTCCACTAAACCAGGGATGTTTGTATCCCTGCGAAATCCGAATTCCCGAAGGTACGATTTTGAACCCTTCATCAACTGTTGCCATCTGCGGCTCGACAATTTCCAGCCAGCGGGTCACGGATGTTATATTACAAGCCTTTGGCGCCGCGGCGGGTAGTCAGGGTTGCGCAAACAGTCTTGGTTGGGGAATGGGTGGTAAGGATCCCCTGACGGGCGTTGTGACTCCTGGGTGGAATTATGGTGAAACCGTGGGAGGCGGAAGCGGTGCAGGGCCGACGTGGCACGGAACGCATGGAGTAAACGTGCATTCGACGAATACAAAGGCCACAGATCCGGAAGTCATCGAAAAACGGACGCCGGTGATTGTGCGTCGGGATTTTATCAACCATGGTACTGGAGGAAGGGGGCAGTATAATGGCGGAGATGGAATGACTCGAGAAATCGAGGCCCGCATTCCGATGAAGTTTAGTATATTGTCGGAGCGTAGAGTTTATAGTCCATATGGTCTCGAAGGGGGTGAACCAGGGAGTGTCGGAGTGAACTACATATTCAAGAAGAATGAAGGAGCGCAGCTGGAGAAAATCAATATTGGCGCAAAGGCGGTGGTGCGGTTGAATGCTGGTGACTATATTCAGATCAATTCACCTGGTGAGTGCCCTTTGATAGTTCGTCTGTATTCCTGGTCGGTTGCTAATAATAGCTTAGGTGGCGGTGGATGGGGGAAGCCCATTGAGACTCGAGATGAGAGTGTTGTTAACGGTTTTCGCCCGGTTCCTGTGTCGAAGGTATATTGATTGTTATCTAGCTGTGAAGCCGACGATGTGAGTAACGTTAGACATTCAACTATGAGACATCAGTCATTCAACGTATGTATTAAATATTACTCTATATACCACAACGCCTCCAGCCAATAAATCCGCTCAATCTTCCAAATGACCCAAACAGTCACTCACAAAACGCCATATTATACACTCATTCCGCTGCTTGGTCTTGCAGGGGCATCGTCAAGAATCCCGCTAGCAAGGCAGCACAACCTCCAAATGTCATAACCCAGGCCACGCTATTGTCGAATGGCTCACCACGTGGTTTCTGCAACGCTTTGAAAATGACGCTGCTGAGGAGACTCGACACCATTTGAGGGAACGAGATGAAAACGTTATGTAAACCAAGAACAACACCAGCTTCGCCAATGCCATTCATATCGTCTTTGTCGTATGGTCGACTTGGTCGGCGGATACCCTCTTCTATGCTATCTCGCGATGTCGTCGACCTACTGTTATGCTGTGCAAGCTCTGTCGCAATAAATGCGTATGGTGCCCAAGATGTGACCATCCAAGGAATTCCCATAATGGCCGTCATGATTGCTGCTGTTCCAGGCGACGATATGAAAACTGTACTGAACATGCAGCCCGCGAAGAGGAAGTGTGATAGTAGCCATAGTCGTCGAAGCGTAAGGCCTTGTACCCGAAGCTTCCCGAGAACGCGTAGCGAGGACTGCAAAAATGTACCATAGCTTGAAGTTGGGAGCGACTCTAAAGAACTGTCATTTGTTAAAGCTTCGAGCGCTTTCTGTGGTGGTGCTACAACCAGCAGTGGAAGTACCAGGCTGCCCACAAAGGCGACGACGGCGTTCAAGAAGTAGGCAGACGTCGCAATACGAGTAGCATCCGCCCATGTCTTGTTTATTTCGCCATTGGATAGACCAGGATGCTTGTCGAAAATAGGATTCACATATAATTGCCCAATATATGTGGTAATGTAGAACAAAAATGGAAACCATCCAAACCAGGACGTGAATTGAATCGCAAAAACCTTCTTTACTTGAGGCGGCAGATGGCGCGCAGACTTCCAGATCATACCGAATGAGTTCAGAGTGTTCAACTTCGTTGCGGTTCTGGGCCGGTCGTAGGTCCGGTCTTCCTTGATGAAGACGCAAGATACCAACAAGCTACCAATTAGGCAGAAGCTTCCTATCACAGAAATCACCTGGAATTGTGTTCTGCCTAGAATAGGGAAAATCACGGGTAAATTCATGTAGCCAAAAGCATAAGTTAAAATACTCGCGGCTTCGCTGACACGACTCGCCCAGGCATTCGCGGATTTTTGTTGGTGCCACGGGGCATTGTCGACAATATATGCCCGCATGGCTGCTTGAGCTGTAGAGGGTTAGAATGGCTCAGTCAAAAGTGGTCGCATCGGGAAAGCAATTACCAGTGTTAATACCAAAGTCATGGCAATACATTAGAGTGATCGCACCAATAATTGATGCTGATTTCACCGCGTCCGATTTCTGGTCGGCGCCAAATAGCGAAAATACGCTGCCGGTCAACTCTCGTACCCAAGCCAAAGCGAGGAGGCATACTACGGTCGTTGCCCCGCCAATTGCGATGAATGGTTTCCGTCTACCCCAGCGACTGCGACAGTTATCACTGCGTATGCCGATGTAGGGTTGTACGACAGTTCCTGTGAGCGGTCCAGCTACCCATACCCAGGCGAGCAAAGCTTTACTCATCCCCAGCGATAAAAGGTAGGGCTTGTCGCGACATTTTAATTAGATTGGAGACAGCGTGGGCTTGGCGTACGGTGACATACAGATCCGTTGGCATGTTGGACAGACCAAATCACCTGGAGCCTGCTTCTGTCAGTGCATCCAGGATAGCTAGCTCAGGGATATTTACTCACCCTCCCATACCAAACGTCAATATAAACAAATACCAAATGCTTTTGGACACTTGACCGGGGTCATTGCGATCACTAATCACAGAGGCGGTTTCGTTTCCCCATTCTTCCGCAATTAATGGCTCSGCCTCATAGCCCAGCTCCGCCGTTGTATCGGGTGCGACAGGGGGTGTTCGCCGCACCCTGACGTCGGCGTCGAGCATTGGATACGTGATGTTATGAGTAGCGATGCTGCATTAAGGGTAGTAGCAGATGGCGTGATGAATGTCCCTGGTCCAAATACAACCGATCCGTGGCTGATATTTCGCCTGGGGATGAAGTGCTGTTGTAATCGGGAGAAGCAAACATTGGCAGGGGATACACTATTAAGGGCAGCGCGATCCCCGAGGAAGTCGCGATCGGGGTGGGTCGCTCTTTCCGTTCGGGGCACGCCCATTCTCACCGTCCCTCCGAATGCTCGGGACTTCCCCTCCATGTTTTCATTCAGAGAACCTAACAATGCATTCCCCTGTCGCTCATCCATATTGGTATTCTTATCCTATTCTTACAACCCCATTCAGGTGACGACAGAGACGCGCAATCCTTCCTTTTATTTTCCAGACTATCAGTTGCTCTAGCTGTGTTGTCAGTGTCTGTGTCTGTGCTTTGCAATGTCAGCCCCCCGCGCGCCAGATGGCACCAAAGGTATGCAAGATCCCTGCAAGACCGATCTCAACTTCAATCCCCGATGCTCGACTAATACACGATACTTTGTCTAGTGTGGACAACTCTTATCACGAATACCGCATACCTGTCTGGTTTGTTGACTCTCGAGTACTCCCTCCGAAAGGTCGGCTCAAAGTACCCCCTCGTCGCTTTGTACACAGACACTTTCCCCGAAGAAGGCCATGCGGCTCTCGACGCTCGGGGTATTCTGAAGAAGCACGTCCCGTATCTTCTTCCATCGATTCCTAAGGACTATACAAACGATACGCGCTTCTACGACTGCTGGAGCAAGCTCACGCCGTTTTCGCTAGTCGAATATGACCGGGTGGTGCAGCTCGATAGTGATATGTTGGTCCTCAAGAATATGGATGAGTTGATGGAATTGGAATTGGATGCGCCGGAGCTGGCGGGCACAGGAAATAAGGTCTTTGCTGCTAGCCACGCCTGCGTGTGTAATCCGCTTAAGAAACCTCACTATCCAAAAGACTGGTATGACTGGACTGTCTTACGCACTGAATATGGTAGCTAACGAGATGGTTCATTAAAAGGATCCCTGAAAACTGCGGATACACCTCGCAACACGAAACTCCTGAAATCGCGCAGACAGAGGGTGCATCGGCCGCATTCGGACTAGGTATACCCAATGGAGGTCTCCAAGTAGTCAACCCGTCCAAAGGCACCTACGATAAGATCGTCGCTCAATTAGGAAGTGCTGCAACTTCCGATTACGAGTTTGCCGATCAATCGCTGCTTTCTGATGTGTTTTACGGCCGATGGATTGCGCTCCCATACATATATAATGCCTTGAAGACATTGCGGCGAAAAGGTGTTCATGATGCTATCTGGCGGGACGAAAGTGTCAAGAATGTGCACTATATCCTCAGCCCTAAGCCGTGGGACGATGTGGATGAAAAAGACCCATCGAAGCCGGGATATGACGCCTCGCATGAGTGGTGGAGGGCTTTGAATAATGAAAGATTGGAAGATGAAAAGCAACGAGGTGTAAATGACCAATTTTGAAGCGCTCGGCATGAGTCACTTTACACATTGGATCGGTATTTACACCTACGACTCGGTTGCCATTGATGCTTAAGGAAAGGGTACGATGCGGACTACTAGTCGCTCGCATCTTGATATTTGGGAAGAAAGGGACGAGAAAGCAGTTCTCTTGTTCTTGCGGATTTAGGAAAGCCGCAGTTTATGGGTCTCGCGCTGTCATATCTTGTCCATCTCCTACAGGAACTCGGATAAGAACCTCTAATATTACCATCTATAAAGAATATACACCCAATTCGACGATTGGATAACATATCATGAGGCCAAATTTGGCAAAGATCTTGGTTGTCTGTATTGATTCAATTGATATTGGGTTGAGACGAAAAGAATTTGACGTCAATAATCGAATTGGTTAAAATATATACGATCTAGGTACCTGTCTAGGCGGACTAATGGAATAATCCAATACTGGTACAGTCTTGGGGATTTCAGTATTTACCGACACTACTATTCAACTCCAGCTCAGGTTCCTTTATCGTAAGCCTACACTCCGTCTCCAAATCTGTAAAAGTGTGTCCAACGCTGTATATAGTGTCAGCTACGGATATCCAACCACTAAGATCAAGTGTCTCACCTCGTCATATGGCTTGGATTGATCAACAAATCTCAAGTCAGTGGCTAGTCTTATGACATTATCAGGGTCGTTATTCACGGTGGACGCATGAATCTATCATCTCAAGTCAGACCATCGTACCTTTAGTTCAAGAAACATCATTATACACGTACAGCATGCGGCTTGTGCAAAACCACATCCCCAGCTTCATAAGCCGACACCAGCCAGCGCCGATTGTACTGACGCGCGAATTCAAGGGGGTATTCAGACAGCAAGCCCGTCGACATCATGTTTTGATTGAATGCATTCCTGGCTTCTTCTTCGGTCATGCCTGCTTCTTGAGCTTTTTTGGTGAATTCTGCTTCGATCTGGGCCCCCACTTCGTCGCCTATATTTACTTAGTGATCAGTTACTAAGGGTATATAGCCCGTGGGCGGAGGGTAATACTTACCATCTTCGAGATATATCAATCCACCCCCGGACAAACTCACGTCCCCAATCGGCACCCAAGCCGTCACACTAGTCGGCTCCCCATACCTCAAAAAGATCTGATCGTAATGCACACCAATTGGCTTCGTGCCTGGGACATTATTCCTCAACAAAGTCCGATTGAGTCCCAAGGTATTCTCCTTCCAGCCCGTAAACTTGGCCACAAAGTCGAGTAGAGCAGGGTGTTTAGCTAGATCCTTTGTGTACCAGTCCTGGTAGTGAGCTTCGATGGCTAGATCGACGAATCTCTGGGCACCTTCGCCGCCTGGGCGGCCGTTTTGTCCTGTTGCGCCGGCGCCGATGCCGGGGAAGTCGTCGGGGGAACGGGCCGAATTGAAGATTCCTTGGACTGGCTGGGTAGTTGGCTGCAGGACACCGGAAGGGGACATCATTTCAAAGTACTTTGTGCGTGTGCGCAGGACATCGGCGCGTGGGAGGAGGCCTTTGAGGAGGAGCATGCCATCTTGTTCATAGCGGGCGCGAAGGGTTTCTATGGGTTCAGAGGGGTAGGAGGGTGTGAGATATGCGATGTTTTCGGGGAGGAGGCGGCCGTCGTTGACTTCAAGGCCGTTGTTTTGGGTTGGGATGCCAGGCATGTTTGCTCAAGTTCGGGGTGTATTAATTAGAAAAAGAGAGAGAATATAGTAAAGCCCGAACTCAATGGTGAGGTTATGCCCCGGAAGAGTACCACGCTGCCAGAGTGTGTGGGAGGACAAGAGTAACATTAAAATATCATTTTTCCGAACAATCCGTAGCTCCAATTTATATCAGTCCTGCGGGGATGGATGAGGGGAACTCCAGCTCAAACATTGGATTCCGAGCAGCCATTCAATCGCGTACTAGAACTTCTCCAAAACAGTCAATTGTAATCCAGGGCTGCTCATTTATGGAGACGTGTACGGATTCTAGATTCCGTTGCACCATGATCCATCCTATCGTAACAATCGCATACAATCAGCTGCTTTCAATGACTCGGGATGGTGGAGGAATCCATGTTCCACACCCGTCAGCTGTGGATGTAGAATCTACTGGCTGTGAGTCTGAATTGGAATGCTTGATACAATTTGATCTTGCCCTCATGTATTATGGAGCATTATTGAACCATGAGGAGCATCTTCAGACTCCACAAAGAGATATTTGAAGCCACACGGAAACAATCAGTCCGTTGGCACTGATAACCCCGAATTAGGGTTGAGTGAATAATAATGTGAGCTGCCAAATGCCAAAAATAAGCAAAATAGGTTCAAACAGAATGTTGAGTTGATGAACTATTGGTAGAACACAGAGACATGCCTTGAAAGACAGATAGCACAGTGTGTTGAGTGGACAAGAGAACAGCGATGTGATTGGCCGAGAGGATATACAAGGGTCTTCAGCTCCTCTGCAACCTCGGCTGCAACTCACTCGTGATTAATTTCCGACTCCTCATCGGTTCGCTCTTCTCATACACCATGTCGTGAGCTCTTATGTATAACTCCAGAGTTGTGTCGCGGCTGCCATGGCAAATGCAAAGGTCAACAAACAAATCACCTCCTTTGCGGATGCAACGCGGGTAACGCCCGTACCTGGCACGGACGACCAGTTCGAGGCGACTATCCACTGGGATTGGTGCGGCGGGTTGTTAGTATTCTTTTGACTATTGCAAGTCAAAAATAGCTAATTTGAATACTGGGATAGACATGCCCACGGCGGCTTCACGCTCAGTCTCATCTTCTCCACCGTCCGCACGTACTTCCTCCGCAAATACCCATCCACTCCACAACCAGACCCCATCAACAGCAACATTCACTTCATCCAGCCCGCTCCACGGGGTCGCGTCATCCTCACCGTCACGGAATTGAGTCACGCAAGACGCTACTCTACCGTCGAAGTCAAACTCCGCGATCCGGCTGGCACAATATGTACGTCCGCAACGGTTATACAGGGCAATCTGGCGACGGAAGATGGACCCTCCATGGCGGTTCCACCGGTGATGACGCACGATGAGATACCGGATAGGGAACGTTGCGACCAATGGTTCAGAAGTCCGTTGTTGGTCAAGCTCATGCCTGTGATTAGCAAGATGCGTGTGCTCAAGCGGAAAGAGGCCAAGACGCAGGTTTGGAGCCGGAAGGGTGCTGCAGGGTTGAATACCAAGGAGACCTGGGTGCGCTGGGAGGATCTGGATCAGAAATTGGATGTGATTAGTTTGGGGGTTGTGTGTGATAATGTACTCAGTTCCCAACCACTACGTTTGTTTCCCTGCTAACTTCTAGGTGGGGATACAGTTCCTCCCTGCCCCTCTCAATTTCGATCCTACGATGGCTGATCTCAGCAAATACGTCTTTCCTACGATGTGTATGTCCGTTGAGATTAAGAAGGACCCGAAAGACGCCGAGTGGCTATTCCTAGAGATCGTGTGCCACAAGATCCAGAATGGACGGTATGACACTGATGTGCGCGTGATGGATGAGAATGGTGATCTCGTAGCGTTGAGCAAACACGTTTCCGTCATGGCAGAAATGAAACGTACGAAAGCTAGTAAAATTACAGTTGGTGATGAATTTGCTAAACTGTGATATGATACCCAAATACACTCACTCATCTTCTCGAATCGTTGCCGGTTTACCAATGCAGATATCCAACGATACCCAGTATCACGCTCAATGTCTAATAATACCTCCACCCGGCAGCTGAACCCTCAATCCAGTCACCTTCTCAACATGCGTAGCAATTGCAGTAATCGAAGTGAAATAAACTGGCCCTCCATTCTTATGTCCCCCAAAAATCATGCCCATCACATTCGCCGTATTCCGTTCCAACACCAGCGATCCTGAATCCCCAACGCGAGCAAAGCAATCCGGGTCTGCAGCAGGGACGACGCACCATTCTCTCGTAATGCATCGCTTGCCATCGGCTTCGTAAGAGACGACATGACTCTGTATTGAATTGACGACGCCCACGGTAGTACCCGTGGCAGAACCCTGTTTGTAAACAACCGCCATTTTGCGAGGCTTGACTGCATGCAGGATTTGTCGCCAATCACGTTCGGTGCGGCTGAGATCTTTGACTTTGTTCCTGCGAATCTTGGGGATTAGAGTGGGATCAACCTCAATCAAGGCCCAATCTAGTCGATGGTTGTGTCGCGAGAAGCTGTAACCCGATGATGCGTAGACAGTCCCAAATATTTCATCGCGGATCAGGGACTTGATGGTATCGGCTTKGATTTTGTTTCGATGATATTTCAGGTTTTGTAGTTCGTGACGGGGGAACGTTTCTCTGTCGCTGCTATATTTGGATGTGAGGATTTCTGCCGCTAAATGAATGAGCTTCTTCTTGTTGGCATGAACTCTTTCCATGTTTGCGACAATGCTGGGGCTCACGCAGCACAAGGGAAATTGTGTTTGATCTTGAGCATCGCGAATATATGGCTCTAAGAGACAAAGATCAGATTGACTTATAAGACGATATCGAAACGTAGACCTACCGACGCAATCTGCCTTTGGCCGCAGCAGCTCCATGTCATCATCTCCTTCAACATAAGGCCGAACAACATGTTCACATGTAAGAATGCATTGCGCAACGACCTCGCCGTTCCTGTCAACTAGATCCACATAGCCACCACCAGTACCATTTGATCGAGGGTCGTGTTGAAGGCCAATACTGCATCCAAGATGGAGACGGTGTGGGTAAAAGAGCTCGATTCTGCCAATTCGTACTTCGACTGTGATACCATCTACATAATTTCAGATGAAGGATCAGCAAGGAAAAAAAGATCGAATACTCACCAACCAGCTCCCAATGAATCTCCTCCATGACTTCAAACAGATTCACGTGGTTCTCTGGCATATTCTTCAGCGTGATAACAATCGTATGACTATCATTCTCGAAAAGAGGATCATCACGCAGAATATGCTGTAGATATGCCAACAACCGCGGTCTACGCAGACAATCAACCGCATAGAATTCGAGATTGTGTCTTTCCAACAACGCAATGATCGAGTCTCCAATGTTATTTTGCTGCCATGATCGGGTTATGGGATGGGTTGGTTTTGCTGCGAGGAATTCTTTATCGGGGAAGGATCCTGGGGTCATGCGGATTGGGAGGGAGATACAGTCGCTAACTGTTCTTGTGGTGACCATCGAGGATCCGTAGCCTAGCATGGCGAGTTGGTGGTCCAAAAAAGTATTGGGAGAAGGGAATAATAACGCGAGAATGAAAAAAAGGAGATCTGGCGGGGTGTATGTTGAAAGGGATGGTTGAGAAGACAAAAACAGAAATGGGTGTTTATGAAAAGGTCTGAGGATTTACAGATTGACCAGTGAAAGCGTAGATGAGGTTAGCGTCAATATTCATATTATCATTTATACATCCCCTGATAATCTATACTACTAATAGTCACAAAGTGCGAATGACCGGTTCTGTACAATGTTAACTGCGCCAAACTCCAACCTATATGCCCATCCAAACAAACTTTTATCACCATCTCCTCACTATAGCCACACCCTCAACACATATCTACTCATCGCGCTTTCGCTTGAATCGATTGGCTTGCTTGGGCTGACTTCCATATGTTCGTCGTCCCTGAACCTTCTTATCTCTGCTCATGCTTGCGCCTAATGTGATATCGACGCGCGGCGGGGTTGAGAAGCCGAAGCTTTTGGCGATCTTGACGAGGTCGAGTTTATTGACGTCGAAGACGGAGCGAAGGGAGTGTGATGCATAGGCGTTAATGTAGGATCGGTAACCTTCTTTGGCGGACTTGTTGAGGTAGTAGTTTTGAGAGATAACTATAGAAATTAGCATGTATAAAACAAGAGCGAGGAGATAATTTACGTTTCTCAACTATAAGACAATCATGTTAGCATATAAATTCTACCTTAAAAGCGCAATTGGGAACTTACGTTGTGACTGAACGTTGATGATCTTCTTCTGAGGAAACTCGAATTCCACGACGGGTACTTTAGCTTCTTTGAGATGAGTCAAAAAGCCCATTTCAGACGGTTGCAAAAACATCAGACTGCGACCTTTGGCCTTGGCGCCACGTGCGGTACGACCGACACGGTGAATATAATCACGTGGGTCCTAAATCACATTAGTGTTTTGGAGGACGAGGTTGGGGTTAATCAAATGCCTACATCAGGAGGATCGTATTGGACAACATAGTCAATCTCAGGGATGTCGAGACCTCGAGCGGCAACATCGGTACAGATAAGGATACCTCTTTCGCTGTTGACAAATTCGAAGAATGTGGAAGTACGCTTTTGCTGTTTCTGCTTGCCGTGGATAGAAAGGACCTAAAGATGTCAGAATGGGTGTGCGTGGAAGTTGTAAAAGGCAATTACCGGAAGATCGATATAGTTCAGTAACTCAGACTATTGTTGAGTCAGCAATCATATCTCATCGATCATAATGGATGGGGAAAACTCACATAGTAGTTAACAGAATTACAGCTCGAAAGGAAAACAATAATCTTTTTCTTTAAATTCCTCTTAAGGAAAGAGAATAGAAGAAGGAATCGCTTATCGGGTTCGCACACAACGTAACCCTGCTCCAATCGGTCGACAGTCGCATTCTCCATCCGTGGAACAACATTGATGTATAGCGGACCGGGTTTCAACGAAATTCGGGCCAAGTCTTCGACCTTGGTAGTCTGTGTAGCCGAGAACAGAGATGTCTGTCGCTCTCCATTGCCGAGGATCTTCATGATTTGCTTCATTTCGTCTTCGAAACCGATTTCAAGAATACGATCTGCTTCACTATATGGAAGTTAGCGCGACTCAAGAGCACCAAGGCGAACAAGACTTACTCAATGACCAATTGGCGCAGGTTCTTGAAGACAAATCCTTTAGTGTTCTGCAAATGATCCAACAAACGTCCGGCTTATGTAAAGTCAGCCTAATTCCTTAATATAGGCGAAAGAAGTATACATACGAGTTGCGACCAAGAGATTAACACCCTTCTCCAACTTCTCAGCTTCCGCTCGGCGATTGGCTCCTCCCATGACGATACCGTGGGTTTGGGAGTGCTTGTCGAGCAGTTGGCGGGCCACACCCCAGATCTGAAGTGCCAATTCTCTATAGCCCGGTCAGCGCATTACTTTATTCTTGTTGGAATGTCCTCTTACCTCGTGGGGGACAAAATAAGAACACCGGTTCCGTTTCTGGGCTTGAATTTCAAGCTGTGGAGCAATTCGATCGCGGGAATCAACTAATCTTGATATCAGCCATTTGCGATTTCCTAACAAGTAGTGACGTGGAATTGCACTTACAAATGCCAACGTCTTTCCGGATCCTGTTTTGGCAGCACCAAGAACATCACGGCCAGCCATCAATGGCGGGATAGCCCGTTGCTGAATCTCTGTCATTGTCTCAAACCCCATTTCTTTGATCGCCTCAATTGTCCGTTCCGAAAGATTCAGCTCCGCAAATTTGGTGGGTAGAGTCTCGCCGGTCTGTGGTAGCGACAATGCGTTGGCAGATGGTAAATCCTCGAGCTGGTCATCTTGTTCCTCCTCTTGCTCTTTCTCTTCTTCTTCCTGCTCCTCCTCTACCTGCTCGACTGGTTCTTCAACATCGTCGTCATCGTCCTTCTTGGCAGTCTTTCGCTTCTTGGACTTTTCCGGGGTTTCGATGACTTCGGCTTTCTTTGACGATTTGACAGTCTCATCGGAGACATCGTGCTTGCGCTTTATTTTCTTCGACTGTTTCTCAGCCTTCGCCATCTTGTCGCTGGACATAATGGGTGCTGCAAAGCTGTGTTTGTGTGCGTTGAAAAGATTGTTCGTTCCTTCCTCCGCGATCTTGAACTTTTTTTTTTGTTTTCCGTTTATCTGATAAGAGGTCACGTGTTTACCCACCGCCTGGGATTTCTGCCGAAACAATACATTTACCGCCCATGTGACCTGCGGCCCTTGCGGCCCTTGTTGCCTTAATGCCTGATATATGGGGCAAGAACATGTGACCTGCTCAGCCCTGAATTCTCCTTGTTACCCAGGAACGTAAGATCTTATTGACGATGCCAGATCTTACAGGTACAAGTATTTGCAAGTAGCTGGACTTTCTTCTGGTTTTTTGTCGAAAATAATACGATCACATCTCTTGTAGGTCGAGTTAGCACCCAAGTATTTGTGATTTGTGCGTCATGTTCCAAGTTAAAAGGCCAGTAAGATGAAGCAGATGATTTATGGTTACTCATTCTCGTTGTCCTTGATATATAAAAATATTAAGACAGAACTAGATTCGTATGATTTGCGTATTCTGAATGCTTACATGTTGCCCTAAATGAATGGCTGATTTTCTGCGTGCGTCGAGCGCTGGAGAATATGTGTACATAAGTAACGCGTGGCTGCCGTCATTTCCGCCGCGCAGCGGAAGTGCGAAGGGAATTGTTGAATATCTCGTGGCTGCAGTGTTCCGATGTAAATATAATCAGTCCATCAGCCCCTCAAAATTAGAAAGACAACGAACAACTTTGAACCTTCCAACCTACCCTAAATTAACAAAACCATTGCGTATGCGAACATTTGTAATAAATTCGAATATATCATATTCGTGACGACCACTAACCTCCTTATTGGCTAAAGCACCAGTGTTTCTGCAGGCCTGATTGCACGAATTCCCTCTGGCGTGGATGCCCAATTTCGGCCTCTCCGACAAAATAACGTGACAAGTCCTCATCCAGAGATAGTCGTTCGCCTAGGCCCGTGTGGGCTGAGAAAGCAATTGAGCATTTGGCAATTCAAGCACCTGACCAACAGGTGCCATCTGTAACACGTTATCTAAAGATTTCGACCAGGATAAAATTTATTTGAATGTCACACAATCTTCATCGAACTCAGGCACAATAAGAATAAATATTGCACAATGGAGAAGGTTTGGTTCAAACTCCGCCAAACCGACTACCCGCCACCCCCGGAGAAGAGCATCCTTGCAGGCAACGGGGACGACTCCAGCGCCCCAATCTGCCTGGGCCACTTCATCCCCGATCTCAAGAGTATCGACTTCCCCATCAATCCCGGCGCCATCCTAGCCTTCCCGCCGCGCATGAAAGTCTACCACACGCATGCGCTGGATTTCAAATGGGACGACTCCAAGAATTCAGAGACAGGCACGAACTGGAGCGGCGGTGTACCCATTGCACCTGCCGCGGGTCTCACATTCAAGGGTAGCCTCAAACTCACTTTTAAGAAGACTCTGAAGAATCATGAGGCGTACGATCGGCTGGACTCGTACATCGTCAACCCAAATAGACGCTATGTAGAAGAGTGTTTAGAGCAGAAGGAGTTGAAGAAATATCTTGGGGATAAGAAGATGTGGTCTATGTTCATGATAACCGGCCTTAAAGTTGCGCGGGTAGGAACCAGGGAGGCCGAGAAGTCGAAGTACGTAGAGAGTGAAGCGGGACCAGAGGTGTAAGTTCCTTCAGCATCTCATCTCGGATTGAGGCCTTTGAATAATCATCAGAGCAGCGATTTTCCTACTGTTGCTACCGTAACGGCCACTGCGAATGTTGTCCTTGAAAACTTACAGAAGACAGAAGGAACATACGTTTCGGAGTTCATCTGGGCTGTGCGGCTCGCCAAGGTACATAAGGGACTGTTGATGACAGACTGGTCGATTGAGCCGTATACAACTAAAGCAACCTTCACTACAGACAACCCAGGGGTTGTGAACGTTGCAGGTGTTTTGGAGGCCGAGGGGCTGGAAAAATTTCATGTTGTCAACGATGAGGAGCTTAATGAAGCCTTTGTAGTAGGCAGTGGTGACTGGGACGCCTCTTGATTATTCAGGAACATGGCACAATCAATGGGTGAATGAGATCACAGATTTATATTCGATTAGTTTACAGTAAAGAAAAACCTACACAGAATTATGGCGTGGTTTAGGGTTCGACATTTTGTGAGATTGGGGAGTCTAGGATGATCCTTCGTGAGATACGTGAGGTATGTCAATATATATAATGAAGAAAATTGAAAGAAAAAGATTTTGAAAAAGAAAGGTACATCATAATTTCTGACCTTCTTAGCTACGTAAGATCGGCGAAAGAAGAGAGAAAAACAATGGCGGCCCTAATTCGCCGTCTCCATCGCCCTCGAAATACTATCTCTCACATACGCCCTATTCTTTACATAGTCACCCCTAGCATACCTCTCCTCTAGCAACCGCAACGGCGCGACGCAATTGAACTTCCCCGCCTTCTTTGCCATAAAGCTGAATATCGCTGTCATACCCGCCATTTTACCTACATCCTCCACCCTCACGATCTCCTTGTTGTCCGGCTGCCTTGTAAAGTCTAAAATCCGCGCCGCCAGCCCCGCTGCAATCGCCGTTGCCATCGACGTCCCGTCTTCCCGCTTCTTGTCGTTCGTTGGGTGCGGGAAGTCCTCCCCAAGGATGGCAAAATTGTCAGCGTCGTCGCGCGCCTCCGGGTTGAAATGCGAGGCTTGGTCATCGGTGTTGGTAGAGAAAATGCAGATCGTTTTGAATTTGTGCCGGGCTGGGAAGGCTTCTCTGCCACGGTTCCCCCAATTGGAGGCTGCTGCGAAGATTAGGACGCCAGCATCGCTGGCTTTTTCTATAGCGGATTGGAGCGAGGGCGAATGGTTACGAAAGCCAGCAGAGATGCTGATGATGTCGACTTTCCGACCCGGTTCAATAGCCCATTTTATGGCCTGATTTTGTAGGTTAGAGGATGTAGGCTCCAGTACGGTGGGGATGAAACGAACACTGGCCATCAGAAGCGGTCCTTCCATCTCGTCTGTCTCGTTTTTGTTGAAGACCCTGGCCACATACAATTCGCACTCCTCATATATAGACAGTATAAGGTTTGCAGACATTGTACCATGCCAAGTGTTGTCACACATATCCTTGGCTTTCTCGTCTATGAAGTCCTTATATTCTTTCACCTTTGAGGCTTGGCAATCACTCGGGTGGAATCCTGTATCAATGACTGCAACTTTAACTTTTTCGTAGGTCCCCCGCAATGCCTCTGGTGCTTTTATAACAGATATTAAGTCATCGACCTCATCCAGCCAGTCATCTGAGCTGCGTTTGTTTTGTCTAGGAGATTGATTTAGTTGCTGAACTGATAAGAGTTGATTTTCTGGCCAACATCAAACCTTAGCACAAACGTCCCGCCAGGATCCGTGGCCTGTAGTTTCTCTTTTGGTTTCTTCCCACGCGTCCTGAGCTTATTCCAGTTGGTCCTGCTGACAGTTAAATTCCCAAAATTGTGGTATTCGCAAACCCACAGATTTATCTTGGGCAATGACTTCAATAAACCCTGCTGAGCAAATTCTAAGATCTTGTCCTCAACTGACTGCCCGTTAGTGATGTTTACATCAACTCTGACGGGTCCAGGGATATTATACACTCTAAGCATACAGAGTCCGCATTCCCTTCTCGCGTTACAATCATGCGGGCCTTCTGTTTATCGCGTGACTTGAGATTAGAGCTAATAATAGCGATATTGACCTTTGGCCCCTGGTAGGATCCAAATGTCAAGGCTTCGGAGACCCTTATTATAGTCAATCAATTGTTAAGGATAGTTTCAACCTCTTCCACGGCTCGCCTGAAAGATTAGAACTTGCTCACTGGAAGTACACTATATTTTCGTCATAATATGGCCCTTGGACGAACATTTGTAAAAGCCGTTGCTTCATGTTCTTCAAGTATTCCGTGAAGCTTTCGGCATCTAGAACATACTCTCTTTTAGTCGTTGAACGTAAGTGATAGATAATTGGTGTATTTGGAGGTGTTGTAACTCACCTGCACGAAGATCAAACTGGAAGTGCACATCAGAGCACTCGAAGGAGACTTGACCATAATTGCAAGATATTTTGGAGAGCGTCACGTGAAGTCGTCCTCGTTGGTTTAGCTCATGAATGATTATGGAATCCTTGGAAACTAACGTGATCTGTGTCAGCAGCTGGATGCTCCCTAACAATTCTGCTATTGATGGATATGGCTACCAAAGACATCATACGCATCAATTTCAACCGAGTCCCCAGCCAACGCTGAGGAGTTCGTCCTAAGAGCAATAACAAAATAGGGCTCCGGTAAGAACATTGGAGTGACATGTTGATTCTTCCTTTCATCTAAGATGAATCTGGAAGTGGCGGAATAGTGGAGCAGTCGCACATTCTCCGGTTTCAATGAAGGACGGAAAACTTTCTCAGCCTCAAACTGGATATCCGATATTTTCGTCCCTGGAAATTTCAGGTCCCTGTGGTTTTTGGAGAGTGTCAGAAACCGATTATTAGTCCAGATAGTTATAGCTTAGAAAGTTCAATGAAAAGAAAAGCCTGTCAGTCTTACGACGTCATCGTCCGAACAAATACAAATTGTTTAGAGCGCTCATCTTGCGCACTTCCGGCTAACATAGAGTTTCCTGTCCATGTCATCGGCCCTTTTTTCCGAACGTACTCTGTAGCAATTTTGTGTGACAGAACTTGGATTTCATGGAGGTCTAATGACTAGTTAGTTGTGATCTCTTTTTCTTGTCCATAAGCTTCTCCGTATTAGTTTTTACATGTTGGTGTTACCTCCGATAGTCTAACAGAGACTACGGCCTCCGATTTGGGCTTAAGAAGGAGTATTTGCCACGTCCTATTCGAGCTATCACTTGTCTCTTCTATCAGAAGACTTGTTCCCGGTATAACTATCTCCTGTCAGTATGTCCAAAGTAAGCTCTGTTTTTAAGAGCGAACATTGTCTGGGTCTAATACCTTTATAATGCAGTTCATCGTCGTGTAAATCCTGCTCACAGCAGCAGCGGAACTTGACGTCTTTCGACCTTTTGCCGGAATTGGCCACCTGGTAGAGGCTGGCTTTAGGACATATAACTTTATTTGTTGATCTAAGCGTTCTTTTAGCTGGAGCCTTGACTTCAACTTCATGCACAGCAAAAGTGCCGTCGTTCATGGAATTTCCCGAGCTCGGGGAAAAGATCTCGTCAGCGACATTTAATATGTCCTCAGCAACTTTGTCAAAGCCCTGCTTGAGGCTTTCAATAGTTCCAGTATTGAGTGTTTCATATTTACTATCCCTTGTGTTAGGCCCCAGATGAGGAGGCAAGAACTTGAAGGTTCTAGAGACATTTAACACATACCTCTCTTTGAAGTTAAGGGTCAATGACAAGGTATTAATAGACTCCAGCAAAATATGCGTCAATTGTATCATACTCATGTTCTCTTTTCCATCCTGATGAGGTTGAGATGTTTGGCCACTTGAGACCTTTGAGTGTGTGCGACTCTGAACAAACTCAGTAACCCGATCTAAAGAATCTTTGCAGCCTTGAACTGCGGCCTTGAGACTAGGACAATCATCAAAGCTAGGTTTGGACAAAATCCCTTGCGCGTTTTTTAGTAGTGTACCTAGCGATGACAACAGGGTCTGGAGTTCTGTTGTGTCTGTCTCGCTTGATTCCTCCAAGGCTATCAACGATCGGGTGAGTCTGTCAGATATCTTCGCCAAGCCAATAGCGTCTATTATCGGCTCSGCTGGKGTCAACATCTTGCTCTGTCAATAACTTAAATCATGTCTACTTGATCTAGTGGTGAGAAGAGAGTGAACTTAAACCAGCTTAATGTCCTCGCTCTTCACGATCATTAAAACCATCTACTAAAACCATGAGGCATTTTCTTCAAGCAGGTTGTATCTTTGCAAACACGTCATCTTTCCTGAGAAATGGATGTGTGGTGGGCAAGTATCCCATTTGCTGAGGTTGCAGGTAGCTGCATGATAGAAGACGGTGAAGAATATCTTCCAATCAGCAATAATTATTACGCGTCTGCCCAAGTCAGCAATTTTGGACTTCGACTTGGCTTTTGTTTTCTCTCGTCCTATCTTCGTGGTGTTCACGGTGGGATCATAATCTTGAACCTGCTAGATATCGGCGAAAGGTTACTACTTTATCTGTCCCAGTCTATCTTGACTTCCTCATTTCCTCATTCTCATTGTCTTTCGAAGTATGTTAGGTATCCATTTTCCCAAAGATTTAACATTGATTCAGAGTTATCTTTAAATGCTTACTCTCCTATAGTTTAGACACTATCCGAATCACCATGAGTCGCCGCCTGCACACAAAACGCCTCGTATCCGCGGTACTCTTTTCGGCTCCAGCGAATATGTCTACCGCAAAGGTAGACGTTTGGGGCGGTGACGGGCCAAATACAAGGAGATCAAGGAACAGGTCGCCCGGCATACCAAACCAAATTAGACAGAGAGAGTGGAAAATAGACGATGATTTCACTAACAAAGACGACGGTTTTCGCAATGGCGAGTCTCCTTCCCCAATTGGCTTTGACATATTTGTCGAATTTCCAGATTCGCCACGACGTGAACTGCCAATCAGTCCACCGCCGTCAGACTTTCCATCCACCTTAACCTCACGGAAATCGTCGTCAGCCCCTGAGTTTCCGGCCACACTATGTCTTCCGATTGTTAGTGTCGCGTTGAAGGTCATGGTGGATGGGAGTATTGCACACACGGAGTTGACCCAGACCTTCCACAACCCGTCTGACATCGAGATTCCCGAAGCTAGGCACACTTTTCCCCTGTACGGCGGTGCAGTTGTGACTTCCTTCGAATGCATCATTGGGGATGAGCGTCGCCTTCGGGGAGTCGTCAAACCGAGAAAAGAGGCGAGGAAAGTCTACGAGAAAGCCGTAAAAACAAATAGAGAAGCTGCAGCTCTGCTGGAAGAGCTCACCCCCGAAATCTTTGAGACTTCATTGGGGAATATCCCTCCCAGAACGCGCGTTCAAATCAAGCTCACATACCTGCAAGAGCTGAAAATCGTCATGATGGAGGAAGAGAAGACGGAGGGTCTGGCAGTTATCATCCCGACGTCCATTGCGCCACGGTACGGTGATCAGCCAGCTAGAAGGAAACCATCGCCGGTCCTGCAAATTAACAGGCTTGAAATTTGGGTAAAAGTCGTTGACAATGGCACTATCAATCCCGAGGGCTGTCACGTCGAGTCTGGACATGACGTCGAATATGAAGGGACCGAGCCGGTTGAGAAAGCACAGGCTTTCAGTTTGGCAGACCTGGGAACGGGTAATGAATCAAAGACAGGGGCGTCCCAAACTCAATGCGTGTGGCACTATGAGTCCCGTGCGTCAGTCCTGAAGAAGGACTTCATCCTTGTCATTCAAATGCGCGAAGGACATCATCTACTCTCCCGCGCGGTCGTTTCGCCGGCGAATGAGAAAGGCCACGGTGCGATGATGGTGACCATTAGGCCGAATGACTTGTTTGGAAGTGCGGTTCGACCACAGTCCTTCTCAGGGGAAATTCTATTTCTGCTCGATCAGTCTGGATCTATGGGCTGGACTTCCGAGGGCTCAAGTCGTCTCAAGATCAACACTTTACGTGATGCTATGTCCCTGGTTTTGTCTGGACTTCCTGACATTTGTGTGTTCAACATCATTTCCTTCGGTACTGCAACGTACGGCCTATGGGACAGGTCTAGGCCATATTCAGTTGAGAACATCAAGGAGGCCAGGACATACGCCTCACAAGTAGAAGCGAACATGGGAGGTACGGACCTGCTAAGAGCTCTGAAAGCCACGGTCAAGCGTCTAACGCGGGCAAGACAGTCTTCTCAGATCATTATTATCACTGACGGCGAGTTGGAGCTGGAGCCAGTGGTTGAGTTCGTCTGGAAGACACGCCAAGAGCTGCAGGACAAGGTCCGCTTCTTTGCCCTAGGAATAGGAGACAATGTATCTCACCGGCTGATTGAGAGTATCGCGGAGCTCGGCGGCGGATACTCTGACGTGATTGACGTTATGAAGAAGCCGCGGTGGGAGGACAGGCTGAACCGTATGGTTCGTTCGGCACTGCAACCAGATAGCTGGACTTTCGACATCAGTCTCGGCTCTAATTACGAGAAGCGGAGCCTGATGGCTGTTCAATTCGGCATTGAAAAATTGTCGGACAAGTCGCTGGTTCCGTACATCCAAGCGCCTTATCCGATCCCCCCTCTTCACCCTTTTTCTTACAAATCGATATTTATCCTTATAGACTTGAGGGGGGGTAAGCTTCCGAGTGAGGTAATCCTGACCACGACAACGCCGGGTACAAAGAGCAAGTCCTACTACCTAAGCGTAGAGACATCAAATATCAACAATGGGGCGATCCATCACCTCGCAGCAAAAGCTTCTCTCCTCAACCTCGAAGAAGAGGTCAAGAAAGAAGTCACCGAGTCCGAAACCGCTTGTGTCAATGCTGAAAGTCTAGGCGAGACGTATTCCATCACAAGCAAATGGACGAGCTTTCTCGCAGTGGCTCAAAATGAACCAGCCGAGAAGCAGAATCGCGAGGTTAACCTCTACAAGACTACTCTCAAAGATATCGACATCGACAAGCTCCTTAGGTCGCTGGACGTGGACGACGAGTCCGAAGTCGAGAGCAGCGCAGGATCAGTTGAGGCAGATAGAAGTATTAATCTCAGGCATGCAAACATGTTTTCCCTTACGGGTGCAAAAACAGCCCCTCCCAATGAAGAGACTCCGACTGATTGGGGTCGCGAAGTCGATGTCGAAGGGAAATCTTTCAGCCCAGGTCTGCACTTTGAAGGATCCTTACCGGCATATCTACCTGAGGCCCCCATAAGACATCTAATGGAGCGGAGTGAAACGTCACCATGTGATGCAACCCTTACCAGGTCCTCCAGACGTCAGAGTCAACAGCATGTCTCAGATTCTGATGATGAGGGCTTGTGTCAAATTATAGTTGACAGTTACTATGATGCATTGCTCCACGGAATTAAGTCAAATGTGACTTCTGAAAGCTCGATTGCGGCTGAAAGATGTTGCACCACCACTAAGGATAGCGATTCACATTGGGATGTGTCGGAGACAGGCAGCGATCATGAAGCAAAATTTTACAAATCAATCGGTGATGGTCCAATAACATGGCAAGACGCAGTGGCAAACCAGAACATCGACGGCACATTCAGTCTGATGGGCCCTGTAAGGCTGAAACTCAGACGGCACTTCTGCTCCGACACTGCAAAGAAGCTTCACGAAGAGCTTCAAAAGTTCCCGAACGCGACGGAGCTGTCGGATAACATGATGGACGTTCTTGTTGATACTATGATGATCATCCAGCACTTCCATACTCATATGGCTCCGGAGGAGGATTCATGGGGCCTGATCATGGACAAAGCCGAGTACGCCGTCAACACGGCGTTGAGATTTTCAGAGGAAGAGGAAGAAAAGCTGATTCCCATGACCCATATATTGAGAGGCTCGATCGTACACAAGCACTTCATGACTGCTATGAAAAGGAAAGGCACAGATATGGCACAGAGGGCCAACGGTGAAAATCCATTCAAAAAGGTTGCCAAGAGGTGTCCCGTTTGTGAGGAATTGTTCGATGTAGAGCATATATTGCAGGCCCAGAAACGTTTTCTCTGTACATTTGAAGATTCTGATCCTTTGACCAAGCATGTATGGGATGACTGGGATGGGTTCTGGGAGCATCAGGTCAAGACTGGTCATATGGTATGCCCTGAAGATAATGCGCTACTAGTTGCGGACTGATATATGGCCCGTTTCAATTTCTTTTTCCCTCAAGATCTTGGCTTGAGCCTTAATAAGGGTCCTTTTATTATTGACACATGGTGGCTAAAGTGAATGCCTGGTGCCTGGAGAATAGAAGAGAATACTTCTCTAGCTAGGGGACGTTGTTCGTAACGAGGAAAGAATAGCCGGGCTAACTGTTTGTGGTGGATCCTCTACAGGGCCCTTCCTCTAGGCTTCAGCTCTCAAACTCGCATTGACTCGCGTTGAACTCATACAAATCAGTCCCACAATTCGATCAGGTAAGGGAGTAAAGCGGCGACGCTTCTAACTTTTATCTAGATTTTTGACTAAAGCGATACGATACATCTTTCGTAGGTCGAATCAGGACCCAAGTGCCTGTGCTTTGTGCATCGTGTTCCCAGTTACTAGGCCAATAAGATAAAGCAGATTATTTTATCCACTTATCCTTGTTGTCCTTATTATTATACGTGCTTCGTTATTTCAACATTATGATGTTATTGTATGCGCCAAGTTGTACCTTGTTAATAGAAATGGCCCTCGATACAGACATGGTCTTACGAGATCAGTCACAGCCGAGACGAGAGTTGTAGGGATTACAGGTGATCACATTCGCGCAGCACGAGTTTTGTTTTGCTGGGAATACAGGCCTCGAGCTTGCTGTCCTGCTCGCCATTGAAATCACGTCGTTCGACTTAAAGCTTTGATCCGATATTTGGATGGTCGGCCCCAGTATAGCCTGCTGTAATTAAAGTGCTGGTCAAAAGCACAGCAATGATCTATCGTTCGACTTGTTAGTAGCCGTAGCCCATTCCCACTAGCTGCAGAGCGATTGCTCGAAGACGTTGAGCAGATAACGGGCTGGAGTTCGGTCAAACTCATTCAGTTGCTCAGGAGGGAGTGAGATAGTATCAGAATGAACACGATATGCTGCCGTAATGTTGAACCAATAATTTTAATATCAAGAGAATAAATGAAGTATATGTCACGCGCATGAGAGGCATGCACACATGGCATGTAAATTAATGGGCAAATCTTGAAATTTGATCATATTCCGATAAATCATAGAATCATGGTCGACCACTTATGTTCGATGACCTTCATAGCAGTTCCTTGTTCATAATGGACCTGAAAAGGGCCTCTCTTCTCCATCCCAGCCAATTTGGGGCCAGCCTTGGGGTAGATTTGAGTATTCGGGCAAATAATACTGTCCGTCACACTCGCCTTCCGCACAATTCGGAAAATAACACATCCCATAGACCTTACAATAACAGTCCCCCGCTGACGGGCAATACACGGGATTCTTTCCAAATATAACTGAGAACACAGAGTCAGTACTTCACCTACGAAGAAGACTGGGGTGGTGATGAGGACTTACTATGCCAGGAGTACTCGAAGAATCGTCCACTCAGCCCATCCTGAATCGGTGTATTCAACAGCCAGTCTCGGAACCGCATATAGTCCTTCTTTGGTCGCTGACGAATCACGTCTTTTGTGACAGCAAACTGGGCACAGCAGCTTACCCCAACTTCGTTAGGGATGGGGTGCTCCGGTAACAGCTCCTCGAATACCTGCTTGTATATTTCACCAGTTGTCTGGTCCTGGTGCTGTTGACTGATAACCTCGTCCTCGAATGGATGGATTGCTACAGGGCAACCGATCGTCCACACGCAGCGCAGATTCACGTAGCCTTCTTCCTGTAGATAATTGAATTGAAAGTCACGTAGTAATGGGTAGCCGTCGTAATCAGGGTTATCGTTGTGCCATTGGAATCTCTCCGCATGAAGAAAGAGTGTATTGTTGGGCAGAGAGTCATAGCGGTCAATTATGTACCTAATTCAGTTATTAGTCATATAACTACCACAGACAGTAAATTAAGGTGTAACCCGAGATTTGATACGTACGTTAGGTAGACCATCGCCTCATTACCTTTATTTTGCGGCACAGTCAAAGGCGCGGCGGCTTCATCGACAATGTAGATGTTGGATTTCCAATCCGGAAAATATTTCAAATACCAGGAAGTATTCTGTTGACTCAAGCTTGCAACCACCAACTCAACATCGTATTCGTAATTGTCCACTTCTGGTAGTTCTCCATGGGTTTCAATATTACTGTTGTCAGAGACCGGCTCCTCCAACGCAGGGTTATTAGAAAATGTAAAGTCAAAAGTCAAAAGACCGAAGGCGTCACTCGTGCTCGCATGATGCAAATAGAAGAGAACAAAAAATAATGAAATAAACGTGCTAGCGAGTGTGATAATGACAAATTTTGTGGTTTTCAATGCACGCTGATCAAGAGAATACATTTTCGAATAAGAGAATACGGGAACTCATGAAAGAATGAAGACAATAACTATAATACAAAAAGGAAAGAATTATATTATTATGAATACAATAGAAGATCTCAATAAAAAAAAGGCAATGTATATCTAAGAAAACAAACTTCTTGTGAGAATACCCGAGTAAAAGTCGCTGCGAGATATACTGGATGAGCCTGAAACAGAATCAAGCCACACACGCTACAGGTTCCTACCTGCCCGGCGGCAATCTATATCAGCCATAAATGGGATCTACCTAGATGATCGCCTCATTTGATAACACTAAGCAGAGAGATTTATGTTCACCTGCATTTTGTTTCAGCCTCTTCGCTGTTGGCGTTAAACAAGTGGTCAGGAATGAGTTGTGATATTGTTAGGTCGGCGGTTAATGCGAGGAACCGAATGGACTAGTGCGTGGATATATTGTGCAGTGCTTGGAATTAAGCATTGCCCTAATGTTGATACAAGAAATAAAGGGTTTTTTACCACTGACTAGGTTACTTGACGTGATCTTAAAGAAATAAAAGTATAAGAACGAAATATAAGCTATCGCCAATACTGAATCAGTCTGAGACAGCGTTTACTCAGGGATTTAAGTTCTAGGTTGTGGCTGATTTGTTTGGGCCGATATCTGCATAACATAGCGCTTAGCAGTAGCTAGAGCGTTTCAAACGAACAATGGTTACTATTCATGGACATGCATATTATCTATATTTGAAGAATATTGACCTTGCAACAGCCTTGTCATGACTCACTTCGTAGCTAACGCAGTAAACACTTGCTACTCAATGAAAATATGAAGGCTCATTTGATATCAATAGCCCCTGCGCCGCAAATGTTGAGTTAGGATGGAATTATCATGATCGTGAGGGCTGTATGTTTATCACCACGACTGAATGGGGTATATAATAAGTGGTCCACCTCCCACCGCTAATATGGACTCGCCCGTGTTCGTCTATCGATTTCAACATGTTTTTCTCGGCAGTCGGACAAATATCGTAGCCAGATCCTAAAACTACACAACGTTTCCTGGCACAGATAGGCTTCCGTGGAAAGGCTGCAAGGAAGTCATGGATCGAAGAATTTGGGTGTTTCTTTACACTTTAACATTGTTGCATGTAGCTCGTTTCATTCATTGTGTCGAAGCATCAATATGCTACGATCAAGACGGAACGCCGAACAGCAATACGCCCTGCACAACTAGTGGCAATGACACCTTTTGCTGCAGCGATGGCTACTTTTGTCTATCTAACGGCTTATGCGAGTGGCAGGATGGGACTTTTTGGGCGGGAACATGCTCGGATAAGACCTGTAAGTTCTACCGTCGCTCTAATCGTGAATTCAGCAGTAAATTAAAAGCCGTTCATCAAAAGGGTCGGCATCATCTTGTCCAACGTTTTGCGATGATTCCGGAAGCCCCGCGGTCTTTGAGTGCTCGACCTTTAGTGGAACGTTTTGTTGCGGCTTAAGTGCATGTTGTGGAAGTAAATCGGCTAGCATCTTAACTTTGGGTCGAGTCTCGACAGTCGGATACATTACGAAAGGTGTACTTACACCCATGACCCCAATTGCAACCACGTCTGCTTTTAGCTCGACTTCAATAGCCCTTTCTACAGAGACTTCATTGATACATGATGGCTCGTCAACTGCTTTGGTAGCCACCGCGACGAAAACTCAATCGAGTACTACCTCCATAGACACACCGAGCACTAAAACTACAACCTTTACCTCGAATACTGGCGCTATTGTCGGTGGCATCGTAGGCGGGGGTGCAGTCATCGGAACCTTGGTGGTAGCCATATGGGCTCTTCATGCTCGACATAAAAAGACGTATGGAAGAACGTCGGGTGTGGAAAAGCCCCAGTCTGTCACTCCGCCACCAAGATATTACAACCCAAAGAATGATTGGAAAAAAATGAGGCCGAAAAATTCAGAGCCGTATGAACTTCATGATGGTAGGTACGAATGATGATACCGGGACTGGCCTTATTGTGGCATCTGGTCTTTATTAACTTTTGCAACGGTGGTCAGTTGCAGCGATTCGTTGTCATTTCAATGAGATTCTCGGTGTATATTTCAGTACAGTAGGTCACTAGAACAATCCAATTTCCGTAATAATGATTAAAAGTACCCTTAAATTCAGGTCTCCGAAGAAAAGATTTCACTGTGTTTGTATCTCTATCCTTGTTCCTAACGTTCCTCGCATACAAGATGCACTTGTTCAGGATGTAACAACTGTAGAAGCAGCTTCATACCCACATCTTTGTGAATCAAAGCGCGAGTCTCGCCCTCGCTGCAGTATCATCTTCACCAGCTAACTTGACCGGGCGTATTCGAAGACGACGGAATAGTCCTACCAGCACACCAACAAATTCCACCTGGACAAGCTCGAGTACCACCTGACCATGCCACGAAAGGGTTCTGAGACTTAGGAAATTCGAGGAATGCTTCCGAGGCTAGAACATCCTTAACGTCTGTTCTCTCAGAAGCCGGAGAAGTGATCCATCGGGATGGCTCCCAGTCGAGAGAGCCATCGCCCCAATACCGAGGATGTGTATGTAAGGCTGAGTAGTTTGGTAAAATCATAGTATTAGATGGGAGCACATAAGTCTTGTTGCCAATTCGAAGGGATCGAGGCTCTGGGCCAATTGATTTGATAATGGCGACTGGGGTGTAAATACGCACCGTCTCGTACTGAGATTGCATTAGTATTACCTAACTATGTGCTCTAGTCCCTGTAAATATAGATGACTTGCGGAAAAACATTCTTCCGGCGGTACTTACCCTTGATGCACCTATCAATCTGATCGTGCTCACCAATCTACACCATGACTTGCTTTCTCCAACCAGGACAAAGTCATGTATCACCAAGCAAGATTCTATCTAAAACGTGGAAAAGTACGAAGCAACGCGCGCCAAGCCACTAGAGAACCCGCAATTTCCTCCGGCAGTCCTTGGCACTTTCTGTTGCCCATACGGAGAACACACCGTCCCGTACTATGTATATCCCCCAATCGTGGTCAGGGCTTGTCCCCAGGCCCTGGCCTCTTTTGGTCGTGTTGGTGGACTACGGCGTACGCCGTGGACGGAAGGGCCGCGCTTGTTTTTGCTTGTCTGAACAGATCTCTTCTCAATTCCTTGCAGTTGACATCTCCAAATCTTGATCCAACGTTTGTCCCTCCGCTTACGTTGTCGCGACTCCACCGATACCAGAGCCACCACACAGGATATTAAAACGGCATGCTAGCGTCGTAGCACGCAGATCATCCCGCTAATTCAGGGTGCACTGCCACGGTTTAGACTCCTGCTCATTGCTGCCGCTTTCTTCAGCCAAGGATTACGAAACAAGCTTCTTCGGAGATAGTTCCAGCCCGAACATAGTTTGAGAATTGTACATATGATATTCTTGGATCTGAACTGCAAGCACTCTCTCTTAACCCGTGTTATCGCTATTTATGCAGACCAGTAGATCGTGAGACTACCGAATTCTCGAAGGATTCCACTTGGAATTTTGACTCTGGCCAAAAAGCAAAAAGGCCCACATACAATGACTGCAGCACGCACGGTTCCCGACTCCGACTCTCTTCCCGACGCGGCAGCAGATGGTGCGAAAAGACTTGATACGAAACTATACGCATGCACAACTTGCGTTCAACGCAAAGTAAAGTGCGATAAGCGTCAGCCATGTTTATCGTGCTTTCGATCTTCCTTACCTTGTAGGTATCGAAGCACCCCGCCATCACAACGTCGGAAACGAAAGTCGTGGGCTGTTGATGAGCGATATAATCATCCAGCCAATCAGGTGCTGCTGTTGGATAAACTACGAGCACATGAGGCTGCTTTGCGGAGCGCCGGCATTCCGTTTAGCAGTTTCCTCGATGATTGGAATACGAATGAATTGACCGAAGCCAAAGAGGAGGACGATAGCGGTCTGGAGGTGGTGGAGAGTTCACCCTCTCGAGAAACTTCGCTCCCCGATACGGGCAACCCCCAGGTACAAATGCAGGCCAATGTTTCATTGAATTCTTCACGTGCGCAGCGAGGACTTCTGCTGTCTGAGTACGGCGGCAAACGGTACTATGATCATGGATTTATAGGAATTATGGGCCAAGAAGTACGTATAGTGATCACATTCCTGAAACCGGTCACTAGTTTTGGGAGCTAATAAATAAGCAGTACAGACAAAGCGCCGAGAAATCAACAGGGCAACCAGCAGTACGGCCTCAGTCCACGGAAGTCACTGCCGACATGATGGCAGCCGCAGTCTTGACTGATATGCCGGTATCAATGCCGCTGCACTCGAACCAGCAATACCACCTTCAACCAACGGCTGCTACTCGCATGACGTATCTAAGTATCTTTTTAGACAATGTCCATCCGCTCACGAAGATCGTCCATGAACCGAGTGTAAAGCAGCTTGTCAAGGACAGCTTGGTGGATTCTTCGAATACCAGCATAACAAACACGAAGAACGCCTTGCTTCTTTCAATATACTGTTGTGCTGTGTCGTCTTTAACGGATGGCCAGTGTCAAAGTATTTTCGGGGTCAGTCAGCCGGGACTGTTGAGATCATTTCAGGATTCTACCAGGCATGCTTTGTTGGAGGCATCTTTTCTTAAGGTTCCTGACTTGGACCTGCTGCGGGCACATATCCTCCTTCTGGTATGTCTATTTTTCCCTTTCGTTCGTGGAATATGAACCGTTCTCATCTTGACAGACATCCATGTCCCACAACTCTGATCACTATGCCTCTTGGATACTCATGGGTTCTGCTATAAGAATGGCTCAATCTCAAGGTCTGCATCGTGACGGTACTCAATTTGGTCTACCATCGTTCGAAGTGGAGATGCGCCGTCGACTTTGGTGGTATATTGTTACTCTCGACGCGCGCCTAACCGAGATCATTGGCGGCGAAAGCTCTCTGCCATCGTACATAGATACCCGGCTTCCTTCCAATCTTAACGACTACGACTTGACACCGGATATGCCGGCATTGCCCAAGCCTAGGACAGGTGCTACAGAGATGACTTTTTGCCTAGCACGATATGAAATAGCAGCGTTTCTTCAAGAACGCTCAAATTTCAGATCGCAAGCACAGTCATCAACTTATTCCTTACCCGTCAAGAAAAACGAGGGGGAGGAGAAACGCGGGTTTTCAGCGCTAGAGTCACTCCTAGAAGAGAAATATCTCCGGTTCTGCGATCCCGTCGTTCCCATACAGTTATTAGCAACCACAATGATAAGATCAACGCTGTGCAAACTAAAGCAAATGGCCATTCATCAGTTGGGTCGACAAACCCCAGAGGACGGCAATCCCCAACAACACCCGCAATCGAATGACCGGATGAACCGACATGCACAAAATCTAGAAAAGCGCCAACGGTCATTTAACCTCGCATCAAGAAACTTGCAATATGAAAATCTGATGCATGATAATAAATCTTTACATGGATATCTGTGGTTCGCCGATTTCCATATCCCATGGGGTGGACCAATCTACATACTCAAAAGCCTTGCATATCGACCGGACTGGGATGATGCCATGCAGACTGCATGGAACCAGATTGAGGAGTTGTATGAAAATCACCCGGAATATATTGACTCCGAAAAGATTCTGCATTTGATCATCAACGGCTTGACGCTTAAAGCATGGTCAGCAAGGGAGGCGGTTCTGAAAGAGAAACGGGTTATGCAGGGTACACAATCGGCACCTCCGTTCATTCTAGCCCTTCAGGCAAGGAATTCTCATAGGCCGAAGTATGGAGGACATGTCGGTGGTATATTAACCGATCATGCCGATATGGGATTCTCTGATATGGGTGGGTTAGGTGGTATTATACCGGGAGGATTCGATCTGGTTGATTCTTTCTTTGTAGCTGAGGAGTGGCCTAACTGGAGTTCGCACTGACACAAGACCAATTGGAAGTCCAATAGAACCATCATAAGTGGATGATGTTATTTTCGCATGTAGCGTCTTTACATATTCCCAACACAGGTACATTGCCGATCTTCTCCACATTCTCTAGTAGGATGTATCCGTTACAATAAATATTCCAAGAGGATCGGACGAACAAGGAGCCGAATTTATTACCAAATAAACGTATGAGCATCGGTCCTATTTATACCGAAAATAAGCTAGTCTGTCGATCATGACCACAAATAAACTTAAATGGAGTCTCCAGCTCCTCCATTATATCTCACTTCGTGACATCATTGGATCGTTCTTCCGAATGCGGGGAATTCTCAGGCAGCTTCATGAAAAACAACCCCAAGTCTGCTGCCAGTGGCGTGGTACACATCTGGGGAAGGTTACATACCTGATCACCCCGCATATCACTCTTGGGTACGGGGTAATGATATGACGAGGAGAGAACCAGTAGGGTTAGATTTTAACGTGTTATAAAACTCGGTATTAGGACCTTGGTTTTTGACATGAGTATCATCATCAAAGATTGTCAAATGTGCTTGTCTATAGCCAGAGAAGAACCGAAATTATGGCACGTTTGTCGGTCTTAGTAGCTGCGCTGGGATTACAACTGCTGGGCCTAACAAGCGCAATACCATACTCCGAATACATACTAGCACCTTCTGATAGAACTTTGTCCCCTGTATCCGTGTACAACATCAACGGCACGGTCGATAATGCCATTGCATTAACAACCTTGGGTACCGGAGAAGCCACCTTCTCTGCTGGCTCAAATATTACCTACGACTATGGCAAAAACATAGCCGGCATCGCATCTTTTGTTGTTAGCAATTTCAACGCGAGTGCGGCTGGGGAGTTTATTGGCGTCGGTTTCAGTGAATCCTCGCTCTGGATATCGTCGTACGGTAGTGATGCCACGAACAATGCTGGCATTGACGAAATCATTTGGTTCGCCATCACCGGACCGGGAAATTACACGGTTGATTTTGCACATAATCGGGGTGGATTTCGGTACTTGAATTTGTACCACAATTCGACTGGGGCGGTCAGTCTGAGTAGTCTGACAACGTACTTTAACGCTGCCCCAAGCCTACAGAACTATACGGGTTACTTCCACGCTGACGATGACGACAAACTGAATCGTGTGTGGTACGCATCTGCTTATACGGATCAGCTATGTACGATTCCATCAGATCAAGGAAACAGTCTCGCAGACCTTGCCGCGTCTGATCCGAGTGGCACGACGTACTGGTTCTCAAACAGCACTCTTACCAACGGCTCTACTGCCCTCGTCGACGGCGCAAAGCGCGACAAACTGATCTGGCCGGGCGATTTCGGTATCTCTGTCCCTGCCGTTTTCCTGTCCACAAATGAAGTAGACACCATCAAGGTTTCAATTCAACAACTGTTTGCAGAACAAAATGCAGCTACTGGTGCGATGCCTTATGCTGCTAGCCCGATCATTGAAGATCCGCCAAACTCTGCAGTCTCGGGTATCACTTCAGTGTTCTCTTTTACTTATCACTTGCACGGGCTGCTGGGGTTGTATTACTATTATAAGTACACAGGGGATGCGGATTTTGTGGCGGAGCAATGGAATCGATTCAAATTTGCAATGAACTATAGTCTGAGCTATATTGACGAGTCCGGTCTGGCATATATTCCGGTGAATAATCCTGACTGGCTGAGGAATGATATGGGATATCACAACATCGAGGTAAGGTGCTTCCATTCTGAAATCTTCGCGACCTGGATGCTAATAGTAGGGCATAGGCAAATTCAATTCTGGTTTATACATTGAAAGCAGGTTTGACATTAGCAGAGGTGGTGGCAGATACCTCTGTAACTGCAAACTGGACGTCAACAATTACCGGCATCGAGACGGCTGCCAACCAACTCCTCTGGGATTCTGCGCAGGGATTATACAAAGATAACGAGAACGCAACCATCTACCCTCAAGACGGAAATGCATGGTCGATCATTTCCGGAGTCGCCAATAGCACTACCGCTGTGACAGTCTCGAATAGCCTTCGATCCCGCTGGGGTACATACGGTGCACCAGCCCCCGAGGCCGGAGACACCATCTCCCCCTTCATCAGCGGATATGAACTTCAAGCTCATTTCCTCGCTGGACAGCCACAAAATGCAATTGATCTCATCCGATACATGTGGGCTGATTTTATGCTTGATGATCCTCGTATGACAAACTCGACGTTTATAGAAGGATATGATATTTCAGGAGCACTTCATTACCCTGCGTATTCAGATGATGCGCGTGTGAGTCACGCGCATGGCTGGTCGACGGGGCCGCTACTTGCGCTCAGTTCGTATGTTGCCGGCTTACAGGTACTCAATTCTACAGATTGGATAGCATATCCACGACCAGGAAATTTGTCTGCGTTCGAAGCGGGATTTGAGTTAAGTTATGGTAGTTATGCGTCTTCAATCAAAGTTGAGAGTGACTGCACAACGTACTCGCTGTCTACGCCGCAGGGGACTTCTGGGTCAATCATATTGGATGTTCCCGCATATAATGCTCATATTACAGTTACTGGTGCGAAGAAAGGATTCTTCTGGGCTCAGAAGGTGGACGCCTGGACTGGTGGCGCAAGGCCACGTGGTATCTCTTTTTGGGGACCTCAGGATTCTACGAGTGGAACTGTGGAGATCGATGGGGTTCCAGGTGGTGATTATACTGTTAGTATACGGCGGGCGTGAATGGACGACGGAGGKTCGGTTCTTTTAATGCGTAACTTGCTTGAAAGAAGATCTGGTTCTGGAATGTGCAATCATATATAAATGGTATCATTTCAATAAAATCGGCATGCACTTACAAAACCTCATATCTGAGTGGTCAAAATTTTGAAGATTTAACCACATACGGATGAAGACAAAACGAAATTAGCATTCCCAGGTTTGTAGCTTTCCTAGCATTCTTTTCTAACAACTATCTGTAATACATTGTGTCATTAAAGAAATCAATTGGCCATTGCCAGGGTCCCAAAGATGTATTTTATATCTTATAAAAGTCAGCAGTCTGTTCGGTTTTGTGCTAGGGCTTACTCAAGGATACGAGTATTTCTAGGCGTATATCCAACCTTGGAAAAAGTCTTTCATCGCTTCTGGAATTATCTCCGTCACTCATATTGAGTTAAAACTGTTTCATTTTTCCTTTCAATTATCAAGTATCGGCTATAACAATGGAGATACATTATCGAGTTCTGGTTTATAACACAACCCAAGGGCATCTTGACCCATCGGTTTCCGACGTGGTCTGCTGGTGGGAAACCCTTTTTTTCCCCTTTGGACTCTCTAACTTACTTCTTATCTTATCAGATTTGCTAATGCGAAATACTTGGGGGAAATTTATGCACTGTGAGCAGATTTATCGAATCACTCAATGGGCTTTTTTGACTGCTGCGTGTTGAGTAATTGTCTATCGTTGACATTATAACTTATAGAATGGTCTTGAGATAGCAGAGGGATCAAAACTCTTTTTACTTGCAATCTAATATTAATAAATCCGCTCTCATTGCTTTAATGTCCCACTTCGTCAAGTATGAGCTGAATCGAGCCCATATGTGTAGTGACTGCGGTTTGACTCATTCGCGATATTTCACGTTTTGGAGCAAAATCATGTATTGGACGATCAGAGTAGACAGTACCCTCCGTCGACGAGAATATCCGCCCCAGTTGTAAAACTAGATGCATCTGACGCAAGGTACAAATAAGCGCCTTTCAACTCATCTGGACTACCGATACGTCTATCAATGTTGGACATGATCAGCAGTGCATACGTCCCGGGTCTGCCAAATTTAGATTTACATACCGCATTGGCGCCTTTTCTCCCAAAGAAGATTTGACTTCGGTGCTGCATTCGCCCGTCAAACCACTGTCAATGTATCCCGGCGAAACAGTATTCACACGTGCAAACGCGGCCCATTCGACAGCGAGGGATTTACCTTCATAGAAGGAATGGTCATTATTGACATTCGCCGTAGATGGATTGGCAATACTTACATAGATGGATAACACCCGCTTTGGACGTGTTGTACGCAGCTTGAAGATGTGGCACATTTACAATATGTCCACTCATACTTGCTGTAGCCACGAAAGTACCGGACTTGAAGCCCACGAGCTCTGCACCATCCGTAGTCGTTCGTTCCTGAAACTGACGCCGGAAATGCTGTCCAGCTGCCCGAGCACAATAGTACACGGAATCTAGATTCGTGCTCATAACCTCATGGTAATGCTTGATGGTGCTATCTAGGGCTTCGACTTCCCCCCATGCTATTCCACTATTTGCGACGAAGATATCAAGGCGTCCGTTGAAATCGTGCACTATCTGATTCACGACTGATTGCACATCTATCTCTTGAGTGACATCAACTTTATATGCGCTGCCTGCGTATCTAGTCAGCCATGTAACCGATGAAACAGAATGGTATAGAACATACATTGAACCCCATAAGCCTTGGCAATTGTCTCTGCAGCCGTTGTTGCTGATTCATTTCGATTGTATAGTATGGCTACATTAGCGCCAGCTTCAGCGAGGATCTCGGCAATTGCATAGCCTATTCCTGTGGCAGCTACACCAGAGACAATAGCGGTTCGGCCTCGAAGAGAGAAGAGGGACAAGCCGGCCGAAGAGGACTTGATGGGCTCCATCTTTGTTGCTCTATTCCAAAGCCGGATTCAGTAACACAATGTGGACGCAATCTATGGTCAAGCTTCTTTGAAAGCACCGCTTTTAAGGCTCACAAATGATTACCGAGATTACATACAGATTTGCTGTCGCCCACACGTCAGTCGTTGAAGAAGAAAAAAGTGGATTCTGATACCCCGCGCCCACGGTCTACATGCCCTGATCACATATTCCCCAATTTTCCCGGTTGAACAATCATCAAGGAGTTTTGCATAGATTCAGATGCTGGGAGTAGTATGACACCAATGGATATGGTCTCCCTGAAMAAAGCCAAAAAAAAAAAAAAGTCTCAACTTGTTGTGTCAGTATTTTCCAAAATGGTTAGTCGTACCTTTGCTTCCGTCCACCGTCCACTTTAGTTGACTAAAGAACCTTCACTCAATCCACCAAGACCACTCAGACAACAAGATGAAGATATCCACGCTAATTAATTAAAGTCTAGGCGCGTGGATTTCGTGGCGGTGGACGGTGGACATGCTTTACAAGATGCGACTACTTTTCCTAGACAACTTCTCCAGTCATCCAACCAAACTACAGCATGGTTGTCAACAACATATCAAGGTTTCTGGGGTAGTTAAACTGAAAGACACCGGTCGGTATAATCATATAGCGAAACTAAGAATCCCCGCAAACCCACAGCAGAATGTCGTGTCAGCTCCATATTTTGAATAAACGAGGGTCCGTCAACATGGAGAAGATTGATATGTGCGGCATTTATACGTTGGGGTTTCCCAATGGCCTCACAATTGGAACAATTTTTCGGTGGCACTGGTATCACGTCAAAGATGCTTCTTTCTTTGAGGAAAATTGTCGTCCCTGCACTTGCATTTGCCAGCATAAGCCAAGCTGCAGTTTTGTGTGATTCTCCCGAGTCTTTCCTACCCGTGTCCTATGCATTGAGTACCACACCTGTGGATTCTGGTCTCGCTGCTCATTCCACGCAACGAAAGTATGCTCTCTCGAAACACGCGCCTGTACTAACTCTCGACTATGAAGTCGATGTGGCTGGTTTTCCTTACCTCGACATTGTTTCAGGCACTGGTCAAATCGAACTCAAATATACCGAAGACTTTGACGGCTTGAACCAGATCTATGGCGATGGACCATGGACTTTTGTTGTAGGTCTAGCGAATTCATTCAGAACAGAGACTTTCAACATTACTGGGCCGGGACGCGTAAAGTCAACACTCTTGCAAGGAGCACAGCGATGGGAAACCATTACTCTCTTGACTGACGACACCATTGTGGTCTCCAATCCTGGTGTTGAACCCTCGGTAGAAGTTTGTCCAACAGAAACGCTCCCGGGGTCTTTCTCTGCTTCCATCCAAAACTATACGGAAATTTGGGGGCTTGGAGCTCGAGCTGTTCAATTGGCATGCTTCGATAAAGAGTCACAACCTTCAACTTGGAAAATCACAGCAAACGGTGCCTATATTCAAGGCCAACAACCGGCGAATTCGCCCTTGGGATACGGCATGTCTGAGTACACACTAGAATTCATGACCAAGATCGTCCGAGGTGGTACTGGTTGGCGAGTACTGTCGTCAGCGGTTAGTAGCGGTCCTTATATGATTTTGACAAGCAACTATCCTGATCATTCAACTTTTGTGAATATCAACACGACTCTCTTGCCACCTAATACATTAATTGTTGGAAACGGACCAAGCATCGTCAATCAAACTTCGCTTACGACCGGCGCCAACCTGTACTACCCCATTTCTACTAAGATTCTTGAAGACACCTGGTACAACATCACGATAGCGACTGGTACAGCTGGTATTGATGTCTATATAAATAGTACATTGAGCGCCACTGTACCTCTCGTGAGCACCGGCACGTGGGGTTTTGGACCTTTCATGGACCAAATTGCCTATGTCAAGGACGTGCAAGTAACTGTATCCAATGGCACTGTCATCTACCAGAATGATATGAAGTCGGATCATACCCTTGCCGAGTACGGTGTGCAGTCCAACACTGTTCCTATCTGTGTTGATGGCGGCAAGAGAGATCGTGCAATTTGGGTAGGAGATTTTGTGCACACTGCACGCGTACTAGCAGCCACAACAAACCGCGTGGAGTTCATTCGAGGTGTTATTGAAAGTTCGCTCAGCTGGCAACTCCCAGCAGGAGATGAAGCTTCCGGACTTGTTGCTACTCGAGCAAGTCTTGGGGATGATAATAGATATAAAGACCATTATTATGTCACTAATTATGGCATTACGGACTACCAGATCTTCTTCATGTTAGTAGTCGGAGACTACTACACGTTGACAAATGATCTGGCGTTCTTGACGCCATACTGGTCACAAGTACAAGCACTCGTCTCACGGATCGAGACATATCTGGACCCTAATTCTGGGCTTCTCGGTGATAGCTACGACAACTATTACTTCACCGCCGGGCCTGTTCCAAATGCAACTGCACCAGCAGCTCTCTTTGCATATGCACTTCGCAAATTAATTCCCCTGGCAGAGGCTATTGGGGACACCGCTAGCGCATCAGCTTACAGCTCAACCGCGCAATCGATCGCAGACGCTATCAATGACTTGCTTTGGAATCCCACAGCTGGAACATACGGTGTTGCTCTATCGGACGTCAATGATTATTCACTTACTGCCATATCATTCACTATCCTTGCAGAAATTATGAATGCTACCCAGATTGAATCAACACTTGCCACTGCCCTACCAAAGTTATTCTATATTACGGGATACAAGGACTCTTCTAGCATCACCTCTTCACTCACTACCCAGCTCTCACCAAATACGCAGGGCTTTCTGCTCGAGGCTTTGCTCATATCTTTAAAAAACGACTACAGCAGTACCACCACATCGGCCGCACTTACCGCTATATCAAATCTTCTCAACGTCTACTGGCCACAGATGTTGAGCACGAGTCGTTACTACACCGGCGCATCATGGGAATACGTCTTTCCAGATGGCAGTCCCGGCCTTGAGCTTTTTACTAGTCTCGCCCATCCATGGGGTAGTGCGCCAACCTACCTGCTTACGCAATACGTGCTTGGTGTTGGCCCAAAATCAGCAGGCTATGAGCAATGGTCATTTGAACCCATACCAGCACTTTTAAGAGGTGGATTAGAAGGGCTGAGTTGGGCTGAGGGTGTCGTGCCGACACCAAACGGTGGTGCTATCAAGGCGTCTTGGAAGGTTAACCAGTCTACGGGACAGGTCAAGATCACTGCCCAAGGGCCAGCACATACGACCGGAGTGATTACTTCGACTGTCTTGATGGGAACTTGGATTGTAGATGGCGTACGGAAGACTCTGAATGGGTCCTATACTGTGACTGGAGGAAAGCAAGTTGTTCTTGTTGGTACGATATAGAAAGTCAGATGTACCTAGGGATAGCTCGGTGCGGTATATTTTGTATATTTAAAAAGCTAAATTACATGAGATGCACTGAAGGTCTTATGAAAAATATCTTGCACCGGGATATTCTAGATTTCCCCAAGCTGCAGGTCAAGACCTGAAAATAGCAGATACAGTAACACTTCCCCAAACAGGAAGGTCATTATGTGCGAAATGCGACCCCACGATTTGAAGCCAATGCCGATCTATCAAATATGGTACGTAGTATCTTTCATCAAAACTTGCGATTGAAACTCTTATGCTGGTTTTTAAAAAGGCGAGTTCTCGCTAAGCACATCTATGAAACTCTAACTAAAGGATGTAACGTTGACTGCACCTTAATTTACTCGCTTTCCCCGCTATCGCGGTCTTATTGATAAGTAACAAAACCTGCGTAATTTCATGATTAATGATTGGTTCTTTTAACCTTTGTTTCGGAGTGTTCGCGCTATTCGGGGTGTTCGGGGTTCTACGAGAGATCTGCGTTTGGAGATCCACCGGGGTAGAGTGATATTTCGTCGAATACGATTGCTTGAGGCCTCGCTTAAAGTCCTTGGTTAACATTGGAGGCAGTTCCTGCGTAATTTCTTGAGTGTATCCAGTCAATATGGGGACATAATATAAAGTCTAGTTATACTCCGACAGAACTCAGAATTGTTGCTACTGATAGTTTCTTTCGCAGTATTAAATATTGAAGCCGGAATCAGGGAGAAAAAGAATTAATCGGAAGCACATATCAAGCACATCGTCCCGGAAAACAAACCGATTGACGCAAAGCAAAGTCTCAATTATGAAATCATTTTCGACGCTTCTTCTTGCGCTGTGTAGCCTTCGGCAGGTGCAGGCTTTCAGGCATAACAATTTACAAGTACTCGCCGGAGTGCATGTCGTCTACTCTTACTCTGGCACGACACCACCCGCTGAATTGACGACCCTCATCGAAGAAGGACTGGTCGGCGGAGTCATACTATTTGGTAACAATGTGAACAGCAGCCTTCCAGCCATTATCGAATCGTGGCAGACAGCATACGCCAACAGTCCAGCTTACATTGGATCTCCCTTGCTGATAATGACAGACCAAGAAGGTGGAAAGGTTCGTCGACTACCTGGAGGACCAACGGAGTCTGAGAAAGCCATTGGAGAATCATCCGATCCAGAGCAAGCAGCATCCCAAGCCGGATCTGATGCCGCAGCGGCTTTGGGCGCATATAATATGAATACAAATCTTGCTCCTGTGCTGGATGTCTTTCGCACGCCAGGAGACTTTGATGACCAGTACCAAAGATCGTATAGCGATAATGCAACTTTGGCGGGTATTTGTGGTGCTGCATTTACAGCCGCACAGCAGGCTGCGGGATACATTGCAACAGCAAAGCACTTTCCAGGTTTAGGAAGTGCGTCTGCTGATGAAAATACCGATGAGGTTCCTGTTACACTGAATGTTACCATCGATGAAATTAGGTCTATTGACGAGATGCCCTATCACAACGCTATTGCAGCTGGTATTGACATGGTCATGCCGTCTTGGGCCTTGTATCCTGACTTTGACGATGAGTATCCTTCAGGTCTTAGCGAAAAATGGTTGAAACAGGAGCTTCGTGGTCGATTGGGATTTCGGGGCGTTACCATCAGCGACGCGATCGAAGCTGGTGCCTTGACAGCGTTTGGCTCAGACTCGGACCGTGCGGTGCTAGCAAGTGGTGCTGGCATGGATATCATCCTTGCTGCCGCCCAGAATGTTACTCAGGGTCAGACAATTGTCCAGGCTCTAGTGGATGCGTTGAACAGCAGAACTCTGGATAGGGCAGAATTTGACGAAGGAACGCGGAGGATACTCGCACTCCGCAATAAGATATCTGCATGAGTGGTTTGTCGGGCTTCAGATGCTTACCGCAAAAGTAAAATGAGCCTTGAAAGGCATTCATGATCAAAGTTCATATTTCATAAATTGTCTATTGTCGTAGCCGATCCAATCCAAGCATTAAATACTCATTAATCACTTGTTTTCTAATCTAGTCGTCTATTCTTCAGTCACTGTACTCCCCGCTTCGGCCGACATCGACAGGATATCGAGTCGCCTTGCAATCCCATCATCTCTACCCACTGCAACAGCCTTCTCTATCTCACCATCGCGAACCCACTTGATCGGACCCGGGGGTATCGTTCCGGTGCTCTCGGGATCGTTCCAGTTAATGTTCTGCCATAACTCTTTGGCGATTGATGGCAACATGGCATGCTGATAATCAAATTCCCCACCGAAAACTTTAGGAATATTCTCCAAGTCAATGTCTTCGGCCAAAGTTTCCAAGACTTCGTTTGGTGACACGATCACCATCTTTTCTGCTGTAACTGGATCAATGAATCTTTTGATCAAGCCCCATATGGTGTTATAGTAGGATGGAGCATTCAAGACCTATAACAATCATATCAGAATTCAAATCGTCACTGCGGTATACTCGTCTAGTGTATTTCGATGGAATGCATACATAAATACGATCAACCACTTCTGGGTAATTGATGGCCAGTAAACGGCTGAGATCTTGCGCATAGTTCCGCAGATCCCATACCTGCTTTAAAGTCACGCTGGCGATGTTGACCAAGTAGATGCAATGGCTGGTTTCATTCCCGTCAATTTTCGGTTTGCGTGTCAATCTTGAGCAAAGTGGGAACAGAAACCGAGTTATGTAGTCATGGTATATTAAGGCCCTTTGGGAACCGCTGAGTGATGCCGCAACCGGCTTTTCAGTTGCAGGGGATATCTCACTAACTGCTGGTTTAAGATTTCGTGTTCGCTCATAAGACTTTATAGCTGCATTGTTCAGATTCACGGCGTCGAAGACAAGAATAGGTATACCGTGTTTATTGAAACGGCCGGACCAGTGAGGATACTTTTGATTGTTAGTGTACGATCCATCAAAAATAATAATCAATTATTAAGCGCGCCAACATAATTTCTTTCTTCGGCACGATTGGAGTTCACTAAACTCACAATTGATCGAATTTCTTCAAAGTCATTCACATCTATCTCATCATATAGCTCGACAATGTGATTGTTATTATGCGCTGCAGCAGACTCTTTGAACTGCTTCAAAGCGCCTTGTGCGTCAAAACTCCGAGCTTTCAAAAATCGGCTTGGAACAAAAATATATCAGTCGAAACAGTTGAGAGTTAGCGATCGCTCTACATACAGAAGAGTCGCCTTGTCCGTCAGCCCATTAAGCATGTCATTCTCGTCAAGACCTTGGGGGCGGATTAGCAGGCCATCTTTAGAGCAAAGATCAGTAAACTCTTGCAAAGCATCTGCTTGCGCGTCGGAAACTTGCGCGTTGGGCATTCTTCTTATACAGTTCAAGCGAGATTCAATTTTTGAAAGTCGAATCTGTCTTTCTGTTGTGTTGATGAATTGAGATAAATGGTGTCATGGTACCTCCCAGCCTTTTCTTTTAGCACCTACTAGCACGAACGCGCCTATTGGTTCGTTAGGTAGCCTTGCAGCTGGCCAAAATGAGCGACACCGAACTTCATATGAAAGCGCCATCAGCCCGTGATATTTTCAAGCGAAGTGTGTGAGTAATTTGTGACTACAAGTAGGTCTCTTGTCAGCCGCGTTCTCCGTAGAACTGGTTCATAGAACTAAGCATCTCACTTTGCTGTAGAAGCTTATTGCTGTTTCCATCGTTTATTGTTGTTTTCCCAATTATTCACGTTGACTACGGTTGCTCATTTATTACCTGGGATGTATAATGTGCTCGAGAGGTACATGGAGTTAATCTTCCAAGGTTCAAAGTTTGGCGTCAGACCAAGCTTACCACGTGGGAAATATATGTTTTCATAATTAATTAACAGGGCTCGAAACGTGAAATAGAACCTATTGACAAAATTAGAAAACGATGCTTCGCTCATCTTGCCAATACGACATCGACTGCCATCAAACGAATTTAGCATGTGCTTGTTAATGCATTTTGGCCGATCTCTTTTCGCGATTTCAGATGTAATTGTGAGCGCCTGGGTTTTACAAAGTCCTTCGCCATATTTTCAAGTAAACTGATCGTGATCAAATGATCAGATGAGGAGAGAGAAGGAGGGTGACACAATACATTAACTCGGTTGACGTTAGGAACGAGATTGATCTACACTGTTGACGGGGTAATGAAAGCCCGAGGGTAAGAAGCAACAACATTAGAAACTTGTTTCTTTTGCGACATATAGTCGAGCATATGTGATACAACTCTGAAGTTGTATCTGTAAATTCTCAATTTAGAAACAATCAGAGCAAGTGCCATAAAGTTTAAGTAGCAAGAACATTAAGTCAAGGCTTTTCTGATAGATGTCAGAATCACATTACCTGTATCTCCGCGATGTTAGACCCCATAGATATTCCTCAAAGTATGCACACTCGGGCCAACAACCCCGGCCGAAGGAGATTATCCGCATTTTTCCTCATTCAGCGCTATCTAGCGATTTACATGCAGGTACTACTTGTAGATGAGGTCGCCTATGCAGCAGGATCAGTTCCCTCATATGTTTGACGAATCGTGGGCGATATTAAACAGGCGTCCTTCGGCACTTTCTGCATGCTGCATTACCCCTCAGCGAGTCACCGGCATTGCAACTGTAGGACAATCGCATAGATTCTTACTTCCGGGAGGCCGATTTTTAAAAACAAGAAATGAAAGTAACACGTATGTGAAAAGATGCGTGTTTAGGAGTAACAATTATTTCAAATCTAATGTATTAATTTGGTCGATGCATTATTGCAAACCTTGTTTGAAACAATGACTGGGTCATGGTACAAACAAAATGTAGTCACCTTCGTTTCATCGGTGTTTTAAAGTCCTAGACATTTCCGTTTTTGGGTTTTAGTAGAACAGCCAAGTAAAGCGCCAATGACTGTCGAATAACACGATTTTGTCAACTGTAATCGCTTGTTCAAGTGCCGTGGTCGCCTACTCAAGCTCAAGCGACGCATACAAAATTTAATTTAAGCCTTTTCTTTCGATTATGAAGATCTAAGTTACTTAGGCCTTGGTAGTTGTCTAACTAAACAGTGTCTGGGCTAGAGACAAGCCGAGATCAAAAGGGGTCTCTGCTGACGCCGTGGCTTATGGCCCCAGATTTATGGATCTAAGAGCCGGGGCGATGCAACACCTCTAATAATGGAGCAGGCTTAGCTTTTTCACTTGTTTGGCGGCGTGGAAGCCTCCATTTCGAATTGTTTTCCTGCTCGAGAAAATGTACAGCCTACAGGGTGATTCCCTGCGGTGCGGACCTGAAACCTTGTCGGTCCTTATTCATGCAATAATAACAAAGACAAACGTTACACTTATGTAATTGGTCAAGAACCTGACTTGATTTCGCAGAAATATGATAGCGAGTGTGATGAATAACTCATCTTATCCTGTGATCTGTAATGACTCAATGCTACACACTTTTGCAAATTTAATGCAAAACAAATAGGTAATTGGATAGCAATTTATCATGGTATCGCTAATCCAATGATTAACAAACAGCTATCTTGATCGGCCCTAAACTTGCCGAAACAGCATTAACCTTAAGTCATGTTCCTGAGTCCCTGACTCGTAAGCCTTAATTTCCGCGTGCAACGTAATCCGTGCAACTTGCTGTGTTCAGTCAGGGTCAATACGATTGCTCAAATCAGTTGACTGGCTTGTGTAACAATTTGTACAAAATGTCGAGGACATTTCGCACGGCTAAGCAGGTCATCGGTGCGAGTAACCATGAATCGGTGATCAGTCGCGCACTCCAGGTACGTTTACGCCGTATTCCTTTGGTAAACAGATAAGTATAGTGGAGTCAGGCCGCGAATAAAATATACGTGTTTCAGTCCATACTACACGTACATAGCCCGCCAAAAATAGGTCCAGGTATGGTAATCCATATCGAGTTCGTCACATCAGGTTACAGTAAGTGCCCTAGGCGTGACTCTCTGCTGCGCTACTTCGTCATTCTCATGCTGGTAAGAACTACATAAAGATACCATTGTTGCTCGAAAGTAACTAACCTGGGATCCCTCGAGATCGTAGTCTGCGGTCATTGAGCGCACATTGAGTGGCCGAGATTTCATGGTCCACATCTACTGCTCACGAGTGTGCGTATATAATGACTTGCATATAATCCATTGGTCTTTTCTACGTAGCTAGACATAATGTATATCTTTAAGTCGATTTCGATTCGAACCCTGATGTATTTTTCTTGATGCTGTACACCACATAGGGTGGTGGAGCAGGCGCCGCTAGATTTAGCTTATTGATCGGCGAGTCGGGGTGCTACTCTGCCCCCGTGGCGTCGGGCTGACCCTTCATTTAGCAACGGTCATCTATCAAAAACAGCTGTTGAATTCGATCAGATGATTCGACTTGACCAACTTAGCAGTCGTTTCAGATCCACTCATCTGCAACGAACCTAGTGTAAACGAATGCGAACCGCCCTGGAATCAAGAAAAATAGACTAGACCTTCTCCAACGTGGTATTGTGATAATGGCTCSGKTCCTTCCTTTCCTTCCTTTTCTTTCTTTTTCAGCGAAGAACACATGCCCTCGTTGATCAAGTCTTAAGCCACGCGCTAGACAGTCAGCTACAAGATCTTGATCCAAAGTCTGAGGGGCTGACGGATTTTGCGATACAATTATTACCCCGCTTTCCAGGGTGGTATTTCTGGTAATAATAGAATCGGTCAATACAACCATAGCCTCCTTTGAGGAAGGCTATTCCTGCTGAGTTAATTATAAAACGACGTTTCCCTACTTTATATGACATCAAAATATCCAACCACAAAACAACATTTCTCAATCTTTCGATTCCAGCATACCCCCTACACACAAGCCTCGCTGTGAAAATGAAGTTCTCTACTCTCGCAGGGTCTATCCTGCTCTCCAGCGTTGCGCTAGCTGCTCCTCTTTCCGAGGAGAATCTCGCTCGACGTGAAGCCAACCGCGTTGCTCGCCGTGCTCGTCCCCACAGGCAGACTCACACCAACCAGCGTGTTGACGCCGGCAAGGATCTTGCGACGACCGATTCCGAGACCTTTGCCGAAGTCTACTCCAGCAACTGGGCCGGTGCTGTCCTGATCGGGTCCGGATACACCTCAGTCACTGGATCCTTCGTTGTTCCTTCCGTCACTGTTCCAGATGGTGGTGACAGCACCCAACAGTACTGCGCTGCCGCCTGGGTTGGTATTGACGGCGACACTTGTGGCACCGCTATCCTCCAGACTGGTGTGAACATCTGCATTCAGAACGGTCAGATCACGAACACTGCTTGGTACGAGTGGTTCCCTGCCGCCCAAGAGTACTGGGATAGTGGTATCTCCATCAACACTGGTGACACTATTACTGCTACTGTTACTGCCGACAGCTTGACTGGTGGCACCGCTACTGTCACCAACGAGTCCAACGGCCAGTCCGTCTCATACACCTTCTCCGGCCAGACTGACAGTCTCTGTGAGACCAACGCTGAATGGATCATGGAGGATCTCTCGGGTGGCGGCGGTCTTCTCAACTTCGCCGACTTTGGCAGTGACTTCACCTTCACTGGTGCTACTGCCCTCTCCAACGGTGCTACCGTCGACACCACGGGTTCTACCATCATGGACATTTACCAAAATAACGAGGTCCTCACCTCTACCAGCGCTTCTGGCAGCACTGTCGTTATTTCTTACCAATAAATACCAGGAGAGCTATACGCGGGGAGGCATTTTGTTAATACTTGTGCTGCAAAAGATGAGTGGGGATTGGATAGGGAATCAGATATACATTTGATAGAACTTGTACATAGATTATCCATATTTCTCTTCTAATGCTAGTCTAATCCGTATTCGATGTTCCTGTGGTGTGTTTATAACAGTAAAAAGTAAAAAGGTTACAGGCATGCCATAGACTAACAAATCGTATCTTCGTGACTGGTTATGAAAGTTCGTAACGGTCATCAACTTACCTATCTAGGTAGGTAACGCTGCCAAAAGGAGAGCTTCCGTGACAGATCGACTGTCCTACATCAATTGAATTTCTGTATAGTAGTAGCAGGCCGTAGCATGAAGACTTGAAGTGCCTAAAACACACATATAGGTGAGGTGATCAAGTCCACGAGGGCTCGAGTCCATTGACCAAATTGATCCTTGGATAATTTTACTTCACTTGCTGTGAAGAAACACGAAGCAAGCTAGACCAACGCAGGAAGTTATTATTGCTTCACAGGAATACGTCAGTACAAAAGATGTTAATCGGAAATCCGAAAAATTTCATGTTGCATACCGAATGTGAGATTCATATAGTAATATCCGACAGCTTGTACTAGGGTGCCCGACAGGAGTGGTCCTGATAACAGCCCTATATTCCAACTTAGATTGGTCAGGGAATAGGCTCGAGAGTAACCCCCATTTGGACCAAAGATGCCTGGTTTTTCCGTTTGTAATTCTTTAATGGCACCTATAATTCAACGTCAATCTTCACTTACTCCAATTTATAGCATCATATCACAGCCCGCACTCACTTGTCATTTCAATAATGCCAGTGCCAATAGTCAGACTTCTTGCAAATCCAAGAGCCAACAGTGTAGAGGAGTAAATTATCTGGCCCCTCTGACCTGAACCAATGAAGGAGAACCCATCATTTCCAGGCGTACCGAGAAGCCACAGCAAAAACCCTGTCAACAAATAGCCTATGCCAGTCGCGACTTTTGTTCCATGTTTATCCTTTAACGCACCCGTAAATGTCCCCAAAGCTAGCTGGGGTATTTGAATCAGAAAAAACATGAAACTCATCTGAGCCGTGTTCCAGCCAAAGTCTCGTATTACATGCAGAGGTAGCGTCGTATCTAGGCTTGTTACGACAAGAGAACTTGTCATATGGCATGCCATAGCAGTCAGTGCACGTGGATGAGATAGTACGACGCGATAAAAGTTCGAAACTCCATGAGTTTGCTGAGTTGGACTTTTTTGAGCAGACCGATCCTGTATATCGCTAGTATTTGCCATCTGGGCTTGGAGTAAAGGAGTAGTCTCGCTGGTGGAGTTACTGGTGTCTGCCTCTGCTGCTGTAGCCTCGACATCTGCGTCTTCCGGCAATGTATGTTCATTATTCTCACGTGTCGGGGTAGATCCCGACTTCACATCATTTCCATTTTCCTGCTCCTTTGGCTTTTCAATGATTACCAATCGCACCAACATGTCAATGATCAAGATGGCAAATGCGGTAATCCATGTTGGCCAATAGCCCACAAGTCGCAATAGCCACCCGGATACCATTGGACCAACAAGTAAACCAGAATTGTAGACGACAGATATAGCTCCCAACGTTTTAGCCCTATTTTCTGACCCAACCGTGTCGGCGAGCGTTGCCATACCGATGATCCATGCTGCATTTCCGCCGATGGCAAGTATAATTCGGCCGCAGATAAGTATGCCAACTGTAAACCGTTGTCATCAGTGTATGTACGCTAAATTAGAACTTCAAAAGACACTGTGTGCAACGTACCAGAAGGTGCCGCTGCAACAATCGTTGTACCAATAAGTTCGCATGACAACGAGACAAGCAAAGCACCCTTTCGTGATGAGATTCTGTCGGCAATATGCCCTGTTATGGGTCCAGCCACAACGCACACAAGCGCATGGACGGAAAGCACGAGTGAAATAACGTATTGAGCGTTGGATCGATCAACATTGAGACGCTCTTCTAACATGTAATCAAGAATCGGGACGATGAAGCTGAACAGGAAGTTCTCTAGTGATCCGTCAATTCTTTGCTCACTGTATTATTAAACAACCCATTTTTGGGTTACCTGTAAACAAAGCAATTGCGATACACGCAATGATAAGAAATTTAGATGAGCGCCATCGGTAGCCGATTCGATGCTTGCTGTCGGTGGCTATCGCCATATTCTATTCGGCCCACTTCCGTCGTTTTCTCTAGAATTTGATATAAATGAAGAAACAATTTGGAGAGATGGTGACTTGGACAAGTCTCGAGCGGTAGAAAAGCCTTGAAGAATTGGCGGGTTAGCAAGTAGCTGTCATAACACGAGCTCTGCTCAACAATTTATTTGAATCGGCAATTATTCAGCTCTCCAAGGCAAGCTAAACTCAATTTACGATAGAGCCATGCGTGAGCGTATTTAGGTCTCAATAGTAGGTGGGTCGGTGAGTTGACTTTAAGCAATCAGAATGAACAATCGGAAAGATGTTCATGCAACTTAAGCTTTAGAGCAATAAGATGGAATTTATACTGATTGCTAGTGGATTATGGTGACGGGGACGGCCAGCTGCGATTCCGTCTTCCGCTTCCTATTAAATCTGACGTTATACCTTTGCTTCAGTTCTAGTCTTTGGTAATTCATCATAAATCACTTTCAAAAAGCAGTTCCCTCACCATTCACGTTTTCTTTCTTCTACATCACCGCTCCATATCGGTACAGAATAGTATACGCGTGGAGAGAATCAACTTCGGGGCTGAGGTGCATATCGGGATCGGCGACTTTCTCAAAATTGATACATGCGTTGCACCATGTACGCCAGTCTCCCTTCATGCATGCAGTGTGTGCAATGTTGTATGTGCAGACTAAACAGGAGAGCAGATTGGTGTAAACTTTCTTTATGACAAATTGAAAGTGCAGAGTGATCAGAGATGTCTAGAATAAGATACTTGTTGCGTTGAACAACTACCTCGATTCTCATGGGCCTACGAGTTTTATACAACTCTGAAATGTTGAGGCAATTCAATACATTCTGTCGGGATATACAATCTAACTACATATTTAATCCGAGCCCTGGAAACTAATTACTTGAGTATTCATTCAAGAAGAGAGGGATCTTCCTTGACAGCCTGATCAAAATAAGGCTGGAACGCCAACCACATCTTGCTCGAGTTTCCGCTCTTCTTATGCGTCATCTCTGCCTCTGCCTTATTGATCAAGATCTTCTCCCATCCAGGACCACTAGCTGCATTAGCCATCATCTGTGCATGACAGCATCGATCTAGCGCAATAAACAAGAATGCAGCCTCATCCACAGTCTTACCGCAAGTAATCATACCATGATTTTGCAAAATTACACTGCGGCAGGTAGGGCCAAGGGCTTTTGCAATTCGTGCACCTTCTTCGGTGGATATAACAGTTCCGCCATACCTGTTATACACCGCAAGGTCATTGTAGAATCGTAAAGCGTCCTGGTAAATCATTTCGATCGGGCGACCAAAGCATGAAAAGGCTTTCCCATAGACGGAGTGAGCATGGCAAGCTGCATTTAGATCTGGACGAGCCTTGTGGATTTCGCTGTGAATAGCAAATGCAGGACCATTGATTGGGTGCTGTGCGCCACCAGGTATGACCTGCCCATTTTCGTTGACCAATACTAGATCTGAAACCTTAATCATGGAGAAATGCATGCTCAAAGGGTTGATCCAGAAATTGTCTAAAACTCGTTAGCTCTTGAATTCGCTACAGTTATGGTTGTCATTTTAGGCTCATGGGTCAAGGATAGATATTTGAGTATTTTTCGGTATTTTCGCGCATGGTATGAAATGTACTTACGAGGGTCGATGGGATCTCGAAGACTAATATGCCCGGCAACACCCTCATCGAAACCTTGCTTTGCGAACACTCTGAATGCTGCCGCCAAATGCTCCTTTTGATATTTGCGTTCATCGAGTTTGTTGGTGAAAGTAGGAGGTGACCGGATCACGATCTTTCCTTCGGCATCTCCGAGGAAATGAACATCCTCGAAAAATTCTGATGTACCATTTAAGCGATTTTGTGGTTGTTGCTCGGCCTCTAATGTGGTCGTTGCGGTTGTGGTAGTTGTTGTGGACATTGTGACGTTACTTTCTGATACAAAACCGTGCGAAATTTTCCATAGGATTTTCGTAGGACTTATTTGAAGTGATTGCATGAGCAATGGTCATCAATGCTACTAAATACTTGAACACTTTGTATGATCTTTCAAAGGGAGTACGTACTTGATACGTGTGGCGTGCCCCGCATTGCCTATCTTCCGTCTTCATCAATTCTCGACACAAGGAAAAAAGTCCGACATCGCCTCGTTCCAATTGCTGCGCTGTTTTATAGCGTATACAATCGGATTACCTTGTTCGGCAACTCGCCGGCGAACATCATCCATAGCGGAGGGTTTCATACCGTCGTGGGTGTGGGGTTTATAGGGCACGGATGGGGAGTCTCCGTACACGAAATCGGACCAAGCTTTCTAGGTCATGCACGAGCGTCACACTATTTAGCTATATTTGGGGTCTGCTGTGGGATGTGGCAGTTTCTAGCCTATCAGCTTCGATTTCGGCGAATTGTGTTGATATCAACCCCGCACATCGTACAAGACACCAAAACAGTGGTATAGATCCGAGCTTGAACATTTGTCATGAGTGTCTAAATCAAGCAGACGCATACATATTGATTACATATGCCAAATTCCTTGCTCAAGTGATAGAACTTCCTAACACATGCTATTTTAATTCTCATAGCAGAAAATGCGAGCAATTTCAGTTCAAAACGGGCATGGCCCCGCGTCAGCCATGTTCATTGACGACACTGTGCCTGATCCGGTGCTCAAAGGAGATAGAATAATTGTTCGGGTCAAGGCCTTTGGCCTCAATCGTATGGATATATGGCAACGCCAGCAAGCTTATCCTTACAAGCTCCCCGAGGAATCACATGGAAACATCATGGGCGTGGAATTCAGTGGGATTATTGAGCAATTGGGACCAGACTGTAAGAAAATGCAATTACATCGATTTATCCACTAAGTGAAAGGACTTGTCGTCATTCTAACGGCATATAGGCTCAACAAGTACTTTCAAGGCTAGTGACAGGGTCTTCGGACTGGTTTATGGTGGTGCTGTAAGCCAATTCCTTACCATGTTGTGTGATTTGACAAATCAGCACGCCCTGGTGACATAAGATTGACCCTACTCTCTAGTATGCGGAGAAAGTATCCATATCAGAAAGAATGTTAATGCATCTCCCCAAAGAATTATCATTTGAAGAGGGTGCTGGTATACCAGAGGTGCGCCACTATGAGCTGTAGGGAATGAAATTATTGATAGGGTTCAGACTGATGATTTATGTTAGACATACTTCACTGCCAGCCAAGCCATTCATCTAGTTGGCAACATGGCGCCAAAGGCTAACGTGTTGATACATGCTGGAGCCTCCGGGGTTGGCCAATCTGCCATCCAAGTGGCGCGACTGGCAGGTGCCCAAAAGATATTCACGACAGCTGGTACACCTGAGAAGTGCGAACTAGTGAAATCCCTCGGAGCTGATTTTGCTATCAATTATCGGGCGGGTGAAGACTTTGCAGAAGTCGTGTCCCGTGAAACAGACGGCAAAGGCGTAGACCTCATTGTGGATCTAGTCGGTGCTAATTACTGGGCTCAAAACGTCGCTTCTGCAGCCGTTGATTCTAGAATCGTTATCATCGCCATGATGAGCGGCGGAAAGATCCCAGAGTTCGATATGCGGCCGTTGTTGACGAAGAGGGTCTGGATTTGCACGACTACATTGAGGATGAGATCAGTCGACTATCAAATCGGAGTGAAGAATTTCTTCGTGCAAAATATCCTGCCGGGCCTGGTGGAGAAAAAGATCAAGGCTGTAATTGATAAAGTCTACAGCTGGAAGCAGATTGGAGAAGCTCATGAGAGGATGGAAAACAATCAGAGTGCCGGCAAAATCATTTGCATTGTTGATTGATACAATAGAATTTGTTGAGTGTCAATGGCGGACATCGATATGAGCGTCTAATCAAGAAGCGAATTTCTTGCTAGGTTTAGTTATATTGTCCATAGCTTCTGAATAACGATAAGTGGGCATAACATCAATGATTGAACGCTTTATTACAGCAGTAGATTACGCTACGAGATGCAGATTTTGAAGGGAATGAAAAACTTCCGAACAGAGAATGACGTGAGAATTTTTCTAAACGTTTGACTAATTGAACAATTTCTCTGGGTTCTTCACCCACAGTTTCTGCCAAATTTCATCATCCGGAATCCATTCTCTCAAAATTCTAATATGACCAGTGTCATCAACTTCTCTGAACCCCTCAATATCATTGAGTCTCTCCTCGTCTGTTTTACCCTTTCGCGAAACACCAAGTTGCGTATGTGGCCAGTCTGTTCCAAACACAATTTGATCCGGACCAGCCTTGATGATAGCGGTAGCAATAGGCTTTACACTTTCCGTACCACTCTCAAAGCCATGGTATAGTCTTTCAAAGCCGGAAATCTTAACGAAGACTTTCTTCTCCCGAACAAGCTCTAAAAACACTTTGAAGTCCTCCGTGTTCTCCTCTCCTGGGAAAGTCCCACCCATATGGTCAGCAACCATCTTGATCCTAGGGTCGATCTCATTGCGTATCAGATCTGCCATTGCAGCCCATGCGCTAACGGGGCAGAAAATGCCAATCGCCCAGCCCAGTCGCGCCAGTCTTGAGGCGAGACCTCGAACTTTCACAATAATATCGCTTCCACCACTCTGTTTACCATGTCCCCAGGACATCTCATGTAGACGAGCACCACGGACACCTGCAGCATGTAACGCATCAAGTTCGGCGTCAGTTATCGTGTTGACATCAATGGTGGCTAGGCCACGAAGTTTGTAGTTTTGAAGACCTAGTTCAACGGATCCTTGTTTGCTAAGAGTATCGAGTAGAGCAGCTGGGGATGAGCCTTGCATTGATGCATGGACGATAACAATATTTTTGCACCCAGTGACGGATGTGGGATATTCGACCATTTTGGCTTCTTTGGGGGTATAGGAGCGAGGAACGACATATGGGAAATTTGCTGGATTGAATACATGGATGTGCGTATCCCAGGCGCCTGCTGGTACGAGTTCGGCCATTTTTTTGGCAAGACAAATAGAAGTTGTTGGTTTTAGATGGTTAGTGAATAGAACTGAGGTGAACGATTTCCGTATCTGGTTCTCTTGTTCAAAACCTCGATCTGTCAAGGCTACTGAATTTATATCACGCAGCTTACAACATTTCCAGGACCTATTTCTATTGAACCTTGAACTAATTTACTCGTGACGCATCCCATGTTTACGAATCCATCTCCAATTTCCCCCTATCTTCCCCGCAAATAACACGGAGGCTTCCCCGGACCATCAACGGAGATCCACTCTCCGTTTTCAATAACCAAGCTTACCCCGGTCAGACAGGCCAGGCCGTACGGCCTACGTACGAGCGTAATTCTACGTTCAACCAAGCTTCTTTGATGGAGATTTCTGGAGTTGAATGAATCAAATCGCCACATTACCCCGCAGACATACATCTAGCTTTTGACACGTTCTAGCGAGCCCTTGCTGTATGTGACAAAGTAATGGCATGTATCGCAGGCTGAAATAAAAGGTTACTTAGGCTTGTATTCTCATTAGGGAGTCGGTCAGATAGCGGGGCGACTACACCACGCGCGAAGAAAGCTTACGTCAAGGAGGTTCTAGTTTCGAGTTTACTTTGGTGTGCGGTGAGACCGGCATCTCTTGTATGGTCAAGACTTTCTTAGGACGTACAGTAATGCTCCGTCACGGCTATTTATGGCCTCCTTAATGACAACGTTCACATCGCTCTTCAACCGTCGATAAAGCACCACCCGTTCTGTTGGGCCTTGAATTTTGAATTATTTACTCATATCCATAAAATTGAAACAATCAACATCTTGCCCATCATGGTGAATATCAAGGCGGCAGCGAGTTCTCTGTGGGAGAATCTTGTGGACTCTCTTCGCATGAAACCCATTCAGTATATGGTTTGGATGTTGGGTTGGTCGATCTGGACATTGGGATCCTTGCAATACTATTCTCTTCCGTTCACACTGAGTAGCGTGGCTACATACTTAGACGTGAAACAGACCAAAATCTCGGAAGCTAACACTACTACCATGATTGCGAGATTGTTGGGTGCCATCATCTTCGGTGTGATATCAGATCAGTATGGTCGCAAAATCCCATTGATGATTGTCTTGGTGCTTGAGGGCGTCTTTACGCTTGGTACTGGGTTCGTCAAGACTTATGGACAACTGATCGGTCTTCGATTGATGTTTGGTATGTGACAGCGTGCAATGAAAGTAGGTTATGGTCATTGAAAGCTGAACTTAGGTATCTTATAGGAATCGCGTATGGCGGTACATACGGTCTTATCATGGCCATGGTCCTAGAAGCTGTCCCAAGGCGCTCTCGAGGTTTAGTTGCAGGTTTCACCCAGCAAGGATTTTCAGCGGGTTACCTTTTAGCCTCAGGATTGCACTTGGCACTGAGTGAGTCTTCTTGAATCTAACAAATGTATCTCTATATTGATCTTTGCTAATTTCTCAAGACAAATATGGCTGGCGKCCTCTCTTTTKGCTAGCCGCCGGACTAACAGTACCAATCGCCGTTCTCTTACTCGTTGCACCAAGCTACTCAATCATGGCAGAGGTAGTGGCCGAAGCCGAGGGCATTGAGAACGTAGACTCCCGTGCCGCTGTCGGTGGCAATCTATCTTTTCTGGCCAAGGTGAAATATGTGATTCTTCGTCATCCTAAGGCCTTCATTTATGCTGCTTGTTTGGCGGCGTGCTTGGCAACGATGGGTCACGGAACAATGGATCTGTATCCAACATTCTTGACAACTCAGCGTCATCTCGATGTTCTCCATGAGACCTGGATTACGGTCATTCTGCAGATAGGTGGTATTTTGGGTGGTGTGACCGGTGGGTTCTTATCGCACAGATACAGTCCCAGATGGGTTGCAGCAGCCAGTGCACTCCTCTGTGCTCCGTGGCTACCACTTTGGGTGCTGCCCACGAAGTGGAATGAACTCGCAGTGGGAGCTTTCTTCTTGCAGTTTTTTTACGGTGCTGCTATTGGCAATCTTGGAAATTTGATGCAGCAACTTTGTCCACATCCTGGTTTGCGTGCAGCGTTTACTGGAGTGGCGTATAATATTGGAAATGCTATTTCATCGGTTGCTCCCACTATTGAGACTTCACTTGGAGAGAGGTTTCCTACTGCTGATGGAACTCCGGATTATGGCAGGACACAGATGATTCTTGTTGGTATTGTAAGCTAAGCTCTTGGCCTGTCGATATATGAGGCATGTACTCTGTCAACTAACCACCACAGGTTATTGCTCTTCTCATCACAACATTAGTCAGTATGCCATTAGAGAGTCTCAACAAAGAATGGGACGAAGAAGATCCCAACGCGGCGATCCCGACCGTTCCGACTCACAAGGTTGTCACAGCGGACCTTGAAATGGGCGGTCAGGATGCTTCCAGTCTGGACAAATCAGCTGGCATGAACACAGAAACCGTTCACGTGGAACAGGTTGCGCAAAACGATGATTCAATTACACCCGAGAAAAAGGTTTGATGGGTTTTTGTTCATAGCAAGTTACAAGGCTCACCAATCTCGGAATTGCGGATGCGATGAATCAGTCTCATTATCAGACTTCCTAGGTCATTGCAGTAAAACTCAAGCTTCCTTCATCATGTAGATACAGCATCAAAATCACGCATGAACCCGAATAATGAATCCAAATCCTCGATGAATGGCTGGAACTCAGTCATATTCTGGTACTGCTCAATAGTGCTAGGACTTATGGACGTGTCAGGGAACATTTGTTGGCTCAAGTTGAAATCAAGCGGGAGCACGTCTTCAATATTCAATTCAGGTCCTAATAGAGCATTTTAGTTTTTGTAACTTCCAACATCAAATTAAAGTAAGGTGCTCACCTGACACATCTGGAATGCCATTGGCATGCATCAATTTCCTGATTATCTTGGCTGGAACAGATACTCCGCAATTCGGAACAGCCAACTCATCCAGACATCGAAGACAGACTGTCAAAGGAGAAGACAGGTCGCCACGTTTTGTACTTTCACGAACCACCTGGTTTCGAGCGTGAATGGTACAAGCTACATAAAGCGCGTAGCTAAGCATATAATTGGCGCGGCGTAAAGAATACGCTGACTGATATGCCAGAGCTAAACTCGTGATGTTTCGAGCTGCCGTCACACAGCGTTCCCAGGAAAGAGCTGTCGATATGTTGTCGGTCCATAAATGACCATTCCTAATAAAAGGTCGGTGTAAAATTATCATCAGAGACCAGTACATTGTGAGAAGAATCAGAATATTCGGTGCTGCTATATTTTTATAGCTTTTCCACGGTTCGAACCGAAGTTCCGTGGGCAAACTCTGATACCAGTGATGTAATTTCTCATCCATGATACCCAGATATGGTCGGGCGCTGTCCGGGTTAGCACCCACAAAGTAAAAATGATCGATTATGCTTGTCATGATCCGGGAGAGTGAGCACAGTTGTTGAAATGTGGTTATTGAGAACAGCCGGGTAGCGTTCGGCTGTTGTTTGGTTATCTGAGCTTCTTGTTCGAAACTTGGGTCAACATATGGCGTCCACATTTCGTTTTCCTCTAAAGTATCCATCAAATCCCAGGATACATGTGCGTCGCGAAGTGGAATCATATACGGTCTGCCAAAATAGAGACTCTGCAATTTGTCGCAGATAAATGCACCCCAGAACACTCGACGACGAATCTCAACGTCTTCGGCGTTTCCAGATATTTCTTTACAATCCAGGTGAAGGCCTAAATCATAAACCATACGCAGAGCATACCCAACATAGAGCCATCCCTTTGAGGTGCGGCCTTTTGCATTAAAAGTGGCACCGAGCAGAAGTAGGCCTGTTATGGTTGGAATGCTTGATGATTCCAGTAGTGACTGTTGCGTCAAAAGCTCGTCACAACGGTCAAAGAACATTTTTCCAGCTGTTTCCGGCAGCGCTGGGTTTTCTCTAACTTCGAGTCGCTCCGAGAATTTACTGCAACATCCAAATACAGCATTTAATAGGAACTCTGAGCAGTAGGGGCCTCCGCTAACAAGATCTCGCATGAATGCAGGACGATAAGTGAGATGGTACGTATGATGTTGCCGATTCCAGTGTAAATCTAGAAGATGCATTGCGAGTTCTCCTGGTATACCGCCAATCGTTTCTCTTCTTCGGAGGTCATGTTCCTTTTGTCTTTGTAAAGCAGCGCTGGCAATCAACTCATAACGGTTCGGTGCGTTGTCTAAGCTTGATGATTGTTGCGCTGGATCCGTGAGACTGTTGGTCGGGCTTTCAATGTGAAGATTTGAGGTCGGTCCAAAGATTCGAATAGTCCCGGACTCATCACGAGATATGAAAGTGGCTATGTGCTTTCCGTCAGCGGTGACGTTGGTTACTGGGCTGTTGTTCTGATGGCTATCGACAACAGGCATGTTATTGATTGGATGCGGCGCGGATAGCAGGGTTTCTTGTGGATTGTTGCCATGAGATAGGGACGAAGTCAGTCCTGGACTAGGTAAGTTTACTGAATTATCGTCATCTAGACTGAGACAGTCTAGGATCTTGTCACGAGTCTCAGCATCTGCGTTCTTGAGCGATATCAAGACATCTTGTAACGCCCGCTTTTCTTCCCGTGCCGCATCTATCAGAGCACGAGACGGCCTGGGACTTGGTAAGTAATCGAAATCGCGTCGAGTTCACATACATGATAAACTAATGGAGTCCAGAGACTCACCTCTGCCTCGGAGGTTCTCTGCTATAGATGCACTCCTGATTGTGATTCACACATGAACTACACTGTGGGCGCTTATGGTCGCACTTGATTTTGCGCGATCGGCAGAATTGGCAGGAACGAGCTAGCGATACGCCCGACTGCCGTGGCGTGGTCATCTTGATTGTATCATAGATAGCATGACTTTCGGTAATGTATATCCATGAGATATGAAAGTATATAGGACGATGTTGATGTTGAGGTGGATTGAAGACTGGAAGGAAAAGCGTCTGGGCAATGTTTGCACTGTTTGTCTGCGGAGTTGATGCCTTTGTGGAAGGAGCCATCTGCCAAGCCTTCACTCTACATTTATTTCTACCTTACAACTGTATTGTTTTGGATGGCTTTGATAACAGTTGGAATGATACCTGTTCTTTTTGCGAATTCCGGCGTCGAGTCATAACTCTCATTGAAGTGCTGACCATGACCATATCGGAGACAGAATATACATATGTTTGCGCTGAAGCTCGTTCAACTGATAGATATGAAGAGGGTATTTAACGTGTCTAATTCTTTCTGAGTCACATTACTTTCGTCTAACTTAGTCAATTATACGTAGAGATTCAGGGCTCTTTACTTGCAATCAATGCTTTTTGCCTCAATTCTTCAATGTTTTGACGCAGACGAAACACTTGACACGACTGATATCTAAGAGAACCGATAATGGCAAGCGAAGAGAGACTAATTGAGCTGTTCACGAATATAATAGCTCAGATATCATTGGCGATGACTATCACCTATACTGACCAGCCTCATCCTCTGGGATGTGAACGATTGTAAATCAATTTCAGCGCTATAGTTGCTATTTCCTGCATGCTCTGATGTCGGCAAACATGCCGAGAATGGGCGGCGGACTTTCATCCGCGGAGGATGATCCGCCGTTAATTCCCCGCTCAAGCTGCCCCATCTTACTTTCGGGGCATCATCCTCCGTGACTGTCCTCAATCGATATTCGCAAAAAATGTTAACATCTTTCTTCGCGGCTTCTTCGCTCATTACGCCGATCAAGTGAGCGTACCAAGTGATACTTGTCTGATTGTCCGATTAGCGCAGATTAGAAAAAAGCTAGTGTTATTCGCAAGTTCTTTAGCGCTAATAGCTTGAGCTTTAGCCAACGACTTTTGTTTAAAATAAAGCTCCTTTTCCTTTCATTCATCCTTGTCTAAATATTTATTTACGCTTGCTAGAAGCCAATTTGCCATCAACATTCCCAACGTCTCACCCTAAACATGCCCCTTCCATCCTCGTGCGACGTCCTAGTTGCAGGGAGCGGCAACGCCGGCTTCAGCGCAGCAGTAGCCGCCAAACAAGCAGGCGCAAAACACGTCATCCTAATCGACAAAGCGCCCGAAGAATGGGCCGGCGGCAACACCTTTTTCACCGCAGGAGCCTATCGTACCGCTCACAACGGCGCTGCTGATTTGCTTCCTCTGGTCAACAACGTCGACGAAGAAACCGCAAAAAGAATCGATTTGGAACCGTACACCGCACAAGACTTTGCGAATGATTTGCAACGCGTTTGTAAAGGGCGCTCTGACCCGGATATCAGTAAAGTGCTAGTGGAGAACTCGTTTGCGACGATTCAGTGGTTGAAGCAGAATGGGATCCGGTTTCAGCTTTCGTTTAATCGGCAGGCGTATGAGGTGGATGGGCGGCTGAAGTTTTGGGGTGGGATGGCGCTTAAGACGGAAGATGGTGGGAAGGGGCTTATTGAGGACCATAAAGCTAATGCGCGGCGACATGGCGTCAAAAGTTATTATTCTACTGCTTTGGAACGGCTAGTGACGAATCCTGACACCGGAGCGGTTGAGGGTATCGTCGTGCGGTATGAGGGCAAGACAGCGACTATCAGAGCAGGGGCAGTGGTTCTCGCTGCCGGCGGATTTGAGAGTAACTCTCGCATGCGCACTCAATACCTGGGACCTGGTTGGGATCTGGCCAAAGTGCGTGGAACTCCTTACAATACCGGAGATGCGTTGGAAACTGCCATTCGAGACGTCAAGGCAAAGCAGGTCGGAAATTGGTCTGGTTGCCATTCCGTAGCCTGGGACGCTAATGCGCCGGCTCATGAAGGAGACAGAATTGCATCAAACGAGTTCACAAAGTCTGGATATCCACTTGGTCTCATGTTCAATAACAATGGAGAACGTTTTGTGGACGAGGGAGTTGACTTGCGTAACTATACATATGCGAAGTTTGGTCGTGCGATCCTCAATCAACCTAACCAAAGCGCGTTTCAAATCTGGGATCAGCGGGCGATTCCTATGCTTAGATCGGAAGAGTATCGCCCAGAGCGTGTGCGCCAAATTATTGCCAATACTATTCCCGAGCTTGCCGATAAACTGGTTGAATTGGGGCTCGAGAATCGGCAAGCATTTATCGACAATATGAACAAATACAACAAGGCAGTCTACGCTTTCCAGAAGGAGAACCCAAAACAGAAATGGGACCCTTCAATCCGCGATGGTGTTTCTACCCAGTCCAAAGCGATACAGTTGCCATTGGCAAAGAGTAATTGGGCACTACCCTTGGATAAGGGCCCCTTCATGGCTGTTCACGTCACGTGCGGAATAACATTTACATTCGGAGGCCTCGCTGTTAATCCGCAGACAGCGCAGGTTATTTCTTCAGTCACAGAAAAAGGTATCGAGAACTTGTATTGCTGTGGTGAGATGCTTGGTGGTCTGTTCTATGACAATTACCCGGGCGGTAGTGGTTTAACGTCGGGTGCTGTGTTTGGTAGACGGGCTGGCACAGCTGCAGCAAGAACGGCGGCTGAGAATGCAAGAAATGGAACTGTTGACAGTAGAGCGAGATTGTAAAAGAGATTGATGTCGGAGCAATCTTTTTTCGGCTGTATAGAGCAAGATAGATGATCCACTTCCCATGTTTTCAGCTGAAAATATTAATCAATGGCAACGGCAAATAATGCTTAGGCATACTGTTAGGGTGAGGCGGCGTGTAACGAGGTGTGTCTTGATACAGGAGTATAATTAAAATTCTGTCTCAAGATTCTGTCTCAAGAAAGTCGTAGTTCAAGGAATGTGAAATTTATGTCCGGGGTTGTTTGAGTATAGACATGAAATCACCTGCAGTGAGAATTGTGTCAGTATTCGACAGTTCGAAAATGATGCATCCGGAGTAACCGCTTCAACTTACGTGCAATCTGCCAATGCGCTGCAGAGAAATCCAAAATAGACCAAAGTGTCTCAACCTCTTTCTCCAATGGGGAAATTGCTGAAACAGTAGGGAGTTGATCGAATCGACCGCGTTCCTTCATTTCAAGCAATATCACGTATGTCATGTGAACAAAATATGGAAATGTCTCTCTGAATATCCCACTGTCATCGGTGGCGTTGGCAATTGTAAAACCCGGATGCTTGAAAAGATGGTCATCAAAAAAGTCGGACAGTATACGAAGCATGGTCTCGAGCGCTCTGGTAGATTCAAGCTTATCTTGCTCCGAAAAGTGGAAAGAGTTACTCATTGCGAGTCGACTTTTGTGCAAGTGAACAAAAGCGCTATTGAATATCTGTTAGAGTTTGAAATGTTCGGCTGGGTACTATTGAGTAACTCACTTTAGTGCAATTGCTATAGCCTCACAACAAGTCCCTATCCCCAACCCAATGATAATAATTAGATATTGTAAGAGCCCTCGATCTACCGCCTGGAATCGTTGGCGACCAGCGGGAGTCATCACCTCTGGATCCCGCACAACTCGTAACACTAGTTCTAGCCAGACAGCAGCTCTAGCCTGAAGGTGGTACGCGAGATAATGCGCATCGGTACTTAGGTACGATTTCGCCGACTCCAATTCATGTGAGAGACGGTCGTTGTTCATGATCTCCGCTTGGTCTAAATTGATTGGCTTGATGGGATATCCATTTTCCAGACTGATCATTCTGCAAATTGTTAGAACTCAAATTTGGCCGCGATGATAGCACATTCCAACCTTTCATGAATTTTTAACCCCCACCAAAGCTTCAGAATATCGTGTCCTTTGGAAGACTCTGCCCCAAATGGTGGCAAACCTAGAGAATCATGCACACCTCCAAGCTGCCTGATTTGAGCCATGCTTGAGCATACGTTCATTGTCATGTAGGAAGGGTTGAGCATTGCCTGCCCATACTCGTATATGGAAAGAAATAGACCCGCTTTGATGATAGTTGTCGTTGCTTCATGGATAGTGGCTGGKTCCCAAAAGAGTCGTTTGACCGTCGTGTACATCGACTCGCGCAGGGCATCTGGTTGATCGTTGCTATCCTTGCTCATCAATGGCCTTGTAAGCATAGACATGGTGAGGAGCAGCAAAACAGGTCCCCGAGATGTCTGAAAGATGTCATCCTCGCAGATCTCCCGGAATGTATCTTGTTGAATGATGGGCATCCACCTCGGGCAAGAGGCGAGAAAGGCAGTGGCTAGCTCGACTATTAGATTTCTGTGGTTGATGACTATGGTATTTAACCGAGACACATAAGCGGGGCCTAATAAACTTTGGAGATGAATCAAGTCATTCGCCAATGTTTCTTCGTTCGATTCCTGAAAGACATAGCGGATAAACTCCCCGCCTGTGATACTAGGCTTGCCTGTCGGCAGTGCCGTCACTGCCGTGGCTCGATAATGACATTTGAAAAGCAGTCTATTGATGCGTTCGGTCAGCACGCATCAACTGTGGGTACCAGAGCAGCCTAAGATCAATGAAGGTCGAGACCGAAGCCATTGAATTGAATGCATACCGTTCGCATTGACCACAAGTGGGATATGATTTGTCGCACTTCTTTTTGCGTTCACTACATTTCAAGCACGCCGATTGGACCTGCATTGTATTAGATGGGCCCTGTCTGTCAGAGCGCCTTTCTAATTAGGTGTGAGCTATTATATACGATGCAGCTGTACTGAAAGGACTCGAAGTAAGAAGATTAAGCACAAACGAAGCGGCCAGGGGTTTGAACTGAGGTAAGAGCGGCCGATTAGTCAGAATTGAACAAAAGGTAGGCAGGACCCACCCCCCGACCCTGGTCATTTTAGCCCGAACCGATCCCTGTAAGTATCCAATATCTCAGCTCTGAATGGTCAGATTTACGGAGCTGCCCCATAAGCTACAAAGCTAAGTGTGAAACAGCCAATCACCTTGTAGATAGCCAAAACTTTGCAGACTTTGGCATCTGCATAATCTCACGCTAACCCAAAACAAATGGATTTCAAGATGGGAATGGACTCTTTCCTCCTCTCTTTCTCTTGTGTTCCATCAGGTAGGCTTATAAGATCAACGATTGATAATTAGCTCTGGCTGATAGGAAGCAAACCCCGTTGAGCGATATATAAAGCAATCTTACCGACCTGGAAACCAAGATGTTTTCTCTTCATCATTCACTACATATCTGGATTGCTTGTTTTGAGATTGATACCACAAAATAACGAATCCACCATGGGTCTACAGACTTATATTCCTGAGCTTCCTCATAGCACAAGTCTTGAAGGTAGAACTGTCCTCGTTACTGGCGGCACGAACGGTATCGGCTTCGAAGCTGCCCGTCAGTTTCTCACCTTTAAAGTTCCCCGAATTATAATCACAGCCCGCAATGCATCCAGGGGAGCAGAATCTGTACGAGCTCTCCGTGCGGACCCCGAAGTTGCAAAACATAATCCCAACGCTATCATCGATGTTTTTGACTTGGACCTTGATGATTACAAGTCCGTCATCAAATTGTGTGACCAAGTCAGGAGGGATGCTCCTGATTTAGATGTGCTAGTCTGCAATGCTGGTATGGCACAAATGGCATTTAAACTGAGTGTCACTGGACATGAACAGATTATGCAAGGTCAGTGTCTCCTTCTAACCGTCTATCTGAAGCCGTACTAACTCATGGATGCGAAAATAGTGAACTGTTGGAGCAACTTCCTACTCGTCCTAGAATTACTTCCTGTTCTCCAGGCTAGTGCAGCAAGAAATAAACAACCATCTCATCTAACATTCGTTGGATCTGGCATGCAAATGGGACATTCCCTTGCCTCAAATCCCATTCCCTCATCCGAAAACGTCCTGAACTTTTTCGATGATGCCAAAACAGCCAACAAACTGAAACGGTACAATGATAGTAAACTGGTTGTGAATGCCTTTATTCGCCATCTAGCGACAGTGGTGCCTAGTTCGGAAGTTATTGTGAATAATTTCTGCCCGGGCGCTGTTCCGACAAATCTTGAACAAAATACTCCCTGGTTGATCAGGAAAATTGTGTTGACAGCCAAGAATTTGATTGGAAGATCCATCCAGGAAGCAGGTCGAACAGTGGTCTATGCATCGGTTCTGGCCGGTCCAGAGAGCCATGGCAAGTTTTTGCAGCACAATGCAGTTGTCCCGTAAGTTCTCAGTTGTGTATGATCCTCACATTCGATATCATATCATCATATCATTTTAAACACAGTCAAACTTGATATAAGCTGACATTGCTAACATCCGAGTTCCCATCAACCACAGTGGTCCATCATTTCTCGACGAGGACGCAGGAAAGAAGTTTACTCAAAGACTGTGGACCGACACATTGGCAGAGCTGAGAACCGTGGACCCTCAAATAAATATCGGGGCATAGACCATATTTTTGGGTTAGCAAGATGTACCTATTATTACTGCGAATTATCTGATACTATACTTATTCTAATGTTTTTGTAATATGTTATATGGAGCCGAAATTGAGAGGATAATATTGGTTTTTCGCATGCGAAATAATTCGTTATTCGTAAATCATATATGATCAGAGCGATGAAATTCTCCATAATGATGCATATAAAATAAACAATCAGCAAAGTCAGGCTATGAAAGAAAAAGATGAAGGTTGTCTTCTGGGAATGATAAAGGTATCAGTCCAGAACAATCACCTCTCCTGCTGGCGTGTTTAATTTTCCACGGATAGTTTCCACATAAGCTATATGCTTGGGGTGCGCACGATTGAGAAAATCTATACCTTCGTCCCAAGTGCTAAATCGTTGGGCATTTGATTCACCACTAAGTTTGATTTTTCTGAAAGAAGGCATATCACCAAAGAATCTTTCCCGATAAATTGCAAGATCCAAGTTGATCTTGTGCATCGCTGCGAGAACGGTTGCCTCCTCTTCGGAGTGTCCAATACCGAGCAGAAAGATGAGCCTGTCATTGAATTTTACTTCTGCATCCCATATTCTCTGATGGCTTTGCGTCCTGTTCAACCTGGATGTAGATAAAGGCTCGTCTCTCAGTTCTTCAATCCAGTTCTTCAAATAATACCTTTCATCGTTAATTACCGACCTGTATGGTAATGGTAAGTTACCTCTAAAGTCGTAACTGGGTGAGACATCATTGGCGGCACTCAGTGCTGTGTGATAAATGAGGCCAAGTTGTAGCAGGTCTTCAAGCATGGTTGAGAACCCTATATTTCCGACTATTTCTTTCATCTCACCAAGAGCGAAGACACATGCATCTCTTTTGTATTGATTGCGCTTATATTCATGAAGCGAGACAACCAGGACTGCTTTATAATCTGACAATACCGGCACAATTCGTGTGTCTAAGAAGCCGTGGGCGTAGCTTGAAATGTTACTCTCCGGACTTAGAGTACATCTTTTGCATTTTTCTCGCATGTGGGATTCCTCTTCAAAAACAATTACCAGCTGTCCAGAAATCCGTTTCCACGCCGTATCAGTGTGCTTGGGTGGTTTTACTGTTCTCATTTCGAAAACCTCTTCTCTCGTGTATCCCAACGACATATAGTAACTCACTTCAGATGCTTTTATCCTGACTTTTTCAATGTCTTTCGGCTTCCACAAATTTTTCTTCAAGAACTTAGTCACAAACGACCTTACTTGACTGTATTTGACATATCCAAAGCCAAGAACATCAACGGGGGGGGTGAAATCATCCCTCCTTCTAGTAGGAAGTGGATAAATTGTTACCACGGTGCGCGAAATGGCCGATAAAAGCACTTGCCAAGGTGAACCAGATTTGAGACACTCGAGACAATCTTGGATCACACTTCTTGTGCAACGCCTTTCACATTGCGGCAGGCTGTCGATTCCCTTGTGTCGAATCTTGAAATTGGCGTATGTCTGTAAGGTATTGAAAGCGGATTTGGTGATAGCCAAGCAAGAAAGTTCTTTAATTAGCTCCCAGGAAAGATTGAAATACCAATTTGCTTCCATGACAACATAAAGGTCTTCTGAAACCTCATCTGGATCGGTTGCTATTGCCTTGCTTGTCCAAAGTGACTCAATCATGTCGAGGTCTCTTTTTGGCATCACTAGAACATCATCAAACTGTGAGACAAAATTGATTATTTGCCGCGCAGCTTTTTCTGTTTTGTCCTTGCTATCTTTAGGCCCCGCGACTACTTGCAGAAAACTTGGAAGAAGGCCCTCTGTAAGGTAAAGACAGGTGAAACGACGCTCTGATTTGGAGGCTGACCGGAGAGATCCCAGTTTTGTATTGGGTATATGTATATCAAGAAGTTCTTGATGGTCCAACGGCTTGGAAGAAATAACATTTTCAAGGCCATCGGACTCGTTCGCAGTCTCCAACTCGCTGAAGATAGTACTAGGCGGTGCCGGGATCCATCTGGAGACATCTCTTCGCATCGACGACATCTCACTGTAGGCAAGAGTTATCTGATCAAATGGCTGTCCCGTGACCATTGATTTAAGTTGTCGCAGAATGGCAATACGGTAGATATCTCTAGCCCAATCCATGATGTAGTCGACAATCAGCACCAATTGCAATGCATCATCCTCACGCAAGAGAGACCCTGTCCATAGGAAAGTTGTTTCCTTGTTGCAGACGTCAGTTGAGAAATTGCCTTCATGTTGTTTCAATAGGCCAGTTACTCTCGGACTACTTACATATTTGGTTGGCTCTTCATTCTCCCCCTTCACCACCGTACCACAGTAGAGCTTCCAGTTATCCCCACGAGACGCAAGAAACCACACCAAAGGTTCAAATTTCACTTCATCTTTAGGAAAATAGGATCGCAAATCATCTTGCAGCTTTAGTAGAGCTCGTATGGGGAAGAAACTTTGAGTTAGTATGGCCTCGGAACCACGAGAACTCGATTCGGACTTCGCCTCAAGCACCAGGAAAGGAAACAAAAGGGGATCTGATTCTGTTTTAAAGGGCGTAGACGTTATGAGATCTGACACGGTGTCATCTGGTGCTGTCCTAATTTCCGGTCTTGCAGAGCTATCGAGCAATGTTCGAAAACTTGGCGTGTCTTGTAAACCAAAAACCCGATCAGGGGCTTGTTTTGGGAGATGGGATTTGACCAGGTCATCGTAGATAACAAATTCATCGACTCTATCGTCGAAAAGTCGATTGGCACCAAGGTCGTAGCTGTTTTAGTCAGCAACATTCTGTACAGTGTATTCAAAGTGAACAATTCACAAGTCATTAGGACGTTGCTCAGCTGGGCATTGACACGAAACCCGCTGCTTCCTGTGCTCTTCTAAGCGCTGCCCATATTCATCGTTTTCATTGTACCACGTGGATTGGATTTCGGACTCCCAGATTCTGGCTCGACAGTTCGGACTTTGGGGTATTAGTAAAAATATTTGAAGCGCCGTTCCTGATCTCAATATAATCAAAAGAAATCAATATGTTCTTGTAAAACGAGAAATATGATTGAATAGAACGCCTAGTCTGTAGGGTCTCAACTCACCAGGCGACTTCCACCATAAACCTTCGCAACACCTCATTTTCGAGAGCAAAGCGCCATCCAGCTTCATTAGAATCCTGGCCGACTAGGCGCCTTGCACGTTCTACCAGCCATTGTGCGCGCTTTTTTGTCTGTTGCTTCCAGGGTTTTTCATTTGAAACAGTGACTTCTGGGATATAAGTGTCAAATCTATTTTGTGACAGAGATTTGATATTTTGAAATGTCGTCCTATGGGCTTCAGGCCAGTCCTCGCCTTCTCGTCGATTTCGAATATTGAATCTTTTGGCCAGCCTTCGCAGCGACTGGAGACTATCGCCCATCTTTGCAACAATATGTTTGTATCATGGAGGACAAACTCGGTGTTGGGCCCTGAGCAATAGATAAACAAATAAGTGGACGAATTATCAGTATTTTACAAACACTTCATGGTGCGGGGATCACAGATGGTTAACTCGCTTCGCCACATCTATTTCAAGCACGTCTCATGTTAGCGGTTATCTAATCATTTTAATAGGCCAGACATGTCCAGGGTATGATGTGGCGCAGTCAATTTCTGATCCCACCCTTAGCAAGTTTTCGCAGCGCCGTGGCCGAGCCGTTCTGCACAATTTAGTAATCAGCTGTAAAGTGGCCAGTTTTTTGAATACGCATAGATGAGGAAAATGGTGCAATATCCCTTCTGAAGTGCTCGGTGCGAATCTTCCGATATCGAGTTGTGCCAAAGTAGGAAGGAAGGTATTGGCGCTCGCCCAATCGAAACGTACCAAGAAGTGCTAATGGTACGCCTCGCCTGTGCCTCGCATAATAACACTGAATCATGCGGCACAGTTCGCGCAGCTCTTTACTACGGTTGACCCCGGTGATTTCCCTAGTAGGGTTTTTTGTGCAGGGGTCAACTACCAATCAAATTTACCCAATTCTGCCAATTCTGCCAATTTTACTAAATTTAAATTACATAATTTTTTTGCTTACTACACTAATATTTAATATAGCCACCTTCAGTAGTAATTACAGCCTCATATCTAGACTGCATAGAATTAATCAAATTCTTAAGAAATTAATCTAGCAAAGTATCTCAAGAAGCCCATACAACCTCACATAATTGATCATAAGAAAGCTGCTCATTATTTAGATTTTACTCCTGGATCTAATCTTTTATCTAATTTTATACAGCTTCAATTAGATTCAAATCCGGAGAGAACGTAGGCTAATATATAGAATATATACCCTTGATTTATAGCTACTCTTTTGTTTTCTTACTTGCATGCCCCGGTGCGCCATCCTACATCAATCGAAAATATTAAGATTGTTGTCGATTGAGATGTATATATCTATCAATAATAGGAACTATTCTTACACAATAGCTCTCGGATCCAATAGTTCCCCATTCTTTCTCCTAAAATAGATATGGACCCTTAATATCACTATAAAATAAAGCCCAAAATATCCATCCGCGCTTCCGGGCAGGGGGGCCAAAAAACGCCAGGGAATATCCAGCAGATAGAATTMCCCTCCAGCCGTGATTATCCCCGTCATATTAGATAGCTAGAGGCGGGTCCCTGTCTAGTAGAAACTTGGTCGCATCAAGCTGGGTATATCGACAGGGATTTTCCAGTAGTGAGGTTCCCAGGGAGCTGATTGGCTCAATTAGAAATTATTCGGAAAGATCAAGAACGAAGCCAAAATCAATACTGTAATATCTCGAGGCGATATGTAGCGGGTTATTTTCAATAAATCTGGCCGAAGTGGAAAATTCATTGAGGGCATGTCTTTATGTAGCGGTCGAGGAGGGGAATGTCGTTACTCCCAATAATATAACGTGTTGGGTCTTCACCATGACTATGATTTGCCAGTGCCTCTACTAAATCAGAGTTTGTCGTGCTGTCCTAGATTCTTTTGGCGTAACAGACTAATATTCCCAAGTAAAGAGATATGTCGTGTGACCCATGGTCAAGTAGAAAAAACTAGGTACATGTACCCCACTAGCGAAATACAGATGTAGCACCAGGACAGAGCACGAAATTTACCTATTGTATTTCATTTTCTCTTTTACTAGAAAGACTGGGTGCTTTTAAAGTAGCGACAGTCAATCATGAATCATTTCATTGATCACCCCACTTAAATACAAAACCCACGGAACTATGCTAACAAGCTGTGGTATGACTACATTCCAGGATTCCCACCACGACGACACCAAAAGTTATCTGTACCTAAAGTCTATGAGAACAAAAAAAGAGGAAAAAGGCAAAAATACATACAACAGCTGGGATTCACTTGTGGTCACCCACCAAATTACTAACCAGCCGGCGTGTGGCTTAAGTACGGCTGAGCGGACGGGAGGCCCTGTTTTCCACACCCTATGGTCGTATGTGATGGTAACGGACACTGATTTGGTCTATATCTAAAGGCTTAATCATTGAGATAAATGTCTCTCAAGCCAGATTCCCGTCAAAATATTGCCGGCTCAGCTCCTCAGTCTCCAATGTCAGGCTTGCCGTGAGAAGAGATGTCAAAAAGCCGAAGCCACTGAATCCGGTCAAGATATACCATATTGTTTGCATGGAATCTCTATAGACACTCCTAACGGCATAGAGATCCTCGGGAGATATACTTTGTAACTGTCTCAAGTAGGGTATAAACCCAATAGCCTGATTGGGATCCTTGAGGATTGCCACAGCTTCCGGCAAACTAGAACCGAGACCGGCAATACCGTGCCTAAAAGTGCTACTAAATGCCGTTGAGCCTATTGAAAGTCCGACAAGTGCACCGAAGAGTCGAAACGATACTAAGACTCCGACTGCGAGCCCCTGATCCTCTGCGGTTGGTGCACTCGCCTGCATAGGCATAGGGAGCACAGTGAAAAGAGAACCTATTCCAATGCCAGCAATGACTTGAAAAGTGGCTTTCATTGCTAAAGAGGAATGAATGTCCCATATAGCAAACAGACCAGTACCAACGGTGAGCAACACCCAGCCTAGCCAGATTTCCCATCGGTAGTGACGGACATACTCGACCATCCACGCAGCCAAACCGCTAAATGCCGTAACCATACATAGAAGCGGCAATGTTGAAACAGCAGACCCCAAAGGCGCTTCCAAAAATACTGACTCGAAGAATAAAGGCATATAAAACAACAAAGTGTACAAGACCATGCCGTGTATGAAGCTTCCAATCAAGGTGACCACGGCTGTACGGGAGCGGAAAATGCGATATGGGAAAACAGGTTGAGCAGGCCGAGCCTCGTAAACAGTAAATACTGCAAGAACCACAATGCCAATAACAAGAGGTACGATAGTTCTCCATGATGACCATGGGTACATTGCACCACCCCAGCTAAGAGGAAGGGCAAATATCGTGATCCCAATGGCAAACAAAACGAGACCAATCCAGTCTAGACTTGCCAAACGTGACCACATTGATTTCTCGATGGGCTTTAGATGCAAGAAAAACACCGCGAGTGGCGCAGAAACTGCTATGATTGGCAAATTGATCCATCCGATCCAGCGCCACGTAGCATACTCGCTGAAGACGGCACCGAGTATAGGACCCAAAGCACTTCCGATCGCCATAGGAACAGACATTAACCCAAGGTATAGTGGACGCTCTTTTAAGGTTGTGATATCCGCAATGATAATTTCATTAAGCACGTCCAGTCCACCGCCACCGAGGCCTTGTATCACACGCCCAAGTATCAGAATTGACATTGAATTGGCGACAGCGAAGATGATTGACCCGATAAAGAATAGGATAAACCCGGTATACAACGCAATCTTTCGACCGAGAACGTCTGATACACTCGTATAGATAGGCTGTACAATGACTACAGCAAGCATGAACGAAATACTAGCCCAGAATGCTGTCAGGGAAGTGCCATCGAGGTCGCTCGTAATGATCTGGACACGCAAATAAGTCAGCAATGAGTTTTTTTTACTACTATGTAGCCATTCAACTTACTGGAATCGCAACTGATAAGGCAGTCGCGTCTAATGATACAATTAGAATGACCAACATCAATGAGAGAACGGCCAGGTAGAATGACGGCTTTCTCTTAGGTTTGCCTGATTCTGGAGGTTCAACATTGCGAGTTTCAGCCATTACCGGAGAATCTTCCTTGAGCTTTTCGACAGCTTGATCACAAGCGGTACTCTGAGACTCATTCTGTTGTATTTGTAGATGCGAGACTTGTACATTATCCGTCATGCTATTCACTTGTTGCGACATAAGTGTTGCACGGTATATAGTTATGTCAACTCGATTGCAGAATGTCGAGCAAGCAGAGCGAAGTACAATAAATCGTCAATACCATATACTGGATCCGACATTGTAGCCAGTCGATTACTTACTGGCCTTTATATATTCTGATGGGTTACATGCAAATGTAGTTATTGCCACTAAGTAAGAGACTAACATATCGAAAATGCTACGCTCAGCCAAACGTGTTTGTAAGCCAGTCAACAATTCTAATATTATCTAAATTATCTTCTTGTCTCTGTTAATTACAAATCAAACAAGGAAACTGATGAAGGGAATTGATGCTGTCCATATTCGCGTCTGTTGATCAGAAATCTGCAGTAATAATATCCACCCCGAACTTCGTACTCCGAATGCGGCACCTCGTATGGATTTTGCCCTAGACCCACCGCTAGGGCTGCAGGTATACCATGAAATCTCGAATGACTCAAATTGGAAATCAAATTGATTTAGTAGGCAGACATGTTACTGTTTGCTGGCATATCATTGTTTGGGTTTTATGTGGTTCATAGCTACAGCACGGTCAGAAGCATTCCTTGCAAGTAGGCAACAGACAGACGAGCTTACCATCGATGATTGATTTCCACGTGCTCTTTTTGTGAGGTAAATCTTTGAGGGTCTCGGTATCACTGTAGAAAGACTCGGCAGAGCCTCTGACTGGCTTCTTCGTGGGCTTGATGATAGGTCTTGGTCTTTGATAGACCTCGGGCACAGAGCGGAAGTTGGGGAACCCGTTAGGCATTGTGATGTAGGCGAAGATTTATATTCCTTGTGGATCAAAGTTGCTAGCCTAGATTTTGGTATGGTAGCGTCGACTTTGAGGTCAGGAGATTGATTGAGTGATTGATGCTCGGGAGATCTTGTTGGAGTGATAGAAAATGAAGTTTCTCTTGAATGATATTCAGATGCTAGTGGATACCTACCAGAATTTATACCCAGAAACTCTACATAACTTTCTTTGTTATTCTCATTCTGACTCAAGTTCGTGAATTGTAGAATGACCTCAAATCCGACCTTCGGACTTCTTGTCCGAAAGGAGCTCGGAACTGTATACATCAAGGCAGCCAATGAAGTAGGGGGAAATGACGGTGTGGGTCGCACTCCGAGAGCCGATCTCTGAGCCGACCTCCAGCTTGAATAAATTTAAATCCTTCTGCTTAGTCCGATCTCCTTCTTTCACCCCGAATTTAACGCCGGATCGCAAAATGTCATCACTTCGTCGAAACGGACTTCTAAGCTCGTGTGAGCCGTGCAGGCGATCTAAACTCAAATGTGATCACACAGTTCCTTGTGGTCGATGTCGGCGCAGGAAGAGACCGGCGCAATGCGTCTATCATCCTGCGCCAATGACTAGGCTTCTATCTTCGGAAGATCAGTACTCGGCTACGATTTTTAAGAGAAGTTCATTGATCGGTMCCCGGAATGCTGCTGATACTTCTCCAAGCCACTCGTGCTCAAGTAACTCAACGTCCCAGGGGAATGGGAATTGCAAACATCTCTGTTCCGAGGGCCCCTTACGTGACCGATTCATTGCCGACTGGAGTAAAAAGGCCGCATCATCACCCGGTACAGGCGTACTTGGTCCTACCAGCTACTCGGCCGTTTACGATGATAGCGAAGATGTGATAAGATCTCCTACAGTTACTACATCTTTCCGTGATTTGACCAAATCACTTAGGCGTAGCCAAACGTCGGTCGATGATGCAGATATTCAAGTTGGTGCGGAACTCTTACTCTTTCTATACGAGGATTTCACTCTCTACGAACGCATGTCAATATCCAAGTTCAGTCATTGCGAGGGCTACGTTTTCGCACCCCCTTTGCTTCGACTACTCTTCGCGTCCGTCAGACAGATGTTGAACAATGCTATCAAAGATGAATCCGATCCTCTGCCTGACTTGATAGAGCAATCAAGAAGAATCTTTGAGCAGTGCTCAAAGACCATTTATGTCGACGCCCATATGACACCACAAGACTACTTCATCTCCATGCCGAACAGGTGGGAGGTAATTGGTGTATTATTTTCAATCATCGGCGCAAGTTCTTTCCTTCTTCCAGCATCTGATATGATCACTTTACATCCCAATGCAGCGAATGTAGACCGGCAAGGCCTGTCACTGGTGTGCATCTCTGCAGGAGAAAAGTGTATAAAATTTTGCGATAATGCCGGTGTTATGTCAGAGCCGCTCTCGTGGGCTCTACTTGCGCATGCGTCGCTCTTAACATATATTCATGGTGATCACGGTAAGACAGCTCTGACCCTTCTTGCTTTCGATCTTCTGCAGAATTGAGGTCCTGAATGCTATACAAGTGGCCCTCACGCGCTGACTTAAATCAATATAGATTATCGTCCTTGGAAGGTACTAGGTGATCTTGCCACACTTGTATATTCTCTCGGCTTTCATCAAAGAGAGAATAGCGAGATGCTACCGTTTTTCCTCGTCGAACATCGCAAGCGACTCTTGCTCGGAGCGTACGCAGTTGATAAAGAATTAGCAACATTTCTCGGACGTCCACCAAGGATTAGTTACCGCCATATCAATGTTGACCCTCCCCTCGATATAACTTATGATGAACTCCTCGCCGAACCAGATATTCGAGATGCGACAATGGCACAATTAGATCAGGATGGGTGGAACACACGGGGCATAGTTACCAAGACCACTTTTGTTCGCGCAATTTACAAGATTGGTCAAGTGAGGGAGTTAGTACTCGAATTGTCTCTGAATGCCCGACTTGAGGACTTGGAAATGAAAATCCTTGATATCACGAATCTTGCTGCTGAGATTCGTAGCCGGTTGCCACCACGCTTTCGGACTGTCAGTTACAGTGATGGCGTGACTATGTGGGAATCAGAATCAAATCTGATGACACTTTGCTTTCATTTGGAGTGCTTATACAATGAGCTCATCATGCAGAGAATTCTTGTCAAGAGGACCGGTCACGAATCCCTGAAATTGCGGACCATTGCCCATGAGATGTTGAATACTCTTTTGCTTGTCAATGGAAATCGGGCTCCGGATGGAAGGGACAATAATACGGTGGCTTGGAATGTAGGTATCCGTTGATAGACTTTGCTTACTCTTTTCACCGCATGAAAGCTAATTCATGGACTACAGACATCCTTCTACGGACTCCCCTCTGCTGGCGTACTGGCAATCGAACTCCTTCGCCAGAGCCAAAGCACCCATCCTGATCCAACCTTCCCTCGCTCTGAAGTCATTCAAAACCTGAGCAGGTTTGCCGGAGATCTAGAATACGCCATTGTACGAGAAGCCGGCAACTATGAAATTTGTCAACAGGCTCGAAAGATGATTCGATCCATTCTAGATCGTGTTCTTTCAGCACCGCAAGTATCGCTGCCAACAAGCGCTGATGTGAGCTCTATGCCCATCGAATGGCTCGGGAGTGATGATATATGGTTGAATCAAGATTCCGACTTTATGAGATGGATCAACAATTTTGATTGGAACCAAGAGACATCTATTGGGGAGTAAGTTGTGGTAACGGTTGATGAATCCTTGCATACGTGGGCGTTTGTTTCAGGTTGTCTATGCCAGTCAGGGTTTTCATGATAGGCTTTTAGGAGGCCTTTCCGAATTGACTTGCATTTATTTAAAGAACCCTTGTCTACAAACCTGCAACCACTTAACGCTTGTAAGTGGTGAATAGCGAGAGTATCAGAAATGCATCAGCAGAATCTCTGCTAAGTAGGTTTCCATTGACTAATCGTATAAAAGAAAATTCTTCGAAGATTGCACACCGAAGTTGATCAACATTCAATTCGTCATCGATAAAATCGCAGTACTAGTATAAACGACTACATCATCAAATTTTCAACAGTCTCGTCTTTCAAAACCTTTGATCATCATAGTTTCAACCCAAGTTTTCATTTTTTTTTTTGTTGTATAGCAATCGATATCGCCAGGACTATATTCGCCATTTGAAAAACTGACATTGGAATGAAGATGGTCTCGTCATCGAAAGATCGCCCTAAAAAAATCCTCTGTCCTCCCAAAAAATACTACCTAAGCAGCCTGGCAAGATGACCAGTATGCACCTTCAGCGACGCATTTCAATCCGGAAGCGCAGACCGTGGAACCTGTATAACCTTCACCACCGCACTAGTTTTGGTTTTTGATCAGAATAGAGTCCCAGCAAAATGTTTAGTTTAGGCACACATCATCATAGTCATTTTAAAGTACATCCACGAACGCCAGACAAATGCAATGACAAGCAGAGACAAAAATGTACTTTACATGAAATTGCAAGCAAGATAGAAAAAAAGAAATAGGGGGTTTATACCTGTCCCCACTCGGGCACTGGAGTTCCAGTGGCAGTGGAAGTCGATGTTGATGTTCCGGTAGATCCGGAGAAAGAAGGAGTAGGCGCCACAGGCGTCAAGCTTGGGGTAACGTCGTAAGATCCGGAGCAAACTTGACCATCGTAAAGGATAGTCTCGACCTCCTGGGCGTAGGTGCAACCGTTGTTGACGTTGGAGTCGGAGTAACCGGCGGCCCATAGCATAACACCGCCAAACGAGGAATTACCCTCAGTGGCCTTGACGATGGTGTTGAGTTGGTTGGGGGTGGCGTAGTAGACTGAACCGGCGTCGGCACCGTTGGCGGCGAGAGGAGCAGCGGGGACGCCGATGAAGATTTCAGCGGAGGACGAGTTGGAGGTGGAAATGAAAGATTGCCATTGGGGGAAGTTGAAGGCGGCATCACCGTTGATACCCAACGCACAGGGGTATGTGTAGTTGTTGTTATTGTAGAACTGGACGAAGAGCATGTCAAATTCGGAGTTCTGGATCATGGTTCCCATGTTGGGTTCGGGGATAGGGCATTGAGGAGCACCGGAGATGTAGTATTTGTTGGCGCTGTCGCTGGCAAAGTTGGAGCGCAATTTGGAGATCAAGTAAGGGTAGTACTGGCTACCAGAGGGGTTCTCAATATCAAAGTCCCAACCGTTGACAATAGCGTTACCGAACGGACGAGTAACGGTAGAAGTGGATGGGTTACCATAGGCTTCCCAGAGGTATTGGCCAATAGATTCGGCCTCAGCCTGAGAGGTGAGCGAGTAGCCACCGGTGCCACCACCAAGAGACAAAAAGACCTTGACACCATTTTTCTGGCAAGTGGTAATGGCCGAGGCAACAGCATCGCAAGACTGAGAAGTACCGGAGGTAGCCAAGATAGAGCACGTTTGGCCAATTCCACCTCCGGGAACGGTGACACCGTTACCGAATTCGTACAAGAAAGCTAGAACGATAATGTCGATACCGCTGGTGCTAGAACAGTACGTAGTAAGATCGGTGTTTTCAACGATTCCACCACCGTTTTGGCCCCAGTAAACAACGTTTTGACCAGTTGAAGTTGTGCGCTTGGGAAGACTGATAGGGCCCGCGAGGGCAGAGCTGGCCAAGAGGCCGAGGCTGGCAAGCACACTGAAGGAATACATGTTGTATATAAGAATAAAATAGAAGACTTGGCTTCGGGGGTATATAGTAATATGTGCAGATGAAGGTTAATTGTAAAGGATTGTGTGTATGTACAAGGCTACTTGCTAGAAGTAAGTAAGGAGAGGACTGGGAAGATCCGTCGAGGACCACCTGAAAGATTCAAGGAATGTGAGGGTGCGCTGTGCGAGAGCCTGGCTCGATGGAGATGGAAGAGAAAGTTGTTGAAACACGGGGAGGTGAAGACATCTTAAATATAGAGATTAGCTTGAATATGACATCCGTGGTGCTACATCTCTTCAGAGAGTGAACGTCGTTCCCAAAGTGGATCAGTGCAGTCTGGATAGGGTTGGAGAATGCAACCGAACACATGATACAGTGACTAGCTTTGGCTGTTAGCTCTCGTGAGGTTGTAGCCACCAATAAATATGCGAATCGAGATACGCGCACTGGCACAGGGTAATCTGAGCATGTAGGCATTTGAGAAAGTCAGTCAGTCATCAAGTGACTGTGACGGTACCCATTCGCTAGGGGTGCGAGCCCGGACCATGTCGAGGTCGAGTACGTATCACGTTTAATGATATAGTTAACAATAAACCAAGCTCAACCAAGCCGATAAGGTAAGTCTCGAGCCTGTAAAGGCGAGATGCAACGTTCCCTTTGGCTAGCGTGTGGTCCAGGAACAAGATGTATTAAGCTCACGGTAGTACGTATCTATTGGGTAAGGTTTGGTGGATCAATCAGATTGGGGTTGGGAGGCAAAGCTAGGACTGAAGGGTAATTCTAGATGGCAGGTGATCTGGCCAGTATCTACCAGGACATTTGTGTGACTGCAGCGTGCAGTATGTAGGTTGCAGAGCACCACATACATAGTTAGGTACCGAACAAATCGTTCATGTTACCTCAGGAATGTTCCCCGCTAACCCGCATCGAACATAATGCCGATAGAATCTTGACGAAATTGTATCCGAACTACCGACGTGGAGGGACTGGAATGTGTTCACGTTGTTTGACACTAACGCGGCAAGGTAGCATGTGTGGCGCACCTAAGTTGTTTTATCATGCTGTAGTACATCTGAACAACTTCAACCTTGTTATCAAGTACCGTGCCATGTGTGATGACGCAGTCTCGAACAACATCCTGAAGTGTGGTTGCACGCGAAGGTACTGTCGAGCACATATGAGCTTCCCGATGCTTACAATCAGTCCGCGTACTGCTATGGAATGTCTACGAACATATACGCCAAACAATGCGCCACTATACAAATTCGCTCTTCCGCCTCGTACGTGAATGTTTTGAGGATAGTAAATGTGGCACGAAACTTCCGTGAAACATGCTGACACGCGATTCGGGCTCCTCAGTATTTGTATAGACTCACCAAATTGGGATGGAGTTGCTAACAAATGTCAAATTGAGGGGCTCAATCTTATCATTGCAAGTGCAAACCAACCAATCAATGCCACTAATCAAATAAATTTCAACTTGGAATGACCTCGACGGGGTCCCACGCCGGCTGACCGACCTGCATTAGCGGGTGATTTCGAGCGGTGGTCTAATATTTCTGGGTGGTAGTGCTACGCCGTAGCGTTGTGCTATAGGCCAGTGGACTCGGTATCTGACTGGACCGGGGTGAAGAACCAGAGATAAAGCCGGGGTTAATTTGAGTAGCTTGTAAGGAACCCTTTCAAATTCGTCGCAAGGAATGTTTATGTGTACCCTCACGATAAAAACGAATCTATTGTTTGATGGTGTACACAATAAAATCATCCCTCAATCTCACTTGACCGTAGTCCGCTCATGTGAATATTAAAATTTCCGGTCTTCAAAAGTCATCCGACAGCCAAAGGGGCCAGTGGATTCGCCCATTTCAATCAGAGTAGGATCGCGTCAAGATCTAAATCCCGCCTCAACCAATCACCGGCTCTTATTTCCATCTCATTTTACCTTTTGAAGATGGTACACCATAAGCACGCTGAATTTAGATAGGGACGTTTCATGCGACTGATCTTGGCTAGTACGTAGTACGTGGTTTTATTTTTGGGAGTTGGTATTGTGCTGGGAAATTGATTGGGTTCGAGGATGCTACATACTTAGGTAATGGTGTATGGAGTGCGACGTACTGAATATTAATGTGACAGGTCGACGATAAGCAAATTGCATAGAATTTTGCTTGTGGTGGTTCCTAAGCATGTTAATTATCCGGTCATGCTTCTGATCGTACTTGATGTAAAATAGGATATTCGAGTATATGCGTGCGCATTCGGCCCTCGGTCCTAGAATCATCGGATCGTAATATGCGCAATGACGACTAATCACAATCTACCGGAAGCGATTCAAACATAGTAGAATATCATTCATACTTTTTGGAAGTGCAAGAAAAGTTTGATACTCATGCTGCCACATCTGTAAAAGACAAATCATTCTACTAAAGAAGCAGCAAGCATCACAAGACCCCCAAGCCCATCCATCCCGGCACACCAATCTTCCCAATTCGCCCTTATCTTCGGAGACGACGAAGATGAACCGCCATTGAGTAGCGACTGCTGCGTGTGCATTGATAACGCGGCATTGGCACAAAAATTTTGCCCTTGTCGCATGTCCAAAGTAACTAATTCACCGTTCGTAGCCAATCCAAACGTCGTGGAAGAAGACGCGGAAAAGGTTTCGGTAGTGTCAGTACGAGAGTCGGGCTTGCTTTCTCGGTCTGTTTCCATATTCCATGTGATCTCGTCGTTTGCTTCCCAAAGTTGTTTTCTGGCTGGGAGTGGTGCGAGGATGAGCCCCGTTCCGCGCGAGTCGCAGTCTCCGGATGGCTCGAAGTAGATGAGCATGTTGATGATTTTGTAGACTATGCACAGTCTTCATAGAGTCAGCATCATTCTGATTGATTAGAAAACAAAAGCATGCGGGCGCCTGGCTCACCGTCGATGAGATTCGGTGTATATCCATTTTTGCCATTTGCTTTCGCGATCGATGTCGCTTGATACAGATTGTACGGTATCTGTATTGTCATTTCGATTGTGCTCTTTAGATATGAGCTATTCAGTCGTCAGTAATGCTCAAACATTCCGGTAATTCAGACGACTTACAATCACAGTTTTGCATAATAGTAAATCAAAGTTATTATACTCCGTCTCGCCTTCATCCAGCCTCATGATAATGTAAATCGCGAGCGCTTGCATTGCAGCAAGCAATTCCCCTTTCTTCATTCTCGGATACTATAACCATGCATATCAGCTTCGTCCTTCTCATTAAGTGATTGAAGATGGGACAAACCTCTTCACACAGCCTCTCACACTCCATACGCACATTTCGCCAAAACAACTTCCGACTCCCCCAGACTCGGCTACTGACCATGTGCACCAGACTAATACAATTATTTAGTGGTTCCAAGTGGTCACTATCAAAGACGCCGTCTGACACCCATGCCGGATGGATAAATGGTGGCAGGGTATCCGGTCGAAGCATCATCTGGGGATAGGATTTCAAGGTATGGAACATGAGATTGGCGATTCTGCCTGTTCCAGGTTTCACCTTTGGTCGTTGGATGAGTGAGCGAGGTGTGTAAGTTGGTAGCGATAATGGAATTGATAACGATAATTCATTTGATGAATGCGTCAAACGCTGCGGATCAGGTGCCATTTCCATTATTGGTGAAGATGAAATGATTTTACCATCGTCCGTCTGTGATGTTGTGAGAAAGTCCGCGAAATCGATATCTGGATTTAGCAAATCCAGGCCTTCCAGATTGGCGAGTTCAGTGTTGGACATAGCAAGTGTGTTGTCGAGAGCGAAGTCCGCATCATTTATCGGGGACGTCATTAAGTAATGGTCGATACTGAATGACCCCTCCGTAGTAGTCGATGCGGTGTTCCTCTGATGGATTTGCGATTTATTTGCATCTCTGGACTGAGAATTGACCGGATATTGACATTCAACACCCTTGGCTATACACCTCGAACAATCCGGTCGCCTATTATCACAGCGACCTTTTGCTTTCGCACAAGCGATACAAGACCTAGAGCGAACGGCGCGAGTGCCAGCTTTGCGAGACCGGCAGTAATATCCATGTCTCTTTAGTGTCGACTCTGAAGCGTAAGATTAGCATTCGGAGCTTATGGTAGATTAACAAGGAAGGACCCACGCTTGTCGAATGGTTTGTTGCACTGTGGACATCGCAGAATGGGCATATTTGCTTCGGACATTTTGCTTACAATGAAGACCGCTGAATACGATGATTTCGGGGTTCTGAGATGAAAGGAAGTTCAAAATTGTAAGATTGTCATACATTTTTGAGACTTGTGTCTATTTGTCAGCACGACATTTCGAGGTGCGCCCGACGGACGGAACAAATTGTAGTTGGCGTTGTGGAGAATGTGTACCAAAGAGTATCCGGGACATTTTGTAGATCATAGAAACTGAAAACGAAGAGATTCGAAATTTTCGCTTTGTAAGTCAATCTATCCTATAGCTGATGTAAAAGAATTCAAATTAGACCTCCGTAGATTCATTATAAATCGAGGGCACCTAGGCACACACACTCTTCGATATAAAAACGACCATTGTGTCTCCCTCAGACTATGGCATTCATCATCAACCTAGAAACTCAAGATTGAAGAAAATCCAGACTATTGACAAGTCCTACACCTCTTCTTACGAATTGAATCATATATTGTCATACAAAAAGGACAATGGCCGCCCCCTTCCCCTCCCCAACCACCAAATGGCACACAACCACCTACCCAACCCTATCCCCAACCCGCCCCGAACTTTCCGTAAAGGGCAAAACCATCCTAATCACAGGCGGCGGCACGGGAATCGGCGCCGAAACAGCACGCTACTTTGCGCAGGCCGGCGCATCGCGCATTGCGCTATTGGGGCGTCGAGAGCAGCCTTTACTCGACACTAAGGCTTCTATTGAGCGTATCAACAGCGCCGTCGATGTCTTTATCGCTTCAACCGATATCACGAACAAGGCTCAAGTCGACGCTGCATTCGACCATTTCGTCGGCGGCGACAAACCCGGGAAGATAGACATCCTAATCAGCAACGCAGCTATAACGGGACCGCACGAACCCATCAGCAGCGTCGACAGCGAAGCCTTCCTATCCGGCATTCATGACAACCTGCAGGGCTCAATATACCTCGCTCAAGCATTCCTGCGCCATGCCGTGGCCCAAGATGCAGTTGTCGTTGAAATCAATTCGCAGGCCGCGCATCTCGATTTTGCGCCAGCCCTGGTGGCGTATAGCATTTCGAAGATGGCTGTTTACCGGCTTTGGGATGCGCTCAGGTTCGAATTTCAGAATGTTGGATTAAGGGTGTATCATGTGCACCCGGGCGTGGTTGATACGGAGATGAATAGGTCGGTGGGTGGTGTTGCGGCTTTGGGGTTTGAGGATCATGGTATGTTTTTCATTTACCTAATCCCAGATCGAGGTCTGTGTGTGTGTTGTGCTAATTTTTTTTGGGAAAGTGTCTCTACCGGCAAGTTTCAGCCTCTGGCTCGCAAGCCCCGAAGCCAAGTTTCTTAATGGCAAATATCTCTGGGCCAACTGGGATGTGGATGAACTCAAGACTCGGGCCAAGGAAATTGAAGCAGGGCAGGAATTCAATATTCAGCTTGTTGGATGGCCGTTTGGGGAGAAAAAATGGGCAACTGATGTCACCTTTTCGCCTACTGAGTAGATTTATAGATTGATTCGTTTCGGGGATGATAACAGACTAGAGGAATGATCGCTTTCCTGTTTGGGTAACCTAGGGCTAGACTGGCACGTGTCCATCCAAAATACGGTAGTCATGCTGTTGCCAGTTGACCTCGGGAATACAATTTACAGAAAACATTATTCATGTTTGAATTCATCATATCAACATGTCATCTGTTGTTGCATAGCTCTATTTACACCATAATTACGTTGCTATACATGCACTTAAAAGCTAAGCACGAGTTGCTTCAGCTCTTGAAAGTCTGGTGTACCAAGACCAGTGACCGGGTCCCAACCAGTGGTGGAATTCCACGCAGCCCAAGGAACGATGCCACCACCAACGACAGTGGCGCCAGTCTGGCCGTTGATACCGTTGCAGCCCACGGACTGGCCACCAGTGATGTCGTTCAGACCCTTGTATCCCAAGTAGTAGATGAAGGGATTCAAGAATCCGAGAGTGGGCTGACCAGCAGAAAGACGGGCATCGTTCAACAGTGCAACGATACCAGCAAAGACGGGCGACGCAGCTGAGGTACCTCCACTAGGCTGGAGCTGACCACCACCAACAACCTGGTAATCAGGGAGCAAACTGTGGGCAGAAACGTCAGGGAAGCCACGGCCTTCGAAGTTAGTGTATTGAGAGTAGTATTTCTTAGTTGAGTCGTCAAGGAGACCGAGGTACGTCTCAACTTTTTCTGCCTGGTACCATGCACGTGGAAAGTAGTTACTGAAACCACCGGAGCTGGCAGTCCAGGCAATTTCGGGAGTAACAGCCTGAGTGCCTCCAACAGCGGTCAAGTACGGGCAAGTAGCGGGGAAAATGGGTTCGAATTGTGTCCTGTTCTTGCCGTCGTTGCTCTTGCATCCGGCACCAACGCCAAGATCACCGCTAGACTCCAAGACCGTGATACCACGCAAGCCAGTCAATCCTATCAAGTTGCATGCACGAACAGCATACTTGTATGGGACGGACTGCTCGGAGTCTCCGTAAGAGTTGGAGATCACCTGAGGCAAATCGGCGTTCTTCTGAGACAGAAGGTATTCGTAGTAAGGAATGTACGGCTCGTTCTCGTCGGTGGGTGTATCGAGGTCGGGAATGAAGGGACTGCACTGTAATTAGCCTTTACCATGTAACGATGACTGAACAATACTCACGGTGAACCACCGGTCAAGAACTCAGTCACGGGAAGAGGGTGAGAAATGCCGACGATGTTCTGAACATCGAGATTGGCTTCGCCGTAGTTGCCATCGTTGGGGTTCTGATCGTTGGGTGCGTTTGCAATAATCACCTTGGTCCAGTTCTGAGATGGGATACCATTGACCTTTTCGTAGGTGAACAAGTCGTCAAAGATGGCAGACTGGTTCAAGAAGCTACCGAAACCGACGCGACTGCCGGAAGCAACGCTAGGAGTGTAGTCTCCAACATTATACAACTGCTTCAAGCAGGCAGGAGTGATGCTGGTCTGGCAGGAAGCGGCAACAGACACGGAGCTCGATGCGGAGGTTGTGGTACCTGAGGCGCGCTTGTTCTTGTAGGTCTGGATGCTACGAGAAGCACTGGTCTTTCCAAAGTAGGTGGTTGGAGAGACGAGATCGATGGCTGCCTGTAAATCACTGGGGACGGAATAAGCCAAGGTACGCAACTTGGTGGCACCACCATCGGAGTAGTAGTTGAAGTCGGCGCCAAGCAAGCTGTTGGCCTTGCTGACAGTCGTGGCAAAGTTGATCGATTGGCCGTTGTTGTAGATCTCAGAGACTCCAGCCTCCTTCAACCAGTTGGTGACTGCTTCAACTGACGCGTCGCTGGGGCCATACTGCGCGGCAACATCGTCGGAGTCGAGGTACTGGCCGTAACTCGCAGAACCAGGGGTAGAGACGGACTGCAAGTGGTTTTGGAGTTGGTCGATGTTTTCTAGAGTGAGGGCGACGGACAATTGGATGTTTGTGTCGGCGGCTGGGGTGCTGACATGGTTCCAGCCCGATGGGAGCGCAGCCAGGGCTTCATGAGAGACAAGGGAAGAAGCGGCGAGGACTGGGTTCACTTGGGCAAGGGCCAATAGACCAGCACCAACGAGGAAGTTGCGACTCATCTTGACTATCGTGAGGGGATTGACGAAACGCGATCGACAGTTGACGGTTGGCCGAGTTCCAGGGAGGGGGGATGGAGTCGTATTTATACTAATGTAACAATAAACAAACGAACAACAACAGGCCCCGGTCTATGGTGCAAGACGTGAAATTAGTTTCGATTGCTGGAGATCCATAATAATTTGTTTTTTCTCATCTGGTGTCTTGGAAGTTAGAACAATTGCATTAATAAAGATTAATCAAGAAACAGAGAAAGCGTTGCACTGGCGATCTGCAGATAAGCGAAGGCGCAACGGGGGCCGATCCCGATCAGGAAGGAGCTCAACTCTTCGTTCTCCTCTTTGTGTTCCCTCTTTTCTGTCCTTGTCTCTTCCACCATCCGACTCACTCGCTACTGATTATATTACACATTGTATATCAACTAAGCTAATTGAACTGCAATATACACGCCATACCCCTTTATCGACCGAGTTGTTCGCTCTCCTCGCCGACCGTTGTCTCCCACCCTCCGCCGCCAAGCCTGATCGCCAGGGACGCGAGCCTTGCGGAGTTTAACAACAAACCGATCTAACAAGTCACAACTCGGCAAACACACGTCGAATGGTATTGTTGCAACACTATTTCATCCGATTGTATGCGCGCCGCTGGATAGTAATACGAGCTGGAGCAATGGCGATATCTTCAGACCGATTGCGCGAATTTAATTAATTGATCCCAACAATGTGAGCAAAGCCGAGTAAATTGCGCCAACACAAAACAAGTGTTTTAGTGGTCGGGTAGCAGCGATAAGAGCAGTCGAATCCCCGCATAATAAAGTAAGCCAGGGGCGATCCCGACGCCACCAGCCACGACTGTCCAATCTGGGGCTGTACCACCGGCTATTGATGCTTCTTCTGGCTGAACAGTGCGGAGCATATGTAACCTTGGCGACGCATATTGATTATTTCATATAGCTTAATCCGTGGTTATCCATGCATGGAAGATTATCTCTTTTTGGAAGGACGTTTGGTGCCTCGCCGGCGCTGGCCGGCCGGTTGTGTTGCAAATTCATCCAAGACATCCTGCATTATTGGCACATTGTTTACGAGGCACACAATCATGCTGTTTGAGCCTAGATCAAGCCACTACAGACTCAGCCGCGCGAAGCTGAAAGCGTGGACAATGGACTTTACCTCCCGATGAAGGGCTGACGGCTTAGTTATCGCCGATGCATGCGATGGTGCAAAATAAGCGCCGGCAAACGACAGAGCACGGAATATAAGAATACTTTTCGTTTGCGCCATGTAGCGTTGTTAAAATATTAAACAAAGCTCAATTAAAGTACCTCATACATATTCAGGGGACACCTTTGTACATTCTCCGAATGTGTTTATTTAAAAAAAAAAATAGGCAATTCGTCATCGAGGAAATGATCGCGTTTGCAGAGCCGTGAATTGAAATAGATGCAGCCAGCCTTTTTTCTCTCTTTTTCGCCGTCTATATCTGCAATCCTATTATATTCAAATATATGAATTTATATCATACGTAGGGATTTGGTTACTTACCTCAGGACTGGGACAGAATACAGCGCGATGTTCTTGCTCTCCATCCCGGCGGAATCGATCTGCTCATGTTAAACGCGGGAAATAGCTTAAACCCACTACAGTGCAGACTGGCTGGCAAGACCTGGAGTATTTCTAAGAGATATTTACCATCAACATATTTAGATACAGAAATAAAACCATAGTATTTATCAATAGTATCACAAGCACCAAATCCGATAGCTAAAAGATAATGGATCACCAACCCGCCTAGCAACTTAGCGTATAATACATTAAAAAGTGCCCTAAAACCCATGCCTAGGTGGCTAAATACTTATCCTTTAATTTATAGATTAGCAATTCTAGTATAATCAATTACTTCCTAGTCCCTGGCTAGACTTATACTAGTCTCACAGAAGCGCATTTCTTTTCAAAACTAGAAAGTGCCTGGGTACCAAAGCAGGTATTGATTTTATAATTGCGAAAATAGCTACAGGTCAATTTTACATCCTCTACCCTAATAATGAAATCGTCAAAGAATTAGATAAGAAAAGTATTACCTACGGTTATTATTCATGGACATCCGCCCTTGTCAAGTTAGAGAGAGGACTGGAAGGAAAATGCTTCTGTTGGGATTGCAGGCATGCAGACTTCACCCCAGTGATTGCGATAAATAGGTCTTGTCCTCTGTATATACCATACTTGAATTGCAGCTTAGTACCCAATCATCAAGAAGGGTATTGATTCATTTGACCTATTATCTTCTAGTCACTGGTGAATAGAATGGCTGTGTGCTAGATTCCAGATCGTCTCACATCGGACATCGCACAGAGGTAGAAATCTATCCTTCATGAGCTGCGACGCAGCATTCCACGTCTGTGTCCCCAGTTCAGCAGCTATTTCGACCAAACCACATAAACACCAGGTTGACAAATCACTGCAGGGGCTAGCAACAGACGCGGCGACGAACATGGCCCATAATCTAAACTCATGTTCGAATATATGGCTATACATGGGTTTCACTATTGTCTGCGCTTCCACGGACGTCTCATCAACATATGTAGCCCAAATATTTCGAAAGCGCGTGATCAACATCTCACAAGAAGGAGTCCCGGGCGGTCTCTCGTCAATCATAGCGACTGTATATATCAACAGTACAATCCGGACAACTTCTTCTGGCGGTATGAGTACAGCATCATCGATGTTACATCTCGTTGCAGTGGATAGGAGTGTATATTGTACGGTGGTGATCCAAAACCGGGTTTGGGCAGCGCGGCTACTTCGTCCATTGTCAAGAGGACTGTATAAACTCCATATCATGTCGATGGCACTCTTGAGGCGAAGAATGCAGGATTCGATACTTTTCTCAAATCCAATTTTGGAATCCAGTTGTTGAAAGCCTGGAGGAAGGGGAGTGTTATTAGTTATGAACGGTTGGGATAGTGAGGGGATATCGTTGCTGGAAAAGTAGGGTTGGTCGAATGCATCAATTGATCCAGACAGATCCGCTCTGCCAAACAGTTAAGATTTTTGCTTGATATTAGTCCGCAGATCCTGTTGTAGGTACGTACCTATATATTTTACCCATGATTAAGGGTTCTACTACCAAGCTGTTCAGGCCACCTCTTGCACGAACGAGTTCTCCCAAACCTTTCATATGAATCCTCCATTGTTCATGCGTCCCGTTACACTTCTGTAACATGGTAATAGTTGCAACAGCAGCAAGAGTCTCATTCGAAACACCACATCCCTGTATATTCGAGACTCTTTTGTTTAATATTGAGATCGCTTTATTCATATGCCTCAGACCAAGAGTATGATAGTTGATTGAAGTAATTGATGTACTCATGTTGTTGACCATGAAGAAATCGGCTGTTCCAATAAAAACGTGCAGCAAAGCGCTGTCATGAAATGCCATCGGTAGCCAGTACTCGCTCATTGGATTGAACTCGGCTTTGTCTTCGATTGAGTACATTGTTTTGGAGACGGATGTTGAGTCTTTATAAAGCGGCGATGAGACCAATGTTACCCGCGGAGAAGGGTGTAGAAAGGTGCTACTCACAAAATTGCAACAGATCGTACATGTACGCTTCTAGTTTGATCGGTGCTGTATTGAATGGGTCTTCACTATTACCAAGTGGTATCATGTCAATTGCATGTCTTTCAGTAGCCAAGTTGAGATTGTCAGATTGAGTAGATGGCTTCTGCTTGTTGTTATTCTGTCTCTTTTCACGCAGATAAGTGTTCATGACGCGCCTTCGGACAACCCTGCGAAGTTCGTCGCGAACCATTGCTTCTCTGGTTCTGGTGTCAATGGCCCTATCTTGTGAAGGGCGAGTAAATGGAATAAAGTCGAAATTTCTTGACCCTATATCGCCCTGATTGGCTGCCACTTTTTGGTCTAATTGGATACAGGTCACAACGAGTCAGTGAAGCTCCAGTGGAAAGTTACTTACAAGACGCAAGCCGCCAGATGGATAGATACATACGCTTTCTGGGCCTTCCCCTTACACGTGGAATCTTAAGACTGACTGGACCATGCTCATACCGAAATATGCACATGTTATCATTGGCAGCTTTTCCGTTCAAAGGATCATGAGGCATTAGGCTGAATACGACTTCGCTTGGCGCTTGATAATCCATGATTGTATTAACAGTGTAGAGGGTGATGAAGATAAAAAACGAGAAACTTTTTGGAAAAGAAGCTGAAGATGGGAAACGGCCAGCTTAAATTCGACTCTTTTGGGCAAGCGTCGGATTGAGTCAGATCCGTTTTGGTGGATCTCATCAGCCAAAACCTAAACCCAATGTGGATTGTGGGGAGCGAAAACTCACCCGAGAAGGGAAAGGCGCGAAGTCGGGGTCTTGCTTAATTGGGCAGTTGTTCTGCAACTGGTGATAGTATCATTTCTTGCCGTCAATTTAGCGGATAAAACCAGCAGGAGGATTAGAAATCAATGTCATTTAGAGCGTGACATTGAATATTTGGGTCTGGAAACCATGCGAGTGCAAGAAGTATAAATAGCCATACCTCGACTTGCCTGTGTTCTAATGAGTTGTCCTCCTATCTATATCATATTCATCCGAACCAAAGGAGGATCCTTATCAGGAAGCTTCAAAAATGTCTTCATATACTCGCGCCACTACTGCCGAAGAGATAGCAGCCGACTGCACCGATATCATCAATGGCAAAATAATACTCATTACTGGTGTCTCACCAGGTGGCCTAGGTGCAGAGTTTGCCCGAGTCATTAGCAAACACTCTCCTGGCCTCATTATCCTTGCCAATCGTGATGTAGCCAAGGCATCCGAAACAGCCAAAACTATTGCGGAGATTGCGTCCTCAGTACCAACTAGGATCCTTAAGCTAGACCTCGCATCTCAGGCACAGATTCGAGAAGCTGCTAAGGAGGTCGTGGAGAAGTATCCGGAGACTCATATTGATGTTTTGGTCAACAATGCTGGTGTGATGGCCGGCCCATACAAGGTCACGGCCGATGGCATTGAGAATCAATTCGGCACTAATCATATTGGACATTTTCTGTTCACCAATCTGATCATGAAGAAATTAGTTCCATTGAGCAAGGATAACAACTTTCCTCCAGCACGTATCGTCAACGTTTCCAGTAATGGATACCGACTTGGATGGGTCCGGTTTCGTGATTGGGGGTTTGATGTATGAGATATTACTTCTATTCATTTTGCTTACTGTTGGCCGCTCTTGCTAATTTGCGCATCGTATAAAAGTCAGGAAAAACATACGATCAGTGGGCCGCTTACGGACAATCCAAAAGCGCGAACAATCTCTTTTCAATTGCCCTTGCAAAAAGGCTCGGTACAACCAAGGGCCTTGTCGCGGTCAGCCTGTGCCCCGGCGCCGTTCCTACTAACCTCGGGAATGCAACGGGAATGGAAGGCTACCAAGCACTTGGTAAGTTTCTTTCCCCGTCAATGAATGCGAGATTAGACCGCTAAGACAGCCTTTTTATAACAGTCAAAGCCGATAGAGCGCAGGGACATTCTCAATATTGGGTAAATGATCTTAGAACGTTGTTCAAGACTATGGAACAGGGTGTTGCTACCCATGTGTTTGCAGCTTTCCATTCTTCTATCTCAGCTACGGGTAAGCTATTCCATTTCATGCCGTGCATTTATCATTCTAACCACTATGTTGTGCGTAGTAAACAATGGATCCTTTTTACAGGATAGCCATATTACCCCTCTGGAAGACATGTACCCCTGGGGTAGAGATCCAATTGATGCGGAGAAATTGTGGATTTTGAGCGAAAGGATTGTAGATCAAAAGTTTGATTATTGACAGTAAGACAATTTTACGCGAGTCATTGAAAGCTTGAATGGAAATAAATGTTAAGCTTATGATCTGATTGATCCTTGTAATCACGAGGAAGAAGGTTGATGTATGGGGCTGAGAATTGAAAAATCATAGATTTAAAATCAATGGCTACTTTATTCTAGGGCGATAGACTTGCCTGGAAAAAATGCCTTAGCTGTCTTTCCGTGAAGATCGCCAAACATTAGATGCTAGTTCGCAAGGAGATTATCACACATTCCTCCATGTGGTCAGTCGAGCTTTCAATCCTAGAGAAATGTTCCTGTAGCCCTTCCGACGACGTGATGTTGAGGGAAAGGTTGTGATAAAGGATCGGAGTAGTAGCGAGATAACATTTTTTTGTTCACCAGCACGATGTCCTGCAGTGTCCGATATGGCGTGTCTTGGATCTATGGTGGATTAGAAAGCAAGTTCACGAGGTTCCTGCTCGCAAATCATACCTCACGTAAGATCAGATCTCAGACGTGGCATTTCGTCGAGGTGGGGCTGGAATGAGATCGTATGAATATGAGGAGGATACGTTGCGGCGAAGAGGTTCGCTCCAAGGTGTCGCAGTGAGAAGAAATCTCTATTTGACTGAGCCCAGACTAACCGTAATGAGAAGGCGCTGCTGGGACTTACGGTAGGCACTCCCCGTCAACTTCTGAGGAAGATGAACATCAAAGTACCTGATCAAACTCTTATCGGTGAACGTTGCCTTGAGGTCATATAACTGGAGGGCCGTACAACAAAGTCTGTCTACGGCGCCATTTGGCAGCGTCTACAGAGCCTTTTACACTGCCTTTGAAAAAACGATATCCGATTGCTCGCTGGCAGTCCGCCCCAGTCCTTGTCAACTCGTTAGAACCGTTAGTACGGCAGGTTGATGGCAGCCATGCCTTGCCAGGGTCATCGAAGCAGATTCTGTTTGCCTCGGAAAGACTTTCTAGGTGTAGGTAGGCCAAGTGAGGTAAGTGGTTTGTCAGAAAGTCGAATATAGGTCCGAAGGTACCCGATTTGAGGTTGAGATTCCTCATGGTTAGACTACCAAGCTGAGTTGTCTGTTGGAAAAAGGCGAGAATTGCAATGCCTTCGGTATAGATACCTTCTAGACGACAGTGCTGCAAATTTGAGAAATGGTTACCCAGCTGCGCGATTTTACTGAAGAATCTTTGTTCTTCCAGCTCAGCGCCACCGAGCCTATAAGTGCGTAGATTGAACCAATGTAATTCAAGACTTTCAAGATGTGGGCACAGCTTTAACAGATGTTTGATATCATCAACATAGCCCTGGCCAGTAGCTAGGTTAACTTCATGAACTTCATCCTGGGAGCTTTGCACGTTTTCCACAATGTGATGCGAGAGGCTCAAAGATAGGCTCTTCAAGCTGAACAAAGTCTTGGAAAGACCCACACATTCTAGAAGTAGCGCCATCTTGTTACAGGCAAGACTACAAAGGTCGACACTACCAAATATATCCAGCTTCTGAACGGAGAGACCACTATCTGCGAGAGCCTGAGAGGAAATCTCCAAGGTTTTGCATGCAGTCTGCCAGACTGACTCCCAGTTCGTAAAGGCTTCCATATGGGCATTTCGGAGGATCTTTTGTCCTTGGACAGTCAATACAAGAAATTGCAGCCCTCCATACACTGAGTTGTGCCGCAATTTCGTGAGTGCTTCAGTCAGTAGGGCAATCTCCTCGGCAAATGTATGCGACGGTGTAGGTGCTGTGCCTCTGATCGTCAACGACTTCAAAAAGCAGCCCATGCGTTGCGGCTGTGTCATTTGCACAAAGCTCTGCAGTTCTGTGGCCGACTCCCAGTTTATGGTTTTCTTCTCAAAGTATCTCTTGAACGTTCCCCGACCGGATTTGGCGGCAATGGTTTGCGATACTAGACGAAGATTGCGGATATCTCCAAGTTCTAGAAAAGCAGCGACAGTGTCTAGAATCTCGACGGGAAGCTCGTCGAAAGCACGATGTGGTTTTGAAGAGACCATCTTGGAACGACCCTTGCTATGGAGTCAAGCCGGAGAATGTAGCAGTCGGAATTCGAATCTATCCGATCGAGGGAAGATTGTTGTTCCAGTCCTAGCGAGATGATCAATCGACAAGATTGGGGCGATGTACAGATTTGAGATGTTGTGTCAACATGGTGGGGGGAGTCATAGCGCTACTCGTGTTGGCTGGGTTCTTTGGGATAGCTAGTAGTATGTTCCTGCAGCTTCCGAAAGTTTCATAAATAGGATTCCATCTGTGTAATACTTCCTGAGTATCAATCCTCTGAACCATTATACATTAGTTCTTGCGCACCTAACCATTAGTTCACCAGCCTTTACAATTTTTCTAACATCTATGATGAGATGTTTGTCTCGTTGCACCCCGCATGGATGGAGTCTGCTAGAACTCATTAGGATTAGAGCCACTAGGAGAGGTTACGTACGCAGGCTTCAATACTATTATCCATGTCAGAATAGTACGGAATGTGTAAAACGATGAGCATCGCCACTTTCCGAATTTTAAGCATCTAAAGCTGCCAAGCAAGTGGCAAAGCGATCTGCACATCGTAAAGGTGAAGTGACACGGGTGCACTCCTCCTTCGGCTGTAATTGGTAATCCAGTCCTGTTGATAATTCAACCTAGGTTGAAATTAAAGTATTCTGGGAATTACTCTCCGTTTCAGAGGTCGAATAAGAGTAAACAAGACTACAACCCGGTCTCTCAGAGTTCAGAACTGACAGCCGAGTTTGGCATTTCGGGAAAGGTAGGTTGATTGCTTATTGTGGAAGCCATCTTCTTTTGGCTCTGGAATAGAGACAAGCCGACTTGATTTTAGAAAATTTTTATCATCGTATATCTATTATCGTTAATGACTTACAAATATACCGGGGAGAAAGTAACAAAAAATATTGTATATCAGTGGTCGCCACTTGACAGATTTCGCTCAACTCAAACTACGAATCTAACAAAGCGGGGGCTAGTTAATGGTGCTGTAGAAGTAATAGGATAGTTGTGATTGATGGAAAGCACTGTACTAATACAGACATCAAAGACGCAATTCCTTATTTGCTCAACAGTGCGCCGTGTCTTGAACCTAGAACGGGCTACATTGACGCAGCCACAAAGTAGGTACCAAAATAATTTGGACTTGATAAGTCATTGATATGAACATTAGTTAAAATTAAATTGAGAAACCCTGAAGAATTGCGAGTGCTTACCGCTTGAAAATTGCTCCTTCCTAATTATCATTAGACTGGTGACTGTGATAAAAGTACTTAAAATGGCGCGATTAATAAACTGCGTAGATCCTATTGGAGATCATCTCAAGATTGGCTACACAACTCCGCATGCAGGTTGGATGTAACAACTCGACGCCACCAATACCTACTAAATAGCAAAATATGATTGCCAAAAAGTACTATATCCATGGCGAATGGAATCCTTGCGACTTTCGTAGCGTGCACGCAATTTTGGGATGTTCCTTGCAATACACCTCACACCTATTTAGAGCACCAACGCCCCTCAAGCTGCATAGTTATTACCATTTCTCAATTTTATCTAGGAAGCAACAAAAGAGAGGGGAAAAATGATCGTGCCTTTTGTCGCTATCCTGCTCACGAGCAGTGTCTCGGCGCTTTCCTCGCCATATCATCTCAAGGAGTTCCACCCAGTTCCTAGAGGATGGAAGGAAATCAGCCCTGCACCAGGCTCGCATACACTGGAGCTTCAGATCGCTCTGAAGCAACATCGCTTCGGCGAGCTGGAAACAGCGCTCTATGAAGTCTCCGATCCGACTCATGCTCGATACGGCCAGCATCTCAGCGCCACGGATGTCCACGAGTTAGTGCGGCCAGCGGATGAAACTCTAGAGCTGGTTGAGTCCTGGCTCGCTGACTACGGCGTGGAACCCTTCGAGCTGGACTGGAGCCCTGCTCGGGACTGGGTTTCAGTGACTCTGCCAGTCAACGTTGTCGAGAGCCTTTTGGACACGAATTATTCTGTCTATCGTCATGAGGACGGGGCGTATGCCGTCCGGACGCCCCGATGGTCATTGCCAGCCCATCTGCACGAACATATTATCTCAGTCCAACCGACAAATTCTTTCTTTCAAGTCGCTGCACAAAAGAATACCATCCGACCAGTAGGTCAGCTGGATATCAGCGAGATAGCCTCCTCCTTCTCCTCCTTCGACGCGGAAACCTTGAAAAATCCAACCGTAGAGCAGGTATGTAACACATCACTGGTCACACCACTCTGCCTGCGAACGTTTTACGGGACATATGACTACGTCCCGCAAGCTATAGACCGAAACCGAGTGGCATTGAACAATTTCCTGAACGAGACTAATAACCGTTCGGATATCCATATATTCCTGGAGCAGTACCGCCCAGATGCCGTCGGATTCAGCTTCGTCAATCAGATCATCAATAATGGAAGTAATCAACAAACCCCGGACACGCCTTTGCAATTGGAAAATGGCCAGGATGCGGAGGGGAATTTGGATGCCGAGACCATTATTGGTATCACTTATCCTACTCCTCTCTTTGCGTACAACACCGGAGGCTCGCCTCCCTTTACACCATCAGCCGGCTCGCCCACCAACTCAAATGAACCGTACGGTATCTGGCTCAAATACATCCTGGCGCAGTCGGACGATAAAATACCGCAAGTCGTCTCGACATCCTACGCCGACGAGGAATGGACAGTCCCATACTCGTATGCCACCGCTGTGTGCCAGCAGTTTGCCCAGCTAGGGGCTCGTGGTGTTTCGTTGCTTTTTGCTAGCGGCGACGGCGGTGTTGGATCTGCAGGCTATTGTTACCCTGGTGATGACAGCAGCGACATCCAATTCGACCCTCTCTTCCCTGCAAGCTGCCCATACGTTACGGCTGTTGGGGCTACTAAGAACTTTAACCCAGAAGTGGTCGCCTACGATACGAGCAATGGATTCGCCTCCGGAGGGGGCTATTCTAATTACTTCCCTCGCCCTTCATATCAAGATTCTGCCGTCACGGCATACACAAAGGGGCTTGGGAAGGAGTTTGCGGGGCTTTATAATACCAGCGGTCGCGGGTATCCCGACATTTCTGCGCAGGGCCAGCGATTTGCTACGATTTGGAATGGCAGCCTTTTGGTCCTGGACGGAACGAGTGCGTCTACTCCAGCCGCCTCAGCTATTATTTCCCTCGTGAACGATGCGCTTTTGGCGGCAGGCAAGCCTCCCTTGGGATTCCTCAACCCTTGGCTCTATGCGACTGGGCACGCTGGGTTTAACGACATCACCAGCGGTTCTGCAATCGGCTGCAACACGACTGGGTTTCCGGCTAAGAAAGGATGGGATGCAGTCAGTGGATGGGGTACTCCGGTAAGTTTGTCTCGTTTTTCTTCTTTCTTAAAAGAGGACACCTTTGTTGACTGGGGATTAAACATAGAATTTCCCAAAGTTGAAAGAGCTCGCTCTAGCTCGCTAGGAAGCCATCCTTATCTACGAGTTCTCAAGTAGATAGGCCAGAAAGGTCATAGTATATTAAATTATCATATCAATCTCACGGTATCCGTCATGATCCTCGTCGGCATAATCCTCGTTAGGTATTTCATACCATATTATATCATATAGTATGCGCGCAACTTTTGGGCCAGTTGGGACGGCCTAAAATCCTGTGAATATAGGCTGTTCAACGTCACGGCAGATAGTATAAATACCAGCCCCCCCTCTTATACAGTGTGAAGACATTGAGTATTAAAATTGATGATCACTTTGAGCCTATCCTATTATCAAACATTTGAAGGATAAGCAAATTATCCTTGAAGCCTTCCTTGCCAGACACCTCTTATTGACGCTCCAACATTACTTGTCACCACCATGACTGAAATTCCCGGTCCAAATTCGCTGGGCCAAGTTCCCAAGAATGTCAAGATTGTTCTTCGTACTTTCATCAATGTAGGCGGGGAACTCTGGAAACGTGATATTTTCTTCTGAAATTTCTGCAATCGTGCCATTGAGCTTAGAGTCACTCAGTAGCATGCCCACAGCTCGAGTAACCGCGCTTAGCGGGGTGTAGACGATACCAGGAAGGCCCTTGACGCTAGCGCCAATCTTTGTTTCTGCAGGATAAAAAAGTTTAGTTATGGCAATAAAACTTAGGGCTAGGTTTTTGGATCACTCACCAACGATACAGGGAGCTATCGCATTGATTTGAATGTGTTCGTGCTGGAATCGCCCTGCGAGCCCCCTCACCATACCCACAACACCGTGCTTGGCTATGGTATAGATGGGCGCAAGACTTAGAGGGTAAAAACCCGCGTTTGAAGCGGTGCAAACAATACTTCCCTTGTATGGACTCGTCGCTGACGATTTATTCTTACTGATATAATATGCCGCTAGTGAGACAGCTGCATGATTCAAGATCTAGTCAGCCATAGTCGCTTCGTCGGGTGAATTTGTAGTGAAAAGAGAATCCATACTATACATTGCTCCAGTCAAGTCAATATCATAAGTTTTCAGATCCGGTTTTACAGGCCGGTCACCCGTTGTTTGGAATAAAAACCCAGTCTCAGGGATTCCAGCATTCGCGCACACCAGGTCAATATGGCCTTGCTTGGCGTAAATGCTTCCGAACACTTCTGCCTGCTTCTCCCAGGATGTCACGTCGCAAGTGTGGAAGCTGAAGATGACATTGGGATATTCGTTCTTCAGTGAATCCAAAGCTTCTTCTCCTGCAGTGGGGTTGACGTCTAGTAAGGCAATATGCGCAACCTCATGCTCGCGCGTTCTTGCCAAATATTTGACGATTGCCAAGCCAATACCTGCTGCACCACCTAAGAGGATATTAGTATTGTGTAGACTATAAGTTCAGAAACATCTCAGCTGAAGGATTGAACCTACCAGTGACGATGGCAGTCTTGGATGGCATTGTTTCCGGGTCAATTACCACAGACGAGCTGTAGCAAACCGCTTCTTGGAAAGGAGTTGAATTTCACAGAACTGTGGTATCACCGAGCTTGTGAACATGATTCCCTACAGAGAAAGCTATATACCTCCTCCGTTTCCAGTTGGCCCAATCGGGCAATGGAATGTGTTTCTACTTGATTGACCTATCGGAGGCCATGGCACCGTGGAGCGCGGGCGCAGGACCGGTTATTTAGGCGAAGTCTGAGGAGCCGATTGGATCTTAATTCAGGGTGATAATTTGACGAGGCTAGGAGCACCATAATGCCATAGACAGCGTCTTGGACGCTTTACTTGACAGTCCTTAAATAGGCCGGATCAAGTCATTTGAGTCTTTAGACGAAACTATGTCCAGGGTGACAAAGTACAAAAAATCGTATAAAGCTTTGTCTAACTAGACTGTGGTGAGCCTGGCGTATAGTGCAATTGACTCGGCTTAACCGAATTTGTACGTTGTACGGGAAATACCTAGGTACATTTACAACCTATTTGTTGGATTAGACTTCTTGATTATGAACTCCTAGTATTACAATCTTTGAATACCTCTAGTCATCTAACAAACTTTAGAGCTGGAGCCCACTTACATCGGAAAGGACATGGGCTCTCGAATTGAATTTGCTCTTTGGCTAAATCGGGACCACATTGGTCTGGGTGGACCCTTTCAGACAAACCTACACGTACAAAGATTACCTCTTTTATTCTTCCCTTCTCTCTTCATTCGTTTTATCGTTCTCGTTGCCAATTCTATTTTTCTTTGTTTATAGACTTCTCCCACTTGAGATATTATTCCTACAATGACTAGCCAAAAGGCTCCGGCTAATGTGCCGTATTCGGGCTCGCTAAATATTGATGCCGCAAACGCTGACGACGGTACGACTATACTAAACAGGCATTCGAGATTCTTGACCAATGAACATGACTTTCCCCCGGCTAGGGTAAGCAAAAGTCGTTTTCCTTGTACAAGTATGGACTCTGACCTCAAGCTGGATCCAGGCGGCTTTATACGCTGCTGGAGTGCCAGACAAAGAGTCAATGCGAACGATGGCTCACGTAGGGATTGCTTCAGTTTGGTGGGAGGGCAATCCGTGCAAGTGAGGAGCTTCCAACGACCTTGGGTTTGACAATTCACTAACCTAGAGTGATTGTCATTCCTCTTTAGCATGCATTGTAAGTCAACGTGTCTGTCGAAGTCTGGGAGCGTCCCTAACGAAATACAATACTAGTACTGGATATGGGGAAACAGATCAAATCTTCCATTCAAAAGCAGGGATTACTGGCATGGCAGTACAACACTATTGGAGTATCTGATGCAATAACCATGGGCCACGATGGTAAGAGCCTTTCTCCACAATGTATTTTCGTCCTGGTCACATCAGACGCAGGCTGATCAAGTTCAGGTATGCGGTTTTCGCTGCAGTCGCGTGAGATCATTGCAGATAGTATCGAAACAGTCACTTGCGCCCACGTTTATGATGCGTGCATTGCAATTCCGGGATGTGATAAAAACCTTCCAGGAGTGGTGATGGGTATAACTAGGCATAATAGGCCGTCGATCGTTGTATATGGTGGAACGCAGCACAAAGGCCATAGTACGATTATGGGCAAGCCTATCGACATGAATACACCATCAGAAGCACGTGGAGCCTATGCCCTAGGGATCCTTCAGCAGTGGTCTAAAGATGGCTCTCACTCTGCTGAAGAGCTCATTGACGAGATTGAGAAAAAATGCGTACCGGGAGCTGGAGCGTGTGCTGGTATGTATACAGCAAATAGCCTTGCCACGGTCATAGAAACGTTGGGATTGTCTCTACCAGGATCATCTAGTTCCCCGGCATTATCACCGGCTAAGATGCGTGAGTGTGACCGGGTTGGCAGTGCGATCAAGACGTGTTTAGAACAGAACATTCGGCCATCCGATATCTTGACAAAAAGGTCCTTTGAAAATGCACTCACCATGATGATGATACTGGGAGGCTCGACTAATTCAGTGCTACACATTCTTGCCATGGCAAATACGGCGAATGTTGATATTAATCTTGGTGATATCCAGCGCATATCGTCGAAGACACCATTCCTCGCCGATATGGCGCCGAGCGGCAAACACCACATGGAAGATCTCTTCGAAATTGGCGGCGTGCCGTCCGTCATGAAGATGCTTGTTGCAGCTGGTTTACTCGATGGCTCAACTCCCACCGTGACAGGGAAGTCGCTGGAAGAAAACGTGAAATCGTGGCCATCGCTCCCACAGGGTCAGGAGATCATTCGATCGCTTGATAATCCGGTCAAAGCTACCGGTCATATTCAGATTCTTCGAGGGAATATTGCTCCCGGTGGTGCTGTTGCAAAAATCACGGGAAAACAGGGATTGGAGTTCACCGGAAAAGCAAGAGTCTTTGACAAAGAATCTGAATTGTGTCTCGCATTGGATAAAAACCTCATACCTCGCGATGAGAATATCGTCCTTGTCGTTCGATACGAGGGGCCGAAGGGTGGTCCCGGCATGCCGGAACAACTCAGAGCCTCCGGTACTCTGATAGGAGCCGGTTACAAGAAAGTAGCACTAATAACTGACGGAAGATACTCCGGAGCAAGCCATGGGCTGATCGTTGGACACGCCGTGCCCGAAGCAGCCGTCGGTGGACCTATCGCTGTGGTTAAGGACGGAGATATCATCAAAATCGATGCGAGGACTGGTCTACTAGAGATGCCATACGTTTCTGATGAGGAAATTCAAGAACGTTTAAAGGGTTGGAAACCTCCAAAGTTTCCTGTAAAGAGAGGGACACTCGCAAAATACGCCTCTCTTGTTGGAAATGCTTCGCAGGGTGCGGTCACAGACCTCTTTTGATAAGGTATCTATCCGTGCAAAATTTCTATATCTGTACCAACCTTGAGAACGAATCAAGTTCTCCAAAGTCTGATATTGCAGAGATTGCTTAGTTTCCTGGACAATAAACGATTATGTTAAATGACGATAAGTCTGTCAGGAATTAGGTGACAATGTCAAGTCCTATGACAAGCGAGATCCTGCAACTAGAAATTAGTCTCCGCTGTAGCACTAATCAAAACCTAGGATGCCTATTGTATGAGGCAGAAATTTAGGTATATGAATAAATAATGACTAATAATATATTCCTAGACAGTAGTAGATCTTTCCGAGTTCGTGCACAGGAACTTCGTTCCTATATCTTTCGCTAGCCGCGACTGATCCCATCGGTAGGAAGCTATTCCAAAATGAAAGAAACCTCGCAATAACTCAAAGGATACAACTTTTATTATAACACTGTATTATACCGAAAAAGAAATTGTAGGACGCCTGAATTGAGAACCCCAAAAGCTGTTCCGGGTCATGTAGTAGGGCGTAAATGCAATAGGACGTCTGGAGGATTGCGCGCCGGCTCCCAAAGGCTGAAGGGCAGATTTCTCGAATGAGGATGTCAGGCATATCTTGTCTATTTCATGATGCATCCAGCATAGAGACACCAATTTCCGGGTCGTGTAGAAGAGGGGCCGGGTGCTTTCCGATGATGATCGTACTTGGGAAACAGGGGATCGATCGAGCAATCGGAATGTGGGGGGATACATAGATGACTGATCCGGAGTGTAATTAACTTCCCCGGAGACCGGGAGATTGAACCTCCACATCTCAAAAGCTGATATCGGACAGATTGACGGCGATGGCCACGAAAAATTTCATTATAGTAGTGATCCAAGAGCGATATCCATGAAATGAGGACACTCTTCTGCTGCACAGCATAAAGTATCGCTAAACTGTACTGTAATGGTGGTCGAATATTGTCGGTCTTGAGCAAAATGTCCATTGGAGTAGCACTACTTGGGGCGGGGGTCTTCGCTAAAAAAGGTGGGCGTACATCTTCCACTTATGAGTGATGCATTGTGATTAACTGATCGCAAATGCAGAGCACCTTCCCGCCATCAAATCATCTCCACTGTTATCCCTGAAAGCGGTATACTCGCGATCGAGAACTTCAGCAGAAACCTTTGTGGAAGCAGCTGGCGACGATACTGAAGCTTATTTTGATTCTCCATCTGTTCCATCCAGGTCGCTTGACGATCTGTTGCGACGAGACGATATTGCTGCTGTGATCGTGTGCGTGGCTATTGATGTCTCGCCGAAGCTCATCAAGAAAGCTTTACGTGCGGGAAAGCATGTGTTGAGCGAGAAACCCATCGCTCCAGACTTGAAGACGGCTCGGAGCTTGATAGACTTCTATCAACAGGAGATCAAAGGCGTCTTTTGGGGCGTGGCTGAGAATTTCCGATTCTGGAAATCCGTGCATGAAGCGGCGAAGATAATCAAGGATCTAGACGCGAATCTGGTCACCTTTTCGATTACCTCTTATTCCTTTGTGAACGCAGATAATCCCTTCTATCATTCTGATTGGTGAGTGAGCTCTAATGAATTTGGACCCTTATGCTGATAATTTCAAGGCGTCAGAAACCCACATTCCAGGGAGGGTATCTGTTAGATGGCGGCGTACATTTCGTGGCAGTTTTACGAACCTTGCTTGCTGCACTAGACCAAAAAATCGAAGCTGTATCGGCATATACGACATCTATACAGAAGACTCTTCCCCCTGTGGATACTATCCATGCTATTCTGAAGACGGATCATGGCCGTGTTGGCTCGTACATCTCATCGGTTGGAATCGAATCTAAGCTCGCAATGGAGTTCGAGATTGTCACGGACAAAGGCTCCGTTCGATATAGCCCATTTCAGATGCAAATTGCTACCAAGCTGAAGAACCAGGAAGGGAAATGGGAAGAGCAATCTCAAACAGCACCACTGATGTGGGGCGTAAAAGAAGAGGTAGCTGCATTCGCCGAGGGGATTTTGACAGGCAGGCTAGATTCGAAGCTGTCGATATCTGAAGCGTTAGAAGACCTGAGAATTGTGGAAGCCATGCTGACCTCTGGAGACGCACAAGGACTGCCGATAACTATCTCAAAGGATGCAGCTTAGTCCTATTAGATTTGAATCGAGGCAAATAAGTCTTATTTAGTATTACCATGTGCCGAAGACGTTTTCTTGCCAAAACTTTTCAAATCAAAGTTACTTATTATCCACACATTAAATTGGGGATTGGAGGCATTAGACTGGTAATATTAATGACAATTATGATGGGTAGTGAAATATATCAACCAATGAGTTGGCATAAAAATACTAATTATCAACGTTCAAGCCCACGGAGGCTTGATGGAAACTAAAATCAACCTATCGCTCACTGAATTTGCCTAATAACTCAGGCATTTGCTCCATGAAACTCTACATAGTTCGGCTGAGCAAGGATCAGTTTAAGCGCGAATGGAGAGAAGTAAAAATTTACCATATCTTATTCTCCTGACAAAATTATCCATTATATTCTGTAACCTTAACGTGCACCGCCTCCATCTTCTCCCAGTCACGAGGTTGATCCATCCCTTCTATTAGCTTCTTGAAAGAGGCTGTCTCACGGAAGGCCAAATGATGGTCAACAGATTTCCACCCTAACAAAGCCACATAGGCTTTCAATTTTTCGCCCTCAATTTCCTGCACTTCATCCACCCACCCGCTAGTACATGACAAGCATCCACCATCAAGTGATCTGCATGCCTCGAGGAATTTCGTCGTAGAGTTGTGGTACTTCTTCTGATCATCCGCGGAGTAGTCGGCTGGGTAATAAGTCGTCATGACTTCCGTCACCGGTGCTTCGACAAGAACGACAGGCGGATGAGGTTGAAACCGTGCGTGGTATACCGTATGTGGTCCGGAGCACACAGAACCAATAGGTATTACAGCGGGTAGATAGGCACTATTTGTTGACACAGTTAGCACAATAGATCCTCTTCATTCTAACCTGATTTACCCACGGATCTTTATTAGCCTCATTATGAACCTCCATAGAATCCCAGTCGACAAATAGCCGTAGCCTGTCTGGGTTCTCAATTTCGACTCCCCAATATATCCGCTGACACCCTTTCCAGCCCTTGATGAGTTTGAGAGCCTTTTCTGTCAGGGTTTTGTACGCATCACTGTTGGGGTCAGTGAGACATATATCCTTTCTAAGAGGAGCAAACGCGATTTCTGTAACCCCATACATCTTCGCTCAACATATAGCGTAGCTTGAGGTGAGGAGCAGGAAAGCGAGCGAGTGAGAGAGGGGTAAATTTAATTTGTTTGAGCGGATATTGGCAGTCGAGTGAGAGAGTCTCAGAAGGCTATCTGATAAGGGGGTGTCATGACCAGCGCACACTTTATAATGTTGCTGCGACAAGCAGAGATGATACAGTGTGCCGGATTGCACGATTGAAAATTATGCGGAATAGCATGGTCCCCAACCCGAGTGCAATTTCCGGTGACTAAGACGAGTCCGGTGTACATACAGCATAGCATGACTGGAACACCCTACGTAGTCTAAAGAGGCCGTGGGGTGCATGGCAGATGATACTTGTGGAGCCGTGTCAATAACAGGAAAGATGTGCCGGTAAATGATACGGGACCCGGTCGAAGCTACACGAGTCTTCATTCTCTTCGTTACTCATAAACTGCCAGCAATTGTCGAGCTCATTTATGATTAAGGACCTAACAAGTGGTCATTTCTCTCCTCTAGACATATTTAATAACTGATTCGGCTGTTTTGCGCAATACAGCACGTGTATAAGGCCGTTTTCTGCCTATAAATACTTAAGTCTGCATTTTAATTGAACCACTTAGATCTAGCTATATCGCAGGCAGGGAGTTTGCGGGGAAAATGTACCTATGTGGAGCCGAGCCCTTCCGCTGCGATATAAACCACCCGGATATGTCTAGGGACCCGTGGTAAATCTGGCGCTTCGGACATCCGGACCAAGAGCATCTTGATGCAGCAGCTACGTCCATAAAATTACAATGAAGCATTTTCTTGGTAATCCTCAGCCACTTCGCCCCAAGCGCAAGCGACTTAGTCATGCCTGCAATTACTGCCGCTTGAAAAAGATCAGATGTGATGATGCGCAGCCTGGATGTGGTGCTTGCCAGTCAGCAGGCATTGACTGCATCACGAATACCAGACAGCAACCGGATGATCCGTCACTCTCACAAAGGACCGCGGAAAAAGATGTGCTGGAGGAAAGTCAAGGTCAACAGTTCAACCCAAGGCTTTCCTCCCAATCTCGAGAAATCGACATCTCACCGCGTGCAGGCACTTGTGGTACAATACAGGGTGTGCCAATCCTCCAGGATCTAAGCAGGCTATCACCCTTGAACTCAAAATCTGCCAATAAAGTATCGTCTTTGAACGAACCGGATGGTGATGACTATCTTCCTCTCATTCCTTCAACCTTACCTGAAGCCGGCACAGCACGAATCGCAACACAGTGGTTACGAATCGCTTTCAACCGCCTGAAACTATACCCACCACGCGACTGGATTGAATTTGAAAAAGATGCTGTCTCTCAACGAATCTCTCTTGAACCGTTTTTCGGAAATCCTGGTCCGGCACTTCCAAATGCAGATGAGATTCGCGCCCATACTGCACGTTTCGTTGCCGATGTTCTCGTTATCTACCCTTTGATCAGTACAAGTTTAGTACGTAGACTACTTGATCAAATTACTTGCATTCCGTTGAAAATTACCAGTGTTCGTGTGCAAGATCCGTCTGTTTTGGCTTTCGGATACTTGGTAAGCATCGTCGGGATGAAACTACAGCCGAAATCGTCCCCGCAGCAGTTACTTATTGAGAGGTACCTTGGTCATTGTACCAGCCTGCTTGGTCATCTCTTAGCAGAACGCTCTGTCACGTCTTTACAAATGGTTCTCCTCTTAGCTATTATTCTTCGCGTGTGCGACCGGCTCGACTTGTCATGGGATGTGCTGATGGTTGCTTTGACAATGGCAAAATCCTTGAATTGCGATCGAAATTGTGCTTTACTTGTCACAGGAGAAGAGTCAGAGGCAAAACGGGCTTGGTGGTGCCTCTATGCATTTGAGAAAATACTTGCTTTTGAGACTGGCCGGCAAACCACGATTGTCGACCGTTATCTCTCCACGATAAAGCCGCAGTCCGAAAAGGAAAGAAAAGCTATGACAGAGCCTTCAGCATCCATACATATCCATAAAGAGGACTCGGCTGAGTATAAATATGCTTTGATCAGCCTGGTTAATATTTTAGGTGAAATGACGAAGCGTTCTTCCCAATGCTGGGGATTGGATGAACTTAAAGCTTGTCGACGGGATGCCGCTATTGCTAGGATATTCGATACAGCTGGAGAAATCGACAGTATGCTCATGGATTGGCAGCACTTCCAACGAGCCAATTTTCTGTATGGATTCTTACATATTGCTTCCTTATTCCAGTCAACCCTGTAGCTTACTAGCTAACGGCTTTACAGGAGGAACTCCATTACATGCTCGAGCCCAGCGAAGACAAACCAAAATAACTTTCTGTCATATTATTATTTTCAGTCGTGAGTACTGCCATATTTCTTGGACATATACATTCTCTCGAAAATTTCCCCCCCATCGTACGATATTCACCGTCAGATGTGAAAGTGTGCATGGCATCAGTAGCCTACGCCAAATCTGGTTCTGACATTGAGATACAGGATCATTACCCTGTGCCGAAACGTATTCCTTATTGAAAAATCTAAGTTACGGCATGAAATCAATCGTTGCGGTGCCAACAAATTTTGGTACACTCGTTTGAACAATGGCCGTGCTGTTTGTTTGGAAGCCGTGCGAGAAATGATCGACATATTCGTGTCTCTTGCCGATGACAAATTAAACAGCTACCTTTCAATCTCAAGCAGTCCACTCGCGGCAACCTACGTGCTAGCAATCCATATCTGCCAGGAGCCCGGCTCCCTTCTAAGTCGTTCACATTTTGAGGTCCGTAGTTCCCACAGAAGCAGCATAACACTAAACTCTAAAACGCTTGAATTGGCTGCTAACATAATGAGGTAACATACAGCTCATGAAGGCTGCTATGGAGCTTTCTAGGGGACATTATATTCTTCACAGAGGCGATGAATACCTCAAAAGTCTGCTCACGGCCCTAGAGCAATATGTACTGAATTCGATGAAGAGCACCTTGAGCCAAAGTTCTGCCTTTGAGTTGATGTCGTACGGCGGAGACATTCCAGATCTAGAAACTGATGTATTCGATGATTCATTTATCGCATCCGTGGACATCTCTAACTGGGGACTGGCGTTTTCGGACTGGGCAGGGGTAGCTTAGAAAGAGCGTAGTCTTCTACTGCAGTTTCCAATCTGTATAAATGTCTTTTTTATGTAGAATTACTTCCTACTTGACAAGTTCAATACCATTATATGTATTACTCATCAAATGAATCATCTTGCACCTTGAAATTATTGAAAATGATTAGGGGAAAGGGGGGATAACTTCAGCCACCATCTGAGATTGGGGGAGGCATCTAGACCAGACGTATCATAATCTACGGGGTTCGTATTTTAGTCCACAAAGGAATAGAAAACACTTAACACAAAATGAGTGAAATAAACGTTCCACACATGTATCCATCAGTCAAGAAGCCTGTCGGCTTCGAATAGTACCTATTGACAGAACTCAATCACCCAGAAGCGCATGTGATGGGGGAGAAAATGACTCGAAACTGTTCCGAGTAACTCGATTGGTCCGGTTGAGAGGTCGGAAGTTCAGGAACCTGGATGAAAGCTCTCACAGAGATCCGGAATCTGTGGGGGGTTTGGGTTCAGTAGTGCCATTGCGCAATTGTTTGTTACAGCGTGTTTTCTGTATCCAAATCCCATCGTAGAATTTTAATTCGCAGTCGACCCTACGTAATCCCCCACATGGAAATTCCGAAGCCGAAGATCGGCCACACTGTAGCGTTATACGGTAGTGGATCAAACTATAGGCCAAGGGATGCTAGTGATCCTCCTCGCAGGACTTTTCACCCCAGAAACACGAAGATGCAGATGTCCATACCTTTTAAGATCATAACTGCGGAGTACTCCTCATTCTATAGATTTTACCCCAGGATAACGGGTTAATATGTCCCGAGCTTCGCAGGATCGATACCGAGCCAGCCATGTGTGCTCATCAGCACATAAACAGTCCATCGGCCTCATGAGGATGGACACTCTACACAGCTCAAGACTCAGATTTTGTGCGCGGTAATAGGCAAAATAATTGCCTTTCATGTTTCGTATCTTGTTCTTCGTGTTCCTCTGCGCGGGCTGCCTACTCGCTGCTTCTAGCCCCCAGCAGTACACTAGATCGCTTGGAACCTTTGAGAATCCATCTGTGCAGACTCGACCACGTTTTCGCTACTGGCTTCCCGACGCCGGAGTCGATAAAGAAATTGTTGCTACCAACATCAAAGACAGTGGAAATCTAGGTGCTGGCGGCGTAGAGTTCCTTCCCTTTTACAACTATGGGGGTGAAACCGTCTCCAAGGCTCCTCAAGCTGATTGGGTCACCAATGGCTTTGGTACACCGGCCTTTCGGGATGTATTTCGCGCAGCCCTTCAAGCACACAAAGATGCTGGACTCTTGATGGATTTTGCCATGGGTCCAAATCAAGGGCAAGGTGTGCCAGCAGAGAGTGATGATGAAGGGCTGCAGTGGGACTTGGTATAATCTGTGCCTTTTTGAGAGAACCCGTAAAAGACACCCTAGACTAACGTGTGCTCAAAAGGTTCCGTACAATGTTGAAATACCAAGAAATGGTATCATTGACGCTCAAATCCCTGGATGGGGAGTAGGTGAACTGGTCGCTGTAGTTTCTGCTCTTGTAATTTCTGAGACGAACGTGACGATGCCGGCAGTCAGTTCACCCTATATCCCATCACAGTCAGGATATATCAGCTTGGTTGTAGATCACAAAAGTCTGAGTGATATAACCATACAAGTGACGTCGACTGGACATCTCAATGCTACTTTCCCACAGCCAACAAGTGGTATTGGGTACCGAATCTTCGCGTACTACCAAAAACGCACTCTGAATAAGAATCTGAAATTCGAGAATAATCAGACAGCGACGATATGGGATAATGGGTCCTATATAGTGGACCATTACAGCGCCGCGGGGGCTCAGACAGTGATCAAATTTTGGGAGGAATACATCCTTATTGACGGCCTCAAAGAGATGTTAATGGAGGTCGGGCATTATGGTATTTATATGGTTAAACCAAAATGTATAACTAGATTTGCTAACGACATTGTGTAAAGGCTGGGAAGATAGCATTGAAATGACATCGAACACCTCGTGGACTCCCACCATACCTGACAGGTTCCAACGAAAGCTAGGGTATCGTTTAGAGCCCTATCTACCAGTTATGAACTTTGGCGTCCTCCATCCAGACAACAATGTTAATATTCAGGCCTTTCAACCAGGTCCTGTACAAGTCATCCTCAACACGGAAGATTCTGGGGCACGATACATTAATGATTTTCGGGAACTACTTGCAGACGGATACCGCGACTACCTTCAGGTCCTAAGTGACTGGACTCGCAATCACCTTGGTCTGGCCTTTTCTAGCCAAGTATCTTACAATTTGCCGATGGATACGGCAACTAATGTACCTATGGTTGACGTTCCCGAATGTGAGAGTTTGCAATTCGCTGATAACATCGATGGCTACCGGCAATTTTCTGGCGCGGCAAATCTTGCGGGAAAAGCTATCATTTCGAACGAAATGGGTGCTATCTCGGCAGCTTATGATTACCCCTTGCCGAGACTTTTATTTTCGGTAGCAAGGGCGGTTGTCGGGGGCGTTAACCAGTTTGTGCTCCATGGTCAAAGCTATACCGGAGACTATTACATCACGACTTGGCCGGGCTATACTGCCTTTTCTTATTCTGTATCAGAGCTATACTCGAACAAGCAACCTTCCTGGGATCATGGCTTGTCAGAGGTACTCAATTACTTGGCAAGAGTCCAATTCGTTCAGCGTCAAGGTATACCACGGACAGATGTCGCCATTTATAACAAGGTGTCTGCCACCGATAGTTCGTTTCCATCCATTTATCAATCAGATGACTTGGTCAACGATGGTAAGCTTCTTCTCTCTTTTTGAAAACTTACGCAGAATCCTAACTTCTTTAGGTTGGTCATGGGCGTACCTTACACCAGACAATTTCGCCTTACCACAAGCTACTGTCCGTGACAATGTTCTTGGTCCGGACGGGCCAAGGTACAAGGCCCTTGTCATCACAAAAGATAGCAACATGACACTATATGGCGTGGTGCGTGTTGCAGAGTTCGCAGCAAAAGGCTTGCCAATCATCTTCAGCGGTGGTTTGCCTAGTATTTATCCATCCGCAAGAGGTAATCACACCGCTGAAACTCTCGCCGCCCTGACGAAGCTAGCATCTTCTCCAAATGTGTACAATGCCAGCAGTGGCCATGTTGCAAGCACTCTAGAGAGCCTGGGATTATTCCCCAATATCAAAGTCCAGACCAACGGCACCATCTGGACTACCTGGAGGGAGGACCCATCAACAGGAGTGGACTACGCATTTATATTCTGTGATTCAAAATCTGCATCAGCAGAGATCACAATTAGTGGCGATGCGAAGAAGAAAATACCCTACTATCTAGATGCATGGACAGGCATTCAGAAGCCTGTTTTCACTTATACTGTTTCTGGCTCAGCATTGAGGATCCCAATTTCACTCGAAGGAAACCAGACGACGATTATCGCTTTCTCCCGGAATCCTTTGACAGATTCTGAGGCTCCTACAGTACATTCCACGGAAACACCACCTTCTGTTATCGGTTCGTTCTATGAGTCTGCTGGTAAGGGTTGGACTGCGCAGGTAGTCAGTACTAATTTACAGGACTCGGGAAGAATTCGTTTATCAAATAATAAGACCATCGAATTGCCAAATACCCATAAAATAGCAGAGCTATTCAACCTCAGCAATTGGAAACTAGTTACGGAGCACTGGGAAGCTCCCTCCGACCTTTATGATGCTGAAACCATCGCTCAGAAGCATAACACCACCCATGAACTAACAAGCCTGCTTTCATGGACAGAGATTCCTGCTCTTCAGAATGTATCTGGACTCGGTTATTATAGCACGACATTTCAGTGGCCGCCTGTCACGGGTGGATCCGCTGATGGAGCATATATTCAGTTTCCTTCCATTCTACACGCAATCCGGGTTTCGGTCAATGGGCAGAAGCTTCCAGCCTTGGATTATACGAACGCCAAAGCAGATATTGGCCCATATCTCCGACATGGAAATAACGATGTTCTTGCTGTCATTCCCACAACAATGTGGAATTATCTTCGAAGTATTATTTCACAACTAAGAGATCAGGGGGGCCAGCCAGGTTTGTTGAGTTTTACTAGTACTTTGCCGGGGATCTCGCCAAATGGATTGATAGGCGAAGTCAGTGTGCTTCCATACGTGAATGTGAATATCAAGTGAAGATAATGAACAATAACTTCCAAGGTTCATATTACAGTCTCTTGTTAATAGACCATTTAACCTAAAATATACCATTATTATCTTCTAAGGTTCACATGAACTCTTGACATTGTCTTATATCTGGGAAGTATTCAAGATGGTCATATTTATCTAAGTATCATAAAGTCTCTGTTCTCGTTACCCACATTGTACATGTACCTGCGTCCTTGTTATTTCCTGACGCCCAGGAGCCTTCCTGTTCCTTTTTAGTGCCCGCCCCCTCGCTCTTTCTCCCTAAGTAGAACTGAGCATGACCCTAAGCGCCGTAACCAGGCAGGGTGTTTACGTTGAAATGCTGATGTAGTTACGACAATGGGGTTTATGAAGCTTTCTGATTGGAGTCATATTTTTAGTCCGTACTGTAAAAAGCTCGTTTTCTTAGCTCATTGTAGACCTGAACGAGAGCGCTGACGGCATTGCCCGTTCTAAGCACAAACCAACAATGTCCATTGCCGTTTGATTTGCTGGAGTCAAAGCAGTCGACGATCAATTATTATTAGTAAGTGAAGGATATCAAATGATACTTAAGGTTGTCACAGGTTGCACCTAAGTGGCTGTGAAGTGCGCGATTGGGTTGTCAATCCGGGTGGTTTATTTTAAGGTGGCCTTAGCGATAGCTGTGTGGTGCAGGGGATCGGCATCTATGTTGTGTTAGCTGCAGTGTTAATCTTGTCTATCAAAGTAGTTTTGGCATTTTCGATGGCCTAGAAATTTCAGCCCCGAATTTGCGCGCGCAACTTTTTCCGTGCTGAGTGCAGGGTGGATCAACATACCTTACAGGCTAAAAGGTCAAGCAACTGATCGCCTACCTATTACCAGTAGAGGCAGGCATGTGGCTGAATTATGCATTGATCCCACATAGACTACATAGATGCTCAGTTAATTCAAAACAGATTTTCCTATCAAACTTTCAAATGGTGCTCAGCCCTGCAACAATCAGTAACGATAAATCATTTACTTTTCCTGTGTATCGAGTGAATCAAGCAAATACGGTAAATGAAACTTATATAAACCCTTCTATCGGATCCCTTGGTCTCAGTCCCAAATTTCTCTCCCAAGATCAGCACTCGATTGATATCTCCCCGTTTCTACAACCTAGAAACCCCGTTATATTGTCACCAGCCATGGCTTCTGTACTTTTCGGAGGCTCTTGTATCACCCCGGCACACATGGTTGAGTGTACGTGTTTTGCATGGTTCCTTCCTGCATCCTGCTAACACCCAATCCAGACAACGAACCCTTTGTTGGGAGCCTGAGTTTCTATCATTTTAATATGATTCTATCAGGCAGTTGTACGTTGATTACCTTCGTATTGATGGTTGTCCTGATGGCCGAGCATGCATGTCATCTTAGCAATCCTTCTCAACAGCTAAAGTAAGTCGTTTTAACCGAGCCAGGCTTGTGGGTAGTATTTTTTACATTTTTTGTTGCAGGATCATGAGAATCTGTCACATGCTTCCCTCATACGCAATACTCTCATACATTCCCGTCTGCTTCCCTGATTCTTATGTCTACGTATCTGGATGGACGGAAGTCTGGCAGGCTATTGCTCTCTACGCGTTTCTCATGCTCCTCATTGACTTCCTTGCTCCTACCGATGAAGAGAAGATCTCCTTTTTTGCATCTCTCGTTATTAGGAAGACCTTCAAGAAAGGGAAGTATAGGGAGGGTGTGTCGTGGCTCAAGGTAAGAACAAATTGATTGATTTCAGTGCAAATCGACCAGTCACATTAAGTATTGACAAATTCTATTCTGAAACAGCTCACCTACTACAGTGTGTTGCAATACCCTATCATTGTTCTCATCTGCGCCATTGCACAATGTGTAGCACAGTATTTCAACCGATACTGTCTTGATTCGGACTCGCCAGTGTTCGGACATATTTGGGTAAGTCCAGCATCATGTGTTGGAAAGAGCAACAATTAACAAAAGCATAGATCGAAGTAATTTCCAGCGTTTCCGTTTCTATAGCAATCCAGGCTATTATCGGATTCTACCAAAATACTAAAATGTACATGAAGGAGCAACATCCTATGAGGAAATTGCTGGCCTTCAAACTTATGGTTGGGCTGATTTTTCTTGAGCAAGTAAGTAGTTTTCTTTGGGTTGACTTGGATGTACAAACCTGCTAATCTGATTTTCAAAAGATCATATTTATTGTCCTTGAGGCCACCAATGTTCTCCACCATACTTCTTCGATTAGCTACGCAGACATTAAAATTGGTCTTCCAAATATGATTATCTGCGTACAGATGGTCCCGTTCGCCTTTCTGATTCGCTGGGCATATAGCACCAAGGCCTATCGGTTGAACAAGTCTAATAACAGGAACATGGAATTAGGCGATGAAGAATCCGAAACAGGAGACTCCAATGAACAGCTCTTTGTTCCTGCTACGGGAAGAAAAAACTGGCAACGTCGACGTACGACCTACCAGGGTGGAAGATGGGGTATCAACGCCTGGACCGCTTATATCAACCCTCTAGAAATGCTCCGAGATGGCATCGCAATGTACAAGCTGCTGGTCGATGTTCAGATAAGGAAACAAACAAAAATTGCTCCGCCAGAGTCAACTGAAGAAATGAGCAATCGGACTCAAGATCAGCTCCCAGAAACAGAGGATTCGCATCCTATGCCTCAAGAGCAACAGGGCAATAGCGGCTATTCACCACTCAGTGCTCACCCGCATGGTCTGAGCGAAATGACAGCAGTGTCTGATTATAGGCCGCGGACATTGCATTATAGCCAACCCATGAATAGCCGGCCCATAGCTGAGTACAGTACACGATACGACCCTGCAGACATTAACTACGAGCATCATCAGCAGTCTTATCAATAGTGGTTTGAAGATACTATCGTTCCTACCTGTTATAGTTTTATATTTCATCATATTTTAGAGCAAAATATAGATATCCAAGATAAGTTGAAATCATTTCATGAGCTTAATTATAAGCACACACAGTTGAATCTTTATTACATCATTGTTTACTCTAGTAATCTGTGCGTTGACATCGATGACTAGTGTAATTGAAATTGGAAGATCAACGGAACTAGTAAGAATATATTCGTATAATACCATAATGACTGCGATGTTAGTCTCCAATACAACGGGGCTCTATTCCTATCTTTAGGATGGCGTTCTCCTTACATACTTGGGAAGTAGCCTTTAAGTGGTTATAAGTATGGCTTTACCTTCCCCATCAGATAGTTCTACACGAGACTGCTATCAATCAAGAAGTTATTCCATATTGATGAACTTATCCCATAGGTTTTTTGGACTAGCCTTACACCAATCACTGTTTCGTGTTCTGGGACCGTGCTTGGTAGAACCAACAATATGGCTACTTTGAACTTTAATCTATAAGTATATTCATGAATATAAAGAAAAATTTGAATTGATATAAAATTGTTTATTTAGAAATTGTATGGTTGTATTTATTATTTTCTGAAACAACGGTAGCTTGTAAAAGTTTGTTATATTTACAAACCATTGCAGCATTGCTAAATCCTTTAGATCAGGGTGCTTTCGGTCCGTGACTCTATTTCAGTTTACAACAAGTCTATCGGTGCCAACGTAATATAAAAATAGCTACATGCCAACCAGGGGTGGTACCTTCGTGAATTTTTGCCAGGCACCTCCATACTGGAATCCTGGATTCCCGTTTGCGCCTTGACTTCAGTTTTGCAGGTAGGGAAATACGGTAAGATCGTCGCGAGTCGTGCTTTGGCGCCGCCACGCGCAATTTTGTGGAAATAAGCATTCTATTAGTGCTATGCAGGACAGGATACGCCAAATATTGCGTTTTGGTCAGTCAATGGTCGGTAGTTACCATCTAACTGTTCGACCTTATGGAGGTGGTGGTATAAGATTTGGGTGGCTTGTTTGTTCCAGCGCATTTACTCTCTCTGTATCTTGCTGAACCGATTCTCCGTAGCCAATTTAGATGCTATAATTAGCGTCTACATAGAAACCAAACTCTAGTTATGACTGACACATCCTGTCTCTTAATATATTCTTCCACGCCGTGGCTCTTCACATCCAAGACATGTTCATAGGCTCAAATACCCCGTCATAGCTCGATCCTGGGTCCCAATTAGATAGATCAAGTGAATTATCGAACGGGCTGAATGATCCAACATGGGGCCATAAGTTCCACGCGTCGAAAGATGGCGTATCTAAATCCATGCCCATAAAGAAACATTGGTTGAATCAGGAGCGAAGTTGAACAGATTCAACGTTTCATCGCACTTTGAGCCCTTTAAAAGCTCTCTTCTTAGTCGCTCTAGGATATTGTGTAAACCGTAGATAATCTTGCTACTTGCGGCATAGACGCAGCCAGTGGCAAAAGCAGACTTTGTCGATTTCCATGGAGAGGCTGCCATGTTGCCAATACACCTCGCACATCTCGGGAGAAGATCCAGCTGCTTCTCAAAATTTTGATTCAACCGTCCAAAAACCCGTACTTTCACAAGGTTATTTTCGACAATGTTTTTGCACACAAAAACGATACTATAGACTACGTTTTGAAGTGGAGCCTTGAATGGGATACCGCCCATCTTCCACTCGACGCACTCTAGGAACGTCTCCAGCACACGCACGAGTCGTTCCGGATATGCCTCCCCGAAGCGTTCGAGAAATGCAGATAAATGTTGGCCCGGAGCATCGGGCGGGCTATTCACACTTCCTGCGACTTCGTCCACAATTCGGAGGGATTCTGAGTGAATGTCCGGATCTCCGTTATTCTTTCCTTCGATGAGCCTTTTTCTCGATACTGCGGAATACAGCAGACCTAGACCGCATATTCCAGCAAACACCCAGTGAAATTTCATCTCCAACAGAGAACGGGCAGCTGATAGATCTTCCCAACTTCTTTGACCACTAGCATCCACTAGTAAGCTATTAGAGACTTTTATTTGCTCCTGGCACCTTTTTTCCACTTCTTCCACAACAAGTAACAAACGTTCTGGGGTATTCCAACACTGTTTCGCCTGTATTAGTGCCTCTAGCATGACATAGAATGTCATACTCCATTGAATATGAAAAACTACTCTTGGTGAGCACTGATGGTTCTGTAAAACATGTTGATACGCGTCAATATGAGGCTGCATATATTGAACCATGCTTAGCATTATGGGTATGGACTTTGACAAGAACCCATCGAGGCACATGTCGAGGCAACGAATCTTCAGTTCTTGCACAGAAGCGGCAAAGCACCGCTCAAATTCTGGACTCTGTGGGTTCATCAGATCATCAAAAAAGGAGACATCTCGTGCGGGTAACATGGTGAGTCTTTCCGCAATTCTATACGCAAGATTGACGTAGACCTCAGGGCTGACTGCCTTGTGCGCGACAAACTGTGAGGTGGCGAGGAGGGATGGTCTGAATTCAGCGAGGAAGAGACAGACAGCAACGGAGTCTGGATGCGTGGGTGGGGAGAAGATGAACTCTTGTCCGTACGACGAGACTGCCAGTTGGAGGCTCTGTTTTAGATGTGGATATTGTTGTGCAAGACTTTCGGTACCTTCAAAGGATGTTAAGCAAAGGAGGGCAAAAAGGAGATTCGTGGCGGGATTGGTGGAAGAAATCTCCTCTGAGATTAGTCGGTTCCTCAGATTCGCTAGACTAGGTGTATTTGGAAGGAAGAATCGATACCAGACCAAGCTTGGCATGATTTAGCAAAAGCGGGAATACAGGTTTAGCAGTGCACTCACTAATTGTCTAATGAGATGGCTATATCATTGCTGATAAGATCCGACAGAGGTCTTTTCCAGCGTGACGTAGCGTAGGCAATTTCGCATCCAAAGGCGGTGTCTTTCCCCAAGACAGAAGACATAAAAGCATTAGCTTCGGTCATGGATCGAAAGACGGCCCTCTTGTCTGGTCGCTGCGAGGGTTTCGGATTGCCATTGGCCTGTGAGGGAATTGTATTTCCTCCAGGAACCTCTGAGAATAAATGGTCATTTATCTCTAGGCCCAAGAGCGCAGTTTCCACTTCATCCTCTTTTTCTTCTGGCTTCTCAAGAGGCACAGATGCTTGGTTCTGGGGTGGGTTGCGCTGGCTGCGCTTCGCAGCTGGGCGTCCGAGAGTACTCCGCTCAATAATACATTGTAGGTCGAGATGGCGACACCGTTCGCACGAGGTTTCCAGCGGCTGGGGAATGCCCAAGGGGCCTATGCTCTCGGGACTCGGCAGGACACATTTGATCTTCCTTGACCTGCATCCAGCACAGATCAAGCGCGCATATTTGCCCCGTGGACCCCGTTCAGTCCTCTGGTCCTGCTGCATAATCCACGTGGACGCGGTACTTCGCGGTACTTTGCGCAATTTCTCCCTGCGACAACGTGGGTGGGAGAACAGGGACGTACTAAGTTTGATCCGTACAGACCCGAATTAGTGTCTCTTTAGTGTCTATTGAAGGGACGGTGGGTACTGATTGCTTAGGATACCACGGTATATACTATTTAGGCATGTTGGAAAACGAGGCCACCTAACTGGGTTCGGATACCGTGCTTCACTGCCTCATACGGTACCTAGACCCACAGGATATCCGATTTCCATCCAAATCGCCAAAAACCGCGAGTATTCCGGACCGTGTTAAATTTTTTTATCGATCACCCTGTCTATGGTCAAGTAGCAATTATGCATTACATCCCGCTTGTGCGAGCATCTGTGAAGAATCCCGTGTCTCATAGGCGATAGCGCGTCGTGCACTCTACTCTAGGGTACGGTATATCTTATCCAAGGCCGGCTGAGGATGGGGGGGGTGTTGGCGCGCGGAGAGCGTTTCCCTACGTCATAGAATGAAGTAGTTGGGGCCAGTTCGAATTTACCAACGGCACCATCGCTATCAGCGCCTTGATTAGTGTTGAAGAGCCAGACCTCGACATGTTGATCAGCCTCACCACCTCTAAAGCCTGTCGAGAGCCTGACTTGTCTGTCTGCCTTGGACCTGCATTAGGCTCGTCTCTGTATCGCCGTTCATTGCTGGCCCCCTGCGTAGAGGAACGCTAACGCTGGCCCTGGGGATGCCGAGCTGATGTCCATGCGACCCTGCCAATTAGAATCGACGTTTTCCTTGCCCTGTTCGCACGCGATCGGATCTCTCCAGCGCTGGATTGAGTGGCGTCTGTCAACGCGTTGGGGTGGACTACCGTTACCTCATTCTTTACATACTGTAGGAGTCAATTTTCCACAATTTCAATGGCGTTAAGGATTGTCAAACTTGACTCGACGGGCGCAATTAATTGCGCGCTAGCATTGGAAAGTTGGTGGCGGGCAGATCGCAGTTGATCCACAAGCGGAACTATTTGCGCTTTACAAAATCCATATATTTAGAACTGTTTCCTGTCTTGCATAACTTTGATTTTCTCCTCTTCTTTCAAAAATCAAGCCATTCTTTAAACTCGGATTCACCGACACCATGAGACCCTTTGCAGACAAAATAATCCCTGCCCCTGGAGATCTCCCCAACGTCTATGCAGATGCCCAACGCGTTTTCGAGGTCCTGCAGTCAGGCGGCGTGGTTATTTTGCCGACTGAAGTTGGCTATGGATTGATGGCCACATCTGCGGAAGCCATTGACCGAGCCTTCGCTGCGAAGCGACGTCGACCGGGCCACGCTCAGGGTCTATATGGAACACATGAATTGCACCGGGAACTTCACGTCCTGGACGACCGGAGGTTCGAAATGACACGTGTGCTAGTCGAAGACCTGGACATGAGCTTCATGGCTGTTGCGCCATGCCATAGCGATCATCATCTTCTTCGGGCATTGTCCCCACAAACCCTGTCAAAGGTCACAAAAGACGGCACCATCGCTATGTTCATCAGTTGCAGTTCGCTTCTGAAAGAGATTTGCAGACTTAATGCTACTTCAGGTCAGCTCATGGTAGGATCTAGCGCAAATGTGTCAGGTGGCGGACAGAAATTCCGCGTCGAAGATATTGAGGATGAAGTCAAAGAGGCAGCGGATTTGATTGTCGATTATGGTCTTCAGCGCTATCATGTATATGGACGACCTTCTCTCATCATGGATTTTAACCAGATGAAGATTTTACGAATGGGGTCCTGCTATGAACTGTTCCGCGAACGCATGCAGAAGTTTTGGGGGGTGGAGTTGCCTGAGGACCCTGATTATAAGGGTGATCGTACTGAAAACTCAAGTTAAAGGCGAAGCCGAAGACTATGGAAGACATCGTTTATCCAGATTCTGTTAAATCCTCACTAACTGTCTACATTTGAAAACTCTCTTGTACTTCACAACCTATCCTGTGTGAATTACTGTGTAATTATTACGGCTACACATCATCCGAGCCACAGAGATGTAATTGATTTGGTTCCGGTTATTCATACTGCCTGACGTTGGAAGCAGCAAATCTCGCAATGTTGACAGGATCCTGCTCGGCCTGAAGTCGGCCTGAAGTTCTACTAATGATATTAGCGTGCGCGGATATAGCATCACGAGCAATGCATGCCTTTTTGATAGTCATTTCTCTCTTCAAAACAGTGCTCTTGGTCTTTATCATTTAATACTGAAAAAAAAAAAAGCTTGCAGTACCTCTGCGTCTTCAAAACTCCGACCTGCACCCTGTCTTTGAGTAGGCAGCATGGGAAAGACAGCAAAGTTACGGGCTCAACTTTGACTGGATTCGGAAAGTGGGTGCTTACGTGGGCGTAGTTGTCTAATGATAAGCCGAGGGCCAATCGGGTCGAGTGGCGGTAAATTAGGGCTAGGATATTGAGCTCAACTTAGGACTGACTCTCGGTATTGATGCGGGGGGGTACATGCTCTGGCTAGTCATTCCGGCGTAAACAATAGGCAAACGATTGCCGCTGGGAAGTATACCAACCGCAGAGGTCGATCTTGGAAGTTAATCGTCATCTTGACCTTGCATAATGTGCTAATAAAAACGCTATCATTAACGAGAAAATACAACATTGAAGCTACCAAAACATAAACAAACGAGGCAACTTAAAGAAAGCAGAAGCAAAAGGGCCGGCAATGTCCTTTCTACGATTCTTTCAGAGGGGATACACCGCGTTGCTCAACCCTCCAGAGGTGTCAAAGCACGAAGATGCAATTCGTCTGGGGCTGCTAGGTGCATCTACTATAGCGTAAGTTGATTTGAAGCTCGATTCATCTGATAACTAAGAAATATGGGCTCTAAGACCACTTTCTGTCATCAACCCGGCAAAGTCACACCCCGAGGTTATTGTGGCTGCAGTTGCTGCCCGGTACGTGAAACGTGCTGAACAATACGCGAAGAAGTACGATATACCAACTGTCCATGCATCCTATCAAGGTACTGCCCTTACACTGAACCTATTGCCCAATTATAAGATGAGAAACTAAGGAGATGACTGTGCCTAGAATTACTCGACGATCCGTACATAGATGCTGTATACATTGCACTACCAAACCACCTACACTTTGAATGGGCGTTGCGTTCACTGCAGGCTGGAAAACACGTTCTGCTTGAGAAGCCTTCATGCTCCAACTCAGAGGAGGCTAGGCTCTTATTCAACCATTCATTGGCAACGAAAAAAGGTGCCCCTGTGCTTCTTGAAGCCTTTCATTATCAGTTCCACCCATCATGGCAGACATTTCTACGCGAAATCCGTGAATCTGAGGGTACTGTGAAACATGCCTTCTCACAGCAGTATATCCCGAAGGGAGTAATGCCAATCGATGATATTCGCTTCAGCTACAAATGCGCTGGTGGGTCTTTAATGGATCTGGGCACCTATGCACTTTCTACTGTTCGCCTTGTCCTTGGAGCAAATAACAAGGTGCTTCCTACTGATGTTCAGTATCGCAAAATGTCATTGATAAATGGAAATCAAGCTGAGCCCAAGATTGACCAAGCTATCTCGGCCTCCCTTGTTACTGAAAGTGGTCAAGGTGGCTTGATTGTAGTTGATCTGGCTAGTCAAGGGGGCTGGCCATCTTTCCTACCAGCGTCTTGGACAGCAAATATTGCAACTACTGGATGGCCAAAATGTGAAGCTGTTCTGGAAGAAGTGCAGGTCCACAAAGAACAATAGGGGCGACCGGAGCATGTTATGCAACGAACCATTATCATCTGGAACTACTTGGTACCGACCATCTATCATCGCATAGAGATTTGCGATCGACATTACCTCCGAAGCCAAGGCGTCGAAGTCAAGTCTTGGAAGGAAACAAAATACCAATCAGCCTATACATCGGCTGAGGAAGGATTCAAGGATTACCAAGATTGGTGGACCACATGGCGTTGTCAGCTGGAGGAATTCGTTCACCGAATTAAGGGAAGGCCTGGCTCCGGAGTGTGGATTGACGGACAAGAAAGTATTCTACAAATGGAGGCAATTGATGATATTTATCGCAAAAGTGGCTTGGGACCTAGACCAACCAGCACTTTTAGAATCTGATATCTGAGTCAGACCAGTCTTTGAACATTTATTACATTGATAGGACCCTATTTTGAAGGCCTTCCGGCTGCTGGTTGACCATGCTCTGGAACATGAAAGCCAGGAATTTACTCATCACTTGGTCAACGAGCTGAAGTAAACGGCTGCTAGGGTGCGAAGCCACTAAACATGTGAAATAATATGCAGAGATATGTTTCTACTCGGAGTGGGGATGGCATTACGTGTTAGGACCCTGCAATACCTTCAATGTTGGATCTGTCGTCGGCCTTACACTCTACCTACCGTAAATCCAAAATCACCTAGCCAGGATCCGCGTACCGGAAAAGAATAAGAATATCCTTAGTCAGTGGGTTGCATTGAACATCATAGATGATTTCCAGATTGTTCATTATTAAAGCGCTGTTCGCTACTAGTCAATCGGATGGTTTGGTTCAAGCCAAACATTGTGATTGGACAGATCCTCAACACAGTAGCAGATATTCGAAGCGAATGGCAAACTTGGAAAGGATCACATTGGGGCTTCTCATCCTTGCACTGTCTTTTGATCTTAAGGACGACAATAAAATTTTGAGGGGCACCAATCGGAAATTGCGGATCGAAGCACTGCTTGGAGAACATACCGGAAAGGTAGCACCGGCGAAGGAGTCAAGACAAAGTAATGAAAAACATATAAGATATGTTATGTGTTGATTTATCACTAAGTCACTTGAAAGTTAGACTCTTACGACAGCAAGAGAATAACCAAAACTTCAAAGTATTGCAACCATGGCGACCACAATTCTTGCCGCTTCGGGGGAAGTGCCTCCTCGAATGGCGCATGCTGACGATCTCGTTGCATTTGAAAAACGAATATACGGCGACTGGAGAGATGAATTTCACAAAAGTGGATGCGTCGTCATAAAGGGAGTAATTTCTCCCGAGCGTGCAGAATACTATCGCGAAAAACAACTAGAATGGCTCAAAAAGTTCGAACTTGGATTTGATGAGCATGATGAAAGTACCTGGACTGCTGTTCATCTCCCTGTCAGCTTTAAGGGCGGGTAATACATGCTCGTTTCTTCGACTCTCTATATCACAGATTGCTTACGTGGAATAGGATGTACTTTGCGTATGGGGCGATTCATGAAAAGTTCGTCTGGGAGGCCCGCACAGAGCCTGGTGTGATAGATGTGTTTTCCAAGTTATGGGAAACCGACGAACTCATAACAGCGTTCGATGGATTTAACGTGACGTTTCCACGCCGAAATGATGTGAAATGGACCCCATGGCCTCATTTAGATCAGAGCCCAAAGCGCAAGGGGTAGGTGTGCCAGATATTTTGACTTAAAATGCTACATCCCCATCTACATACGCAGCTCATATTAATGCTAACATCTATCCACCAGTATGCAAGCAGTTCAGGGTTTGTTGAACTTTGCCCCAAATGGACCGAAAGATGGGGGACTGGTTTTGATGCGCGGTTCCTCAAACCTCTTCGACGAATACTTCTCCCAGGAGCGTAAAATGTACCCCCATGAAGATGCTCCTCCTCCAGAACTCGAATGGGAAGACGTCTTCTTCTTTGATGAAAAGAAGGACTTGAAATGGTTTACAGACCGTGGATGTGAGTTGGTAAAGATAAATATGGAACCAGGTGACCTTGTGCTTTGGGACTCTCGTACAATTCACTACGCTCGTCTTCCTGAAGGTGATCAAATCAGACATGCACAATACATCTGCATGACACCGCGCCGGTTTGCAACGCAAGAAGCCCTAGATCTGAGAAAGGAGTGCTGGGAGAACTATCTCGGCACTACCCATTGGCCACACAGGTATGTGTACCCAGAGATCATTGTCAAACAGATCAATCCAAAAATAAAAGACTTCTGACTAAATGGACATAGAAACATTCTCGTCAAAAGAGAGAAGCCCATGCGCAATGGAGAAGTCTGCCCAAAACATCGCGAAGAGCCGTTCGAGAAGCCAGTAGTGACTGAACAAGTCTTGAAATTGGTAGGAGTTCACGCATACTAACTTGAATCCCTCGTTAGTTCCGGGGATGATGAACAGGTGCCATGTGGTTAGTAGGCAGTTCGAGCAGGATTCTTTAGCTTAGGCTTTGTATATGTCAATGTATTAAATAGTTTTGACATGATGTATGCATAATATTCGAGCAAGAAATAGGTGTGATTTTTTAACGAGAATGTAGCAACTACAATCAGACAGTACGTCATGTCTCTAGTATACATACAGGATTTAAGAAGGCTTAAATTTTACCGATTGATACTACTATATTGATAGTGCACTCCATTTTCCATGTGAGCCTAGCATACTGTCGAATCAGACGATGCATCATCTTACCCAAGTTCTTATATAACGACAGCGAGGCAAATTTTCGCAATCTTAGTTTTGGAAGAATCTTGATGTTTTCACTTTTCGCCTTATCTACTGCGATTGACCAAATGCTACCCTCTAAGGGTTACTTTCTTGCGTACTCGATATTCCCCGACGGCTTTCCTTTTCTCTTGTAATTCTAAATTGACATATTTCAACTCCTCAAATATTATCTATCTCGTTAGCCTCACTGTTAATAGTCAATCAATCAACCACCCCAACTATTTTTAGCTCCCTACTTTTATAACAGAGTAGTATGAAAAGCCCTAAAATCTCAGGTGTGATGATGTGTGCCTTACGAATCAGGACTCACCAACTCACCGCGTGATCTAGATAACCCTGCTGCATTAGCACTCATGCATGTATGTATATTTATCAGAGCGTAGATCCTGGCCCAGATTCGGGACTAGGAATCGATCGATTACCTAGCTTTTATAGTACAATTTTAAACTGTTACTAGAACCCCCACCATGTACTTTTGACTATTATTGTCCTAGGTATTGTTTCCACAAAGCGTTCTGTAGTCACACCCAGCTATTCGAACTATCATTCAACCACCCGTCGTATAATTAAGGTGTGACAACTTGAATAGTTATTCTGTACCTGCAAACTACTGTGTTTATACTTTTCTACGGTCTTTGTACTATTGACCTTATCTCCGGGCTCCACGAAACGTGATTCTTCAAGTTATTGAATTATGTCGCGCAACACGCGGGACGGATATATAGAGTTACATTTAAGCTTCAAGGGGGCTTGCAGATCCCGAGAACTAATTCCATACCCAACAATCACCTAGGGCTCGATTCGCTCTCGGACTATGTATCTTATTAGGAAGGTGAGATGGTGCTTTGGTATAGCTTTAAAAATTTATTAATTAATATGCCTTTTTTTTCGCTGCTTCGCGTAGAGAGTATACTTCCTGGTTGGAGATTCCCCTGCACACTCTGCCGCTGCACGTGGTCGATCGTCAGGTTTTAACACGATCAGGTTATATTGCGACGATACTACCTTGCTTGCATCTTCGGTTAGTCGAACAGCAACGCAAAGAGAGGCGTGACGAATGCATAAACCATAGCATGTGAATGCTCCCCGTCTATATGAGTATATATAGGCGGGGGAATGTAGCCAGAGACCAAGCAGGTTGTGTCTTCCAGCTCCATCCTCCTGTGCACTATCACCACCACTCCGGGTATCATGATCTTCTCAAGAACTGCTGCGCTTTTCGCGCTGGCGTCAGGCGTGTACGCCCAGTCGCAATATACTTCTACTGCAACGGCTGCCGTAGCCAAGGCTGCTGCCACAGCGCTAACTCTATCCCCCACATCGAGCGTCGCTGGTCTCACTTTCGATCGCTTTGTTCAGATCTGGCTAGAGAACCAGGATTACAGTGCAGCTATCGAGGACAGTGAGTGACTGATGTCGCGCGATTCGAACGTAATGCAATTTGCATCAAGCTAATCTCGGATGTAGCGAACCTCGCCTATCTTGCGTCTCTCGGCATCACCCTCACGAATTATTTTGCAATCACCCATCCTTCTCAGGTAAGATGACCTAAGTTCGGTGGACTATTTCCTTCTCGCTCACATTGGCGTCGCAGCCTAACTATGTGGCCGCTGTTGGTGGTAGCACCTTCGGGATCGCTGACGACAGTACGCACTACATCTCTTCGAGCACCAAGACAATCGTAGATCTCCTGGAAAATGCTGGCGTCAGCTGGAGTTTGTATCAAGAGGATCTGCCTTATTCTGGCTTTGAGGCAAATTATCCCAACCAAAAAACCGGTGCAAATGACTACATGCGCAAGCACAAGTGAAGCTACCAACACCCAAAATTGCGTGCGAGCACAAAGTGACTAACATTTTCCAAGTCCCCTGATGAGCTACAACTCGGTGACATCAAACACCGATCGTCTTGCTAAATCAAAGAACTTCACCATGTTCTACAAAGACTTGGACAACAACGAACTGCCTCAATGGATGTTCATCACCCCCAACATGAGTATGTCTTTCTTTTCTCTCTTGTTTGAACCCGAACTGACTCCACTAGCCAACGACGGCCACGATAGTTCGCTTGCCAAAGCTGGAGCTTGGTCTCGTAACTTTTTGACCCCTCTGCTCTCCAACAAGAACTTCAACACTGATAGTACTTTGATCATCCTTACCTTTGACGAAGGGTCAACCTTTGGGACAAACCAAATTTATGCTGTGCTGTTGGGTGGCGCCGTGACCAGCGCCCAGGTTGGTACCAGTGACGATACCGCATATGATCACTATAGTTTGTTGAAGACGGTGGAGACCAATTGGAACCTGGGTAACCTTGGAGAAAACGATGTGGATGCCACTGCATTCTTCTAGCTCGTTCACAATAGTCGATACCGAGGCATGAGTCTGTAGGAGCAATTGCGATCGTCTTCTATCATGCCACATTAAGCTGTGCATTAAAACATTTCGTGCGCTAGTTACATCAAAGTAAACAATATATCATTCTAGAAATCTAAAACAATGGCAATGTAATCTGCAGCACATACATCGGATAATAGTAATGGTGGTAAAGAGATTCGGGGGATGTCCCGAGAAACACCTCCACATTCCCGTGAGGTGGCCCATGATCAGATCTCCACTAGCTACCCACTGTCCATTCTATTTTTGAACACTGATTTCCAATGAACTTCATACAATCTGCGTGATCCAGCGGCCCCGATTGGCTGCGCTATATTCCATGGACGGTCATTCGATATCTCTTCCCGCAGAAACTCAATCGAGAAAGTTCATACTGATGGAGCAGTGTAGGAATCACTTCCCTCGGGGAATGAGACGACGTCTCAATTTTGACTCAAAGATGGAACTGAGAGACGCGAAAAGGACAGTTGGTAAAGTATTTCATATTTGGAACCTCTTGAACGACCACCATAAAGCAGTCCGACATTGAGGTGATATATAACAGTTCTCTTTATAGGGACATATCCCATAAGTATGGAAGACCTTTGGAGAATACGCCGTATATGAGCTATCAAGGTGCCTAAGTTCATGCGACGTCAAAGACTATCTGGAGCTAGAACCCCAGGCCCTCGGGGCCCCGGGACCCAAATCTCTCATAGCGTACAGTTCCTTATACAGACGTTGAATTTGCCTTTGCTGTTGGTGCTGCATATCTGCAGTGGAGAAATAATGGAGTGACTTCCATGTCACGGTTTTGTTCTTTTTAAGCCAATCTGACGTTCCTTTACTTATCCCAGGCATATAACATAATTCTCTATAAGTCCGAACTTGCTGTCCAGGGACATGCTCTCCTTTGTCCGTGACATGCAATCGTTGAGGCTTCTCAGCATGGCACTCACTTGAAGATATTTCGCGTCAAATCTCACAGCTGAAGCTGACTGGAGTTAATTAGAAACATACACAAACAAAATCCTTATGCCGTTTCTCCTCCGAAAAGCCGAAAACTGGTAATATCGTAGGAGTTAATAGCTATATCGTGTAAGGACGGAAATGTAAGCTCGCTTTCGGACCAGTAGATATTGAGTGTTTCCATTTATATATCCGACGTGGCTATATATTTCCGAGTACATCCGTATCAGTTTAGTCTTGGAGTGTTTGATATGTTTGTCTGTTGGGTAGTCAGGAGGGAATGACGTCATCTCGCTCGGTTCTCCGTGTTGACACCTTTTCAATCAGGCACTAGTATGACTACTAGCGAACCTGATGCCTGAGGCCATCAGTATCGCCGAAAAGCCGATGTCAGCGCCGTTCTAATCTTCATCTCTCGGATATGCCTTCTGAAGGATCACGGTGACACAACAACGCAGTCAAAACCGAAGCAAGTCATGGATATAAATATGGCGAGGGTCCCTGATCATGTTCGTCTTCTGGTCGCAGATTACAACATCAACCAGCAATCATCAAGTCACATTCCAAACCCAACCACCTTCGAACGATCCATAACCTGAATCATTCAACCCCACCATCCTCCGCAAAATAACCGTTTTACTATACAATCGCATATATAAACCATCATCATGTCTTACGCCGGGAAAGTCGCTGTTATCACAGGCGGTTCCAAGGGTATCGGACGAGCCGCAGCCGAACAATTCGTCGCTCTCGGAGCCAAAGTCGTCATCAACTACGCATCTGATTCTGCGGCAGCCGAAGAAGTAGTTCACAAATTGGGACAGGAAAATGTACTCGCTATCAAAGCCGATGCAGGGTCGCTCGCTGGTGTAAAGCAGATTGTCGATGAGACTGTTTCCCGATTCGGAAAGATTGATATCTTGGTTCCCAATGCGGGATGGATGCCGATGGCAAATCTTGAAGCAGTCACCGAGGAGCTGTTTGATCAAATCTATGCAATTAACGTCAAGGGACCGTTGTTCTTGGCCAAGGTGCGTTTCTGACGCGAACGCGATTTTGAAAGATGTACATGACTAACACATATTCATAGGCTGCTGTACCACATATGCCCCAAGGGTCACATATTGTATTCATCAGCACATCACTATGCCACGCCGGTAATATCATGCCACCCCAACTACTATACGTATCCACCAAAGGTGCCATTGAGCAGTTCACCCGCCTACTGTCTAGGGATCTTGCGCCCAAAGGCATTGTTGTGAACTGTGTGGCTCCAGGACCAACTGCGACTGAGCTGTTCTTGAGAGGGAAGCCGGATGCTCTGATTGAGGGTATTAAGAAACAGTCGCCGTTCAATAGATTGGGAAACCCAGAGGAGATTGCTGAAGCTATTGTGTTTATGGCGGGAACTTCATGGGTGGCAGGTCAGACGTTAAAGGCTAATGGCAGTTTGATTTGAGTACCATATATGTCGTACCTTCACCGCGATCTTGAATTTAATTACTTAGTTACTTATTAGATATCAAAATAATTTCATTATTTTCATCCGTTTGTATATAGACCAAATTCACCCCAAGACATACTTCCATTGGCTTACAAATGGTAGGGGCAGTATTTCTGGTCTGTCTATTCTCAGCTCTCCGCCACTAGGCTAGTTAACTAATTCCTTGCTAGTCTTAACGCCTTTCAGAGATAGCTGCGCCGCATTCGAAAGTGTTCACTCCACTGCTGGCCCGCTTCGGCGCAGTTTAGTATCTCCGTGGTTTGTTTATTATCCTGGGGGGATATTTTTTTTTAATTTGGTGTATTACACCGTCCCCTGTACGTGAGGGGTAGTATTCATTAAATTAACCGACTGTGCAGTTATGGGCCTGCCCAAGCATTGTGGAAATTGCATTCGAACCATCTTTCTGATCTCACAAACCCCGAATTACAATGGCTTATAACTGGTTTCGCATTGATCGGGACAATATCGGAAGTATCCTCGACACTAACGGGGAGCCCCTTTACTTGGATGAATACAATGGTCTTCTGCGTGAAATTATCGAGCGCAACGACGTGCCGACTCTCAAGTGTTATATACGGCAGATTGCAGGAAATGTTCCTCAACGTGACGGCACGATACAAGATGATCCATTGTGGGTTGCCGCCGCATATGGTAGCATTGATGCCCTCCGCGTGCTTCTTGATTTGTATGAGACCGATTCAGCACAGAATCAAGTACTAGGCGTAGACACCAGGGGATTCTGGATGCTAGATACTGCTTGCGAGTACGGTCAGCTTGAAACAGCGAGGTTCCTGCTTGATCGCGATTATCCGCTTGGGGCAGCTTACACTGAACGTCCTAACGGTGAGCTTGCGTTGCTGTCCGCGGGTAGTTCTCTGGTGCAGGCAGGTTCTTATGAGTTTACAAAGAGAAATCGACATCAACATGATAATAATAGTTGTCTGCAAGACCGCGTCGCCCGAAGTGAGGAATTGATACGCCTGCTCCTTGACAGGGGTGCTTCCCCTGAAAATGCTGTTCAAACACTTTACTTGGCACTTCATGAGAAAAGAGCAAATATAATACCACCCCCAGAACAGCATCGGATTCAAAGGCTGCTTGGTCAGATAGTCTCTCGGGGAAGTTATGAATTGGTTTCGCGCCTGATTATTGACAGTGCAGAAATACACAAGCGGCAAGAGCTGAGGTATAATCAAACTGTCCAACACGTCACTCCTCTTCATATTGCGAGCGGCTTCTGGAATATACCTGCGATCCAGGCGCTGTTTGACCATAGTGATAGGTCTGGAGTTGGATTTTCTGAGATGGTCTCTGTAAGTGACCACGATGGACGTTTGCCACTGCACTGGGCAGCACATGGTGCGGAAATTGGTGGGGAGATGAGTGATGAACAATTTATATCTGAAGAAGACCTATGTGCGCGAACAATAGGTACTCTTAAGCTACTTATAGAAAACAACCCTGACACTGTCAACTACCGTGACAGTCAATCTATGACTGCGTTACACCATTTCGTAAATGGTCATAGCGTCTGTAGCAGCAAGCTTCATTTCGAGGAGATCATACGATTTCTCTGTGAGACCGGGTTGGACGCTAGCTCTTACAACATTTGGGGTTGTACCACGTTGCATGAATTGGCAAAAACTTGGAATCCTGTCAGCCCAGACGTTCTCCAGATACTTTTGATGCACGGAGCCAAGACTACAATTAATCATATCGACTCACTTGGGAAAACCGCTCTTCACAGAATGGCGAAAAATTTGCGACAGGTTGAAGCAGTTCGGGTGTTACTCAGTCATGGCGCGGATAAGAATGTTTTGACTTCGGAAGGGAACTCGCCTCTTCATGAAGCTGCGATGGGTGTGCTCAGAGCTTCTATAGTGTGGGAGAAAGATACAAAAACTGAGCATGTGTATCCAAGCATGGCGGATAAAGTCAAGGTACAGGACGAAATGGTTATGGTATTACAAGAAGCCGGATGCTCCATGGATCAGCGTAATCGTGAGGGCAAGACCCCTCAACAGCTCTTGGAGGAGACCCGGGCCAACTGGCATAGAATTGAAGAGTCGAAGGGAAAGCCTCTAATAAGGGGACGCGGTCGTCGTTGAAAGCTTTCACAAGGAGGTCACGAGAGGATCTTGGTTCTATATGCAATCAATGAATGCCGTAGATAGGTTAATCAACTGATTATCACACGAAGAGATCACTTTTCTAGTCTCTTATTTCCGTATAGATTCAATTTCTAGTGGCGCTTATGACCCTACCGTATTTTTCTAGATTCCCATGCACAAGAAAAAATCAAGTACTATTTGTACAATTGTCAAGATGGCTATCCACGGCTCCAAAGCCGCAAGCTTTCCGTCAGCCTCCGGGCATGAACTATGCCTTTTATCTCCAATTCTCTTCTTCCGTATTGAACTTTATAGTGTAACGATCAGATCATTGAGAGGAAATTTTTGATCTGATCTAGATCTATCGATACAGGGAGAAAATTGCGTGCATGTCGTTTCGTTTTCATGCATGGCTCAAGATAAGTTGGAATATACATAAAACGAATAGCCGATCAAATTGTAAGAAACGAACCTACTCTACGAATTAATTGCGTACCAATAGAACCAGTAGGATTTGAGATGATCCTGAATCCATCCCCTGAATTGGTCTAGGGGCCAGGGGCTGGTGTTCCGTGATGTTTCATCGGGGCTGAGAACTATGACAGCAGAAGTGGTGGATGATGACGCGCCAAGATACGGCAATACTACCATCGATCTCCATCTTCTAGATCTTGAACATTATGGGTATCAGATTCAGACTCCGAATCTCCATGTCTAGTTCCTTGATGGCGAGACTGCTGGAAGATTGTTTCTTTGAGATATGGGATTATTAAATAACTATCTAATTGTTAAGATAATAATAGCTATGATATAATAATATCTATTGAGCTGGGGGGTCGCTGGTAATATTATCTGTGCCGTAATTTGAGATGCAGTCGTTGCTTCCTTCGTTCCTGGTGCACCGGTCAAAATATCTGAAATAATGCAAAAAGTTGAAGTTGTACCACATTGGTGGTAAGCCAGTACATATATCAAGCAAACTGCTACGGTAGAATCTCTAATAGCTCAAAATTATCTGAGTAGAGGCGAAAAGGTGATATCTGACGGAATGGAACTGGGCTAAGTACTCTCTGCGTGCGAAAGGGGTCCAATCCACCATGGTAAAGAAATCCATTTGCGGCCTTGTCATAGCAATAATAGTCCATGTTACCAATGTCGTCCCATCTGTGATGTAAAGTCAACACTGGCCTTTTACCCACTGCGCGCTGAGTCCAGCCGAGTCTGTCGCGTATGCCCACAAGTAACTCGTGATAGCCATTCGACTCTTGATGCAGAAATACCAAGTGACTCAACTTAACAGAGCTTACAGACGTGGACAGGTCAGCCAGCACGCTTAAAAGTTCATCGCCTCGCACTAGAAGTCCTGAAAGACCAAAATGTTTTAGTTTCTTCCATTTTTCATTGACTGCAGGCAATATCATTTTTAGTGGGATGAAGTGCTCAGGGCCCAAAGAATCGTCTGCAGGCCAGCTCAAGTGCCGGGCTCTTTCATAATTGATGTTGATCTGCAAGCTGAAGTGTCTGAGATCGGATAGTAACGCATCTAGTGCCTTTTTGAGGAGACCGCTGCAGAACGATGACCAATCCTGCTCTGGAGAGCATTGTCCATCAGCCAACAAGGTCAAGTCAAGGTGTTTAAATCCCGGACGCTGTAGTAAAGATACCAGGTTATCGTACTCTTCGCATGGTTGTTCAAAGAGTCGGCAACTTAGTCCAGTCTGGTGAAGAGTATGTGTATCAACGACAAACTCCGAAACAGTGTGGGTGGGAAATTCTGAAATTTCCTTCGTTATAACACAGAAGCCACGCCACTTTTTTTTCCCTTCTTTATTCCAGGGCTCCAAGCTGTAAGAGGTTCGGTTTTTCAAATCATATGGCGGCCAGGTGTGTGGGATGGGATAATTAAATCTAGGCGGAAATGATCGAATCATCGGGGTCTCGTATAATGGTACATCCAGCACCCCATGGGCTACAGGAGTAAGCGTGACCCGTATCAATCGTGGAAATCGCTGCAGACCATATCTCAAAGCCCTGACGTCATCATCAGATTCCAGGACAGCTTTCTGTTGTTGTAGAAGCTGCTCATAGAATTCCCACGAGAGGTGAATTGACGGATCTGTTTTGTGGGAAATTTTCCGAATCTCTCGAGCCCTGATGTTCTTTTCGTAGGCCTCCTTGAACCACCATGGAATTCCATCATTGGACTTTATAGCCTCTTCCCAGTCTTCCTAATCGTCCGAGAATTCAAATTCTGGTTTCTGGACATTGTCAATGAGGCGAGCGTCGTCCCAGACAATCTCAACAATATGATACCGAAAAGTCTCGTGGTCTGCAATTGCGCGACATACCTCAATATTGCGTGGATTAGCAGACAGAAATACCCTGTTGAGGCGCAAATGCGCCCTCTGGGCTAGCGTCGAGCATGTCCGACGCAAATTCTTGATATCGCGGTTGGGCAGGTTAGAGAGTATGAGTCTCAAGATTTCAAGCGGAAGATGTATGAACGGACTCATGACAAGATAATACCAGTCTGAATACAGAACTCAGTTAGTTGACTGCAGCGGCTAGCCGCCAAGGGGTTACCGTCCTTCACCGCCTGATGACCTAGAACCACCTCGTTACCTGACTTTGACGAATTGCCTCGTCGCCCCCGCCCGTCCCACCGTGGTGGTGGTGTAATACCGTAATTTTGCCTTTGAAGCATGACGGTATAGCTTCATATCGATGTTAAATGTGCTGTAAAAAATCATTAGAGAACTGGCATATATAGCAAAAAGACCGCCCAAAGATTTCATCCAGACTCCTCAATCTCCGGGGCAAGTAAGCCGTATCAATAGCATTGCGATTGCAAATGCTGTCTCGCTAGATGAGCCAAGTCGGTTACGATATTTAATTACTTCGGGAGGTTGAGGAAAGGTAGATTTTATACAATTCCTCTCTAGTAAATCTGTATGGAGGCTGGTTATCTCTTATTCTATAGTAAAGATTGGCTTACTGACCTGAGTGCATAAATATCAAACAGTCCATCCGTGTTGACGATGTTCTGCAATCCGGGGCAGTAAAATGTAAGATTCATTGTCAAAAGTGATAGTCAATACAATCTAAAGGAGGCGCTTGTTTATAGGCACGTTTCAGTACTAAGTCATGAAGAAACTAATTTCTCACTTCACAAGAATGCTACCTTAACAAATGCACTTAGGGCACGGACCCATTTTCGTCTAAATGATTAAATAACCATGACTCCCTCATAGAGATTTTACCTATAAAAATCTCTTTTCGTACTTCTATATGGATTCGATCGTGTTTCAGCAATACTAGATAGAATCGAAATCCCCCAAACGGCAGTTGAATGAACATATCGGTGAGCTGCTGCATATTATTTCTAGGCGCAGATCTGAGATTAAGGAGCATCACTAAATCACCAATTCGCCTGCGAAATGTCTCTTTTAACTGTTTTGGCATCAGCAACCCTTCTCGGAACACAAGTTAGGGCTGACTTCATCCCAACCGTACTGGGCACACCACAAGTCCTAGGCAACGTATCCGACCCAAGCATAGACCGCGATTCCTGCGGTTCGGCAAGGTTCGGCAATCGCGCACTCTGGACATGTCGAGACTCGCAACCCTTCTCAAACGGGGTGCCAGTACTTCCCCTTTATTCAAGCTCAGCATCATGGACAGGCTTCGCCTCTGACGGTACACCACTTATCCAATCATGGACGGATGCCTCTGGAAACACCGAGACTGGCCTCTTATGTTCCGGCGAAAATAATGAGCAGCCTTTTTATCCCTACCCTTCGGATTTGTGTGGCACAAATACGGCAGGKGCATGTTCTGACGGTAGCCGCTACGCCCTTTGGCCTGATAGTCCGCCGTTGGTAACTAGTGACGACGAAAGCACTGGTGTCGTCACAGCTTATACATGGATCAAGCAAGAACATATTGGTAGTGGCCTTACGCTGCTCAATCCTGATTCCGCCACGATTTTATACGAGGTTACATACAACCCATCCGTGAATGGAGATTCAACAGGCCTTCCAACCGTGACTACCGTCCAAGAGGACTTTTGGACAACCGATGAAATGCCTTACGGTGCGTACGGAGGAGTCGTTGTTAATGACGTTGCGTATCTCTATGGTAAAAATGCTGCAGGCACAGTCGGTCTTGCGCAAGTGCCTGCCGGGTCTGTAACCGACAAATCTGCCTATCAGTATTATGTGAATGGTGCCTGGACAAGCACCATTCCCGGTGTCAATGACACGGGTGTCGGTCTCACAAATGCTGGTGCAGGTGGACAGGGAACATACTACTACTCAAATGTCTGGGACTTGTACGTTTGGATTGGAMAAGCCGGTATCAGTGTTGCACCACAATTTTTCATTACTACTGCCCCGGCCCCTGAGGGACCCTGGGCGACACCTGTGAATTTCTACTCGGCCGATTACATCAATTGGTCCTACACATTGCAGGCGCATCCTGCCCTGTTGGCGAACTCTTCGGAGAATGCTATCTACCTCTCATATGTTGTCAACGATTCGGGATATTACTGGACTCCTTTGATCTATGTACAGTGGGAGTCTTAAGACCTGTACATGTTGTTGGAAATAGATACTCAAATGAGATAGATGTAAATAATCACGTTTGTATGTGTCAAATGAAAAATAATCGCGGAATATAGTGATGAAGTCTTTGGAGTATAATACACTCAATGCAACACGATGACCTCATGTTATGTCGTTGCTACCAAAAGAATGCAATTGATTTCTCATAGCTACCCAATTCAACTAAATGCAATTTTGCTCTACGTTCTAGATGATATGAGAATTTAGTAAACTTTACCTCCGCCATGGACATATCTGCGCTAAATCTTAGGAGTGTCAGGAACTTCCCATACAACAAGTTCCTGACCTTGAAATTATATGAGGTTCGATTATTCGGCATCTTCTTCTGCTATCGAATATGAAGCATCCCTATTAAATACTCATTTACCTTGCTCAATTCACATTTAGCAAAAATATACAACAAAAGTCTACAGTACGCTCTCTGCCGGAAGTACCGCTGCCTACGGTACCTTTCAACAGGTCCATAGGTAACCTTGAATCATATATCAACCACGGTTTCTGGTAAATGAATGACGAAAGTCTTGGTTGCATTCTTACTCGTCACATCTATCATCATCCTGCTGAGGTGTCATTATATGTGCAATGTGATCTCTGCATCTTGGAACATAAATGATAGATCTCGGCGAATCCCAACGCGATAACTTATACATCAGTAATTATCAATTGCTTGAATCCTTGCGCCTAGTTGGATTGATTACTTTGAAGTTGGTTTATGGTTCGTCATATAGACTACTTGGCTTCGATTCTACCAGGTCGAAAAAAAGTCAAACACATTTCATACCGTAAGCTCCAAAGAAATCCCATCGCATCCTTGGCAGATATCTGATTGAGTTTTTACAGACTCCCTAGGCTATATGTTGAATGGACGGATTCTGTATCACCGTCCTGGTAGCGTTTTTAGCAAGGAAAGTAAGGCACACTGCAACCGCGTATATCATGATGAGAAGGTGACGAGGTACGCACTAGGAGGACGCGTTAAGAGTAAAATGTAGTTGAAAGAAACAGGTAATCCTTGATTTCCTCATCTCAACCATATCCCTTGCTCTTACCACGCTCGTTCGTTGGTTTCGCCGTTGACGATAGCTTCATTCGTTTATCCTCCACCGCGTTGGTGAAATCGTGCTCGACCAGTCAAAGTTACTGCCTCCGAAAATAATGAAGGTCAATTACGGCATCGGTCTATCCTTGGCCTTTGGCGCATTGACAAACGGTGAGCCACAAGTTTCGGTACATACTCTCAAAAATTAAACTAATCAGTCACTACAGCTGCGACTGATAAGCCCATAATTGCGAGCTCGTCGCCACCACTATTAGTAGTCACCATTCCGTGCAATACTACCACGTCGCCGGAAACGACGACTGTCTGCCATGAGTGCCATCAATCAACTGCGCCGCCATTCGGCAATTCTTCTGCACCAGCGACTCCGACAGTAGCGCCACCAGGCACCGCGCCAGGAACAACAACGGCACTCTGTATCGAATGCCCTCAGTCTACTGCATCCTCAATAGTTCCTCCATTCACCATCACTACGACAACGTTTGTAACAGTGCCTTGCGTTACTGCTGTAAGTGTGCTATCTCAGCCTGTCGCTCCATTAAACACTTCGCCTACAAGTGTCGTTCCTCTGCAGAGCACGGGACCTCCAGCTCCTGCAATTCCGTCCGGGCCTCTTGTTCCGTCTAAGGCTGTGCCAATGCCGGGGGGCGGAGCGTCTGGTGCTTCAAGTTCTACAGTCGCATCTCCGCCATCGCCTTCTGCTCCAGCACCGCCTGTCGCATCGTCACGGCCTGCGGTACCTGCCAGTCCCCCTTCTCCAGCACCAGCACCGAGTCCGAGTGGTCCACCTCGACCTCCGGCTTTCACTGGTGCTGGACCCGCTCTTTCCGCGAACCCTGGCGGTACCATGATGGCTATCATTGTCGCAGCTCTTGCTATTTTCTAGATGCGCAGTGTTGGTCAACAACAGGCTTCATTGATTGGAATCTGGAAAGTTATACTGTGGAAGACTAAGCCGCTTGTGATTAGTCAAAAGGCTAAATGAGCACAAACTTAATTCGATTTGCTTGTGATATTTGCTATCATCTATATAACTCGCTATGAATATCGAGGCTCGGGAGTTGAGAAAGCGTTGACAGTAATGGTGGAAAATTGATTGATAATGACATAGTTGGCAATTATTTGCTGTAAGATAGTATTTCACTATTCAGAATTGAGTTGTATCAAGTTGCAAAGTCGGCCGTGGTGGATAGTAAGTAAAAATATGTTGATTGACACTTCTACCGTTTTGGGAAAACACACCCATGTTCGGTTTATGTCAATAAATTATGCCTGTGATAGTCATATTCTTATGAGGCTAGAGCACGATGGCCGAGGTTGATCAAGACGTCTGGATCTTCTTCTACTCATATACATTGAAATTAAGCGAGACGCATTTCGAAATGGCGTGGTAATCCCCTGTTGCCAATCGTATCTATGATTTTTTCTAGACCTGGGGCTCCGATGAGAATGATCGAATTTTAGTCGGCAGCTTTCCCGATAGCCCAAGGACTATCTGAATTAGGACTTCACAAGCCGTCCAATTAGACTTCGAGTGATCAGTTTGTGTCTCGGTGAAGGGCATGTGGTTCATCTTGTTTTTAATTCTGTAGCAGGAGTACTTTAGTACGGCTGCTTTTTCGTTTAAAGTCTATTTTTAAATTCCTATAGAGTGAATGAGACCCTTCCATTATCCATTTTCGGACAATATCCCTGTTCGAGGATCGACAGAGCATGGATGTCCGTTGCACCCGCGGGATTTGGAAGCCGTCTGAACAGAACTCCGAAGTGGACTACTCCGCATTGAGGAAATGAAACCAGATCATGTTTGTTTCTTTTCTTTCGTTGGGGCGCTAAGATTGGACTGCATCGTTAGTTGCAGATCACGAAGTTTTTTTCTGTTCACTTTCTCTTCTAGAATAATTAGATATCTTTTTCGCTGCTTCTTTGAGAACTCTTGCTACTTACCTATGCAATGATAGACACCATCTGAAGATATAACTGTTTGTATTGTTGAGCGGATAAAAGCCCCGAGTGTGCTATAAGCAGAAATGGCAGGCGAGGAAGAGAAGCGGCCAGCGTCGACAGTGAATGACGATCGAGGAAGAGAAGCCCTTCACGAAAATGAAAACGATACGATTTCCAGCAAGAGACGGCATACTCGTCGGATATGGAGGATGCAATTGCCGCCATATTTCAATACCGATTCCGAGTCAGCGGTGAAACGGAAATTGGATTTGGTTCTCTTGTGAGTTACAGTTTGACAAAAATTCATTTCATCGAAACGCTGACTACTTGTTGATGGTGTTAGGACGTACACAGCATTGTCAATTTTCATCAAGAACCTGGACAATACCAATATATCGTAGGTTGGCCATCTGGACCTATTCTTACGTTTGGTATTGAAATTTGATTTACTCTGTATAGTAATGCATATGTCTCGGGGATGCAAACTGATGTTCGTTATTATTGTCTCATATGTATAATCTAACTGCTTTGGCCAGATAGCTGACAGAACGAATAACAGTTACACCTCTATGGCAACCAACTGAACATCTTCAGCACCATGTTTAACTGTGGGATTATTGTCGGCGCTGGTGTGTATATTTTTCCGCTCAATTTAGTCACGAATGAAAGTTACTGATACTTCAATATAGTCCCTCTCATTCTTCTATCAACACACATCCGCCCATCCATTCTGATGCCGACATGTGAAATTTGCTGGTCCATCCTAGTCATGGGCATAGCAGGCGCCAAAAACTACCAAACTATATACGGCCTCCGGTTCTTCATTGGATTTTTTGAAGCCATTGCATTTCCTGGGTTTGCTTCTTTGCTTGCTGCATGGTATACACCTGCTGAACTGGGGAAGAGGATGGCGATATACGAAGTTTCGCAGAATGTGGCGGGCATGTTTAGTGGATATATCCAAGCAGGATTGTATGCGCATATGAATGGGAGGGGATTGGCTAGTTGGAGGTACTCACATGACTTTGACCACAGGAACTGGCCGATTTGCTGATTGGACGGTACGAATCTAGATGGCTATTTATCTTTGATGGCATCATCTCCTTTCCGATTGCTATCTGGGGTTTCTGGGCAATTCCAGACCAGCCGAGGGATACTAAAGCATGGTGGATAAACTCGGAGGTATTTATATTTCATGACTTCTAATCTATACATACTCAGTGTTGCAAGTTTATTGCGTATGCTGATGGTTAGATAGGACCGGACAATCGCCATCGAACGCATGGACCGGGTAGGCCGMAAGCCACTGACAAAAGTCAACTGGACACGGTTCAAAAGAATATGGCAGACGTGGCATGTCTATCTCTTTGTCGTCTGTTATGTGTAAGATATTTTCGTCTCGTACAGACTTCTTTTCAGCCTGCTGACTATACGGTAATAGTTTCTACGGCGCCTTCTCCTGGGGGGATAGCTACTTTGGACTCTGGCTTCAATCACTCAAGAAGTACAGCGTTGAGAATATTAATAATATCCCAACGGCTGGACAAGGCGCTGCCGTTGTCAATTCTATTCTAAGTGGATACATCTCGGATTGGCTAGAGAATCGACCATTGATGATTGTTATCAACATGGTATGGTTCACCCCTGTTTGCCTTCCTAAAGCGTATGGCCTTAATACTAACCTCAAATAGTTGATATGTCTCCTAGGAAATGCTTTCCTTGCGGTCTGGACAGCTCCTACAGCCCTCAAATTCGTCGGCTACATCTTCATCACTACCGGACTACCCGCACAGTCATTGACTATGACGTGGTTGAGCGAAGTATGTCAGGGAAATGCAACACTACGTGGTCTCATTGTCTCTATCGGGAACACATTTATTTACGCCATCAATGCGTGGGCTCTGGTTTTATTGTTCCCGGCATCTGATGCGCCGCATTACAAGTACGGATACCAGATTTGCGCTGGTATGGTTGGTGTTGGTGTGATTAGCGTATTTTTCATATTGTACGCTATCTGGGCAGATATAAAATCGGGTAGGGCATGGAGGAATGAGATTGGATTATTGGAGTATCGGAGGTGGATTCGAGAGTCGGAGGAGTACGAGCGCGACGATGCAAATAATGGCTCGACCTTGCCGACGCATGTCTAATCGCAATCGATGGTCTTCATAGAGTTGATAAAGATATGTTTTTATGATTAACTGGAATTGCATGGTAGATACTGCTTCGCTCAGATAATATATCAACGTATACCATTTTCAATATACGTGGAAGAGTCCGACAGCAGAATAAGAGCAACTTGTGGGAAACAAATACCATTTTCCTTTTTCAAGCGATGAAGCAATGACATTGTTGTATTCCACTGAACCATTTAAACCACCAGTCCTTTACTTCCTACCATCATACATATACATATCAACGCACATCAGTCAGACCAACAAGACATCCGGAACAGCGTTGGAAGATGACTCCCGTTACTCAAAAATAATTCTCTCTCGTGCGTTCTCACAGCTGATGAATTTAGGAGCAAAATTCTTGTTCACGCTCTGACCACGAGAACGGTACTCTGCAATAGCCTCCTGGAATTTTCGAGGATTGGACCTGGAAGAGAAAAGTTAGTCGAGCTTTAAACATCAAGTGGTCAGCATAAAAATTCTTTACATAATTGTAGCCGTAAATTTACTTACTTCGTCAAACTTCAGAGCCTTCGTTTCAAGAACACAGAGGAACACAAAAATTGAGGCAATGATACCGAGGCCAAAGAATACGAAATCAATCTTGGCACCAAGGTTGCCTTCATCCGGATTGATATTGTACGGTGTGATGAAGTCCATGACCCTTCTAGTGACACTGCGAATTACTCCGACGATAATCTGGGTAACGGGAAGAAGAGGAAGAGAACCGACTTCGGACTAGAGGGCGAATCCGATTCAAATTGTCAACGTGCTCCACATTGATGGCATTTTCCAAGACCACAATGTCATCATGATACATGGCTGTTACTGCAGCGCCTATACTTTCTTCATTGACGGCTTGGTTGCCACGTTTCTCGTTTGTAAGGGAATCGTAACGACAGTTTGGAACTTGTATTCGTTTGTGCTGCTCCTTTTGGCTGTTTAGTACAAAGTAACTTGTGAAAAAGGGAAATTTTGAGATGTAATTCCACAAATATTACTATATTTAAAATTTGATTTCTATCACACAAAGTTCAACGTCTCGACTTTCTATGTTTGTGGGGAAGCTCTTAGCTTGGCTTTGAGGTATCTAAGCTTCTATACTCTACCGGGGAGCTTCGCGGATGCTCGGGCCAGTAGTCTATATGATGTTGGTCACATGGCGATAGAGAGAGACTAGGAAATGTAACTAGTGGTCTGTCTCCCCGTAAGCTGGTTTCTGATGGGCCATCTCCTCCCAAAGTCTTACTCAAACCTGATTTGATGGCTACGTATCCTGAATCCGAGCGCAGACGGAGTATCTCCGAGAGTTAAAGAAGAGAAGCCACGCAGCCATTGTCGCTCGTCTTTTAAGATTCGCCTATTATTTTCTTTTCAAGAACAAAAGTTTCTTGTATATCTTTCATCTTCTTAAGTGTCTCGTTAAACGCTCTTCCGTACTCGCTCATATACACACATCACATCATAATGGCCATCGGCGTAGCAATTCTCGGTGCCGGTCTCTTTGGCAAAGACCGTAAGTCACCGAATCAAAGACTGGCAATTTGCTGTGTATATACTTCTAACGGAATTTGAAAATCAGAATACTTCCCTGCAGTCAAAACCAACTCACGCTACACTCTCAAAGCAGTCTACTCTCGTTCTCAACAATCCGCTACCAAATTCGGCGAAGAGGCCTCTGTAGATGCCTATTTCGACAGCCCAGAAACGGCCGATAAATCGCTCAGCAAGCTTCTAGAGCGTTCCGACATTGACGCTGTCTTTATCGCTCTCCCTATCACCGCGCAGCCAGATATCATTCGCGCCGCATGGAAAGCAGGCAAACACGTTCTCAGTGAGAAGCCGGTTGCAAAAGATTCTACAGTCGCAAAACAGCTTATCGCCGATTACGAGCCATACAAGGCAAAGGGTCTGATATGGGGTGTTGCTGAGAATTTCCGATTTCTTGGCCCTATTGCCTACGGCACGGAACAGCTTAAGCGTTTGGGTGGTGAGGTGACAGGATTTTACGTGTCCGTTCACGATATGATTAAGGATGGAAATCCATATTATGGCACAGAGTGGTAGGATTTTCTTAAATATTTTATTTTTAATTTTTAAGGCACTGACATCTTTGGCATGTATTCAGGCGAAAGAACCCTGACTACCAAGGAGGATTTATTTTCGATGCTGGTGTGCACTTTGTCGCTGGTCTCAGAGAGTTTTTATCCGCATTGAACGACTCTATCGAAAAGGCAGTCTCATTTAGTGCACAGATGCAACCTCACCTTCCTCCAGTGGACACAGTCAACGGCGCCTATCTCTTGAAGAGCGGCCGAAGCGGTACCATCAGCCTCTCTTTCGGTACAGAATTCAAGAGCGATTTCTTGATTGAGGTAACTTCAACCAATGGTTCGGTCGCAATGACTTCAGCTGGAGTAAAAGTCGTTGAGAAGAATGGATCGGATGGTGATCGCAAGGAAGCTTTGAAGGAGTTCCCATCCAGCACTGGTGTTGGGCTTGAGGTTGAGGCTTTTGGAAGGGCTATTGAAAGCAAGACTCCTGATGCGAGACAATCAGCGGAAGAAGCTTTGTTGGATTTGGTACTTGTTGAAAAGCTGTTGAACTCTGGTGAACAAGGAGGTGCTGTTTTAACTATCTGAGTGGATCATGATCATCAGGCTGGACTCTAGTATCTACTTGAATATAGAACACTTCATGAAATCAGCAAACAATCATGGTTTAGAAGCCACCCATTTAGTTCAAATCTTAGACTATGTTATCAACTGTATTAGATAATATTACATGAAATCAAGAGAGTTTGAGGACTTGGATATTACTCTGCGTTTTTCGCAGTACCGCAGAGCATGTGTGTCTCGTCCTACAACGAATGAAAATGAACCGTGAATCTTATGACCTCTATCCATGATTTGTTTTCATGAGGAAGATTATACAAGGTCCAATCTACTTCACCATTGTATATGCAGCTCCGCATCCAAAATAATCGAGGGGTTCTCGCGGATGGTCGATCCGAAAGACAAAAGCGACACTCACAAGCGCGGAAATTGCTGTATTCACCCTCATTTGAGAGTTCGACATGGGCGATTTGCGGGTGCAAAAACTTCTTTCTTTTGATTTTCAATCATTTTTGTTCTTCTCTTTCTGATAATCTGTAGAGACTGAGTCAAACAACCCTGTCAAGGATGTTCTACTAGATGTCGAGAGCGGTGAGATGCCCGAGTGGGAAGATAATACGATTGCTTCGCTTCCTGGTCACAAATTCCAGGTCAAATTCAAGGGTGGTGAAGGAAGGGAGGAGGACCACGTCTAGATGGTTGAATGACTGGAGCAGAAGTACATAGTCGATTACTTCATCTACACTCGTGGACGTATCAAAGATCAATTCCATTGTCAACATCATCTCACGGCTAACCTTTCAAATTTATAGCAATTGCTCGAAAGTCTTGGGTTTCAACCTCGACAGGATCAGTTCAATTACTTCAGCTATTTTGAGGAAAGCGAGGCTTGCTTTTTGTAAATCAAGAATTGGGCCATTGACGGATGTAATTGAATAATACTGTCCAATACCATCTTAGCTCTCCATAAAGTATTCTTGATCTCCGCACTACCAAAACAGTCCTCAACACTATACCAAGGCTCCTCCATGAGAGAATTTCGTATATTCAGTAGCCCGTCTAAGGGCTTTGTCATCTTTCCTAGCAGCCTCTTTAGACGTCACACCAACCCTTAGTCGATCCATATCACGTAAACAAAGGCTAGCATTATTAAAAAAGCTCACTTAGACCCGTCTGGAGCAGACCATCGTAAGGATAGCCAATCGATTCCACTATGTCTCCTATCATCCTCTTAATTCTCGTCGTTATACTACCATAGTACTCGACAAAATCAGATGAATATCGCAGGTTACTTTACCCTCTGTGGGGGTCTTGACAGTTGACTCTCAGGTAGCTCATCCATTGCTCTTCTTCCCACTTCTGAGTATGCCGCATGTCTGCGATACGATAAGCAGGATAAGTTGTAACAGATAACTCCGTTCCGGAGGTTGGTAAATTGCATGACTGGGATGAAACCCATTTACACGCTTTATTTGGACAACTTTTTGTTTTTGACCAAAAGTTTCTGCGTATGGATTTTTGTCAAAGGCCTCGCCTACGCCTTGCGATTCAAATTTCCAGGCACTCCCCTTGTAGTGTTGTTGGTTCTTGTCTAGCCAGACTTTACCTGCGCAGAGAATGACAACGGCCTTTTGGCACGAATTGCGTATATCAAAGCAGTAAATAGCTCGGTTAGAGTGCCGGCGTTTAGAGCTTTCATCTGATTCTGGTTGTATATGGGAGGAGGTCAATGTTGCCGATACATGGTTGAGGAGATTCAAAGGCCCGCATGACACAATATTGTAAAAAAGATAACCGTCAACGTCTCATAATCTTGTATCATTGCTTCTGAACCTCTCTCAAACGGATGGTTTTCCCGTGGTTGTTGTAGAGCTATCGCTATGCCGCCGGTAGAACTCGGTCAAGCGAGCTCTGTAGTCATTTTGATTTCGGCTTCTAGCAAGGCGAGGTTATGTGCTTAGTCTTTCAGTATGGAGACATCAGTCTCGTTTTCAGCTCTAGGAGTCGGAGGCGTAATAGGGTGGAATAGTTGTCTAATTCGATGATCGATTGCTACTCCGCGGCAGATGGTTGTGGGTTGCATTTGCGAATCTACTGACAAACAAGAAATTGTTCTTGAATGTAAAGACTCGAGAAGAATATGAGGGCATGATGAATACACGTTAAGACATCCTTTTATGACATATGTGATGAGGAAGCGCTTATTGGGAAATTAAGGGGGAACGTGTAATGTTGATAATCAATATTGATCACCTTGTTGAACTCAACTTATAGCACATATTTAGGCGGTCTGAATCAGGTGCTTATATCCAAGGTTGGCTGTAATTAGAATTCTGTGAAATGGGGCATAGTATTTCAAGAACTATTACAGGTCTACTCTACTAGTATATAATCAACAGACACATCCCGTGCAAACATGGCGTTGTCAGGACCCTTATAGTTGACATAATTTGTGGGCGAAAGAGGCTGCACATTCACACAGCAACTACCTCCAGATTGTATGTTTCCTCCCTCTATAATATAGGTGCCCAAGTTGTATGTCTTCCAGTCGTATTCGTCAGTGGAATAATCGACTTGGAACGGAATATTTCCCCCTGATTGGTTGTGAAAAATGTCAGAAAAGTCCAAATAGCCCCATTCGTGCCACTTGCCACTGAACCACTGGGCAATGTGTAGCCGTTGATCATATCGCCGGAAGGATAGATGGAGATTAATATCATAGCCGTTGTCGGCGTAAAAATTGAAATTTGTGTTGTCGTCCTTGCCGACACTCTCGTGCATCCTACTCAGGTCTAAATGAAACCAGCAGTCGCGCCCCTCCGTTTCTAGTGGGTCGGGAAAGTACTGGCCGTAGTGATTGAGAGTGAGTGTATACTTGGAATCATGGCTTTGGTCTGCGTTGTCAGCCTGGTAACCAAGCGCAGTGGTGGCATGGAATGCATTGGCCCTTTTCAACGCACTGATCTCTTATTAGCGACTATTTATCATCAAGATTTACAGCCCGCAAGATTGGAATACATCAGAGCATGTTTTTCTTTCTGTTCATCGAGGGTCCTGCGCCATGGAATTTTCTGCACCGACTCCGAGGGAATATATGGCGGTGGTTCCACGATGCGGACAGGTTCGCTACCGGTAGTAGCCATTTTTTGAGAGCGGATCGAACACTTCTTGTGAGATGATATTCTTGAAGCCGACCACAATCGTGGTGAATGGAATTTTCCTGTAAAAAGATAGAAGAAGAGGGTGCCAGTCTACATATATAGTCTTACTTGTCTTGGGGCAACTGTATTGTGGATCACCTCGCTGCAACCTTCGACTTCCAATTAAGTAATATTTTCCGAGCCGCGTATGATGTACGGAGAGTGAAAGTACGGCTTATGAATTCTCTGTCTTTGCGTTGTTCCTCGAGTGGCCCCTAATTATGTTGAACTGTAGGGTCTTAAACTTCTGCTGCCTGATTGTATCGCGCTCTCATGACGGGTCGGATTTGAACTGCCATATCTTAGGAACCCAGGACTGCCTTTCTTAGGCCGCTGAGGTAGGTAATCCGGACATATTTGGGCGTACAACTGTACCCTCTACTAACAGCATAACTTTAATTATGGCCTTCAGGCAGATTTTGGAGGCCGGAGATTATTCGACGAGAAACAAACTAGAAAGCGTTGAGAGGCTAGTTCGTCTGATTTGAAGCGCGACACGCTGAGCTGCACAATCATGTTCGTGACGAGACTGAGGTGCTCCAAGCTTCGTAGTGCAAGCATATGCACTCCCAATCTATTAGAAGTAACACTAGTGCGAACTTGGTGAGCCGTCAATAAACGGACATAATTAAATCTAATGTGAAGGACGCTCGAAGATACCCTGACGTCTCGTAGCGATCGACCCCAATTTTTCTGATTCCGCGGTCAGAATAAATGTCCATAGAAACTGCCTGTCTATCGAATAGTCTGTCCACACATTTTCCATTCATAGAATGCTTTCATTTTATCGAAATAGTCCGTCCTGTCAATAGACCATTTTTATGGGCAGACACCTTCTCTTTATTCAGAGCGATGCTGTGTCGGTTCTCCTGAAATTTTATTGGTGGCCAAGCAATTGAGTTGAGGTGTATACAGCCTTGGTGCCCAACTCATGGAGGCATAACTTAATTACTCCGCATACCCTCCGTACAGCGAATAATTTTTCGTGGAGAGGTCATGCTAATCCAAATTAACGAATAAAAGATTCAACCGAATAGACTATGTGGCTGACTGAACGCCAAAGAGTCTCCAACAGTTCTAGATTGAGCCTTTAATCAACCCACAGTGCCGTGGCTGGCTGAGATATACGACGTGGATAGCTAAGCTGATTAAGTACTTCAAATAGTTAAGTATCAAATCATCTACGATACCGACCAAGCCATGGCCTCAATTGCATCTCAATCTTGAATTCCTTCAGTTTCATTTGTCCGCAGAGTTTTCCGTGGTTGAAGACACCCATCCACCCCGAACAAATCAGAGGGCAATGGGTTATGAAAACCACCCGACGACTGCCTACTTGACTTAGGCTAGAAATCGAAGCTAGACTTGTTCTCAAGTGGTTATGGTATCCCCTACCCTTTGAGATCGCGAGACGCCCTACGAAATTTTAACGAAAAGATTTTCGAGGACAGCACGCGAAATACCTGACGACTAAATGGAAATACTCATGAGATGGCGCTGGGCGGCGAGGAGGAATGCAGCTGGTGGCGCAGCAGGCTCAACAGGTCGTTCAGGAGCTCCATGGAATCGTCTGCATCGGTACCTCGAAGCTATGGGCAACTCTGATCAGGCCTCTTGCAAGCGAGGTACATAATCTGGCGTGTCTAATACAGGGGGGCTGTGGGGCACACGCTAGGTAGACAAATGCTTACTTTTCGCAAATCGTTAAGCGCTGCGCTTAATTTACCCTGAGGCACCCTGTGCTCTAGAGCAACTCATATTCTAAGGTTAATTTACTCTCAGGCATCCTATGCTTTAGAGTAACTTGTGCTCTAAGATTAATTTACTCTAAAACACTCTATACTCTAGCAAAATTTATGTTGCCACTAATGCGAGAAGACCGCGTTGACTGGCAACCCTGATGTACTATTTATATGAGTACCAACCAAGAACACACCATAAATACTACCAATCGCCATTGATTATCACACTTAACTATATCTGTATAGAATATACTTTCTGGAACGAACAGCCTATCCACAAATCTGACCTGATTAGGGTTCCAACGGTCACGCGTCAGTAGCACCCTGAATAGCCCTAATGGCCTCAACAACACTCTCCGGCAACGGACCCTGCTTGATATCCTTCACATTCTGCTGAAGCTGCTCGATCTTACTCGCTCCCAGAATGATTCCATCCTTTTCACCCAACTCCGAATGATACGCAAGCCACCTCAAAGCTGCACCCGTCGGACTGATCCCCAAAGGCTCAATGATCCGCTTCAGTTCATTGACCGTTTTATGGAAATCAGGTCTGTCATATACACCCCTGTGTCTTTGCCCCAGTGGGCTGCCGAATCGCGTCCCCTCTGCGTTGCCGGCGGTGAATTTACCGGTTAGAAAGCCGCCTCCCAGCGGAGAAAAGGCGACAAAGCGGATGTCGTGTTTGCGTAAGAGTGGGAAGAGACTATCCTCAGCGTCGCGGCGGACGAGGTTGTATTCACCCTGGTAAATGGATGGTTTGACATAGTTGCGCTCTTCGCAGATTGAGAGGAACTTTTCCAGCATAGCCGGGGGGAAGTTGGATACTCCAATCTTCCAACAGTCAGCACATAAATTCGCGACACGCTTTCTATAAGGCTTTCACTTACTTTCTCGCAATAACCCTTCTCGAACTGCTCATTAAAAGCCTCCGCCTGCTCCTCCAACGGCGTCGTAGTATCGGGGGCATGAGCATACAAAATTCCAATCTTGTCGACACCCAGCGTCTTCAAACTATTCGCAACACTTGCGCGAATGTCGTCTTTTGAGAGAGAACCATCTCCACTGGTGCCGGCGATTAATACTTTGGTGCTGATACTGAAGCCGTTGCTGCCAGCGTTTGTTATGCCGAGGAGTCGTTCAGATGCGCCAATGTTGTCAGGTGGATAGCGTGCGGCGGTGTCGAGCTCGGTGATGCCTAGCGAATGAACTTCACTAAGCATTTTGGAGACATTTTCTGCTTGGGTGAAAGAGGGGATTGTCGGGGTGCCGAAGATGGCTGTACCGTAGAAGAGTGTTGGTGGCATTTCGACTCTTTGATTCTGTGTCTACTTTGTGATACTACGTGGATATGTGCGAAGTCAAGTTGGCATAAGAATATCTAGTCGTTCATAAATTATATATTGGTTTAGTGCTTACAATGGGTCGATTAGTAATTAATCTTTTTTTAGATCTTACCGCGTATTACCGCGTATACTGAAGCCCAAGCTGAACTGCCCGCTCTTCCCTTCCTCAATACCGATTCATTCATGTTACATATTTTACATGTTCGTTCCAGTTTAATCTCACTAATTTGGTAGAACTAGCAGCCCTAGCGTCAAGTTGTTGGAAATGATGAATTCTGTGATGATGTATGATATCTAGAGGTTTTTTTATATAATATGGTCTCCACAGGTATACTACAAAATTCTTGTAAGCCCTATCTATGGAAATGACATATACATGCATGTGCAGTGTGAAACAGTGCGTTTCCATCAATCGACCATGCAACTTTCAAGAATCTTGAAATCGATGTTAAGGAAATATTTCCAGTATACATTTCAAGAAAAAGAAAAACATTTCGTGCGACATTGATCCAATGAACCAACGATTTAGACTTTCTAGATTGGCCGGCGCTTGAAATTCGTCCGGATACGCGGCGTAACTGTTCATTCTTTTCCGGAGGGTTCAGCTAGAATTTACTCCGTACTGTTGTATAATATTCGTGGACATACATCTCATATCTATGTTACCTACGACTAACTCTTAGACATAGGCTATCTTTTGTACCGTTAGCTACTGATTGGGGACTTATACATGCACAACTTGCTGGGAGTCGAAGGGTCCGAGAAGTAATTGATACAGATGGATTCGTAGATTCGTTCAAATAAGCAAAGATGGTCCTAATATATACACACTCGAAAAATATCCTCCATCTCCTCCCCAATCAACCTTATCACGTCGTCAACTTATGGTAAGATCGAGAAAATTATGAAGACTTCCACTGCCCCGCGTTCTCAACGCCCTTGGCCACACTATCCGCGCCATTCTCAAGGCCCGTGCCCAAGTTCCCGATTGCGTCGCCCACAGGTCTCCCCGCGCTGCCCGTCGCGCTGGTGATTGTGTCGCCGATTCCGCGCGTGGCGGCGCCCGTGACGTTGCCGGCTGTGCGCGACAGGCCGCCGACTGTGTTGCCGAGTGTTGAAGTGACGAATTTGGCGGCACCGGTTGCGCCGGTGTCTGAGGTGGAGGATGAGAGCGGCATTTTGTTTTTTGAGACTTTAAAGGATTTTTATTTGTTTGAGTGTTTGTGTGGAGATTGTGATTGTGCTTGATAAGTGTTGAGGGAAGTGTTCTGGGGGATTTTATAGATAATTGTTGATATGACGTCAGATGACATCGAGAGGCTAGGGGTCGAGCTAGGGTTACGTCGTGGCGTACTTAATTCGATTGATATACATGCACTAATTCATTTCTCATCCTATCATTCATGGCAATTATCTACTGCGCTGCCTCCGCCATCGCTGTGAATGTGTGTACACTGCCCCGTGGCTCAAAGACGTTCTTTCGTGCAGTGTTGCCAGGAACAGCTTCTAAGGCATCACTGGGAGAGCCCCAGGCACCACCTCCGGGTCTATATAAAGGTTAGCATCATTCCTTTCAGACGAGATAAGAAGACATACGAGTTGATAATAATGCGTTCGCCCGGCTGTACATTCAGCTCCATCTTTCCTCCAATGTTGATCGTGCGTTCGGAGCCATCGTGTTCTTTCCTCACATACAGGTTCAAACCGGCCTGTCCAGATTCGCCMCCTGCCATACCGTACGGGCGATAGACTCGTCGTTCGCTTAGCATCGATACTGACAAGGGAATTCTGAACTCTAATTCTCGTACTGAGCCGTCGCCTCCATTGTACTGTCCTCGTCCCCCGGAGCCCTTGCGGATAGAAAATTGGCGAAGAATGACTGGGTAGCGCAATTCGTAGACTTCAGCATCGGTAATACGTGTGTTGGTCATATGGCAATGCACTGCAGATGTACCGTTCCAGCCAGGTCCGGCTCCTGAACCACCGCAGATTGTCTCTCCAACCCCGAAACCAGGAACAACATTCCCATTTTTATCCATACCGCCCATGCCAAAAGATATGATGTTACAGCATCCCTGAGATGCAGCACATGCACTAAATGCACCCAATACTACATCTGTGATACGCTGAGAGGTGATTGGGTTACCTGCGCACACAGCTGCATTTCCAGAAGGATTGAGGAGTGTTCCGCTTGGGATGATCACGTTGCAAGGCGCGAGACAACCTTGATTAAGAGGAATGTCGACATTTATCAGACACCTCAGCGAGTAGATGATTGCTGAATGAGCAATTGCCTTTGGCGCATTCAAGCAATTGAAGGTCTCCCTTCCAGTGCCGGTGAAGTCAAAGTCAGCCGAACCGGTTTCGGTATCTATCCGAATTTCCAGGCGAATCTCCGTTCCGTCATCCATGAAGTCGGAGAATCTCAAGGGCTTGTCGCCTGTTTGCTTGCCGACTTTCTTCAAATACTCACGCACAGCAACCTCGGCATTGTCCTTGATACCGTCCATGTAAAAGTGTACGACTTGCAGCGAGTTTTCTTCAACCAAGCCACGAAGAAGGTTTGCTCCCTTTTGGTTGGCAGCAATAGCAGCTTTCAAGTCGGACACGTTGTCGTTCCAGGTACGTGTACCACTACATCCTGGGAATGAAGCAGGCTCGTCATACAAGAACTTTCGCACAATATCCTCATTGAAACGATCCTCGGAAACAATCTTGAATCCCATTGTCATGGCGCCTTCTTCGTAGAGAAGTCGACTGTTAGAAGGCATAGAGCCTGGCTGGATACCTCCAATTTCGGCTACTCGGTGTCAGTAAACGGCCCATCGTGCGAGTGAATGTAGAACTTACCATGATGGCCTCTTGAAGCTACATAGAAAATGATCTGCTTTCCTTCGGCATCCCATACAGGGGTGATGATCGTGATATCTGGCAAGTGAGTTCCTCCTGCCAAAGGATGATTGGTGCAGATGTGATCTCCAGGTCGTAGTTGGCCAGCGTATTGCTCGTGTTGATACCGAACCGCATATTCCATACCTATTTTATCAGCAGGTGCGAATGTGAGTGTCAAAGAGAACTTACTGCCAAGATGCACTGGGACATTGGGAGCATTTGCCACCAGCTTCCCGTCTGGAGAGAAAACAGCACACGAAAAATCAAGTCGTTCCTTGATATTAGTCGAAACCGAAGTCTTCTGAAACATGCGACTCATCTGATCAGCCACCGACATAAATCGGTAGCCAAATACCGACAGGCGAATCGGATCGACGACCAATGTTGACTCTTCGCCAAGAGCACGCTTCTTCTGTGGCGAAACGTCTAGAATGACGTGTCGTGATAAAATGGTGGCATTGGCATGTGGTTCTACTACAATGGTTTGTGTCTTGTCAATAATCATTGCTGGACCATTGATATGGCTTCCGGGCTGTAGGTTTCCCAAGAAGAAGACTGGAGTCGTGACATGTCCGACTCCTGCGAAGTAGACTTTTGTGCTGTCGTCTTGCTTTTCGCTTCCGATAGACAAGGCTTTTGTTGCCTTTAACTCAGCTTGAGGTGCCTCCTGCGGAACGGACAAAGATTTGCCGACACCACGAACGCGGACATCCTCAACAACAATGGAACGTCCTGGGAATGTGAATGAAAATTCTCGCTTATGCTCTCGGATGAAAGCTTCGGCAAAGTCTCCATCTTCAGGATCCAGGATCATCAATAGGTTGTCAGTGCCTTGATATCGTAGATTCAAATAGACTTCATGATGAATTTGTTCAGTTGGTATGCCGTCAGCTTCGAGCTCCTTTTGAACCTTAGTCTTGAGGACATCAATGCGGTCACGCATGACCTTCAATGATTGTTCGTCAAGGAAGCCAGAGGCCGGTTCCTGCGCTTCGTGAACGACATCGGCTAGGGCCATCCCATATGCAGAAAGAATTGACGAGTATCGGTGAATGATGACGGTTTGAATCGATAAGGATGTGGCAATAGCACAAGCGTGTTGTCCACCAGCACCGCCAAAGCATGCAAGGTTATGTGCTGAAGTCTCATAGCCTCGTGCCTCTGTCAATGCTCGGATTGGCTTGGCCATTGATTCGTTGGCAACCTCGATAAAACCAAGAGCAATTTCTTCTGGCGATTTTGCTTGGCCAGTTTCCTCCTGTATTTGACGTGCAAGTTCCGTGAACTTCTGTCGGGTAATCTCCACATCGAGTGCTTCATTCTCATTGGGTCCGAAGATTTTTGGAAAGTATTCTGGAAGCAATCTACCAAGGAACAGATTGGCATCCGTCACGGTTAATGGACCGCCTTTTCGGTAGCATGCAGGTCCGGGATGCGCCCCAGCCGAGTCAGGGCCAACGACGAAGAGACCGTGTCTCCAGAAGAGAATACTACCTCCTCCAGCGGCCACAGTATTTATATCAAGCTGAGGAGCCATAATTGTCACGCCTGCAGTGGTGTTTTCGAAAGTGTGCTCAAACTTTCCGTCATATCGAGAGACGTCAGTACTAGTTCCTCCCATATCAAAACTTAAAACCTGATTAGTATATATAAAGCAGAATTATGTATATGTAACTTACCCAATGACTGGTTTAGGGTCTGCAGGATCAAATGAAGTTCGTGCGTGTCCGACGACACCGCCAGCAGGACCAGATAGAATGGCTCGTAGGCCCGAGAATCTGCACCATGTAAGCATTTTTCAATGGAAATTTCAGAAAGTCATGGACTCACTTTTCGAAATTCACCAAACCGCCATCACTCTGCATGAACTCGCATCGTGTGTCCTCTGACCGCAATCCGTCTTTGAATCCCGAGCGGAATCCATCAATGTATCGTCGAATGACGGGCGTTAGGTAGGCATCGGCAGTTGCAGACGCACCACGAGATGTCATTTTAATCATAGGAAGTAGCTGGCTAGATAGCGATATGCTCGGGAAGCCGACCTCCTTGGCAATGCGCTCAATAGCCAGTTCGTGTTCTTTGTATGTTAGAATTAAGTGCACTCTATGCGCTTGATGAGGTGAAATTACCTTGAAATGTGTATGAATGTACTAAGACAACAGCAATTGAGCGATATCCTTTCTCATACAAACTCTGGAGATCCTTCCGGACCTTGTCCTCATCCAAATTTTCCAAAACCCGTACGACTTCACCACTAACACCACGCGTTAACTGTGGGTCTGATTCTAATGAAGTAGCCAGAGCCTGTTTGTCTGGTGTAGGATTTTGCTGGTAGTCTTCAATGGTCACTCGTTCGTCAACTTCGACGACATCCTCATATAAAACATCCGGTCTGCGGATGTTGAGATCAAATAAATGAGGTCGCGACTGATTGCCAATTTGCAAAGCATCTTTGAAACCCTTCGTAATCAAAAGCGCTACTCGGTCACCTTTACGTTCCAGGAGTGCGTTGGTGGCTACAGTCGTACCCATTCGGATACTGACACTAGAAAAGTCGCCTGTGCTCAATTTTTCGCTTCTGGGAAATGACCTTCCAGTGGCCTGTTCCAAGATGCGGCGAATACCCTCGATGGGGGCATCCGCATAATTGGAAGGGTCTTGTGAGAGCAGCTTGACGACAATGTCATCTTCCCGGCCTTCGACAATGCCCAAACAATCTGTAAAGGTACCGCCTCGGTCTGAATAGCGTTAGTTGAGTTCAACAGACAGATTGCAGAAGAACATTACCTATAGCTATTTTAATATTCAGGCCATCGACATTGGCCTCTAGACGATGAGGACCCATATTGCGTAGAGAGTATTTTCGAATTATTACTCTTGTCAGTCTTCAATCGTCGAATTGCGGGAAAGAGCCTCTATTTCATATGCTGGTTCACAATGATATACCCCTCAGTTACCACCCTCATATATGCCACTATTCGGTCGAAATTATTTTCTCGACTGCTGACCTTGTCTTCGGTTCTTGTTGTCCGATAGTTAGTGCTCGAGGCAGGTCCAGACGAAAAAGAGCGAGTATCATTTCCTATCATTATCAAGGCTTGGCGACCCAATGAACGACATTCCCTCACGCGATCCCAAGATTGTATCCCCATCCCACGCAGCTCGATGAATGGTTCAATCAGGGTGGAGCAAAGCGGGACTGACATGTGCGATTACCTGCAGAGCATAAGCGGTTTCTGGTCGGAGGTGTTCCGAAGGTTTTCTTCGTCGCAAACATGATAGCTCGATATTTTGATTGGTGGTGTTTGATACTATTGGACGATGAATGAGGAGAAGAGTTGACCAAGAGAGCTAATCAGGTGATATTACTTTGGTGTAGGTTTGGAGGTGTTGGAAGCCACGCGAGAGGGAAGGGGCCGCCAAGGGGACAAGGAAGGAAGTTGCGACTCAGAGGACCCACTTTGATAGGAAGTTTCGCTCCGACCTTCCTGACGGCCATCACCACTCTTACTCACGCTGTTAACTCACCACTACACGATAAGATCGTTGTACAATGTATACGATGATGCTTGTGCTTTCGCGTCCTGATATCTCTCGCGTCGCCTGGGCTGGACGTTTGGTTGAGGTCTGTGCTACAACACTGACTCTTGGTATCTATCTTTGATTCGATACTATCTATCTCGATTGATTGAGCTTCCCCGGATTGCCTATATCTTCTCGTTCTGCCGCTGCCCGAAGGTCCAACTTACGAATGACTTCCCTATAACACAGATTCTTATATATCTCCTCTGTTGACGTGTAATCAGAAACTATGGAGAAAGCGCCAAACATGAACGACGTGTCAGCTCACGAGGCCGAAGCTGAAAAGCTGGGTGAGATGGTCGCGAACCACGAGGGCCGCGATGTGGATGTTGCCGCCAAATTCTTGCATGAGTTGGATCCAGCCGTGCTGGCCGAGCCCATCACGCCAGCCGAAGCGCGCAAGCTGCTGTGGAAGATTGATTGGATTATCATCCCTTTGATCATGGGCACTTGCGTGCTGGCAGCTGTCGATAAAGTAATTATCTCCAATGCCGCCATCTACGGGATGACGAAGGATGCGCATCTCGTCGGTAATCAGTATTCTTGGGTCGGCTCGATCTTTTACTTTGGATATCTCGTTGCCGAGTATCCTGCAGCCTTTCTCATTCAGCGGCTTCCTGTGGCCAAATTTTTGTCTGCGTGTTTGCTAGGATGGGCCATCATCTTGATGTGCACAGCCGCTACTCAGAATTTCGCAGGCCTGGCAACGGTGCGATTTTTCATGGGCATGCTAGAGTCTGTCGTGTTTCCGATCTGCAGTATCTTGACTGTTATGTGGTGGACTACGGAAGAGCAGCCTATTAGATTGGCCTTCTGGTTCAACCAGGTGAGTAACTTCTATAGCTGCAGAAAGCACGTACACTGACGAGAAAGCTTTCTTCTGTATTTTCCGGACTTGTCAGCTACGGCATCGGCCACACGCACACCAGTCTCCATCCATGGCGACTTTTGTTTCTTGTACTAGGAGCCTTTACAATCCTCTGGGCTGGTGTGATCTACCTCTTCCTCCCAGACTCACCCGTCAAATGCTGGTACATGACCGATCGCGAAAAGTACGTCTGCCTCGAGAGAGTCAAGGACAACAACACAGGTGTTGAAGACAAGAAAATCAAATGGTATCAAGTGCGTGAATGCTTGACAGATCCCAAAACCTGGCTGTTGGTGTTGTTTTCCCTGGCACAAAACATCCCTAATGGCGGCCTTGTTACGTTTGCATCCATCATTGTCTCGGGACTCGGATACTCCAGTCTTATTACCACCGTTCTCGGAATTCCAACTGGTGTGCTAGCCACCGTCTGGCAACTCTCTCTGTCATTCATCGCAGCCCGGTTCAAGAACTCTCGTTGTCTCGTTATTGCCCTGGCGAATCTGGTACCCATGACCTGCGCTATACTCATGTGGAAACTGCCTCGATCAAACAAACACGGGCTTCTCGCAGCATACTACGTTTTTTACACGTACTGGGGCCCTTACGTCTTATCAACATCCCTGCCCATGGCCAATACCAGCGGTCACTCTAAAAAACTAACTATGAACGCACTCTTTTTCCTCGCATACTGCGTTGGTAACATCATCGGGCCTCAGACATTCCGTTCTTCCGATGCGCCAGATTATTCTCATGGCTACGAGGGTCTGCTTGCTTGTCTGGTGGTCGCTATTGCCTCCATTTCTGCGTACGGCATGATGTGCCATTTGGAGAACAAGAGGCGCGATCGCGCGCAGGCTGCCGGGGATCATCATGTCGTTGAGGCGGCGAATGCGTTTTCGGACCTGACGGATAAGGAGAAGAAGGATTTCCGGTATACCTACTAGGCGATATCTATAAACGGATACTCTGTACCTAGTACTTGTTTTACATAGAGGGTAATTTGGATGTGTCAATGAATATATAATTTTAACTATGAATCCTTATATATTGAGAATCATTATACCTGGTTGCACTCTTTCAAAGAAATTCATAAAATATATAGCATCTCCCAAGATAAATTTCCGAAATGCAGGGAAAAAGTCGACCTCTCTCATGGATCATTTCGGGGGCATCCCCAAATTCCCACTTAGGTACATCCCTAGGTAGCTGCTAATTATTCTAGATTATTGTTACCAATGTCCTCAAAGCCTAACCATGAGACTCCACGTCAATTCACTCCCTTTTTTGCGTGTAATGTGTCGCATTGCAAGTCGATTTGCCCATGATTATTGATCTTGAGAAATTTGATTGGCCAACCCGCAAACATGGCCAAAGTGCCAGAGGAAGCTCGGAGCGACTCCGAGATCATGCCGCAGCTTTAATCTTCAAGCTAATCCATCCCACGCAGGACCCACTCTAAGAGATAAGCCATCGCCCGACATCAGCGCAATCCACAAATCAGTAAAGACGTATAGAGTGTCGTGTTGTGTCATGTAATAAACTTACGCTTCGATACTGACACGGTAGGTATCAGGAGCGGGTCTGCTAGCTCTACACTTTAACGGTGCAAACAGGAGAGAGGTATTAATGCAGTCACATCGTGGCGAGAATTTCGTGAATTGTGCTGAAGGGAGCTGGAAGCGAGATTCGTTGGTCCGGTCTTCTCATGATGCGATATCTTCAGCTGATTGCTGGAACATGACTCTTCTTGTTCGATGAATATAGAATATAGTCTTGCGAATGAAGGTGCTTGATAAGCATCTTTCTTGCTAAAACTCAAAGGATCACGATTGAACCATACCGAGATACACACATCATGACATTCTCCCCCAACAAAAGAATCCTCATCGTCGGTGCCGGCGCCTTCGGCACATCAACGGCCTACCACCTCTCCCAACGCGGTTACAACTCCATCCGCGTGCTCGACCGCCACGCAGTCCCATCCTGCGAAGCCGCCTCGACCGATATCAGCAAAGTGATTCGCAGCGACTACAATGAGCCTCTTTATTGCAAAATGGGGATCGAGTCGATTGAAGCGTGGCGTGACTGGGATATGTTTGAGGGACTGTATCATGTTCCGGGATGGATCCTGAGTGCCTGTAAGCTTTCGGTGCCGTTTGTGGAGGGATCGGTTGAGACGTCAAAGAAACTTGGTGTGGAAGGGTTGGAGATTCTGACGCCGGAGGAGATAAGGGATAAATTGCCGTTGGTCAAAGGGAAGTTGGATGGGTGGAATATTAATGTTTGGAATCCGACAGCCGGGTGGGCAAACTCTGGCGAGGCTGTGAGGAGGATGGCGCTCGCGGCGGAGAGGAACGGGGTTGAGTTTGTGAGTGGTGATAGGGGTTACGTGAGGAAATTGAAGTATGCGTCTGATGGGACTACGTGTACGGGTGTAGTTACGCAGGATGGCACGGTTTATGAGGCGGATCTTGTCATCTTGGCTGCTGGTGCTTGGATGCCGAGTTTGATTGATCTTCATGATCAATTAACAGCTAAGGGTCATTCTGTTGCGCACATTCAGCTTACCCCAGAAGAGACAAAAGAATATGCCTCCCTTCCAATCCTCGATAATCTTGAGTTGGGGTATTTCTTCCCTCCTCAAGAAGACGGCATTTTCAAAATGGCACATAGCCAATTCATTACAAACACTGCGATCGACCCGGTATCAGGGTTAACGACTTCCATCCCTCACACTTTTGTCCAGTCTCCCACAGACGATCTCCCCCTCGAAATCGAGGCAACTATGCGCCGCAATCTGCGACGAGTATTTCCCCAACTGGCCGATCGCCCGTTCTGTTATACCCGTCTTTGCTGGGATGCCGATACAGCCGACCGCCATTTTCTCGTAACGCCTCACCCTACTCAAAAGAATCTGTTTATTGCAACCGGTGGCTCAGCGCATGGATTTAAATTTCTACCAATCGTGGGGAAGTATATTGCAGACCATATTGAGGGCAAACTGGACGCGGACGTTGTGCATCACTGGCGCTGGAGGGCGGGCGAGACGATGAATACTAAGAATCTGGCGCATTTGGATCCGGAGTTGGAGTTGGCTGATTTGACGGGGTGGAAGGGGAGGAGGGAGCGTGAGGGAAGAGTGAAGGCAAAGCTGTAGTTTGTCTCTTTCCTTTTTCGAGTCAAACATATACACAGTCGATAGACCGATTAGTTTACGATGAATCTATTCAATATAACATAAACAATCAATTTTCTCAGCATGTTGGAAATTCTGGAACATCGTTCGAACATTCGGAGAAATGCCGAATGCCTTTAGTCGGTGATTGGCTGAAATCTTGATAATTAAGGTTGACGCTAGTATGGAGTGGCACTTCCCCCGCGTTTTCATCCATTAGTTCAGCCAATCATGCAATGTTTTTCCTCAATAAACAAGCCAATAGATCGCTATTAACTTATCAAAGCCCCGTTTATACCAGCCAATTAAAGCACATCTCATAGATAACCATCAATCCGCCGGCCCAGTCGGTTGCGGGCAACATTCGCTACAACATGACACTGCGTTTATGATACATGCTTTCTACATGCAGCAATAGCGTAATATGACCTCCGACAGAACCCACAATCCAGCAGCTCCGGTTTCCCGGACAAGGACAGGCTGCAGAACCTGTCGGTCCCGCAAGATCAAGTGTGATGGTGAGTTTTATTGCTCCTCTTTTCAACTGATATGAGCCCCGCCGGCTGACTCTATTATCAGAACGACGGCCTAAGTGCCAGAGATGCACAAAGGGTAACTTGGATTGCAGCTATGGCCTGCAATTGATCTGGCATGAAGAGTCCCTGTCGAAGGGTGTCTGTCATGGGCGAGCTGGTGTATGGTCCAAGAGTGGCCGGCGGAAGGGTAATACACAGCTTGAGGGTCAATTTTCTGGTCAACGGAAGGGACTAGTCACGACAAGACCGAGTAGCAGTCGCGGTGTGTTCCTAAATACTACCATGAACGATGTCAAGCTGTATTTTGAATATGCTGGTATGGCTGAAGAAGCGGACACAGACGATAAATACGATACTCATGACATGCTACCGAATGAGAATCGGCAACCCTCACTCTCACTGCCAGTCTTGAGTGCCACCACGCTGGGACACATGCGCACATTCGACTACGATTCGGCGCTTTTGTCGTACTATGAAGCCGTAGTCTGCAGCTCGAGCACATTACTAGACGACGCCAAGAACAATCCATATCGACACTTGATTCTGCCTATGGCCATGCAATCAGAGGGGTTGTATCATGCTACACTAGCCGTGTCAGCGCAGATTCTACGGATTGCTGAGCCGCGGTTTCAATTCGCTGCTCTTGATCATGGACATAGAGCTTTGCGTTGTTTGATCTCAAGCTTACAGCGCGGACAGTCCAGCCCTCAGCACACAAGCCAGAAGCAAATGTCACATGCAGAAATTGATGAAGTTCTTGGTCTCGCGCTGATGTTGTGCTGGTTCGAGATTACAGATGGTTGTCGACCGTCATGGGTGACGCATTTGAAGGGTATCCATACACTAATAAACCAGTATCAAGATGTTTTCATCAAGAGCAGCAGGAATTCGGACGTGAATCGTTTTTTCAGTCGGTATTTCTCATTTCATTTAGTTTTGGCACGGACAGCTTTCAGGGTTGAGGATGACATTACGTTTATGAGGACGGCTTCATCTACGAACACCGAAAGCACTTCTTCACAAGATTCTCCTTCGATCTCAAAACTCACGGATTTTCTGTCTCTGGCTATGCCACTCGAAGATCTGGATCAGATCGACTCATACATGGGCTTTAGCAACTCCCTTCTTCTCCTCATCAATGAGGTTGCGGATCTCGCATGGAGATACCATTCCAAGGAATCTGTCGAAGCCGACCTGCCATTCGTGCGAGAACATGTTCGACGATTACGGTCGTCTCTAGAGACATTACAACAAACACCGCCCCCGTTGGCTGAGAATGGCCGACTTGGCGATATGCCTTTTTATGCTTTTGCGACAGAGGAAGACGGGTTGCTTGAGCGGACTGTAGCTGAGTTCCAGGCTATTGCAGAGGCCAATCGAATAGGGGCGTTGCTGTTGTTGCACGAGGTGTGCGCTTCGAGGTTTCAGAGACCAGATCTTTTCAAGACTGCTACTGCGACAGAAATTGAGTCAAGTGAATCTGGTTCTGCATCAACAGAATATAAGACCCGTTACGTACGCGGAATTCTAGATCCCATGATCCAAAATATCAACCGCATCAGTCGCACGGCTGCACTACCCCTGTGGCCGCTGTTCATCGCTGGATGTTGCGTTACAACGGAAGAGGACCAAATTACAGTAATGAAGATATTCGAAGAAACAGAAAAACTAAAACGATACGGTGTATGTCCCCCTCTTACCCTTTTTATTGCGAATAATGCATCTAATTGTTGCGCAGAATATTACACCGGCCAGACAAGTTATTGAAATGATTTGGCGACAACGAGATCTAGGAGTGCAGGACGATAGGAAACGGCGGCATACTGCTGCTATGGCTAGCCAGGTGCACGAGGTAAATACAATGCCTTCTTCATTCTCTACGAAGGGAATGCAGTTCTTTGAATGGGAAAAAGCTATGATGATGATGGGTGGGTTGAAGTTGAGTTTGACATGAGTCGTACGGGAGAGCGAATCATAACATCAATTATACCTATTTGGATGATTCATAGGAAATTGCTAGGAACATCACGTCATAGAGACTATAAGCTTAGAATACCTCATAGTTTATTGAAATACCAGGGGTCTGTACACGTTATCGACCTCCACCAACTAGAGGAACGCCGTCGTCATCGTCAATTGCTTGTGACTGATACAATGGATTCTTCGTAATGGCATCAATCTCCTCCTGGACTTTCTTGGGCATGTCATCATCAAACCAACTTTGAATCGTCGTGACGGCCTTCTTTGCACTGTCGACAAAAGCTAGATCAATCAAAGATTCCCGATGGGCCTTCAACACCGTTGTGCACAATTGATCTTCAATCTTCCGGTCCTGTCGATGATACGGGGGCTCACCAACGTGCAGCAAATCATTGAAAGTGGATGAAAGGAGATCAGTTACGGTCAGAATTCGATCTTCTTGCTGCTTTGTTCCGTTGATCATGATTTTCAGGTCACCAATAATCATCTCTGCTTTGGCAATCTCACGATCGACTGAGAATCGAAGTTTACTGACGTTGTTCAATTTTGCCTGATGAGCCTGTAGGTCGACCACTATCTTCTCAGACTTGAGGTAAGTTGCTGCTGCCGCGTCAGCCAGGCTCTGAGGTTCTTCAAGGGCAGAAGTGCGTCTTCGAAGAAGATCCTTGTACCATGTCACACCGGCCTACTTAGTCAGTCCTGGACCAATTTCCAAACCTAGCGCAGTAGCTATACTTACTTGAATGGATGCATCAACATCGTGTTTTAGCTCTGCGTTCCCTAAGTCTCGAATCTTGACCAATAATGCGCCTTGTGCGCTTTGATATAGTTTCCAATCAGCAAACATCTTCTCAACCACCGTTGGTAGCTCAGACTTTATCTTGTCTAGCTCAGCTTTCTCCACAGTTGTTTCTTCATGGAATTTGGTTTTTAGGCCAGTTAGTTTTTCTTCGAGCGTGTGCACCTAAATATTGACAATGTTAGCTCACGCCTATCTATACAACATAATTAACACCGGAGAGATTAACCTTGTCGAGGACCGAGGTGTCCTGATCTGTTTCTTTCACGTCCTTGACTCCACCTTCGATGAGTTCTGTGGCGGAATTGATGATTGACGTGCGCGTCTCGTTGGTTTCATCATCTCCTTTATAATCCGGCCAGAAATCGAGAAGTTGATTCAGTCCATCAAGTCCGTTAGATATGGCTTCCAGTGCGTTATTAGTGCTCTTTTCGGCGGAAGCACCGATATCCGGTTCAAGAAGGTACAGTTCAGCCTGGATGTCTTTTATACTCTGTACCCAATCGGATATGTAGTCTTTCTCGCCTGTTGCGGGCGGATCAAGGAGGTCTACTCCATCGTGATTTTTGTCATCGAACATATGCTTGAGGTCATCCTCGGACATGTCCTCGGTAAGGGCCTTTTCAACCGAGGTGATGATCCTTATGAAATGTCAGTAAATTCGTGGAAAGGACAGTGGTTTCCATACCGGCCCCATCCGCCCATTGCGCCGTCGAATACCGCTTTGTCAATGTCACGAAGGTCTGCTGCTGCCAGAGTGGATTTTGTGTAAGGGGATACATATTTTTCTTCGTCATACGAACCCCCTTGAAGCTCAGTCGACATGTTCAATACCTCCTTGACCGTCGTCCCAGTGATGGCTGGAATCTCTTCCTTCAGAACCCTGTAGATGGCCACCGCCGCTACCTCGTCACTCATCTTAGGGTCTCGTATAATAGGGCCGGTAGCAGATTTGACGGTCGATCCAGCCTTGAAGGCAAGAGCAGCTGCATACCCAGTTCCTACCTTCCCAAAGATGATGCGATTTAGGACGGCGCCACAAGTCATCACAGCGGTATAGATGCATAGCGCGAAGGGTCTAGTTGTCTCATTCTTCCAAGTATGTTGTCAGCGATCGCTCAGACGAGGGAGAAATTCTTATTACGTACGGCTAATGATTCCTTTCCCGCAAGGCCAAATGCCACATTAGGTAACTCTTTTTGAAAGTCCGCGATTACTGTAGCGGGGAGATCACCATTCGAAACTTGGCTTCTAGAGAGACTGAAATGAGTACGCCATGTTGATATGATAAGCTGCGTACTTACGGCTCATCCATCGATAAGGTTCCCTTGGAATTACTGAGATATTTGCGCAGAGAGACGGATCCGCTTCTGCTACCAAACCCATGACTTCTATTTTCGAAAAGTAAGCAGCCCAACACTAGCTCGCTTCTGTCGTGAAGAAGGGGATAAACGCGTTCGACGCTGCCGTCGGAACTGGGTCGCACTCCACGCTCATCCATGACATCAAAGTAGTCACACTTTCCACCCATCAATAGCTCGGAAGTAGTCAGTTTGCCATTCGGGGATAGAAGTAGCCCTGTCAAGGACTTTCCGTCACTACTGGCGCCGAGCAACCCTGCCGTTGCCACTAGAGAGTTTGGCCTGTAATTGTTCAATATTGAAGCCGATCAATCTCACAGGAAAAGCACTTACCATTCCCATCTTTTCAATGTTCCAGCGTCATTGTCGAAGAGAATGTCAAGGTATATGGACGTATCCCACCCACCATCCTCCTCACGGACCTTTCCATGCAGCACAGATCCATCCTTGAGAACGAGGCTGCCTGGCACGAAATACGAAGTTAACAATTTGTTCTGGGCTGAGGCAGTGTTTTCTGACGTGGTGTCGAATCCTTTGCAACCCTGGCTGATCCCAAGGTAGTCGTCAAGGCAGATCTTGCTGAGTTTCCAGTCGTCTCCATCGTCGCATTCAGCATACAGATATATCTTGCCTTCTTTGGGGCCAGAATCAAGCCGTATGTATTGAGATGTAGTCGACAAACCCATTTTACTCTATGGCTAAGTTACTGCGTAGGTAAGGTTATTATTTAGGACCTCGAAATATCAGCACTTGAGGCGTTGTCACTATCATTTTATATCGTATTTAATATAGCAACAGATCCTAGATACCCGCGCAAAACGGACTCGATGTCGGTTCATCTCCATCTTTACCAAGATGGTCTCTACTGTGTGATGATAACTCTGCCTGTCATCGGCCTCGGATGAGTTGTGTTGTCCAAGATGGATACTCAGCCAGCCTCCGCAATGCTGATGACTCCCATCGAGGATTTTATTTCCGTGAGACTTTCAAAAATTTTCAGGACCCGTTCGTATTACCCCGCCAGCACGGAGTATTGCTCTGGCTAATCATAGGTGGCTTGCAGGGCTATTGGTAAATTACGCCTCCTTCAATGAGAAATCTATATTTACTTTGCAAGCTTTGATTAATTGTAGAAATCGGCCCTGCTCAGCTGGAAAGTTAAGCACATCTTTTTAGCGTAGTGGCGTTGCAAATATTAGTATTAACAAGATCACCATTATCGACGTAAGATGAACTCCTTCAAAAACTCATTCTACCACGTCCGAATAGGGAGGGATTGTTTCAGCTGATAATATAAACGCCATGCATTAATGCAGTGTCATTCTAGTGGTCGCAGGTCGATTGCGGTACAGTTCTCATAAGTTCCCACCTGGTTCCGCACACGGTTCAACTCCCAGTGGCGCTTTAGAGGAGCCACGTAGCTCTGTGGCTTTACCAACGATAGTTCGTGACAAGTTTTTAATCAGCGATCAGCCAGCCATTGGATCTGATATGTGGCGTTGCCCATGAGAAGCAGAACGATGCAAATAGAACCAGAATTCAAGGCAACCCCATAATGCTAAGCACATACTACCATACGCCGATCGACTAGAATTTATATTAGTCAAAGATCAATCCTAAGTTTGCTAGTACAATTAGGTATAAGATAGATTGATCCATCATGACAAACAGTCAATAAGCAAGTGAAGTGAAACCAATATAGAATGAGGATTAAGGTGGCGAAAATGTAAATAAAGACATGAAATATATCGATCCTTGTATGTTTTCAATATCCCTGCTGCTCTCTCACTGGCACTCCGCTTCGATCTTCTCCAGCTCATACATCCAGTAATCCAGCGTGCCCACTTCGTAAGGGTTGTCCACCACTTTGGGTGGTTCTGGTCTCGGCTCGTCCCATACTACCCCGATCTCTTCAGCCTTACGTCTCTCCTCATCTCCCAGGTTATCACCTTCCAGGCAGTGTAGGATTTCCCTCATCCGTCTTGTCCAGGTGCATTCCCAGAATTCAATGAGACCAGAAACCCCCTGATTGGGATCATGAAATCTTGCAATGAATTGTCGCTCGAAATCACACATCAATTGTTCTAGCAATTCTAGCTCATATGCGTGTTCATTTTCGAATTCCTCGGCATCTTGATCAGACTCAGACAAGGACTTATATTTAGAATTACAGCAGGTATGCGGAATTCCAAGTGCGGTGTAGGTCAAATATCGAAGAGCCGCAGTATGGTGTCTAAACTCGAAGTCGCTCCCAAAATGTTTGAGGAATACGGCAAAATGCCGAATCACTGCTGGTGGGAGCTCTGTGTGCTTTACGGCACTATTTTCTGCGACGCAGATACTTGGGAGAAACGAGTCACGGTAGTAATTTGACATACTCTTCAATAGGGATATGACCGGGGTGCAACCCTCGCCAGAGCATTTGCAATCGCAGGTATCGGCAAATTTAACTGACAGTGCTACAGCATTGAGTTCGTGGACCCAAGCTATGCGGGCGGCAAGTGAGAATGGTGATAGTTCGTTATCAAGTTCACAAGATTTACTGGATTGGAAGTCTTTACCAAGTCTCCAATAGGTATAGTTGGCCGTGAATGTGCTCATCGCTGAATTGAGCGACTTGAGTTGACAGGACATGGCTCCATGCTTTGCAAGCCAATGAAGATAAGGTAGGTCCTGACTCAATGTATGTTGACCATCAAAATTTGCCGCATCAGTGTTGCAGTTGCACCACGAATCAGTGTCGTGAAACCCGACCCGGAAGAATAATTCGGCATCATGGGGCGAGCAAAGTGCTTGGTAGACCGACAAAGATTTGGTTCTCGTAACAGAAAGGGCTCTGGGGATATAAACACCACGGTCTTGCAAGAGATGCGCGACTCGTGATGCACGAGAATCGAGAACACGGTCAAAGACTAGCCCCAGCTGCTCTACTTCCGTTGCTGGAAGATTACCCAGGGCGAGCATCTTCAATCTGTCTCTACGGTCTTTCATGTGACGTACGTATCTTCTTTTACATCGAATAGAGGCATTCCGAAATATGATTCGTAAGTTCTCCGGCACGGGCAGCGCGCAATCGGCGTTGAGGAGAATAACCGCGCACTCTGCACATCTGCAACGTCGACACATGCGGCGGGATCCGCGCTCTCGACAGCGTAGCCCACTCAGGAAGACCGCTGTTTCCAATACAGATTTCCCGTACTCATCATAACTATCGGTCTCATTGAGGATTCTGGTGTCCGCGGCTGTTACCAGAATCCGTAAGCATGATGGTTTGTCCGCAGCGAGATGCAGCGGAGTATGCCCAAAAAGGTCTCGCTCAGCGAGAGTGGCAGGATGGTTCCTTACCAGGTACTCGACGTGATCGGGGTTGTTGGATAGAATTGCTAAGCTTAGTGGACCACAGCCATATGCTAGCAATCATTTAACAGGCAACTCGCTCCATTTCAGAGTCAGCGCAATACGAACCTTCGGCGACCCTAGTCGAAAAGCTAAGGAAATGAAGTAGTGCCGCAGTGTCTTCTCTAATAATACGCTCTCCTGATTGTTCCCAGGTCACGGAATATGCTTCCGGAGATAGTTTTGTCAGGCATGCCACATTGGCCTCGATATTTGATTGTAGAATGGCTTCTGCAGCAGCGAAAATTCGTGGGTTGGAGACATTACCATACGTAGTATACGTAAACATACTGCTAAGTGGTGTGCTTCATGATAAGTCAGCTCAGTGAAATATGACCATTTTAAATTGAGACGGAGGACTCACTGGCCAGATAAATCAAAATCATTTGCTGGGGCCTTGTTCAGAAGCAAGTAATCAAGAAGCTCAAGCAGAGGGTCGGGCTTGGCTTGAGCCAGCAAATTCTGTTGATAATTCTCGGACGACATAATTACCTAAATTGTTGTATCAGTTTCTGGGACAATGTTCCATGTTCAATTGAAACTTACATATTTAGTTAAAAGATAGATCAGTGATCTATTTTCAGCGTCCACTGCTCGCGGGGATGCTTTTTTGGCTCGAAACAATGTCACGATCGAAGAAACTACCGATGAAACCAATATTTCCCATGATATTATATCTAAGCAATACTTAGTTGGTACCAATAGATTGAGCATCCTCCAAGCTGGTGCTGTTTCTTTGTCGACCATCGGAAAGTACGTGAATCCAGGGCTAAAGCTCCCGCCTCCTGCGCCCGACGTCACGGTGAATGAAATCTGGACTGCTAAATTCAGCAGATGTCGGAGCCCAGTGTATGTCAAACTGAACCTTCGTCTCTGGTCCTTGTCTCTTATTTTCTGTCTGGCTGAGCAACCAGGCAAATGCCACTCGGTGGTCATTTCAGAAGACATGGCCAGCGAGCCATGGACGATAGTCTTGCGTTGGAAGCGTCTTAGCGAGCGGCACATGCACGAGAATCTCCTACCAATATTCCTCGAAGTTGTATTGCCGAAATACTGATTGATCGCCGGTGTTATCTCACTTGATGCTGGTCTTTGCCGGACTTCGGTAGCGTCGCAGATATCTTTTAAAACTCCCGGCTTTCCAAGGAGTCGGCCAGTAATCACCGCAGGATTGGTCTAACGGTCGTATGATTAGTTTGCATGCATTGCAAGCCAGTGGACTGGGTTACTCACCTCCTGTTGACTTCCGCTGATGACTGGCTGATGCACAAGCTGGGATACGAGGGTCTCGAGCGTCTCGAAGCGTGCCTCAAACCCGGAAACAGTGTTTTGTATATCTTGGAGAGGGGTTTTCATGGCTGAGCTCTCGGAACGAAAGACTTGAAGGCTTGTAGAAACGCTGCGAGAAGATGCCTCATACATGGGCAATTTCGTTCTCACTGACTGCGATAGGTATTCGACAAGATATTCTAAGCAAAAGATCATGCAGAAAGCTTGTTAGTATGATCAATCCCTAATATGTTGCTGTCACTAACCTTCTCTGTCAACAGGTCTCCAATACTCCAAGAAGGCTTTGGCAGTTGAAGCTCCAGTCGCTGCAGCATAGTCTTGCCATGTTTTATTCTTGTGGCTGTCCGCATAGTCACATACACCTTTGATGATGATGCAGGAGATGTTATCCCACACTCCAGCTCCCTCCATCTCAAAACCGATGACCCTCTCTTTGCTGATAATTGTATCACGGTGTTCTCCGGATTTCATTACTGTGTCGGCAGTCGCAACCTTTCCAATGTGTATAGATGCCTTGCTTGTTTTATCTCGGCGACGACTTATGCGATTTTCATCGCAGCCAAGGCTGTCACAGTTCTTTTCAATCGCCTCCTCACAGATATCATCACGCAGATCATTTTCAATACAACAGCATCTAGTAGAAGCGTCATAATGCTTGTGATGATAAGAAGCCTCGAAGAGGATATCAGCAGACCCGGGATGATGCCATCGTGTGCCTTGTTGCTGAATTTTGCGAAGGTAGTGTAGCATTTCTTCTTGAAACTCGGCAAGCGCGCGACTTGTCGAAAGCGCAGCCAGGAGTGTCCGAATTTCTCGATCTGGTCTTCTCAGGGCGTCCGACTTTCGCTTAAAACCACCGGGGTATTGTCTCCCAAAATCGTATTCAACCAGAGCATTGCTAACAATGACATCGCCCAGGAAAATGTCTTGGTCAGTAGATAAATTTGGAGCCCCTCCACAGATACCAACAACCAAAGCAAGCTGGATTCCTGTGTAACTGACTCGAAGGCTTGAAGCAACGCTAGCAGCGCTTCCATTTCCCATTCCTGGCATATAGCATAGTACGACGTTATGTTTACCAATTTTTCCATTTATGTATGAATTCGCATCCCCACGTCGTTTGCCGTAAATCCTGCCAAACTTGTCGTAGGTCTCGTCGAAGAGAGCTTCAACAGCCTCTGCCTCTAATACAAGAGCGCAGATAATCGCGATCCTGAACTCGGTTCGGCTTTGTGGGCGCATTTTGAGCTGTTGTACATAGCGAGATTACTAGAGTTCGAATATTCAGGTAAAGCTTTTAGTGATCCAGGAGATGGCGGGGTAATCAACTGTTGTCATTCGCAAGGCTGTCGCGTTATCTGGTCACTGGCCAATACTATAAAGCTCTCGGGCATGCTCAGTGATCTAAAGCTGAGCAACACTAATGCTTTCATTGGGCTGGCACTTCCTACGAGATCACCACGAAACCGCGTCACCTGTACAAGTACCATATTCACGCTGTCAAATCTAAATCCATATACTTTGTCTCTCGATATCTTACCTGTCTGCTTGACCTCGTATTAACAACGGTAGTCAATAAACCTTACCCGCAGCCACAGGAAGGTAAGTTTGTGAAGAAATAAATTTACTGCCCTTCAACGAGGCATTTTGGCGGCGTGGTTATCGGTAAGATACTATATGACTCATTCTCCGATCAAGATACTAATTTTTATTAGCGATGCCCTGTTATGGTCCATAGAATTAAGTCAGGCATTTTCTTTGGGAGCGTGTCTGCGAATCACACAGGTGTCGAAGCGTTTCTTAGACCTCGAGATGTGGAACGTTGCCGAGACAGAGCGTAACCAATATACTAAATTTGAGACTGCATATTATTGTAGAGCCAACAGAAGGATGGACATCAGATGATACTCAGAGAGGAGAGTCAATTAGTAAGATGAACAGGAATTACACGATGTTCGACCCTGAAATGACATTATTATGTTGACAGAACTTGTCTGAAAAACATGCAGCTCCCAGCAGGAACGGAAAACGGATCAACAACCCTTGCTGTCTCGATACAAACAAAATGAGTGTCTTGTCTCGCTGTCGGATGTCTCATATGCTCATTCACTTGTGGTGCCCAAACAACTATGTTTCCAACACGTCGTCAGCTCTGAGAATCTCTTTGTGTCGCCAATTTGAGGGCTAGAGGAAATTTCATTCTACCAACTTACCTAGATCTGGCAGATTGGTTGCCAGAATATCGAAATGTGCCGTGACTTTGTTCAATTTGTCCTCCATGATCACATTCGTACGACCACTATTCTCTGGTGTCAACACCTCATCCACGCCTCCATGTACCTTAAAGGATAACACATAATCAGACTGGACGTGGCGACTGGCTTCAGACTCTATGGTAATATTAGAATCGCTTATTCCGTAAAGTCGTACGGTGTCTGGATTCTGATACTCGGGAGCAATTACTGTCAGTGGTGCTGAGTGCCTCGATCAAATTCAAGGATGGTCGGGAAGCAGATGCCCTCAACTCACCGAGACTCGAAAATAGTTATGGAACAACAACTTCGCATGCAAGTCACCGGAGACGTCTTTTGTATCTTTGTTCTTCACACATAGGTCTTGAATCAACCCCTGTTCTTGAAGTGAGACTCTAGAAAGATCAGTACTAGAGTCAGCATGCAGTCTCTCTTATCTCCTGCCTACCTGTACAAGATCTCCCAGTCCCCAGATTCTCTCAGCCAGGAGCCTCCTAAATCGGCGGGAACTTGAAACGGGCGTAGTCGTAACACTACACGAGAACGATGATCATGACTGATTTGACTTTCACCATTTTCTATAATGGGCCAGTCACAGTCATTATTGTCGTTATCATCAGCTGTGACCAAGTCCCATACACAATCCTTAGCGAATCCATGATGGGGAGTGTCTTTCATCCACCGAAGCATGTCCCGCTGATCTCCTTTTCCCACAATTCGTTCGTCTTGAATGTTGCCAAAAGTTGGAAACATCACTGGGATACCGCCATGGCGGTTATTGCTACCGCTAGGAGGCTTCGGCCAATCTGGATCTAGCCAGAGGATTTCACCGGCTCGTGGKGTATGGAGKGAAAGTATCGTCGCACCAAGCCTACAGCAAATTCAGGATAAGTTTTAAGGCCCGTTGAACACACTCGGGGCTAATTTTTGACTTATCTTGCTATCTTTGCGCTCGAGCCAGACGGATGTTCCAGATGAACTATGTCTCCAATTCCTGACTCACAAGTCATGGTGTCTTGTAATGGGGAGAATTTAGAAACAGCTTGCCGTTATTCTAGGCCTCTGCAGGTGTAACGCAAAACAGAATGGAATAAACACTCGAGGAAATGGGGGTTCCAAGTATTTGCTATATGTACATAGCTCGTCTCTACTTAAAGGTCATTCTTATGGTAACTCCACATTTCACGCCACGTTTTGCGTGGGAGACGTTTTTATATCGAAACGTACAATGCTTCACTGTCTAGGTATGTACGTATCGCAAGAAAGGCCACCATACAGATCGTTAACATACTATATACACCTAGATATTACTGGGTACAGCTTTGACACATACACACAAACACCGCCCAACAAAACTCCGTTGTACAAGTGACCATATAAACACATAATTCAACGCCGCCGTCTTAATCAAGGTTCGCAGGATCAATCATTGCATAGAAGGCTTCCACGCATAAGCCGACGCATGCCTCTCAACCCGATTTTGAGTATCCTGCGGCGTAAATGAGGGATATGAGTGCGCATCCTTCGACAAGGAAGATGACCCACTGCCTGCAGACATACCCAACTCTTCATCGACTTCGACGACAATATCCGTTTTGACAGTTACACCCACCCCGGTGCTGCGGCGAGCATCTCTTGACGATGGCATGCGCGCAACTGTGTCGATCGTATGCGACGGACCAGCTGCATCAGCGTTATGTTTGCCCTCATCATCTACCGTAGTCAGAAGATAGCTATCATCAAACAGCGAGTCAATCGTTTTATCCGGATCGACACTACCACCATCTCCAGTTCGGCTGCGGTTGAATCGCTTATTTCGTCGTTTCATTTCCAGGTCATGTTGGTTATCGCTGCCGCTGGTGTTCTCGTTTGAATTGTGTGGATTGTCGGAGCGAGAGCGACTCCAGGGGTAGCCGCCGTAGCGGCCATCGCGTCTCATGTCGATGAATGTGCGGAGGAAGAGTCGGATGACGGGGGCGCAGGTGGCGACTAGGATGCTGTAGTTTTCGATTCTGCGCTAGTTAGGAATGAGTGCGTGCTGTGGAGGTGGGAAACGTACTTGACCCAGAGAATGAAGGTGACAATGTTATCTGTGAAGGTCTATTAGAGATGATATAATCAAAAAATAGGATGTACGAACAAGTGAAATCAAGTCTATCGCCTAGTGATTGGAGAAGCTGTGTCATTGTCAGTCTATTTCCCGATCTTGCAAACTGGTATACATACATATGTCTTGACAATCGAAGCAACTCCAGAAAGAAGAAGGGGTCTGTCAAACAGTCAGTTAAATGCTTGTTTATATAGTTTCATGAAGTCGTCGTACCCAGAAAGAGTCAATGTCTGCCATATCCGACGGGACCGGACGTTAGGATTTATCTTGCTGAATTGTGCCCAAACCGAAACACCGGGATTTCGTTGTAAAGTCTGAATGAAGAATTGCCATAATTCAAAGGCTGAGATGCCGGCGAGGTACATGTCAATGATTGTGTTGAAGCCTAACTTTATAATCAGCAAAAGACTAAAGCATGCATGAAGCGATAATGCATACCTCCTTGGACATATCCGACAGTAGTTTGAACATGAGGCGACTGGCACTTGACCGACCCATCAGTCGGGAGAGGATCCCACATGTAATGGAAGTATTTTGTCCGATCGGCCTATTCATCAGTCAGAACAGTGCTTACCATCGACCAGTATCGTCTAGGCTTACAGCGTGATAGGGATTCGGTCCACATTGCACCACAATTTGAACAATTGTTATTGAGTTGACGACGATCTGAACAATCATGCAAATGATAATCGAAATGCGTAGTCTTCGGTTGCTATTGGCGAAACAGGAGAGCAGGAACCACATCATTCCTGTCCTCGATATCATGGCAGCAGCGACGGCTATATCGATTAGCTGTGCTCATCAACTCTGGGCATCGCGGACGTACCACAAGGTTGAGAAGCAAAGTCATATCTCAAAGCTTGCACTTTCTCTTGGGGTGACAGGTAGTAAAAGTGTCGTCCCAGGCCCCATTTATAACTGCATAAGACCAAATCAGTACAAATCCATGAAGAAGTATGAGACCAAAATTACCTATTTTGTATCAAAGTCATATGCAAGACATCCACGGTGTACCCAAAGAAGAAGAAGACATCTTCGAGTCCCCATACTCTGCCTGGGGCGGATACTTGAGGTAATGCCCATCGGACCCAGGTCTTTATTGCACATCTGAAGATTAGAACGACGCCGACAAAGCCGGTGAGGACCTGTGAAATTTAGTATACAAAAGTACAGACGGAAAAGAATAGGAGATATTTATTTTGGGATCGACGTACCCAGCAAGCGCTGACTATATCGGTACCTTTTGCCTAATTAGCATTTGACGTTCGAATCAAGTTGTGTAGCTCAAAGCTCACCTTCATTGAGATCTCCTTCTTCTGGGTGCGGAATCTCCATCTTGTTCAAAGTATGTATAAACAACCAAAAGTCTTGCAATCAAATACCTTCGCAAGTGCACGACAGACAGAAGAAATAACTCTTCTTTTCTAACCCAGCTCTGAGTGACAGCTTTTTTATTCTATTCCTTCTAGTGCATATCCAACCCCAAATCACGATCCATTCTCGGAATTTTAGAACCGAAGTAGAAAAGCAAACGCAAAGCCCTTAATCCGGACGACAGAGCCAGATCATAAAAGAATTGATTATAGCATTTGAGTTTCAAACTTTAAAGAAGCTTGGAGATCATTAAATCAGAGTCAGAAATACCAGAAAACTGGCACGAACATGTGGGACTCCCTTGGGGTTCGTCAAACGAGGAGGTATAAAGTGGTGAACTACGCGAGATATTGTGCTCGGGAAAGCGGGAGATGACCCTGTTGGTGGTGGTAAACGAGAAAACTGTGATGGGTCATTAAAGGGAAGGCCTTATGATGTGCATGGATAGGTACCTCAGGATCAAGGTACGTATTGCGTACTGCGTATGCATCTACATCATAAACTGGGTGGCTGCTGGCCTGCTAGGGGTTGGGCGGATGAATGGGTGGACCATGCTCCTGTCATTGCGACCAATTCCCCCGCCATAGACAGGCGTGTCTAGAAAAAGGAATGGATTCTGCTTGGTATGGATGAAAAAGAAGCGTTTGATATGCTACTCCGTGCGTTCATTGGCTAGGCGAGCGGTATACTTCGGAGAGGAATGCGTGTAGTGCGCTGTGTGGTCATAGCAAGGGTGAACTTCTTCATGCAAGGGATGCCGGACTCCGAAATGATTCTCGTTTGACTTGGTCAATAGTGTCGCGCTTGGCTCCGGTCGTCAGTCAGCTAAAGGTTGCTTGTGGTCACCAAAAGTCAATGGAATCTCTAGATACGACGCTTGTCACACGTATCCCTATGCAAGGTAGGCAAGATAGACGAGATCCGACCGCCCATAATCTTCCTAGGAAGCGAGAAAATATTGGATCTCTCGTCCAACAGGCAGTCGGTCAGGATTTCAAAAAGAACTTGATGTGGCGTTTCGGCAAACTTGTCTCCATTCCATAAAGCACTCTGCGAGTTGACCACAAATTAGCGCAAATCGCTCGTTTCGGTGCGACAGGGATATGGTGCATATGCATGATGAATTGCCAGAATAGTGTGTCTTCGGAAAAATAGAAGTACTGTATTATAAAGTCGGAGAGGAATACACAGGTCTCATTACGTCCTACCCAGCCCTACTTCTCTCTAATGTGACGAGGTAGAAATGTGATAGATGGCAGCGATCGAAGAGCCGTAGTACGGTTTTAACGGATCGCCCTTGCAGATTATCTATGAACTAGAATTAGCGCGTGATGAGGCGAAGCTAAACACACTATTTATGTATATCATTTTAGCTGCATCGAGTGAGGTGTTTGTGTTATATGGTACTAGTCGGAAATACCTGATCAGTGTTAGGTAATAGGGCTTGTCCCTCCCGCTACAACGACCAAAATACGCTGTATGTTTAATATTGTCCGACATTTCTAGTTCTAAGTTTTACTTATCCTGTGCATCACTGAGAATATAATCTAGTTACAATCATTATTCGATCTGATATTACTAAGAATACACCTTTCTCATCTCGATCAAACCCTCTCCTGCCTCTGGATATACCTCAAAAGTCACCCTCAACCCACACAACGATGCCAGTCTCTTCCACTCCGAGCTAGATCGCAATCTACCGCCATACAAAGTAATCATAGTTGCATGTATCTTGCCATAATTCTTGTTCTTCGTAAATTCATGAATCAGCAACCGCGAATACGGCGCCATTGCTCGCGACACCTTTTGCATCAATTCCAGGGCGTCGAGGTCCGGTAGATTGTGAAAGATGTGAGTTAACGAGTAGTTTAGTGCCCCTTTGACCGGTTGCGGAGCATCACTTGCGAAATTCCATTCCATCTGCGTGACTTCCGGTACACTGCCAATATCCGGATTGAATTCTTGAAGTACCAAAGCCGATTTTGAGAGCGTAGGATACTCCTCCTTGAGTTCGAGGAGCATTTCGCCTCGCCCGCCTCCGATATCAACACAGACAATCTCGCTTTCCGTTCCGGAAACTGCTCGATCCAGGTCATAACCAAATGACTTGACGCGCTCGGGCATTTTACCGAACTTCCCAAATTTGCCGACCATGAACTGGTTGAAGCTGTCCATTCGGCCTTGATGCGCCATGATAGAGTATGTGTGTTCTTTTGCAAGGTCTTCTTGACCGAGCAGTTTGTAGCCGTATTGAGTCGGGGTGTCGAGCGCTTTGAAGGGATATTCGAATTTCGTGTCGATTAATTTTCGCATTAGGAATGCGCCGGCAAACATTGGCTCAGTTGTGCTGGATACTTAGCTGATGTTTTTCTTGGAGATGTTAATATGCTTACAAGTGAAGAGCGCCATGTTGGGCTGATGGCATGCTAACCATGTGCCGGGTATAGTCGTTCGCTTCGAATAGGTCGCCCTGAACTAGATCAACGAGGCCTATTGACGATATGGCGTAGAGAACGTCATCTGTTATTGTCAGTACAATTCTCCATTGACGACAAGTAGCTCTTACGTGTCAATTGATAGCCTGTATCACGGTCAGTCAGAATCTACACAATTAGAGGCGTGACCTACAAAGCGGCGCTTGTTCCTTGTCTTCCTGACTCCTCTCCTCGTTCCGAGCATCAGTAATCTGTTTTGAAGTAGCTGGTCGCCCGATCTTGACCAGTGTCGAGAAAAGGTCAAAGTATACAGCGACGGGAATAAAGCTCAACGATGCCGTCTACAGATATAGGTCAGACTTTCTCTCGCTCAATCACCGAGCTACTCACTACTTACTACAGTAACCGTAGAGGCCAGAATCGCTCCAACTGGTGGTGACATCTTCAAGAGCTCTTCTCGCGTATGATTGATTCATTGGAAAAGTCAAATCAAGAATGTGGAACTTGGCCAATTTTATCTCATCCTGGCCACCATCCATCCAGTTTATTTTTGAATTCGGTATCAAAAAGAAAACAGCATGGCGACCATGCAACAGCGTGGCAGATTATCAGGCCTCGACCGCGTGTGATTATGGTACAGAATGCAAGGGATAAAAATGGCAGGAAACTTGGAATTAGGGCTAATTCCGTGCGTGTCTCTCGGACATTCCCCGGCATAAGCCAACCTGCCTTTAAGCCTTGTTATGTGTAATTCTTTAACCAGCCAAAAATAACACATGTATAATCCCTAGATTAAGCACATGGTCTAATTCCAGGAACTAATTTCGTAGCGTGTAATGTGTACTCTGTGCGTCGCATGGGTGAGCGATCCATTGCGTCGGATACACCGTATTGACAAAACAAACTATCGAATCAGTCAAAAGGAATGACATGAGATCCTAGCGTCGATCAAGGTGATGTGATACGTTCGATGCATTTGACTTTTCTCTTTTTTGCGTCCCCCTTTCAAAAACTACGTAACTACGTTCTCCTCTTTGTCAGATCTTGTTGGCACGGAAGATTTCTAGGTTTTGTTGTCGGAGTTACTTTTTTTAAAAGTACCTACGTACCTATGGTATCTCTGGATGGACGAGTTATTCACCGAGATGGGACAAACTACAAACCACCAAGTTGCTGTGATACCGTAGCAGTTCTATGATTTGCTCGATCCCCTGTACTTTTTTATGGATAAATTATTACCAGTTTGACATAGGTGGCCCACCCGACAGAGATAATGCGCCTAGGCCGTGGCCTGGGAGACCATTCTCCAGTCTATTTCCGAACCCCTTCTATCACCAATGTCCAGATCCGGAATTCTATTCCTGACTCGATCGCAAAGGGTCGGAGTAGTAGTAGCATCAAGTGCCGCGGAAATACGGTATCAAAGTGTGTTGCACGTCCAGCACACGCAAAGCGAGTGTACTACGCTGGATGATGTCAGATCACATTTCTGTCAGTCTTGCATATTCTGCGACTGGGTTGTTGCGTACGTAGTAGAATAGCATGTTATCATCTTGACCCACTAGCAAATAAACTGGTCGAGCAGCTAGTAAGTGCGAACCCCATGTCCTACGAACTCAGCCCTTCCGGATCGAGCCACTACGCACTCCGAAGCCCTAACACACTCTAAACACTCTTAGCTTTCCTCCCTATCACTTTTCCACCCCTTTCCTCAACTCTTTCGGCGTTAAATGTTTGGCTCACATCGAATACGACCATCTCAGATACGGCGATTAACCATACAGATAACAAAGTCAATTTCCACCCGTTCGTCTTTCCTACATGTTCTTTGTTCCTTTTGTTTCTTTCATCTCGAGTCGGAGTCGAGTGCCAATCACCGCAAATCGCTGCGTCGGGAGAATTATCCTTTTCTTATTTTCCACGCCATGTGGCTTTTAACCTGATTGCGACTGGATTTGATTTGCGAATCAGAGGACTCAGATCAAAGGTTCTTTCTTGGTTTATCTTTCTAGCCATGTGGGTTGTCGTGATATGACATGGGATAAATACTGGCCTGTTGTTATCCTCGAATTCGGTCCGAGAAGCCCATTCAAGGCGCAAGTTATAAGTCATTGCTGGTAAAGATTCTTTCTTTCGGCAACTTTTCTCTACTCAAGTCTCTTCTCTCGTTCATTTTCCACCGATTTTTATATTCATATGTATATATTGACATCTCTGCCTTGAGTCTGTATATACACTCTGTATCTCTACTTTCCATCTTTTTTTGCACCTCCAACACTTGACTACTGATCACGAAATGACAACCAAGCCAACAACCTCCACCAAAGCTAGAGAGGACTTTCTAGCTCCTCTCGATTACCAGGCTGCCTTTATAAAATCTTCGATATCCGATATGGCGAATCCGCGGAATTGGAGCGTCGCGAAGAAGCGGTTGTTGTTTGCGGCACTGATGTCTAGTTCGCTACTTGCCGATGGGTATGACCTTCCCTCTCCATCTTTCATTGTTTGATGATGAGGACTGACGGATTTGTAGAGCAATGACTTGGGGCGCAACGTTGATTGTGACCCAGGCCGAGAATTGGGGTGTTAGTATCAACTATTCCGCGACGAGTATGAATTATGGGATTCTACTTCAGGGTTTTGGGGGAATATTTGCTGTTCCGTTTATCGAGGCTTATGGAAGGTATATCCTCTTTTCACTTTACTTCAGGTCTCGAAGGCTGATTATTAGACTCCCCGTCTGGTTCTGGACTCAGGTCGTTACCATGTTCATGGTCCTCGGCGCTACATTCTCAACTTCCTACCCCGTCTTCACCACTTTCCGGTCTCTTCAGGGTCTCTTCGGCACTGTGCCGCAAGTCGTCGGACTGTCTATCATTCACGACATGTACGATCCAAAGGATTGGCCGCAGATGATCAATATCTGGTACGTCCTTCCAAATTTCTGCAACCGGTATTCAATCCACTAAAAAAAACATACAGGGCAACGACGTTCCTCGTCGGACCTTTTCTAGGGCCCGCAATAGCAGGTTATTTACTCGTCGCAAGCCAGTATCGCTGGATTGTGTCGTTCGGTGTCTTGACTGCTCTTTATGGCCTGTCAACTGTATTGATTATGTTCTGCGGTTACGAGACTTACTACTACCAAGACAACGAAACCTCTCATCACAATAATAAATATTCAACGATGAACAGGGTATACTCCTTCATTGGTCTGAACAACAACAACACCCACCTCGACAAACGCTCCACCTTGGTCTCCGAATCGAGTACATTGCTGAAACTGGTATTCAGACTTCCGCTTTTGCTAACAGGCATATCGACGATGATCAATTTCTGCTGGCCCATCGGAATCACGGCGACGGTAGAGACGTTTTTGCATTCGCCGCCGTATCTGTTTGATGAGATTCAGGCGGCGTCTATGCGGTTTGCAGGTGTTATTGGCGCTGTTAGTGGTTCGTCACTCATGCCTAACTACCTAGGTATTTGGATAATGCTAACGTTAGTGGGATGGTATAGGATATGTAGTCGGCTACTTCTTCAACGAATGGATCTACAGACACTACCAATCCAAGAACAACATGGCCCTCGGAAACAAAACCAGCACAAACGACGAACTGGGCAGAATAGCCTCCGAAAACAGCAGTCTCCAAGTCGCCGATGCGCTCGTCTCTTTCTCTACTCATCATGATGGCGGTGAGCAACACCAAATGACATCGTCGGCATCACCAGGGTGGAGACCAGAGTACAGACTCCACGGCGTCTGGATCCCCGTCGCCAGTTTGGCAGCTGGTCTAGTCACGTACGGGCTGACCTTGAACTTTGAGAAATCCTGGCTGGGACTTGCGTTTGGTTGGGTTATGGTTAATTTGGGTATGGTTGGTAGTACAGTGTCCGTCCCCTTTCTCGTGACCAACTCCTCGTGTATCCGTACTAATGTACCTTGTGTAATATAGGGCAATAACAGCATACGTCCTCGAGAAATACCCCTCGCACTCCACCACCGTAAGCGCAATACTCAACATGTGGCGCACCTGCGGCGGGKTTTCGGTGGGCTATTTCCAGGCTAGTTGGATTGCGCGCAATGGGGTGGGCGTTGTGTTTGGAGTTCAGGCGGCTGTTGTGGTGGCTGGGGCTATAGTGTTTGTTGTGCCTGTTTTTGTGTTTTCGAGAAGGAACGGGTGGGCTTGAGATACTCTACCTATCTATGCCTTCATCAAGGGGTGGTTTGAAGGTCCTGTGAGGGTAGTTGCGCTGAGCGTCGATTGTATAAAAGTGATTACTATAAGCTGAACGAATCTACGATGTCTGATTTAAATTAAATGGAAACACGATATTGCTCTCATTGGGTATCACTAACTCCGATCATTCTTCTGACCAACCTGAAAAGTCTCTGGAAAGAATCCTGGCGGCGGCCAAATATCTGCAATCGACATGGCAGTCGGCAGGACCAGAGGCCGTGATCCAACCAGTCGGTCTGGATCGTGGCAAAATGCTTGGAATGTGTTGTCATCCATGAATCCAAACTCTCGAAGCCCTTCTTGTCGGCTGTTGGCCCAATCCGTCGTGTCTATATATGCTAGATCTTTGAATATAGAGTCCAGATCGTTAGGGGACGAGGAAGCTTCGTCGGTCATGTAGGATCTACCGGCTTGCTGGCCGATGAAGCCTCCAGAGGTGAGGTTGTGTTGTGATAGAATGGCCGAGTCGGGAGTCGAGCCGGCCTGGGGTTGTTGTTGCTGTTGTTGACTGAGAAGTTGGCCCATGTTGGAATCTGCATTTGATGGCGGCTTATGCCCTCCCATCAGCTTATCCAGAATATGAGCGGCTGTTTGTTCTTGGTTGCCGCTGTCCATTCCAGATGGTATACGCATGCCATTCGTACTGGACTCTGGTGTTGATCTATACATTTCCACCTGTAGGGGGAACTGTTTGGGCACGTTGGGGCTGAATCCCGAGGATTGGACGACGGGAGCACGGTTTCCGTTGTCCATGATAGTATGGTTCCCCTTTGATCCGTGAGAATCGTAATGTCCGCTAGTGTCTAATCCAGTCGAAGTTTTAGGTACGGTATAAGACTCTGGTGGATGGTATAGAAGAGAGCCGATTGTCTCGCTGAGCGTCCGAAACACAGGCCACGGCGAAGACACTTCATTCAGCTTCTGAGAAAATATTGTTATCCATTTCGACACTGGAAACCCTGATGGCTCTAGTTTCGACCGCACCGACGAGACAGACTCAAGGATTGATCGCAAGGGAAATTCAAGTAGCGGCGGGATTCCACACGCTTGAAAGTTCTCGACATGATGCGACAATACGTCCAACGTTCGATAAAGAATCTTTTCGATTCCATCAACGGCAGTATGATTGGCACCCTGTATATAATGGCCTTGACTTAGTTGTCTTGTGTAGAGGAAAAGCAATGTAGCTGTATATGTTAGATGGAAGTAACTCTGATGAAGTAGCAAAGGTGACCGATTCTGAGCTTCGTCACTTTCAGGATTGATTAAACGGCAATTTGCAGGAAGCCGGTCATCAAGTGACTTCAAGTCAAGGAGAATCTTCTGTATAAACACATGAGCGTTTGTTGCTTGTGGGAAATCCCACGCAATCTTGTTCAAAACGCCAGTAAGCTCGAATAATCGATTAAAACAGCTCAGAGCCAGTAGAGGGCCGCGTTGGGGCGCATTCCTGCTCTCGAAAGCTGCACGTGAAGGCAACACGTCGACCCAGGAGTTCCACTCCTCGAGACCATCTTCATCGAGTCTTCCTTTTGCATCCGAATCGTTTGACCGTAGACAAGGCGATCGGGAGAGCCGCACCGAAAGGATCGAGTCTATGACAAAGCATCCCATATAAACTGCTTTCCTTTGGCGTGTTTCATCCGACCTGCGGGAATCCAAAGGCTTAGCCAACTCCATTGCTTCTGCCATACGTGCAGCTTGGCCACTCAGCAGCCATGCTGCTGTCCAATCTTCAAATCCAACGTTGACTAGAGTCAGTAGCAACAAAGCCTGTACGTGTCCAAGGTCGAAGCGCTCTTTCTCTGATGGAATCAAACTCCGCGCTATGTGATAGTACTCCCTGGACTGAGCAAGTGGATCGTGTATAAACGCATCATGTGTGTTTAAACCAGAATGCTCCTTCCCAGTTGTGTAGCTTAGAATTGCCCATAGAGCGGCGTGATCTCCTGAACTTGTCGAGGTATTGCCCGAATTCGCGCCGTTGGCGTACATGTAGGATGCACGGAGCATGTTGTGTTTTGGAATGACTGGAAACCACGGGTGAGTCTGCGAGAAGTATGTTTCGACCAGCCCGGAAGTGTGCGCTGGAAGTGGTAGATTCTGACTAGCATTCAGCTTTCCAGGTGTAATTGGTAAATTGATATCTGTGGTTGATAATAATCTGGGTTTCTTTGTAGCTGGAGATGACGATGGATCGACAACTTTAGGACCTGCGACTGCAGTAGCAAGATTTTGACCACGGCCGACTCGGAATCCCCATTGACTAGATGCACTCAAATACGACCCGTCGTCTTCTTCCTCTCGTGGTCGCTTTACTGGCGACTGTGTGTCTAAATCTCCCGGTGACAACATCTTTTCCAGTGCACCCCAAAGCCGACTGCTCTTCCATACTTCATGTAGACTCTCCGAGGAAGCTTCATCCGTCCATAGCTGCATCAGCCGGTCTCTCCTTCCCCTAGATCGATCCGTTGCACCCAGCAATGTCAACATGGTGTCCTCGAACCCTTCAATATTGCATATCGACAGCGCCCACAACTTCTCCAACCCCCGCACGTATCCCTCGGGCAACCCACGCTTTCTCGCATTCGGATCGTAGGAGCACGTCTGGCCGGTGGCCTGGCAGGCTGAACATGTTGGACGCGCACCGTCGCATTTATCTTTTTTGGTGCGACAGCGATCGCAGGCACGCGAGACCCGTTTGCGGCGCGGGCCTTTAGTGTCGCCCTCATCCATGGATTACTGTCTATTGTACATGGCAATCCAAGAAGCTCCAATCAATAACAACGCAGTGTGTATATCGTGATCCGGCACAGTCGTATGTGATGACGAGGATTGTTGACGGTCGAGAGGTCCAACGGTCCAACACCTGCGAATCGATCGCGGTCCGACAGTCCCGATGTCGAATGTATAACCGAAGAATCGGAATGTGTTTGATAACGTTTGAGTAGTAGAAAGCGAGGAAGTAGTGCAAGTTGTTGGAAGAGATACTTCAATGTAGAGGGATATCGATAATCAATCTAATCAAGCGTGAAGATTGGCGAGGAAGGAGCGCTCCGACACCCCGAGTGCCGCCACTCATTCTCCACTCTCATACTGGATTACCGTACATACTATCACAACTACATTCTCTCTACACTTAGAACATACATTGCGGTAAACAAATCATATCCTTGAATCAATGCTTGCCAGTTACTGAGCTACAGTGAATGATTTGATCCTCGGCAATGTGTTTCTCCGGCGAGGGTAAGGATAGAGCGACATCACATGACTCGGGCTGATAATGAACGCTGATTGGCCGAGACACCCCCCCGCGTTTACTGATTGCATCTGATGTCCTTGGAGAAAGAACTCATCCGACTCAAATCTTCTGTCTGCGCCCTTTTCTCTCAATGTCAACTCTTTATACTGACAGACCAGTGCTTACAAATGCCGCTCGCGCCCTCTGTAAGTCTGCGACATAAATTGCGACATACCTGCCCTTATCGCTAGTCAAGATAAGAATGCAACACCAACGACGATAAATTAATGTCTCCCATGGTTCCCGCAAGAAACTCCCCCCGAAAAACGCATGTGCTAAGCACTCCGGTCTCGAAGCGCAACTTCTCTCCCGACGCGTCTCTCGTACTGGTGGGCATCCGAGGCTCCGGGAAACGATCGCTCGGGTTCATTGCGGCCGCCGCACTCAATCGTCGGTTTATAACGGAAGACTACTACTTCAAAGAAGTAACCGGTCTTACTCGACATGAGTTCCTGCTCAAATTTGGTAGCCATGAGTTCCAGCGTCGCGATGTCGAGGTTCTCAAGATGATGCTCGATAACCACCGGACGCATTGTGTGATAGAGTGTGGACTGGGCAGTTTGACGCGCATTATCCAGGAACATCTCCGCCGGTATGCGCTGACGAATCCTGTAGTATATTTGCTGCGGGATATGGATCAGATTCAGAGGCTGCTACAGCTACAAGACTTTTCGGTTAAGCGGCTAGGAAATGGGGATCCGTATCATCGGACATGCACGAATTTTGAGTATTATAATCTGGAGGAGCGGGTTCCAGTCGACTTATCACTGGAGGAAGGAACTCCGGATCGTCGGTCGGTCAACTACTCGTTCAAGTTGAAAGATGCCAAAGAGGATTTTACACAATTCGTGCGATTCATTACAGGAGCTACGACTACAGATCCGGGCTTGGATTCGCCGTTTGTGTTGTTAGAAACGCCGCCGGAAAGCCGATCACATACACACGCCGTGTTACTGCGGCTGTCTGCTTTACAGAACAACGCTGTTGACCTTGCAAAGTTGGAGTCTGGAGGTGACGCTATCGAACTATGTATAGACATGTGGAATCCAGACGCCGTGAGCGCGGTGGCTAAACATGTTGCTGTGCTGCGTAGGATTGCGAAATTGCCAATCATATATTCCATCGATGCTGAGACATTGGACATTGATGTACATACATCAGACGGCGTCAAAAATGGCGACCTGTACTTTCAGATTCTGGAATATGGTCTCCGACTTGGTGTTGAGTACCTCACTATACATTTAGACAAAGACCATACACGCTTGGCCCAGCTTGTACAAAGCCGGGGTATGACAAAAATCATTGGACATTTCACAATGGACGTCTCGTCGGGTATATCCTGGGAGGACGAAGCGTGTTTATCTATTTACCTTGAAGCAGAAAGATTAGGCTGTCAACTTGTTCGCATTGTCCGACCGGCCACTACAAGAGAAGAGAATGATTCTGTTCGGAAGTTTGTTGACCGTGTCAAAGCTTTATCAGGCACTCATCCACCGATAATTGCGTTTAATATTGGACCCATTGGACGGAGCTCACAGGTCTTCAATAGCAACCTGACTTCTGTGACACATCCTGCTATACCGCCTAGCGCACTGAAAGCAAACGACCCACAAATAACATCACAAGACGCCATTCGTGCGCTAGTTCAGAGCTACATGCTCGATCCTTTGAAATTTTATATTCTTGGTGCTAGCGTGGCTTACAGTATCTCGCCTGTAATGCACAACGCCGCATATGCAAGTTGTGGGCTATCTCATGTCTACCGCATACCAGATGCACCGTCTCTCGCTCTACTAGACGAATGGCGACACGACCCCCATTTCGGGGGCTCTAGTGTGGTCCAGCCATGGCGAGTTCATGTTGCAGGCCAACTTAAATATAAAAGTCGCCACGCCGAGGCCATTGGCGCAATCAACACAGTCATGCCGTTGAGAGCAAGCGCAGATGGAAATATCTACCCGCTCTCGGAACAAGCCAGACGCCGCAACGAGGCGGGCCACATTGCCGCATGGTGGGGAGAAAACACCGACTGGATTAGTATAATGGTGTGTTTACAGCGCAATTTATCTCCTCGAAACGCAATCAGTCCTGTCAGGACTACGGGACTTGTGATTGGAGCAGGCGGTATGGCCCGAGCGGCGATATATGCCATGTTGCAACTGGGATGTCGAAAGATATTCATTCTCAATCGGACGTTGTCCAGGGCGGAGGAAGTGGCGAGACATTTCAATTCGTGGGTTGCGTCGTCGCATACGGATTCTGATGCGGCGGTCCGCGTGTTGCGTTCGGCGGATGAGCCGTGGCCGTCTGAGCTAGCCTTTCCATCGATGATTGTCTCATGTGTGCCGGAGAATAGGATACAGGGCCAACCGCCTGCCAATTTTGTCATGCCACTGCAGTGGCTGGGCAGTCCATCTGGCGGTGTTGTCGTTGAGGTATTTCATCCTCCCTTGCATACATAATCAAATGCTAATGATAGTCAGCTCGCGTACAATTCCCTCGACACACCTCTGGTTCGCCAACTCCGCCGCTACAGAGAAGAAACCGATACACCCTGGGTCCTGATCGACGGTCTCGAGGTCGTCGCCGAACAAGGCTTTGCGCAGTGGGAACTCATGACGGGTCGCAAGGCGCCGCGACGATTGATGATGACTGAGGTACTGCGGAATTACATGGGCGAGAATGGGCGGCTGGATGAGAAGACTATTCGGGCGCGGCTGGATGCATTTTCGGGTTGACGATGCATATAGACGGAGTTATAATTACTATAGTATACAAAGAAAACAGTATACACTCTAATTAAATTGCGGAGTAGTAGTTTGATCGAAATTGAATGAGTGGGCCGAACGATTGGCCGAGGATCCGCGTGTGCCTGAGGCTAAAGACGGCCCGCGGTGGCTTGCCTTCTTAGTTAAGTTAGTTAATCTTTGAGACTGACAACATCTCTTCTTCACTTCCTGACCAAATACTCTTGCTGTCCTGATCAGCATCGCAGCACAAAAAGACGTATCGACAATGCACATTCCCAACACGAATACGAGTCACTTCGATACAACAGCCTCAACACTCAAGAAACGGAAGAGAGATGTCGTTGGCGGGCCATGGACGCAAGAAGACAATAATCTACAGGGGTGAGTGAGCCCTCTTTCTTTCACTTTTATTCAGTACTAATGCAGAGACGTGATAGGAATCTACAATGCCAATTCGAAATCCAAGATATAGACATGCTCGCACCCGCGACAATCTCAACATCCATTTCGCAGCGTCAATGGCTTCACTTGCAATCCGCGCCGAGTAATATAACAGCAACGGGGCCAGCAGCCGCAGGTGGAGACATGGTAAAGAAACGACGAATCCTCCAACCTCATTCACATAACCAACAACATCTTCGACCTCACTCTGGGATTTCAATTACTCCAGCTGAAGTTCCCCATTCAAGAAAAGCGCCCCCACCAACACTGATGATCCCCTTTTTTGATCGCCGGCACGATACTGAGATCTCGACTTCATCTCTATCGGTAGCTGATCCGTATGATGACGACGCTATTTCGCCGCGGACGATGCCTTCTGACACCATTGCCAGTACGAACATGAACTCGAAGCTGGTCCTTCGACCGTGCCACGTGTGTCATCGCAAACCATCTACAAAGATCATGCTGGACGCATACGCGGATTGCGAACTGTGCGGGCAACGCGCGTGTTATATCTGTTTACGGGAATGTAATGCTGTAAACTGTGCTCAGCGCCAACAGACGACGAGTGGAGTGGAGTGCTTCGATACAGAGATGGGATACCACGATGACCATGACGACAACCCTGAATGTACAGGAAGACAGAGGAAGGTGTGCTCGCTGTGCGCTATCGAAGGGTTGACGGATACAGGGCAGGAGATTGTCTGGTGCGTGGATTGTGTACGGAGGGAGGGGATTCACCGTTAATCTCGTTTTCTTTTCTTACTAACTCATTCCTGAATCATTCTACGGAGTACTGGCGAGCGGCTGTTTTACACGGTATTCATCATCCCATTGCATTTGGATAGCTGGCATGATGCATTATATACTCTTACGACTTTGACTTTGACTTGGCGTTCGTTGTTCCGAATTATGCATTTTGATATAGATATGTATACCCATATTTCTATTTAACAATATAATACAGTTCCATCTTTTCCCCGGTTTTTAAGTCTAGGATCTACCGACCAAACCTGAAACTGGCCCGAGCATACCTCCATAACGCCCTCAGGAACCCCTGATACTCTACAGCCACTTCTTCCCTACCAGCTGCAATACTACTCGTCTTATCGCCGGTACAGAATATTTCGGTCAGACGGACCTGCCACGGCGGATACCCGTCTAATTTGACAATAGGTCCGAAAATGATTAGGAGATCCGGCTCGGGTTTTATGGGTGTGAATAAGGTCGATGGTAGCATTTCCGTTTCGTCGCTGCTGTACGACTCGTTTCGTGTCGATGATGATGACGACGCAGCAGCCGCAGAAATTGGAGGAGGGGAAGGCGAAGTGGAAGAAGTGGATTGACAAGAGGTTAGCTCACTGATCTCGGCGTCGATCAGTTTTGTGCTAATATCGTGCGCGGATATTTTGCCGGATTGCGACATTTCGGTTAGGGTCTTTGTGAGGTCGACTAGGGTTTCGCGGCCGTCGGAGTGGGACAACAGCAATATTGTGAGGGAAGGTTTGTTCTTTGATTTTGACCCCTTAGTGTGGGAGGTAGGAGCGTAAGAGGTGTGGTGAGGAGCGCAGATGCGGAGATGAGGTTGGTGGGCAGGGGAGCCGTAGTAGAGGGCGAGTTTGTCGGAGATGGTTTTGTGGAGGGAGGGGATGTATGATTTTAGGATGCCTACACCAATTAGCACTTGTTCAGGATAACGACAAGACAGAGGGGGACGTACCAGTCCGCTCGTAAACGCTCAACACCGGAATGCCAGCGCAGGTCGTCCACGCCGCCAACTCGGCCGTCTCGTCCATCAACGTCTGCAGCGCATCTTCCTCCCTCTTGCGCAGTTTTAGCAACACGCTTAGATGCTCCGGCATCCGGCTCAAACCCTTCACATCCCGGGCAATCAGCTCTGGCGAGCGGTGATGATAATATGTAACAGCCAACACGCGATCCGTCACGGCAGCAATAGTCTGCGAAATGCGAATATAAAATCCCAGACAGAGATGAATGATGACATAAATGAGGCGATGTAATTGTTGTTTGAGAAATGTCCTAATTGGTGTAGATTTAATCTTTTGTTTGGATTTCGATTTCGTCTTTTGCGACGTTTTGGACATCTTTGGTGATGGCGGTTCTGGCAGGTAAGGCTTCAGCAGCTTTTCGCGCTCGGCGGCAGTGAGCTTTGTGCCTCGAAGTCGGGCATCTTCGCGGAAGATTTCGGCGTCTTTAGAGGAGACCATGTTATGTTACACAGGCGGAGTAGTTATGGGATATTGACACAAAGAAAAGACAAAAAGAGATGTGTACAGTCGAAGCTGCTCAGGAGATGTGGATACTTTGTCTTACTCTGCACACGACGAATCGGATCGGCCACGTTGCCGAGGCATGACGTGTATCTTTCAGTTTGTAGGCAGTTATTTTATTTCATTTATTTTTATTTATGTATATCTTGTGAATACGATATACTAGCAGGAGTCCAGTTAAGTCTCCAGTTAAGTCTCCAGTGCAGCGTACAGCTGGAGGGTTATGTCAATCTCCGGCGGAGCTATCTATCTTCCTGTGTCTCGTCCGGTAGTGGCTTCATCTCCGCATCCATCCTCAAACAACTCGAATTACTCCAACCACACGAGATACGTACCGCCATGAGCAGACACACAACCTGCTCTGATCTGCAAGCTAAAAACAGCATCCTCGGTTCGTCGTACTAAAGAATCAGTAGTGCGGGGTCATCATGCCAGACAGCGCATCCATCTCCGTCTCCAGCTCCTCCCATTCACGCTCCCTCTCGCACCAACAATCACGCTCGCTCTACCCCCGCGGCCCCAGTTTCACACTCGAATACTTTTCCGGCCGCGATTACATAGTCAAAGACTTTATCGAGTCGCTCTCCGACAACGCCATCGCCAGTCGCCGGTCGGCTGGTACTGCAGCTGCTACGGCGGCGGCGAACCAACCGTTCGATCCGAAGCCGCTAATCCGCACGTTCGAGCACGCGCAGGGCAGTTTGAATGATTTGTTGGGCGATTTGGAGATTAGAGAGAATGAGTTGTCGGCCGCTGTGAGAAGGGCAGAGGCTCAACATGCGCAGAATTTGAATACGTTGGGTCGGAAATTGAGTCATGCTATTGAGTCATTTCAGAAGCTGGATACGTCGCTGAATGGCGCTGCATTGATATCGTCATCGACAACGTCCAATGGCGCTCCGGAGAGTAATGTTGCAGTGGAAGTGGGTAAAAGGCTCGAAGAACTCGAACGACAGCGGCGGCGTGCGTTGGATGCCCATTTCTTGATTGAATGCTGGGACGAGGTTAGCAACCGAGGGGATGTGACGAAACTAGAAACACTTCGCATGTCGGGTAACAGTGAAGGGAAATTACGTGCAGCACATATTGCGAAGCAATTGTTACGGATAAGCCAGAGGTTGGATCCGAAGAGCTGGAATGATACCTCGAATGGAAACGGTCACTACACCAATGACGGATTGATGTCTCCGAGTTTGAACGGGAATGGTAACGGCAACCACTTTCCGAAAAAGGACACCAGAGAGATTATCGAAAAGTTCTCTGAAACCCTGGAAAAAGATCTGTTGAAACAGTTTGATGATTTCTACCGAAAAGCTAATTTTGACGGAATGAAGGAATGTGCACTAGTGCTGAGAGATTTCAACGGTGGCGCCAGTGTCATTGCTCTGTTTGTCAATCAGCATCAATTTTTCATCGATAGAAGTCAACTGGTCACGGAAGAAGTGGGCGGCGATGCAGAGGCATGGGAGAAACTGGCAGATCCAGATGCGGATCCGCCGGGTGTCGAGCCTAGTCTGCAGTCGTTGGTGGATGATGTCAAGGTTGTCGTGCAAGACGAGTCTACGATTATTCGTCGTGCATTTCCGTACTACGATGAAGTCCTGAGCCGGTTTCTGCAGCGGGTGTTTCAGCAGTCAATTCAGCAGAGACTTGAAATGGTGCTCGACAAAGCAAACAGCGTATCGTCTTTAGCGTTTTTGCGATCATTGCAAAGTTCAAGAAGCTACCTCAATTCTCTCGTTGATGATCTCAAAACTCACGGCTTGACTGAAGCGCCTGATCCAATCTCGTCTCAAACGGCGATCGTACTCGATCAACAACTAGAGGACTTGTTTGTGCCGTACTTTGTCGGATCATCTTACATTGAGCGCGAAAAACGAAATCTAGAGGAGCTTTATACATCATTGCTTTTCAAATTCACTGCGTTTCATTCGCGCCGAAAGAAAACCGCTACGACCACGTTCATGGCATCGTTGGCCAAAAGTGGCAGTGAGCTGTTGGCATCTGCCAAAGAGTCTTATCTATACAGACTCGAGAGCTCAGACTCGACACCCACGCAGCGTCAGATGCTTCTCCGTGTCGCTGGACTGCGTGATTCGGGAGACGTAAGCGGCAAACCTGCTGAGCCCGAATTCACCGAAGACGACGGTTTACTATCCGTGACATACGCCAAACGCATGCTGAAATGGTTAGCTGAGGGAGTTGGCCGCGGTTTGGAGCTGAGTGTTAGTAGCGAAACACCCAAAGACGTGGCCTCGCTTTTGGGTCTGCTTCTTTCTACGATGGCAGAGGGGTATATTGAGATTGGTCTCGAAGCAGCGCTGGATGCTGCATCAGCACAGGAGAATATCAAGACTGAACCAGACTTTACGTATCTGCATACCCTTCGCACGGCGATCAGTATCACTCATCTGATGCTGACGTGCATCAACACGGTACTCATCCCGCTGGCAACCAACAACGTGACGACTCGTCGGGATATGGAAAAGAAGACGAATGTAGTCGTGGGCAGGATTGAGGACAAGATCAACGCAATTGAGCAGCGGACAATTGATGTCGCATTGGCCTGGGTTTCGAAGCTCCTCGGCGGACAGAAGAAGAATGACTTTCGGCCAAAGGAGGATAGCTCCGCGGCATGGTTGGAGATGTTGCAGACTCCGGTAAGTCCCAACCACTGGTTTTTTCAACAAATCTAACTAGGTATAGACATGCGAGAGTATATGCACGTTCCTGACACACCTCCAAAACACAATCCTTACCTCCCTCCCTCCCAGCGGCTCGAATCTGCAGTCCCTTTTCACCGAACTTGCGCTCGGCGTCCGCAGCCAAATCCTCGACCACTTCCGTCGCTTCCAAGTCAGCGGACCAGGCGGGCTGATGGTCACGAAGGACATGACCCGGTACGCCAATCTGCTCAAGTCATGGGACCTAGAGGACGAAGAACAAGTCAAAGCCGCGATTGACGTGTTACTCGAAGTCGGCAGTTTATTCGTTGTTGGACCTGAGGCGCTACGCGAGAAGTTACGAGGTCCGGCTACGAGTGCGGGCAGTACTGCTACTACCAATCACGGCAATGGGAACGGTAATGGCAATGAAGGAAGTCGTCCGACGCCGGCGGCGGTGGCAACGGATGGGTTTGCGTTGTCGGTGCAGGATATAAGGGCTTATGTTATGAGGAGGGCGGATACGAATACGGTCGCGATGCAGAGTGTTTTGAGTTCTTTGTAGTTTTTGTCTTTGGGTTTTAATGTTGATTCGTCTGTATACTATACCCTGATGATGGAAGTGAATTGAATGCGAAGAAGCCAAGAGCGAATTAGAAGCAGCGGAAGAATACGGAAGAATAACCAACTATTTGGCTTGAAATGGTATGTGGTATATATGCCATCTCTCATGACAGGCATCATTTATTTTCCGATGTGCTAGTATGCTTGTTGATAGATCATAAGTGTATGTGGTCAATAAAGTAAAGCCAATGCACATTCTGTCGGAAGTATGGAAAAAGTCAGAGTCCGCGTCAGACAGGTCGAGTTTGACATTTGACTAGCCTGCTTTGCAACGAACGGAGTACTCAGTTACGGGCAAATTAGTATGTGTCACTGCTGTTAATTTTGAGTTAGACTTTTCTGGCTGGAGAGGCGTTAGGGCAGGGTTGTATATTATCTCTTCTTTCTCGCTTGTGATTATTCTGTCTATATGAAGAAGATGGGTTTATTCCGATATAGTCGTACCAAAAAAACTTCGACACTGAGACCCGGGCAAGGAGATAGGTTACACATCGCAATCCCCTTCTACACCCCTCTCTTCCTAACCCAAGGGGGGGGACAATTCGTACTTGTAAATGCAAGGAGAAGGGGCGGCCCAAGTACTGAAAGTTACACAATTCCTAGCCCCTCTACAACACAGAAGCGAACATTCAAATTTGAAAACAAATAGACTCGGCGTGGCGTGTGACACAACACCTGGCTAACATCGCGCATATCTAACTAAGTAATCTGTACCTAGGTAGAAGATGTATATGTGTGCCGTGTATACATGCATGAATCCGCCTCGGAGGAGGAAAAAAAATTGGCAGCGATGTATAGGTTGAAGTTTCAGGAACACTCCGTCGACCTCAAAAAGGCCAGACCGACAGAGACCAGGCTGGATTCATGCAATGCTTTGTACCTGATAGACCTCAGGATAATGCAACGCAATTGTGAAGCATGGCAGCATTGCTTGGGCTTTGACCACGAGTCAGGACTCTTATTTCATGCTAGTATAGCCCTCTGCGTGAAATGGCCTTCACCACACATGGACAGACACATGGTTAATACTTCATGCGCGTGATCCTTCGTCCCGCGCATCTCGCGAATAATGTTGGTCTGTATAGTTCGTTAGTGGGTCTTTATCAATCAGAACATTCTACGTAAACACATAACTACATAGTAAGACTTCGTACCTGGTTGCAGGACTAAGTGAACAAGGTGGTGGAAACGTCTCGGCTTGTTAGACAGGGATCACCCTGTTGGGGKATATGTATGACGACTATTGGAGCAATAGACTACTACTGAGTACATATATCATCGGCCGATGATAGATACGGAGACGGTAGAAGGATCGGTGCTTTGCCCGGAAATGCTAAATACTCCGAGCTTTAACTACAAATGTAGATCCATACTCCATACGTGGGAAGAAATGGAATCATTGTTGGCGTCTGTTTGGGGGATGTTTCATGTTTCACTAGTTGCATTTGTTGTGTACAACGGATTGTCGGCTATGGCGGAGCCCTATAAGGTTGGTAGTTTCTTTTCTTTGTTGTCGAGAAAAAAAGCCATCTAGAACAGATGCATATAATGGCATTGATTGGCAAGCATTGGTGTTTAGCGTGTTAGGGCTTGTATTCATCCCGCCGAGGAAATTCCGCGTTTACTATCTCTAGATTCTGAAGTGACAGCTGAGTCGGCTTCTGGGTATAAGCGAAGCTGAATGTGATATGAGTCGAAATGTGATTGCGCTAGTCGACTCTTGACGCCGATTGGATCGTCATCTCAGCGTTGGTCAATTTTCAATGCTCCGTATGATACCAATGCGCTTTGTCGACCGATTGCATCCAGCCGGACCGCAACGCTTTCAGTGTCCGAATAATATCGACCGTTAATGTTTTCTAGAACGGTGATATCTCTCTGGAATCGAAATCAGCTTGAACCGGGATTCCGAGAATAGATAACGCTAGCCATTGGGCCTATTGCCTAGTCGGGCGAAGGATCAGAGTATCACACCAAGTTTCATCCCGGAAAACGGCCGGATCGGGACGTCGCCAGTGAGAGTATGTCAGTTTGTTGACGTCTGACAGATGCTAGCGGTCTTTGCACAATCGTACCTACTACCGGGATACTCTCCGAATATATACATTCACCATTAAAGTACACTATTCAATATCGACATAAATAGCCTTGTTCTAACTCAAACCTACAGACCTACGACGCTCTCGAAGTCAACTCAGACTAACCACGCATCAGATCAAAGATCGCGAGATATGAAACAAATTAACAAAAGCTGAACTCTGGACTCCTGTATGAACCGAAACGGGCAGCGCCCGAGCTTCCTTACCAAGATTTAACCAGCAATCAAGCGCTAAATAGTAAATACTAATCACCTAAAGAGTACAAGGGTCAAGCCTAGCTGACCAACAAACTTTCACGGCAAGAACAAAGTTCTGGGTTCACCAGTAGCAAGAGTCAGGATTCGGCGAGCGGACAGTGAGAGCTCCACAGCATCCACTGTGGTCTGTTAGAGCAGGGAGGAGTCGGTGGATTGACGGTGCATCCGCCGTCATGTTCTTGTCTTATTCTTATTTTGTGCTGTACATACTACGTAGTGAGTTAATACTTAGTACGGAGTAGAAGGTAGAGAGACAGGCTAAGATCTGGCATATGATGCTAGTATAACTACCGCCCGGCTTAAACCACGTAGCTAGCAAGAATCCCGTATTTATTTTGGTCTCGATTCTTACCCCTGCCATGATGATCTCTATATTTTCTCCTGCTATTAATCTATCGGTATCCCCAGCTGTTCGCAAGTAACACAAGAAAAGGTTGTCCACGTACACGCAGTTCCCATTTCGCTTTACCTAGGTTAGTTACTCTGGTACCTACGTGGTTCCTGTGTAGCCCTGCCAGCCAGTGCGGTTTACACTCGTCCCACAACTTCTTCGTTTCCCCTTTCTGTCTCTCTTGTCTCTTGTCAACTTTTATTATGCGGTGAGCTTGAACTTTGCTCTGTCTCTCTGTCTCAGTTTCATCTTTTCTCAAGAGGGATTATTTCTTTCTTTTCCTCTTCATTTCTTCTTTACAGCATTATTGATTTTCGAGACGGGCATTGACACGCGCGATATTCTCCGATACAATACATAGACATACGCATAAACGCGATTACACTTCGGTCGATCAGTTCTTTCAGTCGTAAATCGACACATATCGATTTTGCGCGAGGCATCACCATGCAGGACATGCTGATCTCTTCCAGAGCAGACTTTGAGTCTCTACCGCCGGCGGTACAACGAAAGGTGTGTATTTCCCTCGATCTTTTCTATCTTACCTTTTCCCTCTCTTCTTCATATGTCTCGTCGTTTCTTCCTCGGCAGTCACATGACCGGACGCAATATTGGGATGGTTCAGCCTCAAGGGAGCCGAGGAAACTAACCTGGGCTCGGCCATTCAGCTGGCTCTTTGGAATCAGATTGTCAATTACGAATGCTAGACTGCTATCCCAATCGACAAGGCTGATTATTGAGAGTTGTTGATGGTTGTTGCTTGCTCCTTGTTGACGGCTTATCACGTGCTCCTTCCTTTTATTCCTTCCACACCATCTTCAATTCCCCTCCGTCTTCATCTTCCTGTTTATCATTGATGCATGCCACAATATCTGAATATGATATATCGCGCATGATGTACTCCGTACCGTCATGCACTTCACAGAGGGGGACAGACAATGAGATTGTCAATGTCTGTCCGAGCCACTTCGGCGACTGGGTCCTCTTTGGTGGGCCACACCAATAATTTGCCTGACTATGGCTCCATCCCATCCCTCGTTCCTAGAACCAGCAAAACCTGTTCCATCGAATCCATTGCTCCATTTCTACTTCCTGACTCGTCATTTTCCATTATATTACCGTCGCTTCTTATGTCCTTGTCACACATCAACTGCCATACACAACTGTCTGCAAATTCATTTACTTTCATCTATTTTCTCTTTGTGATTCGCGGTCAGGCCTACCGGCAGTGATAACTATTAGCCACTAGCTGTTAGCCCTCGGACATCATGGAATCTAGCCTGCTGTCTAGGGCAAGCTAGTTGAGGTTATTGCTTGTCACCGGCCCCTGACTGGTCAACCCCTCGGCTGCCCCTTTTTACGCCCTCCGCCGTCTGTCTGTCGCGCTTTTAACAGGCTAATCAAGGCTATAATGCTCCATTCTATAGTTCTTTTCCAATGTCGAGCGTTTTCGTCTCTTGACGGCCCAGCACCATCCACGCCATCATGCTCAACCACGCCGCGAGTTTGCTGCAAATCGGCCGCTCTCTATCCGCCGACATCCACGCGCTAGAATTATAACACCGTCTTCCTCCACTTCTTCTCTTCGACAATATCAAGTGCAGCAACAAAATCAACGCAATACCCGTCAAAAACTACGATTACGACGGATTGCTCCTCTCACCGCTCGTGGCACCGGCAATCGTCTTAGTCGTTCTCCGCCTGGGAATGATTTGACCGCAGTACACGAGTACTTGCAATGCTTTCACTCTCTGCCTCCAAAGATCCAAAAAACCATCTTTTCACAAGAAGAGCGACGCCTGTTACAGCAAACAGCTCCTGTAAGCAGTATCACCGACGCTGCTGATCAGGCACTTCTCAGACTCGAAGAAAGACATAGAGCATCCCGCCGCCGGCAATCGCTGCGAACTGACACGTCGAGCGACAGATTTGTCCGCAGAGGTCGTCGCCAATATCGAAGATCTAGATCTAGTTCTTCTCCTGCTATCCGTTCTTCAATCCGCTCCTCAATCTACTCATTCCCCTCCTCACTTCCTTCGACCTTTGAACCTTCCGCTGACATTATCGACATCGACACCGACGCCATTGCTGATCCCACCGACTCGGGAATAGAAATGGAAGAATCTATTCTCGACAGCTTTCGATGGCTCGATGAGGAGGAAGACCTCGATCTATCACTGGACAGCTATCACAAATATGTTGCCGACACGGCATTGTCGTCACAACATGTTCAACCTACCTCTCCGCGACGAATGCCTTCCTTCCGGCGAACATTATCCCTAGCCAAAAATAGAAACTCAATGTTCTTAGGGAATACCGGTCGAGGACTCAGCTCCAGTCAATCTTCCACACTCCCTTTCTCTACAGCCGGCACCGGCGCCATCAACCGCCCCGAAAATCATGGCAGACATATGTCTCATCGGTCTACATCTTCCATTGATCCTGCTGCACAATATTACCAAGACCCAGAAGCTCGATTAAAATTACGGGTATACCTGGCGTCACCTCAGAAGTTTGACGAGGCAATTGAATTTGGATTTCCGTCCCTGGACAACAAAGAGAACATCGATGCCAACAACTTGCGTCGACACAACACAAACCGAGACTCGAAACGGATATCACAGATTTCTGCATCGACTCATGGAACACATGGATGGACATTCTTGGATGATGAAACTACATCTATCGACTTGAGTTTGTTTGATCTGACCGATCACCAACCGCAATTCCAACAAGCAAAAAAATCACGACGCAGCCATGACAAGACTGCCATTAGCTCCAACATCCGCGAACTCGCATCACCCCACTCTCGCTCTTCATCCATAGATCCACGCCACCGTCGTCCTCAACCTCTCAAACCTGTTGTGGGCAATGCCAATGGCAGTTCCCGCCCACCAACGGGCGGTCATCGTCGCGAGATGACTTTGAAAATGACACTTACTAGGCCCGATCTGCGAACAGCCGGTGAGGCCGGACCTTACGGTCACGATCGACACGATGATCCTCTGCGGTTGGCAGAATTACCGCCCGCAGACGAATCATGTAATATCTGGGACGATATCCCCGAAGAACGAGGGGTCGTCAAAAAGATGTGGCGCAAGCTGCGCTCTTGGAGGGATTGATCTTGTCCTTTCGAAGTTTCTTATTACTCTCCATTCATGTGCATATTTATATTTTGCCTTCTACAAGCGTCCGCCGTTTACTATTATCCCATTTTCCACTTGCAGATGTCTCCATCAAGCGTTCCCTCATTCATTCTCTTTTCTTGGATATGATTATATATACCCTCTCTTGCTGCGACTATCTTGGTCTTTTCTTTTACTCCTTTCATGTTGATTTTATGGGCGATTATAAATTTTTAGTATTATTAGCGTGCATGCATATCAGATCTTGCATTTCCCAAAGTCATTTCGAACTGAGTTCGTGTAAGAAGGAAGGACGTTTGTAGTCCATATTCCAGAGGTTATTGCCCGCTTAGAAACCAAAATATACTGAATTCTTAACGCAATGAAGCATATAGTTGCTACGCTGAAAGCCATCAGCATTGCCGGAATGCGGTCTAGTGGTATAGACTTCACCTCATGTTTTCGTGTGACGTTTTGATTCTACCAGGCGTGATTCTTCCCTTGGGCCATTGTATGCTTTTCAACATTGGTATACCGCTTTTCGAGTCTTTTGCGCGCAGCTACAATGGGAGGATTAGATATTCTTAATCTAAGCCCTTTAATTGTGGTTAACGTTACCCTCGTAAGAACCTTTTTATTTAGTAGAAGTCCCAACGAAGAAGTGTATCTATATGACCTTTCACAGAGTATCTTCTACACAAGAAATGTTAATAAAATGAAGACAAATATGTAAAATATGCCACAGTTGGAGATAATATGTTGGAGAAAATGATATATATCAATCTTCTTGCTATCTTGGACACCCTGCTTATATACATTTAGATCCTATATTTATCTACAACGAATAGATGCCTAGGCGACGTTAATGAACCGTTTGGTCCTGTGAGATATCCCATTTGGTGTTTTATGCACCGTCTTATGTTGTAAAATATCCCGTCAATTCGAGTTGGTGTCGGTTCCAGTGGCCGTTAACTAAACCTTGGCCTTCAAGTTAGGTAGTGAACGTCATTTAGAACTTCCGCCATATGAAGGAGGGCTTTACTAGGGAATTGTAGTACGTTAAGGGGGTAAGGGCTTCGATTTCTAGTATTAGCTTCGACGTACAAATCAAAAATTTGTCTTGAGAGTCTGAACTATGTAGTCTTCCTATACAAACGGCGAGGCCCATCTTCGGGAATTGAGCGAAGCCGTCACTACATAGGAACTGCCATGCTTAGGATTCGCTTCTGGATTTTTTGTGGGAGACTACGGACTGTGAGTTGCGCCATTATGTTCGGGATACCACGGAAGGGCGGTTTGTGTAGTTGATAAAGGAGGGAGGAAGCAAGTAGGCAGATGGCACTTAATTCACAATATATTTCAGCAAAGCTCATGAAGTATTTGGCTGACATTTACGTGGAAATACAGGGACATCTACAATTTCCGTAGTCCATACACACAATACTTTTTACAGAAAGTAGAGGAGAGAACATATGTATCATGTGTTGTAAATAATGCTCACATTCCCAATTCAGTATTAGCCGTACCTAGCAGTAGCTTTCTCCTTCTATTGACTAAATCTAGCCTACGGCGTCGTCCTGTTTATGTAGAAGAATGACAAGTCGCCCTAAGAACTCCTGTTTGTAACCTTCATGCGACATTATGAGAATCCAATGCCCGTAGCACAACATAGCACTGCAGAATCTCACAATTCTTGCATGGCGTGGCTTAAACAGCAGTAAATATAGCTTGAATGGATTGCTGTGATGGGAGAAGCGCCGTTACTGCTGTCAAAGAAGTTCCTTGAAAGGGCCAGAGATGGTGAATATGATGGTACCTTGTTTCAGTTTATTTGGATCCTGCCCTATGTAGTTGGAACTTGACCGACTACTCTAGGTTCGATCTGTGGCAGTGACGTACATCACTAGCAAAAAACCGACCTTTCTTCAGCTGTCATCGATGGCCTGCAGTGATATCGAGATAACTGGTTATAGAAGAAAACATGGGGTTGGCAAAACTTTCTCAGATCAATGATAGATGAATATCGGTATATGATCCTCCCCCATTAGCTGTTCATAAGCTGGTTAGAAAAGGACAGAGGCAGCAATTTAGGGAGCCACCGAAAATGGAAATCTTTCTCCGAATCACACCAACAACAAAACCCATATTATTCTGCGGCAACCATCAAACCTGGGTTTGCTCGGCCATCTGTTGACTATATGTTAGGTCCTGTCGAATAACATGATCTTTGGTTCGGTAATACGTACAACGAGTTGTACTTACCGCAATATTATTACCGCCTTGATGAAGGAGGGGTAAGAAATGCAAAGCATATCGTTTCCCAAATTAGGCCGAAGGTATCTTGTGTATTTTTGATTATCCAATTGGACAATACCTGCACTAATTTAGGCCTCATGTCTCGGGTACAATGAATGCATTAGATCGGCGGCAACGATGCCAGACAAGGGTCAGTAAATGCGATACATTGGCCGCGAGACTCAGCCCCCACGACACATCCAGTTGAAGCTTGATAGAGACATAGCCAGGCATGCCCCGAACGCATGTGCATGTCTAGACGGTACAATATTCGACTGTCTGAGACGGTTTCCTTTCTCTCACCACCTCGCCATCTTGCAATGTCGAGCGACCATGGCCGGCTCTGCGTTGCTGGGCGAACCGCCCGCGACACACAACGATGTGCTGATTTATAAGGCGCTGTTGATGCTGAATGGAACGAGTTACTTCCCGGTGCCATCAGAGTCGCTCGTCACAGACCGCCCGCCCGACGACTCTAATAGCGCGCCGCTGGTGGCTGCAACTGTCGTGCTGATGACGCTCGTAATTCTCCTTACTGCGGCGCGGGTTTGGGCCCAGCAGTACCGGAAGAAGCGTCACTTTACGTTTTGGGTGTCGAATGTCTTCCTGTTCTTCTCCGCAGTATGTTTTGCGTGTTGGGCCCGTCGATATGTACGTCGACTGATCTTGTGCGATTAGATGGCAACGTTGGCTTACGACTCAATCGTGCTTCACCTGTACACCCAAGGATGCAGCGGGCGGCATATCAATTACTGCACCTACGAGGATATCGAACAGATGAGCGAAGTAAGACCATCCGACTTGTGACACTTGTGGGTTGCCTCCTAACAGAACAAAATCTTTTTTTGAACCTACAGTTGCTCATCGTGCCGCAATGCATCTTCTACTTTGCCGTGTACTGCGCAAAACTTTCCATCATTTCTTTTCTACGTGGCGCCGTCGAACATACGGTGGAGTGGTGGAATCTGGCGAATGCAATTTTCTTCGGCCTTGTCGTATTTATCGGGCTCTGGTCACTGCTGAGCACCATCTGCACCTGCGTGCCCGTGGCAGCGCACTTCTCGCTGATCGTCCTGGCCACCACGGATCCCAATTCGTACCACTGTTTACCGGAATTGAGGCTTCAGGTCGCCAACCGTACCTTGCATATCGCCACCGATTTATGTCTGTTCATGTTTCCGCTTTTCCTGGTTTGGAGGGTGCAGATTTCGTGGCAGCGGAAGATATTGTTCATCGTGCCATTTACGCTAGGCCTGCTAACTGTCGCGTCGAGTATTGGCCGCAACGTTGAGATGCCGGAGGCATTGACAGATGTGTCCTGTTTGTCATGCCTCTCCTGCTTTCTGAATGCACGTCTACCTTGCTAGCGCTGACTGTCACAATAGGGAACATTAGCAGAGTCTCCGTATGGGACTTTCTCGACATTCACTTCTCGGCCATGCTCATGTCCATGCCCTTCATTATGCCGTTAATTGACAGGACGGTGCGATGGTATCGTGAACGCGGGCCAGACTTGGCCTGGCGGTGTGAGCACCAGCTATGCTGAGACCTGGGGGTCGGGACCGCACACGATTCATCCTGGTAATAAAAGCCATGGCAATGGCGATCAATGAAGAGCCGCCAAAACCATGAGAGCTGTCCGCGGATGAACTCTCGTTTCACGAATGTTTCACGAATTTATGATTGATGTTGCCAATGATACTAATGCGGGTAGAGAGAGCCTGTTGTTGAGCGTTCATGCTCGTTTGTGAATAGTGAATCTCTTGTATTCATGCCTGTCCTATGAGAGAAGAGGCAAATATATGACACCATGAGAAGGTTAAATGATGGGATTGAAAGCGATGATACCGACCTTATCCTCAGCTCAATAACACTGAAAGTCTGGTTGAGTATTCAGAATTTTGATAGCCAATCACAATCCGATATGGTGTAACGGTAACATCGCCGTCTCTCATTAGAAAGACACGATCACGGCAGCTCGGGGTTCGATTCCCCGTGTCGGCTTTTTTGCATTTTCTTGTTGATCAATTGCATTAATCCCTGGCTCTTTATTTTTCGCCTTGACTGTGTAGCATGTATGCCATGGTTTTATTGGTGATATCTTTCGAGGCGGCCACGTGATTCCTTGGCCAGAGCTCCCGGCCGGACTGGACTCGACTCTCTCCTTCCGCTGGAGCTGACGACGTAACTTAGTTTACTCCCTCGTTATCTTCTAGTTCAGGCCACGCAAGACTGCCACAGCTTGCTATATCTTACTTGTTCTACCGTTATCTTACTATCTACATTCATTCTTTATTATTAATCTGTTTACTTACATTGCTTTTCCCTTCATATATTCTACACGACATACGACTTGTTTATTCCAACAAGCTAGGCGCCAGCTATCCGGATCGCATCGCATCGCATCTTACCATTCATCACAACGCACCGCAACGACTCTAATGCCGAAACACCAACTATTATAACGTCAACATGATCCGTCAGTGGCATCTGACATCACCGCTTCTCCTCCTGCTCCTGCTAGCCATCGGCAGCCTGACAGGAGGAGCAGTGGCAAAGAAGTCAGATGGGCCCAAAATAGCTCTCAAAGAGCTCGACATCGCGCCCGCAGACCCCTTTTATTTCAAAAACTCGGACACGGTTATGTTTCTGAGTCCGGTGACTGGTGAGGTGTATCAATCGTTTGATGGGGGGCTGGAGTGGAAGGTTGTCGGTAACGAGGATGTGGAGAGAGTGGAAGGCGTGACGGGCGATATGACCAATGCCGCGGTTCTGATTCTGCCGCATCCACACGATAATCAAAAGGCGTATATTCTCGGTCGGCATGGGATCCATTGGGTGACTACGGATCAGGGCCGGACATGGCGTGAGTTTGAGGTTCCAGCGGCTCCGTCCATGTTTATCAATGAGCCCCTTCGGTTTCATGGCGAGGATTCGAGTAGAGTCATCTTTCAGGGTGAGCGGTGTTCGCCGTTTGCCTGTCAGGAAACTGCGTTTGTGACCTTGGATGATTTTGAGACGGTTGCGCCGATGAGGAATACGGCCAAAGGATGTTTCTGGGCTGTTGGGAAGCCGGCTTTTGCAGAGTCGACCAGTGATCTTGCAGACGAGATTGGCGATCGGGTGTTTTGTATTGTGCATGGACTCAAGAATCCGTTCCCGGCGGCGTATCGGCTCGTGTATTCGGATTCGTTTTTTCAGGATGACGATGACGGGATTGAGGCGAAGATTAATGAAGGGCGGCCCGTCGCGGGTATCATAGATGCTGCTGCTCGGACAAAATATATCATGGTTGCTGCCAAATCGCAGGGTACCGATGAATTGGCCATGTTCGTTACGGATGACGCTATTGTGTGGCATCGCGCGGAGTTTGGAAACCACAAGATTGAAGAAGAGGCATACACCGTCCTGGAAGGAACGAATCATAGTATCCAGGTCGATGTGATGAACACCGATCGATCGGAGAATATGGGTGTGTTTTTCTCGTCCAATTCCAACGGCACGTACTTTGCCCGCCATATCGAGCACACGAACCGCAATGCAGGTGGATACGTTGATTTTGAGGATATTGTTGGAATCCAAGGTATCGTGATAGTCAATGTTGTGGACAATTGGGAAGAGATCGAGAGCGATTTCGAAGCCGAGAAAAGGGTGATCAGTCAGATTAGCTTTGACGACGGACGCACTTTTCAACCGTTGAAAGTCAAGGATAAGAACTTGCATCTTCATTCCGTCACGGAGTTTAGAAATTTCGGTGCTGTCTTTTCGACACCTGCGCCTGGAATTGTTTTGGGTGTTGGTAATACAGGCAGTCATTTAAAGACCTACGCAAAAGACGGCGATTTATACGTCTCGGATGATGCCGGTGTGACATGGCGCTTGGCACTTGAGAAACCACACAAGTACGAGATTGGCAATAAAGGTGCTATTATGGTAGCAATCAAGGATGACGGCAAGCCCACAAAGAAGATTCAGTACTCTATCAACCATGGCAAGGATTGGGATACTGCTGAGCTGGAGAATGAAATCAAACCCTATTTCCTCACGACGACTCCCGATTCGACGAGCCTGAAGTTTTTGCTTGTGGGATTCTCCGACGAATCTGAACAGTGGTCCATCTACGCGATTGACTTTGAAGGTTTGCATGAGCGGGAGTGTAAGGACAGCGATTTCGAGGAATGGCCTGCTCGATTGGATGAAAATGGTGAGCCTGATTGTCTCATGGGACATAAACAATTCTACCGACGTCGCAAATCTGATGCCGACTGTTTCATTACTGAGACGATGTTCAAGACACCTGCACCTGATTTCAAGCCCTGCAAATGTACCGCAGAAGATTTTGAGTGTGACTACAACTTTGTGCGCTCGGAAGATCGAAAGGAATGTGTGCCTGCTACTATTCTCAAAGCACCTGAAGGTACTTGCAAGAACGACGATGATACTTTCAAGGGTCCTTCGGGATGGAGATTGATTCCCGGAAATGCTTGTCTTCGTGATGGAGGCGAGGAACTTGACAAGGAAATTGACCGTCCCTGCAAAGATGCTCTCAAGGCACCATCTGGCGACGCCAAAGCGATCAGCTCGACGCTCAACTATATTGAAGGAGACGGGTTCAAAAGGTTCTACTATCTGGAGCGAGCCGGCAGCAGTCGCGGCGAGGACGAGACTGTTGTCATGCTGACTCATGATGGTAAACTTTATGTAACTCACGACCATGGCAAGACTTGGACACACGAACTCAAGGATGTCAAGGTGAAGGAGATTGCGCCGCATAGGTATTTGAACGACCGTGCGTTCTTCCTGACTAGTGGCAATAAGCAGTATTATACGATCAACCGTGCAGAGAGCTTTGACTCATTCACTGCTCCTGCTGAACTGGATAACGTAGAGATTACAGTTTTGGACTTTCATCAAAAATACAAGGATTGGATGATCTGGACTGGCTTCAATGATTGTAGCCATGGCGAATGTCCCAGATCTTCTTATATCACCAAGCATCGCGGCGATAGCTGGGAGATCTTGCTTCGTACAGTGGAAAGGTGTGACTTTATGGCACGGGAAGATCGTGCCGACAGCGACGACTTGATTTTCTGCGACCAACATGAAGGCGAAGATGTGAATGGCAAGCGTACGCTTGTGACGAGTAATGACTTTTTCGATACGTCCAATACGCCTTTGACCGATATCAACGATTACGCAACAGCGGAGGAATTCATTATCGTCGCCACGCCGAACCCAGAGAATGAGAACTCCATGAAGTTCGACGTTAGTGTCGATGGCGTGACGTTCGCTGATGCGGAGTTTCCTTATAATTTAGATGTGCCTGAGCAGTTGGGATACACGGTGTTGCAGAGTACTACTCATTCGGTGTTTTTGCACGTCACACTCAACAAGAATGACGACCAGGCGTATGGTCTGCTCATCAAGAGCAACAGCAACGGGACCTCTTATGTGCTTAGTCTCAACGACGTGAACCGCAACAATGCAGGATACGTCGACTTTGAGAAGTTGCAAGGACAAGAAGGCGTTGTGATAGCCAACATTGTGAGCAACACGGCAGATGTCGAGAAAGGCAGCGAGAAGAAATTAAAGAGCATGATTACGCATAACGACGGCGCTAAGTGGACTCTTATCCCGCCTCCAGCCAAGGACTCCGAGGGCAAGGCATACAGCTGTGGCTCGAACAAGTGTTCCCTTCATCTGCATGGATACACTGAACGGAGAGACTTTCGCAATACATATGGATCTGGGTCCGCCATTGGCCTTGCGTTTGGAGTTGGTAATGTCGGCGAGACATTGGGCAGTAAGGCCGATGCTAGCACTTTTTTCAGCCGTGATGGCGCTATCAGCTGGAAGGAGGTCAAAAAGGGCAATTACTTGTGGGAGTTTGGCGACCAGGGTTCTGTCCTGGTCCTCGTTGACGCAGGTCAACCCACACGCGATATTCTTTTCAGCACCGACGAGGGAGATACGTGGGAGACGTATCAGTTTTCTGACAACGAGGTCTCAGTGCTGGATCTTTCTACTGTGCCGTCCGACACTTCAAAGAATTTTTTGATCTGGGGTACAGAGGTCGGTTCTGATGAGTTTGTAACTGTCAATCTTGACTTTAGTGGCCTGCGTGACCGGACATGTAATTTGGATGAGGATACTGGCGAGGGCGAAGATTACTATCTCTGGGAGCCGAAGCATCCTCTTCAAGAGGGTAACTGTCTGTTTGGTCATGTGGAGCAGTATCACCGCAAGAATCCCAAGTCGCATTGTTGGAACGATTGGTCCGAGGCGCATGTGCATAGTATTTCGCACAATTGCTCTTGCACGATGGAGGATTACGAGTGGTACGTCTCTCCCCTTTTTACTCAAGAGCTTGTAACTAACGAGGTCTAGTGATTACAACTACGAGCGCCAAAGCGACGGAAGTTGTACCTTGGTACCCGGTCTCGCCAAACCAAACGCTGTCGAATACTGCAAAGAGAATCCAGACGCCATCGAATACTGGGAACCGACAGGCTTCCGACGTATCCCGCTTACTACCTGTGTTGGCGGCCAAAACCTCGACCGCTGGGAATCGCGCCCCTGTCCAGGCCACCAGGAAGAATATGAGCGCAAACACGGCGCCAGCGGCGTCGCCATCTTCTTTGCTATCATCGTTCCCGTCGCCATTGCAATCGCCGTTGGTTACTGGGTTTATACACACTGGGATGGTAAATTTGGGCAAATCCGGCTCGGTGAAGGTGGAGCTCAATCGTTCATGACTTCTCGCGGCGATTCGCCGTTTATTACGATCCCTGTCGCGGTTATTGCGGCCACGGTGGCTGCAATCAAGGTACTGCCGTTGCTGGTCGTGTCTCTCTGGCGAAGCGTCAGTGGCTATGTACGGTTACCCGGCAGCAGGGGTCCGCGACCGTACGCGACGAGAGCTGCGTTTGCTTCCAGGAGGGGGGATTATACGAATGTCGTAGATGACGAAGATGAGTTGTTGGGCGACGATGAGTTTGAAGATGAAGAGGGCGAGGAGGAGAGGAGTTGAGCATAGCCAGTCTGCAGCGAGCATCTTGCTATTTTTATTTTCTTTTTTGTCTTTTTATTCTTTGGAATATGGATGTATTTGGGTATCTAGATTCAATGATGTCATGTATAGTTAGTAGATCTTTGAGCTCTCTGTCTTTGTTTGTAGGGTAGATTATTTCGACACTCCTTCACCTCCCTACATCTTTCGAATAACATGATTATGTTCTAAGCACCTAGACCATGGCCCCCTTTCGTCCTGTCTCATTCTCATTACCACAGTCCAGCATAATAAACAACTCGGGTGGAACATTGAAAGTATGGATTAGTATATATCCACTAGATATCAAGTCAAAGTGGAGGCCTCGCATATGGCTATGGTTGACGAACAATATCCGTACTTACCTAAGTAGGAAAACAAAGAAAATCACTGCAAAGAAACTGCTCGAAATATTCGAACCAGGAGCTATCGAGAGTATCTCTTAGTCAGTCATGCAACGGCGTGATATTCTATAGGTACCGGTTTGTCGTGGGGAGATTCGATGAGTTTCAGGATAGATAGGCTTTACGCCAGTCGATGGATGAGAAGAAGCTCTGTCAACGAAGCAACCCCTGAATCGCCTCCTCGTTCCCACCCCTGAGCCGCACACCCATCGTAACCACCTTCCCAACCCGCTTCATTACGTACCGTCCACTCTTCTCCGATTCCACAACCACCAGATCCAGATACTGCGGCGCGTCGTGCGGGTTCAGAACTGCATCACGAGTCTGCGCGCTCAGATCGGCAGATGCAATGAAAAACAGTTTCTGGCCGTGCCACGGCCAGGGGTCGTTCGCAGTGTATGTGACCAGAGTTTTGAACTGCTCGTTTGGATTGTGTGCTTGACGGAAAACGGCATAGACGTGTTTCATGCCAACCAGTTTTGAGAGTTCAAGGTCTGCATTTGGTGGGCCGGACCATTGAGAGAAGGTGGTTATGATGCTGGATTTGAGAATGTCGGCACCTATGCCGACGGCGTGGTTCAGATGATGTAGTATCGTGCTTCCTCCTCCTCCTCCTCCTCCTCCTCCTCCTGCTGCTGCTGCTGCTCCGGCTGTTGGCGGCTCACGATACTTTCGAGAATCTTTAAAACTGCGCTTAAAATCAAACATCCATCCCTTGTTCGAGGACAGCCGTCCCTTGACCGCACCTTGCGGCTCCATAGCCACAGGCACGACTTCAAGCCAGCTCCACGCGCCTACTAGACCATCTTTAGTGACATGCCGACCATAGCCAGAGATACTTCCTCCCGACGCACCGGGAATAACTAAAGGCGCCCATCCCCACGGCGACGGTAGCCCAATCGGGCTGCTGAGACTGGTCAATATAGCAGCCTCCTGACCCAAACGCTGCAACAGCAGAATCTGCCCTTGTATAAGCGTCGTTTCTGCGTCGGGCCACTTGAGTCCGAATAATGGATACAAAGCGCGGACCATGTCGATTGGTTTCGTGGTTGTACGTTCGTAGCTGAAGGTTACGATCTTGCGGAGAGATGGTATGGGGTCGTGCGCCATTGTGGAGAGGAGTTTGATGGCGATGTATTGTTGCCAGCGCGTGGGATCGTGGTTGGCGAGGATGATGCGGTGGAGGAGGGTTCGGGGGTTAATCGGTGGAGAGTCGCGGTTCGTCAAGATGAGGAGGTTCTGGCTGAGCATGGCTTCTTGCATGGTCCAGAGACGGGTCATCCAGTCCGATGCTGTGATTGCTAGAGCAGTTTGCTTATCGTCTTCTGCCCTGGGGATGAAGTTGAGGAGGAGTCTGTCGACGACGAGTGTCGCTTTGGCGGTTGAGTACACAGTATCCATGGAATTAATGGCCATTGCTCGAACGGTTTTGTTTTGGCTGATCATGGCGACATSGAGCCATATCCACTGCACATTGAACCTGGTAATTGCGATTTCGAGCAACATATCCAAAACGCGGGAGCATATTCCATCTTCGGCGCTGCCCTGCCATCCATGAGACCAAACATGACTTATTGCCATAAACTCGTTTGCGGCGCAATACTTTGTCGCGCCATTCCGGCCGAGACAGAGCACTTTTCCGCTTTCCTGAGGCGTTGGTCTAACATTGAAATTGATACTGACACGATGACAGGCACTTTGACGAATGCTGTATGGCGCGCAGTAAGACCATGTATTCGACCCGGGTTTGCATTGATTACACGCCTTGATCCCGCCTACATGAATCACATCCTGACCATCCTGGTTAGACAAAGGAAGTAACCTCTCATCGGTACCGATCTTTCTTAATGCTTTGACGAGTTGAGGCGCGCGAGTCATTCCATAGCCGGGTTCACTGGCGAGCCATTGCGCTTTGTGTCGGTCATAGCCCGCTTGCCAGATAGAGAAGACTAAGGGATGTTCCGTTTGATGAAAGGGGCGTGGTTCGGAGGTCCAGCGAGAATGGAGTTGGGCGACTAGACAGAGAGATATGTTACAAGGGTCGAAGACACAGGGAACCGGTGCGTGGTCGCAGGGTGTTGCGTTGGTGCGGCTGGATAGGTAGCTGGCTAGGCGTTGTTCGAATGTTGACATATTATAGATATACTATATATTACCTGGGCAGGGTTTGCTTAGATTTGAAGGGAGGGGCAGGGGACCTATATAATAGCTACCTCTAGACATGATCATCTTTCTTCTTATCATCAAGTGTACTACGACTCATAACTCATTCGTGAATATAATACTAAATGTCAAACTAAACGAGAATCCGAGTACATCGCCATTAGTCTCTGAATGTATATCCCGACACCAACCTGGCCAATAACCACAACACCCTTCAATGTGAATCAATTAATCAATCAACCACTTTTTCCTTGATCAAATACTCAGATTCCAGAATCAAGCCAACAAATCATCCGGTCCAAACGAATCTGGCAACAGCTACCGATACAAGTTAGTCCACACCACTTTAATCATAAAATAGAAAATAGAGGGGGAAGACAAGACGTACCTCCTGGATAGTCGCAACCTTGTAATTCCCATCCTTGTCATACATGTATATCGGAAAACTCGGGGGTGTAAATTCCCGCATACTGTTGCAAAACATCAGCAAACAATCCTCAACAAACGCTAGAAAGTGGGTAGAAAGGAAAGAGAAGACGAACAACTGCCGACACATCCCACACGGACTCGCGGCGGGTTTGATGTCTGTAGCGACTGCGATCGCTTTGAAGGATTTATGGCCTTGCATCTGCTCATCCATCATCATCAGTTAACATGTATCTCTATTGAACAGTAAACGGAAAGACGAGGAGGGGGACGCACAAGCGCATTCCCAAACGCGACTCTCTCCGCGCACACGCCTACGGGGTACGACGCATTCTCAATATTTGCGCCGTCGATGTACTCGCCGCTTGTTGTGATGAGGCACGCGCCTACGCGGAATTTGCTGTAGGGGCCTTGCTTCCCCCGTCTCGGTCAGAATTTGTATGAATGATTGATTGGGGAGGAAAGGGGGCATACAGTAGGCTTTGGCCTTGGCGTCGATGGCCTTTTGGGAGATTGTTTGGAGTTCTATCTCGGTGAGGGCGTGGGCTGACATTTTGCTTTGCTTCTTTATGAGTAGGTCTGTAGGGACTAAGGGTTAAGATGGGGAGTTTGTTTTGCGGCAAAGTTGTGGTGAGGAAGTGGGGGAGTACCACTATCAGCATATCTACCAGGTGATAAGATACGACTATCGGGGACCTATTTAGGAAATAAAGTAAAAGTACGAACATCTCCATTTGAATCTATATATCCAAGGCGATTCAATGCAGGTGAAATCTATTCTATGTGAAATCAAACGCCGTCATGTCATGAATATGCTAACGAAAATAATGGCTCAATCCCTCATATATAGCGAAAATAAACGCTGAACTGGGCGCAGATCGTGCAACGGTGATACCGCAGCCACGATACAGCCCTTTTAATCCCTCGTGTTGCCAGACCGATTTCCCGACTGTCCAGAATGATCGGTTTGCGGACAGGACCGAGATTTCTTCGGTCTGCATGCGCGACTTGATAGTGTCGGCGGGGKAGAATATAAAATTATAGTTGACGCCAGCAGCGGCGCCGGCGACCATTTGCTGCCATAATGCTAAAGGCGCTGGTTCTGAAGAGTCAGAGGCTAATGACGACCTTCGAAAAAGAGCAGACACAGCTTCGTAACTTCCAAACCAAGCTGACGAACCTCCCGTCTCTCGAATCAACGTGCCCATCTGTCCTCGCCAAAGACCAAACATGCCGTGATGTCGAAAGACGGTTGCTATGATCTTCAACGGGCCTGGTTTGACGGTAGCAGTGCTGCTGGGGACTTGCATTTTACATTTGACCAGTTCAATCGGCGTCAACAGAACCGATGTAAAAGCACCCGACAAAGCACCACTGAGCAACAGACCACTGAAGGGCAGCGGATCAGAGGTATAAACGGTCGACTGTAGCAGGTTCTTTGCTATTCGGTAGCTGAAAAACAGACTGCTGTTTTCGACAGCAGCGCCGACAAGAGGCGCACTGATACCTCGGTACAGACTGCGAAAGCCATCGGATTGTATGGACTGGCGGAAACAGTCGAACGGTCCGGCGTAACGGAGCGGGACGCCGTGAGGTTGGGACTGCAGACGAACTTTGATCGTGTCAAATGGGTACTCGATGCATTTGCCGGCTATACCAGCAATCTGAAGGGTTAGCCAATGCCGTCTGCCAGCAAGAAAAGCGACATACCGAGCCAAAGGTGACATCTTTGAGAGCTTTCTGGCCGGAGTTTTGAGGTAGAGTGGTAGCGATGTCTACTGGCATTTCATCGCTATAAGCAGCATGATCGATAGCCGCCATTCGTGTTGACCGTGTTGATCGTATTGGATCGGTGGTGTGTAGGAGCCAGTCCGCGGGGTATATGGTAGGTAAGCTATGGGCAGGACATGGCAATAAATATGTGCGAGAATGTATGAGGGAATAAAGTGACCAAGTGGACCAGGCACGAGTCCGATATGAAACCAAGCCAGAAGAAGAACAATACAGCGGGCTTTAAGAACAAAAAAAGAGTCCGCCGCCGGAACACGAGTATGTCAAGTATCGGTAACAATGTGTCAATGTTTGAATAATCAGAGTTGTCCGGTTCCGCACATTACTCGCCGATGGTGTCAAAAGGCGTGCAACGAGCAGGTCGCATCACATGCAGGCGTAGTTGGGTTTGAAGAAAACGTGAAAAGGCTCACAGGAGACTTGGCTCAGCCCACGTAATAGAATGCGCTATGGGGCTGGCGGCATCAACAGCGGAGGGAGTTGCTCGAGAGAGGAAACAGAAAGAGAGAGACTTTTTAGACGGAGTAGGATGATTGGGCCGCTGCGACGGGTCCTCACCGCCCGAAGTGGCGCCGTGGGGTGGGAACAACAGTTTCGCCGAGATCCGCTTATCTGATCGCGCTAAGATAACTTTGGTAGAACTTTTCTTTCTTTGCCTGCTCCTAGTATACTAAACATAACAACAATAACAACAACAACAACATGGCCGACGTCGCAGTACCCGTTCCAGACAGCGGCAAGACCGAGGTGGGCATGCGCAAGAATGGTACTTCTATCTCTCTATTGCTATGTTGCGCAAACTAATCAGAGCAGGCAAGAATTGGCGCACCCCCAAAAAACCCTTCCGGCCCACCGCCGGCCTCAAGTCATACGAGAAACGACTACAAGACCGAAACAATATGGCAGCGATGAAGGAGCGGGAGAAAGAAATGAAGGACGAGAAGGAAGCCGAGCGACAGGTAGTCCTTTCTCCCTGGTGGAATATGTCGACTACGCTAACTCGTTCCCTGCAGAGACACATCCAGGCAATAAAAGACCGAAGAGCCGCCAAGGAAGAAAAGGAACGATACGAGAAGATGGCCGAGAAGATGCACAAGAAGCGAGTTGAGCGAAGGAGGCGTCGGGAGAAGAGGAATAAATTGTTGAATTCTTAGACACTTGGCGGTGATAAAAGTTTGCATAGGAGTTTGGTGTTGTTTTATATTTATTCAAGATATGATTCCCTGAATATTATTTCTTTTTTCTTCTTCGAACTCATATAATTCATTGTCGTGGTGTTGAATCATTTCAGCGTTATTGAGTATCATGGATAAAATCATCCGTAGCCTAGTCTCCGCAGCCGAGGTTGACGTGACGTCTTCACCTCAACTTCAACCTCATAACTCCAAACCCATGGAATCCACCAACATACTCAATTTGTTGATGTCAATCTCTAAAATTTAAAAATGAGAGAAAGGTGACGACTAGACTTGCTCTTCTAATCAAATCGCGCAATAAACATGGACAAAGACGACAAACCGTCTAGTCGACTCTCGACCTCGAGAACATTCCCAGTCAACATCCACCACCGTCACCGCTCCGAAGTAACGCGTCCATCAAACAATAATCATACTCAGAATAACAATGAGCAAACACGCAACGGACCGGAGGAACGACAACCGTGGCCGCGGAGGTTGTTTGTCGACACATCCGATCTCGAGCCCTCATCTTCCAACGAAAAGACCACCAAAAACAACAAGAACCAGATTAACGACAACAGCAGCAACAAATATGGGAGTCACAAATCACACCGACACTCTAAATCTCGAGACCACCGCCTCCCCCGCGCCGTGAACCAAATCACCTCCGCCGGTGGAGCGCGCAACCTCCTCCCCAACCGCTCATTCCATCGGCATACGCAAAGCCACGGCCACCCATATTTCGGCGTTGGCGGCGAGAGAGAGATAATCCCTGAAATCAGCTTCTTAAAACCTTCGAGCAGCTCGAGAGAAGATCCGTCGCGCTCGTCACGGTTTGGATCGAGATCGTCGAGTGCGCAGCGAAACGCAAATAATGCTAATGGCGGGAGKCGGGGKACCAGCCTCGTAGCTACGGAGGAAGATGATAGTGAGGATGTGAGTCGCAAGCTTAGTCTGACGACCGCGCGAGGGAAGGAGATTAAGACGGCGGAGGATTTGGGGTTGGCGCGAAGGGAGCGCGAGAAAGGGGAGGAGTGCGTATTCTAGCCTCTTGTGTTTTTGTTCATGGAGTCAAGCTAATGTAAGAAGAATCCTACGGTCGAAACTTGCAGGTATAGGCACCCTCGCGACGGATATAACACGGCGGTTGGATTACACATATTACAACCTGCTGGAACGCATATCGACGCTACACTCGACGATAAACACGTTTCAGGAACTGGTCGATTCTAGCGCAACGCTGCACGAAAGTTTCCAGCGCGATAATTCCGCGCTTGAGTCAGATATACATAAACAACTCGCAGATTTTGCCAAATTCGAGCCCCAGCGTCAGAGGATCGATGAGCTGGAACGACGCATGAAGGCGGGAAGGAGTAAAATGGAGAATCTGGGTGAAAGACTTGAGAAAGTCCGAGGGGAGATTGAAGGGTGGGAACGAAGAGAAGGCGAGTGGCAGGCGAGAGTTACGCAGAGGTTGAGGGTGTTGGGAGGGTTTGTGGTGGGATTGGTGTTGATGGTCATTGTTGCGTATGTTTTGAGGTCTATTCCTTCAGCATCGCCGACGGTACAGGACCTGAATTCCAGGATTGAAATGTTGTCGCAGTCGTCACGTTCTGTGCCTGATGCGCCTACGGATAGTGTGGATGTTGACGTTGATATGAAGACATTTCTGAAATCGCCGCTGCTCACGAAGAGTACGAATGACGAGGTAGATGAGCCCCCGATTACTGAAACGAATACTCATCAAAGCAGCAGCAACAACCCAGCAGATCCCCTTCGCCTCTTTGACGAACTTTGATATACCCACATAGCTTAGCATACCCAGCATATATTACTTAAAACTAATCGACACACAATCAAGTAGCAGCCTTCTTCTTCTTATCCTCCACCAACTCCACATTATCCTCCGGCACCTTGTCCCCGTGTGTATCAACTAACCATTCTAACAGATCATCGCTCACATCTCCCTGCACTGTAATCTCCTCCGTCCCCGCCGCCGACTTGGTCACACTCGAACCCGTCGCAAATTTTTTGCCCAACTCCTTCGCCACTTTTTTCAAATCCAATCCAAACTGCTCAAGACCGATGACCACAGTCACGTACTTCCGCTTGTTGCGTTCCACGCGTTTGATCACGATCTTGGAAGAGGCGAGGCGTTCGGCGTCTCGTGTTTCGGCCTGAAGGGCTTTGGCTTCTTTTTTGGCGGCGTCTTTGGCTGCTTTTTCGCGTGCGGTGATGGAGAGGGTGGAGAGGTTTGCATTCAATGCTTCTATAACGAATCATCAGTTTTGGTATGTAAAGAGAGTGGTCGGGGGGGGAGAGTGGCGGAGACCTTCAGAGTATAATTGATTGTGTAGCTCTGGGTGAGATTTTTGGAGCCATTCTTCGCATTTTTTGGATGTGCCGCCGAATTCACAATACTATTCTCGTCAATAACATCACTACAAGCGTATCGGATGTTGGGGATACCTCTGGAGGTAGAGTGCACACTACCCCCCAAAAAGTCAGTATGCATGTCATGTCATAGCGGGGATGTTGGATTTCAGACTGGCGTACCTCCACAGTAGACAATGTGTCGTGCGTGCAGTTCCAGGGGTTGCTCGACTTCTGCCATTTCTTTGCTGCGCTTCTTCGTAGTGATTTGATATATATATGGTGCTTTTGCTGGTTGGTGGTTGGTATATGGTATGTGTGCTAAGTAAGGTAGGAGGAGGAGCTCAAGCTATCGATATCGATATGAATGCTTGGCTAGGGTTGGCGGGGTGCGGGGGCTGTGATTGGTTGGCAGCGTCATCATGCCCTACAAGGCACATGAAGACACAGAGATATGAGAAGAGATTATATTTCGGAATGATGATTATTGCTTTCATTCAGACGTCATGTTGTTTGGAAACCTATGCTTGAAGTGAGCATATATATAGGTACATCTGATGCGTGAGGTAAATGATTCAGTCATCCTATCTGTGCTCTAGTCATAGCAACAATACGATCACCATAACCACGGAGATCAATTCCATTCAGAAGATGTTCACTAATCCGTAGAGATAGACTACGAGGTCAAGCATGCCCGACTTCTCCCGATTTCATAGCCCGTACAGAGCATCAGACGCCACCACTATTGCGAGTTACGGTTTACCTAGGTTGTCTGTCGATCGTTGCTGAATCTTAGCGACCACTGACTCACTCATCTATGTGTCAATGCAATGGCAGAGCAACAAGCAAATTGATACGAATGTCGTGCCAGGGGTAAATGTGATGCTATACACTGCAGTGATTGGACTGTATCAGCTGTGCTTCGCAACGTTGTAACATCATCTATAGTTAGCACGACAGTCGCTACATAGGGCCTGGACAGTCATAGATGCAGTATCGGGTACCCGAGACCTTGTACACATGATAGTTACATGTCCTCGGCCAAGCGCTTCGTTGCATGTCCGTGCAACATTCTGTGTTGTGGCAAATGCTCTCTTGAAGACTGTCCTCGTCTGTTGATCAAAGTGAATCGACAGCTCGGTATCTGTTCTTCCTCGGTTATGTCAATATGACAACGAGGTGATGCGGACCATAATGTTGATGAAGAGGTCGAATAGCACAGCTTTGACCTCTTCTCCTCATTTTCTGCATGACAAGTCGACAAGGCGTTAACGGTACGAGTGCAGGGATACATGAGTCTGTAGACTCAGACTGTAGCTGCTTAAGCCTAGACATTTGACATCTCCAGCTACGTAGCTATCGGCGGTTGCAAATTTAGGGCATTCCGCCTGGTGTTCTATGCTCGTCAGTCAGTTTCCGCATACAGTAGGCAATTAGCTAGTCAATCGGCTTCTTGCAATACTTCCGATGGCAGATAGCAGATGTACACAGTACGCAGAAGAGGGGCGGCTGAAGCACAGACATCGTGGCTTTGTTACATGTAGTACATCCAGGGTCTCCAGCCGGGACTGATTGGCCGATAAATAACGCCGAGCAGGGCCGGTCAATCGAGCCACACAACATTAACAAACATTAACAACACCGGGATATGGATGGTCGACGGAAGGCGGGACAGGGATTGTTAGCTCCGACTCTGATGGATAGAAGATATTGAGCGGGTAACGAGGGATCGGATTAATATTAGTGGTCTTAAGCGTAGACGGATATCAAGAGTCGATCATAAGTGATATACCATGGAGTTGTGCCATGGTCGAGGCTGATGCACTGACGTTGAGCATGCAGCGATATGCGAGATAGCTTAGCCCAATGTCCGTTTACCGGAGAGTTTCTCCAGATATCAACGTTGTAGACTGTAGACAGTATTTACTCGACAAATAATCAAACCAGAGTGCATGCGCTAAAAGGATCTAGATTCGGGGCCCCACGGTGCGTCGCTGGGCCGAAGGCTGATATGTACGAAGTATGCGTCTCGACGACATAGCGAGAACAGAATAGACTGCGCCTAGAAACCTCATACATAGTATAGTAAACTGATGGATGTTGATGATAGCGATAGAGATTTTTGTTGGCCAATGGGATCGGCTTGTTTCTTCTAGAACAGCGAGTGAGCGAGGGGAGAGTAGAAAGAGAATGCAGATTAAACAGGGAACCGAGCTTAGCGAAGACGGCTAGCCAATGAACAACGCGAATTGGCACACAGCTATCGCGACATCGTATGAGCACACTATATCTAGGCTGATTGACGATGCGATAGATGGTATCAGACTATGAATAGAGGTTGCAGGCCGGAGGAGTGCATTCCTAGACTCCAGAATCCAAGAATCGCAGCGGGTCTGTGGCGGTCTAGAGGGTCTGTGGAGCCGTTTTCATCTAGCTCTGACTGTCTTCAAGTATGTGTTGCATACGTGGAACTGTCGGATGCTGCGTTATTCGGATCATTTGTATCTTGTATCTCGTATCTCTTGTGCACTCCAGAGACATACAGAGACATCCTAGTTGAAGTCATCTCTCCATATGAGTTCACATAGTATGAGCAGGGATCGCTCGTATTATTGTATCGTATTACAGGAATGGCGCGGGCCGTGCTCCCCCCAGCCAATCAGACACGCCAGCACTAGCTGCATGCGGCTAGGTTCGTACACTATTCCCCCTTCCTGCCCTAGCCCCAGTACTAGTCGTAACTGACTACTGACTAGGAGCTGTGCGGTGGCGATCTGGGCACGCCGGCTTTTTTTCGACGCCTCTTTGTCCCTGCTCTTAGCACTACTACTAGTAAGAGATGTATTGACCGTTGGATTAAATCTACTTGCTATCACTATCAGTCGTTTCTGTAACTCGCACTCGCTCGCTTACACGGCCTCCTTGCAGAAAACAGCACCCGGTTCATCTGACAGACCTTCAAATATCGCTTCACCATTGAATATGTCGAGGTGATAGACACCATGAGCACTCTGCTTGCCACCGATAGGGATGACCTGCTACGCCCTCACTCGCTACAACCGCGCTTCATCGAACCCGACGACCCATACAACGAGCCCATGTCTGATTACTTTGGAGACGCCGAATTCTCGTCCACGGCTACCTCCAAACTCAACTTCCGTCCCGCTCTGGTCTCGCCGGTATACACTCCCACGCTGAGCAGCTTGTCATCAGAAGTGACGTCCGATGGGGAGGGCGATGAGTTAACCTTGCCCGCGTTTGACGCAGAGTACGCCGCCGAGGAACCAGAAGAAGACAGCGGGCTATCGACACCAAAAACGACACAGACAGCAGCGCCCGCAAATATACCGGATCCGTTGCTGCGAACGTCGAGTGATGATGCGTCGATAGAGCCGGAACCCGAACGACATGTCGATTACCTGTCGCATGACTGGAGGGAAGAAGATATCTGGACGTCGTGGAGGTATGTTGTGGCTCGAAAGGATCGATATAGCAACGGAGTCAGATTAGAGAATGCTTCATGGCGGACGTGGGCCAAAGCCAAGTATGGACTGCGGACGGTTTCGCCCGAGACGTTGAATTGGTTAAAAGACTGCGATGTGACGTGGTTATACGGCCCTTTGCAGACTGACTTTAAGCCAAACCAGAAACCTCCACCGCCAAGTGGATTGTCATCGTCAAATTCGTTCTTGGACCGGAAGTCCATTTTGAAAAAGAAAACTGCTTCTGAAGCTATCTTGCAACGATCGTTATCGCAACATACTCTACTAAAACATGCCGGTGCTATATTGCAAGCACAAAAAGCGGAAAACTACTCACGAGGGAAACCAGCATTCGGGCGAGCCACGTCCGATATGGGCGTTCCCTTGGCCCGGATTCTGGAATACCCATACACATCATCATCAAACCATTGCACACCGTCCGAGTCAGCCGAATCAGCATCGTCAGGTCTAGTCTCACCGAGTGAAAAGCGTCATATCCATTTTAACAACGAAGTGGTGCAATGCATTGCAGTTGAAGCCAAGGAGTACGAAGAACGCGATGTTGATCCCTCAGTGTTTTTCCTTGGGGAAGAGTACGACAATGACTACGACGAGTATGGCGAGGACGATTACGACCACAACAGATATTACAACGATGACAATGACGACACAGAGTCGGACGAAGGAATTGTCATGATGAAGCAGGTTATTTCTCGCACATCGCCAGCGGGAACGACGACGACGACGACGTCTACGTCAGTGTCATCGCGCAGTACACCGAGGAGTAGTACGAGCAGCGAGAGCAAGACCATTGCGCCTTTGCCACCGACGACGCTAAAGTGTCGTTCGGACACGCCTGAATTACCGTGGAGTGTGAGTCAGGACGACACACGCAGTAAACTGTCGCCGACGCCGTCGATAGAGACGCTCCGGCCACCAAGACCAGAAGCTAATTTCTTGCTTGACGACGAAGATGAGCAAGGATCATACTTTACCTTCAAGACACAACCACGACGACACACATATAATCCCAACAATCGACCCTGGTTCGTCAATCCTGAAGATCGCCAGGAACTAGAGTTCAACGATGGCGATGACAGCAGCAGTCCCGGAAATCTACACCTGACGCCCTCTGGCATGTTTATGCCGTACGAAGAAGGCGAGGACGCCTCGTATACAGGCATGTTTGGCCGCATAGTCGATACCGTCAACACAGCCCGGGACATTGCACATGTCATATGGAATGTCGGCTGGAGGAAGTAATTATCAATCTACCAGCATATTTGATTCGATTCTTGTATTTATCCATTTGCAACCTGTGGCGGTTTTTCTTGTCAAGGCCGGATCAAGTGCAGCGTTTTCCGTCTGATTCATGACTTATGATATCTGCTTATGATTTCTGCGTACTATTGTCATACGTTTATTAGGTATTGGGTGGATGGCATATTAAATAATTTTGGCGTTGTGTTAGCTAGGATCGTGACTTGGGGTACAGCAATCAAAAGCAATAATTCAATCAACCGAGAATTCGCGTAGTGCATTTTGTAGCTTTCATCTTAACTTGAAAAGTAGCCACAGGGAGCAACTCGACAATTTCTTTATCTTTTTCCAATACAACTCACAATATGTTCCTTGTGCACCCTCTCATCTCCCAGCAGCCTATCTCAAAACCCCCCTCACGACGCATCCAGATACAGCTCGTACGCCGGCATATGACACTCCACAAAAGAAATCACTTTCTCATCAATCATACCCGGAAGCGTGTCTCTGCAGAGGACGCGTTCCTGCTCCAGCCGCCATCTGTACACATTCGTCAACTCGTCAGTGTCCAGATGGACTAGGTAGTCCACGTACTGCGGACCCATGAAGATGTCACAGTATGTGCGGAGGTTGTGATTGACTTCGATGCAGCTGGACACGGCATGATATCGTAGTATCATCGTCGGGAATTGCATGTTCATTTTGTAGGGTTTGACTTGCTTTTCCTCCATTTCTGCGCAATGATTGACTCCTTCAAGGGCTGGAATCCGATACATCAGCCTTCCAGGACAATGACATCGATACTACTGCCGTACTCGAGGAAGAACAACACGCTAATTTCCTTCCATTTTGTTTCGGTCACACGTTCGCCTCCGCCGTTGAAGTAGCGCTTATCAAATCTCGGAATGAGCACCTCTCCTTCTTGATCCTCTGAGGAAAGGCTGGCAAAAGAACCCGCTTCGCTAGAGCCACGCCATGTGTCTCTGGTTGTCCACGCTCCCGCAGCAATGTGTTGCGAGTATTCTGATCCCGGACTTGCGCGAGCCCGTCGTGGGGAAGGTAGAAGTCGTCCAGAGAGACGCAGATGCTTCTAAGATTGTGCTGTTTGTTTGGCATGCGCACGATTTAGGTTGTCCAGGTTGTTATGCCGCTGCCTTGAAGGCCGATGAGGACTACGGAGAATATTTTCTGTCTTTTTGAGGAGGTGGGTGTGTTGACTGATATGGGGAAGGATGTGTTGGAGGAGCTCGTCTATGTTGTGTTGCGCAATCATGGTGCTTTTTGCCCAATTTGAGTGATATTTTCTGGCAGGGCAGAGCCTTGTCTAATCAAGTTTCAGACCACATGTTCATGATTCATTTCCATGATCCTGAGCTCTTGCATGTGGTGTAGAAGTGTCACCGGACATGTCTTTGTCCGGCCTGGGTCTTGTTGCCGGAGATGATTTCTGCGCGGCCAACCACGACATCAATTGAAAGACTATACTTGAATTTTGGGAAATGAGGGGTATATATAAACCCCTCTCGTTGTGTATTCGTTTTTAATTGCAACTATTTGACCTAATCAGTCAAAGTCCTGGATAAAATGTCCATCCCCAGCTACAGCATCGCTTCCATCCCCGCCGACGGCATCGGCCCAGAGGTCATTGATGCAGGCATCGTAGCCCTCCAGGCTCTGGCGGATACACTCAACACATTCAAGCTTAACTTTGTGCATTACGACTGGAGCTCCGAGACATACAAGAACACCGGCAAATACATCCCCGATGGAGGTTTGGAGCAGTTGAAGAAGCATGATGCGATTCTATTCGGTGCTGTGGGGGCACCTGGTAAGACTCTCTTTCTTTAGCTTGCTTGGAACTAAGAAAGCAAGCTAATAAGGTAGATGTCCCGGACCACATCTCCCTCTGGGGCCTGCGACTAGCCATCTGCCAAACCCTCCAACAATACGCAAATGTGCGCCCTACAAAGATCTTCCGCGGCACGCAATCCCCCCTCCGCAACTGCGCTAGTGGTGATCTCAACTGGGTCATAGTCCGCGAAAACAGTGAAGGCGAATACGCCGGTCAGGGTGGTAGGTCGCACCGAGGTTATCCATGGGAGATTGGCACCGAGACAGCCATCTTCAGTCGCCATGGCATTGAGCGTATTATGCGTTTCGCATTTGAGACAGCGCAGCAGAGACCGCGTAAATTGTTGACTGTAGTGACCAAGAGTAATGCGCAGCGTAATGGGATGGTGCTTTGGGATGAGGTTGCGCAGGTTGTGGCAAAGGATTTTCCAGATGTGACGGTTGACAAGATGCTTGTTGATGCGATGACGACGCGTATGGTTCTAAAGCCGGACAGTCTGGATACGATTGTCGCCACGAATTTGGTATGTATCCCCCCTTCCCTCTTCCGTATCTCCGAATGAGAATGAACTAATGGACAGCACGCCGATATCCTCTCCGACCTCGCAGCTGCGTTGGCAGGCTCCATTGGCATCGCACCTACATCAAACCTGGACCCTACGCGCGAAAACCCGAGTATGTTTGAACCCATTCATGGCTCTGCCTTTGATATCACGGGCATGGGAATCGCAAATCCCGTGGGCACCTTTTGGACAGCAGTGGAAATGCTCAATTGGCTGGGTGAGAAGGATGCTGCAGCTAAACTGCTGGATTGTGTGGAGAATGTATGTGAGCAAGGTGTTTTGACGAGGGATTTGGGTGGGAAGGCTACTACCAAGGAGGTTACAGAGGCGGTTGTTGCGGAGATAAGAAAATTGAAGAAATAGTTTGTATGATAGAAATTAGAAGAATTCAATTATACGCCGTTCGCCTTTACATCGATCTAGTTTTCTACAAAACGTCAAAGTCTCCATGGATAAGCCACGGCCCATCAGCTACAGTCCAATTCTCATTCATTGAAAACTCATTCAAGCTCGGAAAAGTCGAGGCATATTCAGGGCCTATGCCATAGGAAAAACCGTTCCCGGCGAGATCCCCAAAGACCATACTTGCTGGATTATAAATCTCGTTCCCCCTAGCAACCGAGGCAGCACTATTATACATGGGGGTCGTAAAGTTCTCTCCGAGCTGATAATGCCCGTCAATCGAGCCTCTGGATCGACGCATCGTTGGGGGTGATCGATTGTTTGAGACTGGAAATTGTTCTTGGCTACAATCTGATAATACAGCATCCCGTGGCGGTGGGTGTTGTTGCATAGATGGTCTTGATGCGTGCAAGTACGCGCTGCTCTGTTTGGATGATGTAGAATGAGACTCTTGCCTGAGTGACGACGGTGTACCATTTTGCGAATTCTTCTCCATGGCGGAGCACAGATCCTCTATAGCATCGATGCATGTCTGCGGCCAATCCCGTTCGCAGAGAGCAAGATTGCGAAGCACAGAAATGCCAATTCGAGCATATCGCAAAGCACCGTGGTTGGTGAAATGACCCGTCCAGGCGGCATACACGAGAATCATACAGGACATCCAGACAGCCGATGTGAATGACGGTGATGTAAGAGGAGCTCGTGATTGTGCTGGAGATTCCACAAATCGACGACGATTGTTATTCAAAGTAGGATTAATGTAGTCGTACAGAGCGACTAGCAAGGATCTCGCAGAGTTGATACAGGTTTGAAAGGCTGTCTTGTAATCTGCAGCCACGGGGTTGTGCGCCGCGAGAAGCGGACGATATAATGAAATTATAGCCTCATGCCTCGACACGATTAGCAGCAAAGCTTGGTAAGGCTGAAGCGGAGCTTCGGCCTCTGAATCAAGTGGATACACGTCATCATAGACCTCGTTCCACCATCGCAAGAGTACACTGTCTACCTCAGCTGCGTCTGCCAGATTTTCCCGACTATGCATGATCGATTTGTTCCGCAGCTCTGAAATCATTCCTCTTAATCGAGCAAATTTAGCCAAGTGGGTCAAGAGTCTCAACCGATTGTCTTCTAGAACAATGCCTGCATCCTCTCTGGTTGAATGTCTTTCGGCTTGCGGATAGCAAACATCAAAATCATCATCGCGAATACTAAGTGGAACTCCTAGTGCTTGATTGAGATATCTTTCCAGGCAATATATCGACCAGAAAATACGACGGCGCATCATAACGTCTTCACTAGTAAAGCACGAATATCGCGTTGGACAGCGGTGTAGACCCAGATGAAAGGTCATACGGGTGACAAAGCCCCCAACTCTAGAAGCAGCATTTAAGTGCAGGATAGAAGTCAAGAAAAGCTGAATACTGAAGGCTGCTTGGAGTAAAGCAATGGAAGACGCTTCATTTTGTAATTCCCACAAGTTGGTCATTGCTTCATGGACGGTTTGGTATACCAAATCGACTGGAATAGCAGCTGCTGAAGTGACGTTAGACAGGTCCAGCGGGTTCTTAACTGCAGAAATGGAGATCATAGACCGAACGATGATGGCGTCTGCTCGACTGACCGATTTTAACCCTCTATAGCTGACCTGCTCGATAACACGAAGAATACGGGGCGCATTCATAAAGGGGTAGATTGGATGCCAATTCTCAAAATAATGGTGCGTCAATTGCACCAATTCCTCAAATGACAGCGGTCGGTTGGTTGGGTCGAGTTCCTCTTTCTTCCATAGCGGGGCATGAGCTCTACTTTGACCTTGACCGCGATGAATATGATCATCTTCCCCAGGAACTAGAGTTTCATGACCGCCGTCCCTAGCCTGCTGCATATCTGTGAAGCGACGTGCAAAGGCATTGTAGACTGTGCGGACAAAGTGGATGCCGCTGGAGCTGCCAAGGAAGCTGACGGATGTATCATCCTTGCGCATGATGCCAAGCTCGCGTGGAGAGGCATGCGTAGTGCCAGTGCCGGTCGTCGTAGAAGCACATCTACGACGTTTGAGCTCGCGATGGAGATCGAGGTCATCGGTGTCAGCCATGATTGCGGATATTCATCTTTGTTGAGTCTTGACTACTCGATTGATATCCTCCATCAATATAGCCGTCTAAAATAATCATGCAGTTGATACATGTCGCATCGTCGTGAATGTAAGAAGGAACCGATGTGAGAAGCTTCATTCAGAGCAAAAAGCTGGAGAAGTCACGTGTGTCCGCGACTACTCGCTTGTGATTGGCTAGAAAGATGTGAATTCTTTACAACGCGCCCTAATCCCCGCATAGATTTCAGTAACTGATACATTGCTTATCTCACTTGTGTAAATACATCAACCTGCTCAATTTTACAGACAGCCTTCTATCTCCAGTATCAAAATCTCAACTCTCTGGGCATTCTGTATCGAGGAGAGCGGGGTTTGGTACTCCAGAACACCGGAGTTTTCAATTCCGGCTAGGGCTAGGGCTCGTTTATGATGTAATGCCGGACTTGTTCAAATCCGGACTGACTAACGGTTTGACTTGTTTGTAGGGCCGCCTTCAGGAACGAATTAGACATCAGGAACTTCTACCTCTGAATAGTCTCATTCATATCAATGTTCCAGAGTCGATTCAGAGTCATGACAATCTCGGAACTGAGATAGTCATGAGAGTCACAACCTCGGATTGACTCAGCTACCAATAGCAAATCCGACCTACTCGATCACTCTCAAATGGATACCGGTACGATAACATGCCCAATTAAGGATGACCTAAATGTCTGATTTACTACAGGCCCAGTAAGGCGAGAACTTCTACACCCAATTGCTTGTGAGCCATGTAGGCAGAAAAAGTGCAAGGTAATTATTCACGGTGATATCATGTCTCGTTTATCGTTGATTGCCTGACCAGGATGATTTAGTGCGATCGAGAGATGTAAGCATTCATTGCTATACAACTATCACAATTTAGTCAAGTACGAGTGAGCTGATATAAACGACTCGGTCCACGGAACAGACCGATTTGTACACAGTGTCTAGGAGAGCCATCAAAATGCAGCTATCCGGAGAGTGGCAAAAGGTGAGTCTTGTCGATGGTTTCATTTCGACCATCAGACTGACTCTACCAAGGGGCCTTCCCCTCGGCTATCTCACTCAGCTAGAACAGCGACTTGCTGATACTGAACTGGCCTTGTTCGAAGCACTAGCAACACTACACTCACTCGGCCATGACGAACCACCCTTGGTTAAGGCGTCAGTCAAGCCTGGAAATGAAAATAGACACGGTAAAAAAGCACGCATGGAAGAATGGGGCAGGTTACCTCTACGTGATGGAATGATAGAAGACATTAGGAACTGGTGGAATGTCAAAGCTGAAAATTATGTTACCCATCAACCTGCTGAGGGATGGACGCAGACTCAGCGCAATCCGATATCAGTCAGCTACTCACCAGCAGCAACGGCAAGGATTGACATTAATAATGCTCAAGCCTCTCCTACGGCGTCAGTGGTAGAGACTACCATTTCACCGGGCACACCACCTAATTATCAAGGAAACCTCCATTATGGTAACAATATCTTGAGACAACGTCCGCTGGAAACGGTTGCTAGCAGGGAGCATACCGTATCTGAAGTCAGCACAGAGTATAGGTCGATGGGGCCCCGTGACACGGATTACCCTGACATACAAATCTTGGATGCAAGAGACGGCGAAAAAGCTGCAGTACTCGCTAGTAAACAATCTAATCTGTATTTCTAGTACAGAATCATAGAAGCAAATTACTTCCATATAAACAATCGACAGGTTCATGCTGAAAAAAACCCCCAAATTTTCCACATCAAGGAAACAGAACCAAGCATTCTCCATCTGCTCAACCGAAACACTATTCTTCTCATTATTCTTGCCAAACGCATTCTTATCCGTAAGGTTCCCCTTTGGCACATTCCTAGCCATGGAAACAAGCTTCCAAGCCGAAGGACCGTCCCGAAAGACATCGTTAATTATCTCCAGACTTCGACGCATAGTTTCAAAATTAGAAGAACGCAACCATGATACGGGAAAGGAGATATGAGTCTGTCTATCTCAACCAATTCTGTACACTGTACCCCGAAAAGCTTGTTTATGACATGCACATAATCACCAATTGTGTCATTACGTGGATTTGAGATGGTCATCAACCTTAGAGAACGGAATTTTTGCCGGACTTGAATTTTAGGTATGAGGCGTGCCAGCACCCCGAACAGGACAATGACTTGCCCGGGTAGTATCAACAACTGTCAACCATGTCAAGAATTATCTTAGACATTACGATATACCTGGTCACCAGCTGTAAAGATGATGGTTACCGAAAGAACAACTTCAATCTCACTCAGTTCCTCGCTTTGCTCTTTCTAGTGCGCTATGATTAAAAAAACATGCAAGCCACCCCCAATATTTTACCCCTGATTCAATAGCAATCATGTACAATCACCCCTGTGCTATATTCCTACATAAACAGACTAGGTATCACTATCCAATTAGTATATAAACAAACGCCCAGCAAATAAATAATTACACCCCCCCGAAAACATCATAATAATAATCCTCATCCAGACCCTCCCTACTCGGTATCTTGGGCGTCTCACCCACAAACGCTGCATCATCAAACCTCACATTCAGCAACCTGATCTTCAGGCCGTAATTACTGATCAAATTAACAAGTTTGTTCGTTTCGGATGTGATGGGTTGTTGATTCAAAAGCATCAACAGCCCATCCAGCCATTCCGAGGCGACGCTGTGGCTCTGTGGTCGAAGTGTCAGGAGCGGGATTTCGCGTTGTGTTGCTCTGCTGCCGGTGCGTGTGTGCCCGGTTTCTTTGTGGGTGGTGACTGGAGATCTGGGGCCTGATGAGGAGGGGATTGTGGATGCGTAGCCGTGGATAGTGATTTTGGTGGATGATGTTGTTGCTGATGATGAGGATGTGTCGGGGGTAGGGTGAAGGGAAGATGAATTGCCGTTGCCAGGGGTAGTCTTGATGGTTGAGCCGGAGGAATCGTCTGATGAGGCTGAGACGTTTGACACCACCGACGACACGATAGATAAGTCGACTAATAATACATTAGCTGCTCGTTCTGTCAGAACAATATGGGGGAGGGGGGCTCACTCTTGTTAGAAAGACTATCCAAAGCAGGCGCCGTCTCCTTGATAGCGTCAAAATCACTGAAATGTAGATATCTCCTGTTATGTGACAATTGCACATATTTGTACCCTTGTGCCGGTTTATTATTCGAATCTACTATCGTGATAGGACTCGAGTCTTCTGGCCTAGGTGACGCGACAGGCTCATTTGGAAACCAAGCCCCCTGTAAAAGACATCGGATTCTCTGCTCTTTGACGAAGTGTAATGCTTCATGCTGTAGTTCGTCTCGGACCTGTCTCAAATGCTGGCCCCAGGCATCTTCATATGTGAGTTCGAGTAGCTCCATTTGCAGTTCGCGTAGACGCTGGTATTCAAAGTCGTCTAGCTCTTCTTCAACGTCTTGAACATCCTTTGTGCGTGGCGCACCGCCGACAACAGATTCAACCAAAATCCGAACTAGCTCAACAATCTTGTCGAAATCAGCAACTTCCGCGCTGGTGGCTTTCCACAGACGGAAGAACGCATGCAGAGCCGCAACATGGATACGCGACCAGTGCAACAGCAACGGTTTGAAGACTTTGTCGAAATTCGAGCGAGATTCCAGAACTAAATAGTTCTTCGCATCGTCTGTGGCCGACTTTTCAACCTCAAAATGCTCATACAGCACAGATGTAACCGCCAACGACGCCCTGGCAATAGGACATCGCTGCTCAACCGGTTTGGCCGATTGCTCCAGCAACATTTTCTGAAAATCATCTTGATGCTTTCGCACATAATCCGTCAGATCCATCATGCCCAGAAATCCCATTTCATGAAACTCTGCCGCGGGACTCTCACTCGGGAAACCCAGTCGTCGCCATTTCTCCGGGTTGTGTTTGCGTGATTTCTTGATATCGTTTTCACCTGAAGTAGTACCGTTCTCAGACGAGCCGCCAGCACTACTACCACCAGCTTCCTTCTTCTCCGGGTTACTAGCCAAATGAATCCCCTTCAATGCGCGTCTGTGATCCGGCTTCTCCAAATCTACAGCCACATTCTTCCACTTCCTTAACAGCAATTTCGTTAAAGACTGAAACTCAATCAATGGATGCGCATGGTCCTGCAACGCGCTGCCTTGCATTAGAATATACACAGCCCGAATCACGCCTAGATCTTGTAACCGTTTAATGAACTTTGGCCACTCGGATTCTTCGTCGTTGGTGATGGAGTCGCGCATTAGAGAATTGATAAGCTGCAATGCATTCGCGCATAGCGCATGATCAGCGGATGATAATCTGCTGACCAACATTTCGAGGAATTGCGGATGTTTGTCGATAGCGGGTTTGAGGGCTCGGAAGCCATAGACCTCTTTCTCTTCAGCTGATGTCTGTTCAGACTCGGAGCGAGCCGTGTGAGGGTGGGAGACGATCGAGACGAGCATGGCCATTGCCCCGCGCAGGATATTGACGAGGGGGTGCGTAACAATCAGATGGACTATCTACACTTCTTAGCATGCCTCAATCTTTTCGATAGTCTGTAAGAATACAAAAACTACCCTCTCGACAACCTCCTCATCCACAAACTCCCAACCTTTGTCAACCTCCAACAGCCGCGCAAAACTTGTCAGACTATACGCCAAAGTATTTCCTGTCGTTGTCAACGTCAAGTACCGCAATTTACTCAGCCCGCCCTCCGCAATGAAGATGTCGGCAAACGATGGATCGCCGATGCTGCCTTGGAGTTTGAAGGCAGCCATCTTACGGACAGCATCTTCGTCGCTGGCGAGCCGGGTGACGAGGTCGGAGGGGTTGAGGGTTTCCATGTTGTCTCTCTTGTGCTGAGGTATGAAGGTGTCGCGTCGATTGTAGGAAGGACGAGGGTAATAATGCCCGTCGCACGAGCTCGATAGAATTGGCAGCTTCCTTAGCTATAGAGTCAAGTCATGCCCGTTATCTGGCTAGCGCCGTTCATGCAAGTCTCAGTAATGTTGTCACAAGAAGTATGTTGTATGTTGGGGTCTGGAATAATCGAGTAGATCAGGGGTTAATCGCGATTCGTCCAGGAGGCCCCACTTCCCCCAGCTTAGGGTTATCAGGGTTAGAGATAGCGATAGATCGGGGAATTGTTATTCATTCCTCATCTGAACCTCATCTCATCCTCCTGCAAAAATTACTCCTATCCTTAGCTCACTATTAGCATGTGACGACTCTATTCGACGAGCAATGATCATGATACCCTATTATCCCTCACATCAACGTCGTCATCGCCATGGCTGCTCCCCCCGCCAAACGGCAGCGCAAACTGGTGGTTCTCTCATCCTCAGATAACGAAGAGCTGCCATCAATCGACATAAACAGTCCCGAAAAGAGGAACAGCAGTAGTCTGGTAGAATCTTTCCGCCTCCTTAATCTCTTGCCCAGGTCGAACTAACCTATTAGACCTACTCTAGATCAACGGTAAACACCAGTATACCATCGCGTGAGATTCCGTCAAAACGGGCGAAGACGACAACATCAACAACAACGAAACCTAAACCGAGCGAAAAAGGTAAAACAAAAGCGTCTTCTCGACAGCCAAAGAAGGACTCGAAAGCGGCTGTGTCGTCACCGTCGCCACAGAAGAAGGCTCGCCAACAAAAACAACAAGCCGAGCCAACGCGGTCATTGCATAGTTTCTTTCAGCCGGCCACCGATGAACAGCGATGGTCGTTTAGCAAATCGGATGCTAGTTCGCGGCAGGGACAGCAGGGGTCATCGTTTGCGGAGCAGTTGGAAGATGATCTGATTGAGGATGACTGGTTGGAAGATGACTGGATCGAGGATGATCTACTCGGTGATATAAATAGGCCGCAGAAGCTTACGATTCAAGATTCGGTCAAGAAGCAAGATGCGGCGGTGTCTACGGCTTCAAAGCTGGCTTCGAAGCCAGCTTCGCGAACGACTTCGAAACGGTTCATTCTAGATGACGATGCGCCTGTTAAACGGACCGAGGGGGCAACGCATGCAGAAGAGACTGATCAAAGACCCTGGTCGGAGAAATATGCGCCCAATTCCGTTGAGCACTTGGCGGTTCACAAGAAGAAAGTGGCTGATGTCAGGGAGTGGCTGAGCGCTGCGTTATCTGGGAGAAGTCGACATGTGAGTTGATGAACGCCAACTGGTTTAAATTAGATCACTCTAATCGTATTTACAGAAAATACTTGTTTTACACGGTCCAGCGGGGTGTGGAAAGACTACAACTGTCTCGCTGCTATCTGAGGAGATGAAATTCGATGTTGTCGACTGGAAAAGCCCATTTAGCACTGATAGTGGAAATGGTCAATATGCTTCTCTTAGTGCGCAATTCGATTATTTTTTAAGCCAATTAAACGGTTTTAGCGGTCTTGACCTTGACGATTCCTCTGCATCTTCAAGGCCCAAACAGGCATCGACGCCGGCTCGGAAAAGGGTGATATTGATCGAAGAGTTCCCGGCCAATTTATCCTGGGGGTCTACTGCGTTGTCTTCATTCCAGACTTCTCTACGTCGGTATTTGGCGAGCTCATCCGGTTCACGAAGTATATTCGGAAGTACACCAGACACGACTCCGCCTATTGTCATCATCATTTCCGAGACAATGTTAGGTTCGAGCGGGTCGACATCTGAGAATTTGACCGCGCACAGATTACTCGGCCCAGAAGTATACACTCATCCTGGAGCTACGACCATTGAATTCAATCCTATAGCACCTACCTTTATGCTGAAAGCCTTGCAAACCATCTTGGGAAAGGAAACTGCTCAGTCAGGACGGCGGGAGATACCTGGCACTGAAGCCTTGAAGAAGCTATCGGAATTGGGCGATATCCGAAGCGCTATATCTGCACTCGAATTTCTCTGCGTGCGAGATGTTACTGGCAGCCAAGGATGGAGTGGTCGGGCTGCTTGGAAGTCGACAAGGAAGAGTACAGTCCCGCTAACTGCCATGGAGAAAGAGTCGTTGGAGTTGATTACACAGCGGGAGACTAGTCTGGGATTGTTTCACGCTGTTGGCAAAGTGGTTTATAATAAGAGAGATGAGGCTACTGATCCAGGACAGCAACCGCAGGAAGTTCATGTTGCGCCTCCAAGTCATTTGCGGCATTTGGATCGACCGAAGGTTTCGCAGGTATCTGTTGAGGAATTGATGGACAAGACTGGAACGGACGTTCACACATTTACTGCGGCCTTGCACGAGAATTATCCGCCGTCATGTGATGGATCGTCATTTATAGAGACGCTAGAAGGCTGCATCGAGTATCTGTCCGACAGCGACATCCTAGGCTCGGAGACTCGATCATTCTTATTCAACAGCCGGAATGGAATCGGGACAGCACGTGGTCGTCTTCTGGGTTATGGCGCAAGTATTGATCGACTACGACAGGACGAGATCAGTTTCCACGTTGCTGTACGCGGGATAGTGTTCTCTTTGCCGTATCCTGTACGGAGAAAAGTTGAGCAGTCTTCTTCTGCCAGCAAAGGCAAACATGTCGGTCCATTCAAGCTTTATTATCCAACTTCACAGCGTTTATGGAAAGATATTGAAGAAGTTGATGGCTTAGTGAATCTGTGGGAGAGACAGCTCTTGCTCGATCCATCTGGTATCAGACGGCCTGGCCACGGCTTGGCCGCTGGTCGTGACGGAGGCGTTGCATCGTGGAAATCGAACGCGATGAATGCGAATCTATCACTGAATGCTGCCAAGCAACGAGACGATATCTCACAGCAAATGCCTTTTATGATGTCTCGCGAAGAAATGCTTCTACACTACTTGCCATATCTGTCGAAGATCACGGGCGATACCCAGTCCGGTCCTCGCGGACTAGATAGAATCACTCAATTCAGCGGCATAAACGCTCCAAAGGAAGAAGACTTTCTAGATGATGATATGCCACAAGATATTGAGGGCCAACGAGCCAAGATCCAGAGTTTAGATACAAATGAGGTTGAGAAAAAGGAGGAACAACTGTTTCTGAGCGACGATGATATAGAAGATTAATTATGATATATATAAATATAGTTCGGGATTGTATGATATGCATTGCCGATTGGATCTCAATATTCGTCTTCTCTAGAAAGTATTCGTGAAGCTGTATTTAGTATTGACTATCAGCTGCATAGAACTGTCCGTGCAGGCCAAAGAAGCCACCAGTTGACGTTTCGATTGCCTTTGACATATCTAGGTAGTTCTCCTCATTCATGTTGTAAGTTCTCAAACTCAAAAAGACTAATTGGGCTGAATACTTGCTTATTCAACTCAGTAGCAGGGACTAATGCTGCCCCTGAACTCCGCCGTGGAACCTTCAGCCGTGCCAAAATTGACATTCCAACAATTACAAAAATTTCGATTCGCGGAGATGACTATCAGAGCTGAAGACTAATTTTGAGTGCGTAACTAAGCTAAACTAAGTAGAAACTGGGTCGCGAGATACCTAGGGCTGAGTTAACCTAACTAGCCAGAACAGGTAATTTTGAGATGTTCAAATCCTCTGATTCTTGGACTATACTCAGCCTTGTAAAGACCAAACATAGTAAGGTAGGGCATGTTTCAATGTACTGGAGAATTTACCTAACATGTCATTACTATACAGGCGTGCTAAAGGTTCTACTTCTTGTTATACATACTCTCCATTTGCTTTTTACTTCCCCTACGAGATTCGATCCTCCCCTTCCCCCTATCCTCGTTGATTATCAACGAACAAGTTAGAGTGCTTTCATGGTCATGAAGCAAGAAAGCATAAGCCTTGATGAAAGCCAGCATGTTAGCATTGCCGAAGCAACAGCTATCGAGCCCGTGATTGAGGGGTATAAGAGTTCTCCACAATATATAGAAGGAGCTCGTCTACATGGGATTACTGCTACGTAAATCCCACCGTTTTCTATTTAATCTACTATCCATGTCTAACGTCATGTATATAGAGTGTGCTTGTGTCTGTTCCTGACGAATCTAGAGATTCCAATTGTTTCGACATCGCTTGTCAGCATCGCAGGGGACCTTGGTGCGCTGGAAAAAATTTACTGGATCACTACTGCATATCTGTTGGGATATGCCGGTCCGTCGTTCCATTGCAGCCTTTTACATGATGCTTGGACGAAGCTAATCAGTTCATTTATACACGTCAAGGTTTACTCGTTCTATCTGCAAAGTTCAGTGATATTTTTGGTCGCAAGACATGTCTTTTGACGGCACTTATCACATTCGTTATCTTCTCTGCTGCGTGCGGTGCCGCGCAGACGATGAATCAATTGTGAGATCGATTGCCACTGAATTCTATGTTACTCGCTAACATGTTCTCAGAATCGTCTTCCGCGCACTACAAGGCATTGGGGGAGCAGGCAACTACGCTATCTGCACAATCATCTTGCTTGAGATGGTCCCCCCAGAACAGTATGCTAAAACCACTGGCATTGTGGCGTTTGTCTTCGTGTTGTCTTTGCTTCTGGGGCCGATATTTGGGGGTGCAATCACTCAATACACGACCTGGCGATGGATCTTCTTGATAAAGTAAGAACTGCCTCTATCTTGGTCTCTCTAAGCCCGGTCAAAGCTAAGCAGTCTCAATAGTGTCCCACCAGGCGTCATCGCAGCTCTTGCTCTGATTTTGTTACTACCAAACAGATTCCCTCACCATAATAAGCCGCGAGAAGCCAAAGTCTCCTTTCGTGAATCTCTCAAGAAGGCATATGATCGTATTGACACCATCGGGGCTTTGATGCTTGTTGCAGCAACAGTACTGCTCGCTGCTGGTCTTGATGAGGCTGATGAGCAATATGCATGGCGATCTGCATTTACTATTACTGTGCTGACCATCTCGGGCATTTTATGGATTCTATTTGCGCTTTGGGAACGACGAATCACTCTGAAAGCTCAACTTGTAGAGCCTGTATTTCCAGGGTGGTTCTTCCAGAACCGAGTATGGATGGCTATGCTGTTGTAAGTCTATCCTTCTCGCTTTATTCCTGCGCCTTTCAACCACGTTCGTGATCTGACAGGATCAATGACAGAAACGCAGTATTCATTGGTATGATTTTCTTTTCAACCATGTTCATCATCCCACAGCGCTTTGAAATAGTCAATGGGCTTTCTCCTTTCCAGGCTGCTGTTCGTTTCATCCCATTCACCATCTTCTCCCCTATCGGATCCATATTCTCGCCGACTATTGGGAAGATTTCCCAAATGCCCCTTATGTATCTTCTGGTCCTTGGGTGCGTAGTCCAGATCATCGCCTATGCCCTGCTCGGAACGGTTTCCAAAGAGTATAGCATCTCAGCTCGACAATATGGGTACCAAATTTTGGGTGGATTTGGATGTGGGATCAGTATTCCTCTTTTAACGCTGATGACCCCCTTTTGCCACGGAGCCGAGAGACCATGCAGTTGCCATGGGAGCGATCGCCCAGTTTCGTATCCTAGGAGGATGTATTGGTCTGGCTATTGTCACTGCCATTCAGCACAGCTACCTAAGATCACATTTGACCCAGTTCCTGGCAAGCAGTACGGTGGAGGCTCTCCTGCAGTCCTCCTCGGCTATTGCGACTTTTCCTGCTAGTTCGCAGGAATTGGTTCGGGACACTTATGGAGCCAGTTACAATCTGCAGTTTCAGGTTCTTGCTAGACTGGCAGGKGCGCAGCTCCTTACGTGCTTGTTGATGTGGCAAAAAAATCCTATCAGGGCTGCCGGCCGTGAATAGAGCCATGCCGACGGTCATTAAACACTTCGGTGCTTAACCCTATAGGTAATCTTTATGTATCGGAGTTAGCCGCATGGAACTTCCGCGGGCAAAGAAGCCACGTTCCGATTGCCCCTGGCATGTCTTATGTAGTACTTCATTTCCATATTCAAATACTTCTCAAACGTCAATTGATTTGAACAGTTATAAACTGTCTATATTTTAACTTCCAATTCAGTAGATTGAAGTCAAGCACGTTATCCTCTGTGGGGCTGAGGCACAATGCGATCCACTGTCAGTCTCTTTGCCTCCTGATAAACACTCTGCTTTCAGACTAGTTTGATCGACTAGATCTAGTCCAATTTTCCTGTAACTGTCCACTGTGTCCAGACATTGACTCCTGTTTTACTCCAGCAGAATCCTCAATCGAATCGAAACAATGCTACTGTGAGACAAAGACCGCGCCATCGTACCGACACTCCTTTCCGGAACAACTCCCGCTCAACCACGACGACCACGACGACCACGACAACAAAACGCGACATGACGGACAGAATAGCCAACGAGAAAGGAGACGAGGTCGTCGTGATGCACGACCATTCCGACGACAACGAGTCCGAAACCGAGAATAATATGGAGACCGTCACTGCCGGGATACTGTTCGCTGCACTACCGAAATGGTTCGACGCGGCGATTGTTGGGACGTTAATTTTTGGCGGGTGCTGTGGGAACGTGTTTGCGTTGGAGGCTATTATCAAGTAGGTTGTTTATCGCGCTGCGATTTACAAATATTCTAATTGAAATATGACAGAGACGAACCAGCCGCCGGTCCTCTGATCACCTTTGTACAATTCGTGACCGTCTCGCTGTTTACGATCCCCAGCTTCCTTTCCTGGTCCGCCGGAGCGTCGTCCTTTTTCATGAAAGCGCCTGTCATCCCGCTACGATCATGGAGTATATACACACTCTTTTTCGTCACGGTCAATCTGCTCAACAACTGGGCCTTTGCATATCACATTTCCGTGCCGCTACACATCATTCTGAGATCCGGCGGACCCACGGCGTCAATGATTATCGGGTACTGGTATAATGGTCGACGATATTCGCGCATGCAGATCTTCTCGGTCGTGTTGTTGACGCTGGGCGTTGTGGCTGCTGCATTGGCAGATGCCAAAGCACAAGGGAAAGCGATTAGCCTGTCGTCAGGAGGAGATGAGGAAAAATCCACGTTGACGTTTGTTACTGGATTCACCATTTTGGCGCTGGCTATGCTTCTGTCGGCGTTCCAGGGTGTATATGCGGATAGACTGTATGGCACGTATGGAAATACGCATTGGCGGGAAGCATTGCTGTATTCGCATATGCTTTCTTTGCCATTCTTTCTACCTACGTACACGCAACTCTCGTCACAATTCCGCGCATTCATGTCCTCTCCATCAATGCTCGCAGATTTCTATCCTGCCGCCGGGGGGACTCTGCCACAGGACGTAGTTACAGGAGATGCACTCAAGAACGCGACAATGGCCGTTTCGCATCATATTGCCGCTTCACTATCCTCAGCCATAACGCCATCCTCCATGGCCGCAGCAGCCGCAGCCACCCCGTCCCTCACAGCGCATAGCGGCAACCTCCTTGCCCAAACCAGTACCTCATTCACCAATATCCTCTCCGCATCCACCGACGCCATGCAACACGGCTTCCTCACCACAATCCTCAACAAAACGCCCAGCAAAATATTTTACCTAATCATCAACGCGCTGACGCAATACATCTGCATTCGCGGCGTTTACTTGTTAGCCGCGAAATCATCCTCCCTCACCGTAACCATCGTCCTGAACATCCGCAAACTGGTCTCTTTGCTTCTTTCGATTTATATTTTCGGAAATTCTCTGGCTGCCGGTGTCCTGATTGGTGCGGGCTTCGTGTTCCTTGGTGGCGCGTTGTATGGCGTCGGCAGCGCGAGAGCGAAGAGTAATAAGATGAATTCTGCGGCTGCGACGACTGAACTACATTATCGCCACAACCAGGATAGTAGCAATGGGAAAGGAGTGAAGGGGTTCTTTGCGGCAGCGAAGAATAATTTGTCGTCTTCGTCGTTGAGTATGAGGGAGACTAGTCCGACGAGGAGGAGGAAGGTCAAGGTTTGATCTTCACTCTCTCATTTACCTCTGAACATTGGTATATAAGTGTTGCATTTGAGACATAGCATAACCATGTACATAATAGATTGATTGATTTGGCTTAGGTATATAGACGATGCATTGCACTGCCTGTGTGATTTCAATGGTTTGATTGCTTAATGGAGAATGGTAGATAGGAGTACAGCACACAATCAAATAAATCGCCCAAGCGTGTCCCACTCGTACAAAGAACGAAAAGAAATGTTTATACAATCAGACGAGGATTCCAAACAGAAAAAGTCTAAACTACAATAATCACAAGACCTCACCCACAATCTTCGCCGCCTCCTTGTACGTCTCCAATAATCGTTCACATTTCTCCCGTTCCGCTTTGATGCCGTCGTCTTCGTACAGTAGATCGCCGAATAATTCCTCCTTGTACAGTTCGCTGACGAGTCGGTTCTGGACGACGTCTTTGCTGTGATTTACGAGTAGATGCATGACTGCTTTGGGTACTTGGTCGGCAATGGTTTCGCGGACAATATTGAAGTAGGATGATATCAATCGGCGGATAAGTTCTGTTTCCATGATTTCGCGGTCGGTCAAATTTGGCTCGACGTTTTCGGTGGGCTACCAAATTAGTATGCTATAATTGTCTCGTTCGGATGTCTGACTTACGAATTGTGCAATGTCTCGGCCATAATCCGATACTGGGGCGCTGTAGTCTTCCTGCGGTATCACTGGCGACCGAGCTTCGCTGCGGCGTATACTCTGGCTGATACTTGGTTCGATAGTATGGCCGACACGTCGGCCCTGTCCTGCTTGTGTTGGTTGGGGAAGAGGGCCCGACGAGGGCATTCCATCCTTGCCGAAAAAGTAGTTCAAGAACGAATCTCGAGCTGTGTTTGCAGCTCCAAATACCGGCGGCGACCCGTTCATTCCGGTCTCGACATGCGGAGACATTGTCCGTGAACCTGCAGCGGCTCCTCGAATAGGCAGGTTTCGGCTTCGAGATTCTGCGTGTTCTTCATCCTCCTCGGTGACTCCGTTGGTCTCCGCCACCTCTTTCAGTCTCCTCTTTTCCCGTTTCTTACGTTCTTCAGCCAGTATAGCTTTCTTCTCTTGCTCCTGCTTGTTTTGGACAACAGAAGACATGGCGGCGGCGGCGCCTAGGAAGTTCGGGTGGTTTGTGTTGATGTATGCTCTCTGTATAGCGATGAGGGATTCCACATAATTTGAGCACGGTCCCAAGCGCTCACGAAGAAGATCAGACACAACTTCAATCAGCTTGCCTTGAAGACGCGGGAAGCGAGACAACTCCTGAGATCCGCAAGTGTGACAGATCTTGATAAGTTCTTCATATACAAGTTCGACACATCTTTGACTGGGAATCTCCAAAAGCTTGATTTGTGGTTTCACCAACAGATCAAAAGCAAGTTCCGGCACGAACAAACTAGGTCGCGGTCCGGTCGAGTTCCGTATAGCGGTTCTGATATCGTATACTGTGAGGTTGTGAGTAGGGTCGATGGTTTCTAGAGAATGGCCAAAAACAGAGTTGAAGATGTAGTATATGCGAGCACCGCCGCAAAGCTCTTTCGTCGAGATTTCTGAAGATGTACCGTCAATTGAAGAGATGAATGATGAAGCAAAGCGTGTCATCAGCTGTAGAATAAGAGAGCCTCTGTGTTCCTTTCCGCTAAATTGTTTGTTCCCGTAACTGGCCAGTTCCTGCTGCGTCTGTCCCATCAGAGTATTGAGACGTGCCTTGATGTCAGGGAGTCTATCCCGAATATGTGCCATCAATGTCGAATTCAATGTCTTGGCAAGAAATTGTGTTCCGCAACGTATGGCCATGTTTCGGTATGCCGGGTGATGTCTGAAAAAGTCTGCCTCGGCCTTCAACGCCTCGCTCAGTGACTTGCCGCTTTGGATATCTTGCTGAGATCGGTTGACGACGCCAATAAAGCCCAGCTTCAGTGGATAGACGCGACCAGAAAGAATATCCAACGCGTTGGTGCCATGATCCATGAGATCCAACTTGGTCAACACGCCGATAGTCCTTCGTCCCATGGGGTCTACGTGGCGCGCAAGCTTCAAAGCTTCCGAATTGACGAGGTCGACGTTCGCGGGAGAGACGGCGAGAATGATACTGTTGGGCTTTGCAATATACTCCGAGATGAGTGTGCGGGTTTGTTTCTCAATGTCAGACGGCTGGTCGCCGATAGGAACCTTGGTCAAACCAGGCAAGTCGACCAGTGTCAAGTTCAACACATGAGGAGAAAAGATTTTCAGGTTGATAGGTTGCCGGTTGATACCCTTGTTGCTTCCTGCTATGCGTGCTGTTTCATTCTCAATCTCTTGTTTCACCTGAGCAAAGTCCTCGAATTTTCGTCCTGGTAAATGATGAAACTCTGCCCATTCTCCGTGTGCGGCCACACTGTTGGCGGTGTGGGGGATGTTGACAGCTGCATCGTTGCTGTCGTCTTCTTCGTCAGAGACGTTGATCAGTTGCAGAATCAAGGGCCGTCTCGTAACGATTCCGCTGCCCCGGGGGAGAAAGTCGCGACCAACGATATTTTCTAGGACGGAGGACTTTCCGGAAGATTGCGAACCGACGACGACCTAGACAACAAGTATCAGTATATAGAAACAACCATCTTGGCTAGTTGTAGTGAGGCAGGCTTACAATCTGCGGTAGATCGAGAGAATCATTGCCGATGGTATTGAAAACCAAGTCCTGAAGCTTGTTTACCGTGACGAGCAAATCATCACCGAGAGAAGCCATGCTGAATTGACGCAAGCCAAACCCCGCTCACTAGCATAAAATGTAAAACAGACTGCGTATGGCTGTGGAGGGACGTAAGATTGGCGGTTGTTGTGGCAGTTTTTTGAACCGGGTCAAAACGCGGAAACGTAACAAGCGTAAGGCTTCTCAAATTGCCACTTGGTAAACGCAGCTAGCTAGCTAGCTTTTGTATGGAGAGAACGCAAACCCTGCGGAAAGGGCAACGAGAAGGAAAGAAACGAAAGAAACAACGGGCGATATACAAGCTGTTAACCTGTCTGGGGTGGAGGGACGAGGAAGGAAGGGTCCCTGATAATGCCGCCAGATTCACGTGACGCAATCGCGCCAAGCACCCGAGGCTGGCCTTTTCGTCTTTCCCTGCTTTGCCTTAAATTGACCCTGTGGCTGGCCAAGACATCATCATCCTACAACCCACTATTCTGTTCAGCCACAGACGTTTTTCTGCATTTATCTAGAAATTTTCTACACGAGTCAGCTCCCATATGTCGTTGACATAATCGAGTCTATTAAACCATGGAATTATAACGGGATTTTCTCGGCTTCACGTATAGATTCATGAATCCCCCCGCAGCAATCGTCGCAAAAATTGCATCCGTCAAAAAAGCACCACTCAACTGCAGAGTACTCTCCCCTCTAAGACGCGGTCTTTTCAAGGCTGCCTTCTGAATCCGCTCATAGTACCCTACGATCCCAACTTTTGGCAGAATCTCACAGCACTGGTCTGGGTAGTGCTGGAATCCCTAGATAGGCCAGGTGGGTTGTATTTGGACGGCGCTGTGGAATTCATTTACAATTTGTTCGTCTGCGATCATATTTATTAGCGGGTAGAGGAATCAATTGTAAGATATATATTAACTGGCGAAACCCATCCCCACCGTGCAAAGCCTCGACTCATACTCAGAATCAGAACAAGAGTCCTACCCTGCCCAATCGTAAACCTCTTCATCCCCGACGCCAAATCGTTGACATGAATCATCGCAACACCCACTTCCACAAACGCGGTTGCCATCTTGATAGTCGAAGTCGATCCGCCGAACCCCGTATCACTATCTTCAATGATGGGCGCCATGTAAGCGACATGAGCCATCTGGGCTCTTTCTTCTTTTGGGCGTGAAAGTCGAAGGTGTCGCTGGCGTTGGTCGTTCCACATTTGCGAATGGTGAATTTGATCAATGATTTTGGGAACGGTGTCCCAGGGGTAATCGGCGTGGTCGATGCCGGGCTCCATGACGCGAGTTGTGCCGTAGATGGCGCCGGAAACGTAGACTGCCTTTCATAATCACGTTAGTGTTTCTGTCAATTGGTCTCACGATTACTGAATTTCTGACATGTTGATACTTGGTCATCTGGCCGATTACCACCGGATCAGTAGCACCATACGTAAGCTCGTATGTACTATTCCTCAAATGCTCCCGCAGAATGTTTCATAGTTTCATTGCCTGGGTGCTGGATGCATATTCCCTGCGCTGACTATACTGTGGCATCACCACTCGCCTCGCGCTGTATGGTCTATACATTTCACTAGCTCTACTGAAGAGTACGTCAGGGAAGGTCGGCGCACGTTTTAGACCAGCATGTTGGGGAATCTTCCACCAAGCTTCGACTTCATCTACTTCCTTTTCAAAGGCGGCTTGTTTAGCGTCAAGATCGATTTCTAGGATGGCCATTGCCACAGTCGACAACGAAAAAAGTGTGCTCGATTATTTTTATGTCTTAGAGAAGCAGAGCAGGATTTGCACCGGTAGAGAAAAGCTCGAAGATAATAATCCTGACAATATTCTCTATTCCATGTGCAATCGGTAGGGATACTCGAAACCATTTTTCGAACGAATTTCTCAACGACTAATCTCACCAAACCAGCCCACTGAAAATTCTAAGCTTAGACACAGAATTAACAGCTCATTTCGACGCTGAAAGGTCTCCGATAGACAATTTCCTAAATAGGACATTTCATCGACCACATGCATTGTGCGGCTATCTATTAATGCTCTCAGTACATGACGTGCAGTGGTAACAGAATGTAGAGCGGGTGCTGTTGCCATTCAGCTTGAGGCATCGTGTCGAACAACGGAAGACTTCCAGGGGAAGGGGAAGGAGGAAGAAATGAGGGATGGCGGCAAACCCTCCGAATAAGCTTATCTGGGGCTTAACTTGCACTATTCCTTATTAGGTATTTAGACCCACAGTATTTGGCTTAAAAAAGCCAATCGGCAGCATTCCGTCCATTGTTTCCGATTTGGCCACGAGGAGTATCAGTCGCTCCTTCCTTCAGGTCGCTTACTCCGACTGCTCTCGTGATGTCTTTCCCTTCCTCCTGAAGAACATTCAGTCAACCTCCTACAGAATGAGATCATCTGTGTGGATATTGCCAGTTCACTATCAGATCTGGGTCACTGCCATGTGCTGAAGCCACTTCTCCACTATCTTTTGATTGCATAACAGTATAACTTCTCCAAAAATACCCCTTCTGTCATACAGTCAGCCAACATCTTACGATCAAACCGATAGATGGCTTGGAAATCGACAATAATCTGACAGGCAACCGCTATTCTTGGGTAGGAAGTCCTTTCTACTTCGGTAACCTTATCGCATCTATCCCAGCCCCATGGGCAATGCAACGTTTCCCCATCGTCAATGTCATCATTGGGTTTCAATTGGTTTGGGGTATACTTTTGCTGGCCATGGGAATATTGGAGCAGTTGGCCCAGCCTTCTGCTCGGCATGCTCGAAGCGCCAATTATTCTCGAAATTGTGATCATGCTGGGAATGTGGTACTCACGGAAAGACCTAGCACTCTGTCTTGGATTCTTCCATACTTGATTTACCAGCTGATTACCGGTCTGATTGGATACGGGTAAGATCTTTGCCACTGAATTGTCGATGTCTTATCTCATACAACATGACTCGTCTTCCAGAGTTGGTCATCACGGGCACCTGGCTCGGACCATGGCGTGTGTGTTTTTGGATTCCCGGAGGCATCACAATCATTTGGGCTGTCACGGCCTTCTTTCTCCTGCCAGATAGTCCTGTCAGCCCCGAATTCCTTTCGGAGCGTCGAAAGGCCATTGCCATTGAGCGAATGCGAGTAGATCAGACCGGTATCGAAAATAAATACTGGAAACAGTATCAATTCCGCGAAGTTATGTTCGATACTAAGACGTGGATGCTGTTCCTCTTCAACGTATAGGTATGTGCTTCCAACGGTGGACTGACCACCTTACTCCGCTCCTTGTGAACGATCTGAGATACTCATCTCAACGCGCGGCTTTGCTTACTATGCCCACGGACACCTTGAAAACGGTATCTGCTGTCCTCTGCAACGGCATCTTCTTCCTGGTGGTCACCTATTATCATTCTCGCTACTAGATCCGTGGCATTGTGACTATTCTCGGTCTCATCGTTGGTATGGTCGCTGCTGTTTTCCTCTATACTTTGCCCCTCAGTGCTCCTCTTGCTCGGCTTGGGGCTCTGTACATCAGCTTCTTCTACTAGGTCCTTATGTCGTGTCTTTCGGATTCATCACCCAGAATACTGCCGTACACACCAAGAAGGTCGTCCTTAAGGCTCTTTGCTTCATTACCAACCGCGTTAGTAACACCATCGGTCCTCATTTGTTCAAGGCCAAACAAGCACCCCTCTACCTGCTTGGGATGGGTGCGATTCTAGGAAGCTACGTCCTAAGTATCTTGACCATCGTCCTTGACATGACGTATCGCTGGAACGAGAATCGGCAAAGAGATCGAGCTGCTGCCGCTGTTGAAGGAGATTGTCAGGAGGCCCAATTGGACACGGATTTCATGGACTTGACGGATAAGCAGAATCCACAGTTTAGACATGTCTGGTAAACAAACATATCACTCGAACTATAAACATTGGAGGTCTTCATATTTGGCTGCATATCGTTCTGTCTGTCGAAAATTTGGATACTCATGAATCGCAATCAGTCATATTTGTTATACAGAGCCGAATTGCAGACTGTAGATGTAAGATTTAGTAGTTCATGAGGAGTTGCTAGCGGTTTGTTTACATTGTATAGAGAAGTTGGCCGGAGAACGCGGGTGCCTAAGACCTGCTAGGCCAGCCGCTTACGCCACCAGCTCGACCGGTTAGGTTTGTTGAGCTCTCTCTCCGGACACTCAGCCACAACATACCGCCGACCACTCTCCTCTTCATATTCTCCTCATCTTTCMAGAGACATTGTCAATTTCTGTTATACCTTTCTATTCTGTGAACTGTGTTTGTCGATTGAATCCAGCTACCAAGAGTAAGTATCCGTCTCTGTCGTGCTGCCCCTCTCGGAATCCTGCATGATGACATTGCACACTTCCAAACATGCCCCCATCCCACCTCCAACTTGACACCCATTTCATAAAACTGCGGCCTACACCCAATTCCCAGCATTCAGCAACAGGAACTGTTATTACTTAAGTTATTACGATTCGTTCAGTCGTTAACACTATTTCTCACAGCAGCACACCATTGTATGCGATACGAAGACACCCCGAGACCGACCTCCCTCACACCTAACCGCTTCAATGGCGTCCCTCAACCTCTCTACAAACGGGCCATCGATCACAAAGAGCTACCAAGCCGTTGTAAACGCCGCTCCAGCAACTACCGGAGCTGCTGCTTCGCCGACTTATGCGCAATGGGCCGTGTTTGGTGTGACGACTCCGCTCGTCAATGCATTTCAGCCGGATGCGGGGAACAAGGAAAGCGTGCTGAAAGTTCAGAGCAGCGATGGTGGGTGGCCCAAAAAATAAGAATCGATACTAAATAACAATACAGAGCAGCGCTGACTAACCGTGAATTAATAGAGGGAGAATTAGCGGATCTGATCGAGGATTTCTCCGAGGGCAAGGTTCAGTTCGCGTTTGTCAAAGTAAAGGACCCCAACACAGGGCTGCCAAAGAACGTTCTTATTGCGTGGTGTGGAGAAGGAGTCCCTGAAAGGACCAAGGGATATTTCAACAGCCATCTCGCTGCAGTGGGACGCTTCCTACAAGTAAGGGAAAGCAAGACTCATGTCGTGATTGGCAAGCTAACAACTCCTTGCAGGGGTACCATGTCCAGATAACCGCTCGATCGGATCGTGACTTGACACCCGAAGGGATCCTCCAGAAAGTTTCCGATGCTTCAGGAGCGAAGTACTCGGCAACGGATGCTCCCGCCGCGCGTGAATCTGTCAAACCACCCGTTGCTACGAAGCCGGTATTCACAGCAAGTCGATCCGGTGGCGTTGCGCCTCCACCCGGCGCTCGTAGGTTACCTGCAGTCTCAAGAGCCCCAGTTGATGACGATGGATGGGGCGCCGATGCGCCTCCAGTTACCCGCACAGAATTAGAGAAAGTGCCTTCCGCTTACAAACCTACGAAGGTCGATATCAATCAGCTTACATCTCAGAAACAACCCGAATCCCAGTTCAGACGAGCCCCCGTCGAGGAAAGGTCGGACGTTGTCAGGGGTGGCTATCAACCTATTGGCAAGGTAGATATCGCAGCTATTCGACGACAAGCTCGTGAATCTGGCCAAGGTGGTGACGAGCGAATAGAACCTGTCAAGGGAGCTTACCAACCAGTCGGAAAGGTGGACATTGCTGCAATTCGTGCTAAGGCTCAACCGGCGCCAGAAAGAGCTGTTCCTGAACCACAGCCTGAGGAGACTGAGCAGCCCAAGCCGTTGTCGGAACGTTCGGCCGCATTCCAGCAGCCTGCTGAACGCTTGACAAGTCTTCCCAAACCTAAGGTTGCGAACAGATTCGGCGGTTCTTCCAACTTCACCGGTACAAAGGCACCTCTTCCGACCGAGTTCGGTGCTAAGCCCACTACAGCTCCAGTCACCTCAACCAGCAGAACTTTTGCTGATGAGGGAGGCAAGACCCCTGCCCAGTTGTGGGCAGAGAGAAAGGCTAGGGAAAGAGGTGGTGCGCCTGCTGCTAGTGCTGCACCAGGCGAGCCGGTGAACAGACAGGTTTCTGGTGATGGCGGTTGGAAGAGCTCATACACCGGAAAGTCTTGGGCTCCTGTTCAGACTACCCATACCGGCCACTCTGCAAGCAGCGCAACTGGGCGATACGATGGTGAGGAGCCATCAGAGCCCACATCCAGAAACACTCCCCTCTCAGAAGATGTTCCTCCACCACCACCTCTAGACAACAAACCTAATGCCGGTCAGAAAATCCCATTGCCTGGCTTACCTACAGCACCAGTGCACACAGAGGAGGAATATCCTGAAGAAGAAGAAACAAAGCTGGACCTTCCAACACCACCTCCTCAACCACGCTCTCCTACGCCACCTACTCCAGCTGATAGAGAACCTTCGCCTATTCAGATTGCCATACCTGTCAGCCGTACAGCTCCTGAGACTCTAGTACAAGATGCTCACGAGGAGATCCACTCCCCACCACAGGTTCTTCCCATCCGCAGCCTGGAGCAAGTTGTTCCGGACGAAGCCGATCTTGAAGAGGAACAGACCCACGATACTGGCCGGGCAGTCGCCGAGACCTCCGCACAAGTCGCACCCACAACACAGTCTATCCGCGCCGTTGTCCAATATGACTATGAGAAAGCCGAGGAAAACGAGATTGAACTCAAAGAAGGCGAATACGTCACCGACATTGAGATGGTTGACGAAGACTGGTGGTTGGGTGTTAACGTGCATGGAGACCGCGGCCTGTTCCCTAGCAACTACGTCGAGATTGTTGAGCAGGCTTCTGATGTCGCTCAGCAAGAGGAAGCTATTACCCATGAGGGTCATCATGCACAAGAGCCTGAGCCTGAGCCTGAGCATGAGCCTGAAGTCAGCCACCATGCAGAGGCAACTCATGCCTCTGCCACTGGTCACACTGCAACGGCCTTGTATGATTACGAGGCCGCCGAAGACAACGAATTGAGTTTCCCCGACGGGGCCAAGATTGTCAACATCGTAAGATACCCACCTTGATGTTTGAAATGCATCTAGATACTGATCGATTATTACAGGAATTCCCCGACGACGATTGGTGGTCTGGTGAATACGACGGCAAAGCTGGTCTTTTCCCAGCCAACTATGTTGAGTTGGATCAGTAGAGCGGTAGACGCTTTGTCTCTTTCTGAAATTTATATCATTTTCTTTTTGTGACTATCCTTACTTCCCCCTGGCGATCGCTCTCAAGGCTTTTTTGCTCCTTCTACGCTATAAACATACAAACACCTTGGAGATGAAAAAGATGAGAATTGGTGGATTGGATTATTGAGCGAAATTGTAAATTCGGTTTACCTAGGTAGTGTAGAAATGAAGTCTCTACGAATTGATAAGCTTGTTTGTCTATAATCACCATTGTCGAATCCGAACTCGGCTTCCAACTCCGATAGATACGTCTTGTCCAATTCTATGCAATATAAGTAGCAGCTCCTGCTCCTGCTGCTGTATTAGTATCTGCCCATTCGAGGCTGCTATTATTCAGATCTTAGTTCTGTTGCGAGCACAACGACAACAACAAACTCAGCTTCTTGACTGACTCCAGCGATCTCTCTCATACTCCTTTAGACAATGCGCAGCCGTCGGCCATCTCTCCGAGATTGTCGCAAAGAGCGGAAATTGCTCCATGGACCTGGTGGGATAGAGCCGATAAAGCTTTGGCGGGGCAGTGGGTTTAGGCGATCGGCTACGGACTTGCGCGATCATTCATAGCCGTGGTTTACTCCTCATTTGCTAGGATAATCTAGTTGAATACTCATGTTTTATCATCCTGTGGTTACCTTGGGACGTTGAGAGTAATCATAGTTGCCTGTCATCTTTCTTAATCTTTTGTGTAAATCACGGCAGAGACCATCTTTCCATCATGCTGCAACAACTTGACTGCGAAGGAACGCCCTTCAATGTAAGGTCCAAGATGATCCTAGAAGAGCCGGCAGTTAGATGGCTAATTCGATAGATCGGTAAACAACATGGCACAGCGGCGAAAGAGAAAATCATTCGCTGCATCACTTTCTACGCGAACATGTTTAAGCAGCACTGCCGTCTTTCCTGGCCAGACGTACGGACTGCTGTTCAACCATTCGAGGAGAAAATCAAGAGGACGTGGCCAGATTTGCATGAAGAAATGAAAGGTAAGAGAGGCTGGTCTTTACATACCCACCTGCCATCATTTAAATTGACTGGCGAAAAGGAGTTGCGGATGGCTCGGGTCAGTCACTGGTGGATATCGTAGCGTTAAACGTACGCACAGAGATTGCATTTGGCAAGTTTTCAGACGGTTGCACCTCCCTGGCATGGCATTCAGAGGATAATGCCTTCCTCGGTCAGAATTGGGATGTAAGTAGCCAGTCCATCTCGAAACGGGGAATCATGCTGATCACTTCATCCAGTGGCAAGAAAAGCAGAAAGAAAATTTGATCCTGCTGAAAATCACCCAGCCTAACAAGCCAACCATTCGGATCATGACGGAGGCTGGTATTATTGGCAAGATAGGATACAATCATGCTGGTGTTGGTGTCTGTCTAAACGCGTTGAGAGCGCCAGGGGTAGACCCGGGTCGTTTACCTGTTCATCTAGCCCTGCGACTTGCCTTGGAGTGCTCCACAGCTAGTGAAGCTGTTCAATTGTTTGAAAAATATGGGGTGGCGTCCTCAGCACACATTTTAGTTGCCGATAAGAATCAGGCCTTTGGCGTGGAGACATCTTCAACGACAGTGCAGAAAATCACGAAAGATAACCAGGGACGAGTTATTCATTCAAATCACTATCTTCTTACGCATCCTGGGGTGGTGGACACGAAGTGGCTGAAAGATTCTCCCTTCCGAGTTGAAAGAATGCGCGAGCTGACCGACGATCCGAGTCACGGTCCAGCGTGGGATGCTATACTCAAAATTTTTGAAGATGAGAAGAACTCTCCGGCTTCCATTTGTCGACATGAGCTTGGGAGCAGCACTTTTGGGACGTTATTCAATATTGTGATGGATTTGAAGCAAGGACGCGTCGTGGTGCGGGTGGGCAAGCCGAGTCAGGTAGAAGAGACGATTAATATGACATTCTAGTTCCTGGAACTCACCAGTGATATAGCATTTATCTGGATATAGCATGTGTTGTGAATTCGAGGTTGACGAGGTGAGCGCGTCGTTGTTGATGTTTTTCTCCCAAAAGGGAAGGAAGTCGAGAGATAAGATAAGCTCGTCCTTATCTTATCGCAATTCACACAATGTGATCCGCTAGTCCTAAAATGGCTAAATTGACACCATCTGATTGGCCCGTAGAAGTGAGGCTGACGTGCAAAGAGCCCCGCCCTCCACCCTGCCTGCCTGCCTTCTTCCTTACTTTCTTCCTTCCCTTGCTTCACCTTGAATGCTTCAATCTGCCAGCCTGGAACCTCCGTCAAATACGATCATTCGACGCGTATACACCCCTGAAAAATGGATTCCTTTGTTCGTCCCATCGCGTCAGGACTTCCCTGAGCGTGGATCTCGCATTCTGCTTAGTTGTTTTTGTTCTTGACACCAACAATCGGTCCTACCGGCTGTTGATTCAGAGCTTGCTGTTGTTTCATTTTCTCTTTGCGCTACGTCCAACTCTCAAAAGGAGTTGGCATTCGAATATTCTGTGGCGGAGTGGATTTATTGCCCGAGACTCGTCATTGCTAATGGTTCCCGAGCACTACCTACGTGTGTAGTGTGTTCAGCATTAGCTTTGATATCTCGAGTGACAGCCTTCCATCGCTATACTCTCGTTGTAGGCCCGCTGTGGACTACACGTTGTTTCTGTCAGATTTGCTTTCACTTCTGACTTGATTTTCGTTTATCTGCCACCCTGGACTATCGCCAACGGAAATACGATATTCAGACTGCGCATGCATGGGTATGCCATTCTAATGCATCACTTGCAGCTGTGACTGCTGCTTCAGTCTAGCTTTATTATCATTCCATCTATCTACCCCTGATGGATTCGGCTGCGTTCAACATGTTGGAAGATCATCCCACAGCAGTCACTACATCCCACATGGAGTCCCTTTCTCATCATGATAATGACACTATCATACAAACGAAGGCACCATCCATAGGCTCAGCTGAGTCAAGGCAGGATGACGGTCGTCCCCATGATGACTCAACAGAACCTGTTCCAGGACGTAAACGCAAACAATACCCGTCTACAGGAGCCTATACTGTTGATAGCCCCTCGGATGAGCCCTCCAAGGAAACCCCTGATGGATACATACATATTGGTTACGATAACCCAGGACGCATCAAAAAGCCCAGGTTAGATCATGACAAGACCGCAAACAAATCACCGCTCCCTATGGAGATTTGGCATTGCATTTTCTCATACCTCGATCCCAGAACATTAGGGGCGCTGCTTCGTGTTAACAAGACTTTTCATTCATTTCTTGCGTCCAAACAGACTGGCCTAACGGAGAACTCTTCCTCGGCTCATGGTATCCTGAAACCACTATCCGCCGATCTCATTTGGGCATCTGCCCGGAAGTCATATTATTCTGGAATGCCACGACCGTTGGCCAATATGACTGAATTGGATATGTGGAAACTAATTGGAACAGCCACTTGTCAGACTTGTGGAAAGAATGATCCCACCAATCAGCTGCCTACATGTCAAGTCCCGTCATGGGAAAGAGGTCCAGGAACAAATGGAGTCCGTATCTTCTGGCCCTTCGGAATCAGGACATGCTCAAAATGTTTTCTTGAACATACAAAAAAGGTGAGTCTTCCGATCGTTTGGAATCTCATAGTCGCTTACGCCTCGTTTCAAAAGGATGTGGATCTTCTTTTGTCATCCTTCCCCAGTATCCTTCTTCCAGGGCTTTCATTTGTGCTTCTTACTTCCTCCATGCATATGGTATCTAGTGTAACTCTACGCCTGGCCGATATCCCAACTGATCTACAGCTTTCCAAATACTACTCCAATTCGGAGATAGATCAATTGATGAATGAATTCCATCATGTGAAATCACTAGGCCCGGCTGCTCTGGAAGAATGGATGAAAGGATTGGAAAGCATGGGAAAAAGGAAATTGAGCGATGCCGCCCGTTGGGAACAGTGGGAGAATAGTGGTGGCTTGCACGAAGCTCGTCTTCGAATCTACAGGAAAGCTACTAATTATCTTCCATACGGTCGTGGTAGACCCGGGTCAGAGCGCTCATCATGGTCTCCTACCGAATCAATCAATGGTAAGTATGACTAGCTGGTGACAGATATCATTCCACATTACCAACAATCGCCTTTTCTTAAAAGCTAACCTCTTCAGCAGACTCCCGTCATAGGTCTGGATCCAGTCCACTATATTTACCCCCAAACCTTGCAATGAAAGGTCAACAAAATCGTGGCGAACGAAGTATACGTGATGTGGACGAAGCAAAGGATTTACGAAGGGCTGAAATCGAACGGCGTTGCTTAGCGTTACACCCACCCTTGACGGCCGCTGTTCTAAGCCATATGGACTCTTTTACAGCGGCAATACAAATTCCCCATGAGCTAACTGATAAGGACTGGGAGTATTTGAAACCCCGCCTACTAGCCCAGAGAGAAATGGCCGAGAGCAAAGAGATTGAGCGTTTGAAAGAATCCCAGCTTTTGCAAGCTAAGACGGAAGAACGCCGACAGCAAGAAGCGCGCTCAAAGCAAGACAAACAATCTTTGGATGATCAATGGGAGGATGCGCAGCGTCTGATTCGTGACCAGATCAATCTCTATGCCGACGAAATCATCACAAAGAACTGGAACGATGGAACAACCCTCACGAAGGACAAATGCGCTCAATTTGCTGCAGAAGTCTTGATGCACGTACGAACAAGATTCTATGCGCACGTTGAAGAGGAAGATGCTATCGCTCGGGCATCCGGCGTTGCTGTTAAATCGGACTCTGCAGATGAACCACCCACGCGCAAGCTAATCCTTGAGAACATGAAGTGGATCTTTGACAACAAGATCAAACCTCTTACCCAGCAATTGGTAAAGGAGATGTTCCTTTGCAATGGATGCGAAAATAATTCCAGATACTACGGCTTCGAAGGAGTAGTCCAACACTATGCTGCGAAACACACAACTGCCTTGAGTTCAGGAAATGTAATAGTGTTCTGGCGCGCCGAGTGGCCCGAGAAACCTCCATTCCATCCCAATCCGAATGCTGCCAAAGCCCTGCTCCATGCTAGCTCTCAGAGTGGATTCAATCCGCCGCACAGCTTTCCACGGCAGCAAGGTGCACCTGGTATCTATATGGGAACTCCCGAACAACGACATTCTATCCTTCCTGATTCGAATCCTTCTTCCCGTGCTGCGTACGGACGATCCCCATTCAGAAGTCCATATCCATCTTCCTACATGCATGGTCCTTTTCAGCCGCCGTCGCCTCGTACCAGCCCCTACTATCCTGGTTATATGTTCCCCCCACCGTCTCCAGCAATGGATTCTGCAGCCGTTGATCCGTCATCAGCATACAGCTCTCCCTATCATGCTCACGTGGTTCCTGTGAATCACCAGCACCATGTTTCCCAGCACCATGTTTCCCAAGCTCCTCATCCGTATCCGTCCCCCGCTTACGGGTCTTCCTCGCCATCTAATCAAGGTCTTCTCTATAAATTACCACAATCTGGACATGGTAGTACTCTCGGACATTCTAGGAGTGCTACCAATCCGGACAGCTATCAACATCAGCTGGACATGGTGGCTCGGGTTGCTCGGGATGTTTGGAACGCGACTTCGGGAATCAAGGACCTACCCAATAGCATCCGCGCCCATGTTTCAATATATCACGTGGCCAATACTCTGCGGCCTGTGTTTCATTCCGAAGTCTCCATTGCTCTTTTCCTGGACGGTCTGAATAGTCGTGCACAAATGAAACCACTGCGTGGCTTGAATGGACTTGCCTGTAAATGCTGCATTGATGAGGGGAATGAAGAGCCAGGATCACACCTACGAAATTCAAAGCTATATCATTTCCCAGCTCTTCTGACTCATTTTCAGTCAATGCATCTGCACCACGACAAGCATGGCGCTGCCATAGATCTTCAGGAGAAAAGCCTGGTCCCCGATTGGAAAATAGATATGGTTGCTCTTCCTGACTTATCGACACTAAAATCATTGCCGCGTAATCTTGGCATGGATGATTTCAAGTTGCGAATCATTGCCCAAGCCTTGCCTCGTGTTTTTGATTCTTCATTACCAGAACTCCCCCCGGAAACCTTCCTGACCAAACGTTCTCCAGCTGTGCACCATGCATATATGGCAGAGCAGCGGCCGAATTATCCTTCGCCGAATGTTCACCATGTCCAGAGAGTCGAATATTCATCGGTTCCCGGACAGAGGGAGTTTCCACCAGACGATCTCCCAATTGATGCTATATCAGGAAGGCATTACGTCTCACGTGACCCGGTTTCTCGACATGAAAGTCCAATTACAACGCCTCTCTATGATGATGGCCGTAATTACGATCGTGCTGCTCACTATCTGCCACGCTCTCCTCGTAGAATGATCGTTCGAGCCCGATCACCTCGTTATATTCGCGTGCACCACGAGTATGACTATAGAGATGATGATGCAGACGATTTAAGCTCAGGACATCATGACAGATACTACATACCGGTAACGCGGCCAACTATGTCAGATCGCCCCGAATATGGATACCGGCCAATAATAACCGAAAGATTCGAGGGAGATATACCAATGCAGCAGCAACGTGTCGAGAGACAACCCAATCTCACTCGACAGACTGAAGGCCAAGAAACTTCACAGGGACCAATCCTCCCAAACCACGCCGTTCCTGTTATTCCTGGTCATGAAGATTCTCAATCAAATGCTGGAGATATTAGCGCAGCGGATCAATTTCTAAGTACTCTAGTTCCTGGTCAGGAAACGAGCTCTGAATTATCAAGGAACGACTCGTCATCTTCAATCTCAAAATATACGGGCTCGCGGCGTCGTGTTCCAGCGGGTGACGAGGCGGCTGTGTCATATTACAGTCAAGATGATGTCTGGAACCAACGATGGGGTGATAATCCTGGATCTGTTAGATCACACGAAACAGGTCTACGAGAAGGTAGACACGGCGCCAGATCTCCCGAAGTAATTCAACTTCGATCATACGGACGCAAGCCTTCTAGCGGTACTTCTTCAAGTGTCGCTATAGAATCCAGTAAATTGCCACCACATGCAGGTACGAGTCGATTCGACAGATATGAAGCTCTACGTCAAGAAGGTCTTCGAGGCAGTTCAAAGTCTCCTTCTATCGTCAAGGAAGACATATCACGAGATGCACCGCCAGTCTACTATGACGATCAAGATCCGCGAGCTCAACAATCCCGATTACCGCCTCAGCAGCAACAACACATGGTTCCCCGGGAGCGCGATTCGGCTAGTCAAGGATTTATCAGAATGGAAAGAGAAAATAGCAGACGAAGTTATAGAACTGGAGGTAATGCTCGCGATCCGGCGTACTATGATGATACCATGGAGTATTGACCGTTCTACCACGAACATGATTGATGATTGCTGGCGAGGAATTTGCATTGCGATGGAGCTATGGTATTTCTTTAATCTCTCTGTAACAATATTGCTCTAAATTTGATATAGAATATACCCAATATCAGCTACTAATTCTGCTAAATCATCCACATTGCTCAGTGATAGGCGGGAGTGTTAGGGTTTGTTAGCTGCCCATCGATCATTCTTGGCGCCTCCACCCGGTCAGCCTTAACAAGCAACTGGGGCCGACCTTAGCTTGAATATTCAACAATAATTTATCTGACTGCTGGAATGAGCGGTTTGCCTTTCGTTTACACACGACAATAGCAACTGATCGAATCCGAATTTCTTCTACTAGTTCATAGAAGATCTATATTTGAAGTCAGTCATTGAACACAAAAAAGAGGGATTACACGTGCTATCAATACTCGAATCCGATTACAATCCGTGCCATGAACCCCACCGAAGATGGGAATCCGACGAACAAGATAGAAGACGACGACGATGCCAACGTCCCAAACAATGACGATGCCGGGTCTCCAGAAGATCGTGGTTACGAAGACGGCGTCGGCCCACAAGATGAGGACCTCCTTCCCCGAGACAGACAAAAACGAACGCACAGCTACAACTACGCATACGAGAAGTCCATGAGCCATGCCGAAGCAAAACTTTTCTATCAGAGACACCAGGAGGAGCAACAGGCTGCATCACGGGGTGGCGCAGGCGGTGGTGGTTATGATGGAGGGGATTACTACCACCACCCTTCCCGGGGTAGTCCCGTCTTGTCACACCATTCGATTCCTGTGAGGAACACAACCGCAGTGGGAGATGAGGTACCGCCCAGCATGGCTGCGAGTACCGGATCGCTCAAGAGTAGTATTGGTGGCTTTGCTTCGTCGACGAGTCTATTTGACGGTGGCAACAATCAGCTCGCTGCAGCAGAGACGTCTATCGCTTACAATCAGCATCCAACGTATTCGCGAATGCACGAAGACAGTGTGCTAGCAGCCGATCATTCGGCCAGAGATCACATGCTGCAGCCAGGAATGACCCAACACACTTCATCTGGAGAGGTCGGCGGAGTTTCGTACTCGCTGCCTCCACAGGGGTTATATGGAGTTGGTGGAACAAGCGGAAGTATGCAGCATGGTATGGAAGGATTTCTACCAAGTGATGATGCTGTCAACGCTGAATTGGAGATTGTCTGTCGCAAGATCCAGAATCTGCTAGACCGGAGACATAAGTACATGCAACTCTCGCTGCAGGGTCCTGGTGCAAATCCCAAGGATTCGCCAGAATGGCAGATCTATCCCAGCCCGCCAGAGCCAGTTTGGGATGCTGAAAAAGAACGCGCAAAGGCAGCAGCTCGAGGTAATGGAGTCCCTGATGGAGTACAACAGGAGCAAGAATCAGAAGCGTTACGGACCAAGAAGAGACGCAAGATGGGTCAAGATATTGGAGAAGACTTTGATATGGATGAGATGCTGCCTTTKCCAGAAGCCTCAAATCAATTATTCGAGTTTGATTCTTCCAGTGTGTATCAGGTATATGAGAATGAAGACGAGAAGGCAAAGCGGAAACCGATTGTTCACATTCCGTCTCTGAGAGATTTCTACATGGATCTGGATGTCGTCGTTGAAGTTTCGACTGATGGTCCCGTCAAGTCCTTTGCTTTCAAACGATTATCTTACCTGGAAGGAAAGTTCCAGCTCCATACTTTGTTGAACGAGTACCAGGAACTTGCAGACAGTAAGAAAGTGCCGCACAGGGACTTTTACAATGTCAGGAAAGTGGACACTCACGTACATCATTCGGCGTGTATGAACCAGAAACATCTGTTGAGATTTATCAAGAGCAAGATGAAGAAATCGCCAGATGAAGTTGTGCTCTTCCGTGATGGCAGACATTTGACCTTGAAAGAGGTTTTTGAGAGTATCAATTTGACGGCTTATGATTTGAGTATTGATACGCTTGATATGCACGTAAGATTACCCTTCCTAACAAGTATAACATTCAAAGTCTGACGCACGGTTCCAGGCACACAAAGACTCATTCCACCGATTTGACAAGTTCAACTTGAAGTATAACCCTGTCGGAGAGTCTCGTCTTCGTGAGATCTTTCTCAAGACGGACAACTTCATAAAGGGCCGATATCTCGCTGAAATCACCAAAGAAGTCATATCTGATTTGGAATCAAGCAAATATCAGATGGCCGAGTGGCGTATTTCGATCTATGGACGATCAGTGGAAGAGTGGGACAAGCTAGCAGCGTGGGTGGTAGACAACAAACTGTTCTCACCCAATGTTCGCTGGCTTATACAAGTCCCTCGTCTTTACGACGTGTACAAATCGAGTGGCATGGTCGATAATTTCGAGGATGTCATCAAGAATCTCTTCCAACCCTTGTTCGAAGTAACACAAGATCCCAACAGTCATCCAAAACTGCACATATTCTTACAACGCGTCATTGGTTTTGACAGTGTGGATGACGAAAGTAAAGCAGAACGCCGGCTCTACAAGAAATATCCTATTCCCCGCGACTGGAATACTAAGCAAAACCCACCTTATAGCTATTGGATCTATTTCATGTTTGCGAATATGGCGTCACTGAATACTTGGAGACAACGTCGTGGGTTCAACACCTTTGTGCTAAGACCTCACTGTGGTGAAGCAGGAGATCCAGATCATTTGGCAGCTGGCTTCCTTGCTTGTCACAGTATCAGTCACGGCATTCATCTTCGAAAAGTTCCGCTGTTGCAATACGTGTACTATCTTGATAGAATCGGCATTGCAATGTCACCTCTGAGCAACAACGCACTCTTTTTGACATACGACAAAAATCCTTTCGCGAGCTTCTTCAGAAAGGGTTTGAATGTCTCCCTGTCCACGGACGATCCGCTCCAATTTGCGTTCACAAAGGAACCATTGATGGAGGAATATGCCGTTGCGGCGCAGATCTATAAGCTTAGTGCTGTTGATATGTGCGAGTTAGCTAAGAATTCCGTCGGTCAGAGTGGCTTTGAGCTTGCACTTAAGCAGAGATGGCTTGGTCCTCAGTGCTATCTACCTGGTGTTGCGGGGAACAATGTTGCTAAAAGTAATGTGCCTGATCTTAGAGAAGCGTTTAGATACGAGACGTTTCTCGCTGAGTTATCTCTGTAAGTTTCCCTTTACAACTTGTTTTCTAGATCGGTGGAAAACAACATACTAATTATATGTCCCAGAATTGAGAGATACGCAACACCGAGAAGTCTACCTCGCGCAAAGGGCGGTGCAACCGAGCGAGGAACCCCCATATCAGCATCGATGGGCTCAATGAACAACACGCCGGGTCACATGAGGGCAGTCTCAGATCAGTCTCCTCACACAACCACCGCGACTACTACCACAACCGCATCAGTCTCCCAAGCCGGATCCCCCGTCATCCAACCTCGTGCTTTGGGACACCTCCACCACAACCGCCTAAGTAACTCTTTCTCTCAACACGGTGCTCTCCTCCCTGATCCTGTATCCCCGGAATTACTATCCTCTTCCCCATCCTTGGCCGCAACGGGCGGACCAGGAGCAAGTCTTCCCGAGCAACGAATCATTCCCGGCTTGGTTCATGAAAGGACGAGAAAAGGCAGCAATTATTCCATGTCCTCTTCCGGGGCTGTCGCGGCTGCTACCAGGGCAGATCTATTGCATTCGCAGTCACAGTTGCAGTCACAGGGGGCATCGCCAAGTAGGTTTGAGGGTGAGAACAGAGGCGATGGTTCGGATTATGGCGTTATTTAATCATTCACGTTCGATGCAGGTTGTATATCTTTAGGAACCTGACGGGATTGGTTTTGACGGTAGGCTCTACTTTGACAATTCACTTTGTATTTAATATGTCTCTTGTCGAGTGTTTGCTTCATCTAGCTTCAGGAGTGGTTATGATGCATCGCCATCGTGCAGAAATACCGTCAATATTACTTTTTACTCATTTAAATGAAATCGTTTCATACCACAGAGCACATAGTCGATATCAAGGAAAGTCGTAAGTATTCTTATCATTAACTCTCATAAATAGTATATGTACTAGCGATGTATACAATAGTGACAACTAGCCTTTCAAGCAGTCGAGGGTTAGCTCCTCCTTCCTCAGTGGTGATCCAATCTATGTACTATATATATCCCAAGCTCGCTCGTTATCAACTGATGATCCGCAAGCAGAATTTCTCTCCGTCCCATTATCCATCTAAATTGCCCAACTTCCTCTCCGCTCAATGACACCCCAGGCATCAAGGCTTTCATCGTTGGGAATACCCATTTCGGACTGCTGCCTAGCCCATTCGTGAATGTATAGTTTCAGTGCTTTCCATCTCATGCAGGTCTCCGGTGTTGCAGGGGAATTAATCGTCTGATTCGAAGCACGACCTGGGGAGGAGATGACATGACCCTTCGCCTCGGCAGTGAGGTCATCTTGCCTCAATTCCGAGACCGGAATACCTGATATCTTGCTCAATTCGATGTCAAAGCAGCGTGCTAGAGATGGGTAACCCAGCGAAAGGTAATTGTAGACCTGGGTGATGAAGCCATCGTGGAATTCACGCTCTATGGCATTATCTTCATCCGGTTCAACATCCATGATGTCCAAGGGATCATCGGTCATTTCTAATGGATTCGATCCCGGTGAAGCGCATTCATCATCTACCATGTCCCTCATGTCAAAACTGGACCCAAAACCGTTGGACGGTCTCGGTGTGGCAATACCAGTTCTAGCTCGGTGAAAATGAAGGTCTTCTTCGTCCCCTTCGTCTTTATGACACAAACCCATCCATAGACCTGGTTTCTCTTCGTCCTCGGCGTGTGTATGATCGGTCCATAGACCGGCTTGGTCCCCATCGTCCACGGGTTCTGGTTCTGCGTGGTGCACATGTAGATGATCGGTTTCAGTGGCAGTTCCCTGAGGAGAAACGCTAAAGGGAAAGATAATGTCATTGCCCAACATCGGTGGACTGGCTGCATGCCGCATTTGGGCCAGTTCAAGATCACGCCGCCATCCAGCAAAGACAGAGCTTTCATTTTCTGGCATCTTCTGTTGTCTAGAAGAAATTGCAGCGGCTGAGAATTTAGACTCGTGCGCGTCACTTTTATAGACACCAAGGTCTTTCATCTCAGCTTCTTCCTTGTGACGTCGCATCTGTTCCAATTCCCATGACAGGTCGGCCGTTGATCCGCGACGTAGAACAGGATGTATTCTACTCACGATCCGTGGCTCACCCGGCATAAGCTCTTCGTCTTCGTTGCCAAAATCCTCATCACCATCAATGGCGAAATGAGAGACTGGTTGGTGAACCTGTTCATTGGGAAATGCTGCCAATGCTTGGTCCCGGAGCTCCTTCTCAGCGCTACGTGCTGCCAGAGAGAGAAGATAGCCAGAGAAACGCTCATCACAACTTTCTCTAAATCGAGTTTTTGCTACAAATCGATTGCTGGTGCTGCCTCCAGATGAAGCTGACGGTGTGGTTGATAGTGAGGGTGTATCCGAATCATCTGAGCCTTCACTGCTGTTTGATGGAATGGCAGGCAGATCGGGGACGCGAAATGAATGGCGTCTACCTTCTTGCCGTTGCAATAGGCTTGCATATGAAAAGCGTGACTCTGGTGGTACCATAGACAACTCGTTGGCCGCAACGATCTGTTGGGCCTTAGAAATAGGAGGCGAGTGCGGTCGAGGTGGCGGATTGTTGGGGACAGATCCACCATCAAGGGCTTTAGAAGAACTTTGTATCGGTAAAGTATCCGCTCTACGAACAGATCGCTTCCCAGTTTCGATTAGCTGAGGAGCAAACTTGCGCGGCGTGGTCTGGCCAGCGCTGCTGTGCCGGCCCGTACTGTTACTGCTAGACTCTTGGTCATCTTGTTTAGACGGATGGCGTCTACTTAATTTCATTGTTTCAATAGGCTCGGGGCAAAAGCGCCTAGGGGTTTTCATATTCTTGGCCTTGGCGTCATCCTTCCGGGATTCCGAGTTGTTTTTTCTATGTTGCTTAGCACCCTTATTGTTCGAATGTGTTACCTCAACGGGTTGAGGCAAAAAGCGAGCGTGCTGTCCACTCTGTAAGCCATTACTGGCTGATGGTGCATCTGGAGATTCGGCTGGATCTTTCTTTCTATGGCCATGTTCTAGGGCATCAGGTTGTTTCTTGGACGATCGGGATGAGGTTTCCATCGGCTGTGGCAGGAATCGTCGCGGCTTTCCAACCCCTGCCGACGCGGGTATCGGTTTATCAGTGATCCTTTGCTCATTTGTTGTTTCGATTGGTGAGTCTGTGGGTACTGCAGAGGCCGATGGATCAAGCGGTGCAGTGGACTTGTCTGAGTAGCGTGCATTTGGTGATTTGCTCGACCGAGCTGATTGTTCGACCAACTCCAGCTTGAACCTGCGTACATCGCTTGCCATTCTCGATCGAGGATAAGTTGAAGAGTCCTTATAATGACCACCCGTGCCTTTATCGCATTCATCATCAGAACCCGAGATCAGGGTGATTCATATTGCGGTGAATGTGGCTAGTAATTCCTGTTTGACAATCAGTCAGTCAGTCAGTCAGTCATGAAGATGAGTGATATAGAGCAGCCATTTCGTTTATGACGGCCGGCAGTGATTGTCCTTTGGGAACAAAGTATGGTTGGTCGCACCTTAGATAGAAGAGTGACGTCGAGTATTGAAGTGGAGAACCGGGATCAATTGGGCATTGGCGGAGCATGTGAAAGCGAGTTGTTGACCACTGGCACGAGAGCTACCAATGCCAACTCTCGGAGCAGACCGGTTGATTTCGTCTCGGCAGGTGAAAAGGAACACGATCTATTCGAGGAGATGGAAGCAGTAGACTCGCAGAAACAGGGTGTTGAGTTGAGTAGTGTATGTAGTGCTGAGTGGGATGGCACGGCATGACTGGCCACAATCTATGGAGGAGTTCCACCGGCCAAGTCCAGGTCGCCGGACCGTGCTCACCGCTTTAGTATTCGTATCTGCTTCAATACTATGTGTTACGAAACCAACTTGCATGATACTAGGCAGAATCTAGTACTATTAAGGGAAGGCGTTTATTAAAGCAGCTAACACTATAACTAGTTATTTCTATAACTAGGTACACAAGCAATTAGTTAAGGATATAAACTTATAGATAATATAAATAGAAACTATATAACTATATATACTTAAAAAGATAAAAAAGTATAAAAGAATTATATATAGATAAGAAAAATAATTATTAGATATATATTAATATATATATCTAAATATAGAAAAAAGTATAAAAAATATAATATATATAAATATACTTATTTACTATATATTTAGTTATTTTTTATAGCTTTTTAATATAAGTTATTTAAATATAATAATAAGAGTTAGTAAG